TACTCTTGAATCTAAATCTCGCTTTTAATACTCTTGAATCTAAATCTCGCTTAAATTCACTTTCGTTTATATCATAGGAAAATTTGAACAAAAGTAAAGGGTGATCGTTTATCGATCTCAAAAAGAGTTCCTTTGATTTCACAAATAAGTCACTTGAGTGCCCATTCGGACCGTATCGGTTAATTTGGTCCAAATGGCAGAGATAAATCCTTGCTGCTGCGAGGCTGGCGTGCCTGATTGTTTGACAGCAAGTCGGGGTTGTGGACCCGATGACGCAATGCGAGTAGATCTGGTACTATTGCTTAATCTATCCGCTCTTCCTTGCAAGAGCTGAAACAACTTTCTTGATATTGAAAAGATGGCAAAAAGTGCTAAAAGAACTGCAGGCACGCCACCGAAATGCTGCAACCAAATTCGTAGAGTTGCCCGAAAAGAGGCAATGGCCGAAGCCGAATTTACAACTTGCCCTGGCCTTCTCGCTTCATGGCCCGATTGCGGAGCGAGATCTTTGATTATATCAGCTTCCTTGCGTTCTATAGTGGGAGAGGAAGATTGTGAACGATTGGAAGAAGCTCTTGCAGACTTTACCCCCTTTGCCGCCTCCGTGCTATCACGATTACCAGCATCTTTCTCTACTGGGGGCAATGAGTGGTTTGAGGCAGTTCTACTCTTTGAATTTGCAGTCCCATTTGTTGATTTGGCATTAGAAGCTTGGGACTGAGCTGTACGCTTCTGTGCTTGTTGGGATGCCAAATCGTCCAAGCTAGCAGACATTTTTCGCTTCTCTACCTGCTGCTGTAGGATCCGTCTGGCTCTCTCTTTTGCAGCCTGATGACGATCGATTCGTGCTTCGGCTTGAATTTGTGCTTCTCCGAGTTCGGCTAAAAGTGTCTCTCTTTCTTGCAATTCGATCGGATCATCTGTGATCAATTTTGCACATCGTACCATCTGGACAGAATATTCCCATTCCTGCAAACGAAGAGCCAAGATGTCCAAAGCGTACAGTCGAATTGTGCGTCCGTATTGGTCCTGTAAATGTTTACGCTCTTCCTTGACCTGGTCTAAACCTGTACTTGCCGAATAAGCGGACAAAACCCACTCGCAAATCGAACGAGCTGATTGTAGACCTTGTGGCACACTTTTGGTCTTGTCGACCTTTTTATGTCCATTGAGCTTGCCATTAGGCTGTACTGTGGAGCGATTGACATCCTCATCGATCTTCAATGCTCCTAAAATGAGTGCTTCAATCACACCTGCAGGTACTTGTAATGCAGCAGAAACGGCCTCAGGCGGAATGCCATCTGTCGAGATAGTTTTGGTAGCGGTATTTCTCGATGGAGCTTTGGTCTTGATGGATTTCAAGGAAGGGCATGAATCAAAGTATGCTAGAGTATGATACCAAAGTCGTACGAAGAACTGATCAGGCGGTAGAGAGAGTTGTTCACTTATCTCGTTGGGCAAACGGACGTCCCTTCCTGAACTTTGCTGCCAATGTTCGATACGAGAACGTAGTTGATCCTGATCGTTAGGCGTATAAATCGCACACAATGCCGTTATCTGTAAAACTAAGAATTGTTCGGCCAATTGTTGGGTTGATTGAGCTTGACCGGTTTGTATGGCAGATTGAATTGTACTCAATGCCTCTAATGGCATATTATGTACGAATGCAGTGGATGCATGATCGTAAAGCGCTCTTCCAGAAGAGGAAGTGGCTACTGGCATTGTGATAAAAAGGATGATGGTTGTGGTGTGAGTTTGGGGGAATGGCGTTCATGCTGCTTTAGGGATACTGTGGAGAATATTATCTGAAGCCGGTCTCGGTAAATGCGTTGTCCTGATTAAGTTTGCAAGCAGAAGCTGAAAGATTCACCCTGGCTTTATTATGAACACGCGCTGCATTGGGCCGCGCTAAGCAAGCACAGCACAGCACGAGGAATCCAATTTTGAGAAGAAAATTATTTGCTCACCATCATCATCAATAAAAATGTTGGCCAACATAATAAGGCAGTGCATGTCCGTCACAAGACTCGCAAAACCACAGACAACCCCCTCATCAATCATACAGAATGTCGGCTTTCGATCTATACACTCATCTTCTACACAACTAACATGGGGAGGAGGCAAGATGAAATCACATTCGGGCGCAGGTAAACGATTCTTTCCGGTAGGAAAACGAAAGGTTCTCGATCCACAACGTCCTTTTGCCAAAAGTATAGGATTTGGATTAGACAACAGGATAATGTATCCCCCCGACGAAATGGGCAATACAAGTTTTCCGACGAGAACGATTGGCGTGATGTACAAACGTGGTCAAACGGGAATGCGACATTTGAACTCTAAAATGCGTTCTTCACGTAGGATGAGACTCAGAGGTACGGTAATCGAACGTAATGGACCAAAAGTCAAAGTTCTTTCTCGATTAATCGGAAATCGTAAATGATCAGGCCAAGAATCGATGTCATTACAAGAATCTACATCGATGTATTTTTACAGCATACTACATTCAATAGAAATTACCTCTCATCACTTCTTGCGGAAAAGTAAAACATCTGGAGTGAGAAAAATGGTAAGCATCAATTTGGAAAAGGAGACAAAGCAGCTTCTTCACTTACCGGTAGCGTATGGATATTCAAATACTCCGGCCGATTGATCGATCCATTTCCGTTGCAATTGATCATCGTTTTTCTCTGCGAATATTTGGTGAATTTGATCAAGAACTTTCTTTTGATTTTCTGCAGATTCCATAGAGATGTAACTCTTACTTGCAATTCTGCTGCAAACGCCTTCAACGGTGGTGGGAATGCCACGAGTAAGATGAATTTCGGGCAAGATTTCATATTGCTTAATTGCTTCCGTGTCGTACATTTGCTTCCATGTTCCATGTCGATCTGGTCAGATATGGGGGAAAAGAGTCAGCCAATATTTCCTCGCTATTCTATGAATCACACTCACATTGTCGAGAATTTCCCTCGTACACTTCATATGCTTCCCGTACGGCTGCAACCCAATGAGCTGCTTCCCGATCTTCCAAATTCCAAACGATGGCCAAAACACCTCCAGGTTTGAGCACGTTTGCAATTTGAGCTAAAGCGCCATTCCAATCTTCACACCAATGCCATGCCTGTGCAATAGTGATCAAATCAACATTACCTTGAAGGTTAGGGGCGATATTTGTTAAATCAATTGTATCGAATAAACCGGAACCGGTAAAAGTTTGTAAATCTTTATCCAATCTACCTTGTTCTTTCCATTGTGGTATAATTCCAGTCTTTTGATCAAACAAACTACCATTTAATTGTTTAAGCATCGTTTCACTTGGTTCGATTGCTGTTGCCGTTTGTAATTTAAATTTGTTTCCCGAATCATTCGTACATGCATCAATCAGTAATTTGGTAAAGATGCCCGTTCCCGCTGCTAAATCGACATAATTTAACTTTGTTGCGTTTATTGTGCTCAATATTCCGTCAATCACTGACCTGGGATAATCAGGTCTTGCTTTTGCATACAATTCAGGATTCCATGTTGGCTTAAAAGATTGAGTGCTTTGTGTCATTTTGCGGGATAGCTGAGTCGGAAGTGATGTTGTTAATCTAAATGGAGTATAACTCTTTAAGCGGAGTGATTGAACGGTTCTGGCTATCATATGAAGAGAAAGGTTTGGGTTGGGAGAGGATCAAGGGATGTTGGATATGGTCGTCTTATAAACCATTCAGATCATGGGAGTCATACTTCTTTCTGTAAATCCGATTCTATTAAGCATTAACGGTCAATTTAGTCTAAAAAGAAGCCGAAATGCTTAACACACTAAACTGAAATAGAGGTGGAAATGGGACGCGACTTAAACACGCACGCACGGCCTTTTATCTCTTTTCTCTCTTTGTCCGCCAAAAGCGAGCCTAATTATCCGCTCACCTTTAACCGGCAATTCGGTTTAAAGTGACTCTCGACCGTCATCCCCGCTTGATAGGAGCATTGGCGAGCATGTATATAGACAAGGCTAACAATTGGAGCTGAGTAGTTCAAGGTCATAGTTCCAGCGTATAGCACAATGCATACAGCCATTTCGGCAACGCCAATCTTAACGGGCAGAAAGGAACAAGTTGATGCTATCCTGATCCATGCCGGTCAATTATTACTCGCTGGGCCTAATAGCTCAATCACAGCATACAATCTACCACAGAAAGGCACCACTTCCATAAACACTGATGATGATCGGTCAATTGCGTCTTCCTCCTCTAAAACCGTTCAACAAGCACAATTGAGCAAACCTGCTTGGATCGCTCGTTTGAACAAATCAACAAAATCAATTGAACAACTCAAAGTGATCAGAGAAGCAAACGTATTTGTAAGCCTTTCAGATCAAACAGTCGCGCTTCATGATATATTTACCACCCAAGAGACTGGAAAACAGTATTCTTCTAAAAAGGTAGATGCAAACACATCACTCTTGCCATCGGCACCCCTACTCCCTGCTGATGCAAGCACAATTCTGATACAGACAAAAGGCGCCATCTCTTTAGCAATTGATACATCAATTCAACCAACGCCCAACGCAAACAATGGGACTAGTACAGCGGGTACCCAACGCGGAGGGGCTGGATATCGGCATCAAGCAGGACAAACCACAATCGGTAGAGCTTATAGACCATCGGATATGTCTATGGGACGTACAGGAGGCGCAACCACTACAGCCGCATTACGAAATACCAATAGACCGATGAGCTTACTAGGAATGGAAGAAATGAAGAGGGAAAGAGAGCAAAAACGAAAATTCATGACAATGCAAGCAAGGGCTGGATTCATTAGAGAAGAGGAAAAGAATGCATCAATAGAAGGTGGAACGGAAAGCGGGGTAAGCGTGGTAACAACTTTGGCAGTAGGCTGTCGAAGAAAGCTAATCGTCTTTCGATGGGTCGATGGAGCGTTCTGGGATACGAAAGAGATTCACCTGCCGCACACACCGCGTACATTGGCATTTCCTACACCAGAGAAGCTGTTTATGGGCTACACATCCTCGGAATATGCAATTCTTACCATCCCTTTGGCAGCTACTTCATCTGTGGCAGATCTTATGGAGTCAGGTCCGTCCTTAAAGCCAGTCGATATACCCTCTTCCAGCTTAGCCGGTACAAGGGTCGATCTGTACGAATGGAAGTTGAAGACACTCGAAATCCCGCTGGTTGGAACATTTGATGGCAGCCCAGGCGAAAGTAACACTGCATCAGATCAAGGTGGTAGTGAAGGTGGTCAGAAATTGACAAGTGCAGCAGCTACAACGGGCTCAGGCATGACGGCAATGGCAGGCGCTGCATTTACAGGATTGACAGGCTACATGGGTATGGCAGGAAATAAGAACAGACCTTTGGTGCTGCAAATTGAGGATGGAGAAGTACTCGTATGCAGAGAATCCATGGGCGTCTTCCTCAACGAAGAAGGAAGACCTACCCGACGTGACGGGATCGATTGGACAGTCGTGCCAGAAGAAGTGCTGTACGTCAAGCCATACGTTCTGTCTATTCTGCCACCAAGTGCTGGACGACAACTCCCCGCTAATCCGCTCTTACAAGTTCGATCAGCAAGCACATTAGTAGCTGTTCAGACATTGCCTTTTCCTCCTGCAACGGAGGTATCTGCATTTGCGGTTAAGGCTGGCAATTATCCTTCCGTACGTCACTTAACTTCTTCGACTGGAAACAAACCGCCATTGTACGTCAAAGTTACACCGACTGAGCGAGGCGCATTGGAAAAAGATGGATCATCAATCTGGTGTCTTGAGATGAAGAGTTGGGGCAAACAAGTTGATGAATTAGTGGAAGCAGGAGAGTTTCAAGAAGCTTTGGCTTTGCTCAATTCTGTTGATGAAGTTTTGTTGGAAGATAAACAGGAAAGGCGAGTATACATTGAATCGTTGTATGCTGTCTCCCTTTTCTCTAAAGGACAGTATAGTGAAGCGATTGATCACTTTTTGGAACTTGATACCAATCCAGCTCGTGTAATTGCCTTGTATCCGGCTTTTATTTCGGGTCCATTAGCTAAAGACAGATCTCAGTGGCTTGAAATGTTTGGCGCAAAGAAGAAGAAGGCCAAAAGAAGCGAATCATCCACGACCGATCAAGGTAATGACACTTCGGACAGTATGTCTATTCGATCCGGCAAATCACTTGCTACAGGACTCAATATTCCTCGTGAACAGTCAAGATTGCGAGGATTGTGGGGAAGACGTCCACAGAGTATGGTTGGCGAACCAGAGGGATTCACTCCTGGAACGAGTCCTGCCAAAGGCGCATCGTTGAAGGCCAATGCAACTATAACATCAACATCCCCTCTGTCTGCCGCTGCGCCGATCGAAGCGAAAGTGACGACCGATCAGCCTTCTTCGGAGATCCCTGCGGAGAAGCAAGATGTCCCTGTTCTACCTGCTGAACCAAAGGCGATGCCTTTACCTTCGGAAGATGAGAGAAAGGCTATCGACGCTTTAGGAAGCTTCTTGGCGGATCGTCGAAGAATCTTTAAGCCAATCTTGGAACAACAACCATCATCGCATAGTATTACAATGTCACAACTTCGTCATGATCCAGAATGGCTTTTGGCTTTACCTTCACAGCCATTATCATCTTTGGATCTTGAGCAGCTAACAGCAGTTGCACAAACAGTCGATACAGCTTTGTTCAAGACGTTTCTGGCTACTAAGCCTGGTTTGCTTGGACCGTTGTGTAGATTGGAGAATTGGTGTGAGGTTGATCAAGTGGAACAGCTTTTGATGGGACGAGAGAAATACTCGGAATTGATTGCTCTTTATGGCGGAAAAGAGATGCATGACAAAGCTTTACAATTATTACGCAAGATGAGCGAAGATGTTGAAGATGTGGAAGATAAAGTGGAGCCAACGGTACGCTATCTGCAAAATTTAGGTCCAGACTACATCGATCTCATTTTGCGCACTTCGCATTGGGTTCTATCCATGGACGAAGGCTGGGGTATGGATATCATTACTGGAGATACGGGCAAAGTGTCACTGTGGCCGCGATTTGCAATCGTGAAGGATCTGGAATCGTTTGATGAACGTATTTGCATCTTATATTTGCAACATCTTATCCGTGAACTTGGAGATGGTGATCCGAGCTTGCATGAAAAGCTGGCTTTCCTACTTCTACATCGTGCAGAGACCATCAAGACTGAAAGTGGAAATGATGAAGAAACTTTGGAGAATCGCAAGAGAGCATTGGCAGATCTATTGGAACATCTAGAATCATCACATCAATATCGTGCAGAACGTGTATTGAATCGTGTTCCCACCGAAGAGCGGGACTTCTATGATGTTCGAGCTTTATTATTAGGACGTATTGGACAAGATGAGGCTGCTTTACGTATTTATGTCGATAAGTTGGGCGATCATTCGAAGGCGGAAGAATATTGCAAACGTGTCGTTGCACAGAATTCCAACTCGAATGCATTCCTCACTCTTTTGCGGATCTATTTGCGACCGAAACAAGCTGGCAGGAGAGGCGTGCCTCCCAGTAAACAAGCTGATGCGGTTACGGCTGAAATGCAATTAGAACCAGCTTTACGAATCATAAGTCGATATGGAGCAAAGATTGATGCGAAAGCAGCATTAGATCTTTTACCTTCAATCGTTCCACTTTCTGCCGTTGAATCATTCGCAAATAAAGCATTACGTCAAACATATGCACAAAAGAATGAAGAAATGATTTTATCAAAAATTGCAAAAGAACGTTTATTGCAAGTTGATGAAAGTTTGATGACGTTACATAGAAGAAGAGTCAAAGTGACTGAAACTAGAACGTGTCCAAGATGTATGAAACGATTGGGCAATAGTGTGATCGCAGTGACTACTGATGGCTCTGTGTTACATTACGGTTGCTCAAAGTTCTCCAATTAAAGAAGGTCATAGACAATTCCTGTATAATAGCATAACTCTTACACATATCTTATACCTTTTCAGTTGATTAGACTTGGCTGTGGAGAAAAAGCCTAATTTTGAGTCGCAAAAAACACTGGCGTAGTGGCTGTAATTTTTTTAAAATTTTCGCGTCTATTCACCTGCAGGAAAAAAAAAAAGTTTAAGAAGAAATAAATTTTTGCTCTGTAGCCTAAGTACGACATCGACCATCCTCTTTGACATCATCACACACATACCCAGCATTCATCAATATGTTCAAGAGGGTACAAAAGGCGAATGCCGATCATGAGAAACGAGTAAAGAGAGGAGAAGTGGAAGAAGATGAGGGACCAAGAGAATTGGCTATGGACATGGATAGCGATAGTGATTCAAGCGAAGGAAGTGAAAGTGGGTCAAGCAGCTCAGCATCATCCAGCAGTGAAGATGAGAAGCCTTCAAAAGCGGTGAAGAATGGCAAGGCAGCAGAGACTACTTCAAAGAAGAGAAAGCATGAGGAGGAGGAAGAAGAAGATTCTGACGATGACTCTGATGAAGACTCAGACGAAGAAGATTCGGAAGAGGAGGATTCATCCAAAGACGGCAAACCTACCGATCCAGCTGAAGATGCACTTTTGAGACCATCCATTCAAAAAGCATTTGATGAACCAATTTTCATCAAACCAAATGCGATCGTTAGACAGGGATACAAGCATCGTTCGTGTCATATGTGCCCTCAAGTTTTGATCAAGACGGAAAAGATGATTGAAACACATTTGAAATCGGGATCACATCAGCGAAAGGTGAAAAGATATTCAAAAGAAGCAGAGTTGCTCAAACCAGAACAACGTAAAGAACCTTCTGAAGGTGGAATGAGTATCGTGGAATTACGTGAGCGCGTTGAAAAGAAGTTGGCAAGACAACAAGAAGGTCAACGAAAAGTACTTGAACATGCTAAACAGATGAAATTGGAAGCTAGACGAAAGAGAGCAGTGGTAAAAGCAGCAAACCGTCAAGCTAGAAAAGAAGCCAAATTGGCCAAAAAAGCCGTTATGGAAGCAGCAAAAAAGAATGGTAAATCACCTAACAAGAAACAAAAGACGGAAAAGGAACAAAAGGAAAAAGATGTTGTAGCTGATCCTGGTGATGATTCTACGAAGCAACTTCAACCAAAGAAGGAGAAAAAGCAAGACATTGCCAAGGATATCATTCAACAAAAGTTAGCTGTCCTCAAGCAAACGGAAAAAGATCCACGTAAATTGACCAAAAAGTACGTCAAGAAGCATCTATTGACGGCCAAAGAACGTGATGAATTGAAAAAGGTCAAAAATCAACAAAAGAGTCAACTGAAATACGAAGTCAGACAGAGAAAGCGAGAGAAGAAAGCTGCTGCTGCTGCCGCTAAAGAAGGCGGTGAAGAAGAATGAGGTTGTTTCCCTTGACCATGATCACACAAAGTGTACATTTAGCCCTTTCATACATTCAATATTATTCTGATGAAGTTTATAATGGAATGCTCTTTCCATACGAAACCCATTCAATCGAATCGGCGGCATTAATTATTTTTTATGAAACACGCCGAACGCTGGCCCTGTGCTACACGCACGCCCTGCACCCTGTCTGCCTAAGTGTCTCTAAACTTTAAGGTTGTTCGCCCGTTCTTCGGTTCCTTTGCACGATACCATCACCGTCATCATAATAGGGGTAAGCAAGGAGGGTGAAGAAGGGTAACAAAAAGATGACACGTAAGTCTACAAACAGATCACAGAGAAGGGGAAGGGTAAGCTGATCGATGTATTTCTCTTATTCGATGATGTTCTTAGGCGGAAATCAAAGAGATCTTGCTCGTGCAAAAAATGCAAAGAAACAAGCCGATGCAACAAAAGGTAAACGTGATGATGGCTTAACGGTAGCACAAAGAAAGCAACGTGATGCTGATGCCATGCGAGCAAAGCAAGAGGTGGGTATAGTATAGTGTGCGGTTTGTTTGTTTTAAAAAATTGCTAACACAACTTTTCCGCATTCATTTGGTTCAAAAAGGCAGCTAAAGCAAAAGCGGACGGGAAAGATTCTTCGGGAAAATAACGATTGCCATCCTTTTCAGGTTATTCCGACTTTGCGGGAATCTCTCTTACCATGTGTACCATCGATCATTCAGCTTTTCAACCTCTCCGATGTGAGACGGATAATAGAATCAGACATCTTCTTCCGGATAGACACCAGTTTTCTTAGGCCGACTGAGGATTGTTTCGCTTCGTTCTTGGCTTCTTTGGGATGGCTGAAGTTAATGCAACCGATGCAAAATTGTCGTTCTTCGTTAAGACGGTCTTTGAACCCTATTTTTGCGAGCTTGCGCTCTCCACTTTCGTTTCTTTTCATTGGCTATTGCTTTTTCGTTTTTCAGATGTTCTTTTTGTTCATCCGTTGCTTGACCATTGTTGACCAATTGACGAAGTTGGTGTAAATGTGCCGTTTTTCTGCTCGAAAAGCCGGTTATTTGTTTAATTTTTTGCTTTGTAGGCCGCTTGACTATCGTAAGAAGACTTTTTCCACTTTCTTTGTTCTTCCGGTGGAAGGGTATCCAGTCTTGCTTTATCGTTTTGATATCGAAGTTTACGAAATTCTTTCCTGTCGAACGCCGCTTTTTTTGGTCTAAACGCATCTTCAGTAAGAGAAGACGATCGGGAATTACTCATGCCCGTTGGAGATTCGCGATGATTTGTGCTACCAGCTGGTGAAACTTCCGACGATCCTAAAGGTGACAAATAATCTTCTATACGTATTGGGCTTGTCGAAATTGCTGTCAAACCGTTCCAATCAATCTCAGATGGCGATGGTGAGCGCTGGCGTTCATAGGGTGGGGCGGATAAACTTGCTTGGAGCATCCAACAGTGGAATAGAAGATAGAGTAGCATGTTCCAATAGATCTGATGATGCTCTTGCTTCAAGGATGTTATGGAAGAGCGAAGATGAGACACAAAGGTACTGAATCAAGCATGAAAGTTTACAACTCGGTATGTTTCGATCGTTTGCGCCTTTGAAAGGCCCGAGTTCGATCAAAAAGGAGGCAATATGCGGAACACGACTGCTATCTGAAGTAGCCCCGGATCGATTATCCTGATTTGAAAGATGTCCCTTCACCTGGCTTTCCCTGGTGGCTGTCAGGGTGATTTTGATGAGATTGTTGAAGTCTATTCATCATCCTAATTCTCTTTTTCCTTTCATTTTCTTTTCTTCTAAGTTCAAGTACCTGTTCTCGTTGTTCAACTGTTGCTTTTCCATTCCTCACTAATTCACGAAGTTTGGAAAGATGTGCAGCTTTCTCGCTTGTGAATCCAAATTTTTTTATACTTCTGGCTCTAAGTTGTTTTGCTTTTATTCTGTCTATTTCTTTTATGGCATCTTGCTCATGTTGTGGTAATGCTTTGATCCTCTTTTTTTCTTTTTCTTGCCATTGCTTCTTGTACGCTTTAATATCTGCAGTCTTTAGCTTTTGCTTTTTTCTGTATGGTTCTAATGCTATTTTTGGTTGTGCGTCATCGCTAGATAGTCTTTCCGGAATGACTGGAGAGGATGTGTCAGCTAATTGAATAGCTTCATCATTCAACAACGCTTTCCAATCGAAATCGGTTGATGTTGGAGAATGAGCAGGAGAATGACCGGGAGATTGGGCAAGAACTATGACAGCAAGTACGACGGAAATAAGCACAAAGTGGAAACTAAGAACGAACATGTGTAAGATTGAGCAGCCTCAGAAAAGGTAAGACTAATCTTAAGGTACTTGATGATAGAATCACAATGATAGACAACTTTCTCAGTCTTCTCTGCTCATCCTTACGCAAAGCACGGCATCTAACTCAAAGTATGTGTATGAAAAACGCAATTAATGTGCTCTACGTACAGTATTGACCAAGTTTATACGATCAATTCATCAATGTAAGCCCCGTGTCGTAAGCGTGAATGTGAGCAAATGAACAGATGACAGCATTTCTCTCACTCCGATCACACTTTACTGCAGCACACATTCCGTATTCAATGAAGTTCAACATCATCATACTGGCTTTTTGTCTAGTGATAACGCTACGAATAGACGTTCAAGCGAGTACTTCACCTGGTCATACGACCGGACACCGTGAAGGGTCTGAACAGCACAACAACCCTGGCAATTCATCTCCAAGAATCAGTCATAGCGCACATTCTCGCGATCCAATCATTTGGCATGACAAACATATCATTCACATGGGAGATACAGGTTATTCAAGCAGTAGCTCAAGTGACAGCTCAAACCACCCACGTCGATCACCAAGAATTCGAGAACAAAACCAGTCACGTTCAAGAACATCATCACAACGTGGTGCTTCAAGCCAATCGCTACGGGCAACATTACCAACGAGAACAAGAGATATCGATGCATCTCCACCGCATACGACAAACTCACAAAGCAATCGGCCACCACTTAGTATAGCTGCAAGAAGAAGTCGACGTATGAGTGCTCATATTTTTCGCGATACAATAGCTTCAGCTGCACAAAATGATGTGAGCAACAACTCGGGTACGTCATACGACCAGACTGCATGGATGATCGAAGCAATGACGTTGAATGAGGAAAGGTCAAGACAACGACGAGACGGGAGTAGAAGCGCTCCTAGTACTCCTAATAGTAATACTTCTTCACAGTCTTATTCTCCTATGGCTATACTTAGAAGGTTGCAGCGGCCTAGAGGACAATGAAAGAAGAAGATTTCGTTCCGTGTTGCATCTGTGCATCATATAATCGACCTGCCTAACTGTACTGCGCTTTTGCCCGTTTCTTGAATTTGATCACAGGAAAAGTATATGCAATCATAATTTGTGTATACACAACTTTTCCATTTCTATGCTTTCATTCTTCCCATATGCCCCGATACGCTGCGCAAACACAGGTTTGCTTTACGAAAGATTGGACTTCCTTTCCCAGGAACCTCAAGGTGCTTTCCCAGTCGAATATGATGAAAGTCATTGTGGCAGCCCTACTTTTATTTGGCAAATTAGGAATCTTAGCAACCAGTCCCACAGGTCACCGCAATATTCACCCATCTAGCCCTGGTCGCAGTGATCGTTCGAGAAGTACATCTCCACAAAGCTTTCATAGTGTTGCTTCATCTTTCAATAGTCCAGAACGCTCAAAAAGTCCAAAAAAACATGAAGAAATCGTTTGGCATGATAAAGCAATCGTTGCAAGACATGATGTGCTTGGTTGGATTGACAAACATGTACTGAATTCTAGGGAAATTGGTCAATCCAGCTCGAGCAGTAGTCAACATCTGGCCACTTTGAGTGCTGGTCATACTTCTCGCTCACCACCAAGTACAACACCTCCAATCTCACCAAGACGAATTGTTCAAAGCCAAGCTTATACGAGCTCACCAAGGAATGGAAGGCCACCCGTGAGAGAAAGGGAGAGGCACTCATTCACGCAGTCTACAAGCCCAAACCGACCGAGACAAAGAGAAACAGGAAATACTACGTCAAGTACATCACGCGTCGTCTCTTCTGTTCCACGACATCTTCGATACCGACCTCGTCTAGAAAGAGACTTTCACGAAAACGATGGGTATGATCTGCGACATACGAGCCGTGAAGCTGTTGAGTATGACAGCAGAAGTCAATTTCATGGAATGTTCCTCCATGAACACAGAATGCGTGATCCACATCAATCAATGTTTGTTGGTAGTCATGAATATGACAACCGACTTGATCCAAATACTCCGCCTTTTGGCGAAAATGAAACGAATAGAAGACAAACAACTTCCCTTTCGCCCTCAAGCAGTCGTACTTCCCCTTCCACCAGATTAGCTGGCAGAAATAGGAGATACTAGCGACTTATCGTTATGATACCTTTCTCATAGCATTGTGTAAATAGAGATTCTTGTATTAGAGTCATGAAATTGTGTTTTGAACACCTTCTGATCTGCCATAGCCATACGCAAACCTGAGATCTGCGTTGTCTGAGCCCCGAATGAAGTTTCCTGAATGACAGAGTGTTGAGCCTAATTGGATTATTGTATTGCTTTTCTTTACGTTTATCAACCATCACAATTATTCGAGATTGATCCGTGATAAAACACTATGAAGGCTCTCAGTCTGATCATGATTGTCTATGCGTATCAAATGTTGATACACTTGGTTACATGTACTGATGCACCATCACAGCATGATAAACATGTGATCAAAGAAGAGCCACACTCCCCTGCGACATCAAGACAATCTTCTCCTCGTCGTGTTTGGGAGGACAAACACGTCATTGCTGAGCATGTTTCGGCTCCGATCTCCTCCAGCCAAACTCAAAGGAGCCCTTCAAGCAGTCCAACGAGGGTCGCATCCGTACACTCTCATGGAACACAACATCAAGCAGGCCAGAATATTCAACAGAGTGCAATTATTCAAACAGCTCATGGTGCATCTAATGTACAAGTATCACAAACAGAACCACAATTAACACCTTCTTCTCCTCAGACTTCTCACGGTTCACCTGTTCATCAAGATATTCGTCAACGTTTACGTTCTTCAAGACGTCCAAGATCTCCTCAAGATAATGATGCAAGTCGTATTGATAGAGAAGTTGAAACAAGCCAAAAAACTCGTCATAAAAGAGCACATCGTAGACGCTTATTCTAGTCACACTGTATTGTTATGCTTCATTGTTGATTAAGCAATTGAATATAGTACAATCATAAACAATACATAGCATTGCACTGCTACTTCTTTCACCCCTTAGAGCACAGCTTTGCGTACGCATACATGCACCGCAATTGTCTATTTACGCACCGTGAAAACTTAATGTACAGCATTTGTTGGAAGTCTTGACGAATGCTAATACGGGTGGAAAGGTATAAAAGGTGCAAATCGATTACTGACAAGTCATTCACAATCACTCATAATAAGCGCTGGCGCAAATTTTAATCGTCCTAAATCCATCTTCTGGAATCAAAATGAAGTCCTTCATTATTGCAATAAAGATAGTCATTGCTTTGACCATCCTTGTCAGTGTAGCGAACGCATCTGAAAAGGAAACAAGTCAGGGTACAAACAAGAAACAAGTTCAGGAAGAACCAAAAAAGAAGCCAGATCAATCTACAGGGCACGGAAAAGCTGAAAGCTCTGGTAGCGCTCAAGGTACACACTCTTCTAGTCATCCAACCTACGTGAACACCTTTGGAGAGACCAAACCCAATCACAGAGAAGCGGCATTACAGCTCACTCGTAAACGGTTTGGCAGTCGCTGAACTACGAACGATCAACGAGCTAAGGTGAAGCATACAATCCTGCTAGGACTAGATTTGTGTTTAAGACTTCGATTGCTGTCTTTCCACATCTTCGGTCTCTTCCAACATTCTTCCTATCTCTCAATGAACATGTGTCTACCTTGCTCAGTCTCTTCTCTATGAACATGCATTGTTATGCATGGTACCGCTCTCCTCTCACCAACACATTCGCATTTGTATTCTTTACTGTCCGAATCAATTCAACCTCCTCCCACTCAAATATTCGTGCTCACAATCCCTGCACACACAATGTTTCTCTGCTTCCCACTACCTTAGTCCTCATTCTAACAAAACTATTCGAGAAGCTTGAAATGATAGCCATTTTGTGATGGGCTCGTGAGCCGCCTATAAGTGCAAATGATGAGCCGCTGTGAACAGCTCTTAAATACATGTGTTGATGATGATGTGTATACGTGAGACGCTTGAAAAGTCGAAAGGTGGTCGAATGTGTTTCGCAGTCCAATCGAGATTTCGGTACGCTGATGTGATGTGTCGAAAAGATGGCGAGGTGACAGGAAGAACCGATTAGGCTTCTTCAGCACGGACACGAGCGTTGGCATTGGTGACCTTAACTCCCAAAACCTTTGCCTTTTCCAAGATTTCAATGCGCTTCTTGCTGCTAACGTTGTGTGCAATTTCGGCAGCGTAAGAGGCGTTGTGCATCAACAAAAGTTCGACATCCTTAACGTTGGAAACGACCAAACGTCTGTATCCGTTGGGCATCAAGTGACGTGTCTTCTTGTTTGATCCGTAACCAATCTTTGGGCAAGCTGGACGTCCCTTGAAACGACGACGGATGGCACTGTCAATACCCTTGGGCTTGCGCCATGAGGGGTCAACTCTCTTGAATCCATCGCTTTGGAAGCGAGCGAACTTCTTTGTCCTCTTTTTGATGATTGGGATCTTTGCGGCGGCCATCTTGACTGAAGATGTGTGAAAGGGGGCAAATAAAGTGTTAGCTGCTTGTACAATGATTTCATGCTTCTAGATTCCGTAATCGAGCCAGAGTGTTGTATCATTCCGATGAGCTGAGAAGTGTCCTACCATGCAATCATTCACCACCCATTCCCATCCCTGTGTCATCCTTTTTCCATCCTTCCCTTTCTCAGCTCACACAAGAGCATTCTTCGCTCGTCTTTCCGTTTGTTGAATTTGTCGGAATGGCGAAGTCATAATCCATACACTCTAGGCTGATGTCGAAACCGTATATCTCTTTGCCATGTACTGATACTTACCGAAATTTGACCTGTTGTCGAGGATGGGTAAAGGAAAGAAGATTTGATGGTATTGGATTAGCAATTTGTCTGTAAGTCTGCCTTGCCTGCGTAAATTCGCACTTTGGCTTTAGACAAGGCCATTGCAGCACCTTCACTGCAACTTTCTCTCTAAGCGTGCCGCTGTGTACTGTAGCGCTGCGCTGCGCTTGATAATTGAGAAACTCTCTGGGCAAACAGGCCTACAACACTTACTACTACACAGCAGATCGGCCGAGAGCCGCAGCTCGTGACCTGATTGTCCACTGTCTATCAGTGCCCTAAATCATACGCGTATATTGCTGATACGGGCGTACGCTTCTATCAAGCACGGGTTTCTGCCGCAAGTCCAATAAGCGGTCAAGTTTGCTATGCGTACAGTGCTACAATTCACAGAAGTGCTTACCAGGCGTACGTGAGTGAGTATTCTAGTTTGAATTCTAGAAATGACTTCCTGCGCGCAATTACACCTTTACATCTTCTCTTCGTCCATACCAACAAAACGGCATCAAGGTAAGTGATCGAAACATGGCATATGGACGATTGATTGAAGATTGGACGACACAGAGATAGTCAGCGATGCTTTATTGGGGAGGCGGTGATAGAAAGTGGTGGAAGAGGGGAGGAGAGTAATCGAAGATGAATTAAGCCCTTGCTGTCTTTGGCTTGTACCGACGTCCGACAAATCAAGACTGTTCGACAATACAATCGCTTTATTTGACACAGTCGTCCACCTTCAATCCGCCCGTTCTTCATTCCAATCGAACATCAGACTTACCCTTAGTTTACATTTCTTACATTTACAGATGAGTCTCCAAACAAGCAAGCCGTACCTCGTGGATGGCAAGGGCCACTTGATGGGTCGCTTGGCCTCCATTGTCGCCAAGGAAATCCTTAACGGACAAAACGTTACCGTTGTCAGATGTGAATTGATCAACATCTCCGGTAACACTTTCCGTAACAAGATCAAATTCCACGACTTCATGCACAAACGCCATTTGGTTAACCCCAAGAAGAGCGGTCCATTCCACCACCGTGCACCTTCCCGCATCTTTGCCCGTGCCGTTCGCGGTATGGTTCCTCACAAGACTGCCCGTGGAGCTGCAGCAATGAACCGTCTCAAGGTTTACGAAGGTATGCCACCACCATTTGACCGCCAAAAGAAGTTCGTCGTTCCCCAAGCGTTGCGTGTTCTACGATTGAAGCCAGGACGTAAGTTCGCTACATTGAAGGCAATCTCTGCCGATGCAGGATGGAAATACGAAGCTGTTGTCGATAAATTGGAAGAGAAGCGTAAGGTTAAGGCTGCTGCATACCAAGAACGCAGAACTGCTGCTCACAAGAAGCGTGCTGCTGCCATCACTGCTGGTGGATCTGGTTTGGCAGAGATCAACTCCAAGTTGACTCCTTATGGTCTTTAAATTGGAATAAAGTTGATTTGAAGGGTCATTACAATTTGACTTTAAGCGACTTTAATTTCGTCTCTCCTCCATGCATTACCATCATTTCATGATCTGTCACATTTATAGCCTCGCACGCACACATTATTCGAAGAGAAGCTTCAAACATTGAACGCTTGCCTTCATCTGTACACTGGTGTAATTATCTTTATACACCTCAAAATACAACATTGTTACGCAAAACATACATGTTTGATCACCACCAGATAAGGAAATGAGGATAGCCAAGCTTCCGAGAGACTGGAATAATCTGGTTTGGCACGTGAATGAAGTACGCTGATGTAAGCAGATGAATGCCGAATTTGACGCGTTTAATGCAATCGCGCAAAAAAGGCGTTAAAAAGTGTTGTTCACAAAAAAGACTGCCTAATGAAGCATATCACTTTTTAATATAGAACTCCAACATGCATGACAAAGTGTTGGAAGTGATGATGGACTAACAAGTCTGTTTGACAAACTAGGCAAGTCATTCATTCAGTCTAATGCATGCTCAATGGAAGTCTACTAGTCACACTTGCTCCACTCCAATAATGTTCAAATTTGATCGGGCAGCTTTTGGAGGACGCTATGCAAAAGAGAAAGATTATAAGCTTGAAAAGGGAAAGTTTAGAATTATTGAATGGCGAAGAGGTAGACTCACCTTGTTTCTATCCACCATCATTTATCGGTGTCTCTTTTTTTCTCCGACCCTTTCTCTCCTTTATTCCGCTTCTTATTGCTTCACCCAACCTGCTCTCTTTCGACAATTTGACGCCAGTCGTCATTAGGGTTTGAAACCTCAACGTCGAAAAGATATTTATATGCTTCAGTTGCTACGCATAAAAGGTTGATAAAGAAGCATACTTTGCCTCTGGAAGGCATTTATTCTCACTATTGATTGGTACTACTTACATTCTTTTAATCTTCTTTAAAGATTTTTATTTACCCCTTCTCATTATCAGATTCAGTCCAATTTATACATATACACAAAATGGCCACATCCGCTTACGATTTTGAACAGGATGCCTTTGGAATCGCACTTTCATCTCCTGGTTTATGCTCGCCTGGCTTGATGGGCGATCAAGGTTGGTCCCCTTGTTCTTCAACACACTCATTTTGCGACAATATGTATGCAGAGGAACAAACTGAAACACAGCGAAAACCATGCTCAAAGTCCACTACAAAAGAATCACGTCGTCATACTTGGGCATGGCCAATGCCACCCGTTCGCATTCCAGTCACACGACCTCTATCGTTCGGTAACAAATCCCGTGCATCTTCCATCTCTTCGCCGAGACTAGCAATGGATCGTGATGGAAGCAGTACCGGAAGTGTGAGCGGAAAGAGTGAATCAAGTGCGGTAACCATTCCTGATGGAGTCTCTTTGCCATTCTCACTAAGCCCAAGACGTGCAATGACCGATCGGTTCAATCAACAAAAGAGACACGTTTCTGCACCAGGACCAACAATGTTCCTAGATTCAATCTTTGATCAAGATGGTGATGTTGTGGAAATTATTGATGATCGTATGTTTGACGAATCTCTTCCACTTATGCCCACCGATTTGGCACGTAGACCAAGCGGCTGGGACGATGAAGAGAAAGTCAAGATGGATCGTTTACATGCAAGCTTTTCACTTTTGGGTGTCGAAAGTGGTCCTCGGGCTGGACATTACTCGTCTTCATCATCTGCAAATAGCACACCCACTACTGTCTCCAACAATTCTCCTCGTGAAGTGGAAGACGGTCATTCTCCTACAGCGGGTCTTTGTTTGTTGCATATGGCACTCTCACCTGAACATAGGGCCCCAACACTGGCAGAGCAAATGGCTTTCGCAAGCGGTTTAGGTAACTTGTGTTCATGGGCATCCCCAATGAAGCAAACATATGCATCTTCTGATGATTATCTTCGCGTTCTTCAACGTCAACAAGAGAACTTCTTTTCATCGCCAGAATCCGATCATTTGTTTGCTGATGAAGACAACGTACCTGTTTCGGATCAAGAGGACCGTAGACAAGCTTCCCGACACATTCGACAACAAGTTGCAGCTTCTGCAGCCCTTTCGCGAAGCATGGACTCATATCGTCAACCATTCGAGTATGAAGTGTCTCCTCGTAGCGATAACGCAGAGAGCTTCACAGAGGAAGAAGACTACAGCTCTGAAAGTCCAGAAGAAACAGAGAGAAGAGAAAGGTTCATGAGATCAACGGCTAGTTCAGGACAAAGCATCGGCTTACACTCTGCAATCTCAGCAAGCAGTAGTCCAATCTTGCATGGTGCACTTTCTGCCACAACATTTGACAGTGTTACTGTTGCATCTTCAACCGTAGCTTCTTCTTCAACTGGCTCGCAAGGATCAGACGTTGCTTCTCCATCCACTTGCCCTTCTTCATTATCAGAAGGCATGTCACTAACGCCAACAATGGTGAAAAGTACAGGTTACGTCAACAATTTGTCTCCCGTATTGGCTGATGAATTTGCCTATCTGGCCCAAAATGATGCTTTCTTGGCTTCAGCGATGCCGGAAGGATATTCGATCATGCATCCACCCGCAAAGTCCCATTGGCCTGATGCAAACGGATTCAATGGAAACACTTTAAGCCCTTGCTTGACCACGCCAGAGCTGGGAATGACAGACATCCCTTCCCCTATGGCGCTTGTGCCTTCGCCTTGCATGGATTTGAACAGTGTGGAACCAATGTCTGTTGACAATATCGATGATTCCCGAGATGAAACATTTAGATTGCCAATGCCCACTTCTCAATCAACTACATCCATTTTGGAAAGACCACGTCCAATCCCAAGCAGTTCTTCAAGTTCCTTCTTTGCACAATGTGATGTAGTACATCAACGAATCATGACATCACGTATGAAACGTGCAAGTATTGTTTCGCAAAAAGCATCGATCGAACTTGCTTCAGACGATTTTGATAAGCAAGCCGAAGAAGATGTGGATGATACGATGGCTGAGGTGTCTTTTGATGCTGGTCGACCTTCTATTCCAACTCGAAAGGCCAGTTTGGAAATGGACGCCTTTTTATCGGCAAACAAGATGGGTCCTAGCATATCTTTCAAAGATGAACCTCATCCACGTAACCTCGTTCAAAACTTTGTTGCCAAGAACGGACATCCAGGAATGAGAACAAGCATGTCAACCGGTTCTTTAGGTCCAAGAGCACTTTCGCAAGTTCGTGAAGCATGCAGATTAAAGGCGAAGTATTTACGAAACGGTCAATGGGTCACAGAAAGTGCACCACCCGTTCCAAGAGTGCCAAAAGATCTGCAAGCCGCCAGACCTGATCTGAGAAAAACTTCTTCTGAACCCATTAAATCCGTTTCACAGAACGTTTTGCCTGTCATGCCAAAGGCTGAAATGACACCCAAACCGGTAAAATCGATGAACGGATCGCCGATTAAACAGATGAGCAAATCTTCTTCTACAAATAATGTTGAACAAATTCGAATGCCAACTTTATTCGTAGCAAGAACGCCAAGTCAACGTAAACGTGGTCAAACGGGTATTCCGGCTACAGAACCTAATAATCTTGCAATGGCAAAATTAGGTTTTAAAGTTGATACACCAACACGTTTTTCAACCGTTCGTGCTCTTTCCGGTCAACAATTTGACAACAATTCACGCAGCAGACAAAAAAGTTGTTCTAGTATGATGGACGTTTCTACTGATTCTTTAGAACCTTATTTAGCAATGCAACATGAACATTGCGCAGGAAGTGCAAATTCATCAACAACTTCTTTGATCGATCATGATTTGCAAGTTGCTGCAGAATTACAAAATAGCGTTCAAGGTGGAATGCCAAAAGGATTTATCCTCGTTGTTGAAGAGAAGCAAACCTTTGTTTCGAATTTGCTTGTCGCTTGAGCTTGTAGAAGGCATCACATTGTTCTGTCATTACATGTATACCTAAATTTGACCGACCTCATAATGAATCTTTATTCCCTTCAAACCCGAATTTATAGATGACCGTGAAAATTTGATAGAATGAGAATATTGCCAGTTCATATACTCATCCCAGAATCTCATGAGACGACGAGAACGAATCTATCATTCGGTAAGTATACCGTCTCATCCACTAACTCACAACACACCCAAAAGATTGTGAGATCGTATGAAATTTGTGCGATGGCTAAATCTACATGGAAATGCATATCTCACCACCACAACTCATTGGGCCGTCAAAAGAGACTTCTAAGGTTAAAATAAAAGGAACTTGGAAAAATTTTTGTGATCAAAATCGGGAAACATATGAACATATTAATTTCGCACAATTGCAAAAAAAGAAAGAGTTGATTACGTTGTGTGATTTTTGGTCTTTTCTCGTCATTCAGTCGGGCTTGAACGAGAAAGCTGTTTAACCGCTACCTCCCTTGTAAACCTTACCGAACATCAATTCTTGCAATTTGTCGTAACCGGACAACACACCGGCACCGGCAATACCACGCAAGATGTTGGCACCTGCACCCTTGAAGAGGGACTTGACACCTTCCTTGGCGATGATGGCTTGACCAGCGTGCATCATGTTGCGGTAGTGAGGACCAGTACCACCAGATGTCATCATCATACGACGACGGATAGTGTCCAAAGGATAAGAAGCCAAACCGGAACCAGTTGTAACAGCCCAACCCAACAAGAAGGAGGCCAAGAAGTTTCCTTCGAGAGCACCAGTGAGCAAGACGGGCTTGAGGGAATCGTACATTCCGAAGTAAAGACCACGGTAGACAACGATACCAACAACGGATGGAACGAAACCACGGTACAAACCGGCAATACCATCAGTAGCAAGAGTCTTTCTGTAAACATCAACCAAACCATTGAATTGACGTTCACCTGCTCCCTTGGCAGCAGATTTGGCGTCGTTAGCCAAACGGGTACGGGCGTAATCCAAAGAGTAAACGAACAATAGAGAGGTTGCACCAGCAGCACCACCGGAAGCCAAGTTAGCACCCAATTGTTTGATGTATGGGTCAGACTTGGGGACCTTGAACAAAGACTTGAAGAAATCCTTGAAAGCAAAGTTCAAAGCTTGGGTGGGGAAGTAACGGATAACGTTTGCGGTGTTACCACGCCACAGGGAAACCAAACCTTCTTGTTGGTAGGTACGTGCGAAACAGTCACCGATACCCTTGTATGGAGAAGCCAAACGACCTTGTTTGATCATTTCATCTTGGTTTTGGATCAAAAGCTTAACACGTTCGATGGGGGCAGCAGCAGTTTTTGAGACAGCGGCGGAAATACCACCCATCAAGAAATCACCGGCGAAACCGGAGAGGTTCTTGGTTCCATGCTTAGAAGGGTCTGCACCCGCACCGCCTGAACCAGCCGACTAGATTGTTGGAAGAGAGAGAGAGAGGCATATAGTCAGGATCGAGTTGGGCTAAATGTGGGTAATTGTGAAGCAATCATGGGAAAGTTGGAGAAAGTGCGGAGAAGATATAGATATCGAGCAGATGAAGTCTATTCTTAGCCAGAGAGTAGAATGTAATAGACATCTCTGACCGGTGCACTTGCCCAACCACTTCTGCAAACTTCTGCCAACGATTTAAACTGGATCGAAAGATACTCACCATTTTTTATACGGAATTCGATCTAAGGAAAATCGAGAGGTAAAGGTGAATTATATGTAGTACAAGGGAACGTCAAAAAGATGCTAAAGGAGTAGCAAATTAAGACGAGTAAAAATCCCAGGGAAATGAGTGGTGATGATGAAGGGAAAGAGAAAAGCAACACAATGTGAGGCTTGTGATTGATATACGCTTTTCCCTTCCCCTTCCTCCCAAGCGAAGAAACGAGAAAAAAAAATCACAGCGTGCGCCTTTCTCTCTACACAATGTGCGCACGCAACTTCTAACAAAAAAGAAAAGAATTGGGCGCAGGCGCTGCCTAATAAAATCAATTTGGGCAAATCATCTGCTTAAAATTCTAGATCGACTTCTTTTTATTTTGGTTTCTTCCAAGATAACTGCGCGCATACAAAAAATTGCAATACCTAGGCCAGGCAAAAGTTTCATCATCGGCCTACTACGGGAGCCATTCGGCGTGTAATAAAATTCAGGCTGGAGATGCGCCGGTGGTATAAGAAAGCGGAGCAACGCTAAAGTGCAGCAGGGCAAACTGTGTTGTTGTGCTGGCGTTTGCATGTGATTGGGGAAATTCGATATTGCATTATTTGTGATATACCACTAACCGGTAACTGCCGTTCTTCTTTGTTGGTTACACATTTGCTTCTTCCACCACAACTTTGGAATTTTATGGCTGGGCTTCAATTGATAGGAACACATCAGCCTCTTTTGATGAGTAGTGCACTTCAATCGGGGTAAGTAACACACCCCTCCAAAGGCGTGAAGTTTTTATTCCCGATTTTGCGTAATGATCATTCGGCTAAATGTATGCAGGGCGTATGTTTTAACATTTTCCGACTTATTCCATTAGAAAGGAAATTCTACTCCGATAACGGAATAAGAGAAGAAGCCAAGTTTGTATTATACACACGTGAGATCCTATGAATAACACTTCCTGGTCATTAGCTTATGATTATGTCATCTCCGGTCGCAGCGCGTGAGCAAGGCCATTCTTTTCCGCAAATGTGCTTACGCTTTGACTTACAAATGGATCGGCCAAGCTGCTGCATAGGCCTATACTTTTTTTTCTCTTGTCCGGGTTCTTCTTAAAAAAAGTAAGTATTTAAACGAGAAAAAGGTGACAGATATTGTGCCAAGGTGAATTTTGATCAATCAATGCATTCATTTGCTTCTTTAGTCATTTGTAATGGGATCCACCTTCCGCTCACTTTTCCTAATCAATTTCTAAAAGTTGCTTGTCATCATCAAAGCATAAAGTAAAAAGTGGAAACAAGAGGATTTGACTTGATTCCTCTTCTCCACTCATAGCTTTCTGTCAAGTTTAGCATCATGTCAGACGCTATTCCACAACAAGATGCAACAAAGGAAGTCAAAGAAGCTGGCATTTCAAGTGAAGTAGATGTTTTGGCTACTCAAAATGGTACAGAAGAGGAGGTAGCTGCTATCGATCCTGATTTGCAACCATTTGAATTATCTTTGCATCTTCCAGCTCGTCCATTGTTACCAGCGAATAGTGTCAGCGCTGGATTACCCGAAACACCAAACCCGCTCAAAGTAGCCGTCACTCCACAAGAGTCTTTAAACGAGCTCAGGATAACGATTACCGACAGTCCGGAAGGTTATTGGCTTGGTGCATTCTGCTTCCGTCGTCCTGCTTCATCAAGTGGTAAAGCAAAGGTAAACGGATCAGCTTCTTCTTCTCAAAATGCTTTATTGGGTGAACGTGTGGACGAATGGACAGAATTGAAGGAAATCTTCAAAGATGTTCCTGTGGACAAACGAGAATTGTACGTTGCCCATGTTGCATACAACGAAGCTGAATCCCGTGCTCATGTTCAACGGCTCCGCGAATTGCTTTCGGGTGGACAAGCCGATCCTTCCTCAATCGGTATCGATGGCGGTTTCAGTGTGCAAGATGCAGTGAAAAACGAAGAACTATGGTTCAGTGAACAAAAGGCATCGGAAGGTGTATCAAACAAGAATGCAAGCTCAACGAAGAAAGGAGGAAAAAATCAAAAACAATCTTCCGAGCAAGAACAAGAACAAAAGAAGGAACTCTTCGAAGATTTTACATCATGGAAAAGTGAAGATATCACCCAATTGATCCCCAAACAAGCTCGTGCCGAACGCATCTTCCCTCAATGTCTCCGTAATCTCAGCATCGCTTCTTGGTCTCCGCCACCCCATCAGCTTCGTATGCAAGGTCACCACTTCTATTTGCACATCATCACGCTCGAAGGCGAAAATTTGTTCATCACTGCATGCAGCCAAGGTTTCTACGTCAATCGATCAACTGTGCATAGATTCGAGCCTCAAGCTAGATCAGCGCCAAATGGAGAAGCCTATGCCTCTTCATCGCTGTTTGACGTCTTGTGTGCTGCCTCACCTTTGTTCTTGGCAAACTTTGCTAAGCTATTCCAAGATCCAATCTCTCAACGTGATTACTTTGCCGTCGTTCCAATTAGCAACTGCATTCAAGCTCATCCTTGGCTTGCACGTCAATTGCAACACTCTGTTGACCCTCTTCGCGTTCAAAGTGCATACTTGCTTACAGGTGCCACTTCTGCTGATACGCTAGATGGAACGAGAGATTGGAACGATGAAATTCAATCAACGAGAGAATTGCCAAGATCTTCATTGCAAGAACGATTGATGCGCGATCGTGTTTTGAATCGTGTTTATGCCGAATTCACTTTGGCCGCCGTTCGTGCTGTACCTCGTGTTGCTGCTGGAGAAGTTCAAGCAATGAACCCGATGGACAAGAGTGATGCACAAATGTTTATCGTTAACAATCTTTTCATCAGTAAAGGTGTTGATGGTGTAGATTTGTATCCTCACATGGGCGCCGACGAAGCTGCACATGTTGCCGTGAGCAAAGACGTTCAAGGTATCAGATGTTTGAACAATTTGGACGTCGAAGGTGTTTGTTTGCTAGGCACAGTGATTATCGATTGGATGGGTGAAAGATGGGTTGCACAAAGTGTTGTTCCTGGTCTATTTAGACGAAGAGATGATGAAGTGGATGAAGAAGGCAATCCTGTAGCAGTTGCAGAGGATAGCAAGGAAGATACACAAGTTGTCTACGGTGGTGTGGAGGGACCTGAAGTGATTAAGGATGACGCTTCATTCCATGCTCTCTTTGGCAAGGTTGCCAAGTCACTTCATTTGGCACAACATGAAGTTGCCGATGCTGAAAAGAAGGACCACAACCTTTGGTTGAGCGTTGATTCCAAGGGTCTTCGTGGCGCTGATGGTCGCAAATACGCTTTGGATTTGGCACGTTTGAATCCTGTAGATATCACTTGGCTAGAAGATGATATGAAAGGCAAGATCATCTCAGGACAAGATGGCCCTGAAGTGGACGCTGGTGAGAAGGATGTATACCCTCATCGTATGACACTCTTGCGTCAAGAACTACTGGAAATTTACTGGGACCACGAACTGCGCAATTGGGCACAAGCAGAACTTGCTGCAAAAGCCAAGGATGGAGAAAAAGAGGGCGATGAAGCCGAGAAGCCTGAAGACAAGGAGCCCGAGCGTTTGGATGCTAGCCAATTTAAGCTTGCATTCAATCCTGATGCATTTGTCGAATTCAAGCCTGCTGAGGCTGATGCTGAAAAGCAAATCGAAGCCAGACCGTCTGTGCTCGTCAATGATGAACAAGATCCCACCGTGGCAGCCGTTCGTAATGCAAGCAAGTTCTTGCGTGAACGTGCTCTACCGAGATTGGTCACAGATGTTGCAATCGGTACCCACACTACCCAAGACGGTCGTTCGCTCACACGTCAAATGCATGCTCGCGGTATCAATATTCGTTATCTCGGTCATTTGGCTCATTTGACAATGCCATCTCAAAGACATCGTCTAAACAAAGAATTATTGGATCGTGCAGGTCCTGGCGTTGAAGGATTCTTGCTACCGTTCCGTCGAGTGGCTATTCAAGAAATGGTTGTCCGAGCTGCAAAACGTATTTTACGCAGTTTGTTGCGCAAGTCCGAACAAAGTTCTTCGGGCAATGTGATTTCACATTTCTTGAACTGCTTGATTGGAGATCGTGTGCAATCTTCTCCTGCACCGGAGTATACACCTTCTCCATTTGCTGGACAGGATGAATTGGTGCCCGAATGGACACTTTTGACTCCTGCTTCCTTGCAAGAATCGATTCAACATGAAGTCCGCCTTCGATTCCGTTTCGATTTGCCAAATGAGTACTTTACACAAGAAATTCAACGCTCACAAGTTTTGCGTGAAATCTGTTTGAGATGCGGTATTCAATTGAAGCTACGACAATACACTTTGGAGCCCATGGCTAACAATGCTATCGAGGCTAATGGACACACTTCTGCCGGTGAAGAATCGCCTGCTGAATCACAGCCTGCACAAACAAAATCATCTGCAGGTGGAAAGAAAAAGAAGCAAAAGTCTGTCGAGAAGGATGCAAAGGCAAACAATCAAATCACATCATTCAATCCTGAAGATGTTCTGAACCTTGTGCCAATCTTGAAGGAGTCAACGCCGCGTAGCTCTTTAGCCGATGAGGCTTTCGAGGCAGGTCGTGTTTCCATCAGTCGTGGAGATCGTCCTTTGGGTCTCGATTTGATGACAGAAGGTGTTTCATTCCACGAACAGATTTATGGTTTGGTGCATCCAGAGACTGGAAGATGTTATAGCACATTTGCAACCGTTTTGCATCATTATGCTACCGTCTTGGCAGTTGAACAAGCTGAAAAACAACGTGAGGCAGAAGAAGGTGTCGAAGTACCACCATCGGAACTTAGCGAACAACTTTCAGTGGCCAATGCTTTACGCTATCAAAGACAAGCTGTCACCGTTAGCGAACGAACGTTGGGCTTGGATCATGCTGAAACGATTGCTCAATATGTCAATTTGGCAGTATTGGAGCGATTAGAAGGAAATGTTGAGGCATCTTTACGTTGCCAACAAAGATTACTGCAATTGCTAGAGATCGTACATGGCAATGATCATGCAGAAGTGATCAATGCTTTGAACAATGTTGCATTAACATTGCAAAATGCAAGAATGTTTGAAAAGAGTTTGACCGTTTATCAAGCAAGTTATGATATGGCCGTTCGAATGTATGGAAAGGACAGTATCAATACCGCTTGTTTGGCGCATGAGCTAAGTCAAGCATACACTTTGGTGACCGATTTGAAGAAAGCAATCGAGATTGAAAAGGAAGCCAACAAGATCTTTGAACAAAGATTAGGTAAAGAAGACAATATGACGAAAGAAAGTACCACTTTGCTCAACAATCTTGCAGCAAGTGCAGTACGAATGGCCAAGATGGACGCTCGTCAAAAGGAGATGACCCGGTTGGGATTGACAAATCAAGGCAATCGCATTCAAAGTGCTGCTCGTCAATTGGGTACCACAAGTGCTGCTAACGGTATTCCATCGGCTAATGCGACATCATCCAAAATTGAAGCAACATCTTCATCACGAAAAGCTTTACCTGATCTTTCCAATAAAAGTTTAGATGATTTAGTCAAATTCATTCAAGGTCCTTCTCCTGGAAGTAGCGGTGGATCTGGAAATAATTCTTCCTCTGGAAACAAAAAGAATAAAAATGGAATGAAGAAATTGGGTCGCAAGTGAGAATGTTCCCACACAAACAACACATACAATTGTCTTTTTATCTGCATTTTGAATTGAACCATACAACTTATTATTATTATCACCGCTCTATCATTTGCCTGGTATTTCTACACTTTCAAAAAAATAATTAATTTTGTACGAACATAAAAACAAATGACAGTGTGATGTGTGTGACCTTTGAATGCTTGATCTTTGATAAGATGTCGATGCAAAAAAAAAGGAAGCAAAAAAGTATAGAACTGCAGCACCCAGGATTCCCGCGTGGTCCCCCACCGCAGTACTGACTAGGCGATACCGTGCTTGACTTCGCAGATCGGACGGGATGCGGTACTTTCACGGTTCTATGGCCGCAGATATCAAACTCCAGCTATGGTAGAAATATGTACGCGTTCGTATTTTATAAGCGCAGACCACATTTAGCGTAAATTCATTAAGGAATCGTAAGGCTAAAGCTTTTTATGCATAGGGCAGTGCTAATTACGCTCCACAAATTAACAGAAATAACAAAAGTGTTTATTGCATTCATCATCTCTTCAGCCAAGCCACGGAATACAATCATCGCCTTGACGGAGACATTGCATCGCTTTCTGGGGCTGAATATATCAACTTTGTGGAAATAAAAAGAGCAGAGAAAGAAAAGGAAATGACTTCTCTCTCAACTTCATCCTCCTCTGAAAGGTGATAGAGTCCTTCGTTTGGCAATGTCCGGCTCATCCATTCGATCATGGCGTAATCGCCTGAGTACTGCCATCTTTGGAATACATGCTGATTCTTCAGAAGATCTTACTCAAGTACAAGATGATAGTCATGCATGCGAAGGCTCGACTACCTCTGAACAAAAGTTAGAGCAAGATCCCTCACAACCTATTTCCATTGTAGATCCTAATTCAGAGACACAAGCAAAGCAGGATGCAACTGTAGCATCTCCTCTTCTTTCGGGATCTGCTTCATCTGCCGTCCCATCTTCACCCTCGACCAAAAAGAAGAGCCTTCAAGCGATGTTGAGCTCTTCAGTAGAGGATTCAGCAAAGATTGGACCAGTGGACAAGATGCCTCAACATGTCGCCAAAGACCGCATCACAGTGCAACCAACTGTCCATCGCAAAAGCATAAGCAATGAAGATCGTACAAATCTTGACAATCGGACAGCACTGCCACAAACGAATCGAGGTAAAGGTGACATCGCCTCTTCCCTTAGCACATCGCTTTCTCAAGGCGTCAAGAATCTCTCAGAACGATATACCCATAGCAGAGAAGCCAGTGAGAATTTCAAGTCGATGCGTGAGCGAAGCACAGATGGCGGCTCTTCTTCGCCGACATTGGGAAAAGATCTTGCGTTGGGGCTGCAAACATCTCGTCGCTCCTCCGAATCTTCACGTCGTCCTGATGCACCCAGCCACCATCGTAAAACATCATCTGCCTCCATTTCAAAAGCATCCATCTGTAGTGACGCACCGCAAGCCAGCTCTGATACCAGCGTAGACGAGCGCTCTGAGGCTGTCACGATACCCGAACAATTACAAAAAGGCGAGGTGATGCTTAAGGTGACGTCGAGAAAAGTCATGCAACGTGTTGTACGCATTGATGCAGACGCTGGACAAATTTTGTGGGACAGCAAAAAGAATAATCGTGTCAACCTGGAATCCATCAGAGAGGTACGATCAGGTTCAGCTGCCCGATCGTATCGTACATCACTTTCAATTGCAGCAGCTCATGAACAACATTGGATTTCCATCATATATCAGGCAAATAGCATTTACAAAGCTTTGCATCTTATTGCGCTATCTGATGCATCCCTTGATCGTTGGTATACAACATTACAAGCCGTACAGAATGAAAGAAAGCTCTTGGCATCCTGCGTCGATATGTCTGAAAGACGTCAAAGTATATGGCTGCGACAACAGTTCAAGGGTGCTGATACGAGTAAAGATGCACGGTTGGACTTTGGCGAGACTGTAAGGCTGTGTAGACGATTGGGCATCATGAGCAATAGAGAGGATTTGAGAAAACGGTTCGACGAGGCGGACAAGGAGGGGCTAGGATATCTAGACTTTGCCAAATTTCAGCATTTCGTTGCTTTTCTTAAACGAAGAGTTGAAGTAGAGGAGATCTTTAATCGTCTAGCCGATACAAGTTTTAGCAAGGCAGCCATTCCTTCTAGTCCAGAGACTGGCAAGACATTCAATCAAGCTCAACAGGTAGACGCCATCGATGGGTCTCCAGTAGTGGTCAAGGTCATTAGTCAAACAGCTTTCTTTGCCTTTCTCAGGAATGAGCAAGGCCATTTGGGAATCAACTCTCAAGCCATGGTTGATACGTATCGCCGTTTCCGCACGACTGTGAGCTCTACTGAAGAGGGTATCTCGTATGACGGATTCCTAGCCTTCTTGATGTCGAGTGACAATTCAATTTTATCAGATCAATCATCATTGGCAAACAACAGAGCAAAAGATGCGGGACCTTCCTCTGATGAAGATCCAGCCAATGCAAGTCGCGCTCATGCAGAAACGGCTGAAGCTCTGATTGCTATCAGTGGACAAGTAAGTGTTACGCAAGATATGAATAGACCTTTACCGGAATATTACATCAGCTCAAGTCATAATACCTATTTGGTTAAAGGTCAATTGACTGGTGAAAGCACTGCGGAAGGATATATCCGAGCTTTGATGCAAGGAGCAAGATCGGTAGAACTTGATTGTTGGGATGGTCCAGGAAATGAACCTGTAGTGACCCACGGTCATACGCTGACAAGCAAGGTGCCTTTGAGAGATGTGATCCAGGCAATCGGCAAGTATGCATTCGTTGCTTCGCCATATCCGTTGATCCTTTCCCTTGAGGTACATACCGATCTGGTCCAACAGGATGCTATTGCAGAGATTCTCCGAACAGTCTTGGGGGACAAATTATTGCAATACCCTTTAGAAGGTCATTCTAATTCTACTCTGCCCAGTCCACAAGAACTAATCGGCAAGATTTTGGTGAAAGCAAAGAACATTCTGCTCAACAAAAAGCCAGAAGAACCTGAAAAGTTTGAAATGGTTATAAAGGACAAAAATGTGACTTCCACAACTGATACGACTACCGAATCAGAAAGTGACGGATTATTGCACAATGCCCGTGATTTGGTGCGCTCTGTAACGCAAAAAGGTCGAAGGCTATCCTCAAAAGGCAAGATGAGTGACAAGACGACCGCGAACGCTTCAGGTGAAAAGAAGAAGGTCATGTCTCCAGCATTGGCGTCGTTGTTAATCTACACAGTTGGAGTGAAACATCGTGGTATCAATAAGAAGGAAGACTATGCGATCGAGCATATGATCAGCCTTTCGGAACGTACAGCATTGAAGTACGCAAGAAGCTCATCGAACGGTGTTGGTCATAATTGGGAAGATTTGATCAAGCATAATCGAACTCATTTGACGAGGATATATCCTAGCATGAATACCTTTGCACGGTTGAATTATAGTGCCAACTTTTTGCCAAACATCTTTTGGAGATTAGGATGTCAGCTTGTGGCTTTGAATTGGCAAACAGTCGATTTGGGTTTGGAGATGAACCAAGCAATGTTTATGCGTAATGGAAGAAGTGGTTACGTTCTCAAACCTGAAGCTCTACGCAAGAAAGAAAAGTATTCGCTTTCTGATCCTTTGAATCAGAAAGATCAGGCTGAAAATACAAAGAGCGTTACGTTTGTCACTGTTACTATCACTCTTATCTCCGCTCAACAGCTTCCAAGATATCGTCACAAGAAGGGCAACGAGAGTGATGGGCAAGAAAAAGAAGCCGATATGACTGTTCTAGATCCTTTCATTTCTTTAGCTGTGATCGTTCCTGATACGCCTTCTTTCAGCGTTTCGCCAAATAGCACCAACAAGACTTCAAGTGCCATCTCTTCGACAGAATCGGTGCGATCAGACAAAGAAGGTGCCTCTAGCTCACCAGGACTTGTTCATAGATCAAGTTTTAATTCCAGTAGCCGACCTACACCATCTTCGACTTCCTCTTCAAATTCACTCAAAAGTCGTAAATCTCTGTGTAGAGCAAGAACGTCAACGGTTTGGCAAAATGGATTTAATCCGATTTGGAATGAAACCTTATCGTTTCGTATTCGATTACCCACCAATACTTCCAGCGGTTCGACTGATCTTCGTAATTCGGTTCGCGGTTTGTTGGATTTATGTTTTATTCGTTTTGAAGTTCGCAATGAGACAAAGAGAGATCAAATTGGTACAGAACTTCAACGCGAGCAAAGTGGATCTTCTTCCATAAAGAATGAAGCAAATCCTGATTTGATCTCACCTTCTGCTTCTTCAACAAACACCAAAAGCAATCAATTCGGACAAACGGTCGAAGTGGATATTCCAGATGATGTTCCATGTTTGGCCACTTTTATGATCTCTTTGGGCGCTTTGGAACAGGGATATCATCATGTTCCTTTGTACGACACATCAATGACGCAACACCTCTTTTCAACACTTTTCGTGCATACGAAATTGCAAATTGATGAATAGATAATTAACCCCATGTAGTTTATGTATATTACCAGACTTTTATATCGACCTCAAACCTTGTAATTCTGAATGCATCATAAATTGTAATAAATCGTGTATGAAACGATAATTGGTGAAATGAAATGACAAAATGTTCGAAGTAGATGATATATCGAAAGGATTGAAAAACATCAAGCCTACAAAACAGTGAAACAATCGGATAAAAATAAAGGACATTCTCCCCTGAAGAAAGAGCATGCAAGACCTTCTCGGTTGAAGATTACAATGTGACAATAAAACGGAAACCCAAAAGATGTCGAAACAAAAAAACCAAGCACATTCAACGTGCCACAGCAACATCACGTTGTTCACGAGATTTGCCACGGAATCGGCCAAAGACGGAATTCTTGCGGCCGAGGTTGTTGTTACCGTTTTGAGCACCAGCATGACCAGATGCATAGGATTGATCAGCACCATTGCCGGTTGCTTTCAAAGTTCCACTTCTTTGCATTGATGTTGTACCTTGGGCAAGAGAAGGTGAACTTGATTGCATCGGAGGCGTACTAGGAGAATGATGATGAGCGAATCCACGATGTCTTGCGGCTGCACTGCCACCGCTTGCAGAACGCAATCCAGTTTGTGCTGCTTCTGCACGTTCTACAACATCATCGTCCGGTGGTGGAACGTTTCCGTACTGACGTGCAGTTTTGATTCTCTTTACAAGACTTTTGGATCTTTTTGGTCCATCCTTGTTTCCCGTTCCTGCTGCTGAACCTCCTGAAGATTCTCCGGGTGAAGCTGCTCCGTTAGCCAAAGATGATCCACCGATAGGTTGTCTTGTTGACGGCTTTCCGGTCAATACGGCTTCCATATCGAAAACGCTGCTTGCAGAGCTGCGCAAGCCGTCATTGCTGCTACGGCGTGAGTTTGTACCTTGTCTACTGTTCGCAGCGGGTGATGCAAAATCTTGCCATGGTTCACTTGTAACGCCCCAAACATCTGCATTTGGATTGGCAACGTCTGCACGACCACGAGAAACGTTGACGGGAGCATTGTAATAAAAGCCACGATCAACAGATTCATTTTGCGATACGCTGCTAGCGGCATCGTTGGTATCATACTCGGATTGACCTGCGCTTGATGTAGTTTGGTTAGTTTGGTTTCTGTTTAGTTTTGGCAATTGCCCAGAAACTGCAGAATTACCGCGACTAGGAGCTACCCTTTGATCTTTACCGTTACTCTGAACGTCTCCTTTGCTATCGTTCATTTTGCGCATTGTAGCCTGAGCAAGCGGACTCAAACCTTGTCTGTTACTTCCACTTGCGCCGGCGTTACGAGGTTGTCCGACGGGCAAACCGGTCATAGGGTCTACGTTGGGATCAAAAGCATTCACTGGCGCTCTTCTGGAGTTGTGATTGCGATGAGGTGAGCATGCGTCATAAGGTGAGTCGTGATGGAAAAGACTGGCGCCTAAACCACTCAAATCCATTCGATCGATAACGTCCATTCGGGTTGGCTGTGCTTCATCAATTGCACGTTGCATGCGTTTTTCCTTTTCACGTCTTTTTGTATCTTTGTCATCGGTATGGTGACGACGGAATGCGTTTGCAAAACGTCCACCTAGACCGCTACTCTTTGCAGGAGGAGGCGGAGCTTGTTGACCATTTGACGGTCTTCTGTTGCGTGAAGCCGGACCTACAGGGTCAAAAGTATCTTTTGTTGGCACAGTTGGAACAGGATTCATGACTGACATAGGAGCTTGTCCGGAATAACTAGCCGAGGAAGTGTCGTAGGAATGGTTTCTGTTGCCGTATGAATTTGGTTCAACGCTGACAACGTCTGCTAGAGCGTCTAGTACCTCACGTTGGGATCGTGAGTTTGTGCCAGCTGAGAGAGATGGGATGATAGAAGAGTCAGTAAAGATGAGTTAGAGTGAAAATGGAATTAAGATGAAAGAATGGATAATAAAGTAATAGAAATATAGGAGAGATGTCCGAGCGCTACGAGCAATTTATAAACTCTAACTGGTATTGTACCTTTGGTGGCGTAATTTACGGATACCGAAATTAGATATACGGATACCAGACCGGTCGATACTGTCCCTGTACAGCGAGTAAAGTTCAATTCATAATCTTGATTGATGAAGATGCTCGATCACAGAAAAGAACAAAACAGACTGCGCGTGTGCGCCAAGATTGCTTGGCATCACATTTTGGCTGTGTACAGCCGACGGAAAAGCGATCAAACCCTTTAAGGCAAGGATGATGATAAAGCCCATTGGAGGAAGTATATGAGAAATCATATTGGAGATCACGTTCCCCAATGAAATTTTGACACATGCTTTATCTTCATTACATGGAGATAATTAATTGTGCCTGAGCACGACATGAGCATGTCCAAAGAGATTTGCATGATATCATAGCAATCATTGCATACGTCACTTTGCCATTGATGAAAAAAGGGCTTGAAAATGGGGGAATAAAAGTCGGAGTTGAAATGCAAAGATAACTCACCCATTCCGTCGGAGAATAAAAGACTGTAGTAGGATCTGTTGTCTTGCCTGCTTGTGTGTGTGTGTGTGTGTCTCTGTAGTTGTGTCTCGTTGTTGATGGATACAGTGAAGGTTGAGAGGCGAGAATGATATGTTGATAGGCGTGCAAGAAAGACTAGGTGAAAGATGGGGTGAAAGGGGAGAAAATAGCTGGCGTCTTTTTTGATGTTTGCAGTGGCTATTAGTACTGCTTGACAAAAGTTGAAATTCTGGGATGCGTAATAAGCGTATGCATGCACAACGCGCACACATCACAACTTTTTAGCAGATTGTCCGAACACGCACACGAACGCACACGCGCGCAGCGCACTAAGTAGAGGCAATTCGCCTAAGCATTTCATTAGGTCACATGGACTACCGACTACTGTACTTTTAAGCGGGGAGTACCCCATTTATTCACACTGTTCAAGTGGCAGCCAATCATGGAGCAAGGTGGTATTCCATACTGCACTGCGCTTGTGTTGGTTTAGAGCCCCTAATGAAATAAGTCACCGCGAGTCTAGCTAGACAAGGACTAGTGTAAAACATGTTGCTAAAAACAGGATTCAATGACACTTAGCCGTCTTCTTAAGTTGACATCATCTTTGGTGTGAATGCACTCAATAAACGCTAGAAACATATCCTTTGTGCATACTTCCGAGCTGTCTATACATGCAGAAATGACAATCATTCGCTCTACTATGCATACTCTGTGATATTCCGGTAACGACAAAGTGCGAGAATACCTTACCTCCTTCCACTCCGAGATTCATGGTTGATATTGCCAGAATCGCTCTATTGGTTCCGTCAGTATTTTGACATATGATGATGAAGACTGTCCGGGATTACTGTCACCTTCATTGCAATCTTTACAGGGTAGACATGACTTGTTGACTTGACTCGATCGCAAGATAGAGTCCTGTAAACCAGCATCAGTCAATGGAGATGGATGTTGCGTCGGTTCCTTGGGGCGTTGTTAGAGTAAGGGCAGCAAACACTTTACCATTATTTGATGATGAATGCGTTGCTTCTCTGGAGATGAAGTGAATGAGCACTTCCAATTCGCCTGTGGAATATAGATCCAGAGATGGCTCTCGATCCGTGTTCTAATACATGTCGGATGCATAGAGATTCTCCTTGTATAGAGATGAATTGATGTCCGACCAAGAATGATGCAACGAGAACGGGCATCGTCGGATATTCTCTCTTTTTGTCCGGGTATAATAGTTGATGGAATTTTTTCGCTTGCGTTGCCATCTCACACATACCAACGTCCAAGTAATTGTACCTTTGACTCTATCTTGTCGAGATGAAAGTTTGCATCTGTTTCACTTAAATACCGTTCGACTGCCCTTTCAAGCTTGGAAAACTTGATCGGCTCCGCTATAAGCTTTCGTCTTTTTCCGTCTGAAGTTTCTTTGCTCATAATTTCACCGGCACTGCTTTGACTTATTTCCATTTCTGCAAGGTAGGTGTAACCCCATATTCCTTCCGAACATGTATAATCTTCCTCTTCCACATTATTTAGGTCGTTGGACCGAATCGTAGACCGATCGACCTTTCGAATTTTGATGTCCAACGTTACGGGATCTGTATATTTTCCCGAATAGTCTGGATCATGCACATCTGTTCGACGAACAGAGTCCATAAATGTAAACAGGCTGTTATCACTTATGTTCTTTTCAGTGAGATGATAGATGAAGCGACAACGATCGACTGTTTTATTAGTGAACTTTTGATAGTTCTCCACAAACATTTGATCTTGCTTTATCCCCTGTGGCAATCTACAAAGAAGGAATCGTGTTGTATTTCCGTTGCTGTTTTGAATATTTCCAAATATCTCTACGAGATCGTATACATCGGCCTTTGTGCATACTTTGCTTGCAATACATGCTCTTAATCTCTCCAAAGATGATTCTCCACCTTCTGATGGGAGATTAAGGAGCTGCTGGGCTGCTTCTCCGGTAGAGTTTGATTCATGAAGATGTATATCTGCACGCATATGTTCCTTGATGAACTTTGAGCATTGTCCTAGTGCTTGTGGATGACTAGAAGTCTGATCAAGCTTTTGTAGATCCGACAGCTCTACTTGTTCTTTGTCTCCTTTCAATTTTGCCCAAACCTCTTTTGTGACTAAAAGTGAGTGTGAGACTGGTAAGTAAGCCTCAGCTACGATCCAAAATCTTGATGTAGATGCAAATGCATTGTGAAGGATACCATACGAATCCTGTACTGGTCCATTTGAGTTGTTTTCGAATGGCAAAAGTGCTAAACTGAATAGATTAGATTGTGCTGCTAGCTCTTGAGCTCCTTTGAAAGTTTCTCTTATTGACTTGCATGGCTTCAGGGCAACCTTTAGACTTTCACTCTTTCGTTTTCCCTTGTCATCTGAATACGTCCGATCAAAGTGTAAATTTGGTACTAGATCAAGAGACACTTGATGTGAATACGTTCCGGGCGGACCAAGGTAGTGTAGCACGATTGGCCTGTTGTCTGGCATCGTTGACGGGCCTCCTTCGATTGAAGCAACTTTCCCATTTGAATGCATATCTAGGTATGATGTTGGAGAAGATACCTTTGAATGCTTCTTTTGTGTTTAACCAACACGCAGGCTTAACACGCGTTTCTTCTTAATCTTATCGGCACCGCGGCTGTGTTTCTCTAATCTTATCGGTAGGGTAGGGTAATGACTGTAATTGGCTAAAGGTTCTTTTCTCTTTTCTGCTCCTTCCCATCATGTCAACGTGCAACAAAAGAATGTTCTATTCTTTTTTATTTCGTTAGAAAGAGTTGATGGAGACGGAAAAAGTACGAACAGCAAGATGGTTGGTACTGTATCTACACGATTAAAGGAAAAAAAGGAGTCTAAACTATATCCTGGAATGAGAGAAGGGGAAACGATCTTGAGTAGGGTTGCACAAGGATGAACCATACACATCACATTGCACGATATGAGCCTTCTTCGTATTCTTCACTGACCGCCTCGCTACTGTACTGCGTATTGCCATCTGCACGTGTTAATGAATTGGAAGATTGCATTGGCACCAATCGGCCAAGAGGTGTTCTACCATATTGAACCACTTCGACTTCGCCTGCAGGAGTGACTGATCCTGTCAGGTTCGATTGCGATTCTTTCTTTGGAACTTCAACAATCTTTTGTCCTTTTTCTGCTCCAATGTTTGCCATCTTTGCAATGTTGACGTTTGGCGTACTTGCTACTACGGCTCCCAAATAACGACTATCAGAAGTGCCCACGTCGGTATTAGAATTGTTTGGTACAAGAGTTTTCATTCGACTTGCAACGCCACCAGATTGACCATCACCCAAGAACATCTCTTTGAAATTAACTCTACGACCTGATTTTTCGTTTGTTGGTGTTGGTTCAGTAGACTCAAATGGAGTTGGCTGTAAAACACCACGAGTAGGAATGCCGAGTGGACTGGAGAACATAGATCGCTTTTCGCCATATTGACTTGCATCATCATCTTCCATCTCAAACCTTCTTCCGTCCGGTTCGACGGCCATTTGCGATTGTGTCATTGTCATATGAACTCCCGTTCCATCACCCTTTGGTCTCTTTTTGTATTCCTTTCGCATCAATCGTTTTACGACAGGTTTGGCTAACGATTGTGGAGCGTTATGAGAGGCAGCATCTATGTTGTTCTCTAACGAAAGACCCAGTTGATCTTGTGCAAGTTCACGTGCAATAGATGGACGTGCCATCAAAGTGACCAACAAAGAAGATGCCATGACTTGTCCGATAGGTAAGAAAGTGATTTGGCTAAAAGGGATCGACGGAAGGGTCAGTTAGAAGTCGCGAGATTAATCTTGTTTTGATACTCACAAGTGGAATTGATAGGGAATACTCAAGAATAAGATCATAGATGCGAGAGAGAGGGTGCAAGTTGCCAAGCATGTTTCAAGCGAAAGCAATAGCAAACGAGCAACGGCGTAACGAGTGTGGAAGAAAGGCGTTGACATCTATTGAAAGGTTAAATGAAGTCGTCAGCCGATGACAAATTATGTCTTTCATTAGGGTATACGCACCTTGCTCAATTGGTAAGACAAACAGAAACATAAACTGACATCCGTAGCAGCTAAGGAACAGAGCCATGTTGCCTGTTGAATGAATAAAAAAACAGTCAGCTCATCACTTAATTCATTCTGTCTGCTATACTCACAAACACGACGGAGAATTGCCATGGGATGGAATTCGGCTGGAAGGCTGAATAAATTCACCGTAAGGGGGACAGGAGGGCGTAAATCAGTAAAGGGTCCATGAGAAGAAACTCCTTTCAGGGGAATACTCACAATGCAAAGCTTGACCTTTGACATTTGCTGCACTACCTGAAGCAATAATCAAGCCAGCACTTGCAAAACCACCAAAGAACGTAAAAGCGATCATGATAGAATAAACGATAAAGATTGCAATGTTTTTATTGAATGCGAGCCATACACGATGAGCGTAATAGATTTGCACGATTCCCGTATTGATAGCGATACAGACCCAACTTGCACTGATTTGCCAACCGACAGTTAAAAGTGGAAAAGCGAAATCACCAAATTTTGCAACGTGAATTTCATATAAACGATCGATAATGACGGCAACTTGAAAGAGAGAAAAAAACAAAATTGAACCAACGGCCATTTGTAAAATTAACCTATCCGAACCTTTACGACCAAAACGTTCAAAATAATGCCAAATTTGCACAGCAAGAGCACCACCAAACAAAATTGTTAAAATACCACCAAAGAATACACCACTCAACAATTCAGCAAATTGTTTTGGCGTTTGAGGTGTACTACGAGCACCGCCTGAACCTGTATCGATTGTATCACCTGCTGCTTGAGCTGCATTTGCTGCTGAATCTGCACCACCTGAAACTTTTCCAGAAGTTTGTGTTGATACTTGTCGAACTTTAAACATTCGTATACTTTCATCTCCACCATGACAAAGTGTTGTTGCAATTGCCAACACAAACAACAAAATTAACCAATATCTTGTTTTTCCCATTTTTGTGATTTATTGTTGATGAATGAACGGTCCGTTCGAGGACAAAAATGGATGATAAAGATGAAAAAGAAGAGATGATATGAGAATATTGCCAAATGATTGGATCTTTATAAGATAACTTGAGAGGTTAGGGGTTGCTCCACTATCTTGAACAAGGGGAAAGGTAGAGATCCTTTTTTATTTTTTTGAGATTAAGGGGTGTCGCCAATTTGGATCTTGCTGCTTTTTATATCTTTCTTCAACATTTGAGCCACAGCAAACAGGGAAACACTCCACAAACAAGGGAAAATCAGGAGAATTCTTGAAATTATTTTTTTAAATGACGAAATTTCTTTTTTATGATCATGCTTTCTATGTTCGCACCTGATGTCAATTTGAAGACTTGTGCACACGATGAGAATATGAAAGCATACATCTTTTACACTTTTATTCATCATACGTTCAAGACAAGATCGAACGATCACCTTACCCCATAACTCCTGCCTCTTGGTTCTCGTCATCATGACGCTTCGATAGAGGGTCGTGCCTGTTTGGAAAGGATCATGTCCTCAATCACGTGACACACATCCGCGTAAGAATAGCCCGTATTGGCAACAGTGCGAAATCAAAAGCAAAGGACTTGACTGCTTTCTAATTGAATAAGATCAAAGACATGAAAGAGGACATCTAATGGTATAACCGCTCAGACTTAAGGATATTGACAGAAGATGCTGGCAATTTACACTCTGATGACACTTGACTGGTTATTTGAATTTGCCAAATAAACAAATACACTCACCACCCCCCGTCTTGCTTAGTCACGAATCAGAAGTCAATGTAATGTATATTAAATTGAAAACATATCAACGAGCACGTAATCAGAGAGCAAGTTATAGAAATAATGCCATCATAGCGTCTCGATCCACTTACCCCAGATCTTCATTACATTCATTAATCGTCATGCTTAATAAGACGTCATTAAGCTTTTTCTTTTTTCCATTTCCCGATCAGAACGTCCAAAACAGAATTCTTTGTAGTCGATCATCGGATATTTTGAGGGTCTAATAGCCGATTTGACAGGGTTTAGCGGGTTGAAAGAAGAGTTAATGTGTGGGGAAATAAAGTGTTATACCCCAAATCGGGTCTTTTAGTGAGGAACGAGGATGGCTTACACCGCTTTTCCGCTTTCGGATTAGACGGAGTGAAGTCCAGCATGATATTCAATTAAAAATGGATGACGATATGATGCAGTGCATTGCATTGAAACAGGATAATGCATGCAAAACATCAATTTCTCGCTTGGCGGGCTGAAGATTACGTATGCAAAATGCACATTCGCAATTCTCTCACTTGGATCGCACTAGCACATAACACGCCCGTATGTGCAGCAGCAGCGCGCCGTTTCAGTCAGGTTTCCTTCTATCCGACCGGCGCTGCAATGTAGCACGGCGATTTCAATTGTGCTAGGTCTTGAGTGCATTTCTTCTACACCACAGACGCACTACGCGCACGCATGCTACAATGATTTAGCGTGAGAGGTAATAAAACACCTGCTCTTCTTGCGCCTGCTGCGCCTAACTGCAAACGCGTTTCGCGACCAATTCTCCCTATCTCTGCTTTTTTGCCAAGCGTCTCTTCCGCCACAGCGGAAAGTAAAGTCGGTTTTACACGATCCGGGCGACTGCCCTCTGCCCATGCATCGACTCGGTTACTACTTTGAATGATCTGCACGTCAATATCATACCTGAACAAATCTTGTGCTGAAAAAGCAGTCTCATGCAAACTTGTGCTGCTTGAATCCCGCTTGTAGTGCTTTTTGTATCCCTTTTACTGGAACTGCATTCCCATTCCGCAAACACAGCCTGAATGCCTAGAAAGGATCCAGGCTTTGTGCATTAGAAGCACTTTTCACTGGCCCAGGTCCAAATCACACGAGAGCAAGGGCTAGATGCTACCCGTTTAGAGTGCACTTACTCCTCCCAATATTTTAAGGCTATTATCCTTTGTGTTACCGCAAAAACAAATTCATTTCCTTGGCGGCTAAATCTAGGCGCCGCGCATATGAACGGTGTACAAAAATCGGACGAATTTCTCTCTTCCGTGCTAAAGTACCCGTTTTCCCTCTTCTTTGCCAAAAGTAGGTACGAATACCTTTTCACACAGGTAACGGGTACCATTCTACTCTCTGCCACCTAATTCCCTCTCCCAAACTAAAGAAAATTTTCAGCCTTTCTTTTTTTTCATTGGCTGATATCATCCCACTTTTTATGCAGCCTTCTTATAAGAGGCTCATTCTATCCATCTCGCATCTTTGTTCCTGACTTTATCATCACCAACTATACCCCTATATCCTCTCCTCCCTTTAACACAAACTTCTCATCGTCATACATACTTGTATACGGTGACTTGTTCTTGTTAATAGTAGAGGAAGATACTCAAGCTTAACAACTTTCAAACACAAACACACTTCTTTCATCATGAGTTCGCAAGTGGTTCCCGTCCGTGAAAGCGACCCTCAGACAGGCGCAACAAACGCTGATGCCCACGTCAACCGCCGTTCATCAGAAGAAAAGAAGAACCCATCAACAAACGGAACAGAGGCCGAAAAGAAAGATGATCCATTAGATCACCCAAAAGGTGAACTGATCGATCCAGAAGATTTGGGCAAACGTCTTGAAGCTTCTGGTGTCTCAGATGCATACGAACGTAAAGTGTACATCTTGAACCGAGTCATGAACGAACATATCGGAATGGGAAAATTCCAATGGGCTCTTTTCTTATTGTCCGGTTTCGGTTGGTTCGTTGATAATCTATGGCTTCAAGGTGTTGCAATCATCTTGCCTGCCGTTCAACGTGAATTCGGTAAAACACAAATTCAATGGATGACTTTTGCCCTTTATATCGGTTTGATCATCGGTGCTGCCGGTTGGGGTATTTTGGCCGACATTGTAGGTCGTCGTCTTGCTTTCAACGCTACTTTGGCTTTGTCCGGTATCTTTGGTATCGCTGCAGGTGGTGCACCCAGCTTTGTCGGCTTGGGTGGTTTGTTGGCCGCTTTGGGTGTCGGTTTGGGTGGTAATTTGCCCGTCGATGGAATGTTGTTCTTGGAGTTCATTCCAGGTGACAAGCAATACCTTTTGACGTTATTGTCCGTCTTTTGGTCTTTGGGTCAATTATTCGCATCTTTGATCGCTTGGGCCTTTATCGCAAACTACACATGTCAAGGAAGCAATGTTGAAACATCGGAGCAATTCAGAGAATACGGACGATGCAATGCTGCAGACAATATGGGATGGCGTTATACATTCTACACTTTGGGAGCAGTTACGTTCGTCATGTTCCTCTGTCGTTTCGCTGTTTTCCAATTGCCTGAATCACCTAAATTCTTGGTCGCTCAAGGTCGTGATGCAGAAGCCGTTCGCACCCTTCGTGAAATCGCACGTCGTAACGGAAAGGAATTAGGTGACGAGGTGATCAGCGTGAGCATCTTGCGCTCTGCTGCAGGCGAAGAAGTTGGTATGGACGAGGAAGCCGATCTTCCTGAAGACAAGCGTGGATTCGTTGGTTTAGCTCACTCTTTGATCGCTGTTCCAAGACAATTGGGCAAAGCAGTCAAAAACTTCCGTATCAGCAATTTGAAGCCAGACGTGAAACACATTACACCTTTGTTTGCCGGAAAAGGAATGGCGTTGAACACAACTTTCATTTTTATGCTTTGGGCTTTCATCGGTTTGGCATACCCACTTTTCAATGCCTTCTTGCCTCTTTACCTGCAAAACAAACAATTGGACACAAGTGCTACTACGGTCAGTCAAACTTACTCTGAATACGCTTATATTTCCATTTGTGGTGTTCCAGGTTCGATCATTGCTGCATGGATGGTAGATTTGCCCAGATCAGGACGTCGTGGTGCTATGGCAATTGGTACTTTGTTAACTGGTGTTTTCGTTTTTGCCGGTACAGGTGCACCAAATCGTGCCGCTTTCCTTGCTTTCAATTGTTTAGAAGCATGTTTCCAAAATATCATGTACGGTGTTTTGTACGCATACACACCTGAAGTTTTCCCTGCTCCTCATCGTGGAACGGGTGATGGAATTGCTTCTTCACTAAACAGATTGTTCGGTCTTTTCTCTCCTATTATCGCCATTTACGGAGCAACCGTTCCAAACGCACCCGTTTATACCTCTGGAGCTTTGTTCTTGTTCTGTGCCGTTTTGATGTGCTTCTTGCGCGTTGATTCACAGGGAAAGACTGCTCTTTGAGAGAGAGAAAAAAAGAAGAGGAACAAGGCTTGTCTTCTCAATGTCAATCTTTGACATTTGCTACTTTTCGGGTTTGGCCGATTAGAGAGTACCTTTTGAGTTTTGTTTTTTCTGTGTACTTCATCTCATTTTAAAAAAGTAATTCTATATCTTGTTATCAAAAATATGTCTGTCTGAGCAAATAATAGCGAGAAAAAAAGGGATAACATTCGTAGAAACTCTTAACATACATGACACGATCTCCTAGCAACTTCAACTTCTTGGAGGTATTTCTATTGATGGTGCAGGAGCAGGAACAGAACCGAATGGACTTGCACCTAATCCGCCAACCCAACGTCCCATGCTACTTCCCGATCGAGGATCAAGACCTCCTTCAACGACATCATGCGGACTTGGTCCAACATCCGAATTTGAAGCATTGATTGCGGCTGAAATATTAGATGGCAAAGTAGTCGTTGGATCGATTGCCGAACCACTTCCTGTGGATGAAACTGATCCATCACGACTATTGCTTCCGTAATAATGCGTTGATGCATGTAATTCCATCGTACTTGCCAAAGATCCGACCAATCGCTTAAATGCCGATTCGGATAAAACGGCCACTCTAACTTTTCCAGAAGTTGCGGTATCCGCAGGTGGTTGAGTAGCAACGATTGAGGCAGCACGAGGTGCATTATTGAGCAAAGCCAATTCACCGAAATATTCTCCCGTTACCAATGTACCACAATCATCTTCTGGTGCACTTGGATCTCTACGTTTTCGTACGCTAACGATTCCATCAACCACGATAAAGAATTCCGTTCCTCTTTCACCTTGTTCGATAATACGTTCACCGTAATTGTAATCACGGAATTGCAAAGCATCAGCCAATTTGGATAATTTAGCAGAATCCAGTGTTTCGAATAGATGAACGCCTCGCAAGAACTTTTCTAGTTGTCCACGTTTCTTTGCATTCGTTTCCATCAAAATGCTTCGGAATGTGACACGATCTAAAGCCCAAAGGACACACTTTGACGTAGAGACAATACTTGCTGCACGAGGTTGGAGGTACAATAATGCCAATTCACCAAATGCATCAGATGGACCATAAGTCACTTTATGATCTCCCAACGTTGCACTCAAGTTTGTTCCTGGTACGATTGTATTACCGAATTGAGTAGTTGCGGGACCTTCGGAATCCGTGCTTGCGATACTGCCAACGCTACCACGGCCTGGTATACCACCTGGAACGCCAAAGCCATTTTCTGCACCTCCAGCTTTAACATAAACATCCAAAGATCCACTTTCGACAACATAAAAGAAATCTCCTTGATCACCTTGTCTGATAACAATCGTATTTGGATCACAAGTTACTTCTTTCATTGCTAATAGTACGTCCCTTTCTTGTTCTTCATCCAAATTGCGGAATAATAAATTATTTTGAATTGAAGTACGAATTCTTTGCATTTGTGAATCACTTTTTGGAATTACAGTCTTTTGCAAAGGTTCCGTTAGTGATGGTGTAGAAGCAGGTGATCCTGAAGCGGGTGCTAACGATTCAGCACTAACACTTGTCCTTCTTGCAAAGTTGTAATTTGCTGGAGGTGCAAATGTACCGGCCGCACTTTCAGCAGTAAAAGGTGTGCCTGTTCCTGTTGCAGGCGTGCCAAAAGTTGATCCTGTTGAAGGTGAGAATGGATTGGAAGTGGAAAATGTAGAAGATGCTTGTGCCATTGGCGTATCTTCCAAAGATGATGATTGAGAAGATGAATTTAGTCCTGAACCCGATCGACCTGCAGCAGCAGCGGCAGCGGCGGCTGTTGTACCTAGATTACCATTTGCAGCCAAATAACGTTCTTCACGTAACTTTGCAGCGAACCAATCAGCACAAAATTGTAAAGGATCTCGTGGTTGATGACGAGAGACGTCTCTATTCAATTCGTTGAGTATGGCAGCATAGTCGGATGGTAAAGAGGGATTAGGCATTTTTGCTATACGAAGCAGCCGAGAGATGGTAATCGATCTTTGGTGTTGATTGGAAATGAATGCCTCTATGATGGTTATTGAGAAAGGGAGGAATGGGAAGAATAGTGTAAAAGGATGATGATTGTAAAGTCAATGCGAGAAATGGATGGATTGCAAGGCTTAAGGCAGAATATCAGTGTACACTCCAACACTATCCGCCTTCCCATTTGCACGCACACACACAAGACCTATTTTGGGTTCACTTGCTTGCTCTCCCCCTTTGGGACACGCGATTCTATTTCTTCTGTCGATCTGCCTTAAACGCGCTCAAACCCCCTTGTGGATTTACAGCGCGACAGTAACACCACACACACACACACACACACACACACGCATTCGGTATCCCAAATGCAGAAAGGCAAAAGGCAAAACAAATGTTGATTAAATTGCAAACAGATTGTGGCGCTTTTTAAAAACGATCCTATCTACGTAAGAGGCTTCTAATGTTGATCTGATGTACAGAAGAAAAGATAACGTGATTGATTGAATGAGCGGTTAAAAGGTTGCAGCGTATCGCGCATTTCGCACGGACATAAAGCGTTCTAGTCTAATTTGTGATAAAATTCTCATTCGTTTATACTTGCCACGGCTTCACTTTCAATTCTTGTTTTCTTCTCTTATCACGAGCATTCCATACCGCCCTTAATGTCACAGATTGTATTACGATCTTTACGACAGGCAGTATATAAACCACCTATCCGTTTAAGAGAAACAACGAGAAATTTTCAGCAACTTGCAAAGCCTTATTTAACACACTCACCAGCAAGGCAGGCGCATTCATCATTCACGTCTCTTCCACATAAGAAAGTGAGTATCACAGCAAATCATTTCTTTATTTCGATGATGAAGAACATCAATATCCACATGAACAATCCAACACGTACTTGATACATTCAAAGAATGTATATGTGCCGAGACAAGCGATTAACCAGACTCTGACAATAAGAGAAGAAAAGCTATTATCATTTAGGACATTCAGACTGACAAACACGAATCCTTTCTTCCTCAGAACTACAGCATCGATCTTGCAGCACAGGCTTCCCTACAATCTAGCAACATGGCAGCCATTACAAACACAAAAGCACCAAAGCCTACTTTGTTTATAGACGGACAATGGACACATTCTTCTTCCGGACAGAGTAGACCAACGATCAATCCATTTGACGCATCAATCATCACGCATGTCGATGAAGCAAATGCACAAGATGCCGAAAGAGCAATTCAATCTGCACGCAAGTTCCAGGATACATCTGATTGGTCTTCAAGAACGTTCGCTTCTCGTGCACCTTTGTTGAAAAAGATTGCTGAATTGTTACAAAAGAATAAGGCGGAATTAGCAAAGATTGAAACGATCGATACAGGAAAAACGATTGGAGAATCAGAGATCGATATTGATGATGTTACGGCGGTTTTTGAATTTTATGCTGAAGAAGGAATAAAATATGATAAACCCAAAGTGATCACAGGTAAAGGAATACCTGATACAGTAACCAGTCAAGTAACAAAGGAGGCCGTAGGAGTTTGTGTGTTAATCTCACCTTGGAATTATCCTTTGTTGCAAATCTGCTGGAAACTTGCGCCTGCATTGGTTGCAGGAAATAGTTGTATCGTGAAACCTTCAGAAGTGACACCACTCTCAACAATTTATCTACACAAGCTCATGCTGGAAGCTGGAGTTCCTCCTCAGGCAATTCAAATATTGACGGCTGGTGGACAGAGTGTAGGCCCAACGCTAACAACGCATCCTTCAGTGGATCTTGTAAGCTTCACAGGTGGACTTGCAACGGGAAGATCGATCATTCGCAGTTGTGCAGAAACGGTGAAAAGATGCTGTGTTGAATTAGGAGGAAAGAATCCAAATGTGATCTTTTCGGATGTTCCTTTGGATATTGCTATTGATATGGCTTTAACTGCAGTCTTTGTTCATTCAGGTCAAGTTTGCAGTTCGGGCGCTAGGCTGATCATTGAAGATAAAGGATCGTTTGCAAATGATGTCGTTGCAGGCGTTGTTGAACGTGCTCAACAAATCGTTCTAGGGAATGGATTAGAACAGGGTACGGAATGCGGACCTCTAGTCTCTGCTGCTCATTTGGAAAAAGCAAAAGGTTTTATCGAAGTTGGAAAATCAGAAGGAGCAAAATTGCTTTGTGGCGGTAAACAAGCGGAAGATCCTAAATTGTCAAAAGGATACTTTTTCCTGCCAACTGTATTCGACCAATGTGATCGATCGATGAAGATCGTACAAGAAGAAACATTTGCACCTATCCTTACCGTTGAAAGGTTCAAAGCAGGCGATGAAGAAAGAGCAATCTTTTTGGCAAATGATACGAATTATGGTCTAGCTGCCGGTATTCAAACAGCCGATAAAGATCGATCGCTAAGGATAGCAAAACGTTTACGACATGGTACCGTTTGGCAAAACACATTTGGAGCTTATACACCAAGAGCTGAATGGGGAGGATTTGGATGGAGTGGTAATGGACGTGAATTGGGCAGTCATGGTTTGGACGAGTACGTTGAATCGAAACACATTTATGCAGAGAAGGATCTAGGCATGATGGGATGGTTCCAGGATAGACGTAAAGCAAAGGCTAAGCTTTGAGCAAAGGGGTTATTTATATTTTTCACTGCAGTATATCTTTGTAATTAATCTTTCGCAAATCTTTCAGTAATACATTGGGGTTGTTTTTACTAATATACATCAAAAAGCGTCTTTTCAGCCTTTCTTCTCTATTCAGCGTCGAGATTGTCCGGGCAGATTAACAGCAGCAACACTTGTAGAACTTGATAAGTGACTGTAGTATGAATTGAAGTTCAATCTCGTTGCCAAGTCACGGACGACTAAATTGGAATGTTTCTCCAATTTACCAATGATCATCTGCGTTGAAGATTGGAATTTGGCATGATTAGACTCGAGTCGGTTCTTGATATTCTCCAAAGATGAAGCATCAATTGGTGCTTTTCTGGATGCCTGAGATGTCAAAGATGGCGTACCTGGTCGTGAACTACTGTTGACAGGTGTAGAGGTGCGGTTCTTGTTTCCGCTCAAATCTGATCTTGCTACTTGATCAACGATATAACGAGCAAGATCTTCGATAGCCAAAGCGAACGCTAGCATTGTATCCAAATTTGCCTTGACTTCAACGGCTAATTGATCATTAGGTGCACGTCTACCGGAAGAAGAACTAGTCACACCACGCAGCATGATCTTTGATATCAAAGTGTTGAGGTATGCACGATGCGTCGAAATCAACTCGTCCAGATCCATCAGTCTGTTCTTGTGATTGGCTTGTGTTGAGAATAATTGAGTTAAATCGTTCCATGAATATTCAACCACCTCCAAATTCACAAAGCCTTGCAATTGTTTCACAAAGTGAATCTGTTCGCCAAGATTGCCTAAAGCAACATGAGCCTGTCGTACCAAAGCGACATCACCAGTTTGGCCTTGCATCGCACTTTGCGGTTCTATGGTTGCCCTTCGTGCCAGAGCTGCCTTTTTGAGTGTTCGAGGTTGAATTCTTCTAAGCATATTTGCAGCCAAAAGCAACTTTTCCCATCCACTACCCAATGCCAATTCCACCCTTTTCACCTTCCAAAGATGATTAAAGATAATCTGATAGCCAAGCATTGCATGATTGTCCAAAACCGTGCTCACAGGCTCATCTACGCGATATTCCAGCGTAAAGCTATCCCAACCAAGATCTCCTTCGCTGAAATCAAGAATACGAGCGTCCAATCGACCAACGATATCAACGTCATCGTATTGACTATTGGATCCGCGAATGGAAGTTTCAAGTGAAGCGGTAAGATTGTGCCGAAAGAGCGAAGATGCAGGCTTGTCCAACGAAGGTCCAATAGACTCCATCAAAAGATCCGTAAAGTCTCCCTTTGTGAGCATGAGGTAATCCTTTAAAGCTCGAAGATGTGCCATTAGCTTATACTTGCCGATAAAGATGTCCAATAAACGTGTGCTTGCCGAAGCATATGCCTCATCGATCGTACGTTCCAAGCCAGGTAGATTAGCGTACCGCAGAATAGCATTACCTTCCTTCCTTTGGGAAGCCTTGGTGGCTACCCAATCTGCATCATCACAGCTAAATCGAATGAAATTTAAGCTCTTTCCTGTACTGAATATCTTTCGTCCAAAACTTTCCCGGATGAAGCTGGGCAGCATTTCGGTACGGAAGCGGAACTGATTTTGCCACAAAGATGAAGGAGGCGCCATGTGGTGATCTTGCGAAGTGGACATGTACAAGGCACTGTTCAAGTCTTCACCCGTCGGTCCCCAAGTGGCTTTAAGATCTTTGTTTGCCTCGACGAAAAACTCTTCAAATGGATCTTGCAACTCGCCTTCAAAGATCCATAATGACAGCGCATGAAAGAACGGTTTGGAGACCTGATCGAGTATCTCAGCGGTGAATTTGCGGATCAATGGGTCTCCATGAAAGGTATACGAATGAATAAGAGACACAATCGCTCCACCGTGGGCGTCTTGACAACCTTCGATTATCGTACTGATCAATCGCATACGCAGAGTAACTTCTTCCGTCCAAACAGATATCCGACGAAGTGTTAAACCTTTTTGGTCATTGCCATCTGTTTCAACATTGTTCATTTGTGCCTCCAGGATAGCCACAAGACGGTAATAGTCTGTCAATTCCGACAAAACAAAATGACACAGCGACTGCATGATGAGTCCAGTACCTTCTTTTTGTGAAAATTGACGATGAAATTCATCTATACGTTTGTATAGCCTTCCAAGTTCTGCAACTCGATGAATCAAATGCTTTGTTGGGTGTGAAATCAGATGTTCTGAATCTTGAGAGAATTTCACCTTTACGATTCTTTCCGCTTCTCGCGTCTCTCCCATCTCATTCGAAGCCGGCAAGAGAACATCTTCGAAGCCGACATATTTTCCATTGATACCTTGTAATAAATAGATGATATCTCGCATCAATTCTGCTTCTGAGATAGGCACTTGACCTCGTTTCTCTCTCCATCTTTGCAAGAGCATGGCTTTGGGCAGCATCTTTTCATCTGTCGTCAAGTTCAGGGCTGCTAATCCATTCGTTATCGCTGCTTCCTGATTCGCATTATTTGCGGCTGAAGTGGATGGGGCCAGCGGCGCCTTTGTTTCAGCCTCGTTCGAGCTTGCATGTTTAGTCGCTCCATTTTGTTTATCAGTCTGAAAGGTCTGTGCCGAATCAAGCTTTGGTGTTCGTTGTCGATAAGGAACGGAATTCTGTCCATGTGATACGAGTCGATTCGTGAAAGCAAGTTCCTGAACTAGCTCTAATAGGCCATTCACTTCGCGAGAAAGGCCAGGCTGTTTTTTCATTTTGGAGACCAGCATTTCCAGTCTTACGGCCGAACCCTGTCCTCCATCAAGATCATGTTTGGTCAATTTACGTCTTAGAGAGGTAACCAATTGACCTTGATCCAGCTTTTGGGTTCCATCTTCTTTCTCGTTTGCGAGTATGTCCTCAACCGTCTCAACCAATTCAGATCGCCATGCATCCCTTTCTTCGACCTTTTTTCTATCAACTTCTGATCGTCTTGGCCTTGCAGATGGAACGGAAGCATGTACAAGATCTTCCAACCTTCTTCTCCTTGAAGAAGTAGAAGCAGATGTATGTTGTACGCGTGAAGATGAAGAAGCCATAGAAGCAACCGAAGAAGGTCTTCTAACATTTTGTGCAGTATGCAAAGATGGTCTCGTCGTATTCAACGAACTTCCCGGCAAAGGAGGTGGTGACATGATTCCTGTCCGCCTTGCTTTTGCCTCTGTTCCACCACGTATGCTACCGCCTGTTGTTGAAGTCATCTTGCCTTCTTGTATGCGCCGCCGACCAGCAACAAATGACGATGATGATGATGAATAAAAAGCAGCGTGTTGGATACCCAACTCACGCGTCTTTGGTGTTGGTCTCAAAAGCAACTTTTCCCTTCTTATCGGGAGGAAGGGAGGGAGGAAGAGTACAGTAAATGCGCGTGAAGTGTACGCGTATAGACTTTAAAGTGAGAGAGAGTGTTCTACTCGGCCAGGGAGTCGGGCAGAATACGTTGGATTGCTCTCCAGTCGATCCTTGGTAAGATCTCAAGGCTTCTTAGCAGTAATAGAAGATGGCAACCAGACAATTGCAAACAAAAACATTACAGGACGAGCGATCATTTGGATTAGCGTGAGGAATATATGGTATAGTACAATGCACAGATAATAAAGAAAAGACTGAGCAGCCTAGAGACAAAAGACAAAAGAAAAGGGGGAAAAAGATCCAAGGTATGGTCCACAGATAGATTTAAAGAGTATAGCTTTGCGAGCGGGCAATAGAGCGAATTGAGTTGTACAGCAGCGACCATAAGCAAAGGCAAAAAACAAAAGATTTGCATCGTGGAATCTTGTGTGTGTAAAATGAGAGTGGAGTGGATTGTGATGTGTGCAGCAACAACAACAATCTTACATCACAACACATTTGCTTGGTTCAGGTTCCGGTCCACCTTCGGTTGTATCACGTTCAGTTTCGCCTAACATGAGCTCAAACACTTTTGCAACGTTAACGTCATGTCTTGCACTAGTTTCAACCCAAGCGCTTTTGAGTTGTTTGGCTAATTCTTTTCCTTCTTCTTCGCTAACCTGTCTTTGAACGTGTAAATCACTCTTTGATCCAACAACAACACATGGAATATGTTCAGTTCCGGTGTAATTTAAGATTTTGTCGTAAACGGTTTGGATCATATCGAAACTGGCACGAGATGCGATGGAGTAGACTAGAACGTAGCCATGAATGCCGATAGCATGTTTTGAGTTCAAGATGGAGTATTCGTCCTGGATGTGAGAGGGGAGGGGGGTGTCAGTACGGTAGATGATACTTTGGAATTGCTATCATACACTCACCTGTCCTGCAGTGTCAATGATATCGCAATTATATGTCCGTCCTTTGAATTTGATACTCTTTGTGAATGTAGCCTCGATTGTAGGATAATAAGAATCAACAAAAACGTTATCCATATAACGAACGATCATTGTTGATTTACCAACACTTCTTGAACCCAAAACTGCGAATTTACGTTTAACTTCATTTCCTGTATTTGATGTTGGTGCTGATGCCATGTTGGGGAAGAGATGTGTGATTAAAGTTGACCTACTAGCAAAATGAGGTCGATGAAAGAGTAGGAGGAGAAGTGGTAAAAGGTAAAATGTAAGAGATGACCAATAATAATTATAATTTGTCTTTTTTACTCTACTTAACGTATGTATTTTTCTCCGACGAATCAAAAAGCACAGTGAACAACAGCTGATGCCCTCCCTTTTAATTGAACAACTCCGCGTTTAAAGGGCTGAAAATTGAACCGCTCGCTAGAGGCATACTACAGTGTATGAATGCAATTTAGATGATGCATTGTGTGCAGTGCATTCAACATACAACCCAAGCGCGCACTCAAGCACATACACACACACACAACATTCAATTCTACCGTGCCAGACCGGCTCCGGCGTGTAAGCAAGCATGTGTGCATTTAATAAAGCAATACAACTGATCAGCAGCAGCACATCCACGCGTCAATGGTTTTGTATTGTTAAGTACGGAAATGGTACCCCCACTTTGACATTCGTATTGGATGCGGAACGGATGAAAAGAGAAAGAGAGTGTTACTCTTTGATTATATTATGATGCTATATATATTTCCGTCTTTCTTTCTATTCTGCAAGGAACATTGAATCTCTACTTTACGCATGCGTTCAAGATAGATAGACTTCCTTTCAACATAACGGCAAGGGGTCATATCTTATCTATCATTGCTTATCAAAGTGAGACAGGTTGCTATAGAAGGTGTTATCTCTATCATACAAAGAGAAGCCATAGAATGAAGCCACTTTTTGTATTCCACGTGATGATACTGAGATTACCGGCTAAACATCAATTCATTCATATTCATTACGGTCCGGTTCCTGAGAATGTTTAAAGACCGCAAATGACCGCAAATGAGAACTCTCTCAATTCTTTTGGAAGTGAACTTTGATGACCTCAGCATGCTATTAATCAGTGCATATCCTTTTCTCAACCAACGGGAATGATGTTATGAAGTAAGAGATTGAGGATACGGTTGTTTGTCCACGTTGAACGGCGTCTTAGAATTGCTGTTAGCGCCTGAATTGGGCGTTGCAAAAGGTTTACACTGTTGTTATGCCGTAAAAGGGCGTAAAAAGAAAAGCGCCAATGTCAGTGTGAATGGGCGTTAAAGTGCATAACGCTAAGAGGCTACATACCCCATACAAAAGAACAGGAGGAGAACAAAAGGAGGAGTTTTGAGTTTAATTCACATGGTAAAATGAATAGATGGAATGACAAAATGAAGTAACTCAAAAGCGCTCCTTTGTCTCTTTTTCAATGTCCGATCATCAAGCAGCCTCTCTCTCTGTTTCCTGTTTGTGTTCGGCGTTCGATCTTTGCATTTAGACAGAGGAGATTGAAATAAATGGCATCTCACAGCCTTTTGCGGTACACAATTCAAGAATGATGATTTAACCGGTATGCAATGACTTCATTTCCCCCTTCTCCTCTTGTCGGCGTCACAAAAGAAAGGGAGAAACAGTATAAAGTGCACTTTTGCATTCATTGCATCTAGTTTTTCACCCTTTTGTCATCCTATCCTCTTCATCATCATCATCGAATCAATCGACAAAGATGTCTATCCTCAGTCCTCCTTCGAAACCATCAAAATGGCGTTTATCAAACAGACTCAGCAAAAGATCATCAGAGGCTACAATGTCAGAAATTCGATTCAGTCCAATCTCCGATCCAAACAAAATTCCACCTGAAAAGATGAGTAGTTTGATCGGTTATTCTATCAATCCTGCATTTTCAAATGTATTCACAGGATCAAGAACAAATGAAGCAATTCTATCAACAATTGCATCGACTGATTTAACAAAATTACAAAGAAGACCACGTAAACCTTCAGTGAATGATGAAGCAGCATTATATCAAGCAATTCGTCATCTTTCCGAAATAGGATCAAAGGATGAATACAATCTTACCATGCAAGAATTATATGCATGGAGAACGGCAGTAAATATTGCTTATATGACATTCACAGAAGATGGCGTAGTTCCACTTGCTTCATTTGAAGATATGTCAAAACCTGCTGCTTCTCCCTCAACAAAAAAGCCATCTTTGGCAAAAAGTAAATCATTCAATATTCCACGTAAGCCTGTACCTTCTTCATCCGGCTCGATTCCAGAATTGCCACACGATTTGAGCAAGAATCTCAACTCACGGCACAAAGCACCAAGAAAGTATAGCTTACCGACAAGTGGACATAATCCTTTGATTCATTCACCCAAATTACGATCTGGTTTGCCAATCGGACAAATGCATGCATTAAAAGTAGATACAAACGTCAGTCCAGGTTCTTACTTTGGACCTAATGCAGCAACAGATTGGACAAGATCACCAATCAAACCGAATGAGAACAGCATCATTCAATCACCTCTTGGTACTTCAAGTACGTCAACCTTTGATATGAACGAATGGTCAATGGTAACGCCAAGGGCCAATACAACAAAATACCCAAGAACGAGTTCAAAGGATGCCGTGTCACAGCTAGCATACATCTCTGAATCTGGAGAAATGTTCAACAGATTCACAAGGGAAGAATGTGGAACAAGTAAATTGAAAGGAATACCTGACGTAAGTGGAGAGATGGAAAAGACGTACACATATAGCGATTATGGTGATGGTGATGATGGTGATGGTCGTTCATCTTTAGACCATTCAAATCCAACGAATTCCGATCATTCAAGTCCAAGAACTGAAGAAGCACATCTACAGCAATTAGGGTTGTCTTTAGGTACCAACACGCAAAAGAGCCCTCAATATCATCATCATCATCAAATGCCAAGTCCAAGTAAAACACACAACAGTGACTCAAAACAACAACCTCATCCTCCTCCTGCTCCTCGTATTCGCGTTCCACTCAATACAAAACGTTCATTCCAAGATCAACGTTGGGCACCCGGTTCTCGTGATCGCATTAGTGCGCAAGACGATAGCGATGATGATGATGACTATCTCGTCTATTCTACAACCAAAAAGCCAATCCGTAAAGCTTCACAGACAAGAAAGAATGATATGCTAGGCATGTTGGACTTCTTATCAAGTGGTCCTCCCGAATAATTAACTCTGTACTCATTCTCTCTTTACATACATATACCCCCACCACCTTTCTTTGTTGATTGTTGTCTATTACTGCTACTCTCTCTCGTTAATTGGTACTTTTATTTTACTGTGTTGTCAATCGTCTCGTTGCTGCCTCGTCTCGATCACTTCATTAACCGCACTCAGAATATCATATCAAGGATTGAATAGATTGCCTGCGATCTCTGCGCGCTTGTTGGTATGAGTATGTGTTGTAGATACAGTTTCGATATGAGGAAAGAAAAAGAAGGTTAGACAGACTACTGAGAAGAAAGAAGAAAACATTGTGTTGTAATATGATTATAGCGATTCGAAAGAAAAAGAAAGAAGAAGTCAGGTATTACCATCAATCAAGCGGCAACGGTAGATGTACGAGCGCCATTAAAGTTGAAACTGGCAGCTCTTGGACTTGCACACAATTTGGACATGGCTTCCTTGCGTGTTCGACTAGAAATTCTACTGGCAAAATTGACAGAATGGAATTCCGTTGGCGGTCCACGTGGTTGACGACTTGCTTGCAAGCCATTACCGGCTTGTTGAGCAGAGAATGTACGTGCTCTAGAAGCAACACGAGGCGCAGCATTCACTTGTGGTTGTTGTGAGAGCTGAGCAAACATTTGTTGAGCTTTACGTTGACGTTGCTGCTGTTGTTGTTGCTGCTGTTGTTGTTGTTGTTGAGCTTGCAACTCCAACTCAGCTTGCATTTGCGTCAAGATCAAACGTTGTTGCTGTTCAGCCAATTGTTGACGAAGGAATTCCAATTGGTTTTGACGTTGTTGATTGAGTTGATGTTGCATAATCTGAGCTTGCTTTTGTCGAATTAATGCTTCAATGTCAAACACAGATTGTTCGTAAGCCATATTAGCATCTGCAGCGTTTGGCTGACCGTTTGTGGCGCCATACATGCTTGCCAATGCGCCTGGCGATTGACCACCTGCATTGGGAGGACTACCTCCGTTTACAACTTGTTGCATACGCAAGCCTGCAAATTGACTTTCAATCTCATGAACATTGTCCAATGCATGACCATAATTGTTGCTTGGTGTACGACTGCCGGGAGTGAAAGGAGCAGCGCTTGCTTTTAATGTTGCCCCATTTCCGATGGAAGGAGGAGAATTAGAACGAGTACTGGACTCGGATGGGGATGATGCACGAGGTCCGCCGGTACGAAGGCCGGCCAAAAGGTGTGCACGAGATGCCATGATGTCAAAGAAACTTGGCTTTGATTGAGAATTATACAGCGATTTGATTAACCTTTCAAAGGTAATTGTAGTGAAAATTTGCGAAAAGAATAAGATGCTCTGCACCAAAGTTGCTATTGCGATCCCGAGATGATAAAAGAGAAGGTCTTTCGATTGAGAAAAAGACTCTCTGCCTTGAGATGCAAATCAATGAAGTCGAAGTAGTGAGGTAGGTGAAGAAAATTGGATTGAAATCCTTTGACTAGAACTGAATCGAAGATAGTCGAGCTTGTTCTTGGTCTTGAAAGTAGGAGAGGTGGTATTTTTTTGGAATTATTTATAATTTTTTTATTTTGAGCCTATGATCGATTGAAGAATGAACGCCAACTTGACGTTGAATCGGTTGAAGAAAAACAAGAAGTGAAACGAAAGCCGGAAGAATTGAAACGAAAAGAGGGGGGAAGGAGTCGATGAAGGAAGAGTACACACACAAACGCAAACAAACACACGTACGCTCACACGTACGTATAGCACGAGAGTGAAAAGAAGGTGATGATCATAAACAGAGTTGGAAATGGCGAAAACAAGACGCCCAAATAGAATGAGAGCGAGCGAGAGAGGCATCAAAGACCAGTCTTTGGATTTGACAGGTAATTTACATTCGGCTGCTCAACTGCCTCAAAACGCCACATTGACGGGCAAAAATTCATTTTAAGAATGAGCCCACGCCGTCATTCTCTTTCCACCAGTCAGTGAGACGCGTGCTGGGCGAAGTGGTCAAGAAAAATAAACAAGGCGCCCTGTTGTGCTGGGCTTAGAAGAGAAGGGCTCTTGCGCAGTGCAGTAATATCATTTCAGAGGCGTATCGGCACCGGCGTATCATCAGCATGTTGAAATTGATGGTTGTTGCCCTTGCATCTCCCTTACTCAATCATGGCACACAGCGGTTTGGCTTTATCCGTAAAGAAGGAAGGTCACTTACCTATTCAAAAGTATATATAATTTGCATTCAATCCAAGACTATAATCAAAGAGGCTAACTTGAAGTATATATAACATATAAGATCTGACATATCTTGATTGTTGTACATCAGAATACACTTTCTGGTCTTATGAGCTTAATTTGACTCGGATTAAGCATTGCAGATACATTGAACTGGACTCAGCTTTTATGCGTGCGTATCTGACAGAATGAGCGCCGCACTTAAGCGGGAAGAGAGGTTCGCGCGTAATCAAGGACAATTGACTTCTCTGCCGTTGTTGGATTATTTGACGCGTTTGAGCTTAGTCATTCCGGTAGAGGATTACTCCGATTAGAGCACTTATCCTCGGAGCTCGGTCACAATTCAACAAAGCTTTCAGTGCGTAAGCGAGTCCTTGTCATTGCAAAGCAACACTGGAGTGTGTACACACGCTTGTGCTTTTTGCTGATCTGATTTTCACCTGCACACACTTGCAGACCTTTTGCCCTTCTTTTTAACCTTACTTAACGGATCTCCGTCTTCCTTTTCTGCATTTTCTTCATTTGTGTTGTGTGTGCTACTCACTCTATTCTTTGATTCTTCTTTTCACATCCTTTGCCCCGCACTATCATCCTACATCACAACGTTTGTTTGCCCCTCATCATGGTATCGTCAACGGATCTTCTCATTTTAGGTAAGTGCGGAATGGTGATACATACGTCCAGTACAAATTGGCTTACTTCATTCTATCTCCTTTCTCAGGCTTGGGCGCTGTTCTGGCGGTCTTGTACCTTTACAAGGATTCCATCTTTGGTAGTTCGGACGCTTCTGCTAAACTTGCAAATGGCTTAGCAAATGGTTCAACTGGCGAAGAAGGAGGAAGTGATTTCGTTTCAAAATTGAAAAATCAAAATAAACGAATTGCCATCTTTTATGGATCTCAAACAGGTACAGCAGAAGAATATGCTGTAAAAATTGCAAAAGAAGCAAAAGCTCGATTCGGTACATCATCTTTAGTCTTGGATCCGGAAGAATATGAATGGGAAAAATTGGACGCTTTACCCAAAGATTCAGTCGCTATTTTTGTCATGGCAACTTACGGTGAAGGTGAACCAACAGATAATGCAGTCGGCTTGATGGAATTCTTGAAGGAAGACAGCATCACATTCTCACAAGGTGAACGATTGGACAATTTGAATTATGTCATCTTTGGTCTCGGTAATCGTACATACGAACACTTCAACCAAGTTGCGCGCGATTTAGACAAGAAATTGCTCGACCTTGGTGCTCACAGAATCGGTGAAAGAGGTGAAGGTGATGATGACAAGAGTATGGAAGAAGACTACCTCTCTTGGAAAGATGATATGTTTGAAAAGCTTGCAAAGGAGGCCAACTTTGAAGAAGGTGGCGGCGGTGAAGTTCAAGATTTCCAAGTCACCGAATTATCAGATCACAAAGAAGAAGCAAAGGTTTACAAGGGAGAATTGAGCGCTCGTGCTTTGTTGGGTACAAAGGGTATTCATGATGCAAAGAACCCATACGCAGCTCCAGCTACTACTGCACGAGAACTGTTCGCTATGGATGGCGAACGTTCTTGTGTTCACATGGAATTCGACATTGAAGGAAGCGGTATTTCCTACCAACATGGTGATCACGTTGCCGTTTGGGCAAACAACCCAGAGAGTGATGTTGACCGTATGTTGGCAATTCTCGGTCTTACTGAAAAACGCAATACTGTCATCAGTGTAGAAAGTTTGGATCCTACTTTGGCAAAGGTACCTTTCCCTGTGCCTACAACATACGAAGCCGTCTTCCGCCATTACCTCGATATCTCTTCTCACGCTTCTCGTCAATCGCTCGGTAGCTTGTCCAAATATGCCCCATCTGAAGCAGCCGCCAAAGAATTGGAAAAGATTGGTTCAAGTCGTGATTATTTCAATCAAAAAGTTGCTTCTCGTTGCCTAAAGACAGGTGAAGCTTTGCAACTTGTGGCCGGCGACGACCCAAAGGGCGATTTGAGCAAGGCGACTGTTTGGAACATTCCTTTCGATCGTGTCATCTCCAGCATCCCGCGTCTCGGTCCACGTTACTATTCGATTTCCTCCAGTCCAAAATTGCATCCTAAATCCATTCATGTTACCGCTGTCGTCTTGCGTTACTTACCAAAAGAAGGCCAAGAGCATATTTATGGATTGGCAACCAACTACTTGACCCAGGTCAAGGCTCAACTCAATTCTGAACACCCTGACAAACGATTCAACACGCCCAAATATGCCCTTGAAGGTCCTCGTGGAGCGTATAACCGCGAAGGTGTCATTCGTACACCTATTCATGTCAGAAGGAGTAACTTCCGTTTACCAACATCCCCAAAGATTCCAGTGATCATGGTGGGACCTGGAACGGGTGTTGCACCTTTTAGATCTTTTGTGCAAGAGCGTGTTTCTGCAGCACAAAAGTCTAAAGATAAAAATGGTCCTCAAGCTTTGGCGGATTGGGGACAAATTTGGTTATTCTATACATCTCGAAGACGTACGGAAGATTTCTTGTATGAAGAAGAATGGCCAAGATATGCGGAAGAATTGGGTGATCGATTCAAAATGGTTACCGGTTTTAGTCGTGAACAATTCAAATCGGATGGAAAGTCAAAGAAATACGTTCAAGATTACATCTTGGAAAATGGACAGGCATTGGCAGAGGATATCTTGCAACGTAAAGCTTATGTTTACGTTTGTGGTGCAACAGATATGAGTCATGACGTCGAAAAAGCATTTGTTCAAATATTGGCAAAAGCAAAAGGATCAGAAGAAGAGGGTAAGAAAGAAGTTAAAACACTCAAAGAACGTTCTCGATTCTTGCAAGATGTGTGGAGTTAGGCGGATTTTTTGATTCTTGTTCAATCTAGATATTCTCAGCTAGTATATAATTTTGGATATAATCCCACACCACAAATGGAGATAATTGTTCTTTCATTCAATACATTTATTGCATAATCTAGAGTAGTAATAATCATTGTTGCAAGTATTTCTCCCATGCTTTCATCTCTACCGGCCTTCTTGGTGCTTCACGCTCTGTCCATTTGCGGAACTGATGACAACCTTGTTCGAGTACAATTGTTACACCAGTAATTCCGGTCCATAATTTACCATTTCGTAAGTTGTGTTGATCAACTTTTTCAGCGGAAGAGTTGAAAGTTTCATTAGTGATCCTGACCAGTTCTGTTAATGGTGTCTTGAGAGGTTTGTATGACATCTCGATGGCAACTCCACCTTTAGGATGTGATAAGATCTCATTTGGCAAGATGATACCTTCACCTTTGTTGAATTCCGAAATGACACCATCGTCCAATCGTGTACCGGTTGATGGAACGTTGCTCACAATGGCAACGGGTGCATTGGGTAATTTGCGCAAATCAGTCACGACTTCAACTTTCCATTCTGCCGGAACTTCTTCGGCCAACTTTTGAGCATTTGCAGTTGTTCTGTTGTATAACAAAATTCTTTGAGCGCCTAATTGATGCATTGCAAACAAAGCAGCACGAGCTGAACCGCCCGCTCCGATCACCAAAGCTGTCAAATTGGGTTCGCTCAATTGAACGGGCGAGAGATTGCGCACACACATCTCTTTGATAGCAATCCAATCCGTATTGTCACCTTCCAATTGGATCTTTCCAGTCTTTGCGTCAAGGATTGGTGTGACCGTATTTACTGCTCCGATCACTTTTGCTTGTGGAGTGATAACATCCAGTAAAGACATGATGGCCAACTTGTGGGGCATTGTAACACTTGCACCACCAAATGACGGCGATCGAATGAATTCTACTACAGCAGGATCATCTGCTTTTGCGCTCTCCAAAAGACCATAATGATGAGGCAAGCCCAATTCGGCAAAGGCTGTATTGTGCAAGCAAGGACTTAAGCTGTGACTGATTGGTGTACCCAAAAGACAAAATTGTCTCGAAGGCAAGAGGCCTAGCAAATGCAAAGCTTGTTGAATTTGACGATAAGTCAATTGACCCGGAGCTGCTTTGAAAGGCATACTCTCATGTGTGATTGGACTCAAGACCGGGTTGAGTACGCGGGAACCTTGCCCAGCTTCGCCCATGTTGATGGCCAACAAAGGTCTCGCATCAGGCAAAGAGGCGACCTTTGCACGGAATTGTTCCAATTGCCAATTTACACTTACATCGTTTGCCTTGCCGACAATTTTTGCGATATCACCCACATTTGCAGCCAATTGGTAAGCTTTCAAAGCTTCAGGGCTATCCCATCGGAACGATCCAGACCAATCATGGTGGGAAGCCAGAATGTTCGAGTGACCTTTGTGAACCTTTACCGCATCCAAACGATCCTTCGACCAATGAATTTCGAGGTCAACATATTCGCATGCGTTTCGCAAACCTAATTTGAGCAATTCAAAATATTCATCTTCAGCACCGTCAGGGAACATACCACCTTGCTTTTGCGTTCGGATCACGTAAACGATTGGTAATGTAGTACGTTGGCGAAGGGCAGCTAATTGTGTGGCGACGTAGCTCAATGGAGGAATGTGAGGGGCAGTTGGCGGCTTGCCTGAGGGATGCAACAAATCCACACGAACTTCGATGGCATCAGCCCCTTGGGTCACCTGGTCAATAAGTGGCAGAGCAGCTTTTAGATCGGGGAAAGTGAGAGAAACAAAGTAGGTCCTCCTAGACTGTATGTCTTGCACTTGGTTGGTCTCCACACCTGCGATGAAGCGAAAGAATCGAGCAACTTCTGCTTCCAGACCCACGGGTTTACAGATAGAGGCTTCTTTCGATGGAGGCCCAAAAGTAGAGCTTCTCTTGTCTTTTGAAGCTACATCAAGTGATCCTGCGGTATCAACATCGAATGCATGAGGAACATCCTTGTCTCGAGAGTAGCTGACCAATTCGTAACTTGAACATTCATAGAACCAAGGTTGACGACGTTTGGCCACATCGCGAACCGGCTCTCCATAAGCGGGTCGATCGCTTGTTTCCAAGAAGTGGACCACCTCATCGATGTCACGCACGACGTAAACGACTGGCCCTTTCGATCTAGCCCATTCACGCAGCAATAGACGATTTTCTTCTGTTTCTACAACACCACCTCCCAAAGAAACCAGATGGCCTTGGCCATAGTCATGCATAATCTCTTTCAACAGATCTGTTTCTGCCTTTCGGAACGCTGGCCACCCATTCTTTGCCACAAATGTGTTCAAATCATACTTTTGGTTGAAAAGCACGTCAGCATCAATGAATGGACGTTTCAAAGCAGCAGCACCAAATTTGCCCAAATAGGTCTTACCCGAAGCACGCATACCGATACAAAAGATTGTTGCATTGGCAGGGTATTGCACGGGCGTAAGACTTTTACTGATTCGGCTTAGCTGAATAGTATCCGCTGATTTGGATGAGCTTGGTTTGGGTAAATCCACACCTTGTACACCCAAACCCATTTTGCGTTCAAGATCATCCCACCAATTCGGCCAAGTCTTCTCAACGCAACGTCTTTCTTCAATAATGCATCCTTGATGTGGAGCAAGAGTTGCCAAAACGCTGAAAGCCATTGCCACACGATGATCGTCATAACAATGCACTTGAACGTCACTGTTCAACTTTGCAGGTGGAATTCCAAACACCTCCAAACCATCTTCATGCTCAACAGTTTTGACGCCAAATTTGGCCAATTCATCCATCATTGCACGAATACGGTTACACTCCTTCACGCGTTGATTGGCTATGCCAGTGATGCGAGTTGAGACATTCTTGCCATCTTGCGAAGGTTGAGCGACGGCCAATAAAACTGATGCGGTCAAAAAGGCATCAGTCATTGGTTCCATATCAACGATACCGATTTGCTGAAGCTTTCCGATTTGAGGTCCTTGAACTGTTGTGCTGGTCTTTGTTTGAGTCACACGACATCCCATCGGCTCCAAAACATCCTTTGCAAAGCGTGCATCTCCTTGAAGACTGGCACTACCGATGTTAGGCACTGTGCACGTTGTACCAAGGATGGCCGCCAATGCGAGAGGATAAGTTGCACTGCTAGCATCACTTTCGATATCGTACGTTTCTGGGTTGACATAACAACCACGCGGGATGCGATAGGTATTTAGCAATGCACCAGTCTTTGCATCTTGCAATCGTTCAACATGTACACCAAAGGATGCCATCATTGCGATAGTCATATCAATGTATGGTTGTGAGATAACAGCACCTCCTACCAAATCCAAGATGATCTCTTCTTTGGCATACGGTGCACACAGAAGAATGGAAGAGACGTATTGACTACTGATCGTAGCGGCTAATTCAATACGACCTCCTTTCAAACCTGCAGAGCTTGCGGAATCGTTCGATCCAATTCGTAATGGCAAGCATCCTGATGATTCGACGTAGTCTATTTGAGTGCCATTCGAGCGTAAAGCATCTACTAAAGCGCCAATTGGGCGCTCCTTCATACGTTTGTTACCGGTAATGGTCACTTGAGATCCATTGTCTCCCTTACTGACTAATGCACAAACGGTTGTCATGAAGCGTGCTGCTGTGCCTGCGTTTTGCAAGTAGATTTCTTTTCCTTGCGGAGGTGCATGCAAATTACCTTGTTTACCAGTCACGACGATCGTTTCACCACCGTCTTCCCATGCGAAATCTGCAGCCTGTAATAAATCCAAACCTGCCATCATCACTCGTGTGTCGTCTGAGTGCAACAAATTTCTCAATCGACACGGTCCCTTTCCCAAGGCTGCCAAGACCAAAGCACGATTAGAAATCGATTTGGAGCCAGGCGTAGAGATGGTAACTTCTGCATTAGGAGCTTTGATGGCAGCAGGAGTAACGCGAGCTGCTGTACTGAGAACACGACGGATGATATCATCTGGTACTGTACTCGCTTTTTCCTCCAAAGTGGCACCAATTCGTTTTAACAGCACAATCTTCTTTTCGCTTCCTGCATTCTTTTTGTCTACACGCATGATGTCCAATAATCTGTCAACAGTGCAATCAGAAGATCGAGCCAATCTAGTAACCCTTGCATCGTCCATCGTGACTGGCAGATTGTACTCCTTCAAGCAGCGAGTAAGGCGTCCAATTGCAACCTGCGAAAGTCCATTTGTAAAGCGTGCAATCTCAGCTTCTAAGATCATACCGATAGAAACACACTCTCCGTGCAGCATATCCGGTGTAAGGACGGCTTCGATGGCATGTCCGACGCTATGACCGAAGTTGACTAGGTTGCGTAATCCCGTTTCTTTCTCATCAATGGTGACGATGTGTGCTTTGACACCTACAGATCCGCGAATGACGTCGAGCAAGAGAGTTTGCGCCTCAGTTCGTGTATCAAGCGTTCTACCTTGATCCTTGGGAGCACTTTTGTCGAAAGGTCCCAAGACTGCGGATCTAATTGCATTTGCTTTTGATTCTAGCTTGGCAAAATCATCTGCATCCCAGATTGCAGCTGTTTTGACAACTTCTGCCATTCCGTTGCTCCATTCACGTTCGGGTAAGGTTTGAAGGAAAGCGGCATCGATAAAGATGAAATTTGGTTGATGGAATGCTCCGATGAGATTTTTTCCGTGGGGTGTATCGATTGCTGTTTTACCACCAACAGCAGAATCCACCATGGCCAAGAGTGTTGTTGGAATTTGACAGAATTTCAAACCACGCATAAATGTTGCAGCAACGAAGCCGATCAAATCTCCGATCACTCCACCTCCCATTGCCAGAACGACAGCATCTCTTGTCACTGCTTCACTCAAGAGCCAGTCTTCCAAAGCGGCTTTGGTATCGCGTGATTTTGAGACTTCACCTGGTGCGATTGTACGAATGAGAAGGCGAGGCTTCTTTGCTGCATTGTTTGTCGTTTGCTTCGCAAGAACTGCATTGAATTCGTTTATGAAGGTGTCCAAATGCAAAGCGGCAATATTCGTATCAGTGACCAAGACATAAGTGGAAGAAGGTAATTGGTGCAAAACGGTATGAACGATGTGAGGAATAAGATGAAAACCAAGATCGATGGTAGAAGTTAGACATCGTAATCGATGAATCGTTGCTCCCGTCGGCCCTTCAATTGGTGGATCATGATAGCTGGCTGCCTTTGCTCCAGCATTCGAGGCTGCAGCCATACTGCCGAGACAAAGTACAGAGAAAAGGGTATGACGGTCAAGATGTATGCAAATGCGGTTCTTTACGCTTTAATTTTAAGAAGAATTGGATTAGCGGAGTCATTGAAAAAAAAAGACTAAAGAATAATCAATTAAGGCTCCTCAACCATACGCGGCAAAAGAACCTTTTTATCGAAGGGCACGGCAGCCCAGAAGGCAGTTTCCCCAACTTCGTGTGCCTGAACGATTATGTAAGCACATATTCTATCAATTATACAAATCAATAGCTTCAACTTAATATGTCGCAAGAGGACATTTGAGAGGATATCTAGACAGTAAATGATAATGGTATCTCAGCAGATCTTGAAGAGCAAGGATTCTAAATTAATAGCAGAAGTTCTCTCCATTACATAACACGACCAACTTATAACGCGTCGCGAAGAAAATTAATGTTTTCTTTGGTTAGACTTGAACTGATAAATGCTTATCCAACACTGAACGGGACAAAGTTGAACTTTAATGAATATTTTCTGAAGAACAAATCAATCAACTTTCTACATGAAGATCACCTTCATAACCAACCCAAAACAACTTCTGGCATTCGGTGAAACCTTTTGCATATCCTTCCATCGATAACATCATCGCTTTAAACAACTTTTGTTCCTATGACCCTACTACGGTAATACAACTCTACTCTGACCAATGTCGCGCATATTGGCACCTGATTCAAGCCCATTTCGTCACAACTCAAACAATTCAAAGAGTATGAATAACGCTCATGGATCGGGTAATACCTTCAAATCGAACGGAAACCGATCAACATTAGACTTTACCCGAACAAAATTTGAAACTCGGTCTCGGTCACCGGAAGAAATTAAAAAGAGCGCATATAGTGAGAAAAATGGTGAAAGGAAGCCAGGAAGTTCGTCTAGCATTCCATCTCAAAGGCTTAAAGTCAATTCACAATCTGGCAGCAGCCTCAAACGATACAGTGCAGAAAATTCAGAGAACGAAGACTTGAGCGGATCAGAGGCTACGACAGGATCGATTAATAAACGCTTCAAATCTACTCTGCAAAAGTTCAAATATGACGGCCCCGATAAGAAAAACAATGACGCCGAAGAGTATTCATCACTTTCGGACCTGTCTGCCGAAGAAAATGAAACGCGGGAAGAAAAACCAAAGAAACGTAAATTTGTATTAGGACGAGCAAAAGCAGATTCAGATCAAGACAAATCCTCTGATGTTGAAATGGTGGAGAGCAAGCCTCCAAAAAAGCCTGTCGCATTATCTTCACAAGAATTGGCAGACATTAATGCAACAGTAAATCGAATACAAAAGGTAAGAAATTCATTTACCCGAGAAGAAGTAAGAGAGGCTTACGAAGAAGCTGGTCGGGAAATACGACCCACATTGACGCTATTGGACGAACGATCAGCGAATCGAATAAGAACGAAAAGAGTCATTCCTGAAAGTCCGAGCGAAGCTGGAACTCCACAAAAGCCTTCGAATCACAGTGCATCTAGAACGTCTCTGTCACCCTCTCAAACTCGCTCAATGATCAGTTCTAACCAACAAAAACGCCCGCCGATCAAAAACGCTATCAAGGTTACGACTAAATCTGCTCCTGTGCCACGGACAAGCTCTTCGCCCAGTCCACAAATACAGAAAGTCATCCAGAATGGAAAGCCTGCTCCCGTTCAAAAAGTAGTGCAAAAGGTCGGACAAAAGAGCAGTGCCCGTTCTACACCATCAATAGATGTGCTCGATTCCGATCATTTTTCTGATGATGATGGAGGTTCAGATGTCGAGGAAGCTAAGCAGGAGAAAGGCGAGTTGAATGCTTTGAGCTGGTTCAATACCAGCACAAGTGAACAGCTAGTCGATATTGTGGGCGTGACAGCGGAACAAGCCCAAACTATCATCAATTTGCGTCCTTTCGATGATACGGATGATGTTGACCACAAATTGAGAGGTGCAAAAGGAGTTCAGCCAAGATTGTTCTACGATTGCATTGATCTTATGGCCGCTTTGAAACGTGTCGATGGTGTTTTGGCAGATTGTACTGGAATGGCCAACAAATTGAGCACAGCATTTGCAAAATGGGATACATCGAACGGGGGCAAGAATAACACTGATGTGAACTACCTACACAAACAGCCAAAAGGAGCAAAAGAAGGTGTGATATTGCGAGACTTTCAACTTTATGGCGTCAATTGGCTCAACCTTTTGCATCGTATGCATTGTTCGGGCATCTTGGCCGATGATATGGGCCTGGGTAAAACTGCTCAAGTAATCTCCTTCCTTAATCATATCACCTTTTCCCGTAAAGTGCGACCGCATCTGGTAGTAGTTCCGAGCTCGGTCATCACAAATTGGATGCGAGAGTTTGAGACTTTCGGAACAAATCTAAGCGTTTTCAAGTATCACGGATCTCAGTCTGAACGTATACAACAGCAACACGAGCTTAGAGGTGCAAGGGATGATTATGATGTGATCATTACTACGTACGAAATGGCAGCCGGTGGAGAGAGGGATCATAAATTTTTGCGAAAGTATGATTTTGAAACGGCAATCTTTGATGAAGGACACGTTCTCAAAAATCAAAAGTCTATCAAGCACGAGAAGATTATGAGAATCCGTAGCAAGTGGAGACTACTCTTGACTGGAACTCCTTTGCAAAACAATTTGGCAGAGTTGATTTCGTTATTGAAATTTATCATGCCTCACTTTTTCGATGGAGCGGATGAAGCCTTGCAGCATATTTTCAAAGTCAATCGTCAAACACTGTTATCTCGCGAACGAGTCAACCATGCAAAACAAATGATGAGACCGTTCACGCTGAGAAGGACAAAGCTAGAAGTCTTGGACAATTTGAAAAAGAAGACTGAAAAGGTGCGATATTGCGAAATGACGGAAGCACAAGCTGCTTTGTACGAAGAATCATTTGCCAAGACTAAAGCGGCAATCATGGCAGCTCAAGAAGGAACGGAAGATTCTGCACCACCAAAACGAAAAGGACAGAAAGGATCAGGAACAAAGCCAGATCAACAAGCCGCTCATTTGATGCAATTACGTAAAGCAGCCAATCATCCTTTGCACTTCAAGAGATTGTATACGGATTCCAAGATTGATGCTTTGGCACGTGATTGTATCCGTGTTGCTGAACATGCTGATGAAGACTTGACGGAGATCAAAGAAGATTTTGCAATCAATAGTGATGCCGAATTATGCATGTCTATTGCAATGCAATACAAGGAATGCTCAAAGCATATTCTACCTGAGCAAGAATGGATTAATTCCGGAAAGATTGCGGCACTGAAAGAGGTGATCGAAGAAGCAAAATCGCAAGGTGAAAGATTGATAATCTTTAGTCAATTCGTTCAAACGTTAGAGATCGTTTGCAGAGCCTTGGAAGTGTTTGGTATTTCTTATCGTGGTTTCACTGGAAGTACAAAGGTTAATGATCGACAAGAATTGGTTGACGAGTTTACACGGGATAATTCGATCACATGCTTTTTGCTCAGTACAAAGGCCGGTGGAGTTGGTATCAATTTAACAGCGGCCAATTGGGTAGTCTTATTTGACCAAGATTTCAATCCTCAAAACGATCAACAAGCAGCCGATAGATGTTATCGCATCGGACAAGAAAAGGAAGTCAACATTATTCGTTTGATCAGCAAGGGTACAATTGATGAGCAAATTTATGAATTAGGTAAAACGAAATTGAAGTTAGCAGAACGTGTTCAAGGAAACGACGAGGAGGGAGTTGATGGAGAAGAAGTGGAGAAAAAGGTGGAACAAACACTTATGGCTGGAATTATGGCCAGCAGAAGTGCTGCAGCAAAAGGAGTTGTGTAAGTTGTCTCAATTTTGTATCATTACAGGTGCTTCCTATTTCATACCACATACATAGATTTCGTCGAATCAAATGCAATATAGAACATGTTTTTGGTGACATCAGAAAATTTCACGTGAAGTGACGTGAAAATGATTTTAAGGGCATGCTATTGATTTTTGCGGATGATCTATTTTCAAGCGAGACTGAATGAGATGATGTAGCGAGACTGGAGAGTGAGTTACAGAAAATGAACAAATATTAGCAATACGTACGTGAAGTTTGCATGTATGGGGAAAGGGAATCGTAAATAAGGGTATTTGTACACTTCATTATATGTGCATTATCGAATCGGGGAGGGTCGTTAAAATTTTTTGCTTCCCTATCATGCGTCAGCCAAACTTCTTATTCCGACGGAAGAATGCTGACCATGATCTTTGCCTTCTTGTGCTATGTGAATCACTTCGATCACCATGATGATCTGTAAGGGGTGCTGTATGCGGCAAACTTTGTGCAGGATCATGCTGCAAAAAGCTTCCTTGTTGATCTGCCATGGTCACAGCCGATCGCACAGGAGGTGAAATTTGATCGGTTTTTCTTGAATCAGGTAAGTGCAAACGTAAGGATTGAGGTACACTACTGTTCCTTTGACGTTGCTTTTTGGTATTTTGTGGCTGCTGTTGTTGTAAAGAGCTGAAATTTTGCATTCCACTTTGTGCCGAATCACCGGTAAAGTATTGAGATGTGGGCGAAGGTCTGTTCTCAAACATAGAATTGGAAATGCTACCTTGCGTACGATGACTTGAACGTGATTGCTTCTTCCCGAACAAACCACCTTGATCTGATCCGCCACGTAAAGAAGCATGACTTTGTGTTGTACGCAAAATTGCACTGCCCAGATTTAAACCTAAAGCACTTCCAGATCCTTTATGAAGTTCCGAGTTGTCCAACTGTTCCACACCTTCCATTTGAGAAAATGATTCAGATTGTCCTGCATCGCTTGCATAGAATGGCCTTGCTGTTTGTTCGCCGCCTTGTATCGGTACTCTAGGGTCGCCCATAGCTGAATTACGTGGCTGCAATCTCATCGAAGATGCCATACGTGAGAAGATCGAGGTTCGACTTACTTTTCCCTTCAAAGTTTGCCTTCCCGGTCGATGATCTGCCATAAGGTTTCCGTTTGATTGAACACTTGACAAAGATTCAGTGCGTTCCCTTCCTTGACTTGGGCTGCGCGAATCATCCCTGTATTGTTGTGGGCTACCTGGGAATTTGTTCATGCTGCTTTGTTGCTTTGGTGTTACAGGTAACAATGTTTCCATCAAAGGAGTAGTCATATGCGTTTGCACTGATGGACTAACGGAAATCGCATCTTCCGCTCTTCTTGCCACATTCGCCATTTCCGTACTGAATGATGATCTTCTTGAGCTTGAACCCTTTGTTTCATGCATAAGAGCTGTAGGTCGATGATATGCTGTCATATTACGGCCATCCGGATGTAGAGGTGAGAAACTGCGTTGTGGTGCACCAGGTGAAGCGAGAGGGGAAGATGCCAGTGGACCATTTGACTGACGTGAGCCGCTGTTGGTTTGATCTTGAATGATTGCAATACGAGCATTGACAGGCTGACTTGGCAAAGACAGATTTACTTCCGATGCGTTCATACGTACATCACCGATCAAAGATGACTTGGACGTCATGAATGATGTTGATGGCGTGACATCGATATTGTGCGGCTCATCTGGCATAGACAATTGTACGCTTGAAGCTGAAGTGACGGATCGAGCAATCGATTGTGCACGAGAAGGAGCTCTGGAAGGCAAGTCCATATCGATCTCGCTCATATACTCAACATTGCTACCTGTATGTGCATCAAGGTATTCCAGAACCATAGCAGCGGATGGTCTCGAGTCTAAATGATAGAAAGCTGCTTGTAGCATGTGGATAAAAGGTGCCGAAAGACAATCAGCATAAGCTGGAAGTGCAACACCTCTCTCCACAACGCTCATGATACGCAATCCGTAAAGTCGTGCCCATTGATGGAATCGCGGTAGGCTGTCATTTGAAGAATGCAGAGGCCATAATGGTTGCAAAGCATCTACGTCTGTCTCGAATGAGAAGTCAAATGCACATACGGTGCTAGAAGATGGTCTAGACGCCGGCTCGATTGTTCGCAGTGTCAACGATAGCAAAGAGCAACCCCATGACCAGACATCAGCTTTGATACCCCAACCTCTCTTGAAATCGCGATGAGCCACAGAAAGCAATGCCGTACTTGGGTGACGAGGGAGTCTGTTCTTGTTTGTCACATAATCATCCAAGACATTGCGGGCCATGCCATCCGAAGAGAGATATCTACCTGCTTGTAGCAATACTTCCGGCGCCATGAAATGAGGTGAACCAGTCAAAGAACCCAGTCCTTCACATAGAATGTCTTCTGGTCTTTGCATCTCAATTTGCCCATTTTGTACTGCTTGATCAAGTTCTTCTACAGCTGTTGTCCTCTCCTTGGCGAGATTGTGCAATCGAACCCATCTTCTAGAGGCACCCAGATCAATCAATTTCACCGCTCCTGATCTTGCATCTCTCATAAAGTTACTCGGTTTCAAATCTCCATGAACGATCGCATGACTATGAAGGAATTTCAAACCTGCAATTGCATCTTTGGCTGTATTTTCAACCTTTTCGACTGACCAAACTTGTTTGCTTTTTGACCAACCACGAGAAGTAAGTTCAGCGTCCAAATCAACCAATCTCTCGAATACCAACAATCTTGGAATTGGTGGACCACTGCTAGATTCATCACTATCATCATCTCCACGCGAACCAGACATCGGTATATCGGCCAACAATCTAACACAATGAGATTTGTGTGCTTTGATATCTTCCATCGCTTGACACATTTGCAAATATCGTAACAAACGTGCTTCTCCTCTAACGATTCTTGTATGTTCACCAATAGGATTTCCTGCTGCGATTTCTTGAGCAGCAATTTTTGCTTCTGTACGACCGATTCCCGTCTTTGGTAATTCATCATAAGAACCAGAAGTAGGTGTTCGACAAACTTTCACCACGACTACAGCAGGTGCTTTATTTCGATGATGTTTTGTAATCGTTGCTCCACAAGGTGGCGAAGGCGGTACAGATCCACCTCGAACGGCGCTTGCTTTAATGTTGTTTGCTGAAACTGATCTTGTCAAATCCATCTTTGTGTCAGAAGCTGAAAGTAAATTTGACCTTCTCTTTGACATATCTGAATTGCCTGTCAAATCGCAATCTGCGCTACTGACAGTCGTTTCCAATACGCTAGTAGGAGGAGTGAAACTGTCGTCACGTACATATCTGTACGCCGTCCCAAATCCACCTTTTCCAATCACTGCACTGGTTGCATCGTTTGAATCTCCTTTACGTAAGTATCTTTGATAGAAGCTATCCCTACATGCATCACCTCGAACAGCAAAGTGCAAAGTGAGAGGAGGAAGTGGTAGCTTGAGCGAATCTGTTGGCGGCTGTGGTGTATTGTTCACCGGCGCAGCTTGAGAGGATGGCATATTGAGTCGCCACGAGACTTTGCGTTCTGATTTGCTTGATTGATTAGCTTTCTTGGCCGTTGATGAGATGAGTAGAGTTGATGGAATCGATGTTGGATGCAGCTTGAATTACGGTTTTGTGGTGAAAGTGAAAAAAAAAGATTTTCTTGATTACCTTTCTGATTGATGAATTTGTTGGCCGGGAGCAAAGAAGTGCTTTAAATGGTAAATTGGGTCAGATTTCTCGATTGTCTGAGATTGGATACGGGTAGTGCAAAAAAGAAGTTGACTTTATTTTGGTGTCATGAAAAGAAGCTGGGTTGAAATGCAATGTGCTGGCACTGTAAACGTATGTTATGGTGTGTGTGTGTGTATCACTGGAAATCCCAATTGAACCTTCCTCTCCGTTGTGTGCTCTCCCTCTCTCGCGTTTGCTGCTGCTCTTTGAATGAATGTTGAAATGAGGCGTGAGGAAAGGGCGCAGTACCTATAAATACGATTCAAAAGAAAGCGGCGGTCAAAATCACTCCATCGAACGGCGCCGTTTATAGGTGGTGTGCATATATGTAAAAAGGAAGGAAGAGGGTTTTAATGCTGTTTGTGTTTTTGGGCACAAAAATAAAACCAAAAGGGAAACTTGAAATGAAATTTGCGTAACCTCCGTTCCTGTTCAGTAAACTTCAAAGTACAATTTTATGCCAAATGTACACATTCATCAACCAATATTTGATAGGAGATCTTTGGGTAGGCGTACATTGAAGACACACCCTATCAAAACTCCAATTCTGTTCTCCTTTTTCTTGGTGCCCCTCTAGCGAAAGGAGTGCGTTGGCGTCAAGGAGGAGCAATAAAGTTATCCTTGTACGTTTATATGAAACGGCGATTTGTCTTTCTTTCTTGGCTTAAGGAAGGTCTCGATGATGAAAAAGGAAAATTACGCCCAATCTCCTTTGACTTTGATAGTGACTTGTTCAAATGCCGCTTTTATTGCGCGGAAGCCACAAAAACTAAACACAGCCAACGATCGCCAAGCTTGAACGGATGTAGAGTTGCCGATGATGAAAAAAGAGAAGGGTTGCCAAAGATGATGGTTAAAGGATAAAAGAAGACGGAGTTTATTGAACTTTATTCTGTTTGATGAGCGTTTTGATAGACATTCTTTGACATAAAAGAAACGAAGGTCCGGCAATCTTCATCTTTTGGGTAACAAATCAACATTCACGCCACTGATTATTGCATGCAAGCAGATCATGCATCAATGCGCAATGCATTGCCTTTAAAGTTGGAATAAATCAACCTGTCATCAAGAAGAAAAACAAGGCGATAATAGATAAAAAAGCAAAAACAAAAGAAGCCTTTCGTTCCTCTTCTTGTACGAGCGTAGAATGTTTACATGGGTCTTGCCGGCAAATAGGTGGGGGGAATGCACACATATCAAGTCTTCGGAGAATATTTCATACTTTATCATGAAGTTCGGACCCCTTTGCTCTTTTTTGTTTGACTGCTTTCACTCTGTTCATTTCACTTTAGTGAGAACAGATCGCCCTTCTAGTGCAATTCTTTCCAATTTGTTACTGTGTCCGTACCACCTTTCTCGTCCTGCATTACAGAGGTCATTGCTCAAATTGTAAAGTTGAATGAATGCATTGAAGGACGTGTTATGAGAAACGATCTGAGCGTTCAAAGGTGAAGCGTGAGAACACTCAATGAGTGTGATACAGTGAGTATTCAGTATATGATTCTATCATTACCCTTTTCTGATATCTGCGGCCATAGAACCGTGAAAGTACCGCATCCCGTCCGATCTGCGAAGTCAAGCACGGTATCGCCTAGTCAGTACTGCGGTGGGGGACCACGCGGGAATCCTGGGTGCTGCAGTTCTATACTTTTTTTACCTTTTTTGGTTCTGACAGGTATCGAATCGCTTTTAGCGCGTTACCTTACTGTACCTTATTGTTGCCCAGCTGATAAGTGTAAGAACGGAATCAAGAAGCAGTAACATCTTTCTTTTGGAGGAATTATCACCATGCTAGAACAACTACCCTCTCAGTGAACAGCGAGAAAGTGGATGACTCTCGATGTTTGTATATGAATCTCGGTACCGAATGAATTCTTTGGAAAATTAAAGCGGCTTTCGTTTTTTAACTGCGCCGGCACATCTTACCGACGGTTGCGTATAATATTAGTGAGCTGCATACACTAGGAGTCTTCCGAATCCTAACAACAACCAGATAGGGAGGACGAGATGAAGTCAATAAGTCAATTATGGACGAAGAGGTAGCATCACAGCATGATAGCGCAAGTAAGTCTGATCGGATACCCTCCAAGAGGAGTAGATGGGAGCAAGATGATGATAGAGTGGAAGATGAACAAAGGAGAATCGAAGAAAAAGCGAGAGCAGCAGCAAAAGCAGCAAGGAAGAAGCTGAAAGAAGAGAAAAGCAGGCCCATCCCTCCTTCAGCATCATCCATAAGCAGTGCATCGCGATCACCTCGTCTAACACAATGTCCTGTTCCATCGCGGGAAGAGTATCCATCATTGCAAGGATGTAGGTCTGTCAGTTGCTATGAACGATTGAATCAAATCGAAGAAGGTTCATATGGGGTCGTCTTTCGCGCTCGTGACCGATTGACCGGCGAAATTGTTGCATTGAAAAAGCTCAAGATGGATCAAGAGAAGAATGGGTTCCCAATCACAAGCTTACGCGAAATACGTACTCTGATGGAAGCTAGACATGAGAACGTTGTTAGAGTACGTGAGATCGTGGTGGGAGATACTTTGACTCAAATTTTTATTGTGATGGATTTTATCGAACATGATCTCAAGACCTTATTACAAACGCAAACGATGCCTTTTTTAGCATCTGAGATTAAGACGCTCTTACATCAACTTTTGAGTGCAACAGCATTGTTACACAGAAATTGGATCATTCATCGAGATTTAAAGACATCAAATCTTCTTATGAACAATCGAGGTCAGATCAAATTAGCCGATTTCGGATTAGCAAGAATGTATGGAGACCCGCCCATGGATGAAGAAGAGATGACGCAGTTAGTGGTCACATTGTGGTATCGAGCACCTGAGCTTTTATTGGGCACAAAGAGATACGACACTGCGATTGATATTTGGTCTGTTGGCTGTATATTTGCCGAGTTGATCAACAAAGAGCCTCTATTTTGCGGTAAGAACGAAACAGATCAAATCATGAAGATCTTCAAACTTTTAGGTCAACCAAACGAAGATGTTTGGCCTGGATTTTCCAAATTACCCAACGCAAAAACCGTCTTGGGAAGTTCACATTCCATTGCACAACCTTTCAGCAAACTTCGACAAACGTTCAAATACAGTACGGAAAATTGCATTGATTTATTACAAAAGATGTTGACTTATGATCCCGAAAAACGAATCACTGCCGAACAAGCATTACAGCATCCCTACTTCTTCGAATCGCCACCACCTGCTCATCCGGACACATTTGGAAGCTTTCCTTCTGTCGCTGCTGGTGAACGAAAGCGCAATCTTTCACCCGATGCGCCCCATGAAAGACTAGCAGAGTATCTGGACGCCCGTAGATAGGGACGAGAAGAAATAGAGGAATCATCTTATCATTGAATAATTGTATACGTACAGAATTGCATCATCATTGTATCAATAGAAAATCATCTTTTGCCTTCTCTCATTTTGCGCTTACGACCGATGATACTGCCCACGACTGAGCCTTTCTTTGGTGCTGCTTTCTCTGAAGTCTCCGTTGACGCTGCTTTTGCACGCTGACTACGATCTCCGTAACCACTGTCAGTTGTTGTTGGGATGACAAATGGTTGCTTAGATACGCCTTTCTTGGTCTTTTGATTCCATGTGGATGGCTTACGTGGTTTCTTGCTCGCTCTTTCCTCTCCACGACCTCCAGCAGAGCTACTGGCATCATCGCCGCGAGATCGTTTGCCCAATCGTGTACGTGCGTTTTCACCATTTTCGTTGCGTGAACGACGATCACGTCCTGATTTGACTTTATCACGATTTCTGTCACTTCTCCTTTTGACTGTGACAACGTTCTCAACAGAGAATTCAACGACAAGCAAACCACCACGGGTACCTTCTTCTTCTACGTCCACTTGACCTGCTTCTAATTGCGCTTTCTTCTTTTCGATTCTGCGCTTTCGTGCCACAAATTCATCGTCCTTCTTTGCTGGTTTGGAAGAAGATTCTTGTTCTTTTTCCATCTTTGTTAACATCTCTCCCAATTCTTCCGCATACCATGTAAGCATTTGTTTCCGCAAGCTTCCGTTTGCATTTGCGAATCTGACAACCTTTAATGCATCAGCAAAAGTAACCATTTCAATGAAACCATATCCATGACTTCTTCCGATACCTGTGGTTGCATCCAAACGATCTTTAGCACGAATGACCTTGCTTTGTGCAACAACGAAACCACCCTTGTTTGTCATTCTTCGTCTTTGCAATGCACTCTTACGCTTCAGCTTGAGTTGTTGCTTTTTGGATGCTGATGCTTTCGATTCTTCATCTTCTTCCTCAACTTCTGTACGCTGTTCACGCGCATCTGCAGCATCGTCGATGCGTTGCATCTCCTTTGCTAAACGACGTGATTCTTGGATCTCTTCGGATGAGAGATCTTCCCTTTCACCGGCTTCTACCTGCTCGTCGAATCGCTTGACGGCATGTTCCGCCAAACGTTTCAACACTTTATCGGTTACAAACAAAGGCAATTGACGAACACTCAAACGAGTCTTGCTAATAAACAAGCTTGGATTTTTGATGAGTTGCGTCTTACGCATTTGGAAGTTGGACAATCTTTTGTCAATTTCCACTTCGCTCAGCTTTGTCGCCAATGGAGTTCCTGGCATTGGCACACCTTCTCTCATCAAGTAAGTATTACGCTTGTCACTTTTCTCGCGGGCTGCTTGAGATGCATTCGCTAAAGAATTCGCCTCTGTTCTTTCAACTGCTTCCACGATGGACAAGACACGGCCGTGCAACGACAATTGAGATGTCAAAGGTGCAGAAGGATCGGCCGTCAAAATAGATGGAGCCGAGAAAGGGTTGGCCTTCTTTGCAGCTTTTGCTGCATTAGAAGACGTTCCAGCTTCTTGTTCGACCAAATGAGCTTGTTGCAATGCTTTCTCTGCGCTCTCTTTCTGCCAGAAACAGACGAATGCTGTACCTTTGGGACGCTTTGTTGCATTGTCCATGGTTAGTTTAGCATATCGTAAAGGACCGAAGCCGCGGAAAAGATTTCGCAACTCTTCTTCTGTTGCTTGGTACGGAATGTTGCGGATGAAAAGAGTGGTGCCTTCCTCTGGTTTTGGTAGAGATGGCTTTTCCTTCTCTTCTTCTTCATTGCTGTCAATCTCAACCGGTTCAGAAGCACTTTCTTCCTCCTTTTCCTCATCATCTTCGTCCAATGCTTCAGCATCGGTATCGCCAGCTTCGCTTTCGTCCTTCTTTTGTTCCCACTCTTTCTTACTTAGTGCCCAATCGACGGCTACCTGTCTTGCAGGTTGTGCTTTTTCCATGACGACTTCAAGAGCTTTTTTAGCCGCATCTCTTCCAGCTTTACCTTTTGCTGCTTTCACTTGTGCCTTTTCTGCTGCTCCATGACCGATCTCTGTTCCATTGAGACCTTTGATGGCATTAAGTGCATCACTGCGTGAGACATGCCAGACAAAAGCAAATCCTCGTCCACGGCCTTGCTTTTCTGTAGATGAGGTGTCGATGTCCATTTTCGATTCAGCTTCCTTCTCTTCAGTTTCATCCGCGGTCTTGTCGGCCTCTTCAGCCATCTCCTCGTCATCTGCTTCTACTGCATTGTCTTCCTCCGTCTTTGCTGGTGCCTTGTTCTGTGCTACTTTTTGAGGTACATCAATACTATAAATCGGTCCAAAAGGCAAAAAGATGGCACGGAGATCCCTATCGGTAACGTCGAACGGCAAATTACGTACGATCAAACGACTACCACGATTAACGTCCGGTTTGAGATCATGATCTCGTACAAGGCCTTTACTTAATCGTACCTTTTCTTGTTCTTCTTCAACTTTTTTACGCATTGCATCCCGCTTTGCTTTGGTTTCTGGACGCATATGTGCTTCCAATCTTGCTGCACCATCTGCACGCTTCTTTAAGACGACACTCACTTGTGCACCTTTGAATGTGTGAGCATGAAGCTTTGTAACAGCAGTCATGGCATGATTTGGTGTCCGATAAATCACATGAGCGACATCATTGCTGACCTCAGAAGCGACGATCGAAGAAGGTGCAGGATAGATGACATTTTCCACATCTCCGATCTTACGTGCACGTTTGTAGATCGATTTGTTATCTGCAGCAGGTTTGCATGTTGCCAAACCAGTCATGATGATCGTTCGCACTGCATCAGCATCACGTTCATTTCCATTGCTTGCTCTTTCCTTCGTTGGAGGTGCAGATGAGCTCGCCAGGTTGGTATTATCAGCAATTTGCTCGCCTTCACCTGCTCCCATTCCAAAACGACCAGTTGCCCATTCGATTCTCATCTTTCTCTTTCCATCCAAGCTATGCCCTTGCATTTGTTCAAAAGCACGTTTTGCATCTTCATGAATGGCAAATGTAACATATCCCACACCTTTTGATTTTCCCGTTTCTTTTTCCGTGACTACGAAAGCTCTACGAAGTGGTCCTATATCGGAGAATAATGTTGTCAAATCTGTTGATGTTGCAGTGAAGGGTAATGAGCTGACGAATAAAGTTGTTTGAACATGTGGACCGGTGTTCTTCTTTTTCCTCTGCGGTGGTTTGGATGAAGATTGTTCTTGCAATGTAGAATCTTCTCCGATATCTTCCATTGCAATGTCTGCCAAAGAGTCATCATTCTCTGCTTTTGAGGCAGATGCCGAGCCACGATCATCAAAGTATCGTTTCGGAGGCATCTTTTGGTACCTTTTTGCTCTAATTGGGTGAAGGTGATCACTTGAGAGAAGGCAGAATACCTTACAATATATGCCCTTGCGAATTTTATTCCTATTTTTGCTTTAATTATCTTTTTTTACACAAAAAATTTCTAAACGCGTTCGGGATTCGGCGAAGTGATGGAGTGCTAACAAAGAGAGTCCGGGGGGCAGAATCGCTTCATGCACTAATAGAGCCAGCGTTTGAGAAGAACCGAGCTGCAATTAACAATCATCCCTAATCACACCATTCTGGGATGATGAGTGCCAGCAGCTCTACAGCGAGACAACTGTGGCGATCAAGCCTTCCAGTGCAATGCTCTAGATCGTTCAAGCAGAGATGCCATAATGCAAGCTCAGTAAGAGGGTATAGCAGCTCTTCTTCCACAAATGCATCTCCATCGAACGCATCGAGAAAAGCAAGTCGTGCTGGATGGGCATTTGCTGGATCAGCATTATTGATAGCAGGACTGATGTCTACTCGTTTCATTCCAGATCAAAAGCTATCATGTGAAGCAAAATCATCACCTCCAGAGCTCCAGAGCTTACCAGATATATCCAAACTGGATCCTGCGGTGATTGAAGACCCAAACGTATCAATGCGGAAACGTATGGAAACGTACGTTAAGCTATTACAACGTAGAATTGTTGACACTCTTGGTAAAGAAGAACCAAAAGCAAAGTTCTTCGTGGACACTTGGTTACGTAAAGAAGGAGGAGAAGGTATCTCATGTGTGGTGCAAGATGGAGAAACGTTTGAAAAAGCAGGAGTGAATATCAGTATCGTACATGGCTTCTTACCACCCCGAGCCATCGAACAAATGTCTGCAGATCATTCTGGCCTGATAGATACGATCGGATACAAATTGGGATCTAAGTCAGGAGAAAAGGCTGATGTAAAAGGTTTACCATTCTTTGCAACTGGTCTAAGTCTTGTGATTCATCCACGTAATCCATTCGCTCCAACAGTGCATTTCAATTATCGCTACTTCGAGCTTGCACATCCACCCAAACTTCAAGATGGCTCACCCAATCCAAAGTATGATCCCGCCAATCCTGACAAGCCAGCTGTTTGGTGGTTCGGAGGAGGTACAGATCTAACGCCGATTTATCTATTCGATAGTGATGTGACCCATTTCCACAATACGCTCAAACAAACCGCAGATGCTCACGATCGTCACTTTTATCCGGTTTGGAAAGCATGGTGTGATACGTACTTTTTGATCCCACACAGAAATGAATCGCGAGGAGTTGGTGGTATTTTCTTTGATGATCTCAATACAACAGCCAACACACCTCAACCCGTGGAATTGTCTCATGGTAATGCAAAGAATCCCGATTCATTACCGCAACAGACTGAGCTACCACATACGCGGGATTCTTTGTTTGCAGCCGTTCGTGCATTAGGAGATGCATTCTTGCCTGCCTATTTACCAATCTTACAAGTACGTAAAAGGATGCCATTCACAGCAGAGGATGAAGAATGGCAAGCGATAAGGAGAGGACGTTATGTAGAGTTCAATTTGGTGTATGATCGTGGTACCAAATTTGGATTACAAACGCCTGGAGCGAGAATCGAAAGCATTTTGATGAGCTTGCCATTGAAGGCAAGATGGATTTACGGTCATCCTGTCAGTGGAATGCAAAAACCAGAAGAGGGCAAAACGGAAGAATGGCAAGCGGAAGGCAAGAAAGAAGCCGAACAAGCTCGATTGATGGAGGTTTTACGATCACCCAAAGAATGGGCCACAAATTAATACCTTTTGACTAATCACTAATTGATCATTATCACTCTTGAACACTTAATAAACAAGTCTAATCAGAGCGACCAAAGCGAGGCGAGTAGTGATTGTGATATGTGCTGTGAGCAGAAGTAAGGTCTACCGACTGACGAGTAACATGAGTGAGCTGGAAAGAAAAGCTCTTCATCTTCGATCCCTTGTACTAGAGAATGGCCACACGAGCATTCTCCTCCCACTTTAATTGGACTCGGCGCCTTTTTCTTTCCACATTGAGAAAAGCGTCGAGGCACTTTAGCGCGTACTTGAGAAGAAGTGAGAAGAAGAAAGGGATCATTGGTTGACCCCATCCTCCATGTCATCGCATCAATGTCTGGTCAATCATCAAGGGTGGTGCATTGGCCTACAGGTATTGCAGGCTGGAATACAGCATTGACGGGGTTCGCCAAATCACATAACCCTAAAAGTCAGTTACCTAAAGGCGTACATCTACGTTCCGATTCACACACATTGGCAATCTATGATGGATATCCAAAAGCAAAATTTCACTTTTTGGTCTTACCAAGAATACCGTTCACCTTGGACCAAGTGAATAACAATCTAGCAGGGACACAATCGTCATCTTCTTCGCCTGCATCAAAACCAGCACTTAGGTTGGCAGGTGGGAAGTTGGCTTTAGGAAGTTCTTCAAAAGGACAAACCGTTCCTGCTTCACATCTTCACAGTTTGAGCACCTTGCTTGCAAGTCCATATGCATGGGAAGTGTTGGAGAAAATGCGAAAACAATGCGAGTCAGTCGTACAGCTGATCAAAGAAGAGATGCGACATTTTCCTTTACCCGACCAACTTCGTACTGATGCCTCGAACGATGAAACTTGTCAAGTAGAATGGGGTGTTCGGGTAGGCTTTCATGCCGTTCCAAGTATGGACACTGTTCATTTGCACGTCATCAGTGATGATCTGGTCGCGGATAGATTGAAGCATAAGAAGCACTATCAATCTTTTCATCCAACACATGGATTCTGGCTAGATTTAGATACGATTCAAGAACTTGTTCGACAAGGAAAGAAGAGCTTGCCGCATTCTAAAGATCACTATGAATCTCTGCTCAGAGCACCCCTGGTCTCTTTTCGTGACAATAAAACATATCCTAATATGCCTAAAATGAAAGATCATCTCGAACAAGCATGGATAGAGGACTTGAAGAAGAAACGAGAGAAGGTCAGCCCTAACCGCAGATTAGCCGGGACAAAACATGAACTCGATCAGGAAAGCGAGTGACTGACATGAGTCTCTTATTCTTGATAATATCATGGACTGTATTTGTATGCGCTAACATTATATCCACAATTGACATTTTTCTTGATCATACAATTGATAAGTGTTATATTATGAAACGGAAAGTATGAATCTATAAAGGGAATTTGCATGTAGGCCACCTCAGTCCTCCTCTTCGTCTGAGTTCATCTCTTCATCTTCCTCATCGTTGTTCTCTGACTTCTTCTTTTGTTCTTCAACAATTCTTCTGGCGTGTGCCAAAACGGCCTGTTGACCTGCTTGGTCGCCATGGCGCTTCTCGAATTCGAGCCATTTCTTCAAGACTGATTTAATCTTTTTGCTCGACAGCTTGAGTGCCAAGATTCGTTCAAACAAGTCGCGTACCTGAGATGTGTTTTGACCTTTTGTCTCTTGATCGATGTATTGCCACCAAATATCCAATCGTTTTGGATAGCTATCCACCAATCCTTCAAAGATTGTCCTTCCACGCTCGGAATCACCAATGCGGAATTCATCTAAAGCATATGCAAGAATCGTTTTTACATGTTTGCGTTTGTCCAAACTTTGCATACTTCTTGAGACTACTGCACGGCTATCGTCAGAATGTGATCCTTGAGCGCCATTTCTCAGCAGGAATCTATGATATCCTTGCCATACTTTGCTGCTCAAACCAAACTTCTTTGCTGTCCGTTTCCAATGATCTTGGGCAGCTTCCAATTTGCCGCTTTGCTCCAGAATATCGGCAAGACGAAGGTGAACTGCTTTTGGTTCATTGTACTGACAAGCCTCTTTGAATGTCGATTCCAAGGTCTCAGCACTTCCGTATGTATTTTCCAAATTGAGCAAAGCAAGCCAAACATTGAACTTTTCTTGCTCTTCACGGAAATGAATAGTTTGTAATGCTCTTTTGGCAATCTCTCTTGCTTTTTCAACATCGCCCAATTGAACTTGGAAAGAGACAAATTGGATCCACAAGAAGGAAGAATTGGGCGAACCCAATAAAAGACGTTCAAAATCCTGCGCTGATTCGGGCATCTTTGTAGCCAGATCGGCTGTCAAATCTTCTTGCATTGCTTTCTTGCCACGTTTCCTGGATCGCTTGTTCGAATCTTCGTTTTCATCATCAGATGAGTCTGAATTATCCGAAGAATCTTCATTGCCGTTCTTGATTCCGTCGGCTGACCATGAGAATCCACCGCTCAAGTGAAGGGCGGGTGCTACAGCAGATTTCTTTTGGTTGGTCTTTTTCGAAGCTTCAACAGCAGTCTCGTCTTCTTCAAGATCAATAGCTTCCTCGTCAGAATCTTCTTCTTCGTCCTCGTCATCATCGTCTGAGCTATCCTCGTCATCAGATATCTTGTTAGGATCAAAATCGAGCCATTGGTCGCCATCCTCTTTTGCTAAAGCTTGAATTTCGGCGTCAATGTCGATATGGTCATCATCGTCGCTCTCTTCATCGTTTTCTTCCATGGCTTCATCTTCGTCTCCGCTTTCTAAGTCGGCTTCAAGGTCATCAATATCGACTTCGCTGTCTTCTTCAGAATCATCGTCTTCCTCCGCATCACTGTCACTGCCATGATCGATTTCCAACATATCCTCATTGTCCGAATCATCTTGCAAGAGTGCATCGGCATCCATTTCGACATCACTGCTACCTGCCTCGCTACCGTCTCCGTCTTCTTCTTCGTCTTCTTCATCTTCTGATTCTTCGAAATCTTCTGAAGAGAAAAGACTTGGTTTCAATCCAAAGCTGAGTTTCTTCTTTTCCGCATCAAGCTTCAAGATAACAGCTTTGACCTTATCACCAACACTGAATGCCTTGACAGCTTGATCAGGATCAGCGTCGTCGCTCAATTGAGTCTTATGTGCCAATCCGCTCAAGGTTGTACCTTCAATCTGAACAAATACTCCAAATTCCGCCAAAGCACGAACGAAACCTTTGATCTTTTGACCAACTTCCAAAGAGGCCAACATTGTTGCATCGACTGATTTTGCACTTTCTTTCTTGGTCTTTGTCACACCGGCTTTTGACTTTAATGACATCTCTACCTTGTTGCTCGCTGAGTCAACATCGGTAATCGTACCTTCGACCAATTGACCGGTTTTGAAGTGATTCTTCCAATCGGCAATGAAAGAATCGGATAATTCAGAAATCTTGACACGTGCTGTGACATTCCTTCCTACATCAACGAATACACCCGCTTTCTCAACAGCCGATTTGACAAAGCCTCGCACTTTTTGTCCGACTTGCAACTCATTCGCTTTGTTGATGATAGGATCACGAATATCAGCACTACTATCGCCGTCTCCTTGCAAGACACTTGGCCTGGTAGAAACTTCTGCTCGCTTGTTTGTGATTCCTTTAAGATTCAAGAGCTTGACTTGTATCGTTTCATCTTTAGCAGGAAGTAGCGTATCAGCGTTTTGATCACTCGATCCATAATCATCTGCTCGATCAACAGCATGCAATCGACAGCGAACGTTTTTTCCGACATTCAAGAGGGCAGCATTGCCATCCCGCCCATATACACGAGCTGTGACGACCTTGCCTACGCTCAGATCTGCATCTTGCACAGAGGGTAAGCTATTTTGACTTCCAACGATCACGATTCCCCTGTCGGCTTTCTTGTCCAGAACCTTCAAGTCATTGATCAATTCTCCTTCAGTCAATTGTTGTCGCAGTGATTCAACGTCCAAGCTTCGCATCTTTGCCAGCGTGTTCAAGCCCAACAAAGCACGAACGTTGCTCGGTTGTAACTCCAAAACGACAACATCTTGATGAACAGCTGCCAATTTACCATCAACAGAATCGCCCACATTGACAACATCGACATTAAGTCTTTTCAAGTAGCTTTCACTGGCTTGACGAATACTACCGGATACACGACCGGATTCATAATCAACTCTTGTTAGACGAACTTTGACGCATTGTCCGACAAAGAACGATGATCTGATTGATTCAGCTGACATCTTTGAGCTGTTCTCCAATGCTTCATTGATGGGAACGTAAGCACGTATCTGACCAAATAAATCAACCAAAAGAGCAGAAGGTCCAACATTGCCTTCTATTATACGTCCAATAGTACCATGTGTGATGACACCAACGCGAGCATCTTGCATATTAGCCACAGTGCTCAAAGTGCTTTGTACTAATGTTCGCTTAAGGGTCAAAACGATTCTGTTCTGCTCGGGATCAACCTTGAGAACTCGTGCGCTTACAGATTGACCAACTTTGTATTTCTTTTCCGGTTTCTTTAGAGGAACTTCAGCAAAGTGAGCTGGGAACACGACTCCGTCCACGGATCCATTGATGTTGAGCACAATAGCTTTAGGATTGACAACGCGTATTGTTGCTTTGATTGCTTCTCCAACCATCACCTCACTTACTCGCATGAACGCTCGGTCCAAGATACTCTGTTGGAAAGAAAGTCGAACGATTTCATCGGTGAGAGAATGTCCAACAACACGGGCTGCGTGTGACGTTCCTATCTTGAATCGACCTGTAGTAGCGGGCAAAGAAACAACATGATCGTCTGAACATGCAGAGATGTGTGTAAAGGCTTTTGTTTCATCTTCTCCTTTGATCACACACATCAAACCCCAATCTTCAATGGTACTGAGAACAGTTGCCTGTACACGTGCTCCGATTGGATACTTTTCTGGAATTGTAGAACGAGATGATAAGCTGAGAACAGAGGGTGCTGCACTCATTGCGATCTTTCGGCTTGCTACATCGTCGCGGACGTCATCCAATTCCGGTCCTTGCTCCCAAAGAATTCTAGCTTTGATCTTTTGCCCCACTTGGTAGTCTTCATCATGCTCCATATGAAGGGAAGAGATTGTTGCGTCAAACATTCCAAAAGCCTTGACGTTGATTCCTTGATTGGAAGTTGCAGTAACCAAAACTTGGAGCAAGTTGCCAGGCAACAACGCACGAGCACTTGGTGGCACAGTAATTGCTGTTGAAGTGTATTTCGGGTTATTAATTGTAGCAGAGAATGATCGTTGATTGTCTGCAAGTGCAGAAACAAATGCTTGAACGACTTGACCCTCTTCCAAAACCTTCTTTCCAGCATCTTTGAATGAGATAAATGCGCTCACCCCTTCAATTCCTGTGTTCATCAAATATCCATGATCTTCTTTACTCTTCACAGAGAGTGGAAGGGTGAATCCTGTCGAGAGGTCTGATACACTAACTCCTTCATTGACGACAGTTGGATCCAAAGTCAATTCGACCCTTTGAGACTCTTGCTCGTACTCTCCTCCCTCTCGTCCTCTTGTCTGCTTTGTCGTACCTGGTGCTTGTAGGGCAGCAACAGATGCATGAATCCATTGCCCGACAGAGAACATATCACGTAGTTCAGGCACACCTGATTTCTTGCTTACATCCTTCTCTTCGTCATCATCACTTTCGTCTTCGTCGTCCTCTTCATCGCTATCAGCCATACCTTCTAACCTCTGTGTGAATGTCTCGCTGATGTTCGTGATCGGAATGTGTCCCAAAAGCTGATCGGGTAGACTGACAACGATAGCCAAAGGATGAACGGCCAAAACAGAACATAAAAGTCTTGTTCCTACTGTCAATCTTTTATAGTTCAATAATTCAACTCTTGCTAATTTCTCTTCAGCGGTAGTTTCTGTGTCATCGGTTTTTCCTTTAGATTTCTTTGTGGTATCAACTGTTCGTTTTTTACGTTCAGCATTCTTCTTTTCTCGATTCGCTTTCCGTTTTTGTTCAATCTTTCGGTCTTTGAACAATTCATCATCTGCCGTAGGTGTGCTAGTTTGCAGTGCTTTCTTTGCCGCTCTTTTTTCTCTTGCTTCTTGATCTACTTCTCTTAATGCTTGTTTATGTTCAAATTGTGTCAATTTTGATCCTCCGCCACGTGGGAAATCAATCTCTTCTGATCGAAGGACTGAGGTGGAAGGTGTGGTACTCTTGACCGATTCATCATGTCTTGGTCGTTTGTTGTTTTGACCCGAGGTACCACTCCCGTTCCCTCCATTACGTTTCAAGCCTGGCATCTTTTCAGAATGCTCCTTCTCAATAATGATGGCAGAAGCAGGACTATATTGATTGAAATAAAGAAGAAGTTAACGTTGATTGAACAAATGCACTGATTTAGTGCAGTCAGATTTTTACCTACTAAAAATTCCAATTCAACTTTTTTTTCTTGAAATTTTAACAAGCACGTGAGCAAGAAGAGGCAAAAGCAGGAACGAACGCGTCAAGAGGTGCGGGAGGATGGAATGTTGTATGAGAACAAAGCGCCGCGCTTTAAAAGTACAATTACCCCGCATTTTAATCTGTACATGCAAGCCGTTATCTCTTTAAAGTTGCATGCGTGTCCTCATGAATGGCACCATCGAATGGGGGGCTAGTAATTGTCAATTGAGAGAGTGATTGTAATCGGAAAAGAAGGAATTAAATGACAAGCAATGATCACCTCTCCTCCCGATATGACAACGGAATAAGCCACTCATTGTTGGTTCCCAACTTTTAATGATCCGATCCAATCGGACATGACATGTAATCGTGTTGAATGTGTGTGTGTGTCATTTTTAATATGCATTTTGTTGGATCCTATTTTTTGGGCGCTTTACCTGTGCGCGGCTGCCGTCCGTTCAGCCATACAATTTAAGCGCATACATTCGTAGGATCATGCATCATAGCTGCATAAAAGAAAAACTTTTTAATGTACACTGCTATTTCGGGGTCTATCGGCTGGGAAGGGGGGAGGAGGGGATGATGTTTAAATCTCCTCTTTGATTCTTATTTTCTCCTCCTCAACATCATCATCATCTTAAAAGGGCTTTCAAGCATCCCTTTTTATACTTCCTCATCCTTTTTGCACAGCGCAGGTCGCTATTTCGTCCTTCCGTTCAAAGTAGTAGAAGACAAAAATGGCAGCTGCAGGTCCAAAACCCGCTCAATCAACAACCAAAAAGACTTATCCTTTTTGGCTTGGTGGAGCGGCAGCATGTTGTGCGGCAACAATCACTCATCCTCTCGATTTAACAAAATATAGATTACAAACAATGACTGTCAAAAAAGGAATGTTTGCAACTATGGCTTTAAGTGTAAAAGAAGAAGGAGTAAAAAGTTTATTCCATGGCTTGACAGCAACTTGGTTACGTCAAGGCAGTTATTCGATCACACGTTTTGCTGCTTATGAGAAAGCTAAAGATTTCTTTGTTCCAGATGGTCAGCAAGCAACATCAAGTCAATTATTCTTATGCTCTGGAGGTGCCGGTTTTGTAGCAGGGTAAGTGTGCATTCAATTAACAGACCGACTCTAAAGAGTAATGCCTAACATCCCTTCTTCCCTTCTTTCTTTTAGTATTGTCGGTGTACCAGCAGAAATTGTACTCGTTCGTATGTGCAGTGATCTAAACAGACCTGCAGACCAACGATACGGATACCGCAATTCCGTTCAAGGACTGGTTCGTATTGCCAAAGACGAAGGAGCAAGCGTCCTCTTCCGCGGTCTTACGCCTAATGTTACCCGTAGTGTGGTGATGAACGTTGGTCAAATGGGAGGATATGATTTATTCAAACGTTTATTATTATCTTTGAACATCTTACCCGATGGACCTGCATTACAAACAGCAGCTTCATTCTGTGCAGGAACGCTATCCACAACTTTGGTGACACCAGTAGATGTGATTAAAAGTCGTATTCAAAACGCCCGTGGTGCTGATGCTCAATTGGGTATCATGGGTATGATTAGCAAAAGTTTGAAAGCTGATGGACCATCTGTTTTGTTCCGCGGTTGGACGCCTGCATTCTTGCGTTTGCAGCCTCAAACGACGTTGTTGTTCTTGTTCTTTGAACGTGAGTGATGATTAGCAAAAACAATGAAAGCCAAAGCACATACTGACTTTTATTCTTACATTTCCTTTCTACAGAATTCAAGGGTATCATTGATAAACAAAGGGAGGCAAAGTTGAAACAATGAGCATTGGGTGTCATTCTTTTGGCCGCCGTCTATCTCAACAGAGACGTTGAAAGAGCCAATAAATAAACATTGAATTGTCAAGAGATCATCAAATACAATCGAAATCGATACCTAACAATTTATGCTGTTTTACATTTTGAAGTGTGTCATGCTATCCTCCTCTTAAGCGAAAGAATTTACCATGTGATCTGAGCGAGGTTCTTATATCCGATGTTGTACCTATATCCGATAAATTAAAAAAAGGTCCCACTACACGATACTGCTCAGGTACCGTCGCCCGTCAAATGGGAATCTGTTAGCGTGCGTTCCCACAACATTAATTAAAATGTGGGTCATACCAGTGTAAGAAAGAATTATTCCCGCCGCTTTAACGTCTATCCGGCTATATAACAAAGTGTGTGTACCGAAAGGGCATCTGGTGGAGGGAACGACTTCGGTGAATGGATAGGAAAAGATTCTTCACCTTTTGTTTGCAAGCAAGTATTGTTCTTCCTTTCCTACCATCTCTTAATTCAAACAAGAAATATGTCTAAACTATTACAAGGAAACTTTTCTCACGTCATCAATGGCAAATCTTATGATGCCAAAGGTGCAAAAACATTGGACGTAATCGATCCCGCAACCGAAAAGCCAATCGCTCAAGTTCCAATCGCAACACGTCAAGTATTGGACGAAGCAGTTGATCATGCACAAAAAGCATTTAACACATGGTCAAGAACATCATGGGCAGAACGTGCAAAGCTTGTTAAAGCAGTAGGGAAGGAATACAAAGACCTCAGTGATGATATCGCTCATCTTTTGGTAAAAGAACAAGGTAAATCTATGCCTTTTGCACAAGGTGAAGTTAATCTCGTTCATGAATGGTTCGATCGTATGCCTGATATGGAAATCAAAGAACAAGTTGTTTATGAAACTGATAAAGCAAGAGCTATTGAACAATACGTTCCTCTTGGTGTTTCTGCCGGAATTGTTCCATGGAATTTCCCAGTCTTGTTGATGTGTTGGAAAATCATCCCTGCCATCTTGACAGGTAACACAATCATCATCAAGCCATCTCCATTCACACCTTTGTGCGATGTGAGAATCGTTGAGTTGTTCAACAAACATTTGCCTCCAGGTGTTGTGCAAATTGTTTTGGGTGATGATAGCTTGGGTCCATGGATTACTGAACATCCAAAGATCCGTAAGATTTCATTCACCGGTTCAACAGCAACTGGAAAACTCGTTGCAAAGAGTTGCTCTGCCACTTTGAAAAGATTCACTTTGGAATTGGGTGGAAATGATGCTTGCGTCGTTTTACCCGATGTGAATATCGAAAAAGCAGCTCCAAACGTACTTTTGAGCGCTATGTTCAATACCGGTCAAGTTTGCCATGCTGCCAAACGTATCTTTATTCATGAAGATATTTATGATAAATTTTCAAAAGCATTGGCAGATGTTGCCAAACAATCTGGCGTTGGACCAGGTGACAAAGAAGGCGTCATGTATGGACCGTTGAACAACAAGATGCAATTCGAAAAAGTAAGCGAATTCTTCGCACAATCTCAATCTGAAGGTCATAACTTCCTTACAGGTGGTCAAATCACAAAAGGAACAGGTTATTTCGCACCCTTAACTTTGGTAGATCAACCACCAGAAAATAGTAGATTGGTACAAGAAGAACCTTTTGGACCAATCGTACCACTTTTGAAATGGAAAGATGATGAAGATGTTTTGAAACGTGTAAATGATTCTTCTTGGGGATTAGGTGCAACGATTTGGGGATCCGATTTGGAACGTGTTGAGAAATTGGCCCGTGGTGTCGAAGCAGGTGTTGTATGGACAAACCAAGCAATGGAACAACATCCTGAAGTACCTTTTGGCGGCTTCAAGTCAAGCGGTATTGGTGCCGAAAATGGTGTTGCAGGTATGAAGGGATGGTGCCAAGTTCGCAGTATCTATCTTCAAAAGTCAAAGGTTTAATTGTGTTGGATGATATCTCTATATGCTAATGATATGCTCTATGATCCTGAGAACTGTGTGAGGGAGTGCGTTTATTCTTATAAATTAAATTTACTCCTCCGAGTAAATCAACTGCAAGACTCCGTGGGGAGGCGTCATCCCGAAGGGGCCTAGGGTAAATGATAAATACATTCCAGCTCCTCTCAAAAGCGGCGCCTTTCTTTGGTGGTGACGCATTGAAACTTTTACGTATTCTTTCCTCCTCACCAGCATCTCTATTAAACAGTACTGCCACGCCACTTCACCTTAAAAGAATACGATCGAATCCCATCAAGAAGATGAAGCAAGTAACTCAAACGATTCATATCCTTTTCGGTATCATTTTTCTCGCTTTGTCTGTGACTAAAGTTGAAAGCAGGTGAGTTCAATTCTCTTGATTAAACCAATCTGATCCATTCGTCAGACTGACATTCACCAATCATCAACAGGTCATGCCAAGCCTACCCTTGTCCAGATGGTAGCATGGGCGTTTCTTATTCTGAATGTGGTGGTTTTTGTGGTCAAAATCAGGCTTGCTGTTAAGGCCAACCATGCTATGCAATGTGTGTCTCTCCCCTGCATGCACCACTGCACAACGTTCAATCTACTTCTCCTAATTTGGTAGGCGTGCGCTTCTTTTTGTATTGAATGCGATCCAAGTCCGATTGTGTTTTTGTATTTGTGAAGTATTATGAAGCGCGACTGATTTGTATTCGAAACGCGAATTGTATGTTTGAGGCTGAATAATTTAAGCACTCTACCTGCCTGCCTGCCTGCCCTTACACAATAATGCCCAATGCATACAATATTCATAATAGAATAATAGAATTGCCACACACACGCTTATCTTGCTCCTATGCAACTTAATTAAAGAACAAAGGTGCACTGTGTCAGAGGGGGGACAGTGAACATGGTAAGAGTCACACATCATCAATCTTCACCTTTTATCACCATCAACCTTTCTTCTCGTTTCTCGATTCGATTTGTAGTTGTATCTCTACCTGTGACATCACACAACATCAAAGTCACTTACCACCTTTTTCTCGTTCGACACAAATAATTCTCTGGTGGTGTATTCTTGATCAATTTGCTTTTTTTGATCTACTTGTCACCGCAACCTTTCAAGTTTCTCTTTTCTTTTCTCTTTTTTTTTTCTCTTGACTTGGCCTTGTCTAGCTGCTTTTATTGGCTAGAAAACTATCTTCATTGCAGTCTGTACTTTATCGATTGATATTGTAAAAGTACACTTTTGCTCTGATCTCGCTTTCTCAGAGTATCACTATAATCCCGCGTTCAAACATGCTGGCTACAATGCGACCTGCCCCAATACATGCAACAGATTCATCTTCAGCGCAATACGCATCTCATCAAGCCAGTACGTCATCCAAATCTACAAACAGATCTACACAAATGAACAAACCAAACGGTTCAGCAAGACCTCGGGCCAAGAAGGACACTCCTGGCACTGGAAAACAACTCGCTCCTGGTCTACTCTCTCTGAGCAAGCCAATCGATGAATTTCAAGATTCAGATGACGCCGAAAAGTCATCATCAACAACTTCCAAGAAACAATTAAAGAAGAAGAAGCAAGTCGCTGCGTCAGCCGACCCTTCTTCAGTAGCAGCGCCAAATGCATCTGTCAAGCCTAGAAAGAAGGCCTTGGCTATCGACGAAATCAAAGCGGATGAAAACCAACTCTCCCGATCCGCTCCTGATTCACACTCAAGCTCTGATTGGGATATGCCTCAATCAACAAAAGCTGCCAAAGACGCAAATTCAAACGCTGCTTTGACCTGGCAACAACAGCTTCTCAACTCTCAAGCACCAAAATCTGCCTCTCTGGAGAAGAAGAAAGGTGGAAAGAAAGACAAGGCTACAAATCCTTCTGTCAAGAGCAAAGGCTCACAAGCTGTGGATGTCAGCAAAAATGAGGCTTCTTCCGCTTTGACTTGGCAACAAGAGCTATTCGGCTCGAACAACAAAGCTCGTGGACCTGCATTTGATGTTTTTGCAGATGAAAGGGACGCAATGACTTTTGGAGGCAATGCCTCTGGTCAACCACCTAACAAAGGCGGAAAGAAGAAGCAAAGACAAAGAGCTGACAGCCTTGGCGATATCGACCTTCACAACAATCACAATGCCGCTCATGGCCGACCAAGCAAACCGAAGAACAGCACTCATTCTTCGTCTGTTCATCTCGGTGCAAATGGTTCATCCTCTTCACCTTCTTCTGGCCCACCAACGACTCCCAACAAGTTGGCATATGCCGGCCCCAATTTCCACAACTCGCCCTCACCAGCCAGTCTTCCTGTACCAAAGTTCTTGCAATCGAAGAATGGGGGCGTTGTAAATGGTACAGGAATGAACCCAAGTATGAGTGCAAATGCAACGAGTAACAGCTCTCTGTTTGCTCGTGAAGCACAAGCGCAACAACAACAGCAACAACAACAATTCTACCAACAACCTCAACCAATGTTTCATCATCCACCTCCACCGCCTTATCCGCCATTTGCACAATATCCTCATCCTGGGCCATACAACCATCCTGCCCAGCATATTGACCCGAACATTTCAATCTCTTCTCATTCATCCGATGAAGAACAAGATGCAAGCTTTTCACATTCCAAATCACGTTATATCCGTGGCGTCACTGCTCCACCAGAATTACCTTCAACTCCTCTTATGAACGGAACGACGGGTGATGAAAGTGTGAACAGCGTTGGTAATAATCGCAACGAGACTATCGAAAATCTCTTGGCCAGAATGATGCGTCCTGGTAGCGATTGATTCGGTTCTCCTTTTTTCTAATCTAGGTCAATGAACCGCACATGTGTCCTTTCATTCTCTATCCTTCCCCGCCATCTACACAAGTCATATTTAACCTACATCCGCTATCACACATCCACCCTTTATCTTTTGCATGCCTTTGCTAATGACCATTCAGTGCTTGCACTCTATTGCGTGATTACAATTTGTGTTAATTAGATGAGAACAGGACTGTCAATCACACTAAAGCCAGCTGCAACACCTCCTTCGTTACTTTCACTTGCTTTTGTACGTAAAAGATGACCACCGCTTTGTTCAAAGATTACTTTTGTGGATTGTTGATCTGCTTCAAACAAAATTGATCCAAAAGCACCCAATTCGGAAATAACATGAGGAGCCAAAACAGCTTGAGGAGCACTTCCCGAAGAGCTTTTTGCAGCATCGTATCGGACTAAATAATTTCCTACATTCGTTGGTGGTTCGATCATTTTCATTAAAATGTAAGCTTCTCTTCTTTTGATATTTCGATTGCTTCCATCGCTTCCTTGTATTTTGCCTTGTTCTTCATCTTGCTTTTCTAAGTCCTTCAATGCGCCCACGATATCTTCTCTATAAATGTTGTTCCCGCCTCCTTCTCGTTGCGGCTTTAAAACATACTCTTTTGCCATCTTTGGATCCGATGCAATCCGTATACCTTCTCCTCCATCTTCTTCGCCCATACTATACATCGGCATAAAGCTTGCACGTAATCTTTTAACTTCCTCATCTGACCATATCCTACCTTTTTTCGAATCTTTAACGAAATGTTCAACAATTCCAGGATTTGACAAAACTTGTTGTACCTTTTTCGCTCCGGCAAGCTGAAGTGCAATCGTTGGACATTTGATCGCTAAACTACGCTCTATTGTCAACCTTGCATCCCATTCCGTTTCTGTTGGATAATCTCCTGGTCCATAACCAGCTCTGAAATACACAACTGCTACTTCTTCGCTTTTCCCGGAGTTTGTGTTGTCCAGATACAATCGTTTTTCCTCTCCTTTCAAAGATGCACTCTTTGCCAATTGTGCCAAAGAAGCACGTCTAACAACGATTCCATGCTGTTCCAATAATTGATATTCGATCAATCGTTGATCAAATGCGTTTCTTTCTCCATCTTGAACGACAAACAGGATAATTGCATCTTCGGCTTTGGCTCGTTCGACGTATGCCCGATGTCCGGCTGCCAAACCTCCTGCCAAGGTCTCTAAGGCTCGATTGATTGGTAATTTGTCCACTGTCAATTGAGGCGAGATGCCAAAGAAACCTCCTGTAGATCGAGCAAGATATCTATGCAACTCACTGACACGCGAACAAAGTGGTCCAAACGAACTCGAGATAGTGTTGAGCTCTACCTGTTTGATAGTGAATGGCTGTGAGTCGTTTCCTTCTTGATGTAAGAGGTAATCCGAACGAAAGAGCCCCAAATGCAAAGGCTGTTGAATTCCTTCTTGTTCGACTTTGTTCCATAATTGCCATAATTTTGCTTGAAATTCATCTACCAAGATCACATTTCCACCGATAATCTTTCGTAGGAATTCTTTATCCACAGTTATACGTGCATAAATGTCATTATACAACGGTTGAAGTGATTGACTTTGTTCGAACAGATTAGCCGGAAAAGGTGAAGGTAAAAGGCTTATCGGAGCGTGAATCGTTGTATCTTGCGGAGGTTTTACGCCTTTTGTTGCTGTAGAGGAAGAAGGTAAAGGTCTATAAGTGATTGAATGGGATAATGCATAATCGATCGCTTGTCCGGTTAAAGATGTGATTTGATCATCATTCAATTGTGGAGGCCAATTTGGCACTCCAGAGGTAGATGATTGTGCCATTTCCCTTTGCAAGCTTTTCTTATGATGATGGTTTTGTGTAAAGGCGCACAGGCCAAAGTATAAGAGAATCGGAAGTAAGAAGAAAGAACATTTAAGCCTAGGGCTATTATAGCACACGGCCAACAGCGCTTAACGCCATAACATAACTCCGTGTCTTCTTTAAACTCCGGCCAACAGCATCGGCATATCTTTGGAGCTTTTTTATAATAATATGACAAGTCTTTGATATCTCTTACTGTAGCGAGATCACTCGTTACAGTCACTTTGCAAGAGTAGTTGTGGCGTGAATTGGTAAATCTCAATCATCGGAACCGTCACAGCCAGATTACGATGTAAGTAGGCTGAATAAGTCCGCTTGCACCATACATAATATCACAATCACCTGAAGATACCGGGTTGGAATTGGATGAGAGAAGAAGTGATGGATATATAAAGTGCCCTTTTTTTTTAACTTGCACATCCCTCACAACCGTCAAAAACTCTTTGCAAGACTTTCAAGACTTTCAAGAATTAGCGAATCACTTTTCTATCAAGATGCGTATTCAAATTTTGTCATTCACTTTAATCTTCTTTGCTATCTTTATGCAATCCTGCATCAAAGCTACACCCGTTCCCGGTCAAAGTTGCGATTCCTGCGTTCCAACTTGTAACCCTGCCGGTCAAGGCAAAAATTGCCGCAGGGATATCCTGAAGTCTGTAGGTCACAACACATTCATTTAAAGGTGAGTGATACGTACGTTATGCAAATACAATTGAGAGAATAGTTATTGAATCTATAGCTTCTTCCCTTTCAAAGCTGTACAAATGAATTGCTGTACGGTTCAATCTATGCAAGTGGTGACCATTGGTTGTAGATCTCTCTTACGGTCTGAAGAGAAACAAACTTGCGATGCCTCTGCAATCTTTATCTCAAAATGTGTTATCCACAATGATATGTAATCAATCTTATTTCAATATCATTTCCCAATAGTGGTTAGGTGATAAGCGTAAGATGTTATTGAGCATGATGATCTTATATCAAATACACGCGCTAAAATAGTAGAACAACACTCACTCACTGTGGATAAACCGCACTTAAGACTTGTACTTCCCTTACCTCCGTTTTAACGTGGATATTCAAGCTCCTCATGCATTAAAGTGGGAAAAGGTATATAAGAATAGTACATTTGATCATTCTCATTCTTCTCTACCATCAACTTCGATCATGTCAACTCCCAATTCAACAATCTCAACAGCCAGAAGATGGTGGCATCGTGGCTCAGCCGATCATGGCTGGTTAAAGACATTTCATACGTTCTCATTTGCATCATACTATAATCCACAATGGATGACATTCGGTTGTCTAAGGGTCGTAAATGAAGACAGAGTGGCAGCAAAGACTGGATTTCCAACTCATCCTCACAATAATGCAGAAATCTTTTCGTACATCATCAATGGTAAATTAACACACAAAGACAGCATTGGAAACGTGGAAACCTTACAGCGAGGAGAAGTTCAATTCACAAGCGCAGGAAGTGGAATACGACATAGTGAATATAACGATCATCCAAACGACGAATGTCATTTCTTGCAAATTTGGTACACACCTCGTCAACGTAACCTTCCACCAAAGTATTACACCCTACCGCAAGTCAAAGATGAAGAAAAGACAAACAAGCTCATGACACTCATTCGTGATGTGGACACCTTTACGCCAGAGGAGCGCGAAAAGACTGGTTTGTTACCTGTTGGACGTGCTATTCCGGCACATTGCAGTTTGACCACAAGAACATCGATCTTGACTCCCGGTAATTCTGTCAAGCATATCTTAGGTCATGAATCCAAACAGAGTGCAGGTGAACGATGGTCATTCATTCATCTAGCAATGACGAGCGGATACAAAGATCCAAATGCGTTGAAGAAACAGGTACAGAAAGATATCGCAGGATACACACAACATAAAGATCGACTGGAGCATGCTGCTCGATACTGTAAATCTGTGTATGGCGTTACACCAAATTTGACTGGTGATGCAAGCAAAGGTCAAGTGAACAAATTGAAGGCTACAGATCCAGAGAAGGCAAGGGTTACGCTCACGTATGCACAAAGTCGGGACGGTAAAATTGCAGGAGAGAATAAAAAGATGTTGGCGTTGAGTAATGCGGAAAGTATGATTATGACACATTCATTACGCATCCTACACGATGGCATCTTGGTTGGTGTCAATACCCTAATCAACGATAATCCACAATTGAATGCTAGACTGCTCAACCCTTTGCTTGATGGGAAAGAGGTGCCGCTAGATGCCCTTCCACGTCCTATCGTCATTGACAGTAAACTCAGAACACCTTTGGATTGTAAATTGCTCAACAATGCAAGACAAGGTACCGGCAAGAAACCACTAATCTTTACTTCAGCTAATGGCGAAGAAGCGAAAGCCACAGCTCTACGTGAAGCTGGAGCAGAGGTGGTCAAGGTGACAACAGACGCAAACGGACATCTATCATGGTCCGATCTGCTCACCGCTCTTCGTCAAGAACATCAAATCGAAAGTGTGATGATTGAAGGTGGAGCAACGGCCATCGAAAGTTTACTTGCTGCTCATGCAGAACAAACTCTGATTAACGAATTGATCGTTACTGTGGCACCCAACAATGTCGGAGAAAAGGGTCTGTCTTACCGAGCACCAAAATGGGTGACAAAACAAACATTACCAAAAGAAAAGAATGCAAATTCGCTCGCCAATACCAATAGCTTGGCACCTTTGCAATGTGACCCACAAATGTTCCAGTCTGACGTCATTTTGACTTGGTCTCAAGGCAAGAATGACAAGGAAGAAGCTCAAATTCGGATAGGAGATCAATTGCTCAGCGAAGGTGATGGCGTTTTCTTGAGAGGTGGACAAGTGGGTGAAGAGGTTGAGATTACCAACGTAGGAGATCGTAATGCTGAGTTGTGAGTATTCTAGAATAGGTTACCATCGCGAGCACACATAACTGACATAAACTTCTCTCCTCCATTCTTACTTTAGCCTTCTGTTCGACATCGAGCCAGAGGAAGGTGATGACTATTAAAACTCTATTGTATTCTAGCATGCTCAGTATCTATAGATTATTTTGCTTCGTTGAGCTGACCAAGGCTATCCATGATATATGTGGGATAGATCTCTTCCTTCTTGATATCCTCTACGGTAGAAATACCGGTCAAAACGAGAAGGCTGTCAATGTTTCCATTATTGGCAAAAGCAATATCTGTGTTCAAACGATCTCCAACAAAGATCGTTCGCTTTTCGTCTATATGATAATGTTCTTTGATCGTGTCCAACATTGGTTGATTTGGCTTTCCGACGATGACAGGTTTTCTTCCTGATGCGAACAAAAGAGGAGCTGAAAGAGATCCTGCTCCGGGCCATGGGCCTCCACCAGCAGGGAAAGTTGAATCATCGTTGGTCAAGATGAAGTGACAGCCACCTCCTTTCTCTCCTTCTACGACAGGTCCTTCTGCACCTTTTCTGGTGATATGCTTGTATGCTTTGCACAATTTTGTATAGTTCATATGCATATCAAATCCACACATGACTGCACCAACGCTAGGATCCATTGCTTCTTCAGTTCGTAAAGATGAAAAGTCCATCGGCGGTAAAAGTTGATTATCTTCCGGATTCGTTCCACCACAATGTTGTATTCCAGCTTCGTCTAATTCATCTTCGATTCCATGCATACCGATAACGTAAACTTTACGATCTTTTGGAAATTTTAAAACGTCTCTTAAATAAATTGCTGCAGCAAAAGAACTTGAAACGATATCTTCTTCTTTTGCTTCGTATCCTAATTGATCAAATTTTTTCTTGATTGCTTTTCGACTTTTACTGGCATTGTTTGTCACATATACAACTCGTTTGCCTGACTTTCGTAAATGATTAATTACGTCTTGTGAACCTTCGATCAAATCATCTCCTGACCATAGAACTCCATCGCAATCGAATAGCCAGGTGTCGTATCGGTCCAGCAATTTTCCATACTCTTCTGGTGAAGAGAGGCTTTGCGGTGTCTTCTGCTCGGCTGAAGACATTCCGGCAGAATAAGTAAGGGTGGAAGTGAAGAAGAAGGTTGAGAAGAATGTTCTTACTTTAGCTTGTAGAACTTACCCGCTTAAACGGAGATTAACGCCCATTCCCCCAAAAAATAAGGGCGTCACGCACGGACATAAAATAGTCATTCTCAAGTCTTGTATCCTTCTTCCTCTTACACACCATCAGAGGAAATGCAAGCTTCATGTCTTCTCCAATCAAGACAAAGTCACCTTACCCTCTCAGCTCAACAGGCAGCAATCATGGGATCCCAAGCCCATCCGTATTTGCAAATATGGCAGCGGCTGTAGGGCAGCACAATCCACTCGACGAGAATGCAAACGCAGCCATAATTGCCAATACTCCATCAGCCGGACAGAGCACAGGAAACAAGCAACCAGTAGATCTTTCCGTTGCTGCACTAGGCAGTTCAAATCCTTATACTGCTTTGATGTATAATGTCGAACAATTTGCAAATTCTCAATTGGACAAATTAGAAGAATTAAATGAAACATTTTTCAACCTTTACGAAAATGTGCTCGTGGATGATTGGATATCGATGGATGACGTCGTACAAGCACACAAGAAGCTTATTGAGATGATCGATCAATTACTGTCAAATGCAACCCAAGCTGGTTTCTCAGGTCTTGCGTGTCCGTTATCTGAAGAACAGACAGCTCCTGTTTCAAAAGTCGAGGATACACAGATGGTAGACCTACAGGAGAATGGCCAGAGCAAAAATGAAGATACTTCGAATGGCGAGAAAGAGGACATAAATGCACGTTTTGCTGCTCAATCAAAAGATTCATACGAGAGAAGAGAAAGACTACGAGAGAGCGCATCGATGATCACAAATATACTTGCTCATACCGCATGATCAAGCACAAATATCATAAAGAGAGCTCTCAGTATTCAAAAGGTTCAGACGGCACGTATCAATGCTAACCATCGGAGTAGTATCACGCAAAAGGCCATCTTAGCATGTACCAAAAGTGTAAATTATGTAGAGTATACAAAATGAAATTGCAACAACAGAGCATTGAATTTCCATATCTTTAATCATTTCCAGCACCAGCTTCTTCTCCTTCCTTGGCTGCTGGCTTCTTCTTTTTCTCTTCTTCTACAACGATATTCGAAGCCGATATACCTCCAGCATCTTCTTTTGGTAGGGTCTCAAACGGTTTTTGTCGATTGATGATCATATCCCTAATATCTTCTGCAACATCTCCTTGAATGATAATTTCGTCTACGTTTGGATTTGCTGTTGATTTTGAAACACTTGCACCTGTTGCCAATCTGGAGGACAATCCTTTAGCAACAGCCTTTAAAGCAGGCAAAGGTGGACTGAAAAGATGCAAACCATACAAACTCGTTGTTGCTTTCTTTTTCGTTCTTGCCATCTTTGTTAATACGATTCTAGATGATTGCAATGCTTTACGTTCTTTTTCTGCTTTTGCTTCGGCTTTCTTTTCTTTCTTTGCTGCATCTTTTTCTAAATCTTCTGCTTGTTTTGTCGTTAAACTTGCCATCTTTTGCGTTAATGCTTCTTCACTGTATAGCTTTTTGAACAAATCAGGATGTGCATCTGCTAGCCATTGTTTGCATTTTGATGTTGAGGATGCAAATTCGCAATATTCGGGCGGGAATGCTGTAAAAGTAAGAGATAGAATGATTGAATCAGATTGATGTCGTACGATGAGGTCTAAAGCCCATCTTCTACTCACTGCATACACCGCAATAAACTGCCTTTCTCGGTGGGGGAGCTGATGGTCCGGCTTCCTCGGATGCATCTCCCTCGACAAGTGGTTCTGGATCTGCTTGTGGGGCCATTTTGGATTGAAGTTGTCGTATTCTGTTGGTGGGAAGGTCGGAAGATTTTTCAAAGAAGTACGGTGTGCATCGGCAATAGTGGTAACACGCGAAGAACGCCTGTCACTAAGCGTCTGCCTAGCAACTTTTGAAGGCGAAGCACAGATCATGTTGGTCATTGTTGGTTACGTTTTGCTCAAAGTCGCTTCCTTCCTTTCCTACCATATACTTATTTCTGGTTCGGTGCAATGGCGGCACGATCGGAGGAGGCGAAAGATGGCGTTCCTACTCGCCATAGTGATGAAATCAATACTGCCTCTCATCGGATTCATGCTGCTTTAGCACCTCGGATTGCCGTTCTCAGTAGCCCTGACGTGGACGAAGCACTTGCTCCAAATAATTTCGACTCATTTGCAGACTTGTTGAAACCATTTCAAGAATCAATCGAAAATCTTACAGTACGAACATCTCAACTTGAAACTAGACAATGCAAAACATTTCCACTCTCGTTTGATCATATTGACTTATTTGGCACTTCACACGCAGTTTCAACTACTTCTCTATTCACGCCTGCGGATATCATTGGTCAATCTACAGATACGGCACGGAATGCACAATCTCCACCGAAGCCAAAGAGAAGAACGCCAGCATACTCTCGTCCGGAAATTCTGTTGGACGCCATCAGTGCACGCATAAGCAGTAAATCAAAAGCACTTTGGGAAAGTCGTGGAAATGAGGAAACGGATCAAAAGAACAGTTCATCACATAGGAGGAAGCCTTCCGTCTACTCGCAAGACGTCGCTCTAATAATGGACGAAAATGATCTTACATCGGAAGGAATTGATCTACCTCTCTATCGCGATGCCGAAATTGATCGTATCACGCCTTGGTTTGCCGATACGAGGGATATGGTATTGCATGCTCGTCAAGTAAGCGAACATGAGACATTCGGTCACCCAATGGCAGCGATACTGGTCGTCTCAGCTTCATCTTCCGATCCAATGAATGCGTTTGCCAATCTATTTGAAGAATCTCAGCCTCACTCAAATTCAGCTTTCAACAAACGTCCATACGTTGATCCTCTAATATTCAGGTATTACGTCTTACTTCATGACGTATCGAAAAGCGGATCAGATTTAACAGAATCTGTTGCACTTTTGGAAAATGTGAAAAAGACATACGGGCTACATTGCTGCCTACTACCTATCAATTCTGCTGAAGGGAAGTCATCGCATCCCAAAGAAGATATTTCAAGTCTGTGGCACCGTGTCCTTCGAAATACAAGCTCATATGCAACATCCCCTCCCCAAGACGATACAATCACTGCATCTCCCAAAAAGCGACAGAGTCTAGACGCTCTAAGCAAGTGGTATGGCGGTAGCACAACAGAAGAGGAAAAGGTGTATGCATCTCTTATCAACGATGACGATGTCCGAAAGATCAAGACCTTTGTTCGCGACTTTGCCGCTCAAAGTCTCATACCTTTCATGGAGAGATGTGTGAGCCTTTGGAATGACCAGCTAGCGGCTTCTAGAAGGGGCTTGACAGGAAGATTATTGGGAGCGGGAAGAAAATTCTTTGGTGGAGCAGCATCTCGTAGCTCCGGATCATCTCAATCATCGCAATCGTTCTCTACTCTAGGCTATTACCCCCACACAGCGCTAGAGGCACAAACTAGAAGACTTGCCGACTTTGCTTTTATGACGCATGACTATAAATTGGCAGCATCGATGTACGACCTGTGCAGAAAAGATTTTGCCAATGATAAGGCGAACAAGTATATCGCTGGCGCAAATGAGATGTTTGGTCTATCTCATTTGATGCTGATGATGGGTACGCCAAATGCCTTGATCGATGTTGATTCGTATCTAGCGGCTGCGGGATCATTTTACCTTATCGCTCCCCGACAAAAAGGAAGTTCATTGCAATTGGATGGTTTACGTGCAACATTGCTTTTCTATGAAGCATATAGAGGTTTAAGTTTTTATCGTTCTGCTCCTGCTGCGTTGGTGAGAACGGCCAATGAAGGATCAAGTGAGGATGAGAATGATCTAGAAGTGGTCGCAGCAATGCTGTTGGAGCAAGCAGCCCTTGTCAATTTGCGTCAATCGGGAAAACCTGCTTTGCGCAAATGTGCCTTGCATCTCATCATGGCTGCACATCGGTACAGGAAATGCGGACAAAAGCATCTCAGCTTACGTTGCTTTAGAGCATCTGCACAAATTTATAGAATGTTATCACAGGGAAATCTTTCCTCTTTGACGGAGACGGGCGAGGAGGGTGAAGAGAAAGAAGAAGAAAACGAAAAGCTTGCCGACTATATCGCCAAGAATGAAAGAGTACAAGTTCGCGAATGGGAAGTGATCAATGATCATATGGAACATGAGATGGCTCAACAAGCTTTCAATGATGGCAACATTGCACAGGCACTTGCTTATTATGTTCGCATCCTCCAGAGACAAAGCACAAGCTTTGAAGCATCAAGTCCAGAAAGTACCTATAGGCATGAAACATACCTTCAAGGTTTCTTGACATGTTGCAAGTATCTAGACGGCGATCTTACAGCCGTTTTGAAAGCACATGGCATCAGCCCAAGTCTGAATATCATAGACTCTAGATCGACATACATTGAAGTGAATGCAAGCACGCAAAGCGATGATGCTCCTTGGAGAGCGTTGGAAGAACGGGTCTTGGGTCAATCTGTCTCAAAAGCGTACAAGGAGCAAAATACAACTGCAATTGACGAAACATTTTGGGTTCACATCTGCGTACGGAATCCATTTAATGTGCAACTAGCCATCACATCTCTAGCAGTTGACCTTGTGGATGTTACTACGGGAGACGCAGTCTCGGATGGCGTTGTTGAGATCAAACCTCAAGATTCATTCACTCTTGCGCCACTCGAAACACGCATTGTATCATTGGCTGCAATTTGTCGTTCAGCACAGAAGTTGAAGCTATCGCAAGTCCGATATTGTTTCGGGGAGGACATTGAGCTTCGTGAAGCTGTCGTGAAGGCTGGAAGACGTTTGAACGATACAAAAGAGCAGCGTACATCTTCTGAACCAACTTACGCGCCGAACGAATCAATCGCTGTCATTGTTCATGAATCAAAGGCAATTCTTGAAGCCACTTTTGTGAATGCTGCTTCTCAACTAGGGCTAGGAGAGGAAGTAGAAGCTACGATCAATTTTGCAAATGTTGGCAAGGCGTCTTTGAAAAACGCACAAATTCACATCAACCGTCCAGACACTTTGGTTGATCCAAACAACGTAGACGTCACATCAGACCAGCTCGAAAAAGAATCGTTTGAAGTCGACAATTCTCTGCAAGCAACAAAACCGATTGCGATTCCCCTTATAGAGGATACATTGGCTGCAGGCGATACATTTAGCTGGAAAGTCATCTTGAGAGGAAGCGCTCTCGGATTCGTCACACTGCGTGCTTTAATTGTTTTCGAGGCACAGAGTGGTGAAAAACTTACTGCACAACTGCAACACACGATCCAAATCGATCCTGTGGTAGACCTGTCCATTCAAGCCCTACCTTCAAGATCGGAAAAGATGCAATATCAATTACGCTTGGACGCTTCCAATATGATGCAGCCAGATCAGGCTAGCGAGGGAGAGCCGCAGAATATTGTGATCGATGGATTGTCTGTGGTCGGACCTTGCTGGAGGGTTGATGCGGATCACGCAAAAGATACCCTTGAACCCTTTAAGAGTATTGGTCAAAAGGAAAGACGGAGTACGGAGCTTTTCGTGACACCTGAGAATGCACCAAACGATGGTAAAGATTTTGTTTCAATCTCTGACCTGAGCTTTACAGTAGATCAGTTACGCTCAATTCTTACAGGGAGAGGATTGGACAAAAGCGCTTCTGCACCGCCAACAAAGCTTACCTCAAGCAAGGTACATGGAAATGAACAGCTAAGCCGCTTCTTCTTTCTGGCCCGTAAGGAATATAGACTTTCAACATTATCGCACGATTTTCCTTCTTTGCTCGTACGACGTGAAGGCGGCGATAAGAGAATAGACGAATTACAACAATTACGTCAAATTTTCACCTTGTACGAACCCAATGAGGTTGACATTATCGCTCACTGGCATATCTCGAGCAAAAGTGGTGAAACAAGATACGGTCAGGCATTCGTGTTTGGGTTACGTTTGGGTCCTTCAATTGATTATCTGGCACCTTTGTTCTCGAATCCCAACGCATCAGAACAAGGAAGAGCAGCTCGCACGATGTATGCCGAGACCGAACGTGAGAAAGCGGCTATTTGGCAAAACTTACGCACGAGTCGATTACACATGGAAGATGATCCGATTCTGTTTGACTTCAAGCTGCCTATGGATCAAGCAGGAAAGCATGACTTTACTCAATCGGGAAGGAAAGTTGTGAATGTTGACTTTGTTGTGCAGAATCTGTCTCCTCTCAGTACACGCAAAGTCATTCTCAAACTTGACAATATTTCTCCTCCCGCGGGAAATACCGCTGCGATTGCAGCGATTACCAATGCAACAGGCAAGGCAATCACTCCGATTCATGCTTCTTACGTTGAGAGATTGACTTTGTCCGCCACAATTGCACCTTTATCTAAAACAACTTTAACAGGCAAAGCAAGTATTCCTAGAGCGGGTCGTGCAATCTTTGCTCCAGTCCTGGTTACAAATTCAGCTGTGGAAGAGGGTCAAGATGACTCTTCTCAAAAGAAGCCATTCCAGAGATGGGAGTATTGCTCTCAATTCATGAATATTGAATGATATCTGCGATTGTACAATATACTATACCACCAAATACACATTGTTATAAAAATTTGCTTTTGCTATAATACATAATTAGAGAGGATGACCTCAGAACAAACCGTCATCTTCATCGTCTCCTGCTTCTTCATCCTCTTCCTCATCGTCGTAGTCTTCTTCACCTCTTCGAGTTTCCGTATCTCCCAGCTCGGTCGTTGTATCTGTGGTTGTGCGAAGACGCTGATGTCCTGCTTTGGCATTATCTTCAGCATTCGCAGATGCCCTAGAAGCTGACGTACCTTTTGCCAAATTGTCATCATTACTGGATACTTTGCCCTTCTCACCGATAGCCTCACTTTGTTGTTCTGAACCTGCTTTTTGGCTCTCTTCAGCGGCTGCAGCGGCAGCGGCAGCGGCAGCGGCAGCCTCCTCTTCGGCTTCAGCTCTGGCTGCTGCTTTACCTTCTCTTCTTTGTTGTTTAAGATCTTGCAACTGATTTCTCTTGATTTCCAATTCATCTCGAATACGTTTAAGGGAAGCAGAATTGCGTTGTTTGATCAACGCATTCGCCGTTGCATCCACTTCTGCTTGTTTACGTTTGACCATACCTTCAATTTCTCTGCATTCAGCTTCCAGTTGTTGTTCACGAACGCGTAACTCAGCTTCTTCTTCATCCAAATCATCTTCGTCATCATCATCACGTTCGCCATCCAATCCGGTAGCATCTTGATCGCCCGCTTGCGCCTCGTCTCCAGTACCACCATCGAACAAATCGTCATCATCATCATCGTCGTCGTCATCGTCATCATCACTGGTAACGCGTGAAGAGCTACGAGCACGCCTTCTACGTCTTCCGGAACTTGAAGCGTCATCATCATCGTCTTCGTCCTCATCTTCTTCCTCTTCTTCTTGTTGTTGTAAAAGCATTTCTTCTTCCAATTCTCTTTGAAGATCTTGATCTACATCGTCATCATCATCATCTTCGCCAGCAAAAGAACCTTCTTCAAAGTCTCCATTGATCGAACGATCTTCGCCGTCAGCTAAAGTGGAAGTACCATCATCCATCATACTTCCGTCACGCAATGCTCTCCTTCTTGCTCTTGCTTCATCATCTGAATCACTAAAGTCTGCCTCTGCTGCATCGACCATTCTGTATTCCACCTTTTCTGCACGTTCATCTTCTTGTAATAAGCGCTCAACTTCTTTCTCCACTGTTTCAATCGTTCTTTTGTGTATTCTCTTACGAAATCTTCTCTTTCGTGCCCAACGCATAGGAGGTGTAAGTCCATGATCGTAAACGAAGTCATCCGCCAATCCTTCGATCGGTTCAGGATTTGGTTTTGCAACATCTGCTTCTTCTTGAATTAAATGTGTGACCAAGAGCATTTGACTGATATCGGCAATTTTGAAAAGTTGTTTATTATCCAACGTTTTATGTGATTCAATGATTGCCGGTAAATCAACAAGTTTCGATGACATCATCTTATCGCCAACTTTGAAAACAGCACGACGAGCATCTTTAAATTTTAGCTCGATCTCATGACCTTCTGTTCCTGCTTCACGTTTACGCACCCATTCACCCAACGTTTTTGTTACATCGTGTCCTTCTGGCATGCGTAAAATGATGTGTTCTTCGAATGCCATCCCTTCACCTGTTTCATCATCTGAACTGTCTAATTCACGATCATAACCCTGCATATAAGGAGTGGTCTTATTTGCACCCGCATATGTGGGATCACCACGTCCTCTCAGACGCTGCTCACTTCGGATGTTCAGCCTGAGTCTCTTTGCTCGTATTGCTGAAGCTGAAGATTGACCTGCTGAGCCAGATGGTTTTGAGGGTGGACGTAAGCGCAATGATCGACCATTAGAAGCACCAGAAGTATCCTGATAATCATCATCCAAATCCATATCTCTTGCTTTTAAGCTTGGCCTTATCTGTCTTCCGGAAGAACGTATTGAACCAGGCGTAGGAGGTGGCATCATTGATGCATCATCGATTGATCTGATTGCATTTGTGCTCGTGCTCATTCCAATTCCACCCGGAGTTGTGGGTGAAGATGTACTCATATCCGCGCCACCATTGGTACCATCTTGAAAGCCTACGCCGAAAGAAGTACTTCCTTCGCCTTCATTGCCGGCTGACATGTTTGGATGGGCTTTGTTGGATGTGAGTGTTGATTGTGATCTTTGATAGGTTGTCTGGGATGTGAATTAATTTTGTTCGTTTCTTGTCGCGTTTAAACTCTTTCCATTATATATGCGCCTTTATATGACAAGCCCAGTTCCCCCGCTTTGATACAGACAGAAGAAAAGGCAGTCGGAAATGCACAATTGCTAAGATCTTGGGCGTAAAAAAGATAGAGAGAAGGGGAAGGAGCGCGCGTACTTTAATCAATTCAGTGGAGTTGCTCCGTCAGATGGTATGTCAACCTTCAAATGAGTGGCATGTATTCTTTTCAAGGTTTAACTTTATACAATGTCATTTCGACAATCCATCTCTTCCAAATTTCATCAATTTATCACTCCTAACAAACTATCAAAAATGGTCACAATCCCGCCTGCTCGTTGCGATTTAGCATTAGCAAATTTAGACGAAATCGAATCGGAACGTTTACTAAATGCAGCAACAAATAACAAAGAAGAAAAATCCGCCGAATGTTCCTATACCACCAATACCTCTCTTCAGAACCGAAAGGAGAATCGATGGACAGATATCTTGGCTTATGATCATTCCCTCTTACCGGGCGATTACCTAAACGCATCTCTCATTCCACCTTTCCCTTCAAACCAACAAGAAGGAAAACGGAAAACGTCATTCATTGCCAGTCAAGCTCCTTTACCGCATACCCTAAACACATTTTACGAAAAAATTATTCAATCAAAAACAAAACTTGTTGTAAATTTAACACCTTTTCGTGAAAGAGGTAGAACGAAAGCAGATGAATATTGGCCATTACAACAGGAACAGGTATTCAATACGGCAACAGGTAGTGATGAATCTATAGGACAATACTCGATCCGCCAGACCAGCGAGTCTACCTTACTGGATGAAAAGCTCCAGGCAACGCTATACTCGCTAGAGATCAAGTCCCAAAATGGATACAATCCACCTTACGAACTCGCAGTCTTACATGTTACATCTTGGGCAGATTTTGGAAATTATCCCGAGGATGTATTTGACAGACTTTTAAACATCATCAATGAACAACACGGAAAGCTTTCTGCTACTTCGCCAATCTGGGTACACTGCTCTGCAGGCGTAGGTCGAAGTGGTACAGTGATTGCTGCTCTGATGGCGAGAGAATCGGATGTGAAAGATTTGCAATTGTCCATCTCCTCACTAACAACGCCCGCACAAGTAATGGAAGCAAGTATTGAAGGAGCAACAAAATTGATCGATCATGAAAGAAGATATCGACCTAGAATGGTTCAAACTGGCGAACAATTCGAAATGGTGGCAGTAGTGATTGCCAAACAATTATCAGCAAATCAGCATGCAGGCTAACTCAAGAGATCATTAAAGATGCACTTTTTCATTAATTTTACATTATAATGCTATTATTCCATAAAGAGCTTGCAGTTTTCATCTATATTGAACCTTATCTTCTCGATCTTCCCATATCTCCATCGTCTTCGTCTTCATCGTCCGCCTCGATCTGGAACATTGAAGCTTCTTCAGCCACATTATTTGACTGTGAGGCATTCCTCTTGTTTCCAGCAGTAGGCTTCGGTCTAGTTGGCTGAGATTGTGAATTGCTCTTCGATCTTTGATTGCTGATCGGCTGTGCATCTTCTATGGGAGCTTGTTGTTGTCTCTCCACTTCTAAAGCTTCTGCTTCTTCCAATCTCATATCTTCCCAATCTTTTGCCGTTTGTTCACGATAGAGGTACAATTGTGCACAAATGACCACATCTACCGAAAGTGCAAACAGTGCAGAAATAATGGATTGAATCGGGGATCCTTGCATTAGGAAATAAACCGTCTTAAAAGCATCTCCAAATGCCCATCCCATCAAGACGCTCAATCGAAAACCGCCAAGTGATTTGCGTGAATAATTTGTCATTGCTTGTGGAACTGGTAAAGTGGCTTCTAATCCTAAAGCAAACATACCAAGTACCCAAACATAAGAAGACAACCTTCCAAGAATCACTTGCAAGACGGCCAAGAAGACGATGAGAGCGGCCAAGAATAACAAATAGCTAGAAAGATCCGGCCATGTCCAAAAGCCAAAAATTCTACCACCAGAAGAGCCATCCTTTCTCGTTGCACCTTCCGTACGTTTGAAGCCTGATTGCAAGAATTTGACAGCTTTACGTCCCACTCTTTGTAGCTTTTGTCCAGATTGCGTGTTGCTTGTTCCAACATCTTCTTCATCCTCATCTTCATCGAGTGTAGGAGCAGCAGGCATATTTAGACCGAAGAGCGGCGCATATCGTCCGTTTGCTGAAGAAGTGTCGAATAATCCTCCTATTGAGGTAGGAAAGGAGGAAGATTTGTTTCCAGATTGGTTCGCATCACCATCGAATGAGTCATCTGCTGAAAACTCAGTCCTGCTTTGGGCTGAAGTGGGAGCGCTATTGGATGCATTGTTGGGTCTGCCGGTCGTACTCGTGCTACCACCTCGATCGCCCGAAGCGACACTATAAGCCGAAGAAGCGAAAGAACCCGGTCTAAATTTGAGCAGAAGCGAAAGCAAGTAAATTTGCGAAACGATCATCAAGATTGATTGTAACAACAGTGCAAATTCATACTTTTCACCAAACCAAAAGAATATACGTGAAATATTTGCGATCAATAAAACTGCACAAACATCTTTACTGAAACCTTCTGCATTTCTCCGTTTTTGTATACTCCATGCTTGATCTGCGTAGATTAGTGGTGCACCGAATGCCATACCCAAGGCTGCCAATGTTGACCATAGCGTCATGTTGTGATAATTCTGATGATGTATGTATAAAGGTGATCGTTAGGAGTTGGAAGGAAGCACAAGCTATGCACAGCTTAATCCGGCAAAGAATTTAAAGCTGTGCTTGCTTAAAGGTTTATCTTCTCTATTTCACACGCGTAATGCAGGCAGGCCAGGCACCCAGTAGTTTAGCTAGCCTAAACAACACTTTAACCAACACCATCACTTTCCAGTCGTAGTACTGGCAATGTCCATAGCAATCGGTCATGGTGAACAGGAGAGGGAATTGCTGTATCTACTCCAAGATGCAAGTCAACCTATCCCATCATCGATCCATATCCACGATACTGCCAACGGACAAGCAGTACTGGAAAAGGTGATAGGACAAATTGATGCAAATCTTTTGGAAATAGACCCTCTTCTCTGTCCAACACCTCAACTTCTATTCAATCGGATCTACAAAGGTTTTGCTACAAATGCAACATCTTCAGATCTTTCGTCCAAAGGTGTCTTTGGAGATGGATCAACAGATGCAATGTTACACGCCATCCGAGCACAGCTACAGAAATATCAGGAGAGTGCTCCCGGCAGCAAACAGCAAAGGTTCATCATCATCCTCAAGAGAGCAGATCGAATGAGAGATCTTTGGCCTGAGGAGATTTCCAATGTGTTGTTTAGTATGGCAAAAACATTTTCAATGCAAGGAAGTTTTTGTCTCATCACAATTAGTCATTTGGCTATCTCACACTTTCGAGCGAGTAAAGGTCCAGGTACACATGCTACGCCGCCAGATTCCATCGTGATCCGGTGTGGACGTTTACCGAAAGAGGAAGTGTTGGAGTATTTGGATGGTGATTTCGATCAACTTGTTTCTCAATCTACCTCCACTACCGTTGCTAAGGATCAATTGCGAACTTTGTTTGATACTTACACTTCTTTGGCCTACGATGCATTCGCGGCAGAAATTCGGGATCTACATGAGATACGGCTTTTGACATGTTGTGTATGGCATCCGTTCATCAGACCTGTGTTGAACGGGGTGATGCCTGCTTCTCAATTGCACTCTTTGCTTGTTCGGTCATCTTCGCTATTTCGATATGCTTTGGAACAATTGCACACGAGGAGAATGAATCCGTTAGAATGGATTGAAAGTTCAATCAAACAGGTAGATGAAATTGGCGCTCAGAATCGTTTACAGATATCGCAAGATTTTGGCAAGTCCAACTATTCAACGTTACAATCGCGTTCTTTGCTCACTTCGTTGGTTGTTTTGGCTGCCTTTTTGGCCTCTTACAACCCTGCACGGCTTGATGTACGGTATTTTGTACGTGATGAATCTGCGATTATCATCAACTCCTTCAAATCGACTGATGGAAAGAGCCCCAGAAAAAGAAAACGAGGAGGTGCATTCCGCAAGACCAATACGAAAAGAAAGCTTGGAAAGCGGTCTGGTGCGATGAACAGATCTGAGGAGACGCTTTTGAGTAGACAAGAATTGCTTGGGCCACGTTCGTTCACGCTGGACAGGATGTTGAATATCGTTCAAGCATTGGCCGTTGAGGTTGCACCTGATTTACACTCTTCCTCTTCAGGTAGACGGAAAGGAGACGTTGTTGCCCTGCAAGATTGTCAAGATGAATGGGAGGTGAGGAGTAAAGGAAATGCGGTTTTGGAAACGTTCAATGATTTAATCAAGATGGGCTTGATTGTTCGCACTTCAGCCATTGAACGGATAGATGTTGTGACCACGTTTCGAGTCAATACGGGTAGGGAAATGGCGATCGCAATGGCGAAAAACGTTCATCTAAATATCGAAGAATGGATTTACGGTTAAGCACTGATCATGATGATGGTATTGAAATATTGAATCATGTTTGAGTTTGTGTACAAAAAGAGAAAAAATGAAATGTTTTTATAATACAGAGAGAAGAAAACGAAAGGGTGTTCAATAGAATGATTGAATGTTTTTGATCATTCGTTCAGGTCACCGCTTGTCATATGTGAGAGAAAAAGACCAAATCATGAATGAGACCTCTAGTTGAACATGCCGGCCAATTCTTTTGCATCATGCATACGTTGCAATTTTGCGGTAAGACGATCATTGCTGATACTGCTGCCTGAATCACTCAAGCCAGCGGTTGATTCAGATCCAGCGGCATGGAAGTGTCTGAATAGGAGAAAAGCGCGAGAGAGGTATGTCAGCATAAAGTACTCCTTATGATAAGGGGATCATTCTCCTGAAGTGGTGTACTCACCTGTGTGCACTCTTTAAACGACCATCAGCACCAACGATGTAAGCGCTTGCAGTTGGAGCAGGATTGGCTGGGGAAGCAGCAGTGGTTGTGATGGATGCTTTGGCATTGTTTGATGATGCAGCTGGCGTTGCAACGGCCACACGGTTGACGGTCGTGCTAACGAAACGAACACCACGAGGTGCGATAGATTGAACTGATCGTGAGAACATAGTGATGTGAGTAGGTAATATAAATTTGCTGAACGGTAAAAAGCAGTAAATTGTGATGATGAAAGAGAAAAGGAAAACGGTTGAGCTTGAAGGAATGGATTTATATACTTTCTTGGTTTACAATGCACCCTTTATTTTGTGGGGAGTAGGCGTAAAGGGGAGGAGCAGAGCGGTTGTTCCCCTTTGTGCTCCTCCTCTTCTTCATGCTATGCATCATTGCTCTCCTCCACGGTGTTTCGGAAATGGACTGATTTACTGAACGGATAGGCTTAACACACACAGCTGCTATCCAGTATGCTAAGCAGCATGATCACAACTTTCCTTTTTTTGACAAATGAAAGAGGGTTCTTTGCATAACACTATTCAATACCACACGAATCGAATGTAAAATTGTATATGCATATAATGACTATAAAAAGTGTTTAGCATGATGATTATGAACACAAACAATCTAGGCTTAAACGGGTCCTTTTCGATCGGAAATAGAGCTAATTGAATAAAAAAGAAGAAGAAGAAGAGGGAAAAAATGAGGAGGATTACAAGAATAATCTCTAGATCAGAAGAATAAAGTGGACAAGGCGAACCGGCAGAGGAAATGACGTTATTGGCTTTCCTTAGCCAATTAATTACCGTTTAGATGAAGGCCGTGATCGTATGGCTGGGTTTAGAGGAAAAGTGGGGAAATGAGGCTTGTCAAACACGCGCTACTAAGATTTTGTGCGTTACTGTTCAAATGCCCTTTTTGTTTAGCAAATGCAATCAATCGTGATACGACATGCATTAGATCTGTGTACACACTCGTGAAACAGTACAAATCCAGTACGGCAGATTCACATGGTAATGCATTTATTTGATTGTAAAGCTTAAGGGCCAAGGGTAACAACAACAAAACAAGTGCAAGCTCCGCCGTCTCTCGCAATCGGGATGCAAGAATGACGACATGGCTCTGCCTACGGGCAGCAAGAATCAGTCTGGCTTTTGTTTTAGCTTATTCATGCGGACTTGGATTGAAACCTTGTGATTGAGATTGATAGAAGGACATTATCATCCAACAGACACTTTTGAGTGAGGGAAAAGCACTTTTTGCCCAGATGTATTAGAACCAATCCATTGGACGACTTTCAAACATAAAAAGTGTAATTTGTATTCGAAGATCGATAAGATAGTAGCTTAGTCTAATACAATCACGCTAACGGAGAACGAGCGATCTACGTTTGGCATTAGAAAAGAGACACTCTTCAACTGCTTTTACCATTTCAAAGGGTCTAGCGATTTCCACGCTTCTTTTCTAACGCCGCTCAACTCTTTGCCGTTTTAGGGCTATTTAGCCTTAGACATTCTATTGACTGCCGTAAATCAGTTATGAAAAAAAGGTTCCTGACCGGTTCTTTGGCCGGTTACACTACCGATGGGAATGAATCCATCTCTCTTTACAACCTGCTTAAATCCGAAAATCACTTTCGCTTACGTACACATCACAAACGCGAAAATCATTGTTTCTCGAAACGCAATAATCCGCGGGCGCAGAACAGAGTACTGTAGCCGAAAGGCGCAACAAAGGCGTAGAAAAAAAGGTTGAATAAGCAAGCCTCTGTCTGGCTCAAATTGAGATTCCTTTCTATCACTCTTTCGGCATACAAATCCGAGTTTGCATCTCTTTTGCATCAAATGAAAATCTTATTAACTACAGTAAAAAACTCTAATTGATAGAAGATCTTACGGGTATCCTGACAGAATGAAAATTTTCTGACATACATCTGCCAAGAATAATTATTGTATTACCCATGAATAGTGAGCATGGATAAGCTGGTAAAATGCAGTTGTATGTATCCCGAATGCGTGCCCAGCTTTCTGAGCTCAGCGTAAGGCAAAAGGCGCACAGACGCAAAACAACAACAACAAAATGGATTCATTCGGAATTTTAACTGAACGACACACACACACACAATACGCGCAAAGCACACACTGCACACGCATGAGCCAAAACGGTGGACGTAGCCGCACTAACGGGCTGAATGCGTTTCATCCGAAAAAGTAAAAACGTGTTGAACATAGAATGGTACGATTGGACATCTTTATCACCATCACTCCAAAGAATACAAAAGTGTGGTCAAGATGTTATCATCGAAACCTATGGATCCGATCATTGATCATTCTCATGATGATGAGAAACAAAAACAGGAAACAAATAATAATGATATAGTCAATCTGGCAACAGAAACGGGACGAATGAGATTACGCGAAAATAAAGATGCACCTGGCTATCAAGTTCTTACACCTCAGGATAGTCCAGCAATCGGTTCAGGCGCTTCCAGTTCACCAAATCTAGATGGCAATACACAAAGTCCTCCAAATGATCAATCACAAACACAAATTAATACCCATCATGCTGCCGGTTTGAGTAAACAAATGTCAGTTATCCCAGGCGGTGGTGCTGAATTGGCAAATGCAGAAAGTTTGGGTGGTGCAAGTCATGCTGCTCATTCAGCACGTATTCAAAACCTCGGAGGCAGATCTGGCACAACTTCAGCACGATTGAGCGCAACCTCTTCTGCCAGCAGTCAAGCAGCAGCAGGTTCAAGCACTTTGGCATCCTACACTGCCACCTCTGCTCAACCTCCTGTTGGTCCCGGAGCAAGTGGTTTGGCAAGCGCTCGTGGCGTGGATAATGCTGAAAGCGGTGCAGCAACGCCTTCTCAATTTGTATTCCCCAAATTAGGTGCAAGAAGGCCAAGTGAAGTTCATAGTCATACAGATGGTACCCAATCTCCAGCTGCTGATGGCTCTCATACCAATTCACCAACCGTTGGCGCAAGCGTTGTACAAGATCATCTACCCGCAGTAAAACACAAGAAGAAAGAACATCATAACCCTTTACATGATCTACGCAGATTTTTACACAACCATCTCGGTCATCATGGAGACGAAACCAGCCGATCGGGCACTTCCACTCCTGGAGGCTCCAAAAGACGCGGTCACGATTCTCCTCCATTGGGTGAAGAACATGCTCATCTTGCGAAGAAGTACGGAAAGTGGGGTAAAACACTGGGATCGGGAGCAGGAGGTACAGTGCGTATCATTAAAAGATCAAAGGATCACAGTACATTCGCAGTGAAGGAGTTCAGACAGAGACGTCAAGGTGAATCAGAGAAAGAATACATTAAAAAGGTGACTGCAGAATTCTGCATCGGCTCCACCTTGCATCACATCAACATTATTGAAACATTGGACATCATCTCCGATCATGGGCATTATTACGAGGTGATGGAATATGCTCCTTACGATCTTTTCAGTGTTGTGATGAGCGGTAAAATGTGCAGACAAGAGATCTACTGCGTCTTCAAACAAATCATTGATGGTGTCGACTATTTGCACAACATGGGTTTGGCACACAGAGATCTAAAATTGGACAACTGCGTGATGAACGGCGACAATATCGTCAAATTGATCGATTTCGGAACAGCGACAGTCTTCCATTCTCCTGGAAAATCTAAAGTTGTTGCAACGGGTATCGTTGGATCTGATCCTTACTTGGCGCCCGAAGTATTGTCACAGCAAACCTACGATCCTCGTTTGACAGATGTTTGGTCGTGTGCAATTATCTTCTTGTGTATGATCTTGCGAAGATTCCCTTGGAAGCTACCCGACATGAAATCGGATCCAAGCTATAGACTGTTTGTCAATTCGCATCCTGAACTTTGTGCCGCACCAGATACCACCTCTTCGCCCGGTGCGCCAAGTCATCGTGTTAATTCTGCTATTCAGTCTATGCCAATTGGACAAGCAACGATGGCAAAGAATGTTGTGACCCAAAAGAAATTTGCAGAAGATGCACAGATTCCCACTGCACGGGAAGCAGGTTACATGACGCCTAACGATGTTCGTTCTCGTCAACATTCACCCGTTTCTTCTGACACTGAAGGAGATGGAACCGAAAGAGTGCCCAGACATCAAAACAGGCAAACTACGATGAGCAGTGAAGCAACACAATCGTCTACCGATACATCTGTAAATGGTGCCAATATCACTTCTGGCCCAACGACGCAACAAACTTCGCCTGAGTCATACGATGCAAACAATCCAAACGCTATTCGACCAAGACCTCAACGTAGCGATAGTATCTCTTCGCAAACTACGTTCACTTCTGGCGCGGCTGATAGCATTTTCAGACTGTTGCCACGTGAATCGAGAAGTGCATTGAGTCGAATGATGGCAGTTGAACCGAGCTTGCGGTGTACGTTGGGAGACTTGTTACGCGGAAGACGGTTTAGCGATAGTGCAAGCCCATTGGTGAAAACACCCGTTATGAGCCGAACAAACTCGATTGATGGATTGGAAAAGTTGCCGGCTCAAAGTGCAGCAAAAAGCGGTGTAACGATGCCTACAAGTCAAACGGCCGGAATGGGAGAAACTTTGGATTCTCTGCAACATGCCGAATTTGAAGATGATGACGATACAGGAGATGATTGGATGAAGAGTATTAAAACTTGTGCTCAATTGAAGTTGGCCGGAAAAGGAGAAAAACCTGATCATCCACACGTAAAAGTTGTACCGGAAGAACAAAAACGTAAAGGAAGTATTTTCCATCGTAATACGTAAGAAGGTTCTTTTATCATGCTACTCAAGATTTTCTTGGCATGAAACGATTCTTATATTGTCTGTTCAAATTTGTCTTTTTGGTTCTGCTTGCTTTGCTTGCCTAATGTTGAAAACAATGTTGTAATGATTTGCTCTTTTTTTATTCTTTTTCCAGAATACGACTACTATACGGTAATAAATTAATAAAAGTACAACAAATCTCAATGAATACCATGAGAAAAGAAGGGGGAGGAGGGTGTGTCTGAGGTGTGTCGGACTGTCATCATTCCAAGGCCCCGCACGATGTTTGTGTGATACCTCCTCCGCGGGATGCGTTTGACTTAGTCATTGCAAAGTTCCCACAAAAGACAGCATGACAAATCTAAAGAAAGAGTAGGGTACTCATCGGGGCTGTGCCATACATAAGCGGGCGCAGGAAAATCGGAATGAATATACATTATTAATGAAATGACGACGTAATTCGGAATCATAGAAGGATTTGGGTTGCGGGTGAAAATGAGATTGCGTTTAATCAAATGGTCAAGTACCTCAACAAGGTTCATTTGTCGGGGCAATTTGCAAGAAAAATGAAGAGGTAGGGTAAAGGGCGACAATAAGAGGAGAGTTTGTTTTCCCTTTGCTGTTGATAAGCAAGCAAATTTCATTTTTGACGTCTTGGCTTTTTTTCTCCATAACCAGAATTGCGGAAAAGATGAAAGTAGATCTTTTATCTATCATAGCAATAATAAGCCTAACGCTTCAAGTGGACATATCAAGGTGAGTGGAAAACGATGATGTGCTTGTTTCAATTTTCACTTATTTCGGTACTTCCCACCAGTGCTTTGCCACTGCAGGGCAACAATGGTAGAGCGATTGCGGATATGCCTCTCAGGAGGCCATTTGATAGCGAAAACATCAAATTTGAACGTCGTGGAATAATGAACAAGATAAAGAGTGCCGGAAGCGCAGCAGCAGACGTTTTTCGAACCAAAGCACAAAAGAAATCAAACGCAATGAAAGATGTTTTGAATCCACATAAAGAAGTTACACCCAAAACATTATCAAGGCTGGATACGATGCACATTGCTTCGCTTGGACCTGAATATGCCAATAATATGAAAGTGAAAGATGCGGTCAAAGTGGGAAAGATAGTAGAAGAAAAAATTAACAAACATGCAAATATACGTGATAAAGCGATGAAACAAATGGACTCTCCTGCGTATAAGATTGCCCATTATACGGGAGCTTCAAAGGGCCAGAAAGAGGCATTAATCCACGAACAGCATGGATTTCAACAAAACGTACGAGTTCAAAGACCTGAGACGAAGAAACTTCTTCATAATCAAATTCACGGATCACAAGAGAAAATCGATAATATGATGCCGCTCTACAATACTGTCTCTCACAGAGTTGCTTCTGGAGATATGGCAAGAGCAGATAGAGCTCATCCTGACAATACCAAACAAAAAATTATCGATAAAGGTTGGAAGCATGTTGTTAATGCAGGTTCACGAGTTAACGAATTACAAACAGAACGAATGTTACTTCATCAAAACAAAGCACATGAGACAATGAAGAACAAGATTAGAACGGAAAAAAATTTAGACCTACACAATCTTCCTTCAACATTCGATAATCATCCCAATCGTCCTACAGTAGTCGTTGGCTCTAATCATTCTCCTTCTAATAGTCAGCATACAGTTCTCAGAAACTCTGGCTCATCACATTCATCTCATGATTCTCAACCACCTAGCCCAGCACAACAACATACCTCAAATCGACAACAATTTCGTGTGCCCGACAAACCAAAAACATTTTCATTCGAAGGACATGAAAGTAGATGGACAAAGAAAGGACAACCGGCTCCACAGTATTTCTTAGGTTCCAAATTCATCAAAGAAGGTGATGCAGTGAAAAATCATGGATCTCCTTTGGCTAAGCAAGCGCATATGCACGAATACGTTCAGCCGAAAGAAGTTCATGCTGCAGCACAAGGATCAAGTCATTCCGCATCACCTCGTTCTCCGACCTTTCAGTCACCAAAGAGCGGAAGCGGTAGCGGCTCAGGTTCCTCTGAACGAAATCTATTGGGAAGAGCTCCTACGTTTTCAACACATCATCCTACCGAACCAGGCCCTTCAACATCATCTCATCAGCACCGAGTCAAGCCGCAGACTCATCAAAGTGAGATCCATTCAGATTCTTCAAGTTCTAGGTCTAATAAATCACCATCAAGTCCCAATTCCCGAAGAGTGAGATTAGGAGACTTATTAGGAATTCCCGTTCCTCCAAAGAGAAATTAAAGGCTGACTAATTACTCTCTCCGGTCCGAAACAGCAAAATCGAAGTCAACAATCAATCGAAATGCGACAACGCTATCCGGAACACTTTCAATAATTCACAAAATACAGTTCGTTTTAATTGGTTTCAAGCATATCAATCACATGTACAATTGTCTATCGCTAATTTACATGGCTTTACTCACAATCGAGCGCCATCTTCTTTGTGTTTCAATCGCTTCCGTGAATACAGTATACTTTGCATCCAAGATTCGCTTGATTGTTTCATCTTTCGTGTTAGGATGGACCAAAGTGCCCGGTTTGGTCATATCCACCATCAATTGCCAAAGTCGATCACGATGTTCGAAGGAAGCCTTCTCAGCCAAGTCTTGTTGTACTCCGCTCAAGTCGATTCCTTTCTCTTGCAGTTCATGTGCAAAACGACCCAAGATTGCCGATCCAGCCACCACACTTGCTGAATGACTATATGGCAATTGAACATCAATTCCACACGTATCTGCCATCAATTGCATGAATACTGCATTTTTCACTTGTCCGCCGCTCATGTATAGTCTCTTGATTTGATGTCCTTTTGCGTTCATAGATTCGATAATATGCCTCGTCTGTAATGCGATTGCTTCTAATGTTGCGTAGTATTTGAGTGCGAGGTCTGAAGAGCCTTGGTCTAATTTCAATCCCGAGATCAATCCTCTCATCGAACTGTCCGCCAGCGGTGATCTGTTTCCGTGCAAATCAGGATAAATGGTCAAGTCGTGGGTCAAATGTGATAAAGTAGGAGCATTGCGTTCCTTTGACAGATCATCGAGGATACCGTGCAACAAGGCAAATATGCTTGTTCCCTTTTCTTGTGCTAGTCCCTTCAAGCGCTCGGAAGCAGGATGTGTATCAATGATAAAGTCGATCAATTGTCCAGTCGAACTTTGTCCACCTTCATTCATCCACATTCCGGGGAACACTGCATGTTTGTATGGTCCCCAAACTCCATCTACAAGGATACCTTCTGGGCTTTGAATGCAATGGCAAGTACTTGTTCCGGCAATTGCTGCTAAACGGTATTGTGAATCGATCAAGTTTGTTGATTGATCCTTTGGACCATTCTTTGCTTTGGCTGCAATTGTTCCTACCCAACCAGCATAAGCATCAATCAATCCACTTCCTACTGCAGTTCCGGCTTGCAGGCCTAATTCAGCTGCTGCTTGTTCTGTCAAGCCACGACCGACAGGTTGACCAGCTGTGAGGACCATACCGTTCCTTCCAGGAATACCACCCAATTGAGCAAAATCATTTTTGATCAAATCATCCAAGCCAATCGTTTTGAAAAAGTCTGGTTGCCAACCAAGTTCTGAACCGTCCACGCCAGGTGGCACATAGCTACACTTGCATACGAGACTGCAATTCGAACGTGCAGTATCACCTGTTGCTCTGTATGTCAAATAATCTGGTAAATCGAAAAACATGCATTTTTGGAAAACATCAGCAGGCATATGTTTCTTCAACCAAAGAACTTTTGGAATTTCCATCTCTAGCGACATGGTCTTCCCAACATAGTTCAAGACCATATTTCCGGTTGAGTTGATGAGCTTTGCTTCTTCTTCTGCTCTATGATCTGCCCATAAGATCACATTTCGATCACCTGGTGTGAATGTACTTTTTGGTGTGACTTGAATTGGTTGACCTTGAGCATCCGTAACGGCCAAAGAACAAGTAGCGTCGAATCCAAGACCTTTAACGTCATCTTTGGATACTCCACTACTTTTCAAAACATCTTTTACTGCAGTACAAATTTGTGACCAAATATTTGTAGTTGATTGTTCAAAAATTCGCGCATCACTTTCTAATCTATGCGTCTTTGTTGCATACGTTGATTCTGAAAGGATTGTGCCTTCTAAATTTACCAATGCAGCACGAGCACTTCCAGTTCCAACATCAACCCCAATATAAAACGGTCCAGCGTTCGAAGTCATGTTTGCAATGACTTCACAAAATGATGTTGATGATGGTTTTGTGGCAATGAATGCCCTGTCAAAATGATGGGGGAAGAATGTGTTGCTCTCGCTTATTGCAACGGGGTCAGTGCATGGATGCAACAGATGAGAAATTTCTTCTGATCGGGCGCTCCACCCTTAATGCACATGCGGAAACTAAGCGTGGGCGGTAAAGAAGAAAAGGTGCGGGAGCGACAGCATCTAAGAAGTTTTCATTGTGCTGCTTCCACCTACCCCCTAAATCACTCCCTCTCTTATTTACACTCTGTGATACTGAGGCACGAACCTATCTAATCTGATATTATGATAAAGTATGAAAAGAACATCTTTTTTTCCTGCCACCTTAGAAGATCATAGAACTTTGATCAGCACGAATACGGTCCAAAGACAAAAGTCCTTCAACCCGTCCATAAGCTGCCAAAGAAATATCTTGATCCCATAGATACTTTTGTGCAACACGTTGAATATCCTTTGCAGTGATTGAGTCTAAAGCGGCTTCAATTTCTGCAGGTTTCAAACGACGTCCGGTTGTTACCATCTCACGACCGATACTCTCAGCAACGGGTGTCGATCCATCCAATCCTAACAATAATCCTGCTTTCAATTGAGCAACAGCTTTGAAAACTTCACCTTCCGAAACACTTGTTGACATTCTTTGCCATTCACGTTGAATAAAGTGAGTCAAATCATCCAAACGGTCAACAGCTTCAGATGTAACGTAAACACCCCACAAACCGGTATCGGAATAAGATGTAGAAAAGTGCATGAAAGAGTTGGCAAGTTTGTGTTCATTAATAAAACCGGCCAAACGTGTGGTCAAAGCACTTGTGCTTCGGTCCCAGTTACCCAAAATGGCTTGCATGACCAACATGGGGAAGAAGTCAGGTGATTGCCAGCTGACACCTTCAACGGCCAAAGCAAAGTGAACGGCAGGTTGACTATCATCACGAACGCGAACTTCACTTCCAACGAATTTGGTCTTTGGGCTAGATTGTCCACCAAGAGGGATTGGGTTAGATGAAACAGGCAAAGAGCTGAAATGTTTCTCTGCCAACTTCACCAAAGCATCATGATCAACACCTCCGCTTCCGACAAGGACCATACGATCAGCAGTGTAGTTTGTCTTGATGTAAGAGGCCAAATCTTCACGTTTGATAGACAAGATGTTGTCCTTTGGTCCCAAGATTGTGCGACCCAAAGCTTGACCTTGGAAGGCAACAGAGTGCAAGTGATCAAAGACGACTTCTTCGGTTTGTTTGTCAACTTCTTCTTGTTCACGTAGGATAACGTTACGTTCCCGTTCGATAGCAGCAGTGTCTAATTTTGAGTTTTGCAAGATATCAGAAATGATATCAACAGCTTTTTCGACGTCCTTTCTGAATGCTTTGGCGTAATACACAGTTTGTTCACGAGATGTGTATGCGTTCAAATGGGCACCCATATTTTCCACTTCCAATTCTAATGCTTGTTGTGATCTTTTACCGGTTCCCTTGAAAGCCATATGTTCCAAAAAGTGAGCTGTTCCGTTTGTACGGTCAGTCTCTGCACGAGAGCCTGCATCGATCCATGCTCCCACAGTGGCTGTTTGAGCGGCAGGATTTGATTCTGTTGCAACTGTTAAACCATTTGATAAAGTGGTTGTTTGAGTGATCGGACCACGGTTTACGACTGAAGCCAAAGTACGACGAGGAACGAGAATCGATCCTGTACGGATTGGTTGTCGTAATGTGTTGGCAACAAGACCACGCGTGAACATAGCGGCCAAGACTGTCTGTAGTGAGTGGATTGAAGGAGGTCGAAGTGGTCGGTGAAGGTGAGAAGAATGATTGGCGTTGCTGTTGTTACTCTGTCTGCTTTTGGATTGACTGCCTGGCGCCTGGCTCTTTCTTACGCCGTCTCTTGCGCAGTGCGCGTTCTCAAGCACTCAAAGGAATAGCTCGGGATTCGAGAAGATTGACAAAAACCTGCTCTCCCATTTGCTGGTCGGGCAAATATTTTCCACTACAGTGTGTGCAAGATATATTGGCGCGTAAGGGGAATACAATTGTGTGTGTGTGAATTTGTATTGAGTAAACTCAAAGCAAGATTACAACAACAATCTTCCGAGCTTAACCGTGCACGTGAATATGCGGTAGAAAGCAAGTCTGTATTTTCTTCCTAAGCAAAGCAAAACGTCACTCAATTGCTTTATCGCTGTTGCTGCCATCATCAACAATATTCGATAACAATGGCTAGTCCTCTCGTTTTGTCAATACGGCAGAGTGCAAGAAGAGCTCATAGCCTTATACCTTCTGCCTCTTCATACACTACAGCCTTGTTGAACGGTATACCTTCATCATCCCGATCAGCTTCATCATCAGCACCTGTACAAGCAGCACCAGATCACAGTCCATCACATGTTCCAACATCTGTTCAGAGTATCTCACCTAGCATTCACGCCTCGACAAGCGAACAACAAGGAAAGCATGTGATCGAATCAAAGCCAGAAGCACTCGCCCTTTTACGTGCTCAGCCAGTTCATTATGTTGTTTGTTCGATCGCAGGACGAACATTGTTATTACACGAAAGAGATTTGTTCAGCTTGCCTAGGCTCAAGGATGTCTCTGTTGGAGATGTACTTGAACTAGACAGAATTCATGAAGTCGGATCACGGGATTACACTTTACGTGCACAAGATCCAATTTCCACTCGAATGAAAGGAGCGGTTGCTTTGATGAGAAGAAGTGTGCCGACCGAAAGCAGAGCTTCTTCAATTCTATCAAATCCAGAAGTGCGAGAAGCTATCAATCTTGATGAACCTTTGAAAGAATCACAATCTTGGGCAGCTCGTTTACGACCTTCAGGTTTGGCACACGTTGGTGCAGTTTTGGGACCTGAATCAGTCAGAGTACGGTGTACAGTCTTGGAACATACGTTAGGACCGATGGAAGTGATTGTCAAACGTAAAAGAAGAAAGGGCTACAAGAGAACGATTAAGCATAAGCAAACATACACAAGATTACGTGTAGAAGCAATTCAGATCGGACAAGGTGAAAGCAATTGAGTTTAAACGATGTACTATATTCCAACTTTCTAATTACTGTACAATTTATTTGTGTCACACTGATATCAAAAAGTCATAACATGGTATATTGATGAAAAGTAGTAAGTGATGATGCATGTGGGTATTAATCCTGACAGTGAAAACTGGCCTAGAAGGAGCATGCGGGGTATTGAATGTTACATAAATGTTCGTAAATGAAGGGGGATAAAGGAGTGTTTATACTGGTTGTGCTGATGGTGTGGTCTCATCCTTTGGTTCTTTGGTACCACCTGGTACCCATCTTTCACCGGTTTCGAGGACTTTGACAACACCCAAAAGAAGACCGGAAGCAGTTGGTCCCAATAAACCTTTGCGTTGTAAAGCATCTGCTTCTTTGGCTTCCAATTTATCTTTTCTACGTGCTTGTATCTTTGCCTTTCTACGTGCGGATCTAGATTTGTGTGTGTTTGATCGCTCTTGATCCGCTTGTGGCTCTCTATTAAAGAATGACCCTTCTCCTTCCTCTTCCTCCTCCTCTTCTTCCTCTGCTCGCATTCCGAATTCCTCCTCTACTGAAGTTTGACGCCGTCTCTGTCTTCGAGGATGTTCAGTCTCGGTCTCCTCTTCTGTTTCATTTTCGTCCTCATCGCTTGTGGCTCCAATCTCGCCAGTATCAACGCCGGGTGAAGTCTCGTTTGCTTTATCTCCTTTCTCGTTCTCCTTCATTGCTTGATCGATTGCCATAGGTATACTCAACGTAACACGAGCCAATTGCAACGTCAATCTTAATCGACCAAAAACGTCAAAATAGGAAAGTTGACGTAGAGAATGTTGAATTTCATACAATCGAATCAATTCAAATCGCACGATTGTTAGGTATTTCTTGCCTGCTAATAACAATTCACGAAGTTTGCGGAATGCACCTTCGATATTGTTCACTGCATCATCACCCAGATCAAGACCTGGGTTTCCTTCGTTCAATGCATTGATCAAAACTCGAATCATTTCAAAATCGCCCTCCAAAAATTCCAAAAAGACGCTATAGAGCACCCCATTCAACGTTTCATCGCTTGCCAATCCGTTTGGATCGTAACCGGTAGACGAACTATCTTGCGAGACAGCAGCAGCAAAATCCGTTCTTCCCGAAACATCGTACATTTTACGTGAAGAAGGTTTTGAAAGTGTTTGATAAGCAAATGAAACTTTTTGAAATGCCACAACGCAAGGAGCATAATTTGGCATTTTATCCGGATGACAAATTCTACTTCTGTTCAAAAATCCTCTCCTTATTTCTTCATTTTTTGCATTCTTCTTTACTCCCAAAACCTCGTATAAATCTTCCTTCAATACGATTTCATCAATCACTGCAATCTTTACTAAATCTGCCGCCGATCTTGCTGCTTTGCGGTCTTCATCTGTCGCTGTAGACGTTTGCGTTCCTGCTGATGCAGCAGCAACGGATGCATAAGAAGGAGGAGGAGAATGAGGAACTTTTTTGGGATGTCTCTTGACTCGAGTATTTGCAGGCGTTACATCTGCTTTTGAAGTTGAGGCGACCGAAGAAGTGCCTGTAGCATAATTGTACACTCTTGAAGCGACAAACATCTTGTGTGCGAATCTGAGGCTGGAAGAATTGCTTTAGAATAGACTTCGCATGATGCTTGTGATGATGATGAAGATGAGAATGAATAGGAGACAGTTGTTAGTGGAGTGAAAGGGAAAGTGACACCAACGAAATCAACTCTTTCTTTGGTTTCGAATTACGCATGTTTATCAACAAAAGAATGTAAGGCACTATGCCAGTGTTTTGATTTCGGTTTATTTTGAGTTTGATCTGCGTGAAAGATTGAAGCAGTACACATACGCATGTAACTAATAATAAATACAGTGCCTGCGTTTGTACGCATATATATTATATTACCTTAAACGCATATACTCTCTCTCCTAAAACGGGCCTCCTCCTCCGTACAAGAACAACAACAACTCAGGGTCACACGACGATATGATATTGATCGACATATATTCACAAATCAGGGGAACGCATGGATCTCCCTCCTCTCTCTCTCTATCAAAGTTTGGCAGATCCATTCTGTACAATTAATCGATTACCTCCTTGTAGAGCACGTGCGGCTTCATTCACCATATTATCAACGATCGTCTTGGCAGGTAAAATATCTTGAATGGAAGACGCAACCTTTCCAGCAAAGTAGTGAGCCATAACACCTTTAACTTTTGTACCTTCATCATCGTCACCCTGTTCTAAATCCCACTCTACCGGTACCTTTCCTTCATTTTGTAGTTTCTTGATCAAATCTGGCTTTTCTAGCCATGATTGAATGTAATCTGTATTCACAATATGTAGAGGACGACCAGTAAAGATTGTTGTCTTGACGATACTCTCTTCTCTTGCATTGATAATAGCATCTTTATGTCCTTGTGGTGCACCAGATTCAATACTGGCAACAAACCTTGTGCCTACCCAAACAGCTGATGCTCCATGTACCAAGCTGGCTGCAAGTCCTCTTCCATCATAAATACCTCCGGCTGCGACGACTTGTACAGCTTGACCTGTCAAACGAGAACGAGAATGTTTGACCAAATCAACCACTTTTGGAATCAAGATGCTAAATGGAACATCACCAGTATGACCACCAGCTTCACCTGCTTGAGCGATAATCATATCAATCCCTACATCCAAGGCTTTCTTAACATGTTTAGGATGTCCGATCATATTGGCGACCAAGATTCCATGTTTGTGTAATCGTTCAACAACATGCTTTGGTGGTACACCAACTGCAGAAACGAAAAAGCTTGCACCTTCTTCGATGATTACATCGATCAGTTGATCCAAAGTACCTTTTGTGTAATCTTTGTTCGTCTTTCTTGCATTACCACCAACTTGCGGTAATAGCAAATCAACACCCCAAGGTAATGTTGGTTCACGTAGGGCAGCTTTTAGGTCTTGAATAACGCCACGTAACATTTTTGGAGTATAAGAAACACCACCTAAACAACCAATCCCGCCTGCATTTGAAACGGCAGCTGCTAATTCTGGACCGGCAGCTTGATTCATACCTGCCAAGATGATCGGATGTTGAACTTTGAAGAACTTGGTTAGAGGTGTTACGATTACTGGAGGTGAAGGCTTGATAGCCTTTATTTGATCGATTGATGGTTCTCCGCCTGTCATCTTGAATACTTGTTGTATATTTTGGGATATGATGGATGTAAGAACAATACTTCAATCATCCTTGAAGGTGTTGCTTTAAGTGTTTTACTGTGTCACAACAAGCGAACAGCATTTCCGAGGGTGGGGTAATTAAAGCGAGGAAAGAAAGCGCCTACAGAGAGGTGAATGAGCAGTGTTCGTATTTTTGGTTCTCGGCTTAAAAAGCTTAAAATTACCGCCGATGCAGGGAAGGGGTTTAATAATAGAAGAAGACGCGTAAAGAAGATTGCTTAGTAACAAACACAACTCGTTTGCCAAAGATTTTAGTTTTAGTTTTTGTAACTTCGTTTATCTTCTTGTCATAATCATTCATTCTTGCGCCACCATTTGCAACAAAAATGCCTTCCCGTCTTTGCAGTACGTGCGAAAAGGCAAGAGCAGTCCTCAGAAGACCAAAGACTGGGGAGCTGGTATGCAGAGAATGCTTTTATTACATCTTTGAAGAAGAAGTTCATCAAACCATCATCAATTCAAGATTATTCAAAAAAGGTGAAAAGGTGGCAATTGGTGCTTCTGGAGGAAAGGATTCAACTGTGTTAGCACATGTTATCAAAACACTCAACGACAGATATTCGTATGGATTGGATCTATTCTTATTGAGTATCGACGAAGGTATTACAGGATACCGAGATGATTCATTAGAAACGGTCAAGAGAAATAAAGTGCAATACAGTCTACCGCTCAAAGTGCTCGGCTATGATGAATTGTATGGATGGACGATGGACGAGATTGTCAAACAGGTAGGCACACGAAACAATTGTACTTTCTGCGGTGTCTTTCGTCGACAAGCATTAGATAGAGGAGCAGCAGCTTTAGAGGTCGATCACATCATCACCGGACACAATGCAGACGATATGGCCGAGACTGTATTAATGAACATCTTACGAGGAGACATAGCCAGATTGGAAAGATGCACGGAGATATGTACGCAAGGGCCAGAACAACCAGCTGAGGAAGATCAAGGATGCGGTGATGCACAGGCAAACGATTTGGGAGGAACAGGAATCAAACGGAGCAAGCCATTCAAGTACGCCTACGAAAAGGAGATCGTCATGTATGCCCATTACAAAAAGTTGGATTACTTCAGTACGGAGTGCATCTACCATCCAAACGCATACCGTGCATATGCTCGTGAATATCTTCGTGAATTGGAATTGATTCGTCCAAGTGCGGTGATCGATATCATTCATTCGGGAGAGGCTCTTTGCGTTGGTCAACAAGTGAAACGAGTAAAACAAATGTCATGCAAACGATGCGGATATATGTCTTCTAATGAACTATGCAAAGCATGTTTACTATTAGAAGGGTTGAACAGAGGAACTCCATCTTTGGGAATCCATTCAGGCAAGTCCAAAATAGCACGAGAAGCCCGTGCAAATGACTCTGGGCCTAATGATGAGAGCAACATTGGACGAACGATTCCTAAGTTTAGTAGAAAGAATGCCGATGTGACTTCATCAACAAGTTCCAATCCCACTGCAAATGCACAACCTCAAATCGCCATTTCAGCTGAATAGTTCTTGTATTTTTGTTTTGTATTTGTATACCTCTGTCCTTCTGCTTCATTCTATAGAATGCCAATTGTAATATTACACATTGTGATCGCAATCATCCATAACTTTGATTCCAATCCATTCTTGGCTCTTGTTTGTGTTGCTTTTAATTCGGCTAAGCCCATGCACGCGCAATTGCCCTTTTTTTCGCGCGCAGCACAATAGCCGCGTATTTTCCGAATAAAATCCAAAGTAATCAGCATATGAACGCGCACAACAGCTAAGAAGAAAGACCTTTTCCAACCACCATCTCTCAAAGGCAAAACGTTGTGGCCGGCACAATGAACGCCTACGATGAGTATATGGAAGGATTGGCAGACGGTGGAGGGTATGGAACGTATGCAGATGATGTTGAAGGGTACGGAGGCGAAGATGATATTACACAACAAGGCACTTGGGAAATCATTTCGTCATTCTTTGAAGAAAGTGGATTGGTGCAACAGCAACTTTCCAGTTTTAACGAATTCATGACAAATACTTTACAAGAGATTGTGGATGAAAACAAAAGTTTGACTTTAGAACAAAGTGATCAACATACAGGTCTTGAAGGAGATATTTCACGTAGATATGAAATCGAAATGGGTCAAGTTTACGTCTCCAAACCAGCAATCACAGAAGCGGATGGTCAATCATTACCTTTGATGCCACAAGAAGCCCGTATGCGAAATCTTACCTATTCAGCTCCTCTCTACATGGACATGAGTCAAAGGCGATTGATCGAAAGCGACAGTTACGATCCAGTGACCGGAGATCGAAAATGGGTGGATGAAGACGAGAACAACGTGATTGAAGATCAAAAGATCTTTATTGGAAAAGTTCCAATCATGTTGCAATCCGACTTTTGTTACCTAAAAGATCAAAACGAATCGAAATTGTACGAGTTGAACGAGTGTCCATTGGATCCGGGAGGCTACTTCGTCATCAACGGTTCCGAAAAAGTACTTATTGCTCAAGAACGTATGGCAGCCAATCACGTCTACGTCTTCTCCAAAGCGCCACCAGCACCTGTGACGTACCTTGCAGAAATTCGAAGTGCGGTAGAAAAAGGTGGAAAGACGATCAGTACGATGCAAGTGAAATTGTTCTCCAGAGCGAAGGATAAGGCGATGAACAATGCCATTCGTGCCACTTTGCCTTACATTCGAAGTGACATCCCGATCGTAATCGTTTTCCGCGCTTTGGGTGTCGTGCCAGATCGTGACGTATTGCAACATATTTGTTACGATTCCAACGATACGGCCATGTTGGAATTGTTGAAGCCATGTATCGATGAAGCTTTCATCGTTCAAGACCGCGATCATGCTCTCGATTTCATCGGTCGTCGTGGTGCACAAACGGGTGTGAACAGATTCAAACGTCAACAATATGCACAAGACATTCTGCAAAAGGAAATGTTACCACACGTCTCAACTGCTGAAGGAAGCAGCACTCGCAAAGCATACTTTTTCGGTTTCATGATTCACAGACTTGTCCTTACTGCTTTGCAAAGACGTGAGATCGACGATCGTGATCATTTTGGTAAGAAACGTTTGGATATGGCAGGTCCTTTGATGACATCGCTTTTCAGATTGACATTCCGCAAGTTGCTCAAAGATGTTTATCGCCATTTGCAAAAGTGTGTGGAAGACAAGAAAGAGTTTACATTAACTTCAGCAGTCAAATCGTCTACGATCACAAATGGTTTGAAATACTCTTTGGCTACTGGTAACTGGGGTGATCAAAAGAAGATGAATACAAAGGTGGGTGTGTCACAAGTGTTGAACAGATACACATACGCTTCAACATTGTCCCACTTGCGTCGTACAAATACCCCCATTGGTCGTGATGGTAAGATTGCCAAGCCACGTCAATTGCACAATACCCATTGGGGAATGGTTTGTCCGGCAGAAACACCAGAAGGACAAGCGTGTGGTTTGGTCAAAAATTTGAGTTTGATGGCAGTTGTTTCGGTTGGATCGCCAAGTGGACCAATCATTGAATTCTTGGAAGAATACGGCTTGGACAGTTTGATTGATATGCAAGTCGCCGATCCACATGCAACGAAGGTATTCGTTAATGGTGTTTGGATGGGTACAGCCGATAATGCGACCGGCTTGATCGAAACGTTGCGTGAATTGAGAAGAAGAGATGATATTTCGAACGAAGTTTCAGTCACGCATGATATTCGTGAGAAGGAATTGCGTGTTTATACAGACGCCGGACGAGTGCAAAGGCCTTTATTCATTGTCGAACCGGAAACGCAAAACCTTCTCGTTAAACAGAAGCATGCTGATTGGATTACAGACGGAGTCAAGCCAGACGGCACACAATTTGGATGGAGTGAATTGCTGCGTGAAGGTGTGATCGAACTACTGGATGCAGAAGAAGAGGAGACCTGCATGATCTGTATGAGCCCTCAAGATTTGTCGAACTCGAAGCTATATCGTGCCAATCCGGATACTTATCAATCTCGGTCGGCGGATCCCTCAGCACGGTTGGTGTCTGTTCAGACTCTGCTCCCAGATACATTCACACACACGGAAATGCACGCTGCAATGATTCTTGGTGTTTGTGCTTCCATTGTTCCCTTCCCCGACCACAATCAAAGTCCTCGTAATACGTACCAAAGTGCGATGGGTAAACAGGCTATGGGAATCTATTTGACGAACTTTGACAGACGCTTTGATACAATGGCCAATACGCTTTACTATCCTCAAAAACCTCTTGCTGCCACACGTTCGATGAATTATCTTCGTTTCAGAGAATTGCCGGCTGGACAAAACGCAATAGTTGCAATTCTGTGTTACAGTGGATACAATCAAGAAGATTCCGTCATTATGAATCAATCGTCGATCGATCGAGGCTTGTTCCGTTCCCTGTACACAAAGACGTACTTTGAGATGGAGAAGAAGACTGCAATGATGTCATTGGAGGAAATCGAGAAACCATCACCAGTTACAGCAATCCGAATGAGGCCTGGAAAATACGAAAAGATCGAAGAAGACGGTCTTCCGGCTCCAGGAACTCGTGTTTCCGGTGAAGATATCTTGATCGGTAAAACTGCGCCATTGCCTCCAGACAGTCAAGAATTGGGTCTGCGTACCAAATTGCATACAAAGAGAGATGTCAGTACTCCTCTAAAATCTACCGAAAGCGGTATTGTTGATGAAGTCATGCTTTCGACCAACGCTGATGGTATCAAGATTGTCAAGGTTCGTGTTCGTAGTACCCGTATTCCACAAGTTGGTGATAAGTTTGCTTCTCGTCACGGTCAAAAAGGTACAATTGGTATCACTTATCGCCAAGAAGATATGCCGTTCTCTTCACAAGGAGTCACACCTGATATTATCATCAACCCTCACGCTATTCCAAGTCGTATGACAATCGGACATTTAGTCGAATGTTTGTTGAGTAAAGTAGGTGCTCTTTCTGGTCAAGAAGGTGACGCAACTCCTTTCTCTGATTTGACTGTAGAATCTGTCAGTCAACAATTGGCTCGATTGGGATTCCAAAGTCGTGGATTTGAAGTGATGTATAATGGACATACAGGACAAAAGCTTCAAGCACAGGTATTTTTGGGTCCAACCTACTATCAACGTTTGAAGCACATGGTAGATGACAAAATCCATTCTCGTGCCCGTGGACCAGTGCAAATCTTAACTCGACAACCCGTCGAAGGTCGTTCGCGTGGTGGTGGTCTCCGATTCGGAGAAATGGAACGTGATTGTATGATTTCACACGGTATCGCTGCATTCTTGAAAGAACGTATGTATGATGCTTCTGATGCATACCAACTTCACGTTTGCGATAATTGTGGTTTGACGGCAATCGCTTATTTGAAGAAAAATCAATTCGAATGTCGTTCTTGCAAAAAGAGAACAGGTGTAAGCACAGTCAAAATTCCTTATGCGGCCAAATTGTTATTCCAAGAACTCATGTCGATGGGATTGGCATGTCGTTTGTACTGAAAGAAATCTTTGCCTTTTCATTTTGTTTTCTCATAAATATAAAATTCTCTTGTCGTGTCATGTATTCATATCCTACCACCCTTATATATCAATGCAAAAAATGGAAGGCGGGCCCTGAGTAGGGCCTCGTATTGCAAACATACATATGAAAATAGAATCTGAAATCACGGACAGCCACAGATGATAGTCCTGTTCACATATTGCGGTTCTTTCGCCGCTCCGAAGTTCTCCGATCGAATTTCCAATCTTGGGTAGGCATGGGATGATGAGTCAGCATTTGAAGATAGAACGGGACTAACACCACTCACTCAGATTCCTTTGCAAAGAAAGGTACAGTTTGTAGCTCTGGTCTTCCGTGACGCTTTCCACCATATACGACTTTGTGTCCGTACCAATTGCCTTCGCCACGATCAAGGACAAGAATCTGTGGGAAGTGAAAGCATGAGTATATCGTCCTTCCCCGTGTTGTTCTCAAATTCTTTTACGTACACCCCACCATCTTACACCATTCTCTGTGCTGCAGATGGAAGACCAAACCGTGCTTAGTAACAAGTCCAAGTATTCTGATTTTGTACAAATACTCACACCCAGATACGCTGACCGGCAAAGTACTTGCAAGACTGTTCGGAGAAGATAATTTGGTCAGCTCGTTAGTAAGTTCATGTATCACGCTGACTAATGACATTTACCAATTCGACTGCGAGAGATGTACTTCACCAGCATAATGCAAGGTTACTCCTTCTCCTACTTACCGGACGTACAATGACCGTATTGCTTTTGTCGTCTTTTTGTTTGTTGTCTTTTGACTTTTCGTCTTTCTGTTCATTGTCCTTTGACTTATCGTCTTTTTGTTTGCTGTCCTTCGATTTTTCGTCTTTTGACTTTTCATCTTCTTTCTGCTTCTGGTCTTTACCATCTTTCTTGCCCTGTTGATTTTGGCTACCATCTTTCTTGCTCTCATTCTTTTGCTGATTTTGATTCGCTTGTGTGTTTGCGGCAGGCGCAGCAACATACTGGACTGGATACGGGTTTGGCAAGCATTGAACAACCTGGATGGATTGAAGTGTGAATTGCTTAGCTCTTACTATGACAATTAAGAACACATCTGATGTACACTCACCCGATAGAAATCTGAGTAGCACAGTTTGAAAGCGACAAAGCATATAAAGACCCAAAAGATAGGATGCATCTCAAATGAGCTAGAGCTGGTGTATTGCGGTGAAGGTGGCTGAGGGGGATAGTACTGTGCAGGCGGAGCTGGTGGGGGAGGATAGTACTGTGGTGCTGGAGCTTGACATCCTGACCACATACATGCTCCTGACCAAGATGATAAGCCAGCAGGTGGACCAAAGAAAGCCATTGTGGGATGGTGGTACGGTGAAAGCCTATGAAAGAAGTGGCTGTTTGATTTTTGTACTTGCTGAGCCTTTCATGCAAACAGACAAGCGCATAGAACAACAACAATTTGCGTTCATCTTTTGTCTATTTGCCGGGAATCACTGTTTTTCGGAGTTTGAATTATTTGTGCTTTTTTTGCAGAACTTTCGCACGAAATTGCGGTCCGAGAAAAATACAAAGTGAATCAAAATTGCTGGAAAACATGTACAAAATATTTACAAATGAAATTCTTGTTCTTCTAGATCGTGATATATTGAGGAAAATTGAATAGCAACATTAATTTAATTGAGCTTTTTTGGCTTGTTTTGTGCAGCTTCCTCACGGACAACCACAAATGATTGTTCTGTTGACCCACTGCGGTTCCTTTTCAGGACCAAAATTTTCCAAACGCATCTGCAATCTACGACGATAAAATCTGTTTAGAATTGATAACACTATATCAGATATCTCAGTAATACTTACTCTTCTTCCGTTGCAAAAAATGGCACCGTTGCCAATTCGGGTCGACATTTCTTTTGTCCAGCATAAACGATTTTGTGACCGTACCAATTGCCTCCGCCGCGATCGAGGATAAGTACCTGTTCAAAGTGAATACGAAATCAGCTTTTCAGATTGCATTTTGTTTGACTTCCAGCATACTCACGCCCCACCATCTGCCACCATTCTGAGACCTGTGAAGAAGATCAAGTTCTCAACATTAGTATCTTTCTTGTTTCCTTTGTGTGCGCTGAATATACTCACACCCAAACACGTTGACCAGCAAAAAAGTTGCAAGACTGTAACCGGATGAAAACCAAGGTCAGCATGTCAACAAACTTCTAGACATGAGATAAATGTTGAGATCGTTACCCTTTCTTAACCGAATTTGAGTGTGAAGAATCACATTCAACTTCTGGTTGCCGTTCAGGTCACCAGCGGCAGGCTAGATTCTTTTGCTTTCTTCTATAAGTACTCACAGGCCGCAAGATGACTGGTTCGGGCGCCTTTACTTCCTCCTTCTTTTCTTCTTCCTTCTTTTCCTCTACGACTTCTACTTTTTTCTCTTCCACGACCTCTACCTTCTTTTCCTCTACGACCTCGACCTTTTTCTCTTCTTTGACTTCTTCTTTCTTCTCCTCTTCCTTTTTCTCTTCCTTCTTCTCTTCCTTTTTCTCTTCCTTTTTCTCCTCTTTCTTTTCTTCTTTCTTCTCCTCTTTCTTCTCCTGTGGCTTTTTCTCTTCCTTCTTTTTCTCCTCTTTCTTTTCTTCCTTCTTCTCTTCTTTCTTTTCCTCCTTCTTTTCCTCTTTCTTCTCTTCTTTCTTTTCTTCCTTTTTCGGTTGTTGCTGTTGTTGCTGTTGCTTTTGCTCGCCACCTCCCTTCTTTGGTTCTTGTGGCTGTTGAGGTTTTTTCTCTTCAGCCGGTTTGGGAGCAGGAGCGGGAGGAGGTGGTGGTGGTGCAGGTGCAGGCGCTGGGGCCGGAGGAGGTGGGGCAGCCACTACCACGGGCGGTGGACATGGATTTGGCAAGCATTGCATGATCTATAATATTCCAAAAAAAAGAGATTAGCAAAACGACATTTTCTAAAATGAAAACGGTGCTCACCCTGTAAAAGTCTGGATAACACATCTTCAAAATGATCAAACATAAAACGACCAAGATCAATGGATGAATGTCCATAGGACTTGGAGTAGGGCTGTGATAGATTGGAGCAGGCGGTTGTGGAGGATAATACATCATTGGCGGTTGAGGTGGCGGCGGTGGAGGTGCTGGAGGAGGTGCTTGTAATATGACCGGTGGGGGTGGCGGTGATACAGGTTGAGGATAGTAATAATTCACTACTGGTGCTGGTTGAGGAGGTGGCGGCGGTGGTGGCGATGGTGCTGGTTGAGGTTGACATCCTGACCATGCACAAGCCCCTGACCAGGGCGATGCAGCTGGAGGTGCATAATATGCCATGAGGAGATGAATCGTCTTACTCGACGATGATATGGTCTGAAGGTAAGAATAAATGCATCTATGCCATGACAACCATTTTATCCTGAATTTGACTACAAATTTAATGTCCGAGGTTGAAATGAGTTCTATTGATAAAAAATACATTTTCGGAGATTTGACGATTACAACACGTCGCGAAAGAAAAGGGGAACATCCGTAAGACCCGTAATGCTGACAGAATCTTGGCCAACACGGTGACCGCTTCTTCACGTGTTGTCTGTCCATCTGTGTGCTGGCAAAGGAAAGCGGAATCCGGCAATCACCCTGACTCTTTTCTTGATTGCCATCTCGTCTCGGACTTTCATTCCTCGTACGAAAGGCAGTGCACGGTATCCATATGTCCATGGAAGTTTGCGTATTGCCCATTTCGGAATGAGTCAAGATCATTCGCCCTTTGTTCTTCATTATTGGGGAAAATAATCTCTAACGCGATTCAAGCCATAAAATCAGTCAAAAAAGCGATGAAAGCCACCTACTCGGCGCCGTGAAATGAAATGAGCTCAACATCACTTCCGTCGCGATCGAGCCATACTTCAAGCTTGACAAAGAGTGCAATTCTGGGAAGCAATTAAAAAACTGAATTCCAATTTATGGCGTCCCTCGATACGGCAAGCAAGATGACGATACGCAGGAAGTTGAAGGAGAATTGGAGTGTATAGCTCGTAAAGGCGTAAATTGAGATTATTTGCGTGTGCCTTTTGCCAAGGAAGAAGTGTGGTGCTCTTCCACCCAGATTCCGAGACCGTAGTTGCCGTGATGTGCAAAAGGTTCACGTCAAGATATTACAAACGGATACAGGTTTCCGGTGGGATTGGAGCGTACATAATTTGATTAATTTGCAATTTTGACATTAAGCAAAAAAAAAACCATCAACGATGACCAAGGCACGGTAGCCAAGAGAACCAAATTTCGGAGTGAAATTGCATTTCTTCGACGAAAGTGGCTTCGGGCACTTCCACTCATCTTATACCTCTTCCCTTTACACAACGCATTCATTCTCTCCACCGCCTCGTCCAGATTTTACGCAAATTGTATAAAATCGAGCAATCAATTCTCTTCGCTTACTGTGCCTTTTTTGGTATCTTTAATGCACTTCTTTTCCTCCATCTCTTGATCGATCAGATTGTCATTTTCATCTTCGTTTGCTGACTCTGACCATTGCATTTGCCACTCATGATGATAAAGATGGAACATAGTTCTGGGTACCCTGGCGTGGAGCAAAGTCCATCAAAATCTCCGAATGAGCTCACTTCATCAAATGATGGCGATGAATGCATGGACGAAGCTGGGCAGAAGGTCAAAGGACCTACACAAAAACGCACGAATAGGAACAGTCGGACAGGAAGAGCCTGTGAAGGATGCAGAAAGAAAAAGATAGCTTGTGACGGCAGACAGCCTTGCAGAGCATGTTCAACGCGCAAAAGAGATTGCGTGTACACAACATTGACAGTGACTGGAAGACCATCCAAGGGAGCTGTTAAGCTATTGCAACGACAGATTGAAACACTGGAAGCAGAGAACGAGGCATTACGAAGCGGAAAACAAATCAAATCTAATTCGACCTCCCAACTCGATGGAGCAAACGGTGCAAAGGCGGATGGGCCTGCTTTGCCACTTCCGTATGGTCCATCAGGCGAACCGGCGGGTCATCGTGATTCAATCAACAGCGATGCCGATGACTTTTTCTTCTTGACAAAGAATGTCAATCAAAGCTTGACCATCTCACAAAAGCATGCAAATGAGCATGGCGGAAAGAATGGCAATTTATTTGACCTTCACACATCTTTCCGCCTAGAACGTCAAGAGAATGGTGATTTCACAACAAGTATGGGATGGTGCATGGCCGCTATTCAATTAGGGAAAACAATGATGGGAAAAAGCCACAATGTCTTTTCTAATCGCACCGGCTCTGTGGATGCCATCCAACAACAAGTTTGCGCGCCAAATCGTTCTGGAAGCCAAAACAACCTTCTAGTCGAGCCTTTTTCTGCAGCCAACATTCCACTTTACTGGCCTTCTCGTGAACGTGAAGAGCAGTTATTTAATGTCTACTTCAGACTTGTACAACCTTCATGGCCAATCCTATGCAAAGACACACTAAAAGCTCAACGGACAGGCTCTCTTCGAAATATCTTTCAAAATGATCCTGTTTGGCTTTCGATTATGCTTGGATTATTCATTGCTGCAGGAAGATATGTTCCTTCTGAGCATGAGAATCTTCAGCTTTGGTGGACAGCCAGGATGCAGTTAGGCGCACACGATCTGGTCCATTGCAGTTCTATTGGTGGTATTCAAAATCTTTTGATGACGGTCAATGTTCGATCTTGCTTGCTTATTCGGACACATATCGATTGGGTGGCAACAGGAATGGTGTTGAGAACAATGCAAGATCGAGGCTTACATCGTGAAGCTGTTTTGAAAACTTTACAACATGACGCTGCTTATACTGGATTGATTCGTTGTTTATGGTGGACAGCTCAAAAAGCTGATATTGATATGTGCGCTCGTTGGGGTCGTACGCCAGCTGCAGTTTCATTCGATGTCATGCCACCTCGAGGATCATCCCTGAGCTCGCCCATTCCATACTTTATCGCTTCTTTAAGGGGACTGCGCCTTACCGCTCAAATCTTGGATGTTCGCTATCTTCATGATTCAATTCTGCGCGACAACGTACTCATCGAAGTAAGGAAATGGATGGCAGAGCTGAAAGAATACTTTCCATTTATGCCCAAGGAACGCGATGACGAAAAGATTTTTGCCAACGCAAAATTATCAATGTTCGCTTACAGTGTGGTCGCTCTAGCTTTCAAATGCAACATCAATGTTGTCTTTAAGACGCTTGAAAAGCAACAATCTTCCTCTGAAGGCAAGAAGGCTAGAGAAATGACGGAGAAAGAGCTGGCAGACTATGAAAAAGCAAAAATTGTGGTGAAGGAGATCACACTAAACACAGCAAAGATCATAAAATCGCTTATCGAAAGAAGTCGTCCAGACGTACAATTCCTTGATGATGATGTCGTCGTTCATACAGGATCCGTTTTGGTTATTGCCAACTTCTTGTGCTTTGCTGAGAAATTGAGGGGTGTTACAGATGAGGCCTTACTGCAATCTATCACCACAATCACCGATACGCTCAGCAATTGCAATTTTGGTGGCACAGTGACCGCTTCAGCCAAGGAGTTCTGCAGAACGATGACATCTCAGCTTACAAAACGAATGCGAGATCACGAGAGCCTTTATAATCAGCCTCAAAGCTTGAGCGAATCCACTCAATTCAACAATTTTCCACAGACAAATCAGCCAAATTTTCGCTTTGATCCATCCACTTATCCATCCGGCGTTCCAAGTAGCGGCAATATGGTGATTGTTCCCGAACAGGGTCCTACCGATATTCAAAATACGTTTCGATCTGCAATTAATGTCATGGATAGATATGCAAGCGATCCCCGAGTTTTGATGGACAACGCTCAATATGCTAGAGCAAGTCCCGATTCGAAGTTATGGGACGATGTACTGCATAATGAGATAATGCTCTTGGATGGAATCACGAATACAACGGCAGGATTCCCGCACAATCCTATGCAATATTCCATTCCAGCTTCGCATCCTTCTGGTAGTGACACAACGACCAATGCTTCCACAAACGAATATGGAGAAGGAGAAAGAAGGATGATTGATCAAAATACAATGGAAGATCAAGCTTATCAACCTCCGTCTAATCAGTATTTTGGGAATGTGGGCATGCGAAGAGGATCGGCTCAAGTGCCGATCTTATCGTCCATGTGGCTAGGACCTGATATGGATCATACTTTACCTCCATTAGCTTCTCCAGCCCAACAAAATGGACAAGCTCTGCAAGCAACGGAGAAGCAGGGTGATCTTTCCGTACGAAGCAATGATTCTTCCATGCCCAGATTTAACGTTCCAAACATTTTTTCTACAATGAATACACCCGCTCAACAATCAAATCAACAGCAACAAAATCAAGCACCGACGCCTGTTTCAGCCTTGTCTGTGTCTCCGACAGAAGAAGTGACGACCTTTTCCAACCCTTTCAACGGATACAAGATTCCAAACTTTTCTCCACGTAATAGCGGTCTTCCAACGGCAGCAACACATGGTCCTTTTATTGCTGACTATTAAAACCAAAAAATTTTGTTTAATAATCTTACTTATTACGACTGTGTCGAAATGTTACGATTCTTTTACAGCTTGTTAATTGTTACGGTTTTGTTTATTTGTTTTATATCACACAAAACTTTTTGTTGCTTCATACTTCAGTAAAATACATTGTCTTAACGATCTCATTGTACAATCGCATAGGGTATCTTCATTCCGCTAAATTCAATCGCTATCGCTTCCATAATCTGCAAGACCGGTGAGCGCTGATTTGGATGGCAAGGCAGCAGGTGTGGGTTGCTGTTTCTTGCGAAGAGCGTGTAATGCTTCTAAAGCTTTCTTATCAAACAGCCCGTTCTCCTTGTCGGTTTCATTGGGGAGGATGGCGCTATCTCCATTACTGGATACGTTTGCAGCTGCCTCTTCTGCCGCTTCAATTTCCGCCACAGCTTTTGCTTGAAGTTCAGCATCTTCTTGTTCAATCTTTTCCCAATTCCGCTTGTTTTCTTCCAGCAATTGCTGATATTCCTCTTCGCTCACTCCATTCATACCATTATCATTCTCTCCTTCTTCTGAGGCTTCAATGCGTAGTCTCTTTGGATCGCCAGCTTCTTCATCATCATAACCTTCCAGCGTCGCGGCTTGCTCGAGCTCCAAGAGGCTTTGACCGGCTCGTCTTGCTTCTTCAGATATATTCGCTTTGATAGCCTGCATTCCCTCTCGTTCCCGTTCAAGTCTATCCCGCTTTTGTGCTCCCAGATTGGGATCGTCCGTTGCCCATCGAAGATTGATACATTCATTATGATCGAGTGATTGATGCATCATGGCCTCTTTAGCAAATTGAGCGTCTACTTCACGTTTATATGTCACAAAACCACAACCACGAGAATGCAAAACTCGAATACGTTCCAAATCACCGAATTCACTGAAATGTCGAAAGAGTACTTTTTCAGTAGGACTCATTTGATTTTTTGGTTGAGATCGATCCCAGCCTTTTCCTCCACTTTCGCTGAATGCGTTCCATTTGGTATCCTTTCGATCGCCATTTGCATGTTTTTGACGTTGTTGCTGTTGTTGTTGCCTGCTTGACATATCATTGGATTCTTCGTGTATGTGTCCGACATACAATGTTCGATTTACACGCTGAATAGATCCAACACCTCCCATATCATCTCTAAAGTCACCATGCTTTTCCCTTCCAAATACATCATGACCTTGATCGGGAACATCTACCGGCAGCATATGCAGAAACGTACAATCTTGACCGTTGGGACAATAGCCTCTCGCAAAGAACAGGCATACAAATGCACCGCCATTCCGATTTGCCCTTGTATAGCCGGCATCTTTGGCAATCTTTACTCTTGTTGATGATTTAACATTCTGGGTTTTGCCATCATCATATTCACCTCCAGAGTATTTATTATACCAAATATTGTATGTTATTCCACTTTGATTTGCTTTGTCTGTCGATTGACGAATGTTCTCCACTTCACGATGTGTGACTTGTTTGCGAGCCGGCTTAGACGTCAAAGAGCGGACATTATTGGATGTTGAGGCTACCTGTGATGAGGGACCCGCGTTTGATACCTCTGACATCGTTGCCTTTTTCTACAATTGATGGTCGAGAGGAGTAACTTCAAATTCTGGACTTCTCGAACTCCACAATTCCGATACCCGCGAATTGATTGAACAGACCTCTAGCATACACGTGATATTTCAATACACATTCAAACGCGCGCATAATCGGAATCAATGATTGGGCGGCAACAATTTACAACAAGTAAGGCGTGGGCGTAAGTAAGTAAGCATACAAAGTGAAATCGGAAGAATTGATCGTCATCACCATCATTCACCTTTTCATTGGCTCGAATACTCAACATCATGAGACCGACACAAATCGTGCAAAGTGGAATGCCCACAGGGGACAAATATATGGGTTGGTGGGGAAGTATGGGAGGACCAAAGCAAAAAGGTGTTTATCAATATTCCATTTCACCTTTCCAACAAAATGCAATGGCAGGCGCTTTGCGTAACTATGTCTTTTATGGTTACAAGAGAATTTTGCAACAAGCACCTTACTTTGCAATTCCTTTCGCTTTAGGTAAGTGGTCATTGAATAGCAATTCACCAGCCAGGAAGAGGATGACTAACATTGAACAATCCTTGCTCACCTCTCTCATTTACAGGTTACGGAATTTACTCTTGGGGCAGATCCCGCAACGAATTCCTCAACTCAAAGGAAGGACATCGCCTACACGGTGGTGAAGAAGAGTAATCTGTACCGATCATAATGCCTAAATTCGAATCGATTCCTCTGAACTGTAGTTTGAATGGTGGGGTGGGGATACTGAAGTTGAAATGATGCTACACAAAGTAGGTGAGGTAATGTAGCGGATCTTGTGAAGAAGCTACTTTGTGAAGGAAGAGAAGTTCAAGATACCGATAAAGTGCAGGTTAGTCTTCCCTGGACTGCGTATTGTCCTACTCATTTCGTTGATATCATTTGGTGGCACCTCTCCATTTCCATCGCAGTGAGCTCACAGACTTTGCTTTACTCTACTTTAGCATTGTTCTTCGACTGATTTGATCGCGATGATTGTATGATGGAAAGAGCACTGTAGAATGAAGGGAGTAAAGGAAGTATCCTACCACACATGAAATAAAGTGTCAAAGAGGTGCGAGAAGCAACGGGTATCTAATGGATAAACGTGTACACGCGGTTAAAGTCGAAGAAATATGGGCTAATTGCATTAGTGGCAGTTTTTATGGCTTAAGTCCTTTTAAGTCCTATTTAAGTGCGCAATGCGCACCACCGGCTTGGTTCCAATGTCATTGTTTGGGTTGCGTAAAGTTCTTTGGTCTTGCATACATAAATTAAATTCCCTTTCTTGTTCAAATGTAGTTTGATTACAGCTCGAGCATGTTTGTAGTGGCCGCCTTTCTTTTCGTAATGCTTTCGATTCCCCCTGCTTGATTTGCTTCCGAGTGCATAGCCCGTTCTACATAAGTTACTGATTTGTTCCAAGCAACACTTCTCTATTCATTCCTGTAAGCGTGTCCGTACGCAAAGAGCCACAAATCAGAAATCAGAAAGATTGATCAACATCCCCATCACTCACTTTTGCATTAGCTCGAACACCCGAAATGATGAGACCGACACAAATCTTGCAAAGTGGAATGCCAACAGGGCATAAATATTACGGATGGTGGGGAACAATGGGTGGACCAAAACAAAAAGGTATTTCTCAATATACTACTTCGCCTTTTCAACAAAATCCAATGAGAGGCGCTTTGCAAAATTATATCTTTTTTGGTTACAAAAGAATCTTGCAACAAGCACCATATTTTGCAATCCCTTTCGCTTTAGGTGAATGATCATTGTATTACAATCTTTTTTCAATCAGGAACATGAGCACTAACCACAAACATTTTTTTCATTCATTCACAGGCTATGGGATTTACTCTTGGGGTAGAGCACGCAACGAGTTCCTCAATTCAAAGGAAGGTCATCGTTTACACGGAGGCGAGGAAGAATAATATGTACCGAGCAAAATGTGGTAAATCGAATTGATTCTTCTGACATGTACTTTCGAATGTGAGGCAAGACTACTTGTTTACGGAAAAATTGAAGCTAGATCGATGCTATACAAAGCAGATGAGATTCTGTAGCGGATTCTGTGATGGAACATATTCAGATTACTGATAAGGTCCAGACTAGAAGGGTAATCTCTTCGACACTGGGTATTATCTCATTCATCTCGCCGATATCATCTGATGGCACCTGTCTATTTTCATTGCAGGGGGCTCACAGACCTTTAATTTTTCCGATTAGTTGGTTCGATTGCGATGGTTTCCTGATGGAAAGAGCATTGTAGAATAGATGAAGGATCTTTCAAAGATGAAACAAGGCGCCGAAGAGGTGCGGGAAGCAACTGATGTCTAACGCGTAAATGTACACGCGTTAAGTTGCTGTTTTATTGCAAGCAACACTTTGTTTTAAAAAAGTTTAAATGCGTGCGTTCATTCATTTCTTCCAAAATTGTACAAACGTCACCTTGATCATTCTCGAAACGGCAACGAACGGAGTCTTAAGAGTTGGGCAGAGATGGAGGAACAGTTCATTGCCGCTTTTCGTGGCACATTAGAGCCAAACGTAGAAACGATCAAAGCAGCTGAAAAGCATCTACGTGAAGTGTTACATCCTCATCCTTCAGCTGGAATGGCATTGATCAAGATCGTATTTGCAGATGGACCACTTTCAATCAGACAGGCAGCTGCTGTCAACCTGAGCAAGTGGATCAAAGAAAGGTGGAGTCCATTCTTTGCTGAATTCGAGGGCTTTCAACAAACGGTAGGCGATAAAGTTGAAACGGTAGCTTTGTCCGTAGACCAGAAACCGCCTATCCGAGAAGCACTTTTGAGTGGACTTGCACTTCAGGAAACCAAACTTAGAGGGCCCATTCTCAAAGCGTTGATCAGTATCGCATCTTGTGATTGGCCTGATGAATTTCCCGATCTCTTACCAAAAGTCCAGTCTTTATTACAAGCACAGGGTCAAGCAAAGGAAAGCAGTTACGCTGTCGAAAGTGCTTTGGCTTTCTTGGATGAATGGTTTTATTCTTCGATGGACGAAACAAGCCTAATGTCAATCACGCGGGAGCTGTTCCCTGATCTGGAGCGTATCTTAAGCAGTCAAGGTGCATACTCTGCTCAAATTCGTTGTCACTGTGTCAGCATTCTGAATCAAACCCTAGAGACGTTATGGATGGTAAAAGAGCAATACCCAGATGCAGCAAAGACTGTTGCGCAAGATATGTTGCCAAAATGGCTAAGCCATTTGGAAAATATTCTCAAGCCTGATCCAGCACAAATCATTGCAGCTTTCAGTCAAGGTAGCAATGGCACCTTTCCGCAAAGAGCAGGAGAGGAATTGGCATTACAAGCACAGGCATGGCAAACACTCATCACTGCTACCCACTTTGGCTCGCACTTCAAACCACGCCTAATAGCACTTCAGTCGCAGGCGCTATCAAGTCTTACAACTCTACAACGTCCTTTTCAAGAATATCACATTTCTGCCCCAGATGAAATAGAGGGCACGAGAGATCTGACATTCTTTGCTACCCCATCAAATCTTGCCGCAAAGATTATTGATTTCTTTGGAGTCATTTTACAGAAGAGTAAAGACACCTCAAACATGGATGTGCTGAACACATTTATTCCTCTTTTGTGTTCGTATTCCCGCATCACTACCGGAGAGGAAGAAGAATGGCTGGCGAATGTCTCTGAATTTGTGGCAGCAGGAGAGGATGATGAGTTGGGCGCACTCAACAACTCTACCCGAGGCAGATGTGCAGACATTCTGGGAGATCTAATGATGAGCAAGCCTAGCGAGGTTTCTGCCTCATTGCAAAACACCGTTCGACTATCTCACAATACAGGTCAAGATTTGCGCAATGCAGGACAGGCAAGTTGGTGGAAAGAAGAGGAGGCTTGTTTGGCGTTGATCGGTGGGGTGGCCGAATACATTGTTGAACAGATTGAAGACGCAAAAGATAACGGTCAAAAGCCTACCTTTGATGTTGAAGGTGTGTTTGGCTCGAGTGTGATGCCCTATATTGCAAAAGGTACGCCACACTTCTTGTACGGAAGAAGCTTTGTCTTTGCATCACAATTTGCAGGCATCCTGCCAACGCATCTTGCAACTAGCTTCTTGGAAGCAGCTGTGAACGTAATGGAGGATACTTCTGCAGAGGATGAAGATGCTGATGCAATCACAAAGTTATCTGCTGTACGATGTGTGAAGAATTTCCACAGACATTTGGACGATGAAGTTGTTCAACCATACACGGCTCGTATCTTGGCAAGATTGGCGCCTTTGCTTCTCAACGCAAGTGAAGATGTTTTGGTGCTGATTATCGAGACTCTACAAGCAGTCGCCGTTCAACGTCAAGCCCATTCTGGGGCTAATATACCCTCACATTTGTACGGAGAGATGTCGCAAGCAGCCATAAAGGCGTGGGCAAAAGAAGCCATGGATCGTGTTTTGCAATCCGCCATTGAGGATCTATTGGAAGCATTTGCCGGACAGCCATCAGATCAGTCAGCTTTGAGTACAATCCAAGCTTCTATACCGATTATTAGTGAATTGTTGCGTAATGAAGTGCAATTGGCAAGTACTTCCGCCAAGAATCGCTCAGGTATTATGGCTGAAGGAGCATTGGATTTTGCCGTTGCTTTAGTTCGTGGTGCAAAGAAAGATGTTCTAGCCCAATCAGACATCGTCAATACCTTCTTCCCTACCTTGTTTGCCACTGTTGAGCAGATCGAGGATAGAGAAGTGTACGGTAGTGCTGCTACAGTTTTATCAACACTTATTACGAAAATTCCAGAGCAGAGTCTGTCTTGGCAAATGAATGGTATTCCGGCCGTGCAACCGATTCTTACGCTGGTATCGAAGATGATCTCGCCAGATGACAACTCCGAAAGTGGTGGATTGGCTGTTGGGGATCTGTTATCGACACTTTTACGCAAGCAACCTCAAAGTGTTTCAGATCAACTTCCAAGTTTGTGTCAAGCATTGATTACACGTTTGGCAACATCTTCTAGCACATCTCTCGTTCAATCTTTGGTGATCCCTTTGGCATTTTTAATGAAGGATCACTTAGAGATTGTTCTGGGACTTTTGTTGCCATACAACATTGCCGATGTTGATGGAACTCAGAAACCTTCTTTGGAGATTCTGGCGAGAAAGTGGGTTGACTTTGCTGCCAATGTTCAAGGCTTTTGGCATAGTCGCGTTAGTACGATCGGACTTTGTGGCTTATTCAAAGCTCGAACGACGTTACCAGGAGTCGCAGAACAATTAGATCACATCAATGTCGATGGAGATCTATTACCGGATGATGTGAATATCATCAAAACACGATCGAGGTCAAAAATGATGCCAGACAAATTTACACAAGTCCCAATTCCTGCTAAGATTATCAAAGTATTGATTGGAGAATTTCGTCAAGCAACAGACGGACCACCAAAATCTTCCGCTGAAGAAGAAAGAGATGCTGTTTCAGATGATGAAAATGAAGATTGGGATGATGATGAATGGGATACCGGAACGGTGAAAGAGGGTAGTACGCAAAAGAGACAGAATTTCTTGTCTGACATGTTGGGAGAAGATCTCAATGATGATTTGGACGCCCTCTTGCGCGAACATGATAAAGAACAATATGGCGATGATCCGATTTGGAGTATGAACTTTAGAGTGAGTATTGATTGCGTCTTAAGATGGTTGTGCAATCGTTGTACTGACGTGAATCTAATCCTTACAGACCTACTTGATCGAATTCTTCCGGGAGATCGGCAGCAATAATGACTTGATTTCAGCTCTGGCTCCTTATCTCAACGCTGATGAGCTCAATATTTTACGCACGATCATCGGCTAATAGGAATTTAAGAGAGTAATAGTATTAATAGATATCACATAATGACAAAGTATTACCTCAAAGGGCATTCTCATCGGAAAGCTTCCATTCTTTTTGTGATTGATTCTATACGCTCCTCTACGATGACCAGGTTATCCTTTGTTCTTTGCTCATTCTCCACTAAGCTTGATTGTAGGTTGCCGAGCATTTGCTTTATTTCTTGAGATTGCATATTGGACGATTTGAGGATCCCTTGTAATGCTTCGACGTCATGTGCGAAATTTGCACTACTTGCATGCAATGATGAGAGTGATTGTAATCGTGAAAGCAGTGTTGGTACGATTGGTAACATGGAATCCACCCTTGACAAGATGGGAAGAACGGTGTCCAACTTTTTCAATGTCTCAGGTGCTAGATTGATCGATGAAGGTCCATCGCCCTTGCCATTCTCCGTGCCTTCTCCGCGGGTCACATCTCCTTCCTCTCCGGAAATCATCAATTTTCTTCTTGCCTCATGTACCCGTTCCAATTCGGATACCAAGACTTTGATTCGTCTGCTGATTCCGTCCAAATGTCGAGGCTGAGTCAACAAAGTCAAAAGGTGCTCAATCCGAGCCAAAGAAGGTAGAAGTGGCCGAGGAAGGGCTTGCGCTTCGCTTTGCAATGCATCTTGAATACCAATCAACGATTCTAAACCTGCTAGACGATGATCTAGGTCCGACAATTTCACCATCTCGCTGGTGGGTGCTTCATCGTCTTTCGTCTGTTCTCGTGTGCCATCTGATCCTCTCTGTCCTGCATCGTCTTTTGCCTTTGATGCTATGCTCAATTGTTGAAGTAGTCTTCTAGCCTCTGCCTGTATTTTGATCGCATCGCTCTGCTGATCACTTTGACCGATTGCACCACTTTCATTAAGTCCAGCTAATTGCTGACGCAACGCTTTGAGCTGAGGCAGAAGATCCTCATGAGAATCTTTGTCACCTTCGCCCTTTGATTGTGATTGTTCTGGCTTTTCACCTTGGACTTCCTTTTCTAGCTCTTCTAGTTCAAATCGAAGACGTCGAAATCGGTCAAGAGAAGATTCTTTCTCGCCTACTTGACGCCAAGGAGTCTCACCTCGTTCGGTCTCTTGTTGTGCTTTGTATCCAGAGCCACTTCCCAGAGAGTATGTAGTTGTTTCAAACGTAGCAGCAGTACGAGGATAATAATCTGCTTTCTTTTTACGTCGCTGTATTGAAGATGAAAAGTCAACACCTTTTGATTCTACACCAGTAGCATCACGAAATCTCTTTGCAGCCTCTTCTGCGTTCAAATGAGTTTTAATTATATCTCCTTTATTTTGTTGTATTTCATTTCCTGCTTTGTCGGATTGACCAATCTTTCGATTTCTACGATTGCCTTCATGATCTCCATATTCACCTTCATCAGATGCACTATCACTATCGCTCGATCCATACCTTCTTTCGTTTGTTAAACCTCTTGATTTACTCTTTGGCGATGGTGAGTGTGTTTCATAGACATCAGGAGAATCAAGATCGACCCCTTCTAGACCAGCAAATTTACTGGCAGACATCTTGAGTACCGGCTCTGATGGAAGGTGTCAAAATTGATACGATCTGGAAGTAACCAACACTTTTATTTTAAGCTTGTCTGTCTGTCTCCCATTCACGCGTTGGCGCGACCGGTCTAAGGGATAAACGCCCTGCATGCATTGACCTTTTGGCAAAAGTGGCAAGAGGAGCAACTGAAGTGATGCATTGGAGTTTGTTTTCATTACCATCATCACATTACACCTCTCCTCTACAAAAGCGCACAACCTTTTCGTCATGGGTGCGGCACTTTCAATTCCATTCTTGGGAGGAGGTTTGATTTCCTCTTTGGTGGGATCATGTTTGACAGGTTTGGCTTTCTTTTGCACTTCAACTGCTGCATCTGCATTCTTCAAATCATGTAATTGTCAATCCAGCATAGCGACCCGTGTTGGTTTTTGTTTAATCTTTTGTTTGGATGCTCTTGTGGCTTGGCTAAGTCTGACAAGGTTTGCAATGAACAAGATCGAAGATTGGAGTTATCAATATCTCAAATTAGACTGTAAAGATAAGGATCGTTGTTATGGTGTTTTGGCCGTTCATCGTATCACGTTTGCTCTAACGCTCTTTCATTTTATTCTCGGTATGCTACTCATCGGAGTACAAGACACCCGTACAAAGAGAGCTGCAATTCAAAACGGATGGTGGGGACCAAAGGTTTTGGCTTGGCTAGTGTTGACAGTGTTGATGTTTTTCATTCCCAATGGATTCTTTGTCGTTTGGGCAAATTATTTCGCTTTGGTTTTGGCTTCGGTCTTCATCGTTCTTGGTTTGGTCCTTTTGGTTGACTTTGCTCACACTTGGTCTGAAACATGTTTGGACAAATGGGAAGAGACAGAATCATCTTTTTGGAAATACACTTTGATCGGAAGTACGTTGGGAATGTACGCCACTATGATTACTGTTACGGGATTGTTGTACGGCTACTTTTCGGGATCAGGCTGTGGACTCAATACGTTCTTCATCACTTTCAACTTGCTTCTATGTGTCTTTATCACCGCACTCTGCATCAGTCCTCAAGTACAAGAAGCCAATCCTCGAAGTGGTTTGGCACAAAGCAGTATGGTTTCAGCTTATTGCACTTATTTGATCACGAGCGCATTGATGAACAGGAACGACGAATTGTGTAATCCAATTCAACGTAACCGAGGCAGTGGAGCAAAGACGACGACCGTTGTGATTGGTGCTTGTTTTACTTTCCTGGCTATTGCCTATTCAACCAGCCGTGCTGCAACGCAGTCGAAAGCATTGGTGGGCAAAAAGAGAGCAGAGGCAAATCGAAGAAGTGGGGCGGCGAACGGTTATGGACCACTGGCCACACATGCAGGAACGAGCGAGGAAGAAGGCGCGATTACAACTCAACAACCGACCCGCAAAGAAGATCTTCGGATTCAAGCTTTACGTGCTGCAGTAGAAGCTGGAAGTCTGCCAGCCTCAGCATTGGATGATAGCGATGACGAAGATGATGACGATGTTGGAAGCTTTGTTGCCGGTGGAGGAGATGAAGCTGATGATGAACGAAACGGAACTCGATACAATTATAGTTTTTTCCATTTTATCTTTGCCATTGCTGCTTGTTATACGGCAATGTTGTTGACCGATTGGAAATTTGTCAAATTAGGAGGACCATCACCTGATCCTGTGGAACATGGAGCACCGATTGTTTATATCGGTAGAAGTGCAGCTGCCATGTGGATGAGAGTTGTTAGCAGTTGGTTATGCATTGCAATTTACTCTTGGAGTTTAGTTGCTCCTGTGGTTATGCCAGATCGTTTTGGCGATTATTGATTCGGGTTTGACTTTTGTATTTTTATTCTCAGTGATTTCTTTCTTTTTCTATAATGCTTTATTTATGTGATCTCAGCCATTCGCCTTTACGCATGTTCAGGCACGAGAATGTTGATCAGAATTTCCTAACATTTCTCTCGCGTATTTTTAGCTTCAATTCCCGTGTTGGGGAGAATCCTCGTTTCTCAGGAACCTCTGTGGTTCCTCTTCCCTTAAACGTGGAGGCATAAACGCCGTCGTCGCTCCTGGCACTGACACGGCAAATGACCCCCCACGCTACACTTAGAGGTTTGTTACCGATACAGTGGCACGCACAGACTTTGAAGAAGGTGCTGTGCATACTCACTAGGTTGACCTTCATCCTTCATCTGTTGGACAAAAGGGTGTTATCAGAGATGATGGGTTTATTCAAACGCAAAGGACTTTCAGGTCTTTCAAGTCCTGGTGTGGTAGGACAGTCTCCTAAAGAACAACAATCCTCCTCACCTGCTCACAAAGAAGGAGAGGAAGGAAGTAGTGCATTTCCCGATCTCAGTTTAGCAGCGATGATGGAAGCAGGCAAGAAACGATTAACATTGAATGGTGCAAGTCCGAGAAATACACTTCCACATCATCATCATCAATCACAAAGAAAGGAAACATCAACGGGTGAAGGACCTTCTCGTACTGGTGCAGGATTAGGATATGGTTTTCATTCTTCAGCATTGCAAATAAAGGATGCAGAAAGAAGCTTGCATTTTTATCAAGAGATCCTTGGAATGGAAATGATCAAACATAGCGAATCAGAAGGAGAATATTCGATGTACTTTCTCAGTTTTCCAGGTGCGGTATCAAGGGCAGACAGCGGAATGCCAGACGAAGACATCTATTTCGGTGCACGACAAGGCATGCTGCAGCTCATTCATGTATATGGATCCGAAACTGATGACTCTTTCAAGATAAGCAATGATGGTCCAGGTTTCACACACTTTTCCGTTTCAGTGCCTGATGTTGAACAAGCGAAAAATCGAATGGAATCACTCGGGGTGACGATTGTAGAAGATGGTAGTAATGCAAGAGGTTTTGCAGCAATTGCCGATCCCGATGGATATCATATCCAATTAATCTCACAATCACAAGGGAAAGATGATCGATTGCGTGAACAATTGGCACAATTGATGAGCGAGCCGGTCTCGAATATTAGTCACATTGATGCTTTTCCTTCCAATACTAAAACGACTTCTACCACAATTCAACAATTAGGCACAAGTCCAACAACACAATCGATATCATTCGCACAGGCAATTCAAGAACATCACGATCGAAATCGGGTTCCGGATTCTTTGAGAAATGCGCGAGGAGGCAGTCCTGTAAGCCCTGCTAGTCCGCAATAACGATAGCATAACATGTGTATATACGAGCCATCTATTCAATGCAAGCATTAGCATTCATTTCTTGATCATTTGGCCAAAAGGAATTACCGCTGTTAAGCATTCTGTACACACGCTAGCGTCTAACGGAGTTCATGCAGCATGAATTTAAGCTTTAGAACAACTGCTCAGCATTCATTGGTAGTCGTGCGACATCTACCCTTCTTCCTTCATCTATTATATCTTCCTTAAGCTAAAGCTCAGATATGTCATCCACAGGAAAGGTGACATTATATGCCCAATGTCATTGCAAACGGCAAACGTTCGAATTCGAAATCCCATCCAACCAATTCCCAATCCGAACGGAACTTTGTCATTGTGATGATTGTAGAAAAGTGACTGGATTACTTGGAAATGATTTTTTGATGGTTAGGGAACTATTACAAAAAGATTTCTTTGATCCAAGCAACCCCCCGAAAGGATTGCGATCTTTCACACCATCTAGGGTCACTTGGTGGTTTTGCGATGAATGCGGTTGTCATCTGATACAACATAGCCAAAGGAATGAAACGGAAGCAAAGAATGCAAAAGAAAAGGGATTGGAAGCAAAGTATAATTGGTATGTGTTTAGCGGGATCACATACCCTGACAGATTACCAAACGGAGATCGTGTTTGGGAGCGAAGGAAGCATAGTTGGGTACGACCAGGAAGAGATTTAGGTGGACTGGCAAGATTCATGCCTGATGGCTTGCCGAGGTATGCGGGCACAGATGATTCAAAGCTGATACCTTATTCGGACACATTTACTGAAGATAGGCCGGAATATCGACCAACAAAAGAAGAGCAAGAAGCAATCGAAAAAGCAAGCAAAGCGGATAGACTACCTCTTCGCTGTGCTTGCGGATACGTGAAGCTTTCGATCAAGCGACCGATCGAAATCGTCTGCGATGAAAAGTTCAAAAGATTACGTAGTCCAGACGAACAAAAATGGCAATTCAAAATATGTCCCTGTAATTCATGTCGAACAACGGGCGGATTCGAAGGAGCAACAGGCTTGTTTTTTCCTTCTTTGGATCACATCGAAAGGCTGAATGCGGAACCACATTCTCCGAAACCGGTTGGATACACCCTTGAAAAACTTCAAGGCGATCCGCAAAAACCCAATACCGTCGGTTTGGCAACTTATTACTCGTCCGAAAATAATGCAAGGCGTTTTTGTCCAAATTGTGGGGCAAGTGTTTGGATTGATTTTAAAGATATGGGTACAGCCGTTGCATCAACCTATATGGGTTTACTCGATATTCCTGTGAGTATTTTTTTTATGTGTGCGCCTGATCCGTTTGGTCAAGACTGATTCTCATTTTCTTTCTTATTTCATCATTTTCTTCTAGCTCCGAGCAGCTTTTTCGTCATGGCTCTTTCCTGCGCCTTCTTTGAAGTTTTTGCAATTTTGTCGTGATCGTGATTTAGCTGAAATTCTTCGTAAAGGTTTCTGTCCAGAAGATGATTGTTCGTCGACCGAAGAGCAAAAGAGAATGGTTAGTGGATATACTGGTGAATTGCAGCTTATATGACAACCCACAAAGGATAGTTGGGCTCAAAAATACAACGTCTGAGTTATGAGAGTACGTAATGTTATTCGGTATTAAACGCAATGAATGACATATTTCTCGTACGAATTCAAAGTTGTTGATGATCTTACTTTTTGTAACGGAAAGCTGACAACCAACTCCGACGCTAATGTGTGTATGTATGCGGGGTGACTTATTTAAAGCCGACAAAAGGCCACAAGGGGGGGGCTGTGCTAAGATGCCTGTGTGCCTAAAGTGTGCCTGCGTGTGGTTGCTAATTTAAAAATAAAGAATGCGCCGAAATAAAAAGTTGAGCTCTCTTTAGTGCATACATTCATATATAAAACATCATTACACACAATACACTGCCACAAGAGAAAAAAAGAGGGAACCTTTGTTCGTTCACTCATCACCATCACCTCCTACTCCAGACATTTCTGACTACCTCACCTCCATCTGCTCGATCAGCGATCGTGATCACATTTATTCAATTGCAAATTAAGAACGCCGTTTGCCGCCGCGTACCTTAATTAACGTAGGCTCCGGAAAGCACGGAATTGCTCTCCAGGGACTTCTTTCATTGTTTGTCACTCTCGGCTCAATTTGATCGACTTGGAGATCTTTTTTTTTGCTTTATCATCACACCCTTTACGCCACCTTCTCCCACATCATTCAGAAGGACTAAAATCATTATCAACATGTCCTCCTACACACCTACTGAAGAAGTGATGGCAGCCGGGCCGCCAGTGACGATAAGCACTCTTCCCGGAAGATCCAACGGACATTCATCAGCAGATCAATATTGCAGTCGATCACGTTCAAATTCATCTGCACAATCCCTTTCGCTGTCTTCTCGTAGTCACAATCAAAATAATTTGGCTCTTCAACAATCACCACAAGGACAGCAGCAAACACAAACCAAAGAGATGATAATTGAACGTCCCCATCAGAACACCGCTGCTCCTCCGAGACATCAAGACAGTTTTGATATCCATGGCTGGCCTGAAGGAATTGAGAAACCGACCAGATTCTTGGGCATGAAGGTTAAGCCGATCTCGCAATGGTCCATCAAACACATTTTCTGTCTTTCCTACTAAGGTAGGAAGACATCTACCGGTCTTTGACAGTGACAGAAGCAATCATATCAATGTCCATACAACGTAACAAGCACCACTCAAGCAACAAAACAGCATAGCACTCAAGCACAAGCACAAGCACCTTCAGTTCCATTCAAACAATATATGAAGCAGAATTAATTCTGCGCCCATCTGTATCATATTATATCATTTTTGAATGTCTTATTCATTTCTTTCTACCACTTGGCGTAATGGAAGTTGCGAAATAATCTAAATGATTGGGATTTTGATATTGCATGCAGGCACAGTATTTTGCCAATGAAGAGATATTGAAGTTTATTGAATCAATTCCGCCGCTTCTTTGGTTCTTTTTCTGGTGTTCCTCTCGCCGCTGTTTCTTAAAATAAAGTGTTGATTCAATTTTTATCTTCGTCCTTATCGTTGATTAAATGATCCCTAACTCTCATAATGTATTCACGCCGATCAATTCGCATTAAGCAGTGCCCTGAATGCCGTTTAGTGCACAGCATCGCAAAGCCACGCTAAAATCAATTTTTCTATTCATAAACTGTATACGAGAATAGAAACGCCACACTACACACACACGCAATGCAGCGTTTAAGCCTTGTTTGCCAATACGCCGATTCCTTTTGTGCCTGCCCTGCCGGGAGTGTGCAGCAGCAGCAAGCAGCTATTCGTGTAAAGTGGATCCAATCGGAAATGTCCATAGAGTGTGTGACAGCGTGCGGGCGTAAAGACTGCAGGCACACACACACAATACACCTCTCTTGATTGTACTCTTGACTTTCCTCCCTTCCCTTATCAGTTCTTCTTTCTCATCTCCCAACTCGTCCGATCGTCTTTTTCTTTTGCTCGCAGCCTTTTCTTAAGGAAACAATTTTCAAGTCTCTTTAATATTTCTCTCTTTCTCTCCTTCATTCAAGCCATCCTTTCAAACGCATTACACATCACACTCGCACTCAGCAATCGCAACAATCATCACATCAACATTCTTATTGTGAATACAGGTGCTCGTACGCACACAAACGATACACTTTAATCAAGAACCACCCTCACATCCAGTTTGCTCATCTTGACAAGAGAGTATAGCGGCTTGCCGAATTGGTATTCATATACCCCCTTTTTCGTCATAGAATCGCAAGTGGAGATTCGTAGCAAGTAACAACCACACCCCTCTCCCAATACTGTCCATTCACAGACCCTTCAAGCTACTAGGAAGGAGGCCAATCTCACACTCATAATCATGTCGGCTGCCTTGCCACTTCTTTCGCCTCTTGTGACCCGTATCTTGGAACTGAAAGGATTTCCTGCAGAACTCAAAACGCGAGACATTCAAACAATCTTTGCACAATGGGAAAATGAACGAGGTGGATTCAAAATCAAATGGATCGATGATATTACTGTTTTGGTCATCTTTTCCGATCCAATTTGCGCAAAAAGAGCTTATTTACAGGTTCTCATGTCACCACCTCCAATGTTGATGACAGCATCTGGAATCATGGCGAAAATACGACCGTACGACGGAGACGATGCTGGATCGATCATTTCTTCCGTACAAAATCGACCAAGATCACGTTCGAATGCAGGAGGACAGGCTACACCAGCATACGGAGCAGAGAATGAAGCTGAGAAGGCACCAGGCGGCGTCAATGCCACACCAGGCCGAGCACCAGGGGGCAATTCTGGAAGTCCTCGAAGTGTGGCTCGTAGCTTGGGACAAGGACATAGACGCAACCCTAGTGGCTCAAATCCCAGTAGCTTACCGCCAAAACCCTTGGCAGCAGCACTTTGGGATGCATCGAACGGAGGACCATCACCTGCACATCATCTAGCAAATGCATTAGCAGCAGAAGGATCACCTGAAAAAGCTGAAGAGATCTTAGCAAGCATTAATGCAAACACGATTCGATCACCACCTTCGGCCGCAAATTCGACAGCAATTTTGGAACCATCACCTGAGATTCGAAAAGCCGAACAAGCATCACAAGCGTTAGGAGCATGAGAAAAAAAAGAAGAGTTGGATGTACGCATAAAGCCAAATTTTGATCTTTGGGACGAAGTAATGAAAAATAAAACTTTTTTTCCTTTGTAGAATAGAATAAGCACCCTCTGGAAGCCGTAATCAATTAAATCTTCTTTGGCAACCGTGATGATGTAATCCAGAATGATTTGACATTTAGATTATGCCATGAAATAGGATGGCAATCAGTTTAGCCACTACTACGAGGGGCGATACGCTAATGCAAGTGCCGTAGCCTGGCGTACGGTAATTAAAATAGTTTAGCGGCGCAACACAATAAAGTCACAAACGAGAACATGATAAGATCACATATCTTTGAGAACCAAGTTTTTGAATGACCCTATACCCTGGTACACTTCGGAGGCGAATATGTGCATTGATCAACTATCAAAATAGATGAAAATGATACAACCTAAAGGATGTGTTTTGAAAATGCAATGAAAGAAGCTATTTAAGCCACTTTGTTTTTGTGTTTTTTCACAATTAGACATTTTTGACAAGTTTTCATACACGCTAAAAAGCCTAAAAGAGGAATGACTTTCAGCAGTATAAATTGCAAATTTGAATGTGTGTGTGAGAGATAGGGAATGCTAGATTCAAAACTTTCGGATAATAAACAACATGATGAATGACTACATACATATGTATACTGTGCATTGCATATTGCTTTAGCGGACGTCATGCATAAATAGATTTTGAGAGATTGAGAGAGAGAAGGAGGAGGAGTTGAATGTGTTTTGTGAGTATGCATGTCAAATTGTGGAAGTCAGCCTTCTTGTGCCCCGGGATACAGCCACAAAAGGGAAGAAAGGGATCAACAATGCGCTGCGCTGGGTGTTGGAAAGGCAAAGGCAAGAGGTTGACAACTGCATCTACACGGCGCAGCGTAATGCCGTCGTACCTGTGCAGTGTAAACACATCACACACACACAGATTTGGGCCCCGACGCGTGTGCAGTTTTTTGTTGTTGTTCCTATTCGCGTTTTCCGTTCCTTCTTTTGTCGGGGGCAGATCATCACTCGTTTTGCCCTGATAATACATAAACTGTAGTGTTGGTTTCAAAACAACAACAACAACAAGAAGCAAACTTTGATCTCCTTTTGTGCCTGTGCGTGTCTACCTGCATGTAATTTTCCTACCCTTTCTGCACGCCCTTCTTTAGGCTGCAAATGATTTGATAGGTTGCTTTGGTTGTGAATGCAAATCATTTGGATACTTGCATACATCCTAGAAACTACATCCTGATCATCATTGTATTCATATACCTACCACCACCACCACCATCAACACACAGAACCGTCTAATTCATCATCATCTGCTTTCCTGCTCAAATTCAATTGCAACTTTATTTTCACGTTTTACGATTCCGTCCTTTCATATACCGTTTCAAACAAAAGCTCCTATTTCACACATTTTTCCGTTTTTTTTTGCAAATTACGATTTATTACGATCTCTTTCCAAATAAGGCTGTTTTAGCCCCTGAATAAACATTTTCCAACAAATATCATTTGCGCTGCTGTTCCAACAGAAAAGGTATCATTAACGGTACCGCTTTGATCTCCTTTTCAATTTTCCGACTCAAACTTTGCTTTGGGGTTTTGGAACGGATCTCGAAAATTACAGAAATAAAGCTTTGGTAAGAGTGAATATTTCAATAACATCACTAAGCATACGACGCTGCCCGATTGCCAAGGACACCAATCTTCATCTGCAACGCATCAAACTTTTTTGGCAAAACTTGGGCCGCTATCGTACCCAAGCTTCGGTACCGAAGTAAGAAAACATTCCTCTCAAGGTTTTCGGTAAATCAGCTTCCCTCGCTCTCAAAAGATATCAATCCAGCGTTTGATTATCATGCATCTTTGCTTGGTTTCCGATACTCTCTAGCCTTGACCTTTAACGTTATTAAAGAAAAAAGAAATCGCAATCGGCTGATCAACTATGGTGCTCTCCGTGGAAGGTTTACCAACGATCGAAGGTTTTCTATCTTTGCCTGATTCAGGTATCAACAATTCGTCCACCGATTCAAACCAATATCTATCACAATGTTCATCTTGGACGACAAGATGGTGTATTTTGCTTAACGGCGCGTTGCATGTGTATGCAAAACGTGTACATGCAAACGAGATGAGCATGCCAAGAGCAATGAACATTATTCCTCTCACCACATATCAACAACTCAAAGTGTCTGGCGATTACGAGAATAGCGAATGGGATTTGACATTGAGCGGAACGCTACCAAAGATCAATATTGCAACTCCTACTCCATCCGGATCAATGGACAATTGTGCCGCTTCGCCAAGTACGTCAAAGACACTACCGAGAAGTGCAACAAGCGGTAGCTTAAGTGCTATGTTTATGCGTTTCGGAAGTGGAAGTACGCCTTCTAAATCGCCTAAGCATGATCAACGATCGTACAGTCCTTCGGAGGACACTTTGAACACTACCAGCACAAGTACTGCAAGTCCTTCTTCTTGTCGACCTGTGAGCCGTGGGTCAAGTGTGACTTCATTTGCGCCTTCATCGTTCAATCGACATGCGTCTCTATTCAACACAACCGGAAGTCGCAATGGCAGCAGGCGAAATAGCGGAAGTAACGGCACTCTATCGCCTGTCGTACAATCGAATGATGAAATTCCAGAGAAGCGGACTTGGGGTAGATTATCATCTAGATCGAGAAAGCTTTACAACTTTGTCACCAGCGGATTGCCAAGTTCTTCTAGCAATTTGGCTGCTGAACTACGAAGGGAAAGTGGAAATCAGCAACAGCCGCTTCCTTCTCCCACTTCACCTTGTTCTCCTACCAGTCAATTCTGGAGTCGATCGAGCCTTCAGTCTTTTTCCTCTTCCCGGTCACCAAGCATTGCTCAACAAGAGGATCCAGCTCAATTTCTGACATTAAGAGCGCCTGATGCAACGAGTATGGTGCGATGGGCAGAAGCGATATCCACGAGTCTGAATAATGAAACTCCCGTCATTCCCAAAGACCCTTCCCTTTCTCAACCGATCAGACCGTCAACATCACGCTCAAGACGAACTCCGCTTACGGAAGTTGCTGAAACCTTTAGCTCCACCGTGCGACCTACTATTCAGGGAAGACGAAGCTTGAGTAGCGGATCGATATTTGCAATTATGGCTCCTTCTTCTAATCAGGAAATTGAAACTTTGAAAGATCGCAAAAGTCCTACAAGCCCACGAAGCGACTTCTCCGTAAGAGCGGCAAGAAGTAGTGCTGACTTATTATCATCAAGTCGTGATAATAGTAGTTCTTCTCCTACATCCTATTCTTTTGCTCGTCAAGCCAGTTCATCGCCTTCAGAGCCAAGATATTCAACGTCTACCAATACGACCATGGCATCACCTCCTATGGTTGAGCGGATTTTACCGCCTGAAGAGATCATCGCAACGATCGATAGGCTAAGAAGTGAGCGTGCAAATAATACACAAGGATTGGGATTGACTGGCATTCAAATGGACAGCCACAACACCTCAATCTATCGATCTGAGCAAAAGACTCTAAAGACGTCGAAATCGGCCATGGGACACTTGAATTCAAGACAATCAAGACCGAGCACCAGTCCGGCCTTCAGTGATGCTGGATTTATGCCCCCTTCGTTCAATTCGACAAATCGAATTAGTGAAGATCAGCAATCGTTTACTTCTCACCGTGGCGCAAACATGGAAGCGGCTTCTGCTGCAGCTATTGCAATCATCAGTAAACAAACGGCCGAGAGTGAGATTGGCAGTCCGCAACTTCTACGTGAGAATATCGCTGAATCACCTTCGATGGTTTCAAGAAGTTTACCGGTACCTCCGAGAAAATCAAGGTCTTTCTTAGCACTTGATCAAAAGAGAGAAAGTGATTTACCGAGGCTTATGCGCACACATTCACCTAAGAAAGAAATGCGAGTCAAAACAGAATTAACGGATGAAAAGTCAAACGAGCAATTCTCTTTACCGCCTTCTTCTTCGGATCTCCTACGAAAGAGTGATGGGCTGGACTCACCCTCTTCTCCAACAAATACGAATGTTTTACGAGAGAATAATGAAAGTTCAAAGAATACCCCAAAGAATACCACCAACAACAACAACAATGGTACAACCACAAATAATAAGAAATCTTATAACCTAGCAAAGAGCGCAAAAATGCAAAAACGTATTTCTCGTTCGCTCGAGTTGGGCAATGAAGATTTCATAACACGTTCGTCAACAAATAAGGAAAATATGGTAGTGATAATTTGATCGCACAAGAAAAATGCGACTTTGTAATGATTCCAGATATTGAGAAAAAGTTTCTATTAATGCATTCAATGATGATAGTACACGGTTGAAGTGTGCGTGTGTGAAGCTCGAGCATAATTATGAGCGGGATATGTGGGTAAATCAAGAGAGAGAGAGAGAGTCAATACTGCTATCACATGTTGAGATGCGTGATAGCAGGCCGCAACAAGTAGATTAAATCAGAGAACGTTCTCCTTGGGGAATTTGAGCGAAGGTCCACTTTGACCGATGCACATAACACCGAGCTTATGACCAACTTCAACTGCTTCATCAATGGATTTGCCCAAAATTAAAGCGCCCAAAACACCACCTGCAAATGCGTCACCTGCACCATTTGTGTCTACAATTTTGTCGGATGACACCTTTTGGACTGGGTACCTCTTTACGTTGTCCACTTTGTCACTCTGTAGAACCAATGTTTCTTCAGCACCTTGAGTGATGATGACTGTTCGTGGTTTGTTTGTCTTGGATTCGAATTGGGCAATGTGTTTGGCAACACCGACCAAGTCCTTTCCGTCCAAGCCATGAGAAGCAGCATAAGCTTCTGCTTCGGATTCGTTACCGATGACTAAGGTAGTGTATGGCAAAACTTGGTCCAATTGATCTTTGAAGAATTGTGGAATGAAAGGTGCGGAAAGGTTGATCGAGAATGGAGTTTGACGTTCCAATGCACGTTTAGCCAAGATCAAAGTAGATTCAAGACCGTGTGTCAAGAAGAAACCTCCAACGTAGAAGAACTTTGCATTTTGTGTCAATTTCTCAACTTCAGATGTAGAAAGATGATCAGGAGTGAACTTTTCTGCTGCACCTAGACGGGTGACCAAACTACGATGTTCGCCAGTGATCAAAACAGCACAGCATCCTGTTGGAGTGGTCTTGTTGACTTGGTATGCACTGTGCAATCCTTCTTTTTCGTTAGCAGCACGTAATTGTTTGGCCAAATCATCTTCACCAACACTGCCAAGGTAAGCTGTACTTTTTGGTGGTAAGACATATTGAGCACATCTTGCAGAGTTTTGAGCAGCACCACCGGCAAGGTAGTGAATATCGTATTCCTTTGTAATGTCATCGTAAATTGCTTCCGTACCTGGCTTTTGTTCGATTAGGATAGCATCATTGGCTTTCAAATCGTATTTTTTCAAAGTTGCTTCTGCATTTCTTGCTTGCATGTCCAACAATGGGTTACCCATGGCAACCAATTCGTAATTTCCGCCTACCATTTTGTCAAATATAAAATAGGATGTGATGTTATCAACTTGTGATGATGAAAGACGGGAAGTGAAGTCTATACCATCATTCTGACAGGCACTTCAACTGTATTATGGAATGAATGCCTTTCAATCAATCAAAAGTTCAATGCATAAATCTTCTTGCGCTTAGGCCAAGTTGATGAAAATTGGCACGTGTAAAGATGCATGAACTCTTGCCGACGCATTGGACAGCTCAAGCCAAATTTAACACGTGGCGAGTTTGTAAAGGCTAGCGCAGCGGGATACTTGAATGGATATAGGCAGTGTGTAAGCATCACTTCTCTCAAGTCCCATTTTAGACTGCTAAAGTGGCCAATTCATACTTTTCCTTTACCAGTGCGTGAGCCGACCCTGCAGTGCTTCTCCCAAAAATGTCTAGACGGCTTACAGGCACTGCTCAGCAATACTTCTTCCCATTGGTAGATACCAGTGGAAAATAAAGAAACGCTCAAGCTGCGCACACACACAATTTTTTTTTCTTCTTCGCGCTGGTAGCCGCCAGCCTCTTAATTTTTTTTTTTCTTCGGTTGGAAGCGTAGGCTTGCCACCTTTTTTTCTTCAGTGAATAGAGATTGTGCGCATTGGACCTTCCTACAACTAAAACACCACCTCATCCTATCCTGTTTGATCGCCACGTCAACTTGCAGACTTTTTTGCACACAGTAAGCAATAAAGGAATCTGCTTATAATACAGGAGACGGGCATCTTCATTTAATCACCTTTTTACAAAACCTTTTCAACCAACTCGCTAAACCCGACCGGGAAATAAGACAAGATGGTGCTCTTCACCGTCGACGAAATTCGTGGTCTTATGGACAAGCGCTTTAACATTCGTAACATGAGTGTTATTGCTCACGTCGATCACGGTAAATCCACATTGACAGATTCATTGGTCTCAAAAGCCGGTATTATCGCCTCCGCCAAGGCTGGTGATATGCGTTACACAGATACCCGTGATGACGAAAAAGAACGTGGTATTACTATCAAGTCTACCGCTATCTCCATGTACTTCCCTATGGACAAGAACCAATTGGAAGCAGTCAAGCAACAAAAAGATGGTAACGAATTCTTGATCAACTTGATCGATTCTCCAGGTCACGTTGATTTCTCTTCTGAAGTCACTGCCGCTTTGCGTGTCACAGATGGTGCTTTGGTCGTCGTCGACTGTATCGAAGGTGTCTGTGTGCAAACCGAAACCGTCTTGCGTCAAGCTTTGGGTGAACGTATTAAGCCAGTTGTCTGCTTGAACAAGGTCGACCGTGCTCTTTTGGAATTGCAAGTCGGAAAGGAAGATTTGTACCAATCTTTCTCCCGTACAATCGAATCAGTCAACGTGGTTATCTCCATGTACAACGACCCTGTCTTGGGTGACTCCCAAGTTTACCCAGAAAAGGGTACCGTCGCTTTCGCTTCCGGTTTGCACGGTTGGGCTTTCACCTTGCGTCAATTCTCTGCTCGTTACGCAAAGAAGTTCGGTACTGACCCAGACAAGTTGATCAACAAATTGTGGGGTGACAACTACTTCAACCCAAAGACCAAGAAATGGACCACAAAGGACAAGGATGCCGATGGAAACCAATTGGAACGTGCTTTCAACATGTTCGTTTTGGACCCCATCTTCAAGATCTTTGACTCTATCATGAACTTCAAGAAAGAAGACACCGCCAAGATCCTAGAGAAGCTCGAAATCCCAATCACCCAAGATGAACGTGATTTGGAAGGTAAGGCATTGCTCAAGGTTGTTATGCGTAAATTCTTGCCAGCCGGTGATGCATTGTTGGAAATGATTGTCATTCACTTGCCATCCCCAGTCACTGCACAAAAGTACCGTGTCGAGACATTGTACGAAGGACCAATGGACGATGAATCCGCTATTGGTATCCGTGACTGTGACCCTAACGGACCATTGATGTTGTACGTTTCCAAGATGGTGCCAACATCCGATAAGGGTCGTTTCTACGCTTTCGGACGTATCTTCTCAGGTACCGTTCGCTCAGGACCCAAGATCCGTATCCAAGGTCCTAACTACACACCCGGTAAGAAGGAAGACTTGTTCGTCAAGTCTATTCAACGTACCGTTCTCATGATGGGTCGTTACGTCGAACCAATTGAAGATTGCCCAGCTGGTAACATTTTGGGTTTGGTCGGTGTTGATCAATTCTTGCTCAAGAACGGTACCTTGACCTCATCAGAGACTGCACACAACATGAAGGTGATGAAATTCTCCGTCTCCCCTGTCGTGCAAGTCGCCGTTGAAGTAAAGAACGCCAACGATTTGCCCAAATTGGTCGAAGGTTTGAAACGTTTGTCCAAATCCGACCCAATGGTGCAAGCATGGATCCACGAAACTGGTGAACACATTGTTGCCGGTGCCGGTGAATTGCACTTGGAAATTTGCTTGAAGGATTTGGAAGAAGATCACGCTCAAGTTCCCCTCAAGATTTCCGACCCAGTCGTCGGTTACCGTGAAACCGTTCAAGCTGAATCTTCCATGACCGCTTTGTCCAAATCACAGAACAAGCACAACCGTCTTTACCTCACAGCCGCTCCCCTTGACGAAGAATTGTCCAAGGCTATCGAAGGTGGTAAGGTTAACCCTCGTGACGATTTCAAGATCCGTGCACGTTTGTTGGCTGACGAATATGGTTGGGATGTTACCGATGCTCGTAAGATTTGGTGTTTCGGACCTGAAACCACAGGTGCTAACTTGTTGGTTGATACCACAAAGGGTGTGCAATACTTGAACGAAATCAAGGATTCATGTGTTGCTGCCTTCCAATGGGCAACCAAGGACGGACCATGCTGTGAAGAGCCAATGCGTGGTGTCAGATTCAACATTATGGACGTTACATTGCACACTGATGCTATTCACCGTGGTGGTGGTCAAATTATCCCAACATGTCGTCGTGTGTGCTACGCAGCCGTCTTGTTGGCAACTCCTGGTTTGCAAGAGCCTGTTTACAACGTCGAAATTCAATGCCCTGAATCTGGTTTGGGTGGTATCTACTCCACACTCAACAAGAGAAGAGGAAACGTTTACAGTGAAGAACAACGTCCAGGTACACCAATGTACACCGTTAAGGCATACTTGCCAGTCGCTGAATCTTTCGGTTTCAACGCCGATTTGCGTCAAGCAACTGGTGGTCAAGCATTCCCTCAATCAGTCTTTGACCATTGGGCTTTGATGAACGGTGATGCAACTGACAAGACCAGCAAATTGGCTGATTTGGTTAAGAGCATTCGTGTCCGTAAGGGATTGAAGGACGAAATGCCCGCATACGATTACTACTATGACAAACTCTGATTTATACTGTTCATTCACCACTGCACGATGTATGTTATATGTTACATCTGTTTCAAAAATATTCATGGCTTCACTCTTTGATGATGTTTGCGGAGATTTTAGTGACATAAAATTTCAGAAGATGTGTATGAATGAAATAAGAGATGATTGGTAAAGGTAGAAAGAGATTGTGCATTACAGTAAGAGAAGAAGAGCTGTTCCTTCCTGTAAGTCTTTCGAGCAGTCCTGTGTACCGGCGCTGGAAAAGATATGTTTACCAGTTTCGTTAAATGCAAGCTTGCACTACGGTCAGACTTGGACAAACGCTTCAAATTTTTGGTGTTATGCTTTTGTATTGCAATACTCTACATAGATTACACTTTCAATACATGTTTAAGAGCAGATTCCGTCTCCCGGAGCACGTCCGTCGGTGTGTTAAGACTGCACATGACATACACTACATTTCCTAATGGACGAGCATGGATGTTAAAAGAGACGTGCTTGCCCAGACCTGTGTCTTGAGTTGTTCGTAGGTGTTGTAGAATGTCCACAGCGGCAGAAGAAGAATAGCCTTTCTCTCCAGCATTGTCACTTAGATTCAAAATCATCACTGTTCCCAAAGCCATTGCGCTTTCCACATTTGCACTTTTGGAGAATGTTTCAATCGCTTCCCTACTCCATAAGCTCCAAGGAGAAGGAGCCTTGTCGTCCTCCCGCGAAGTAGACGTACTTGTTCTCCAATCTGCTTTGGCATCTGCCCAAACATTGTCGATTTGCATCTTTTCAATCCTCCGCAAAGCTTCATTTGCGATTTCACACCCGATCGGGTGAGCAGTATAGCTATGTCCGTGTAAAAGAGCGTCAATCTTTTGATCAGATTTGGCAAATGTTGAAAAGATACTATCAGATGCCAAAGTGACACTCATAGGTACCATTCCACCTGTTAAAATCTTTGCCAGAACGGAAATGTCAGGATTGACACCGATTGCTTGAGCGGGTGTACTGTAGCCTAGCCTGTACAATCCCGTAAAAACTTCGTCAAAGATGATCGGTAAACCTTTCCAATTGCCCGATTCGGGTACGTCTGATTCACGGATATGAGATGTACCTCGGAGCGGTGGATCAAGTTGACTGAACAAATCCGGGTTTGCTCTGATCACATCAACGAAGCAACGCTGGAATAGAGGGTCAACGCAAATCATTCCGCCTGCACCCATGATGAGCGGTTCCAAGATCAATGCGCCGTATCGATTGCCTTCCATTCTTGTCAGATGATCCAACCAGCCGTAAATGAGGTCTGAGTAGATGTTTTTGAGTTCATCACTGTTCATTCGATCAGATACATTGTAAATGTCGCTTACACTCTTGAAATCCTTCTTTGCAGCCACTTTGCTGGACAATCGCTGCCAATCAGAGTCATGCAATGGCAATTCCACTATTGCTTGACCATCCTTGATGCTCACCGTTGGAGGCTCGAACCATGAACCTCTGCCACGATACCATTCCACTTTCTCATTGAAGATATTGCCTTCACATGCATCCATTGCACCAATTGTGTCACCATGATAGCTTCCCTTCAGACCGAGCACCATCCATTCCCGTGGTGGACGTCCGCTCTGATTGCCTGGCAAACGACCTTGTTGAACCTTATCTTTAGCCAATTGCGATTCTGCTCTTGGTGCATATCTACTTGCAGCGGAAGAAATAGCCATCTTCAAAGCCACTTCCATTCCCGTACTGCCATCATCGCTAAAGAAAACTCGAGAAGCCCAACCTGCTCCTGGAGAAGTACCAATAACGTCAGATGGGTTCTTTCCTACCAGCGTTTCACTGAGTTGCAGAGAAGGTTCATTTGCACACATTGGGAACAAGACATGACCATATCTTCCTGCAGCACGGGCGGCTGCTCTTGTAAGGCCTGGATCTGCATGACCCAAGCATTGAGTCCACCATGATGCAGAGCCATCCAACAAAGGACGCAATAGTGAGGCGGATCCATGAGCTGAGGCATCTTCGCTAGATTGATTCAGCACAGTGAAGAAATCGCCATAAGCGCTATCGATCACATTGACATCTTTATCACTTTTTGCTAGCATATGCTGCGTGAATGGCCACCAGCATGTGTCTCTCGTTCGCTTTGCCAAACTTCCAATGTCTCTTAGCCTCTTTTCGTGCTTGTTACGAAGATGTTCTATGATCGGTGCAGCTCCCAATGAGCTTTCGTCACTTTCGGCTGCCTCTCCCCTTCCGGCTACCAAACCGGCATAATACTCTTGCATACGTCTAGCATCTTCTTCATCGCTACCCTCTCTAGCAGGCGGTAGACCCCATACTGAGCTAGAAGATGGGCCGGACAAAGCCCAAACAGGTAGTCCAATCTCTTGACCCCATTTTGTTAAATAGTCAGCATTTCCCCACCCTCTTCCTGCATCGCTGAACAATAAAAGTGCTTCGATATCGTATCCTGCCATGAGCAGAGAATCATATGCTGATTTTGTTGTTGAAATACCTCCCAAATTAGAATCACCGATTAATATTGTTGGCATACGTAAAGGTCGCAATAGCTGTGAAATTGAAGAGCCAGAAGGAGCAGGACTATGTACTCCGCCCGCTGTCTCAATGTATGCAGCTGCCGGTCTTAAAGCAGCTTGTGTAAAGCTGGAAATTTTGTTGGACAGTGCATGAACGACTGCTTCATCAGATACGTCCAAATTTTGCTGACTTTGATCTTGAGCTTTGAACCTAGCAGCAGCTACATGTGGTGAAACGGGATCATTGAATTGAAAAAGAGTGTGTGCGTTTACTGAGGGTAAATATCGTGCTATATGCAGACTATCCGAATCACGCAATGGTCCAGTTGATATCGGCTTGATATAATGAACTGCTTCTCCATCTTCTTTGATATTGAGACTTCCTTGTTTGTCTCTTTCAATTTTTCCATTCTTGCTCCCTATCGGTAGTGCAGCACTTGCCAATGCTAAAGCCGTTGTGAAAATTGTTTTACCAACATCCGTATTCGCTCCGAATATTTGATGTATTCGTAATTGTGGGTATAAATGGCTCAATGGAGGTGCCATGTTTTGTTTTGTTTTTCCTTTGTGACAGTGATGATCTAGAAGTGATTTTACTAGTTGATCCTTGGATTATCTTTCTTCTCGCTTCATCACTTTTACGCCCAACCACCCGGCGGACTTTGTTCCGATATGTGAAGTTTAAAAAAGAGAAGAATCCAATTTTAGCGCTGAGCTGCGCTGCGCTGCGCCAACCCCGTCCCTTGACTGATACACCTTCACCCCACCCTGAAATCATATTAGGTTAACGCCCGTTGAAGCGTCAACGGCGCCAAGCAGAAGCATAATAATGTTTGTGTTATATCATAATATTATCTTTGGTTGATTCAGGCTTAAACGCGAGAAAACAACCGTGCATACACAGTGGAGTTTTATTACACTGCCACGCTAAAGGTCCTTCCCCCCTTATCATTCCACCTCCTTTATAAACCTTCACTCAGCTTTCACTCTCAAATGACTGGAAACCATCATCAGCAGATCAGCTTTTGTCATACAAGATGAAAGTGAATCTGCTGATGGCTTCAGGAAAGACTTGGATCACATCTTTGGTGGTCCTGAGTTTGATCGTAATCCTCTCTTGTGCTTCCACTGCACATGCTTGGGGTGTTACAGGTCATCAAATCGTTGCAACAATTGCACAAACACAATTACACCCAGATGTAAGAGCACATCTTTGTACAATCCTACCTCCAGAACAAACGGCATACAGAAGCTTTTATCCAAAAGAAGGTGCTCCTCATCAACATTGTCATTTAGCACCTCTTTCCGCTTGGGCGGATCGCGTTCATGGTCAATATCCTTGGGCAAGTCATTTGCATTACATCAACCCTGTTCAAGATGATCCACCAAAGCATTGCACTTATGGTGAAAAGGGATGGCAAGATCATGGAACGGGTAATGTTTTAGAGGCGATTCTCAATTATACCTCAGCTTTACAGACCAAATCCGGCTATGAGCGGGATATCGCTTTGCGTTTCCTGACTCATTTTATGGGTGATTCTCATCAACCTTTGCATCTCACAGGAAGAGCAAGAGGTGGCAATGACGTTCATGTTCGATTCAATGGACGCTTTGCACGTCTGCATTCTGTTTGGGATAGCCTTCTTTTGAACGATCAGATCCGCGATGTTGCAAATTATACCACCAGATTGCCTTCGACACGTATAGAATCTGCTTTGCTTGGCAGAACGTATGATTCATATATTCGTTGGATTATGGCAGAAGGTCTAGGACAAGCACAAGGTGCGAATGTTCAGCCAGGATGGTGGCATGACGAAGCGGAAAGTTGGACACATTGTCCAGAGGAGAAAGTGACACTCGGAAAAGATGGCAAGAGCAACAAAAGTGCTCATTGGTTACGTGCCGTCACACCTCACTCATCAAAGCTCGCTCAACGTGTGTACTCAACAATTTTCCGCAACGTTGAACATGAGTCTAAAGCGCAAGAATTGCATCTCTCTTCAATTGATGATACCGATCTACCTGTCTGCCCATACGCCTGGACGAAACCGATGCACCCTCTTGTTTGCTCGTATGCATTTGCCGATCCTGTGCCACCAGTCAATCAGTCCAATCATGGACCTCTCGCTGAATTAAATGTCCCGGAATATGCTGGACGAGTTCATGATCACAAAATCATTCATCGTCAATTGGCTCGTGCGGGTATTCGTCTTGCGGCTGTTCTCAACACAATTCTTCTGCCGGAGGCACAAAAAGCCAAAGGTGGCATACAAACTGTGACAGATCCCGATCTTGCTGTCCAGGTGCAACGCATTCTGGTAGCAGAAGCCAATGTAGACGAGCGGATGTTTGCATTGGATGAATCTGAACAGCCAAACAAAGGGAAACATGGTAAGCATGGTGGACACCATAACGGATCTGATGGAGGAAAGCCGGGACAATCACCGATCTGGTCTTTGATCAAAGTTACAGCAGCTTCGATCGCAGAAGTGATTATTCTGTCTAGTGTGGGCTACATCTTGGCACGCCAGGGCATTCTAGACAAGAAAACGCAAACAAAGATTAATAAAGTCAACGTTTCTTTCTTTACACCAGCTTTGTTGTTCTCCAAAGTTGCTTTTTCTCTTGATCCAGGTCGTCTTGCTGAATTGGTCATTGTACCAGCAGGCTTCGTGATCATCACTGTCGTTTCTGGATTATGTGCTATGCTTCTCAGTTCAATCGCTCGACTTTCTCGATCTCAACGTAATTTCACGATTGCATGTGCGATCACGCCAAATTCCAATTCTTTACCTGTGGCATTGATGCAAAGCTTGGTCGTCACCGTTCCTCAACTTCATTGGGAAGAAGATGGAGAGCCAGAAGATACGATGAATGGAATGTTGGGTAGAGCATTAACGTATTTGGTCTTATTCTCTACGTTGGGAATGTTCTTACGTTGGAGTTTGGCTTCACAATTGCTTTCCACTATGGAAGAAGAGCCAACGGGAACAAGGGATGAAGATCCCGTTACAGGTGTACCATCAACACCTTCTCAACCTCCAACTGGTCGCTTGATTGATCATGATTCAGAAGATACACAACAAAGGCATCATGGAAACGCAAAGATTTCCGGACCGCAACATGCAGCATCACAAAAGCAATCCTTACCACAAATCAATGTACGCAGATCTACTGAAGAAGGTGGTGGTGTTGTACCGATTGAAAACCGTCCTCATCGCAGACAAGCTGGTTGGCCAAGAAGCTTCCCAAACTCACCAGGAGATAGCGAAGATGATGACGATGAATCTGCAGGAGGTATTACGCCCAGATGGCAAGGGAACCAGTCTAGTCGATCCTTTGCAGGCTCATTGAAAGATTTCAACAGAAAGTTCATCTTGCGTCCTTTCAAGGCGGTTACTGCATTCATGACCATGCCTCTTTATGCTGCTTTGATCAGTCTAATCGTTGCACTCATACCACCATTGCAAGCAGTGATTAGCAGTATCGAACCATTGGTGGGAGCATTGGAAACTGCTGGTGCTTGTTCAATCCCTCTCACGATGGTTGTTTTGGGTGCATACTTCTATCAAGAAGCTGATCCAAAGACGAATGATGTGAAGGCGACAACGTCAAACAATTCAAACGGTCAAACAAGTGGACCTTCGAGTGGAACTGCATCTACAGATACTGCTTGGCGTAGTAGTGGAGGCGAAGAGAGTGTAAATGCAACTTTGGTTGATAGCTCGCACACAAAGAGAAAGTCTATTCCATTTATGCGTAATCCTTGGAAGACTCCTTCTGCATCAGAAGCAAACAGTGCCATTGGAAGCACAAATGGAGATGATTATAGTGAAGCAGGAGAAGGAAATGATTCTTCCAGACGAAGCAGCGTTGCATCCTCCAGAATCCTGTCCCCGCAAGAGAGAAAAGAGAAACAAAAAGAAACTATGGAACGCAGAACGATTGCGGTTGCGATTGCAAGTCGAATGTTGATGACACCGATCTTGTTGTTACCTTTGCTGGCTTGGTATGCGATCGCAACTCGATTCAACGTAGTAGATGATCCAGTTTTCATCTGTTCGGCATGTTTGTTGATCGGAAGTCCACCTGCACTTACATTGGCACAAATTACATCACAAAACGCAAAAGGAAGTGATGGTAGCTTTGAAAGATTGATCAGTAAAACAATCTTTGTTGCATATGCAATCATGGCAACTCCTACAACGATTGTACTTGTTTTGACTGCTTTGGTGATTGCTGAAAATGATCATTGATCATATGCAATGCACTCTTTCTTTTTTTAACGAAGATTTGATGATATTCTGTATATATTGCAAGATTTACATTTAACGAAAGCAGATTATAGAAAAGAAGAGTGTCATGATGATGGTTTGAATGATAAAAGTTTCATCACGGTTAGATCTTTTGTCAAGTCTAAATGTCATCAACTTGCCCCGTGCGTTGCGCTGAATTTTAAACACTGCTATTTTGCCGTATGCATACGCGTCATTATATCTTCTTATTGATGATCATTCGAAGCATTCATTCAACTCATCATTCCTTTCAAAACCATCATCTTTGTTCAATAAAAAACTCAAAATGGATGAAGCTATCTCACAATTTATCTCAATCACAGGCTCAGATGCCCAAAAGGCGAAATTTTACGTAGAATCAGCCAATGGTGATGTACAAGAAGCAGTTTCAACATTCTTTGAAGCTGACGGAGGCGAAGATGATGTAACGACAACAGGAGAAAGTGCAAGTGCTGCTGCTCCAAGTGGACCTCGAACGCTATCTGGCGCTCCTGCTCCTCCTCTACCGGAAGGATGGGGATCTGGTTCAGGTTCTAGCTCAGCAAGAGAAGGTGGCGCAAAGAGTTCAGGTGGAAAAAGTAGTGGTGGTGGAGGTGGTGGTGCATCATCACGCTTTGCAAGTTTGTCTGACTTTCGTTCAAGCGGACCAGGAAATGGCGAAGATGATGATGATGACGAAGAAGATGGTCCTCGTGATGGTCGTGATCCTGCTCACTTTTTCACAGGTGGTGAACGTAGTGGATTGAGCGTGCAAAATCCGGATCATGGTCGTCGTGGTGGCGCGCCTAATGTTGTGCAGGATATCTTGCAACGTGCTCGTCAAATGGCCGAAAGACGTGCTGCAGGCGAACAGGTTGACGATGAGGATGATGAAGATTGGGGCGAAGGTGGACCAGCTCAAGGCGGCGCTAAAGCACCAAGCAGTTTTGCAGGTCAAGGTCGTACGTTGGGTGAAGCATCTTCAGCAACAGCAGAAAGTGGCGCAAGTGAAGGTGGAGCAGCAGGAGGAAGCTCAAACATGCCTGGAGGCTTTCAATTAGCAGGAGAAGGAGCCAGGGACGAAGAAGAGAACAATGATGGTTCAGCAGTGGCCAATAGGCGAATCATCTTTTGGACAGATGGTTTCTCTCTGGAAGATGGTCCTCTATGCAGATACGACGATCCCGCTCATGCACATACGCTAGCTATGATCAATCAAGGTGCTGCCCCTTTGAGTTTCTTGAACGTTCGTTTTGGCCAACGAGTCAATTTGACTGTAGAGCAAAAGCAAGAGAAATATACGCCACCACCACCGCCGCCCATGAAACCTTTTGGAGGATCAGGAAATCGTCTCGGTTCTCCTGCTACCTCCTTGGGCGCTTCTTCTTCGTCTGCAGCAGCTCCAACTTCACAAGCTGAACCTGCCACACCATCCAATTTCGAAGTAGACTCTTCCAAGCCTACTACGCAATTGCAAATCAGACTCGCTGATGGTCAACGCATGGTAGGAAGGTTCAACTTGACACACACGGTCAGAGACGTAAGAGGATATATTAATGCCGGTCATCCTGGCATGTCCAGTAGACCATACGTCTTGCAAACATCGTTCCCACCTAAGCCAGTCTCAGATGAAAATCAAACCTTACAAGAAGCCGGATTGGCAAATGCTGTCATTATCCAGAAATGGAGTTGATGCTAATTGTATATGTTAAATAAACCGAATAGATCTTTTCATACTGCTTGTGATGGCAAAGAGTGATTTAAAGTACACACGAATCGTAATAGTTTTCACCACGATAGTATTGACACTATATCTTTTGTATGCATCATGGATACATGAGTTTGTGTAAATGTACAACCTTGCCAATCAGTTGACAGGAAGTAAGAAGAAGAAATAAAAGGGGGGTCAAAGTGGAATGCTGGAACAGGCGAGGGCGAAAGAATACAAAGGGGAATACAGGCGAAAAGGCCCGTCAAGTTTACAGCTTAACTTTTTAGTAAGCTGCAGCTTGAGGAGCACCAGCTTGAACACCATCGCCTTGAGGAACATCACCTCTTGGATCACCACCGATTTGAGCGGCAACGGGTTGCTTGGATTCAGAGACTGGTCCTGAAAGTGTGGATTCTTCCTTTGGTTCCAAAATGGTAACGGCATCGGGAAGAGGGAATGGCTTACCGGCACCTGATCCGGTAGCGTCCCAAGGCAACATGATCTTGACCTTGATACCCAAAACACCTTGCTTCATCATAACGTGACGAACAGCTTCGTCAACGAATTGACGGACTGGTTCACCAGAGTGGATCATGAAACCATCTGTGAATTTCATTGATTTAGCACGAGCGGCACGCAATTTACCACTGACAACGACTTCGCAACCCTTTGCACCGGATTCCATAACGAAACGCAAAACACCGTAAGCGGCACGACGAACGGCCAAACCACCCAACAATTTGTAACGCAAAGATTCACATTGAGCAACGGCGTGCAAACCACGGTTTTGTACCTTTTCAGCGTACAATTCCAAAGAGTTTTCTGGGAACTTGAAACGCTTTTGAACCAAAGCAGTCAATTCACGAATACGACGACCTTTGTCACCCAAAACTTCTTGTGTATGAGTTGCACGAATGATGATTTCTGTACGTGCGTGTGTAACACGAACTTCACAGCCAGAGTAACCTTCTTCTGACAATTCACGAGTGAAGAATTCGTTCAATTCGGCTTGGAACACACCATCGGCGACGAACTTTCTCTTTTTGCTGATGTTAACGTTAGACATGTTGGGCAACGTTGACTATGTTGGTGAACAATGTTGGTGGTAAGAAGTGGTGAAAAGGATTGATTCAGCAGGTGTTACGCTTTCCAGCGTTGTAAGAATAAGCGTGTCTTGGGTAATTGACTTCTAGATATTCTTAAGCTCAGTGCTCTAATGCCTGCAAGAGAAAGCGCTTACACTGCGGCGCGCGTTTACGAATTGTTTCTGTAGCAGCTGCATCTTGTACAACAATGATTAAATAAGCTTAAGCCACGTGATTGAGCAAGAGTGTTAATTTTTTGGATCCGAGTTCTTGACAAGCAACTCTTTTCTTCCTCTTGACACGACTCACAAACATCATCAGATGGCCTTCGCAGGAGATTACAATGAGATAAGTGAGTGTTTCACAAGTTGGAACTCGGCAAGGATCGACAAGGCGCGGGTGTAATGCGCCTCACATCTATCTGGCACCTCTTCGCTTATCAAACGGTTTTGGACCTCTTGGTCATGCCTTTTATGCCGCAAACATACTCTGTCTGAGCCGTACAATTTTGGATACGATTGTCAAAATTTGAATTGTTGGATGTGATATGCTGACAATCTGTTATCGATTATTTCCCCTTTTACTTCACAGATAAAATAATTCGCGTATTTGTTCGGGAGATGGATTGAGTGAGCGAGTTTAGAAAAGGACAGCTAGTCCTAATCGATGGGCTTAAGAGCACTGAGCCGAGAAGTGTTTTCCGACAATTCTCCGTGGCCAGACGTTTGAGTCATAACCATCGAAAATCAACATACCAAATGATCGATTGTATGAAGAACTGTCAGCGTCTTCCAACGATGATGGGGCTTTGTGTGGTCGGTCATACCGAATGGCAGACAGTACATGGTACTCTAGCGGCTGAATTTATTCGTGTCGATCATGTGCAAAAGAGGGGGTGATGCGAGTGTGGAGTGGTGGAAAGGATTCATTCCGATTACACTTTCTCATCTTGTTATCATTTCTTCATGCATACATCATGAGTGTATGTCTATGCTGTTTGGGTACATCTTTAAATTTCAATCACTATTCATTACATGTCAAATGGTCAAGAATTGTAAGTCCATGTCATGATTATATAATTGATTCAAGAGCCAATCACCCGATTACCTCAGACTGAGAATTTGAATCTTGATAGCATCTTACAAATAAGCTCTTTGAGCAGAGTGAGAGCTCGTTCAACGGGATTCATAAGACTGTTTGTTGGTCGTAAGTGCACGACAAATTCCGCGATGATCGACACTAGAATAGTGCTAGAAACAAATTTCATCAAATTCTTCTTTTGAACGCGTCAAAGGAACAAAGACGCGCAAAGCCTTGAATCGGGAGAGGCACAAACCCACTTCATAAATAAATCTTTCAGAAGCAAGGCAATCAATCAGAGTGCAATTACTCATTTAAAAAAAAAGAAGTCAAAGAATTCTGTCACATATACATGCATGAAGTTGCATTTAAGAGAAATGATGAATCCTATTGCGCCTGCTTTTAGGGTAAGTGATCGTACAATTGCATATTTACTACCTTCAATAACATGCCGAATAAAAGGAAAAAGAAAACAAGACAGAAATAGATGAGGCTAAAAAGGAGCCTTCTCCGGCGTCTCAGCCAAGGGAGGGGTCGGAAGGCGCAGCAGGGCAGAAGATCGATAAGAAAAATGCAAAGCGCGCAAAAGGCACTTGATCACACGCCAGATCTCTCTCCATAGCCTGGGGAAACAAGGCGCGAATTCCACAGGAGAAAACACGACGCGCCCAGAGTTTGTGACCCAAAGGATAGGAGGGGGAAAAGAGAGTTTCAACCTCTCAAAGATTCTCTTACTTCTCCTTTTTCTTCATCACTCCTTTCACTTTAACCAAACATTCGGACCCTTTTCTATCATACTCTCTCTCTCTCTCCTGATCCTTCTTTTTGGCCAGGTCGCCATCAGTATAAACAAGGACAAAAACTCACTTTCTTTTCTCTTTGCTTTGACCTCTGACTAGCATCTCTCATTGCAAATTGATAATCAACCTCTTCCTTCACTTCGATCCATCAACACTCAATTCGAGGATCACATTCGTTTAATCATCACATTTCATTTCATTCATTCAAATCAGCACATAAAAGCGTTGCGATCACATATCGTATCCAACCTTTTCACCGTCTTTTCGTCTCTGGAGACTTCGCACTTTAGCATATAAGCAACTATTTAGCAAACTATAAAAAGCAATCGACAAAATGACATTCGCTCAAGATCACAAGCGTAACGAACGTCGCCATCATAGAATCGAACACGAATTACAATCACGCGCAAGACCTTACTCCCTCGTTCGCAAAGATGTAGCAAAAGAAATCAGAGAGTTTGTAGAAAGACAATCTGAAGATGTACACTTGGATCGTCGTCTCGGTCCACTTCTTGGCGGCGGTGGCGCTGGTGGTGGTGGTAATAATGGTGGCTCATCAACAAAAGACCCAGGTTCTGGAACCAAGCCAAGCGGCGGAGACAATAGCGGTACCGGCACGGGAGGAAGTTCTGGCTCCGGAGGTGGTGGAACTGGTGGTGGCAGTGGCACGGGAGGAGATAATTCTGGCACTGGTACCGGCAGTGGTACAGGATCAGACACAGGAAACACAGGAAGCGACACTGGCAAATCTGGAAACTCTGGCAACTCGGGTTCCGATACGGGAGCAGGTGCAGACGGTGCGGATACCGACCCATCTTCCAGCTCCTCTTCAACACCTAAAAAGCCACTGCTTGGAGGTCTGCTCCATCATTCCTCAACATCGTCCAGCTCTTCTACTTCTTCTTCTTCTTCTACTTCAACATCAAGCAGTACCTATCCGACTACTGCGCCTACATCATCAACATCAACACTACCCATGACACCATCAACGTCTGTTGCCTACGTCACACCTACTGCTGCCACGCCAAATTTGAGCAATGGAGCAGCAAGTGCAACCCCATCAGATACTTCCGATAGTGGACCAGGAGCAGGCTTGATTATTGGTATTGTTGCCGGTGCTTTGGCCGGTGTTGCAGTCTTGGCTGCTCTCATTGGTTTCTTGATCAAGAAGTTCGGTAACAAAGATGATCCATACGAGTCTAATCCATTCGACAGTGACGAATACCGTCGTCAGAGTGCCATGTTACCCGACCATTTCGATGATATGAATCCTGAAATGTCTGAAATGAGTCATAGCAATAACATGAACCCATTCAATGATCAGATGGAATACGCTGCCGCTGGAGCTGCAGGTGCAGGCGCCGGAGCAGGTTTCACAGCTCGCAACGAAAAGGGTGGCCCTCGTCCTCCAACAATGTTCCAAAACCATATGAACGCTCCTGCTGCTCAATTGAGCGTTGGAGATGCACCTCCCGTTCCTGTTGTTGGAGCTGTTTTCAATCCCAACCGTGCTGATCCACCTCAAATGCCAAGAATGGCATTCGGAGGATCAGATCCTTACAGTATCGCAGGCGTTGGAAGACAAAACTTTGAACAAAACATGAATAACCCATACGGATATTTGGACCGCCAATACAGCGGAAGCCACTCGCCTCCTCAAGATAAATACGATGATACACCGCAAGGCTATGCTGACTTGGACAGAACAGGATCTGACGGATCAGCGCACGTAAAGAGTGCAGGTCAAATGTACGCTGGTCAAGAGACTGATGATTATAGATCGTATGAGTATCATGATACTTCTGGTAGACCTGGCACTGCAGAAGGACGAAGTGGAACGCCTGATCTTCCTAACGTTCAACAGACTTATGCAATGGCAGATGATCATGAAAGTGATAGTCGAGTTCAATCACCGAACAGACAAATGGTCTCAAGCCCAACCCATTTAAGTCAAGATTTCCTTTCAAACGGAAACATGCAACAATACCAACAATACAGTCAATCGCAACAATCACAGCAATACAGCCAAGATCAATACAACCACAGCAATCCACGCTCTGAAACAGCCAGTCCTGCTACGCAACCGTTGCAAGTGCGTAACCTGTTACCTAACCCACATGGTGCTGCTCAACAAAAAGGTAGTCAGCGTCCTGTGAGTGAAGCGGGCAGTGCGGCTGGTGATGAAGGTGCATATGGAGGCGTGTGGTGAGCATTCCAAACAAATGAAGCACAAAAGCCGGAACTTTTGCTTTGTTTTTTTAAAAAGTCGAGTATCTCTTTTTATTTTATTGCTTTTAATTCTTTGCTTTTCCCAAACACACATTCATTATATTTATTTGCAACGGACCCTTGTTTTTCTCTCTTCTTTTTCGATCACTTTTTTGGGCTTTTTGCGCATCACGTACATAATGTACATCTTTTTACTTCTTTGCACGTCTGGATAGCGCCCATTTAATGTCCTGTATTCTTTTTTTCTTTACTTTTTCTCAATGTGATCATTAATTGGAACAATAACAATTCATCAAATGCGAGCATGAATCCAACTTCCACCTGTCCTCGTTGGTTGGTTAAGCAGGGCAGGGCTGCGTAATTGTGTCGTGTGTTGGTACGCGGCTTGTTTTTCGGTCGGTCTCTTTTTAAGCGCCAAATGCTGCACGGACATGAGATGCGTGGAGAGAGAGAGAAAGAAATGGCAAAATTGAGTTCTTGCTAGAGAGAGAAGAGAAAAAGTGTTTTTCTGCATTGTACACATCCATCCCTAATCAACATACAACCACACATTTGCATGAACATTATCAAATAAACAGCATCATTTGGGCCGATGGCCAGGATTGTACAGCAAAAAGGAAAATTGCGAGCAAGTTTATTGTGATGGGATCAACAACAAATACTTTGAGCAAATTTAGTGCAGAATGAGCATGCTCGTTCCAAAATCGACAAGATTCAATCAATCCTTATTCACTATTATTGCTTTTTGCTATTTCGCCATTCAACTCATCGAAGCAAAAGGAGCCTATTCCGAATACAAGGAACATTTGCATAAAATCACTTCGCAGGATAACTTTATCATCATTGACGGACAAGAGGCACAACTATATCGACTGTTCGGCTTCCTTCCGTCTTTGCATACGTTTTGGGTTCAAATTGCACTATTTTGTGTAACACTGGCAGTAATTTGCATCTCTTCTTGGCTTTTCATAAAAACAAGATCAGCAAACAAAGGTCCAACTCTTACTGTGGAGGAGATCATCACAACTTACTTGCCCGATCCAATTGTACGACTTTTATTCTACATTCAATTCGAAGGTGCAGCCTTTTGGTCAACTCTTTTGGAAGACATCATGAGTGTCATTCATGCTCCCTTGAGTATCGGACTCAACCTGGCGTCTAGACTATCTTATAAAGCAAGAAGCACTTTTGACGATTCTACTGACGATTCCTACGCACTCAATCCACTCAGAGGCTCGCGTGGAAGGAGAAGGAAACAGACTCCCAACTCTGCTAGCAGCAGTCGATCTGCTTCACATGCAAACGGCCAAGGCCAACATTATGCAGGTCTTTGGAATACGGGTAATAGCTGTTTCTTGAACAGCACCTTACAGAGTATCACGAGCATTGCAACTGTTCAAGATGTTTTGAAAGAAGTTATCGAACAGGCAGAGCAATGGGACGTTCCAACTCCTGTGACTGATGCATTGTATGATTTGATCTTGCAACTCAACACACCTTCCACCAGTCGACATGCAGTGATTCCACGACAATTGACTGACGCATTATCCAAATTACCACAAACAAATGTCGGGTCATTCTTTTATGCTCATCAACAACAAGACGCTCATGAATTGCTCGTCCTTCTGACAAGTGCTATAGATGACGAGATGAATGCGATCCTTGCCGAACGGAATGCAGCTCTCGAATCACATGCATCAGGTCTCAAGGCTGCTCTTCTGCCATCGATACGACCAACAAGCACAAATTTGACTCCATTCAGCAACCCATTCAGGGCTCTGGTAGCACAGCGTACTGCCTGTCTGGATTGTGGGTATGTTGAAGCAGTTCGCCACTATCCAACAGACGAGCTCAGCCTAAATGTTGCTGTTCGGCCAGGATCAGCTACAACAATTGAAGCATGCTTGGCACACTGGAGCAAGCTAGAGGTAGTCGACTGGATATGCTTTCGGTGTAGTCTTTTACGAACAATCAACAGGCTCAAGGATGAATCAATGTATCTTGAAAGCCAAGCAGCCAATGCGTCATCACCGAAAGAGTCAAATACACCCAATGGACATGCAATGTCTTTATCGACAAAGAAGAAGAGCGGCGCAAAGAGAAGGAAGGCGAAAGATATGAAAGGCAAGGTAGATATCTTGACAGAGATCTTAGCTCAAGGTTACTCGGAAGATGAGGTGGAAGCAAAGCAAATCTTGTCGTTGAACGACATCAAACTTGATCGAACGTTTAGCAGAGCTGCAACGAAACAAGTCATGCTTGCCAGAACGCCGCGAGTGTTGGTATTGCATCTCAATCGAAGTAGCTATAGTGCAAGCTCATTTGGAGCGAGCAAAAATAATGCTGCCGTTTTGTTTGATGATGAACTTGACCTGTCGGGTATCGTTACAGGAGGTGATTTGACAACGAGTGGTGACAGACCTATAAGCAGAGGAGCAACTCCATTAATTGGCGAAAGTGCTGGCCCAGATTTATGGTCTGTTCAAGGCAAAAAAGGAAAGAGTAGCACTACTAATGGTCATCATATGGAAACCGATAGTGACGGATATGTGACGAATGGGCATACATACCAACAACCTAAAGCTTTTACTAAGACGAGATACCGCTTATCTGCAATCGTTGTTCATTATGGAAATCACTCATCTGGCCATTATGTCTCTTTCCGAAGACGGAAAGCTTCCTATCAGAATGGTAATACGAAGCAACTGGATGGATTAGACGACCTTCTACATCCTGCTAGAGATCGTGATCGATGGTATCGGATATCGGATGATAGCGTAAAGCAATGTACATTGGAAGATGTGAGAAGTCAAAATCCGTTCTTGATGTTCTACGAAAGGATAGGAGATGACGCTCAAAGATTGTCAAAGCTACGAGCCAATGGTCACACGAACGGAACTTCGCATAATGGACGTCAGCAACCGTCCGATAGCAGTGGATCTGATGCAGATCATCAATCGTCTCTGACCCGATCGAACTCCCACATCCCTCAAGGCTTTGAAGCTATAGCGCAGAAGCAAGAAAGTGCTTTGCATCCCGCTCCCTTCAAACCTCGAGTATTTCATCGTTGGGAAAGCTCTCCATCCTTCACAGCAGAAAAAGTCAAAGTGGAACCTGACTGAAAAACTGTATGTGTATTTGTATTTTTATCAATGAATTTAAAAAATATTGCATGTATAAACAATAGGTTTCTCTCAATTAGGTGGTAATGAGGTATCTATGAACGTAAACCCAAGAAGTGCCCTTGACGTGCAGCGATGGCAGACATGAAAGATGCATAAGACCAACTTAATTCTCTTGCACCACGCATCTTTCCACGATTTCTTTCGATTTGCTCGCTCATCATATCTGCCTCTCCAACATATTCATCACAAACGGCCAAATAAGCATCGCTCATGCTCCATAAACCTGCAGTAAGTTGTTCATAGATTGGATCACCACGTTTGAACGTGCCAACGTCAATATTAGTTTCGATTTGACAGCCTGCAGCTGCATTTCCAACTTTTGTCCAAAAATCTTGCGTTTCTTTCGTCACAACGATTGGTAAATAAGGTAAAGCTGCAAAGTGTTGAGCAGTGATCGCAAGTACTTCAGCAATCGCATGCGTACAAAGGAACCAAGGATGTCCGATCGATTGTTGAACGCCATCATAAACATCTTCAGGGTATCTTCCACACAAGACACCGGTTGAAGGAGAACGTTTTGCATTGATCGGATAAACGATCTTAAAAACATCCACCAAACGATCCAAAGTGACCAATGCACGATCGCTCCAAGGTGACCAATTAGCATCTTCTCCATCTTCTTTGCCTTCTTCAGGTCCTACCAGATCACCATCCCAGCCGTGAGTGAAGCCCAAAAGGACAGCAACGTCCACTTGACAAGGTTTTGGTTGCCCATTTACACGTTCTAACGTACCGATAACGTGAGGTTTATGAAGTAATTTCTTTGGAATTTTTCCTAAATTTCTATCATCGTCCCAATGAATTGCCAAAGGACCATCTTCGTATTGAGGTCCACCTTCACGTTCTAATTTACCTTCAGGATTCCAAAAAGTTTCTAAATGTTTTGTGATTGCCTTTGCTGCCGTTCTATATCTACCTGCTGACCATGCATCACCAATCTCTGGACGAACGGCAAATTGTGCACCTGCTAACAAAGCACGACGTTGAACCATAAGTGTATGGAAATGACCACCGCCATTCTTTACGTCTGCTGATACTTCCTCCCACAATTCATATGAATTCTCTTGCCATGCACGTGCGACGTAGTCCAAATCATCTTTAATCAAAGAAGATGAAGTAGCGGCTGATGAACGGTAAAGTGTTGAGCGAACATAGTCCAATGCCTCTTTATCATCGATGGAGAGAAGGTAATTTGCATAGAATAACATACTGATTGCACGCAAAGCAGGACCATCATTTTGTGGACGACCCCAATCAGCTTCAAAGGAAGAGCCGTCAACGTTAAACTTTGGCTCGCCCAGGCCGCCGGTTTGGAAGGTACCAGAACGATTGGCAGTGTGTTGCAATTTGATGCTCATCTTTGCGAAATCACGAATGATTGTATGTAATTCAAACGCATTTTCATTTTGAACGCCTACCGTACGTCCTTGTTCGGCAAGGATAGCTCTTCGAATCACTTCACGTAAACATAAAGCTGAATCTCTTGGCCATTGAAAGAAGTAATTTTCATTTTCATCTTTACCGCCAGGACGATCTTCAGGACGTGAAGGCGAAGCGATCATACAACCAGGCGAACAACCTGGAGCATTGTAACCTTTAGGTCCAAAAGCTGCCAATAAGTATGTCAAACTTTGTAATGAACGTAAATCAAGTTTACGCCAAAGTGCAAGCTTTGCTTTAACAGAAGGTGCAATATGTCTCCTTTCTTTTGCGCGAGATGAAAAGAGTGATTGGATTTGATCACCTGAAAGTTGACGAACAGCAAATGCTGTAGCTGTTACACCGACAACCAAAGATGCCACAAGGCGGACGTTAATGTCTTCCATGTTTTAGAGGGTGACGGTGGTACACAAGCTTGAGTGTATTCATATATCGAACAAAAGGAAATGAGGAACGAACGCCCTCCGATATAACCTTCCTGTTGGAGTGGAGGCTAGAGAGACACGCAAGACTGGTATAGTGCCTTGATGCAAGAGTATAATTGTTGCAGTTAAACTTGCTTAGCTTTTTGATTGTGTTGGTCTTGCTGTTCGCACAAACATAAATCATCTTGCTTACTACCATCAAAGCAAACGGTCAGCAGAGGTGATGGTTGACCAAAAAGGCAATGATCGTCGTACTGCGATCGTGCTAGATGATTCTGACGATGAAGTTTTGATGAATGACGGAGCAAAGAAGCAAGTCGAAGATGAAGTCAAACCTGTAAATAGCATGGCAGCTATAGGTGATAGAGCTCTTATGGAACGTGAAAGATTGGAAAGACAAAGGAAGAGAAGACGAGAAGCAGGATTGCCTGAAGAGGATGATGACGATACGATTAGCATTGCAGGCTCTAGCTCAAAAGTACAGAAGGTAACACCACAAAGGACAGAAGTCAAAAGTGGGAATAGGTCAAACGGCAAAGAAAGCCAGGATATTCCATTGTATTGGTCTGGAACAATCAAGAAATCTTTCAATATTCACTCCAAATCTGCACCTGGAACACCATTCGAAGATTTCCTACGTCCTACAACACCTTTTCGTGCAAATGGCTTAACCCATGTGATCATGGCTACGTTCTGTGAAGATATTCAATGGCTGTCACAAATGTTTCCAAAGGGTGAATCAGCTCCTGAGATCACAATGATCACACTGGCACAAGGAGAATTAAAGGCGGGCGTGTATGCTCCTCTACATCCACAACTGCCCAATTGGATTCGTCTCGTCGTTCCAAGACGAGGGCTGAGTGAATATACAACGATGCATATGAAATTCATCATCTTGTTCTACGAAGACCGATTGAGGTTGATGATTTTGTCGGGCAATTTGGTGGACTATGATTGGAGAAGAATAGAGAATACCGCATTCATTCATGACTTTCCACGACTCAAGAATGACGAGAAGGACACCACGTCCGAGTACGGCAAGCAAATGAGAAGGATATTGAGCTCACTCAGCGTTCCTGCTGGACATTATGCAATGCGTATGATGGAATCGTACGACATGAGTTCAAAATGTGAGGCGAGAATTGTTGCAAGTATACCCACCTTTACTCCCGTGACAGGATGGGCAGCGATTGAAGAATTAGGTATCGGTCGTTTAGGCAAAGTCGTACGTGAAATTTTGGGAAACAAGATGTTAGAGGTAGATATTGAGGCGCAGGGATCTTCGATGGGTTCATATTCTCCAAGATGGCTACAGCAATTTCACCTGATATGTACAGGAGCAGATTACAGAAAGCACTTACCATTACCTACAGGCGCAAAAGCTGTCAAAGCTTGGGCATCGGCAACAAAATGCAAAGAATCGGAACAATGGCCACCGATGCGATTATTGTTCCCTTCTGATTCATGGGTGAAAAAGCAATCTGTTGAAGGTGTTAGTGGAGCTCTGACATTTTTTGGGAAGAAGAAAGTGTCGATCGAAAAAGGTTTTATCAAGCTACTACATCAACCTGTTTCATTGCGTGGAAATATTATGATGCACCACAAAGCGATTGTTGCGATCAAGAAAGGATGTGAACAAGCTTCTCCTTCTGATGAGAACGAGATTATTGGATGGGCATATATGGGCTCTCACAATCTCACACAGGCTGCATGGGGAAATATTTCTTCCGGCAAAAAAGGAGGTGAAGTTCAGCTTTCCATAAATAATTGGGAATTAGGAGTTGTTGTGCCAATGTGTTTGAACGATTTACATGAATCGCAGAAGCCTTTGCCTGAAGGTATGAAAGCGAACATCATCACTTGGAAGAGACCAGCGCAGAAGTACAAAGAGGAAGATGTACCGTGGGATCAATTTGATCAAAGATGAATCGCTGAATAATGTAAAAGTAGCCGTTGTGTAATTATCTTATGTAATCAGTGTCCCCTTTACGCGTCTAATTTCTCCACAGCTTGAATGGGCGGCGCTATTTTCTCTGTTGTTCGACCTGCTTCTAAGGCGGTGAATGAAGAGAGAAGCTTGAGAAGAAAGTATACTTGTATCCGAACACCAACATCAACATCCTCTTCATCATCATCTTTATCTTGCCAAAATGTCAAGCTGGAATAAACATTATCATTGGAAAACCAAAAATGCAACACCTTGGACGAAAGAATATTTCACAAAGAATCTTGTAGGAGCAACACATGAACTTACGAAACCACAAAAAGGAAATGTCAAGATCGACTCTATATCCCATTTTGAAGGTGATGTTGAACTGGGAAATCGTAAAGGAAGATTGATTACAATTTATGATTGTCAATTAACCTTGGACTGGTCAGGAAGATTGGAAGATGGTAAAAGTGAAGAAGGAACAGAAGCAAAAGGAACAATCTCATTCCCGGAAGTTTCACATGAAGTTCAAGATGAAGGAGAAGAATACAAATATAGAGTCGAAATGACAAGTGCTACTTCTGTAGCCACTCAATCTATGCTCGAAGCTGTTCGATCACATTTGGCACCTTCACTCTTGCCATACTTTCACAAATTTAGAGATGAATTGGTCGCGACACATGCAAAGGACGTCGGTCATGAAGGCTCGAATGAAGGAACACCGACAGGTGGTAGTGGTGTGAGCACGCCAAAGGATACTAGTGCAGCCCAAACCTCATCAAACACAGCAGCCACATCTACCTCCACCAGCAGTGCACCAAAGAAGGAAGAATCATCAAAATTGAGCACGACAAAGGTGGATGTTGAATCCGATCTAAGTATTCGAAGTGATGATCTTTGGGACTTGCTCACAAATCCAGGCAGAATTCCAATGTGGACTCGTGCACCTGCTCAACTAACTCTCAATCCCGGATCGACGTTCTCCTTATTCAATGGAAATGTGACAGGATCTATTATCAGTATCGAACCCACCAACAAACTTGTACAAAAATGGCGAGCTCCTCAATGGCCTCCTAATCATTTTGGAACATTGACAACAACGCTAGCACAAGGGGAAAGTTCTACAAAGCTTACTTTAACTCTTGAAGGAGTTCCGTTGGAAGAAGAAGATCGTAGTCGTGATGCTTTGGATAGATTTTATATTGCCGGTCTCAAAGGACTGGGATTGGGAACGGGTTCTGTGATGTAATAGTGTCTTTAGATGAAATAGATGTTAGCTAAATGTACAGAAAAATCATAAACAAGCTTCAGTGTCCTTTTCATTGAGTGTGATTTGATGATCATGTTATGACTTGTGCCTGCATCTGTCTGTAAGATGTACTACGCGTAAACGGTCGGGAATAGAAGCAGAGTCTATACGCGGTGATGAAATGCAGCATAAGACTGTACACGCCTTTGTGTTGGTTAGATGCAAGAAGCTAAGAAACAACACCGCTGCAACATTTGATTAACCGCCATCATCAATTGCAATCCCTTACAATAATTCGAGAATAGTTCGTTCATATGATCGCAACACAAAGGCAAGGATGGACGATGAAGATGCAATAACAAAATCGCGCGATTTGCTGGCCGCTTTGGAACGTGGTAACAGTACACAAACTCGAATCTCAGCTTTGCAAAATTTGTATGCGTTCTTAGAACAGCAAGAAGAAGAAAGTGAATTACTAATTGACGTTCATGATGAAATCGTAAATGGTCTTCGAGCTCAGCTAAAGGTAGCCAATCCTCTCGTTACTGCAAAAGTACTCGGTGTTTTGCCAATTATCACTGACAGATTGACCGTTCGACAGGATGGACATTGCTTGCATCGGGTACGGTATGTGATGCAAACACTACTGCCACCCCTCCTCGCTTGTCTGGGTGATACAAGAGATCGATCTCGCGAAGCAGCAAAAGCCATCATTGTTCAAATTGCCAAAGCAGCTTCTGCAGTAACACCTCTAGCTGCAACAGCCGCAAATCACTCTTCTATCAGATCTTCACATGAAACACCATTCGCATTGTTTGAACGAATTGTGATCGAATCAGGTTTAACTTCAAAAGTAGCAAGAGTCAAAGAACAAATTACTCTCTTGCTTCCCGTTCTACGTCAATCGATCGAGAAATTCCCACTAAGGCCATTCTTACCTTCTTTGGTTGATCATCTATCTGATGCTGATGCTAATGTACGTGAAGCATCTCGAACGACTGTGATCTCATTGTTCTCAAACGCTTCGCCTACTGCAAAATCCGAGCTGAAAAAAGAGATGGAAAAGAAAGGTACACGGAAACAGACAGTTGATGCGATCCTTGAACAAGTCTTCAGCGCAAGTGTCCCGTCTGCAGAACCTGCTCATGAACCTGAGCATGCCGTTCGGAAGCCTCCGACAACCACTTCTTCAAATCGCTTTAGTACCCTCAACGCAGCATTGGCCGCTGAAGAGGCAGGATCAGGACCATCATCCCGAAGTGCATCGAGAAGTGCTTCACGTATGGGAGGTGCTGGCGATGCAAAGGAGAACGATATTCGACCGGTATACATCGCATCTTCGCATGAGCTCGACAGAGCGTTTGCAACAATGGTTCCACACTTTGATGGAAAAGAAACCGAGCACAATTGGCAGAATCGTGAACAAGATGTATTAAAAATACGTGGAATGTTGAAAACATCAACATATCACTCCCACCCTTCGGCTTTTGCAGCAGGAATACGATTGTTAAGCGAGGGCATTTTGAAAGCCGTTGCAAGTCTACGTACCACGCTGAGCATTCATGGTATCACACTTATTTCAGAGCTGGCTCAACAGATGGGGGATGATTTGGAAGCGCAAGCAGAGACGTTCCTTACCGCATTGATTCGCATGGCCGGTTTCACGAAGAAGATTGTTGCCAATGCTTCTCAGGCTACGGTAGGTGAAATTCTTAAGAACGTTACCTATCGTCATAAATACCTTGAACTTGTTGGTCAAGGAATGCAAGATAAGAACTTTGGTACGCGTGCAGCAATGTGTCAGCATTTGGATACCATCTTGAGCGTTCATGGCAAGCATCGCAAGCACGCTTTAGAAGGACATGGCGGATTGAATGCTATCAGCACTATTTGTAAGAAAGGTTTAGCAGATCCGAACAAGGACGTTCGTGCATCGGCACGTAATGCTTTCTATAGGGTTGAGCAAATTTGGCCATCGACAGCCCGGACGATCTTTGACAGTCTTGATATGAGCATACAAAAGCAAGTTGAATCCAATAGGTTACCTGCAGGCCAACCAATTCCTCAATCACCTGCACCCTCACGTACTGCTGCACCGTCTATTAGTGCGATTGCCTCACCTCGCACTCCGAGCAACAAAATTGGCCCTTCCAGCGCTCTTTTGGCTGCAAAGAGGGCGGCTGCAGCATCCTTGGCAAAAGAGAGAAAAGAGAAAGCAGAAAGGGAAGCACAGATTCAAGCGGAAAGAGACATGATGATGGCAGAAGATGAGGATGAAGAAGATTTGATGAGTTCGCCAAGTATAGGAGATTTGAACGATGAAGAATTGCATTCTACACCACCTTTGGTCATTCGACAGAAATTGGCACAATCTCCTTCGCCCTCGCCTGCACCGGTACCACCGAAATCACCCTTGCGCTCGCGTGCTTCTTCGGAATCGACGAAATCAGCTTCCGTGCAACCTCATTCAATTCCGTTGCCATCAAGTCCTGTTGGTAATCGTAGTGCTTCTCGTTCTGGCATTGCACGTCCGACGAGCTCTGTGATTGGTGCACGATCACGAACGACCAGTACGTCTTCCATGGCATCCAATAGGTCTGCAGGTCGTTTTGGTGCTTCGACCAATATGAATTACGGTAGTATCGCTCAACGATTCGAACAACAGTCTGCTGCATCAGTAAGCACGCCTGTGGCCAAAACTACAACCAATGATTCTCTACCGCATGCAGATCTTTCGACGGATGAATTCAATCGCTCCGTCAGAGTATCAACGCCATCTTCGCCTTCTCGTATTCCGATACGCAGTCCTCCGCGTGTATTGTCACCTTCTACGCCGGAGAAAGAAAGAGAGGCAACTGTTGCGGATACATCTACGATGAGCTTTGCATCATCTGTCCAAAGTGGTGCAGATACTTCTTATGGTCAAGTACCAAGTTCACCTACGAATCGGACTAAGCTGCCAAGGCCCGTTTCGATGATGTACTCAACTCCACCTTCCGGCAAAGCTGGAATGACTGCTCGACATTCTCATAGCCTTTCGACGGATATGTCACCGTCGCCATCTGCAAATGAATGGAACGAAGGCAAGGCAGCGAAAACACGATCTACACAGCCTCCACCATCAAATGGCAGCGAGAATGGCAGTTCGCCTTTCATTACACAGAAAGAACGAGGCTCTGCAGCAACAGAAAAGCCACCTTCAAAGCCGCCTACCTCAATAACTCGGACAGTTGTTCCTCCGGATGCAACATCAGCTGTCAAATGGTTCTTGGGTAAAGCGGATAGGCTTGAGAATGCCACCTTTTATGATGAAGAGCCAGATTATGCTAACCTCTCGCCCGTCAAGCAAAGACCTGAAAGTGATGGCTATGTCGCTCAACTGTATACTGGTTCTGCCACCTTGCGGACGTTTAAAGGATTGGTCTCGCTCTCAAAGGAATTCAAATTACCACAAAAAGGCGTCAAGATTATGCAAGAAGATGATACACCTTCTTTGCTAGGTTTAGATGCGGATGCAGGAGCGAATCGAGAGTATAGTATTGCGATTGAGATGTGGCAAGAAGGTTCTTTGTTCGAACGAATCTTTATTTCGTTATGCAAGTATTTGCGTTCGGAAGACATCATCACGGGAACATCAAAACAAGATTTGCAAACTGCAGCTTTGGTATTCTTGCATAGACTTGTGGAATTTCAATTCGGTCTTTTTACTGCACTAGACAAAGAACGTGACTTGTTGGACCTCCTGATTGATTTGATCAGAAGGAATCATTCGGGTCCTTCTGCTGCTGGAGTCAAGAGCGCTTGTCAAGCAATCGCAGATCGTTGGACAGATCAGACGGATGTGATTATTGGAGTGACAATGCTACGCAGTGTTCTTTCACAATGTATGAGTCTAGATGATGATGGTCAAGAGACAAATGGATCCGATGATACATCACAATCCAATGTGGCAGTTTTAACGTTAGCGTTACGTACGCTTGCTCGTTTGTTTGGTCGTTTGCCAGGCGAATTGGTGGAAGAACAATTGGAAAGATGCAAACATGTAGTGAAAAAAGGACTTAAACATCGTCAAATCGAAACACGACAACAAGCTGTTGGCGTTCTTGTTGCTGCTAATAGTAAAATTCGAGACCCGCAAAGTTTATTTGGTATTTTACAACCAATCGATAAAGCTCAACAAGATTTGCTCATTTATTACATGAATAGAGCATAATTGAAGATCATGTACATTATTATCTAAGCTCAGATGAAATTATAATTATAATGTATTTGTACAAACGATAGCCTTCTGGTCTGGTGGCTAGTACAGTTATGACTTCTGTTGCATTCGCCTGTGCCTGACGGTATGGATTCGTTGTGCGTCTTGGCTTTTTACGCGTTTAGCCTTCAGTGCATGGACCAATTAGAAGAAAAAGTGATACTTCTCCGCCAAGATAAACCTCTCGTTCTAATAGCCTCCTTCTTCTTCTTTGATGGTCTGGTCCGATCTATAACGAATGTCAGCTACATCAGCGGGACAACAAATTGCCCGAGCATTCATTTCAAAATCACATCATCCACATTTAAATTTATCGATCGAACATTATCTACTGCGTTCACAACCTGCAATAGTACCAGTTGCTTTTTTGTATCGTAATCAACCATGCATCGTTATCGGTAGAAATCAAAATCCGTGGCATGAGCTAGATGTGACACGGATGCGGGAACTTGGGATTCGTCTGGTACGTAGACGTAGTGGTGGAGGTGCAGTTTATCATGATTTGGGAAACACAAATTATAGCTTTCATATCGCAAGGGAGAAATTCACACGACGGACGCATGCTGAACTGATTGCAAGAGCGTTGAATAGCGATCCGGTCAACCTCAAAGCTGCAGATGCATCTGATGTTGGAGATACGAACAGGGGTGCTTTCGTCAATGATAGGAATGATATTTGCGTCGCTTTACGAAAATCAAAGACCGATAGACTGGAACGAAAAATATCCGGTAGCGCTTATAAGATCATCTCTTCACGAGCATATCATCATGGAACGATGCTTTTATCCGCCAATCTGTCTGATCTAGGTTCAGCATTGCGACCTATGCGAGCAGATATGGATAGCAAAGGTGTTGCAAGTGTTTCTTCGCCTGTCATCAATCTCGTCGAAGCTTTTCCATCTAGAAAATCACACTTGACACATGATGCATTTTGTCAATCAGTTCTTTCCGAATTTAAACGTACTTATGGTGGAGATTCAAGCGGCGTTGAATATTTTGATGATCATTTCATAAATGATGAGATCAAAAAAGGTTGGGAGGAAATGGATTCATGGGATTGGACTTTTGGTCAAACGCCAGAATTTACTCACAAAATCTCAAGTACTGGCTTCAAAAATCCCGACGTCGCACCTTTTACCATTAATCTGCATGTCAAGCATGGTAAGATACAAGAAGCAAACCTGAATGCTTCCGAAAGTCAAACCGATGAAAACCTACACAAAATTGTACAAAGGCTGAAAGGCGCTCGATATGATATCCTGGCCGATGCTCCTGATACTTTTGGCAAATCTGTCGAGAGCACTCCAGAAAGCGAATTATCGTATAACAAACAAGGAGCACCCCAGCGTGAAGCTGGAATCTTGACACACTTTCTCCCTTGGCTCAAAACTGTATTGTAAGGGTACAAAATTGTATTATCATCTAATGAAAAAAAACTACGAGAACATGAACAATTCATTCTTCTTCTTTGCTTGAACTTCTGCAATTCCGCCAACGAAGTGCTCATGGGATAATTCAGATGCTCCTTCACGTAAAGCAATCATACCCGCTTCTACACAAACTGCTTTCAATTGTGCTCCGTTCATCTCATCGGTAGAGCGAGCCAATTCTTCAAAGTTGACTTGACCAAGTGTCATTTTACGTGAGTGAATTTGTAAGATCATCGCCCGTCCTGCTTCGTTTGGCAGAGGGAATTCTACCTTTCTGTCCAATCTTCCTGAACGTAAAAGAGCGGGATCCAAGATATCGATTCTATTTGTTGCAGCGATAACCTTGATACGCTCATTCGAGCTGAAACCATCCAATTGATTCAAAAGTTCCAACATTGTTCTCTGCACTTCACGATCACCAGATTTGTCACTGTCAAAACGCTTCGTTCCGATAGCATCCAACTCATCAATGAAAATGATCGCTGGAGACTTTTCCTTTGCAAGCTCAAAAGCATCCCGAACCAATTTTGCACCATCACCGATAAACATTTGCACAAGGGAAGGTCCAGCCAATTTTAGATAACAGGCATTCGTTTGTGCAGCACATGCTCTTGCCAACAAGGTCTTTCCTGTTCCCGGGGGTCCATACATCAATGCTCCCTTTGGTGGTTTGATACCTAAGTTTTTGAATTTTTGTTCTTGTTGCATTGGCAAAACGATGGCTTCCACCAATTCTTCAATTTGTTTATCCAATCCACCAATATCTGTGTACGTCTCTGTCGGCCTTTCATCCACTTCCATTGCCTTCACACGACTATCGTATTCTGCTGGCAATTTATCGAGAATGAGATAAGAGTCTTTGTTCACACCGATCAGATCTCCTGGCTTTAGAGTATCTGCCGGTACCAAACCCACAATAGGAAGGAAGATCGTTTGACGGGTGGAGGTCTTGATGACTGCGCATTTTCCTTTTCTTCTTGAATCCAAATCAACATTTGCACCTTCCTCTGAATCTTCATCGATATCAGGATCCATCTCTAAAATTTCCACCACATTTCCTACCAAGTAAGGCAATACTTTGTTCTGTTTGATTTTTTCCGAATTATCCTTGATTTTTTCTTTCATCATGCTTTGTTCGTGCATCAATCGCATTTGCTCTGATCGCATGATTTTGATATCGTTCTCTAGCAATCTTGTTCTTGTTTGAATCTCTTCAGTTGTTGCTTTCAAGATTTCTTCTGGTAATTCAGGTTCTTGTGGCTTTACCTTTTCTTCCTCGGTATCCATCTTGTCTTCTTTTTTCTCATCTGCTGCAGATGAGGATGCAGCAGCAGCTGGTGTCATCTCTGAATCTGCCATCGTTGCTATGTAGACCGGACAGAGTCGTTGTGGTAATGAGGAGGCAAATGAATCTTGTAACGTCAGCATCGACAGGTCAACTTTGAATCAACACTCTTGTGTGTGTGTCTGTGTGTGGACTGTGCATCATCCCAGCGATTGCGCGGCTTTGAATTCAAATCCCTTTACGCGTCAAGAAGAACTGATTAAATAATCAACAGATCACGCATGCCGAACCATGGGTAAATTAAGATAGCCGTGGAGAATTCTAGGCACGATGGACTGACTGCTCGATGCTAAAGCACACAGTGGTGGTACAAATGAAGCGCTTATGTTGCCCACTTAATATTACAGTTATCTATTGTTCATCTACTCCACCAGACTTATGCTTGTTTGTGACGTTTCAAAGATTGATCATGATTGGATTTCATTGAATTGTTGTTCGGGATCTTAATGGGGCTACAAATCGCACTGAAAAGTGACTGAAGAGAAGTGAAAAAGAGGGAAAGAGAAAAAGGAAAGGTCTTCAGAAGAAGAGAATTTATTTGTGTTAAATGCTTGATGGAGAAATTGAAAAACTCTATTGTTGTGTTGTGTTGTGTTGTGTGTGTGTAGATATGCCGAAACTTGATGAGAAAGTAGAGAAAAAAAAAAGAGTTAAAAGCTAAAGAGGAGCATGTGAGCAAGAAAAGCCAAAGTAGGTGACATGCCTTTGATTGAGTAGCAAAAGAGAGAGAATCTTTCTGGCAGACTTTGCCGATTTCTTTGCAAAATCATTGATAGGATGACATGCCAGCATTTGAATGAGAAGGATTATTTGTCATCGTGGCAGCATTATTGCGAGTCGTTGTAGTATCCAGCAAACGCTCAATTGCGACAAGATGCTTGGTGTATCCACTTGAAGACCTTTTCAAATTATTCAGAACAGGTTTGATCAACATGACGAGCTTTTGCTTTTGTTGACCTTCAGCAAGTTCAAGGAATCTTTGCAAGACGTAATTACCATATTGATCACGCATCATTACAACGGCAGCAATCGGCTTCTCTGTTTGCATTCCAGTCTGATCAGGTGCCACGCCATAAGGCATAGTGGAAACCGAGCCGGGAACGGCAGAATGAACAGCAGTCTGTCGTCCCGGACCAGCACCTTCCATTTGAGGTTGAAGTTCAGAAGCGGGAACTTCAAGCATGATCTCTTCGATGAAATGATAGCGATCTTCTTCACTTGCTGCCGCAATGATAGATTCAACCACATTGCTAGCAAATTTGTGTTTTGACAAACGTAAAATGTTGCCTTTTGCCAATCGAATGATTCGATCCTTTTCGTTTCTGCCAGCCTTGCTGAGGATCCATTGTATGACATAGTTACCGTATTGGTCTCGCATCAAGCGGTCTGCATCCTCTAGCAATTCTTCCAGCAATGGTCTACTTTGGGCTTTATCGCAGAATTCAAAGATTCGTTGTAAGACCCTGCAGCTATAGCAATGGGCAGCAAGACTGTAGACATTTCCACGGAATGCCTGAGGGATATAGTCAATTTGACTTGTAGGCGAAACCCGCTCCAAGATCTTTTGAATGACATGATTTGCATTTTGATCACGCACGCACGGGATGATCTGGTCTCGCAATTCATCCGCAATGTTCAATCTCTCTTCAGGTTCAACGTAATCCAAAGCACGTTGAACGACTCGACATCCATAAGTGCTGAGCGACAAAGAATGAATTTGATTTCTCATACTTTCGACCAATTTGCTACGCATTTCGTCCGTTCCATTTTCGATCAACTTTTGAATGACATAATTTCCGAAAACATCTGTCATCAAAGCATTCGCTTTCGGATAGATCTCGTCAAAGATCAATTGCAAATCTTCATCAGAAGCAGATGTCAACTTTTCTTGTATAAATCTGCTACCGTGTTGATCGCTGCTAAACTCCACAACTGATCCAAGCACGTCATGCAGTTCGAATTTGCGTCCTCGATTTTGTCGCGTCCTAAATTCTTCAAGCAATGGCGATCGTTGTACATTATTCTCGGGCATATGCATTCGACTGAACGAAGATCCAAAAGACATTGATGATGGCGTACGTGAATGCATTCCTCTAGATGAAGGTGGCGTTGGACGGTACATTGTAGGTGAGCTTGGGATAAACGGGACCGTAGCCGGAATCGCAGTTCCATATGGGCCTGAAATCATTCTACGATGCATATTGGCTGTTCTTGGATCGTTCTGCGCCCAGTTTGGCGATTGGCCACCAACGTTTGCATAACCGTGTGCGAAATTTTGTCCTACGGGTGACGAGGGTGAAGCGGCCCACATTGGTGGTTTTTGAACACCAAATTGTTGCGGATTTGATGCTCCAAAAGATCCTTGCGAAATATGCGAGGTCTTGCGCTGATGACGATCAGAGTTGAATGGCATACCGGAAGGCAAAGGAGGCGATGCATTTGGATTGTACATCACTGGTGCCCCAGGAAGCGCATTTACTCCCATGAAATAAGGTATTGTTGCACCTGCACCTGCATTTGTTTGACCTTGATCCCCTCCACCAATCGTTCCACTCGATGAAACGGAATATGGAGGCCTTACCATCATTCCTGGAGGGCCAGTATTGTAACCGTACATGTACGATGTTGGATCAATCTGCTGCATTTGACCAGGAGCCAAATTGGGTGGCAAAAATGTTGGACTTTGTGGTACAGAACCGGAAGGAATTGACGGAGGACCGCTTGGCATACCATACGGCGCATAAGGATCCGGAGGAGTGGCACCCAAAGGAGATGATGAATCTGTCTGATGAATGCCTGCACCCGAATTTTGGGATAGTGGAGATGAGTATGGCGCTTGATTTAGCGGTAATTGATGCGCAGGATAGCCTGTAGCAGGATATTGCTGAACAGGCTGTGGAAATGCATATGTTTGTGGCGGTGGAAAGGGCATTCGCATCGCTGGTTGCTCAGCTTGCTGAATTTGCCCCATACCCCCTTGAAATGGTTGATGATATTGCTGTTGATATTGTAAGAATGCTTCTTGAGAATGTTCGGGCGCATTCATTGTGGCCAAAGAAGAGGCATCAGACGCCTGTGTTCCTTCTCCTCCTGGTTGGCCTTGTTGGTTGAATTGACGCTGCAAGTGTTCTTCACTTAAATGCTCATTCCCTTCGATGTTCAAGCCTGGACCGATTCCGGAATTTGATCGGCTCATCCGTTCAGCAGAGATATTTGTATGGGAAATTGAGGGTGATGTTGGCTGTCTTTCGGCTCCGTGTACATTTAATCTTGTACGATTTTCATTTGATATATCTTGTATTGCCAAATGCTGAGCCCTTTGTGTTAATTCGTCCATTGGATTCGTCTGTTTGATCAGAAGAATGTTCGCGTGTAATTTTCAAAAAGGATGACGGTATGGAAAAGAAAAGGTACAAAGATGATTCGATTGAAAGGAACCAAAGTAGCGGCATTATTCCCATTCCAGATTTGATTGAATGACCAAATGGATTGACAGAATCAATCGTTCATTGGGAATTGGGCGTAAGAGCGTGAAAATATGCAAACGCAGGTAAGAAAGGACAATGCGATTCATTATTTCATTTGAGCGGCGGCGACGGCGACGGCGGCGAATATTCGTTTTCGGTATATACGGAAAATGAACGTCATTGGCGTAAATTGAAGGAGGATGAAAAGGAAAAAAGAAGTGTCAGTAATACTATTATCAGAAAAGGCAGCATATATGCTCGCTTTTAATCGACTGTTGATGGCCTTTTTTTTCTTTTGATGATGGATTGCTGTTCAAAATCGGGGCAAGAGGCAAGTTTTCATCGCTAAGAAGTGCAACTCCATGGCGATTGCTCCTTTGTCCGCTCTTGACAATCCTGCTGAGCAATTTCGGCAGTAATCCAAAGAGTCCGAAACGCCATTCTCATTTATCTCTTACAGTCAGCAAGTCTCACGTACTCACACTTCCATTCCTTGAATTTTCCAGTGTAACAGTCGCGCCCGTCCAAGAACGGTTCGGTAATGATTCCAATCCGACAGCGTTCTTGCGTATTGGATAGGAAATCGAATCTGGATGATCTATATTGGACGAATGCGCATTTTGTGTTGCAGGAAATGGTCTTTCAAAAGCAGAAGGACTTGCGGTCATTGCTCTCTTTCCTGCAATAGACAATGGATCATCTAAAGGTCCATCTCCCGGCGTATTCAACGGACTTGCGGTCGTTGTTTCGGCTCCAATGGTATTTGCATCAATGCTACCACTTATGCTACGCATACTTTGAGGTCTTGTGCTCGGTAATGATGATTCACGCGAGGCGGGCGCATTGGAAGAAGCACTTCTGGTTAATTTGGTGAAATTTGGAATTGGACTCAGTCCGCCTCCGATTACCACTCCGCCGTTTCGATTTGTCATGATTGGATTTAATGGATTAAATTTGGACTCCATTTCGTCGTTGCATGGCATGGCTTTTGGTTGTAATTCTGAGTTTGTATAGAGTGAGTCGCCAAGACAATCCTTTTTGTTTTCGGGCCGTACTTTCAATGTTCTAAATGATGTGATTCTAGAAGATTGCAATGCAATGCATTCCTACAGCTACTAAGCTGTAATGACAATCTTCAAATCGGACATGAAGTCAAGAATGTCTTGATAGACTATTGTCAGAAGTCGTCGTATTTGAGAGAGATGATCACAGTCACGATTACAAGTTTGATGGCGAATTGAAGCCAAACAGATAGCAGTAGCACGGACATGTACGTACATCGATCCCTTTGTATGACATTGAATAACAGGCACTTTAACAGCCTCGGCATTCCAAGCAGCACTGCAATCTCCAATGCTGCATAGACCTGCATCTATTTCCAAAAATCACAATCACGTCTTTTAGTGTGAATGCAAACACCCAACACACACACAACCCTTGATTCCATCCCGATAATTAGATCGCTTTACCAAGGGTGTCAAGGCACTGGTTTCCATAGAAATGCTCAGCTTCAAAACTTACACACACGCAGCGGGCTGGCTAGCGTGTATTTTATTCAAACGTTCCATATTGAGAAACGTTGTGCTTATATAACGTGAAGTATGGCTTTATCATTGGCGATACGCGTTTAATTAACACGAGAACAACACTTCTTGCTGAGTGATACTGTTTGATTCAATATCATCATCACCATCATCATGTACAAAAACCGCATTCAACAGTCATGAAAGTGAAGCGCAAAAATGAGAATATTGTGTGTAGCAGAAAAGCCTTCGATTGCTAATTCAATCACAGGTATTCTATCTTGCGGCGGTCATGTGGATAGAGAAAATGGAAGGGACAAATACTGCAAGAATAATCACTTTCAATACAAATTACCGCCCAATCATACAGTCAGAATCAATGCAAGACCGGTCCCACCTGGCATGATTGATGTCACGGTAACAAGCGTTCGTGGCCATGTGATGTCATGCGACTTCGGAGAAGCTTACAAATCATGGCGTTCATGTCCACCTGCTGATCTTTTCAAAGCTCCAATTGAAATCAATGTTACAGATGATGCAAAGCATATTGCCACAAATCTCAAACAACAAACGAGAAATGCCGATTTGTTGATGATATGGACCGATTGCGATAGGGAAGGAGAGCATATAGGATCGGAAATTGTCAACATCTGTCGAAGCACAAAGAGAACACTACCTGTTCTAAGGGCCAAATTCAGTGCTATCATCGCCGAACAAATTCATCGAGCTATGCAGAACCCTATCGAATTGGACTGGAATGCTGTCGCTGCGGTTGATTGTCGACAGGAATTGGATCTTCGTTTAGGCGTAGCATTTACCCGTCTCCAGACAGTACGACTACAGAACAAATTTAACGAACTGGATAAACTTGTGATCAGCTATGGTCCTTGTCAATTTCCAACTTTGGGATTTGTGGTAGAGCAATATTGCAAAGTAATGGAGTTCGTTCCGGAACCGTTTTGGTATATCGCAGTGATGAAGAAGCGAAACGATGTAGAAGTAGACTTCCGTTGGTCAAGAAATCATCTCTTCAAAGAAGAAGATGTTACTGCGATCTTTCAAAGATGTATAGCCAGTCCTGAAGCGACAGTGACAAAAGTTACTACAAAGGACACACGGAAGTTCAAGCCTTCTCCTTTGACAACCGTAGAACTTCAAAAAGCGGGCGGAAGGCTGTTGCGCATGGCTCCGAAGAAGGTTCTCGATATCGCCGAGAAGCTGTACCAAAGAGGAATACTCTCTTACCCTCGTACAGAGTCGGATCAGTATGACCCTGCATTCGATTTCAATACCTACATCGATAAGCAGAAGCATCATCCAGATTGGGGCACCTTTGCTTCGAATCTTGTAAATGATCCAAGATGTTTTGAGAAACCGGTAAACGGAAAGAAGAACGATAAAGCACATCCGCCGATCCATCCTACAAAGCCTGCTATTGACCTAACCGGAGATGAAAAGAGGGTTTACGATTTCGTTACGAGAAGATTTCTGGCCAGCTGCAGCAAACATGCTGTTGGTAAGCAAACCAATATCGATCTCAATATTGCTGCTGAAATATTCTCAACAAATGGTATCATTGTTCTAGAGAGGAATTACTTGGACGTTTATCCTTTTGACACATGGGGTGGACCGGCATTGCCGGAATTTCGTCAAGGAGAGCGCTTTACGCCGGACAAAATTGAGAAAAAAGAAGGAGAGACAACAAGGCCAAAATTGCTTACCGAAGCAGACTTGGTGTCATTGATGGATAAAAACGGAATTGGAACAGACGCAACAATTGCTGAACACATCCAGAAAATCATCGATCGACAGTATGTCATGTTGATGCCTGAAGGTCAAATAAAATATCTTGTTCCTTCAACGCTTGGGATGGGATTGGTTTCGGGTTATAACAAGATCGTTGATCGCGAGGAGAAGAGCTTATGCAAGCCAAAATTGCGGAGAGAGACGGAGGAAAACATGGGTCTGATCTGTGAAGGCACACGAACGAAGGATGAAATCGTGCGCGAGAGTCTAGAGGAGTATTTTGGGGTGTTTCAAGATGTTGAAAACCATTTCAATAGGCTTGAGGATTGTATGAACAATTATCTTCGAGGACCCTTGGACGAAGCTGCACAAGCGGAAGCATCTTCTACCTCGGAACTTCAAGCTAGGCCTGAGCAAGAGCACAGAAGTGAGACTTTCAACATAAATGCCGTGAATGTTGGACAGCAGAACAGCCACACGAACGGGCGTATCGAAGTGATAGATTTGGACGATGATGATGATCTAGACGAGGCTTTGCTGATTGAAGCCTCAAATCTTGCTGAAACCCAGCAGCAGGCCCGTTCCGCTTTATCCGCAATTCCATCAGGAGTAGGAAGATCGAATGGCGCAGGGATGGGAAGGTCGAATGATACTGGAGCGGGAAGTTCGAATGGCGCACGAGAGGGAAGGTCGAATGGCACACGGCGCACATTCGAATCCGCATCAGATGATCTTGCCGAAAACAAACCTCTCTGTCGATGTAATCAAGAAGCAACACAAAAGGCAGTGGTCAAAGATGGGCCGAACAAAGGAAGGTTATTTTGGTCTTGCGCAAAGATACAAAATGATCCCGGAAATTGTCAATTTTTTCAATTTGCCGATCAAAATCCTGTTGAAAATGGGGGAATTAGGAGCAGCAACAATTATGGCGCTTCTTCTTCCACTTCTAGAGCAGGCGCAAACTCGAGCTCGAGCTCACGTAGATGTTTGTGTGGTCAAGAAGCCAAACAGCTAACAGTGACAAAAGAAGGATCGAATAAAGGTCGAAAGTTCTGGTCTTGTCCCAATATGGACAGATCGGCCAAGTGCGATTATTTCGAATGGGATGAAGATGAAGGCGGCAGTGGGAACGCAGGTGAGAGCTCTGATGGTCGATCATGCTACAATTGCGGTCGAACGGGACACTGGTCAGCGCAATGCCCTCAGAATAAAAAGAGAGGTAATTCCGGTCACAGTGCAGCAAGACCATCCAAAAGGGGAACGAATAAATCTTCTTCAACATCGAGAGGGAGCTGTTACAATTGCGGAGAGGAAGGACATTGGAGCAATGATTGCCCTTCGAAACGGTGAGCAAGAATGTATTTTAATAATCACAAACATCATTTGTACTTTTCGTGTCATCTTGGATTTTTCCTCAATAAGCTGTAACTCTACCAACAAAATTAATGGTTTTAAACATTTCGATGTATTTCTAACATGGGCAGATGAAGGTTTCATATCTATAATAAAAGCAACATTTAGCAGTATACAATATATTACCATTGAAAAAATCCAGAGAGGTGATACGAAATAAGGGGGTGTCTCGGGTAAATGGGCGCAAATTTGGGAATTTCTGATTTTTAAGTAGTTCATGAAGACGTATCCATCGAATTTGAATGTCCCATCACATGGCCAAAAGGTGCCAATTGATCGGATTGAAAGATTTGAGTATTTTGATGATTTTGCATGTGTTGTTGCAAAGCAGCAACGATGGCAGCTTGATGAGGATTTTGTGAAGGATCAACCATTTGATCTAAACCAAGAAGACCGTTCATGTTATGACCCATACTTGCAGCAGCTCCTGCAATACTTGCAGTCAAAGCAGGCATTTCCGGCGGAATAGGAAGACCAAGTCTCGAACGCAATTCCATAATCTCTCTTCTGCATAAAGCCAAATCTCTATCACGTCTGCCCATTCGATGTTTCAAACGGATTAAGTATTCGTTACTGTGACGTAATAGGGCTACCTTGCTGATTGCACGATTGGCAATTCTTGCACTTTCCGCATCTCCAACCTCTTCCAGCCCAAATCCTTCCGCATCTTGATCTTCTATGTAACCATCAGGCCCTAACATTGAACCACCGGGAACGTCATCATCCAAAGTGATTGCGGGCAACATGCCACGTAATTCATCAAAACAGAATTTCAAACTGTCACGTCTCTTTTGCTCGGCTGCTTTGTGCGACGTTCGACGTGATTCTAATCCGCCGCCTCCGGATGACTTCATGGTTGAAGCCCATGAATCACGATCCTGGTTTGATAATCCGCCAGGTAAAATATTTTGCAAAGAACCAGAATCTGCAAATGAGACTTGCTTGCCATTTCCAGATTCATTGCTGGATTTGTTTGAGCGACCTTTTCCATTGACATTTACCTTACCATCTTCTCCTTTTCCACCCTTTTTCTGGTTTGATTGAATTCCCATTACGCTACTTGGCGTCATTGGTTTGCCATTCGGAGGTGGCATTTCAATAGGAGATGGGGTAGAATTGGCTGTCTCACTTGGCGATGCATCCATTGGCTTTGCACTTCTGCTACCAGCCGAAAGAGGAGGGAATGCTTGTGGTGTTTGCTTTCCATCATTTGATTCGGACTGCGAAGTGCGTCTTGAGGTTGGCGCTGAACCATTTCGACTTCCATTCCCTGACACAACGGGAACATTTGGACCAAGAGGGCTTGCCATACTACCCGAAGCTGATTCACCACGCTTTCTTGTTTGTGTAGAGGATGTAGAGGAGCCAACAGTCGGCTTGACGATAGGACTTGCTCGTGCACGATTTGCGCGTGCTTCAGCAGTTGTACTTCGATTCTTTCGTGGAATACTCTTTGTCGGATTCGTGTTGGGACTTGCACCTGGAATTCCACGACCTTTACCTCTACCTTTCATTTGTGTAGGTCCATGGAAAGGAGATAATTGCATAGCAATCATTCCGTCATGTGAATGCATTTGAGGATGCAAAGCAGGTGATGTTAATGGCGAGAACAAGTCTGCGCTTGTTGCTGTACTGCCAACATTGGAAAACACACTGGCAGGTGTGATAGCAGGTGATTCAAGCGGGGTGAATGAACCAGCCATCATGTTCCCATCTGCCATACTACGTTGAGGATCCATGATTTGCTGCATTTGCGAACTTCCAGGAATGTTCAATGGTGAAACAAATGGTGCTTGCCCACGACCAGTTTGAGAGAAAGCACTGGAGGAAGCTGGCGTAATGAGACCGTATTGGTTCATCGCAACACTCACGCCCATCGTTTGTCCTGGCTTACTTTGATTGAGGAATGCACCATGTGAAGGCATTGATCCGGTAGCAGATGAAGATAATTGCGGAAACGGCGGAGAGAAGATTTGGTTCCCTCTGTTTTGAGGTGACGGTTGTTGCTGAGATGATAATTGTTGGAATTGTTGCATCAACTGAGATGCGCTCAATGCACCCGCGGCCATGGCTTGCGATTGTTGTTGATGAGAACTTCCATCGTTGTGAGGATTGGTGGATTGTCTCTGCAATGCTTCCAATTGTTGTCGAAGGAAAGCGGTTTGAATACTTTGAGCGCGCTCCATTTGTTCTTTCTCTGTCAATAGCTTTTGTAATTCGCCAATGGACAAATTACCGTCTTGAATTTGTTGTTGATGCTCTTGTTGGGAAAGACTGGAAGCATTGATCGATTGCAAAAGGCCTTGCAAATCATTCGGATCTAAAGACAAGCCTGAGTCATATCCCATTGCATTACCACCTCCGCCATGACTACCATTGCTGCCATCAGTACTGCCACCACCGTTGACAGAGATACCAGAGGATGCACCGGTAAGATCAGTGCCATCAGTATGGTTCATCGTAGGAAAAGCATGTGGGCTTTCATGACGGCTATTGGTGGCTGCTTGTTGCAAAACTTGTTCACGCATAGATATTCTAGGCGATGAATATTGATTGCTTCTTGGACTTCCGGCAACGCTATTGTTTGATGATCGATTACCGCCTGCATTCACATTGTGAGATTTTGAACGAGAAATAGACGGCTTTTGACCATGGCCGAAAGATGTGCCTTGAACGGGAGAAGCCTGACTACCTCCTGCTTGACTGGCTGAAGAATTGTTCTGTACATTTACGGTACCGTTGTGATTATGAAAGATTGCTAAATCATCCAAGCTTGATGGCAAGGAAAAGTCGGCGCCGAAATCAAAAGAATCGATGTTAAAATTGTGAGAAACAGGCGTTGAAGAAGAAGGTCCTCCTCCATGAACGCTGTAGGGTGAAGACGTTGAGACTTCTTCGCCCATGCTGTGACCTGAAGCTGCAGGAGCAGTTGCTTGAGCTGTCATTCTCTGGTTGTGAAGTCTCACCTAGTCGAAAAAGGCGGATGAAAGCGTTTTGAGTTGAAAAAGAGTATCGTTGACTTCAAGCGGATGGAACGTAGAAGGATGATAAAGTATGGTAGAAAGAGAACTCCCTTTATATCATGACAATTTTTCCAAATCTTTAAAAAGCCTGTGCAATAATCCCTTTTTTATTTGGTAGACGGTAAAATTGGCGTAGAGATTCGAGTATTTGGTTATAACGACTTCGCAAAACGTGATCGTTCGACAGAATGTGGGGCGAAAGAGATCCGGAGGCTGTGTGTGGATGCACAGCAGCTGTTTCAATGACGATAAGCAGCTCGAGTGATAAAGATAGGCGGATAATAAGCTCGAAAAGAAGATGGATGTTGATGAGTTTTGATCGTTTTATTTCGTCATCAAAATATGAACTCTGAGCGATCTTATCCTGACTTTACTGTTACCAAAGTGATTGCTGTTTCACCGTGTCGAGGATGGTGATGGTGTTTGTCGGAAAAGCGAGACTGACGTTGTGATTTCGATTGAATATGTTGGCCGGTAATCTTAAGCAAGAGATGTACGGATCGACTTTTCTTCGAAGGATCGTCAGAAGAGTGTCAGTCTAAGTGTAATCCGATCGAAAGCAACCAAGCAAGGAAAAAAGAAAACAAAAAAAAGTGTTTACAAGACAAGTGCCCAAAGCCCAAATAGAAATCCGCTCTTCTGTTGCCTTGCCCGAGTTTTTTAGTCTATTGGCTCCCTATCCGTGCGCCGCTGCGTTTGCATTATTATTTTGATTTTGGTTGGGCGGAGGCGCCTTTCAAACGGGCATTTGAGCCTGGGAAAGTGTACTACCAGCAGTAGTGTAATGCATAAAAATTTCCTTGTTTTATTGTTTTTGTTTTCAATAGCCGGGGCAAAAGAACAGTGAATTGTTTCACGCGTATCTTTTTTTTTTTCGCATTAACTTCGCACGAACTCTTAAGCGGATGGAAAAAACGGTCGGAAAAATTCCAACGGGTTGGAAGGGTTACTACTACAGTTGAAAGGTGACTTCTCGCTTCTTAACATTATACTAATTAAAGCGTTGCTCCATGCATAATCATTATTTCCATACCTTATGGTTCTATGTATGTAGGTACATACATGAAACAACCTCACACGACCAAAATGGCTAATGATTCAATCATTTCAAATTGAACAAAACACTCTTTCTTGAGTGGCATGCACGAGCAGAATACAATACAGTGTGATGATGCGTTATAGAGATATATGTGCGTATGTGTGAGACTGCGGGAAGGATTGTAATACGTTCAATGGCCATTCTGCAAATTGTGTTGGTAAGCATCAATTTGAACATTTCCATCGTTTGTCTCGTCTTTTGAGGCAAGCTTCGTATCCAACCCTTCTTCCTTCATTCTCACGTCATTTGGTGCTGCGATCGATTTGATCGCAGTTGTTTCTCCGCTTTGAGGTTGTCGCATGACCGCTTCTTGCGACGGTACAGCCTCAGGTATTGCGGGTTGATAGGTCGTTCTCTCTTCTTCTTGTTTGATGATATTCGAAGCTAATTGCGGCTCTGGTACTGCCTTTTGAGGAACAGTAGAGGGATTTGATGGGATCGTAGGGGGTGTTTGCAATCCTTCCGTAGGACCTTTCGAGTTCACTAATGGCGAAGAAGCAGATCCAACAGTCGACAACGGTGTGCCTCTATTCATCGAAAAAGACGAAGAAGCTCCTGGTCCAGCCAAAGGTGAAGATGCAGATCCCACCATCGGTCTGCTCATCGAAACCTTTCCGCTTCCCCAACGTAAATTCTTGCGAATTGGCTGACCAGGTACTACGCCAGGACGACCGTTAAATGTGACCGGCGGTGGGCCTGCCAGAGGTGAAGCATTTCGAGCTGCTGCTGAACCTGCCGGGGAGCCAGAAATCGATCTTGCAGGGCTCACACTTCTGTCCGACAAAGGTGGAGAAGGGGCTTGATTGTCATTTGTAGCGTTCGAGAGAAGTTGCTTTGGCATGACATTGTTGGGAGTAGGGTTGGAGCTGATACTGTCTGTAGAAGGTGCTGTCGCAATTGTCGAGCTAATATTCGATTCAGACAACCTACGACCTTCCTCAGCGATTTGTCGCTGACCTGATGCTTTGACGGAGGGTGGCGTTGCACTTCTTTCATCCTTTGCATGTTTGGGCGAAGAAGAAGACATCAAGGCTAAAGGTGATCCAACATCCCTGGGCGTTCGCTTTCTGTTTCCTCTGCCACCTTCTTCTACACCTGCACCCCATGCCATTGCCAAATTCTTGACAGAAGTTCGTTGTGGTCCATGCGTAGCAAGAGAGCTTGTTTGGGCTGATGAAGAAGGCGTACTTCTGGCGGAAAGATTCTGTTCGTCTGTGTTCATTGCGTTGTTCGCAATCTCCTTCTGAGAATTGAATTTGGGGATGGATGTCTCAGATTGGCTATGCTGTCCAAGAGAAGGACCAGATTCAACTTCAGAATAATTCGGGAATTTAGCATGAATGTCGGAGACCGATCGCATCGGTGCATCGGGAGGCGATCTGATCAATTCATTCTCTCGATTTGCAGTCCATGTTGATGCATTTGACATATCGCTTGCCGTTCGTCGATGTCTTCCATTGCCGGCAACTTTGACAGTATCAGAAAGAGATTCGAGTCCATTTGCTCTAGGCTTACGTGCCCTCTTGTCTCCTGTTGGAGCGCCCCAGAACATGGCCAGAGTCTCAGTCTTGGCATGTTTACCAAGCATCTTCGGTCCGCAAGGCCGATCGTCAGAAGCCGATGATGATTCATTACTGGCAGCAGACGATGCAGTCCTGCTCATTGCACCTTCATTTGTTGCTGAAACAGAAGTGAGATCTGACATCTCGTCATCTTCATCATCCGCAGCGGCATTCGCGGCATTTATGACCGGCACTTCCTCATCTGAGGCTATCCTCTTCACACTTGGTCTGCTCGTTTTTGCTGGTCGGATCAAAGATTTGATACTTTCTTCCACTTCATTGTCGGAGCTTTCCGGAGCAAGTTTCGATTTCTTCTTACGACCATTAGAATCCGCGTTAGATTGAGATGTTCGCCTTTTTGTGTTGTTCACTTTTACCTGTCCATCAGGTTCTGTGACATCACGCATCGGACTCAACTTCACAGGCGTTTCCACATCAGAAGTACCACTTAGACCAGGCGAAGCAGTGTCCAAAAGCTTCCGCTTTTTGTTTTCTGCATCGACCTTTTCCCGTTTGCTTTTCCTTTCGGTGTAGATTGCGCTCCATTTTGGTTCAGTGGGCGTCCTGCCTGGCCAATCACCTTGATAAATCTTGAAATGCCTTTCGCATCTACGACACTCATCCGGTAGCCACCAAGCTTCAGGCGCCCAAAATGCTGATCCGCACGTCAGACAAGTGCACTTTGGACCAATGTGCGTAGATGATAGCGGATCGAATTCTCGATCTGAAACATGATGTGGAAATGTCTTCTGAATGACTTTACCATTCTTCTCGATTTGCATAGTTGTAGGTTCTTTCTTGACAGCTTTGGGAGGAGGACTCTTACCTTTACGTGAAGAGGAACGACGGGGTGCAGCTTTAGTGGTAACATTGGTTTGTGCGTCTTGGGTGTCGACAACGCTCGGCATAGCAGACTTTGCCAATATTTCGCTTTCGCCTTGCTCAATTGTCTTTTTCTGCGAGGCAAAGATACCTTCCCCGCGCGATTCGCAAGTTCGACACATGCACTCTGCATTTCCCACTTCGAAGTAATTGTCTCCATAATAGGTTGTAATTTCTTCGTTCAAGCCTACATCACGTAGGCATCGGAACACCATTTGCGATTGACCAAGCCTGTGAAATTCACAATTTGGATCGCAATCATGATTGACGAACCTTGCTGGACCTAGCAGAAGTTGGCTACAGCCTTTACGAGCGCTACGGATGACGGAGAAATCTCTACCCGGACCCAGTACACCTCCGTATTGTTGTTCTTTCCTTCTTTCTCTGCTGAGAGCTGCTTCTTCTCGAAGAGCGTCATCTTCCGTCTTGGTCAGATCCTTCACACCACCTTTGCACATGATCACAAGATCACCAGCTTTGAAAGGTTTCGTTGCTACGACGCATAAATCTGCCATTGATGTGCCGAGTGATTCGCCATTTTCGGCTCTCAGCTTACCTCGTGCGACAGAAGATTGAGAAGCAGCTTGACCTGCGGCAAGAGCTCGTGCTTCTGCTTCTGCATGTTCTTGTCCAGCTTTGGATGTTTCTGCGGAACTACTTGTCATTCTTGATGCTCTCTTGTAGCGTGTTGTCAGAGCAAACTCTACACCACTTTCTGGCATATACGTTTCCAGGTAGCGTTTTGCGTGCTGCTGAAATTCATATCGTTGACGGGATGATTTTGTGGATAAATGCTTGCGGATGACATCAATACTACATAGAGTTTCAACAGCACCGGCCAAGTCTGCATCAATCACAATCTTTTGACGAACGATATCTATGATTTGCTGTGTTTTATAGCGTGGCGAACGATATGCTTGATTCATCTTGTGCGTTGAAATCTTTGGCTCAAACTCAAGAGAGTCCAAGAGCATATCGGACAGCAAATCATCATCTGTCGCAATGTCTTCCATCTTGACCTTACCCTTCTTGGGTGTGATGAAAGTGTTTGGACACTCTATTTCCTTTGATAATTTCGATGAAGTAGACTGAATTGAATATGTCCGATCAGGAAAGATTTGTCCGGGAAAAGAGTTTGTTCATCACTTTTGCGTTCGTCATCGGATAATGGTAGAAAATGAAATGGCACACAAGTAGGTTGTTTTTTGAGGCGTCTATGCCAGCCTACTTTGGCGATTGAATTTGTACTCTCACTTAATTTCTTTGGATGAGACAGAAACAAAAGCCGCAGCAGCAATGACTAGGATGTTGGTGGAAGGAAAGGAAAGTAATTGAGTATTCCGTTAGAGTACATTGAGCGAATGACACACTTCAGGAGAAGAAGGGCCCTATTATGCCAGTAAGACAATGTAACGCGTGCGCTCGGTTTCTAGACTACATGTGCCCTTTTATGGAAAAACTATCTCTGTCTGTCTTTCTGTCAGCGCTAAAGTGCTCGTTGCCCGCTTAAACACACTTCCCGTTTTACAAATGCGTGCGTTTGTGTACCACATGCGTGCATACACTTACTACATACAACCTTTGGCTGGAGTATGGTTCTTCGGTGAAATTGAGAAGAAACACTTTTTGAGCATGGGAGTCCATCATGACACCTATAATATTATCTTGTGACATTGTTAGTGCGATATCTTGAAGGACGACTCGATGTCCTGTGTGAGGAAGAGGCCATCATCGCGAATCGGTAAATGTGCCGACGTATCCGTTCCGAAGGGTAAAGGCGTTTCTAGGTAATTTTACCAGTCAATTATCGGAATATGACGATAAAGGCGGCAAAGGGAGTGATTTACAAGCAATCGATCTTATCAGCGGGGAAAGTTGGTCATCCACTAACGATCGGTGCTATGGAAAAGTAGAATTGACTGTGAAATCATCTATTTTTAATGTTAATTGTGATACTAATGTACAAATAGTGTGATAATCCAAATGGGTGCACACAATCAAACACGAACACCAGTGTTACTTCTGTTTGCCGTGGCCAGTTTGTGAACGTCCAATTTACGTGTGACTGCAGCACTACTTCCTTCCAAAACGGCAATCATCTCTTTTGCCAATCGGAGTGATAATTTACTATCGCTTCTCTTTTTGCTTGCTTCAATGATGGCGATTATGCCTCTTCTACGTGATTGATTTAAGAAAAGAGCAATTGGAACTTGTGTATTCTTTCCTCCTTGCTTTCTTGTTTGCAGTCTTACCAGTGGGGATGCGATTTGAATTGCCTCTTTCACAGCAGGTAGTGGATTTGCATGCATTGCTTTAGACATATGATCTAGCATATCCAAAATATGTCTTGTTGCAGTTGCTTTCTTTCCATCTTTCATCAAATTGTTAATCAATGATTTCAAGATCGGATCGGTTCGTAATGGCACATTTGTCAACGAATATCCCGAAGGTGCTAATGGAGGCGTTTGAACATGTCTTGCAGCAATTTCTTCCGTTGGTACGACTTTGCTTTGTCCTGAGAGTACACCTGTATTATAAAAAGGTTGCTTTGGCAATTGAACCCCCTTCTCTCGTGATGCTCCCGCATTGTGCACAATTTCCATTAATTTTGATGTACTATTTCCTCTTGTTCCCAAATCTTCTGCCGTACTGCTGTTCTTTGGCTCTCCGGACAAAGTATCCACATCCGGTCCTCCTGCTGTGTTTGGAGAGTCCTTTCTATGCTCTCTAGCTGGACTTGCTTCATTATCGCCAGCAATTCTGCAAACTGAACTTGAGCTAATTCCTCTCTGCCGTATTATTGATTGAGATGAGACTGACATCGTTCGCATTCCATTTGTAAGACCTCTTAAGAGACCATTGTGATCTGCATTGCGTAATGTCGAAGCCATTATGTCCACCTTGTCGCTATCGTGTGATGAAGAAGAAGTAGATATTTTTTTGATGGCCTGCATTTTGTTATTCATAGCACTCACTAAAAATTGATCTAAAGCGTGCACGTGCAATTGAAAAGCAAATGGAGAGATTTTTGTTGGCTTTGCGCTTTGGATGCATTACACGCAGGCCCGCTAAAGGGTTTAACTGCAAGAGAGAGGGAGAGAGAGAGCCGAAAGGGCCTGTGCCCCCATTCAAGTGCCCGAAGGCACACACAAGGCTCTCTTAGTTGTCGTCTTGGCTTTGTAGAACGCGTTTCTCTCAATGAAGAATTTCATGAAAATGCACACCAATGTACTGGAATCCATTCTTGCTTTCAATCATATCGAATCACCATCATCGATACAATTCTCGAGTAGAGTATTCATTCGTTCATATCGTATATCGCCATAGAGGAGCAATTGACATTCGATCGTACGTAAGCAGGCAAGCACGCACGACACTAAAGGAAGACGTCGCTCATTCGTCAATTGTGCTCGAACCCTACCCTATCGATCACACATTTCGTTCAAGTGGTCTGTTATCCTTCTTCGAGCTTAAATTGGGACTATCAAAAGTTCAATGATCCGGCAGAGGTGAAGACGAGGTCGTAAATAGGACTTTTGGAAGGGCGTACTTTACTCTAGCGCTCCCTAATAGACAATTACTTGGGCGGCTTACGTTCATTCCCCATAAGATCAACATATCACCATGGACCCACATCTAGATCCGTCTACGGCTGTTGTCAGTCCGGTAGACGAACAAGTATCAACACCCATGGAAGTTGACGAACCTGTTTCTGTTCTTGATGAACGTGCATTTGCAGCAAAGCATTTGGCGGATCTGGGTCAGGAAGAGGAAGATTTCAAAGTTTTGCATTGGGATGTTACCAATTGGAGCACACAAGAGAAACGTATAACAGGACCGGAATTCGAATGTGGTGGACATAGATGGAGAATTCTACTCTTTCCCTTTGGAAATTCAAACGGTCAACCAAATGATATGGTTTCCGTTTATCTAGATTATGCAGACCCAAAAGGAAGTCCAGAGGGATGGCATGTATGCGCACAATTTGCTCTAGTGATTTCCAATCCACAAGATCCTTCTGTTTCCTCTTCAAGTCAAGCCCATCATCGTTTCACTGCAGAGGAAATGGATTGGGGTTTCACACGTTTCAACGAATTGAGAAAATTGAGCGTGGCCACCGAAGGTCGTCAACGCCCAATCATCGAAAGGGAATCAGCGCGTGTTTCAGCTTTCGTTCGAGTTCTCAAAGATCCAACAGGCGTACTTTGGCATAATTTTATCAATTACGATTCAAAGAAAGAGACCGGCTACGTTGGACTAAAGAACCAAGGTGCAACTTGTTATATGAACTCTTTATTACAATCTCTCTTTTGCACGCCTTACTTCCGCAGGGCGGTCTATCAAATTCCCACAGAGAACGAGCAGCCATCCGAGAGTGTCGCACTGGCTTTGCAAAGAGTATTTTACCTTTTGCAAACGTCCGATCAACCTGTAGGAACGAATGAATTGACCAAATCATTCGGCTGGAAATCGCTAGATTCGTTCTTGCAACATGATGTTCAAGAATTTAATCGGGTTCTGCAAGAGAAGCTTGAAACAAAAATGAAAGGAACGATCGCTGATGGCGCTATCACAAAATTGTTCGTTGGAAAGATGAAGAGTTATTTGCGTTGCGTCAATGTGGACTACGAATCTTCACGTATCGAAGATTTCTACGATATTCAATTGAATGTCAAGGGAATGGCAAATTTGGAGGACTCTTTCCGCGATTACGTCGAGGTAGAAATGCTAGAGGGTGATAATAAATACCAAGCTGAGGGCTACGGATTACAAGATGCAAAAAAGGGAGTTATCTTCGAGAGCTTCCCACCTGTTCTTCATCTCCAACTCAAGCGCTTCGAGTACGATATTGAAAAGGATGCCATGGTCAAGATCAATGATCGACATGAGTTCCCTATGGATATCGACTTGGCACCATACATCGACAAACAATCGTCAAAGAAGAATGAGAACTGGAAATATAAACTACATGGTGTTTTGGTCCATTCCGGTGATCTACATGGTGGTCATTACTTTGCTCTTCTAAAGCCAGAACGGGACGGAAAGTGGTACAAGTTTGACGATGACCGCGTAACACCAGTGACTGACAAAGAAGTTTTGGAAGACAACTTTGGAGGAGAGATGGCAAATGGACATCTTGGCGGCGTGGCTCGTGCTCCTGTTCGAGCAATGAAGCGTTTCACAAATGCGTACATGTTGGTCTATGTCCGGGACGCAGAAGCTCCTGAGATCTTGAAACCATTTACTGTTGAGGACACGCCTGCACATCTTCGCGAAAGGTTGGAACAAGAACGCATTCAGTTGGAGGCAAGAAAGCGGGAGCGTGAAGAACAGCATCTGTACTTGACAGTCAAGGTGATCAACGAAGATACCTTCAAGCTCCATCAAGGATTTGATCTTGCCACTTTTGAAGAACGCAATCTCCCGGCCTCAGATCTGCCTTCCTTCCGCGTTCTGAAGAACGAGCCGTTCTTGCTTTTCAAGAGCAAGCTTGCCCAACAATTTGGGTTGGATGAAGCTGCTATGCGCTTGTGGGTCTTGGTCAATCGACAGAATAAGACTGTACGACCTGACACGATTGTGCCAGAGAACGATCCAAATCTCACATTGGAAACCGTACGTGATCGTATGGCTTCTCGACAAAATGATTTGAGACTATATCTCGAAATGATGGGTCCAAATGATCAGATGGACAAATCACAAGGACCAATCATGATCTTCTTGAAATATTTTGACGTTTCTCGACAATCGCTAACAGGTGTTGGAAGGGTTTATGTGAGCAAAAATCAAAAAGTATCTGATCTCGTCCCAACTATCAATCAATTGATGCTCTGGCCACCAACGGTACAGGTACGTCTGTACGAAGAGATCAAGCCAGGTATGATCGAACAAATGAAGATGAAGGCCACATTTTTGCAAAGTGAAATTCAGGATGGTGATGTGATCTGCTTCCAGACAGAAATCTCTGAGAAGGACGCGCATGATTATGAAGCACAATCACTCTATTCCAACCCTATCCAATTCTATGACTTCCTACAAAACCAAATCAAGGTCTTGTTCAAGCCAAGATTTGAGGATGTGGATTACAAAGGAGAATACGAGATCACATTGAGCAAGAAGATGACTTACGATATGATGGCTGCCAAGTTTGGTGATCGATTGAAGCATGACCCGTTGAAGTTGCGCTTCACTACGGCAAATGGACCAAATGGAACACCAAAGACTGTTCTGAAGCGTACAGCCAATCAAACTGTAAACGAAATCGTTCAACCCAGCTATATTCAAGGCCAAGCATCGCTTTTGTATTATGAAGTATTAGACGTTTCGATTGTGGAATTGGAAACAAAGAGAAGTCTCAAGATCTGGTGGATGGGTGCACACAATCATGAAGAAGCAGCTCAATCATTCTTGTTGCCCAAGACGTTCAATATCAATGACGTGGTTGATCATCTCGCCAAGACGATTGAGCTATCGCCCAATGGATCCCGCAAGATTCGCATCTTCGAGGTGATTGGAAATGGTCGTCAACAGAGAGAGTTCAATGGAGGCGAAATGATCGGAAACATTAGTGAAATGACCGACTTGTTCGGAGAAGAAGTTTCAGTGGAAGAAGCACAAGTGAAAGATGATGAGAAGATCATCAATGTTTTCCACTTTAGCAAAGATGCGAATCGTACGCATGGTGTTCCGTTCAAATTTGTCATCAAGCCAGACGAAAAGTTCAGCGAAACAAAAGCCAGACTTCAACAACGTTTGGCAGTGGCAGAGAAGGACTTTGCTAAATTCCGATTCGCATTGGTTCAATCTAGCACGTACAAGCAACCATCTTATTTGGAAGATGATGATGTGATTTATAATCATAAATTCTTGCCTGATGATGTTTTAGGATTAGATCATATTGATCGATCCGGTAAAACGGGAAGGATAGCAACTGCAGTGCAAGATAGAGGAATTCGAATTGGCAATTAAAGAACCATTTCTTTAACATACAGAGCAGATTGTATTCTTATTCGACACCTCGTTCATTATCTTTTTTTCCTCCTCCTTCTTCTCACCACATTTGGCGAAGATCACATCTGTGAATCTTTTGTTAGCAATATCTTGTAGGGCATGTAAACAAATTCTCTAAATTTCTCATCAAAACGAGTTCCAAGCTATGAACTTTCGATACGATCGTGACTCCATTTGATTATAACATCGTGAGCAGTTCTGAGATCGAAATGGCAGATCTGATGTGAGAAAAATTTGAAATTGTCAAATTGCATGATGCATATAATACAAGTCTTTCGGTAATTTACATTCAATGATCTTTGCGTCCTTTTGTATTGTTGTTGCCTTTGGATGGATTCAAAGGTCCGTCTACTAATCCCGCCAATTCAAGAGCATCACGAGCAGCTCTATTGATCAATTTGAAACGATCTGCACCAAGATGAACTCCACCATACCATCTTGTGACGATCACGATCGCATTTTCAACATGACAAAGATCCAAAAGATGAGCTAATCGTCCACCAGCAGCCGTTTCGCCGTCATCATCGCAATCGCGATGGACTACATTGACACCTTTTCCAGATCCATTTTCATCTTTTACCTTGCAGACCCATGCATACATCGTAGGATGCGTGGCACGCGCTATTCGCCTATCTTGGAGAAGATTGCCAAGAATGATGGGAACGTCAGCCGGATCATGGAGGGCAGCTGCGTGACCGACAAATGTACTCTTTCTTTCCGATATAGCGGGCGAAGTGACCAATTTGACCATTGTGGAAGTGCTTTTGGCTCGATCAGTTCGATTTGAGTCATCGAACGAAAGCTGTTGAACTTGATCAGAAAGACTGTCGTCGTCATCATTATTGTACAAATGCTTTTCTTTATCCTGATCATCACTTTGTGTGCCTTGCGATGGCTTTTCTACTTGACGTTCTGTGTACCAGGTTTCAATCAGCTCTCTCGCTTTTTCGATGCCATCGAATAGGGCCACTTGACCTTTCTCAAATCTGACATGCTGCGATTCGGTGATCTCAGATGGGATAAAAATTCGTAATATCCGACCAAATAATTGATGATCAACTCCGTGTGGGCCTATGTATCGGCTTAAGAGTTGCAATTGAGGCGATGCATCTACTAATGGATATCCTGACGGTAGCGTTGCCGAGAGACGGATTGTTATTGGCTCTTCGTTATCATTAGAAGAGTTTGATACGTCCAAGGGTATTGTTAATGCTAATCGGATCGGTCGTGATGGAACCCATCTTTCTCCTTCATTCGTACTATTTTGTGCTGCTTCATCTGCCGATACTGTACTGATGCCACCAGTTTGTGTCTTTTGTACAGTCAATAAGCCAATACTTTCTTCGCCATAGATTGCTTGTAATGCGGTCAATTCTTCTGCTACCTGTTGTGCAGCTTCGGCAGATTGATTGGACGACCGTTCATTTGCAAAAGCCTCTAATTGTTCAATTAAAGATTCGATAGCGGTCATTCTTGATTCATAGTGGATCCCGTTCCCACTCTATTCTTCTCCAGAAGAAGGTCGTTTCGGGTAAAAGGGATACGCTAGCGTTCTTGATCCAAGCTCTATCCGTTTCCCTTTGATTCCCAATTATTCGTTATATCACTTGCTTGTGCTATTAAAACAGAGACCAACACTTTTGTGTAAGACGCGCCGGCGCCGCCGCACCAGAGACACAGACAAGCGGCTGCCCCCCCTTTGTGTTCTCTCTTCCAATTTGTGCTTTTAATAAAGGACCTGCAGCTAATTTTAACTATTCTACTACACACGCATATCTTCCGCGCCTTTTTCTTAAACAACAACACTGGTGCATAAACTTTGATTTTTATTTGTGTCCCGATTGGTAGGCGTAATAATCAAAGACGAGAGAGTGATCTCTTTCTTCTTCATCACCATCTTTGTCAAAATAGAGAAAGGCTTATTGCACCGGTTGCAATAACTTAGACTGATCACACGGCATCACAAATCCGAAGAACAGCAAGAAAAGAATGAAGTAACGACTTTCAGGATACCCTTTCTACAGACACACGATTAAAAACATTCAACGTCAATTCTTTCAAGATTCTTTCATCGTCAACAATCCAAAGTGAATCAGCAATGACATTGTTCTAAGTAAAAAGAAAGGTGCCGTAAATTCACACAACGAGGCTCATCAATCCAATCTACCTCCAATACAATGGCGAGCGCTTTACAGAAGCTATTCAAAAAGCGGCTTGCTCGCCAGCAACAAAATGATCAGAGCAAATCGGGAGATCGATCAAGCAAAAACAAGAGCAGTGAAAACAGGCAAACGATAAATGGTCCTCTATCAGGTAGGCTACCACCATCTTTCACAGTCAGCGATTTTCACTCTCCATCGTCTTCAAGCCTTCATCGATTCTCAGCATCCACTTCCTCGTCGGTGCATACAACCGTCTCTCAACCTCTTCATCGACCACAGATTTACTCAAATGACCGAGGATATAGCTTCGATGCCCTTGACACAGAGAATCGTGTCATCGAAAGGGATAGGCTGCGGTCTAGTAGTATGGGAGCTTCCGTCATGCTACGGGATAGGTCAACCGGCAGTAGATCATGGCGTGATTCGATCATTTCTGATGGCCATGGTGCAGCTACAGTAGATCAATTTGGCACACTCATCCCTGACGAAGCAGGATCAACGCTCAGCTCCTCCCATCAAGGTCACAAAACAGAAGAGGAGGAGGAGGAAGACTTGGAGCATAATGCTATATATGCTGCGCTGTTGGATCGAATGGGCCAGACTTCCAAGTGGGCAAGCGCAAAAGTTTTGCTGATTCCTAGCAAAGCTGTCCTTCGTACATCCAATCTAAGTGAAGAAGATTTAAGAAGCGATGCATATATATCTCTTCATGCTCTTACTGCGTCAAGCCTCTTCAAAGATCAGTTTGAATCCCTCAAATTCCCAGTTTCACAATTGGATGTGTCTGAAGATCCTTGGAGTAGGATCAGCCTCACCACAACATTTCAACTTGAGTTGCATTCTGTGCACATCATCCTTACACGTACGGCCAGCACTGAATCAAAAAATTCAAAACATTTGAAGCGATCGCTAAAGGTCATCAGTGAGACGAATGTATACCATACTGTACAGCTGCAACAAAATATCCAAGATTCATTCCCTCACAAAAACAGAGTACGACTACGCGTGTTGATAGTCGATGGAATGGTCGTTCCAACATCACTGGTTATGAGAAAAAGTGTGAGACCACCTGTATCTGTCGCAAGCAGCGCAAGAACAACCACATTCAAGATGGATGAAGACAGAGGCAGCTCAGTCACGTTCCCTACGAAAGACTCAAAGGCAAACACTGTGATCGAAGATGGAAAGAAGAATGACTCGAGCCTCATACCTTTGTCACGACAGTTTCTGTCAGATTACGCTTTCTTGTTGGACCCTCCCCCGAGCACAGGGCCTTTACGTGGCCCTCTAAAGTGTGCTTTGGATGCACTTGAACGTGCTTCAGCAGAATTTGCAAATGCATATGTCTATGTGCCAGGCTTTGATTCTTACAACGTCTCTCGCATTCGAAGAGGAATACTGGCACGCTCCTGGAATGCATTCGAGCATGCTAGGAAAGCAAATGGAGACGGAGAGCGTGGTCGTGAGGGTGACCTCGACCTTACCACATGGTTAGGCAACGATGGCAGGGCGCGACTTTTACTGCTTCTGGAAAATGTGGTGATGGGTTACTGTCATTCAAAGGTGTATGGATCGATTTGTAGCATCCGACATGGTGCAGATGAAGCTTTTGATTCAATTCTTGCTACGTATCATGACTATGGAATTTCCCTTAGCGATCTTGGCATAACACGGAAAGGGATCAAGTTAGAGCCATACGATTTGAACCTCGCAGAAGCGATCTTGGGTTGCTTGGGTGACGCTGACGAAGATATGGAGTACATCATGATGGACAAAAATGTTGCTAAAATTAAGCAAATGGCGGAAACCGGCAGGCTACCGAGCAAATCGGATTTGTTTGACAATGGTAACTTTCACTCAACGCAGAGGACAAGATGTCGAATTCGTACACCTCTAGACGCACTTGAAGTGATGCATGCGACATTAGTCGAGATCAACCAAGCGACTATCCAATCTAGTCGCCGGCAAAATGAAGGACGAGATACATCCACATTAGGAGCGGATGATCTGTTACCGATCTTGGCTTACGTTCTGATCAGAGTTGCTCCGCGAAAGCTGACAAGCCTCTTATACTATGTCCGTCTCTTTGGTATCAGTGACGTCACGCTCTCAAAGCAGAATTGGACATTGACAACCTTTGAAGCTGTGGTGAGATATCTCGCGGATGATCCTCTAGATTTGAGCAATGGCAGCGATTCCTTGCACCTCCAGAGGGTTCAACAGGCTCCTCCGATTCGCAGCACACGTTCTTCGTTACGCTCCCCAACCACGAGTATTACGAGCGGTTCTAACATTGGAAGGATGGAACGAACATCCAGTCAGCAAGCATCGGCACATGAACGGTCTAGAAGGTCATCTTTGCCAAGTTCTGCTATGATGAGTGTTCAATCATCACGACAAAGTACGGAAAGTAATGCCAGACAAATGAAAGATTATCTGAGCGGGAAGACATTCTCATCTGCCAGTTCGGTAGTTTCACACGACGGAGGAATGATGTCTGGAGATGAAGGTGATACAACAGTTCAGGCTTTCAAGATGCCTGGCCAGCCAGCCAGTGCTCAATCAGAGCAATCGGGTCAACGTCCAAGACTACCAACTATATCGATTCGACAAAATGAAGGAGGCTTGGATGCCATGTCGGAAATGGCAAAGTCCTATTCAGTTGATGGAAATAGCATTCATAGAAGAACATTATCAGCTTCCAGCGATCTAGTGATTCGTCCACAGATTGTAATGCGAGCATCTCACAGAGCTAGAGAGTCTAAAAGCATAATCATGGACCGTCCATTGTCACCTCAAGATGGATCGACCAGTAGCAGAGGCGCATCACCAGATCCTTTGCCACAAGGATTGCAAATGGATCATCGTCGTAGAAGCATAGATTCATGGAGCTCTTTGAGCTTTTTGCACGGTAACATGAGTCGTCCAGATATGAGCCGTAATCCTAGCGCTGTGACAACGACCGAAGAGGAACGCAACGCTGGGCAGAGACCGAATAAAGGAGAGGACATGATAATTGCTGGCTTGCCCGATCCGGCAGGAGCAAGTGCAAGAAGTATCGGTCCGACTGAACGCAACCGTTCAACAAGCTGGCTACCGACTTGGACCAGTGATTGGGGCTTGTCAAGCAGGCGTCCTTCACTTGACCCCAGTAATCAATCGCACGTTGAACCTCAAGATCACAGTAAAGTCAGCCAGATGTCTGATCCTACATCTATCGCAAGTCAAGACCAATCACACAACCATCAAGTCGATGTTTCCGACAATTCTATCGTGATCAGACGCTCTGAGTCAAATCAAAGTGTGCCTGCTCTGGGATTTCCTAGTCTTGATTCTATGCCATCTCTGGAACCGCACGAAGGACATGCAACATCTCTAGAGAACGACGATGCAACGATGGGAAGCAGTCCACGTGATCGCAACAGTATCATGTCTTCGCCTTCATCTGTATTCTCTGGAGCAAGTACTTCAATTCATCCACATCACGATCAAGCCACGATACGAGGATCTCGCGGATCCTGGTACATGAATGATTTACTTTCTTCATCATCTTTAGGCAAGGCTAGTGGGGTCAGCTCTGTACATTTGACAAGTCCATCTTCAAAGCATGAACGAAGGAGAGGAAAGTCAAGTTCTCGATTGTTGTCCATATCTACACCAACTGATCCACTCCCTCCTGCATTAACAACATCAGATGCAGCACAAGCACTGCCAAACCTTTTTTCTTCACAAGTGAGGATTTCTACACCTGATGACATTCAAAGAAGATCTACAAAAAGTCAGATTAACAAGAGGCCAAGGCCGACTTCCATCACTTCTACGGAAGCAATACCCTCCGTGACTCTGTCTCCTCCCCTTCTCGATTCTAGGAGCAAGAGCTCTGATAGTGAAGACGTTTCTACATTGCAAGGCTTTTCTCGTAAATCTTCAACATCTCATGACCCTTTACCGAATTTCGGTACATCAAGAGGTATCTCCTCCGTGCCTGCATATACCAGTCCATCGATGCAATTTATCAAATTGGACATCCCTTCTCCTGTTGACGAACGCACAGATCCAATCATAACGACAACAATGCCTAATCTTTCATGATTCACCACGATTACAAATATACCCAAATTATACGAAAAAGCTTGCTGGACCAAGATTTTTTAGTAGTTCATCGTCGTTATACCCCCAATAGCGCATCTTTAACTTAAGATATACCACCCCTTTCGGACAAAGTTTCTGTAATATTTTACTTATAGCACAATTTAGAACACAATGACGATACAGTGAAGAGAAATCCATCTTAAAGCGTTTTGACGCTCATGCCGCATCCAGTCTTTCTCCTTGACCAGGGAGTGAAGAGCGGAAAGTGCGTTGTATCGACATGGTGAAATATGTAGCGCTGACGTAGTCGACATTCCGACAGAAGTATATACATCCTTTGTGCTCGCTCATAATTGATCTGTATCTATGTATGCATTGAAATACTTTCTCTTAAAAATACATGAGCGCATGAGTCTGCGGGGTATGGGCTGGATAAGAACAGGTACAAAAGAGCACAATTTTTTGGATGGACGATGGACGTTCAAGCAAGTCAAGTCTTTTCAACAAGTCTTCTTCCATCGAGCCTGGATGAATCTTCTATGAAGTTGCACACCTGTCCGTCTATTTTGATTATGTATTTGCTTGATCTCGACTTCTCCTTGAAGTTGTAAAGCATCAGCATGTTGCTTCATCTCTTCTTCATTAAAGAAGTATGTGAAAGTATTATCGCCTCGTCGATAAAAGTCGTGTGAATCGCTTAGTAGAGCTGGCTCACACCATGCTGCCGAAGCTTTTTGATGGAATCGGAGCTGGGCCAAATCTCCATGTGCAAAATCTCTGAAAAGAAGAGTACCGCCAATAGGGAGACATTTCACAAGGTTTGCTAGTACGGCACGATGATCTTTCGGTGGAATGGCAGATAGGACAAATATTAGCGATACGACTGTAGGTTGGCCGAAAGGATGTGTCTCTATTCGATTGGCTAATGTTTCGCCTTCTTTGACAAGATCAAAGACGAAAGCATTCACCCTTTCCTCGTTGTATAACGGATTGGACTTTAATATATCCACAGCACGAGGAGAAAAGTCACAGCAATGTGCTTTTGTGGTTTCATTTCGAGCCAAGACTGGATAAACCATGGCGCCAGGACCACATCCTACCTCCAAAAGAACAGTATTGTTTCCCTTTACCATCTCGCCTCCGATCATCGGATCGTCTAATGAAGCGCTAGCATCTTCCGGTTTAGAAGCCGAGCCTTCTGTACTAGCGACCTCTTTCCCATTTAGCTCCTTGAATTCTCTTTCTGTCCAATTTTTGTTCTTGAAGAATTTATCATGATGATTTTTATAGAATACATCCCAATTTCGAGCAGCTTCTTTTTCGCATTTATTCAGCATGAATGAAGTTGCTAACCTTCTATTTTGCAAAAGAATATCTTCTATCCTGTCAGGATCTTGTCCGACCGTATGCTTATGCTTTGGTGCCACATCGTTTGACACTTGATTTGTTGTCATCTTGATATCGAGTGCATGCTGTTGTGAGTGTGCAGTCTTGAAACCATTTGAATGAGAAGATTCAAAAGTGACACTTTCTCCAAAAATTCTATGCACGTGAATAAGTACGTCTTCTTAACGCGAATTGGTCCAAGCGGTAAAAGGATGGTCAACTTCATAGAGCGCGTTTGGTTTTGAGAAGAATACTCAATGTTGGCTACCATCACTTGTCATTGGTATATCCAACTCGTAATGTTCTCTTCTCCTTCCCAAGGGCCGGCCCGGAGAAGGCAAGGCGATGGATCTGTCCGTCTTTCACGCGCAAGTACGCCTTCTATGGCCGGAAGATCAAATACTTCAAGGGTTGGAGGACAAGCAACGCCTTCAACAGCTTTTGGCAAAGGCAAGACGGGAAGCAGCTTTGGCGGAAATGCAGGTCAACGTAAGAGAGACTCGATGCGTTACATTGGATCTGCTTTGAGAGATTCTTCATACGCAGCACCCTCTTCGATTGGTGATGAGTCATTTGATAGCACAATAAATGGTGACTCAATACGGAAAAGAGAAAAAACAAGAGCAGGCGGATTAACTGAAGGAACAATCTTATCACGAGATGACAATCATTCTGTTTCCGTTTTTTCTCGAATGCCAAATGACGTTAGTACAGCTTTAAACTCTGCAAGCCCATACGATCTGGTTTCGGGTTCTCTTGATACTGCCACAAATCATGCATTCATTGTCACCAAGAACAATTACTTTATCTGGAGCTACTCAATGCGTAGCTATGAGACGCCAACTTGCTTTGCCCATTCGATAGCATCAGCATACGCCTCCAGTCAGCAAACAATATTACCTTCTTGTGATTTCGTGCCTAAAGGCAGAGACCGACAGCCTGGATTCCTACTAATCACGCCAGGAGGTGATGTCTTTTACAGCGACAATGTGAGCAGCTCTTTTGCTCAGGTACAAGACAAAAGGCAACAGTACTCGATTGCTTTGGGAATGGGTGAATCTGTCAATTCGCTACATCGATGCAAGCCTACTTTGTTCGTCGCTTCAACAACCCATTCCCGATTGATCTGTATCCGCCTGATCGCGTCCGGTGGTATGCTTCAGCCTGTGGTGACCTTGTTCGCTCAGCCCAGAGGAATATTTGGACGCTTGTTTGGAGCAGCAGCGAATCTTGCAAGTACAAGTGCAGGCATTGTTGGACTTGCTTCTTGGTCATCAAACGAGACCGAGAGCACAAGTGACGTCTACGCAATCACACAACAAACACTGCAAAAGTGGTCTCTTGTTGATGGAAGGGGAGAAAAGATGATATTCGATGAAGATGTGCGACCACTTTTGATCGAACGTGATGAACGAATTGCTGACGGCAGTCAATCAGCAGAAAGCCTTAAATTGGTGGATGTAGCAGTGACGAAAGATGGCCGATCAATCATCTTGTACTCTTTCCCTTTGATCGAGGGTGGAGCGCTGCATTACGGTTATGCAACCCTGCAAGGTAGAGGAAGCGAGCTTGTCGTACAAGGTATTACTTCTCTACGCTACAGTAGACTTGCCGACACGAGATCAAGTGATTTCCCTCGTTTGCTCATACCAAATGGAGGCCCAGTAGTTTACGTCGTTTTCACAGAGGCGGTGATCTTCAGGCTTTTGGAGAGTGATGGCTTGGAAGAAAGTATCGAATTGCGTGATGTTTCTTCCAATCGCATAATCGGTACAGGAGAACCTGCATATCATGAGCCTCGAGATGACGCCGCACCAGCATCGATTTCCGTCTTCACCCAACGCAGCGGTACCTTGCTTATTTCCGTCGATGTTGTGGCAGCAAAGGGCTTATCAGACTTGATCGCATCCGGTGAAGATCGAAATGTTGTCGACACACACAGACTAAAGACTAAGCTTGAAAGAGGCGTTTTTCATAGTGACAATGCCGCAAATCCCATCTCGTTCGATTTACCATTGGATATGCGAGGCGATCTGATTGCGGCGGCTGAACAGCTCAGCGATGACATCGTTCGCTCTGAATCTCCAAGTCTTATCAATACTCTTGATACAAAGCTACAGCTTGCCAATCGTTTGGAGCGTTTGCATTCATTGGCAGCATTTTTATCATTGAACGGTATGATGGGGCTCATGACGCAAAACTCTCTTAGACGACTTTGTGCTGATGCTCAACTGATCGCATCGGCGATCGATCTATGGAATTATGTCGATGAATTGATGAGCACGCCGATTAGGTTGCAAAATGTTGGCAATCCTTTTGGAGATGCAGTGAAAGATATCTGTCAAGATGCTGAGGATGATGATGTTTTACGTCATTTCTTCCGCTTTGAGCTGAGAGAGCTTAATGCGGTTCTGAATCGTGTGCACGAACTTGCCCAGCAATCGGCATCTCAAGGTATCTCTCGTCTTTCCGCAACTGTGTGCGAGACCAATCGTATCCTTCTGACTACCTATCAAGCTGCATCGCGATACCAACATGAAACGGCAAGTTTGTATGGTTTGGACCTTTCCAGCATTGCGTTCGAAGCATGGACCTGCACTGGAAATAATGTAAAGATTTTGCGAGAATCTTTGTCAGGCACAGTCTCATTGATTCAAGACAGAACACGTCAATTGGGAAACACGATCGATCAGGAGATCAGAGAATTGTCTCTAGAAACACTCACTGCAGAAGAGTATGAGAAGCATCTCCAATCTACATTGAAAGGACAATTGTACGAATTGGCTTCGTACACCTTGGACGCTTACAAGGAAAGACTGTCTTATCTTCGATTGGCAGGATCAAGTCATCCATCTCTCGAGCGCGAATATGCTACTTTGCAGGAGGAGTACAACGCTGAAAGACGCAATTTCCTCCTCCCTCTCAGGTCAATCGGCCGTGGTGATCGCGCTTTCAATCTTGCCGAACAACATAAAGATTTCGAGACGTTGACAGAATTGTGTTGCAGCTTGTCAAAAGAGCAAAGAGTTGCACGTATAAGATTCTATCTCAATAAATATGGGCAAGCGTTTGCAGGAGCTCTATATACCTATTACGCACAAAATGATGAGATGCAAACACTTTTAGCTCAAGATGATAGCTTCAACGGTCTCTTGAGAGAATTCTTGGATGCAAATCCCAGCTTGAATCGCGTGACTTGGCTGCACGATTTTGCTTTGTCAGATTTCTCTCGTGCTACAGTACGATTGGCAAATGAAGCCAATAATGAAAAGCAAAGTGTATCGAGCAAGAGGTTGATTTTAAGCTTGGCAAAATTGAGTCAAGCAAGTCATTTGGTCGAAGGACAAATCGCTTCCCAATCTGAACAAAGCGCGATCGAACAATTTGACGATCAGATCGATTTAGTGAACATTCATGATAGGATCAAGAACAATCTACGCAAAAAGGCAAATGAAGCAGAAGGAGAAATTCTTTCCCCAGATGATTTATTGGCATTTGCAGAGGATGCGGTGCTGGCTTTATCTTCAATGAGACCCGCATTTGGTAAATTATACCTTCATCTTGCCAAAGACCTTTTCGATGGCCGGGTGCTTTCGGTTGAGGATTTGATCGATTTATTGACATTACACGATGCGAATGAAGATAGCAATTCCGACTTTATCTTGGCGATTGAAGCATTCATTCGAGCACGCGATCTTCCACCAGCTAGAGCTCAATCTGCTTTGACCAGCTTGTGGAGACGAATTATCTTGTTCGATGATTGGAAAACGGTCACACAAACAAAGGATACAGCAGATGCTGTACTGGAAGCTCGCTTGCGCAACACGGCTCTTTATCATGCTCTTCGTGCATGTGCAGATACAGAAAGTACTTCGGCTGCCGTCTTGGAACCTGTTCAAACGATTGTTCAGCCTTCTCTAGAAGCAATTCAAGCTCGTTTGAGTAACACTTATGATGTCCAAATCGAGGATCAAGTCACAGTTGATGAATTGGCACAAGATAGCCAAGCAGAGATTGCCGAATTGGAAGAGCTTATGAGCACGGTGGATTTATCGGTTTGGTTCAATGAAGTGAAACGATTGGTGGTAGAATCTTTGGGCGATCAAGAACAAGGAGATGATATCGATTTCGCCGCTCTTAGTAATGTAGGAAGTCAAGAAATGATCATGTAAGAATAGCTGTTATAACAATTATATTCCATTTTTTGCGCATTTTTTACACTTTCAATATGAGTAAAGCACATTTTAATTGCAATCTGCAATCTATTGAAGGAGAAGGCAATTCTTGCAAGCAATGAAATTGCCCACTTTTTAACGTGCTGTCATTTGTTTGCCTTGTGCCTTTCTTTGTTGTCTCTTCTTTTCCACTTGTTTCTTCTTTTCTTGTTCTGCTGGAGATAATTTATCAAACTTTTCCTGTTCTGCTTTCTTTTTGGCAGCTTGACGTGCTTCTTCTTCATCTTCACGATCATACTTTGTTGCTTCTTCAGTAAGTTCTTTATCAACAGCAACACGTGTTTGACGTAATTTGTTGATTGTTGTATTGTTCAATTTGGCATTTCCAAGTTCCAAAGCGTCTACCAAATTGCATGCTGCTTCAACCAAAGACAAGGAAGCCTTTGCTCCACTTTGGCTCTTTGGCATACGCAAAGTCAAGACGAGCTTCCTTTTACGTTTTTCGACGGGAATCGCACCAGTCTCGGGTCGCTTTTCCGGTTGATCGGATAAGACAAGACTGTAAAGGTAATTTCCTGCTTCGCTATTGTTCAAAGCAGCTTGCAATCCAACCCGATTACGCTGAGCGTTACCCTTGTCTCCGATATCACCCAAAAATGCATCTGTTAGGTCACCAACTTCGCTCATGATAGCATATCTTGCATCCAATTGACGTTGCGAGTTTACGTTCTCACCATCCAACACTTTGGCAAATGTCATGTCAAAACGACCTTGACGACTTTCACGTAAGACACTCTTTTCAGCGATTGCAAAGACGCCAGAAATGTTGTCAGGAGATTGGAAGGGCAACAAGAAGGTGAGTGAGATTGTATCACTGATCACAGGTTTGGATGATCCGGTTGCGGTATTGTAAAGGAAGGTGTATAACAATTCAAACGGATCATGAAAAGGTGTTAAGCGGAACAGGATTTGCAAACCGTCTACGCCACGTCTACCACTTGCATATGCCAATGCTTCACCACCGCCGTTCCAGACAAGTTTTCCATCTCCTTCTCCTGTACCAAAATGATGTCCTGCAGGTGCATCTTCTTTTCCTACAAATGCGAATTCATCTTCCAATAAAGGCATTGCGGTCTTTAACCATGCTTTTGCTAATGCACGATTACGTGCTTTTCCGATAAGATGAGCGATAAAATAAACGAATGCGATACCGAGAAATAGAGATTCTAGCTTGAAATCGATCGGTCTAACTTTGACGGGTGTACGAATCAAAGTGAACTCGTACGACCGTTCATACCACGGTAAATCTTGTAATTGTTCGGGTATGGCACCTTTAAGGAAACCTGGTAGTTCCACAGCTCCAACCATGCCAGCCGAAGAGAATGCTACGGTGCTCAAAAGCAGAGTAAGAAGCATATCGTTCTTCATCTTTTGCCTCTATAAGGATGATGTGGGCAGGAAGGAATGTTCAAGACACGCTTATGCTCGTTAATGTTCCACATGGCTTTAGCGTTGGCGCCGTGCACGTGTCAGCTTTACCCAGGCTTTGTCGAATCGCGCCTATTCAAAGTGACTGAAGCATGGCGTTTAAAAGCGGATCGCTATGATCATCAGATAGAGAGTGAAGAAGGAAAGTGGACAATGTCGAACGAGAAGGTACATTTTCCAGTTAAATATTGAGGAGATAAATGAACGACCCATGAATATATTGATAAGGTGTGTCAAAGAAGTGCCAATTCCCCGCTTTCTTTTGATAATTCTTGAACAATTGTTATTTTTTATGCTGTTCTGTTTCACAATATAATCAATTTATTACAACGAAGTCAAAGTGTAAGAATTCCAATCATCATTTCTGCAACACTGAATGACATTCTAGGAATTATACAACAAGAAAAAACAGTTTTAAAACTTCTAAAATGAGAAATAATTTAATTGAATTAATATAATAATGTGTCAAATTATTTTTTAAAAGCATTTCCCTATCTCATCTCTCGATTATTGAGCTTGTTTTCATCTTCAGCTCTGAGTGCTTTCATACCTTTGTGGCTAAAAATTGTTTGAGTGTCTCGATATACTCTATTGATCTCAAGACTACCGTTGAAGTGAAACCGTGGAAGTCAAGATTAGTTCTCTGTAGCTAAACGTTTAACTTAAATTAAGAATATACCCTAAGTCTAAGTAGAAAGTGTATTTTTAAGCATATCAAGACAAATTTGAACTTTGCTAGGGATGGAAATGGACTCAGCCCTACCCACAAGAACACGAAGTCCATGATCGATTGCCCACCGTGTGAATATTACGCGGGGCAGGATTGCAACGGCGTACGCACACGGTGGATGCAAGCTCTAACATTACACTAAAGCGTATTTAAAGCCTGTGGAGTTCGTACGGCAGCGTATGCCGGCTATACCGGAATAATGGCTTAATTAGCATTTCGACTTTTTTGCTTTCCTTCCACAACAATGTGCGAACTTGATTGGTGATCGCGAACAATTTCTCATTTGATGATTTGAAAGGTAGAAGATGTCTGCATCAACATCTAGAACACCTTCACATTCTTCAAGCCAGCCAATACGAAGAAGATCATCTGTTCGTTCTACAACTTCATCTTCTTCTCGTTTTTCGGAAATACATCAACGTGAATACGTATATGCTTTGGACGATCAGAGTATCTCGGAATGGCTCAAATGTCCTATCTGCTTAAATCCTTTCATTGAGCCAAGTCTCATACCCTCTTGCGAACATGTCTTTTGCAAAGGTTGCATCGAACAACATGTTGAAACGATCAGTCAAAGTAGAACAAACGATAGTACAGAGGATGAGAATGTGGAACAATCACAATATCAGAAACAAGCAAAAGGTCATTGTCCAAGCTGTAGGACGCGATTTGTATCCTCCCAGCTCAGACCAGCAGCTGCGTTGATTAGAAATATGGTGGATTCCTTACTGGTTAAATGTCCTAATGAATCAAGAGGTTGTGCACATCTTGCCGAAAGGGGCTTGATCGAAGGACACGTTCGGAAGGATTGCGCATTCGCTTATATTGATGAAGCAGAGGTGGTAAACTCAGGTCAAGCGATCAGCTCGAATGGCCGATGTGGATGCGGAAAGAAGGTCATGCGAAAAGATTGGCAGGCCCACATCACTTCAGGGGACTGCTCGATAGAACGGATATCTTGTCCATTTGCAAATGTGGAAGATGGATGTGGCGTGATGGTGAGAGAGTCTGACTTAGAACATCACCTGAGCAGCTGTCCTGCGAAGATTGAACAGTGCCAACATTGCACACTCGAATTACGACAAGATGAAATTGATGAGCATGAAGGACGATGTGAAGAGGTTGTGGTTGGATGTCCTCTTGCGCCTTATTGTCATTGGAGAGGACGACGTGGTGATTTGGGTACGGAAGCAGATGAAGATCACCAAGCTACTATGCACTTAGCAAACTGTAAATTGGCACCTCTACGATCATTCTTGGACTCAAATACAGCAACGTTGAATGATTTAGAGCAAGACAACAGAAGATTGACCCAGCGAATGACCACGATGGAAGAGAATCAAAAAGATTTGGTTAAGCTACTCTCTCACTGTATCGCTGCTATCGGGCAAGAATACACTCCGTATCAAGAGACAGGATCTCCCCAGACACCTCTACGCAATGCTGAAACGATCTCATCCCCGCCGCAACAGAGCAGCGGTGCTGCTGTTCCTCCTCCGCTGGCACGGAGAGGTCGTGCTAGATCTGCAACTGGACTCACTAGATTAAATCTTGATGAAACAGAAGATGGCGAATCAGTTGGAGGACAGCTGGTGCTTGCGCCGTATGCCAGTGCACCAATAGCAGACAGCGCAGAAGAGGAACCCTGGCATTGGCCTGAAGATCTGCGAACTAATAATCAATCAGACGAAGGGACTGTATTTGACCAAGTATCAACGCATTTGAACAGGTTGAGTCTATCAAACGGCAGCAATACTTCTCCCTCAAGCATTGCTGGCTCTTTACGATCGATCAATGTAAACCTTTCAACATTATCCGAACGTATAACAAAAGTCGAAAGAAGGTTAGATGATGCTCATGTCGTTTCAATGAATGCTGGCTTCGAAGCGGGTAGAGCACACGATGAGCTTAATAGCGTTCGACATGGAATGCATTCTATTCGATTACAAATGCATTCTCTTTTGATGCAGCAACAAATGGAACGTTCTCTTCCGCATCCTGCCGGACCTCAAGGACCTCCGACTGGACCACATGGCTTGTATGCCGCTGCTGCTGTGGCCGCTCAACAACAACAGCAGCATCCCGATGCATCACCTCACCCTGTACAAGCGGGAAATACACACACTTTTCATAATGGTCAACCTCCTCCAGCAGGTATGATGGGTTTACGTAGATTTTGGACCGGTTTTGAGCAAACTAGGCTGTAAATTAATTGTCACAATATCAACCTATGTATGTATGTATAGTATAATAATTATTGCGATAGATAACATTCTGTTAAACAAATGTATGAGAAATCCAAATTGATTACAAAGGTATCATTGAAGTAGAGGAAAAGGGGTATTTCTTTTTCGAAATGAAAAATCATCTTTAAAATGTAAGTTTGCTAACTTCAACACAATCCAACAAATCCAAATTTGGTTCAACACCATTGGGCGGGAAAAATTGACAAAGTGAACGGAAAAGATGATAACGTTGTCTATACAAAGCCGTTGGTTGACCTTCCAAGGCTAATTGACGTGCAGAAGCGCTTACATTGCTTGAACTTTCAAGGTTTGTTGTACTTGCTGCTGTTTGATTTGCTTCTGCCGATTTTTCGTTGCTTTGCGGTAATACTTGTGAAATCGAAAGCATTTCACTATCACCTTCAGAATCGCTATTTTGTTCACCGGAAGCTGAACTCAAACCCTTTCTGTCGGAAGACAAAACGGACAAGCTTGCAGGATCGTCGTCCGAACGTAGATTTGCGAATGTGCCCGTTTCTGCTGTAACGCTCACGCCTGGCACCGGCGACATCCAAGGGCTACTACCATCACTGCTGAACAGAGGATCAGAACTTAGATTGATAGAAGGATGTGTTCGATTAGAGGAAGAAGGTGTTGATTCACGTCCTGCATTGTGTCCCGCATTAAGAAGATGTGACATCAATCTTCTGAACGCTTGACTTTCTTCTGGCGCATCATGATTGACAACTTGTGAAACTTGCGTTTGCAAATAAATCAATGCTTGCATTGCTCCTATTCCACCTGGTCCTTCATCAATTTGATCAGCTTCTTGTGCCATTTCCAAAAATCTTTGTTTGCGTAATTTGAATTTTGCTCTACGTAAGATTTCCGAAATGCTTGGCCGTACAAGATCCAAACACCAAAGATCATCTAATCGAATCGCAGGTGAATTGCTTTCTGCCGGATTTCCTCCAAAGATGTAGAAATTGCCTTTCTTGTTGTCATACACCATTTGAGCTGCAAACCTTGGTCGTGGCTCAGAACATGATGATCCAGCATTGTCCGTCATACTGGAAGCGCCCGGACGCGGAGAGCCAGGAATGACGGCGGGCGAATTGTCACGAAGAGTCATTGGGATATCTGGCTCTACAGATTGATCTCGAGCAGGTACATTTCTTGCTCGTCCACTTTCAAACAATCGACTCTCATCAATGATTGGGAACGCTTGTGTAGGACCTCTACCAGGCTCGACTGGCTCATTGGGGGTATCGTCTTCACCTTCACCGTTGTTGAACGCTGTTTCTTCACTTTCTTGTTGCTCAGGCCGTAAAGCACTTCCGGTTCCGCCATGCTGGTAAAGCAGCTTCCATTCGCTTCGTTCGATATTGTAGACCCAAAATGCACTTTTCACTCTCTCACCTTTACTCTTGCTCTTGCGAACAAGACCGCTGAAAAGGTGAATTTCGCGCTTTTGGGTATCAATCGTTGCCCTTTGCGTAAAGCCTCCTTCTGGTCCAGATTGACTATAATCTCTACTGATTTCACGTACGATTCCAGTATTGATTTGATAAGTCCACATATCAGCAAGGTACGTCGTTCCACGTTGACCGGCCAAGATCCACAGAATTCTCTTTCCTGCCATAGCGCCAGTCTTTGGCGTATCGAGTAACATCGTATGGCCAACGCGAGCTGGAATACGTGCATGCGGAATCGTATTATCGTCAAAGATGAATTGCCAAGACCGTTGAATGACATCGTATTGCCACATTCCGCTTAGCTCGATTTTGTTCACATCAGGATGGGCAACACGACCTCCGAATACATACAACATTTGCGTTTCAGGATCGATGAGCATTTGATGATCAAAGATCAATTTCGGTCCTCCTTCAGCATGTGTGTTGAGAGATAAACGATCCCAACGTTCTGTACGAGTAGAGAATCGGTAGAAGTCAGACTCATACCCTGTCTTGATTTGAGGTTGTCTTTCTTCCATCAGCGGTTGATTTTCCCCTGTCATCGAAGTCTCAGATCTGCCCAAATCGGGCTCTGCGCTTGCCATACTTCTACCGGTGGACGCCATCAAACGCATATGACCTCCTCTATTGCTTGTGAACAATCCTGCTTCTTCCCCTTCTGCTCGTGTATTTGTCGATTCAGGCAATGATGGACCACCCGGGAATCTAGGAAGGAACATGCCTCTTGCAGCACTTGAAGGGGCAAGATTGTTATCTGCAGCACCTGTACGATCAGAAGAAGCATTTCCCGGTGATGAGCCTCGAGCAGGCGAAGGTACTTTATCGTAATCCACATATTTTCCAAGGATGTACAAAAATCCAGTTCTCGGATCGAATACCATATTATGACAACTTCGAGGTCCAGGGCCACCTTGCTGACGAACGTCCCGGCTAATGCAACGCCATCTGCTTTCGCGAATATGGAAAGCCCAAAGATCCGCAAGGTCCTTACTGCCGTCCCAACCTCCGAATAGCCATAGGATTCCTTTATCGCTATCCAATTCCATCTGATGACCCCCTCGTCCGGATGGTGTATCGCCGTTCAAGTCAGTAGAGAGAACTTGATGCCAGACAGGTTTAGGGATCGATCGATCTACGTAAGCCGATAACAGTGAAGCTGCAGAATTGATATGTTGTCCAGCCTCTGCAGAACCTTGATGAACAAATGGCTCGCTATCTCCCGATCCTTCCATAGATGATGCAACAGATCCCACATTCTGTTCGCCCCATGCAGCACGTTCTAAGCAGGCTTCAGCAATGTCCCACGAGCCTTGCATTAGAGCATGAAACAGTTGCGTCACAACAGGCCTTTCGAAAGGACGTTTGGGTCCGATTGTGGGAAGTTCCTTGTCCTCGTTTTGGGCGTCTAGACCGCAAGATTCCAAGAGGATTCTGTATGCAGAGTGATATGCCCTACTGCGTAAGTGTTTCAAAATCAATCGCAATGCAACCGATTCGCGATGCTGATGGAATGCTGTCGAAATATGTGTAACAACTTGCGGATTAGAGATACCTTCCAAAGCAACGTACCATATCGAAAAATTGTAATTTGGCAAATGTGTTGCTAATGGAACCAATTTGATATATCGAACAGGAAACGGGACGCCATCGGCAGTCGTATACCGTGTCTCAAACGTTTCCGGAATCGCATCATTTTTCAAAACACCACGAACCAGTCTAACCCAAGCTTTTGATTTAGGATCACGAGTTGATGCACTTCCGTATATCTTGAAATCCTTTAAGTTGCAGGGGTGAGATTTGTGGTATTTCCCAAAATAAATCTTTTTCAAGATTGCAGGCTTTTCCAGTTTCAGTATTAAGTATTGCTTCTCCGTCAAGCCACCGCCTATTAGAGTGCTATTTGATGTTTGTGTTCCAATACCCTTGTTTATGCCTGCAATTGGGATAGCAGTATTAGCACTTGTGTTGCTGCTGACACTTTGTCCAGCTGTAGTAGAACGACCTAAGGAATACCCACCATCACGAGATGTCATCAAAGAAGGACCGCTTGATTCGGTTGCTTGATTAGATGCAGTTGAACTCATTCCTATTGAGGGTGCTACCATATTTGCGACTGCAGCACCTGTCCATCTTGAACGCATATCATGTGGTCGGTCATACAATATATTTTGAGGAGCATAAGCACCTGAGTAACTTGATGCTTCTGCTATTGAATATCGTAGCTGTACCAAAGGTTGATTGTTTAAGAGATCCATCTTTTGATAAGACCGAATGAATCCCAATCAGGATGGTGGTAGAGTGAATGATAACAATCTCTCTTTAAGTATTGAGTAAAAGGGTGTGTTGCATTTCCAAACCAACAGCAAGAGCGTGGAGGCCCAAGCTTATTACATTTATGCCAGATTATGCATAGGGCCAGTTCCTCTTCTTATTTTGAGACGCGTGTGTTTCTAGTACAGACACAAAGCGGCGCAATCGCGTTTCAGACTAAAATCTCCGGATGTGTAGCCTAAACATGCCAAACGCGTATATTCCCGATTCACTCAAAAGAGAGCCTAGCGACAACAACATTCAATGCAATATTCAAATACAATAACTACGACAACCCTTCTGAATCCATCCATCTTTCTGTCTTACGGAATGCTTGTTCATCTTCTTGATCGGATAAGATCAAAATTCGTAGCTTTTTAACATCTAACTTCTCGGCTGATTCTACTGTTGCTTGATCGGTATCCTTTGGATTGACCAGAACCAATCCGCTAATCTTTGGTTTAGAAGATTGAATGTGATGAAGAGCAGCTCTTGCTCCTTGTCCGCTATAAGCAAATAAAAGAGGAGCTCTTTGTAAGGACATTAATCGAATTTGTGATCCAATTTCATCAGAAAGTGATTCATCATTCTCTTCTGTTCCTTCTGAAAGTGCAATATTTGAATCTATACAGTCATATCCTGCTTGTCGGAAATATCCAATCCAATTTTGCCATTCATCACGATGTTCTCCTTTTATGCTCATGAAGAATAACTGTGAAGCAGGTCTACGTAAAGCTGCAGAATCAGCTTGACGGAATTTGGAAGATGAATCAGAAGATGATTCTGCATGTAATACGGAAGATGACGAGAAATAATGATGAGCGACCATTAATGTCGTTATGGAAGGTACAATTGTAGCAGCTCGCAAGAAGCTTTTCGGTTGTCCTGTTTGGGTTGAAGCGGTAGAAGCGGTAAATAGCGATCTTTGCATTGAGAGACTAGCAACATTATTTGCTAAGCCATGTCGGCCTGTTAACCAAAACATGATTATTTGGGTGGATGGTGATCGTTCGTCATCACAAGAGCATGAGCATACATTCAAGTGTTCCTCCCGATCTTTAGCGTGACCCTCACCTTTTACCTCCACACTTAGTGTTCTTCTTTCTGTGTTGGATGTGTGACTTTAGCGTGACGCATTAAGAAGAAGGGGCACAATGATAAAGTGAAGCACATGGTTTAATGTTTAAGCGCAGTTGAATGTTCGCGTGTTTGATTAGGAATGAAGAAATTAAAGTTGCTGGCGGACATGGAAAAGAGAAAAGTAACACTTCCCTCAAAGTCATCCTGACAACCATCTTCAAAGTATGTTTCCATAGCAAGATGGCATTCTTTTCTTTCTTGTCTTGGTTTAGGCCATGGTGGAAAACGACAGAAACGGATTATGAAACAGTCTTGGCACGATTGACAAAGGATATTCAAAATGTTCAAACAAGATTGATTCGCGTTAATCAAAGGGAACGAAGGTCAAGTATCACATTGACACTCTATGCAATCTTACTTTGGCTTGCTTATACGCTTTTTGTATACTTTACAACAACGGAAAAACGACCTCTAATGACAAAATCAGAACGATTTCATGTTTGGCTACCGAGCGTGATTGGGCTAATCATCATCATTTCCGTTCGATCAATCGTTCGTTGGTGGTTCAGGAGGGTATGTACAGGAGAAGAAAAACATTTACGTTCACTTCAACGTGCAAGACGGAAAAAGATTGATGAAATCAAACAAGCAACAAAGTTTGATCATTTACGTAGCCTTTTGGAACGTTATGATGACACCGCTCCAAATCGACCTGGAATGAAAAGAGGCGGTTCAAGTATGGATGGAAAGCAAATCAAGCAGGCACAACAATCTAACACTCAGGCAACACGCCAATTTCAAGGTATGAAAGATGGCAAACCTGTCAATGGAGGTACACAAACAGGTGCAATACCTGCAGATGCACAAGCGTTCAGCACGCCAGTAAAGAATGTTCAGAAAACAGCACAAGGACAGCCTGTACCGACAATCGTAACGACCGGAACAGGAGCTGCTTTGCCTTTTGATACACCACAGCAACATCTCCGATTCCAAAAGACTTGGCTTGATCGAGTAGCCGATAAGATACTAGGCGTGGAAACGAGCGAACAAGATGTAGGAGCAGAACAAAGGTATGCGTTGATCTGTCATGTTTGCCTAACGCATAATGGTCTATGTCCAAAAGAGGATTGGGAAGAAGTACAATATATTTGCCCTAGGTGTGGTACATTCAATTCTAGGAGACCTTCAAGTGTTCCTGTTACTTCTCCTTGGTCTTCATCAAATACCCCTACTAATCGAAGATCAAGTCTTGGGGCACCTTCGCCTGCAAGATCTTTGAGAGATTTACCAGGTTCTCCAAGTACAAAGAGTATCCTTTTGGAATCGGCCAGTGCACCTTCCGGACTTGGCAATACGTCAGGATTGGAGGAAGAGGATGAAGAAGCAGATACACAAGAAGAAGAGGAAAGTCACGAAAATAACGGTTTGAATGGAGACAAATCCGAAACAGAGCCTGAAGAAGCAACACGAAGAGGCGGAAAAACAACTGCAAGACAGGAAAAAGATGATAGTTCGATGTTGCGAAAAAGACAAGGTGTATCGACTTTAGGAGATGAGAGTACGGAGCCTATGCAAATTGATTGATTGAGGTCAAGAATCATATGCTACGTACTGCTTTGCAGCCTTTTCAATCCATCTCGTCACCATTTTGTAGAATATTTGCACGCCTATTTATATAAGCACATGACATATTAGGCCAAAAAATGAAAAAAGACTGTACAATGACGTTAAAGCTGTATCCTGAGAGAGAGAGAGAGAGAGAGAGAAAAAAAGGTATATGTACAAAAAGGAAAGATATTCGTTATCTTCAAATGATAAGTGCCGAAAGATTGTCGTAATTTTCTTGAATGCATGCCATCCTGCGTGTGATCGAGCCAATGAATCTCTCGACGCAATTAACTGCAAACGATGGCAATTCGTCTGCTTGTTCAGCAGGATCAAGTAAACCCTGTAACATTGTACAAGCAGCACCATAATGCAATAAACATTGATCGGCGACCGGTTTAGAGTCACCTGTACGTTCGATTGATAATTCGGTCAAAGCACCTTTTCTTGCGATCCGTAAAGCTTCACTAAAGATTAATTCATCAATTTGTTGAACGGATTCCGGAAATTCTTCAATAGATTTCGATCGTGCAAAACTTGCCCTTTCACTGCCTTCGTGAAACTTTGATCGTAGCGCCAAAAGTGAATTGATCACCACTTGACTTGGTGAACCTACAGACGGGCTTGAGTAACGACTAGCACTTTGTGAACGTGATTCGATAAAATCTTCTGCTGCTTGAATTGCTCTTTGCACGAAGCTCAAACTACGTACATAAAGAACGTACGCTTCCGAAGCCGCAATTTCACCTGGAGTGGCCTGACTTTCATCTTGATTAGAAGATGGAAGGGTGTCTGTGGTAGAATCTTCTTCAGCGGCTTTCGAGGTGGCAATCTTTTCCGATTCTACTTTTTGTACCGTTGTCTTTGTTATACTTCCACTCGTTGCGCTAGAAAGACTGCTGCCCGAATTACGTCTTCTGTCCGTGTAATTGTTTTGATGAGGTCCGTACGCAAAGAACGTACTCAAGCGAGCATCTGCAAATTCTGTCAAGACGTAACTCTTATGACCATATTCGTGCAAGAGACACAACAAATTCTGTTCGGCGATATCAACCGTTGCATTTCCAGAAGAATAACCTGCCACTTCGCCGTTCTGATTTGGAGATGAAGAAAACAGTGCTCCCGATCCTAAACCCATCCTTAACGATTTACGTACTTCTGCTCCTTTCAATGCCATCCCCGTTGGCACACCGAATAATCGAATGGACGCCATACTTATTGCCCGAGCCAGAGCAGATGTCGGCTGTTGGGTCGGACCAAGCGAAGAAGACGTTGATGGATTAGGTGATTCATTCGATTGTTGCATTTGTCCATTTGCCGGATTGATTGCCGTTCTGCTTGAAGAAGCAGGAATTAATTGTGCTAAAGCAGGTCTGGGAGATTGAGGTGGTCGCATTGTTGATAAGCGAGATGCTTCGCTGGCACCACTCGCACGTCGTGAGAACGAAGGTTTGCGTGCATTCGGAGGAAGTGCGAAAGGAGCATTGGGTGGTGTGCTACCTAGCCTGTTCAAGATTGGCGAGGACGAATAGCTGGAGTTCGTTTCCTTGTTTACCGGTTTGTTTGCTTGGACGACAGGGACTGCTTTGGCTGGAATAGAGCTTGCATTGCTGGGAGGGATACTTGTCCGTACATCTGCAGCAGTTGATGGAGTTAATGAAGGTGATTGTTGTGTACGTGTAGCTGCCTGGACTAAAGGCGATATAGCTCCAAAGCTTGTCAGTCTGCCAAGCTGCGATGGCCTTCGCACAACGCCCAAAGGACTCCATCCGCCACTCGATGGGCCCCCCTTTGCTTTGGCTTGACTTGCAGCTTCTTCTGCTCCTTCAACATTACGCTTATCAACCAATACATATCCTCGATCATCATCATTTGTTCCAGAACGCTTGATAGGTTCCTTACTCATCTTTGAAGCACCGACTGTCACGATTGGAGTTGTAGATGGTTTCGTTTGTCCGACAGCGGCAGGCAGATGTGAGACGCTAGAGCCAGGCGTTTCTAGAACGTTGTCTTCCAAACTGGAAGCATCTCCATCATGATGTGTTTCGTTTGCAATTATATTTTCTTTGACTTTATCTTGTGGTGGTGGTATAGGTGCCACATCTTGCCTGCTGACAGGTTGAAGTCTATCTCGACTTCGCATCCTGACAGACGATTTCAGCCCACCGACAACGTATTTCGAGCCAAAGTAGTGTTGTGGCATATTCAACACCGGCGCTGGCGAGGCAGGGGGAGGAGTACTTGCTCCTGTATCTGTACTATCCGGAACGTTTTCATTTGCTTGTTTCGATTGTCTTTGTTTATCTTCAGTCCGCGCAGGATTGCTTAAAGGAGCGCTAGAAGGAACAGCAGGTGCGATACGAGTTGCGACAGGCACTTGTCCATTGATCAGAGAAGATGTAGATGTTTGCGTTGAGCTTTGCGGGAGGGATGGAATCATGCTTGCCTTGTAAGCAGAAAGTACGTCACAATTGAAAAAGTCTTCGAATGAAAGACGCTCGATCGGTCTCCTACGTAAAAGATCACGAATCAATTTCTTGATATCTTCATCCACAGGATGTGGTCGAACAAATTCAGACTTAGTCCTTCCTTCTTCCACTTTTCTTGCATGTTCCCGACGAAGTGCATCTTCGCTCTTTTCGTCCGGGAACTTGATCCTATCTTCGCCTCGATCGATCCGCTTTAGCAATTCCACATGATTTGCTGCTTTGAATGGCGGTGAGCCAACACTCATCTCGAATAAGACAGCTCCTACACTCCAGAGATCCGCTTTTGCATTGTACTTTTCGTATCGGAGAATTTCAGGAGCCATGTACAAAGGCGAACCACACAACGTTTCCGCCACTGATGCTTCTTCGAGATGTCTTGCAAAGCCAAAGTCTGCCACTTTAAGTTGAGGAATGAATGCAGCATGACCTGCATCAATCAGATCTTGTTCGGGTTCTTGCAATAAAAGATTTTGTGGTTTGATATCACGATGAACGATATTCTTTCCACGCATGAACTGGAGTGCGGCTGCCAATTGGGCCAAAAAGCTTCGGACTAGATCGGCATGCAAGCCTCCGTTATGTGGATGGACGTATCGTTTGTCAATCTCTTCTTCGTATGGATCTCTTCTTTGTTCAGGTGCACTTCTTTTTGAGGATGATGATGAATGTCCATTACGCTTCCTTGATTTGATAAAGATGCTCAGGTCACCCATTCTACAATATTGCATGACCAAGTAAATATGATGCTCGGTCTTTAAACAATCCAAAAGTTCGACAATGTTTGCATGTCGAACCGTGCGTAAGATGCGAATTTCTTCTTCTAAATTATCTAATAATTTAGCTGTCATCTTTTTCCTTGTCACTACCTTGATCGCCACTCTCGTTACAGGACTCGAAGGAGATCTGGATGAACTGGATTCATCTTCTCTTGATATTGCTCGTTGTACTTTACCTAGATATACGACTGCAAAAGAGCCTTTTCCGATCTCTCTAGTGAGCTTGTATGCACCAACGAGGTGTCCAGGCTCAATTGTTGAAGCTGAAACAGAGACGGGAGCAGCCATGTTGAAGGCGAGAAGGGTGTATGCTGGTTGAAGGTAGGATTGTTGTTAGAGTACGCCTTTGCTCAGCACTTTCGTTGTAAGCTGATGGGCGTTGATCTGGAATTGAATTTGGATGTGTTGATTGGTTCAAAGAGTCTATCGTCCAATTCAGAAAGAGGAGAAATGATCCGATTTACCCTAGCCACAACCAATGCTTCGGTAGCAAAGGAATGCTTATCGGTGATCGAATGCATACACACGCCCCGCAAAAGGTATGAGCAATGTTGCCCTGCAACCAAGTTCCGCCCTTCCGGTCTTGGATGTAGTTGTTCGGTTGGTGATGGTAAAAAGCCAAAAAAAGAAGGATGATGAGGGTAAGACAAGAACTCTCAATAGATATCCTGGATATGAAGTGAATGTTGGTTCGGTGCTTTATAGTATTGTTGTTATGTTTCATACTGTGCTTATCGTTACCCTGCATAGTATTGCATAAATACTGTCAATTTGCCTTTTCTTTTTGCTTAGCCTAAACGCTCCACTCGGAGTCAGAGTCAATTTTATGTTTCGCTTGCGTGATACGGCGAACACGTATATACACATACACGCCTTACGCCCGCCTGAGCAGCAGAGCAACGCACGCGGTACGCCTTTTTTAAAGCATTTATCAATCAATCAGCCGGCTTCGATAACGATTTCGTGGGGTTAGAAAGGAGCTAAGCCGACAACTTTGAAATGAGATTGACTCATTATGGTTTTGACCTCGAATACGATCGTGATGATTCCATGAAGTTCAATTTAAGTATCGCATGGGCTCTATCTTTGAGCATGAGCCTATTTCCAGAGGCCGTTTTTGCGGGGGACTTCTGCTCATCTGTGAAGCAAAGAATGACCACACGATCACTTCATTTGGGACCTTCTACCGCGTGTGACATTATACAATGTGCTCTCATTCAACAAAAGACTCAAGGCCTATTTGAAATTGTATCATTCCTGGTGATGACCATCAAGAAGGAGGCGTAAACGTTTGACTTGATTAATTAAGGTCCCTGTGCTGCACTAAAAAGCCCACGCATACATTTACTGTGTGTGTGTGTGTGTGTGTGTGTGTGTGTGTGTGTGTGTGTGTGTGTGTGTGTGTGTGTGTGTGTGTGTGTGTGTCTCTCAGAATAACACAAATAACACCGCGCGTATTTTATGCACTTCGTCAGTCTAGTAGCTTTTACCCCTTTTTTTCTTGGTGAGGAGAATTTGGTAAATCAACAAGAGTAACGTACCTGAAACGTGTGTAAGGACCTATCTTCTTGTGGATGGCACTGATCTCCACCCATTCACCATCTCACTTGACCACATCCACAATGCCTACACCTTTATCGTGTAAATCAGCTTCGGCATTGGATTCATTACCACGCAATGCAAACGCACGCAGATCGGGAACAGCATTAAATAGGTTACAACAACAAAGGGTTGGAAGTAAGACAGGCATTAATGACTCTGGAGAGATTGGCATTTGGGACGAAAGCGTATCCAGTCTGACACCTGCTTCACCAATCCTACAAACGAAGAACAACTTGCCAAGTAGAAAATTATCAGACAAATTCGCACCAAGGAGAAAGAGAAAAATATCGCAAAAGTCAAACAAGGCCATTGCATCAAACGATCTCCCTTTGGCAAGCTCAGATTTGTACAACGATAATCAAAGGTCCAATTATCGCTCTTCGTTCGATAATCCGTCCTTTCCATCTCGAGATGCATTTAGCGATGGCGAGCAGGAAGGTCTAGGTGGCATTAGCGAAGATGACGATGATTATGATGGCGTTGCAAGACATAGCATACGTGTTGTCGGTGGTGGTGGTGGTGATCAAGGCTTGCCTCGCGTACGTGCTATCAGTCTGTCGCCCAAGAAGTTGTATCAGCCAATCATGATGCCGATCGAAGAACCTGAATATTCAACGCCAGACAAGGATGAATCCCAAATCAGCGAAGCAATGTCACCGATCAGTAACAGTCAAAAAGCTGTAGGAAATGCACCTGCCAGTCCAAGCAAGAGAAGACAGCAGAGCACACCTGCACGTAAACGAATAATTACAAAAGAGATGATCGGCAAGCCAACAAACTTTCAGCATACAGGTCATATTGGCGCTACTTCCTACGGGGGAGCAGTCTCAATGGATGGAGGAGATGCAGAAAGGTTGAGACAACAGTTGTCTGAAGTGGCAGCAGCTTTGCGGTTGGATGATGGCAATGTGAGCTCTAATACGAGCTGCTTACCTTCTCGTGAAGCCAGTAAAGATAGCCGAGCAGGCAGTAGCGGAGGCGAGACTGCTCTTACTGAAGATCTGTCTCCTATGCCAATGCATTCTGTCTCGGGGGACTATTCTTTGCAAGATCAATCTGCGATTAGTGCACCGCAGCTGGATACTTCTACCAAGCAGCAAATTGCTCCAGACCTTGCGCGAGCTGATAGTCAACATTCCACGCAAGAAATAACGAACAAGACCGCTTTGAAGCGTACGACATCAAAGAGGAAGCCCGTGCCGACTCCAAGGAATCTTGCTGATCTGTATGGTGAATTCAGTCAACCAGACAATAATGGGGGCTCAGACAAGGAATTTGCTATCTTACCCGACCACAATCAGCCAACCACACTTCCTACCAGCATTGAAGAAGAGACTGAAAATGGAGAAGGAATTGTTGAACAAGAGAACCAAGTAAACACAAAACCTGTTCCAACCACCATACGTGCAAACGGCAAGCGAATGGTAGAAGGTCCTGCTGGAGACTATATAACGGAAACAGCCAACGTTCGATGGAATAAAGCAATGAACGAGATTACCCTAGCCCTTAAAGATGAAAACAATGATGATGATGGAGAAGAAGAAGATATTCAAACGGGCTTGCAAAGGGCTGATGAAGTATTACGACAATTGAATGCGACTTGATGGGTGTATTGTAAGAGGAAGTGCAAATGACGGTGATAATACAGTGTATAATACTTTGCTCGAAGATGTATAAAATTGCAATTCCTATAGAATCATGCTTATAATATTAATCATTATACTTCAAGTTTTGCATTTTAGTTGATCGCGCACGGGGCACATCATTTAATCTTCTCATCAATCCGCCTCTCATCAAACACGTTTCTTCCTTTTACCGACGATCTCCCTCTTTATCAAAATGACACAAGGCTCTCCTTCACATTCACCAAGCCCATCTCCAGCAAATGGACCTTCCCGCAAGCAATTACGAGTGCTCACATTGAACGTTTGGGGATTAGCATTCTTTAGTAAACTGCGAAACGTTCGAATTCCCGCGATTGCCGCTCGATTGGCCGCGAGTGATTATGATGTTGTGGCACTACAAGAGATTTGGTGTGAAGCGACGGATTGGCGACAACTAAAAGATCGTTGTTCTGTAAAGTTTCCATACAGTAAATTTTTCTATACAGGCGCTTTTGGATCGGGTCTGGCAATTTTGTCAAGATATCCTATCGTGGGAACGCACACACATCCTTATAGTCTTAATGGACAGCCTATCATGGTCCATCATGGAGATTGGATCGTGGCCAAAGCAGCAGGCTGTGCGACGATTGATGTTGATGGTTTAGGGTTGGTGGACTTTTGGGTTACGCATACAGTTGCGGCAAGTGGTGAAGATGGACCGGAATCAAGGCGGGCACACAGAGTGATTCAAGCATACGAATTGGCAAAATATGCACGCAATAGTGCTGCAAAGGGACACCATGTTGTTTGTTTGGGTGATTTCAATAGTACCCCACCTTCTCTTTCCATCGCTGTGTTGCGAGATGTCGGACAATTGAACGATGCATTTCTGCAAACGCATCCTTCTCTGCCACCTCATGCTATCTCACTTCCACGCTCGACCCGTATCCGACCTGATCCTCGCTTGAGCATTGCGGAATTGGGTGTTACGTGTGATAGCCCTCTCAATACGTGGACAGCCGGCAAGAAGTTGGACGAAAGAGCGTTGAAAGGAGCCGGCAAGAGATTGGACTACATCTTATATCGAGGACCGGATGTAGACCATAAGAGCAAATCGCAATTGAACTGTACCGAATGCAAGGTGAACTTTACCGAATTGATTGAAGGACAACAATGCTCTTTTAGTGATCATTTCGGTCTAGAAGCAACATTTGAAATTCTTTCTTCCGGTGAAGTCCACGCAAATCAAAGACCTCCTCTATCGCCTGACTCAGCAAGGGCAAGCTCATCAAGGTTATCCCAGACTTTGACATCATCCTTATCAGCCCTTTCAGCCTCGCTAGCAGCATCTCGTCAATCACAAAGGAATCATGCATTCACCTTTATTGCTTCTGTTATTTTGGCTTTTGCATGTATAATCTTTGCCGGAAGTACAAGGATGGGTCGTGTTGGTTTAGGAGCAATATGGGCATTGTTTACTTTATTGTTCACTTGGCTTGGTACGACTGCTTTGTATAGTGCTCTGATTTGGGGAGAATGGGAAAAGAGAACGCTAAAAACATTTTTGGAATCGATGGAATTGGATCTCATGGCAGAACGAAGGAGACATTCTTCATTTACGGGATCTCCACAAGCTTCCAAAGCGACACTCTCATCAACATCTCAGCACAAGGATTCAAGGCGATCTACTGATAGCACTCAGAGGTTGGTGAATGTTGACTAGGCGAACTCTTTCGGCTTTTTGTATTATATATGTTTATACATTTTTCTTTCGTGAATTGATGAAAATCCAATCGAATCATTCTTTAAGCGGTTCTTAGAATCAAATGTAAACCAGAATCAGATTTGATGACATCACTCATTTCTCCAACTTGAAGACCATAAGTTGCATCTTCAAATGGTTTCTGCATTTGACCACGACCAAAGAAACCTAAATCACCTCCTTTAGCGGCTGAAGAACAATCGGAATGCGTTTTTGCCAATTGACCAAATTGATCTGGAGTAGGCTTTGATCCAAGTGTGTTTGCATGTTCACGTAGGATACCTTCTGCTTCTTCAACGGATCGGGTGATGTTTTTCTGGTTGGATAGAAAAGAAGGCAACAAGCTGTCAGTGATTCTATTCTTAATAAGCGTTTATAGCAACCACTCACCTCTTTCCAACTGCTCGGTCTTCTACTATCACGATGTTTGACAAGCAAATGACTTGCTCTTACCTGACCTTCTGGTACATCACCATTACCGCTACCGTTTGCATGTTGTTGTAAGTAATGAGCACCGGGTAAAGATGTGATTTGTTCTTCTGAGATACCTTCTGGACGTTCCCAAGTTGATGCACCACCTGCCGAATCGTAAAAGTAAGGCAATTGACGTGATTTAGAGAATCTGATTTCCCAAGATGACATTTTGTTTGTTGGTTGTAATGTGATTATAAGTAGATGATGGTTAAGTCAAGAGAAGGGGAGTCGTTGAATGCTCACTAGCGTTCCGCTTTCTGTTGCTCGCACTGGCCAATTGAGTAAATCACCGGCGTGTGTGTGTTGCTTTTCATTACGCGTATGATTCAAAGTGTTACTTTTCTTAACCTTTCTTCCACAAGGGATCATGATTGACATACTTCATAATCATGCCAGTTCATCTACGTTTGAACGATAAAGATACAAGTCGTAATCCATTCATCAATTTTGTAACTGCTCTGCCAGGCTCAAGACATGATGAAGCATTACGTAGATTACAACAATTGTCAGCAATGGTAAAACCATTGATGCAAAAAGAAGGCTTTCATATAAATTCATTGGAAGAATATGAATGGAATCGTGAATTTGCAGGAAGATGTTGGAATAATGGAGAAGTGGTTGAGCTGGTTTTAGTGTCCGCTAATGGAAATTGGATACCATTACAGTATGTCCTTTACGTCTTTTGTCATGAATTGGCTCATATAAGACATATGAATCATATACCAAAGTTACATGGTGCTTTGACCCGACAATTAAAAGAACTTGCACTTGAGAAACAGAGACAAGGTTACTTCGGAGATGGGATGTGGTCTGCTGGAAGACAGCTAGAAGGCGGAGGGTTCGTTTCAGGATTGGGTATGCGACAAGGTCAACAAGATTTACCTGAACATGTTTGTGGAGGAGCATTTAACAAAAGACGTTTGCGAGGCGGTGGCGGTCGTAGAAGAAGGCAAGGGACAGGAAACAGAAAGAGAAAGTTCCAAGGGCCATCACTGCATACTGGAGCTCAAACAGCTCCAAATACCAAAGGAGGAAATCGAAGGACAGAGCTAAATGTTGCCAGTGGCAGTGGAAATAGAGTTGATGGACAGGATTGGATCCCTACAGCTTCTGCGAAAGATTCATCGTATAAACAAGATATGAATAGCACTTTTCGAAAACGAACGCAAAGCAAGGACGCACGAGAAAAGAGAGCGAGTGCTGCTTTGGCCAGATTTGCTGCAGTAAAAGTGAAGCCTGAAACGAGCGATACTATCAAGGTTGAGCAAAGACCGAATCTTTCGAATGACAAGAAAGGTCCTCTTGATGGCATTTTCGGACGAAAGGATGTCAAGGAAGAAGAGTACGATATCTCTGAATCAGAGAGCGAGACAGAAAGCGAAGGTGATGATACAGATTATGTAGGTAACGATCTTCCGGAAGATCAACATTTCACACAAGGATTTGAGGAGAGTTCTGAACAGCGGAAAAGGCGAATGCAACGGTTTCGTGATCGCGAAGAAACGCAGGATGAGGACGAGTGGCGTCATTTGCTGGAAAACAGTAGTCCGGGCTCAGAAATGCAGAGGAAAGGAGAAGTCGACACTGCAAAGGCTATCTCGATTGAAGACGATGATGACGACGATGTCATATTGGTGGAAGAAAGACCGGCGAAACAGCCCAAAACGGAAACCAAACCAGTTTCAGCTCAAACCGATAGGGCCAGTAATAATCACCGAGGTAATGGAAGCTCATCGTCGAATCAACAAAGTGAGGCAGTAACGAGGCCTAGTCCTCTGCCTATTTGGAGTGAGTGCATTTCATGACATTCAAGTTGTTCACCTCTTTACTAACATATCTTCCCTGTCCGACAGCTTGTCTCGTATGTACTCTAGAGAACACAATCCACGACCGTCAATGTGCGGCTTGTGAAACGTCAAGAGATTCCTCTATTTTGGGGACATGATTTATGTATAATATTGTAGCATATTGGATGATGGAATGAATAAGTGTCATTGTATCCCGTAATGAAGTGTATTGTGCCCTACAAACTGTCATAGTAAGGCGCGTATGGTGATAAGGCATAACTTAACCGTCAAGCGCAGCGCCGGTGAAGGCGTTGGGCTGCAATTTGGCTGGACATATGCACTGTATCATTTTATTCATTCATTAGACTTAACAGCATATGGTGGATTGAAGTATACCTTTACACTTCCATATCAACAATTTAGGAGGATGCAATCAACTTGCGAGCATTTCGAGTAAATTCATTTCAGACTTTATGATCAGCATATATTCGATTCAAATCGCAAAGATCGAATGTTGATTTCAAGTCACAATTGAACATAGGCACGCGAGCATACACACACACACACACACACACACACAATTCAACAAACGCTCAGACCTCATCGAATCACCCGATCGAATCAATTAAACACTTCTAAAGAACATTGAGCCCGTCATCATTTACTGTCACTGCAAGTCGTGATCCATATACCCATATTCGACGATCAAACTTTCGCTGCGATGATTTGCAACGCTTAGATTCACGACAAGGATCCGTAATCCGATACATTGGCAACAACAACATCTGCTTGAAATAAATACCCATTCACCAACACACACAACAACATATCACATCATGAGTTACGCACCCAATACACGAAAAAAGAGAGAATGGGGAGGACAACAACACACATCTGGAGTCGGATCGGCGATCAATAAAAAGTCCGCTCTTTCAGCAGCATATGCTGAATTGGGTAAAGAATTAACTTCAGGAAAACTACGTTCGATCGGTACATACACCCTTGGCAGACCGATCGGAGAAGGAACATACGGAAAAGTTCGTTTGGGCACACATCGATTGACGGGAGTACGTGTTGCGATTAAACAAGTTCCAAAAGCACATAGTTCAACTTTAACAAGAGAAATTCATCATCATAGAAGATTGCATCATCCTAATATTATGCAACTTTATGAAGTCTTGGCTTCGGAATCGTACATTTGGATGGTAACGGAATTATGCGCAGGTGGAGAATTGTACGATTACCTTGTAGAGCGTGGTACAATGCCAGAGCCGGAAGCAAGACGGATTTTTGGACAATTGTGTATGGCCGTTGCATATATACATGATCGCGGTATCGTTCATCGGGACCTGAAACTGGAGAATGTCTTATTGGATGAGAGGTGTAATGTCAAATTGGGAGATTTTGGCTTTACAAGAGAATTTGAAGGTAAAAAGTTGATGGAAACTTTTTGCGGTACTACTGGTTATGCGGCACCAGAAATGCTGGCAGGTAGACGATATACGGGAGAGGAAGTGGATGTATGGTCGCTTGGGATTATTCTCTATGCCCTGGTTTGCGGTGCTTTGCCATTCGATGACGATGATGATAGTGTGATGAAAGACAAAATCCTCAAAGGAGATTTCGAATTGCCGGATGTTTTATCAGAAGAGTGTTTGGATCTTATTACAAAGATCCTACAACAAGATCCTACCGCTAGACCGACGATCAAAGATATTCTTCGACATCCTTGGTTCACCAAGTCAATGGCGCCTATGCAGATGGAGACAGTCAATGAAGACGTACACGATGTTCAGCCCTTGGAGAGCGTTGCAGAGTCATCCGCCTCAGATAGTCGTTTCTTGACAGCCAAATCAGGCATGCTTGCTTCATCGCCGAACGAAATAGAAGACGATCAAGTCAAGAAGGAGAAAGAGAGGACGGAAGATCGAATGCATAAAGTTTCTTCTTCAGGCTTATCCGACACCAGCTTCTTTTCAGCACAAAGCAAGAGTGATAGTGAATCAAGCGATAAACAGTCCAATCATACGCAGACCACAGGTCCGACAAGTGACGGAGGTGATGAAGAAGTCAAAGAAGCAATGAGACTAGCTGAAGAATTAAAGCCCACGTCTGCACCTTTATCCCTAAAGCATAGGAATGAATCACAAACCACCATCAAACGGCAAGCATCTGCTAGCAGTGATGCTTCTCGTATTGCTACTGGCACCTCATCCAAATCCAATTCAGCTCCATTACCAACACATTCTGAAAGCAGTGAAGCAAGTGGGAATACCACCGAAGATACTTTCACACCAATGATGGCTTTCTCCTCTCCATTAGAGAAAAGACCATCTCAAAGCTCATCTCGAGGTGGTCATCACCGTACTCCTTCACGCACGAAACGGAGATCGTCCGGAGGTCTGTCTGATCATCATCCTCCCAGCCTGGATTTGAAGCCGGTGGACTATATTGCACTGTTGGAGCTTTCGACACCTGCGATATTTTCTACCATTTTAGAGCAAAATTTGTTGCATCAATTGAGCGGACTAGGAATGGATGTTGGACAGATCGTGCATAGCGTAGTGAATGAAGCATGTGATGCAAGTGGAGCAATGTGGTGGATATTGAAGAAGAAAGCAGAGGAAAAGTTACAACAAGAACACGATCAAGGTTTATCACCTTATATGGCAACATACACTTTAGCACATGCACCAATCTCGGCAACAACTTCTGCAACGGCAAATGAAAGCAATCGACCACGAAATGATTCCAACGTATCTGACCATCGATATACAGATAGATCTACAGCAGCAGCAAAGACATCCCCGCTTATACCACCGCGTGATCTCGTTCGACCAACAGCGGTAAAGCCGGTTCTAGGATCTGTGAATACCGATCCAGGCTTTATTAAAACTTTTGATATTCCTCAACGTGAATCGAGCAATCTGCTATCCGATGGACCTCTGTCTGATATCACACATGGTCCGGTAGCAAGCCAGCACACGAATTCGGCTCTAAGACAGTCTCGTATATCGCCACAACGTAATCGAGCAAGTTCATTCAGCGCACGGCTAACGCAGGTATTAGCAGGCAAAGACAAAGAGTTGAGGAATGAGAATGGTGAATCTTCCATCATGATTGGAAATGAACAAATTCCAATCGAAGAACGTTCAAAGAGTCCAGTCATGCCAGGCTTCTTCTCCAAGAAATCAGAAAGGAATTCGCCCAGTCCTGCATCAACGCCAAAAGCTGATAAGAAAAAGGATATCAAATCACCTTTACGACCAGAACCGACTGCGTCTGTTTCATCTCTTACAAAGAGCGAAGGCAAACGATCCGAATCGCGCGAAGGTGACCGAAGCTCTCCTGGAGGATCACCTATGCGTAAAGGCAAAGGAAAGGCTGAAAATTTGACCAATAAAAGTGATTTGAAAGCAACGAAATCGTTTGAAACATTTTCTACCGTCTCTTCCAATTCTCACACTGATGGCACACATGAAGGTTCAACGAAGAGTAAAGGTCCTAAATCTTCCTTTTTGCACACTGTTAGGAATTGGCTAGGAACGGAAGATAAAAGTGGCAATGGGAGTAGCAGTCGTATTGGGACGACGAAAAAGAAGAAGAAACGACAGCAACAACAGCTACAGCAGCAGCAATTGCAGCTGTCAACAAAAGGCTTAGCTTCCGGCTCACAACGCCAAATGCATTCACCTGTCAATGTCAAACGCTTGTCATCCACACAAGGGGGCTTAAGACCAGCAAGTCCAGCTATGATGAGAAATGGAAGTCTGCGAAGACAGGCTCCTCCTGTTGCCTACCAATCATCAAGTGTCGCACGCTCTCCTCGATTGAGTCAACGTGGATCTATAAGCCGTCGTAGTTCCTCGGGAAGTGTACAGTATGCAACAATCACGCAGAGACCGTTGAATCCGCGAAGGCCAAGTGCTGGTAGCATCACCCCCACAACGGTTGGACCTGGAGTTGAAGATTTCTTACTTCCAATCCGCCACAGTCGTCCTTCTAGCGCACAGTCTCATACTAGGCCTCTTGGATCCATGCATGCCAAGAGTGGCTCGACCGGCAGTTCCAATTCGTTTGCACGCATGCAATCCCATGGCAGCGGTTACAGTGGAAGTCTACGTGGCATTCATGCTCGTAGACCCAGCGTTGACGGTGGCACAACTGTTCGTCGGCATAGACATTATACACATCACACTCGTTCTGATTCTATGACTAGGTCAAGGCCTTCAACGCCGAATAGAAATTCAATCATAGAAGATGTTTCGATGGATACAATCACTCCACGTAGATCACTCGATTTTGACGTAGGACGTGCATCACCTTTGCATACACCCAGAGCTAGTCAAACCGTTTTCGTTGCCCATCGATCTCGTACGCCCTATAAGCCACCATCTGCGAATCCTTCTTTGCATCATCATGAAGAACGTGATCAAGGACATCATTCGCAAAATATTTCGCAAGGACGTTTGTTCTATCATGGCTTTCAACCTCCGACTGCATTTGGTACTTGGCGTCGAAGCTGGGGTAAACCGCCACCATCTTGGGCTGGACCGGTTGATCAGCAGTCTTCAATCGAAGAGAAGAAATCGGATGCAATCAATTCAGTCAGCTCTGATGAGAACCCTATAGATGCGAAATCAAAACCTGCCTTACGAGATGTGTTTGCCAATCGTGAATCTGACGATGATTGGGAAGATGAAGATGATGAACCAACGTATGCTGGAGGATTAGGGCAGCTAGCTTCTAGCTCTTGGGTTCCCGATCCGTCCATGTCCAGCATGAGCTCATACGCTCAACAGCCCAGCACACCGATCTCGAAGCGTTCTGAAGGAATGCCAAACAATCTGTTGAGCTCTGGTCGATATGCTGGTGTGAGGAACATATTCCAACCTCCAAGTTTAGGACGAGATACAATGCCTCGAACGTGGGTTATGTCAGGCAATGAAGATACCAAAGAGAACGAAACCGGTGGAAGCACATTGCCAGCATCTGATGCCAATGGCAAAGACACAATTTCTTCTTCACCGATCCGAAGGCCGATAAATTTGATGAACACAAATGCAAACAATACCGCCAACCCAAGCACTAATACAAACACATCATCTACTACAGCAAGCAGTGAAGCCAACAAAGACAATGCTATCGCAACAGCTTCATTGGGCAATACTGCTTCGCGTGTTCGATCTGCTGCACCGACATTCAAAGGACCTGTAACGATTGAAGAGGAGGAAGAGGATGAATGATGTAATGCTGACGAAAATGTACTTTTATTTGCACTTTTTACCACAAGCTTTCTTTATGCTTTGGAAATCTTTACTCTTTTTTCTTATCGTACATGTACCTCTGCTTCTTTTTTCGTTTCAAGTATACCACTATCTTTATGCACAACCTTTTTTGTTTACGATACAGTTGCTATAATATACCTAGCTTTTTTGCATTGAATCCGAAACTGATTTATGATACATGAGAGTTACACACGCTTCTTCAAATCTAAACCTGCCAATCGCCAGCGTAGTATCGTCAAACAAAGGGCGGCGATCATGCTGATTGCTCCCATTACGCCTAATGGCAACAAATAAGGTTTCGTGCCCAGTCCTGCTCCACGTCCATATGTTTCCGCCGCCTTTCTTGCCTCTTCTGCCGCTCTTGCTCCGCCACTTGAGACGTCCAATAGGTAGCCTGCAATCGCAGGACCTAAAGCAGATCCAAGACTTCTTGACATAGTTACCATTGCCATTGTGACAGACATTGCCGAGACGCCATACAGAGAAGAAAGAACGGGAGGTTGAAGGCTTAACAAAGCACCACTTGCTGCTCCATTGATCAACAAGAAGCAAATCAAAGGAGCCAACAATCCACCGGAAGCCATCCAAATTGATAAAATTGAAATTGCCATCAATAACATTGCTAAACATAAACTTGTCAATGGACCAACCCTTCCATCAGCCAAAAAGCCAAAGAAGATACGACCGACAGCTGATGCTAAGTTGAAACCGGCCACAAGCCAAGCGCCCGTTTCTGCAGACATTCCGGCTGCGACGGCATAAGAAGGTAGGAAGAAAGCTGGCACGAAAAGACTGAAAGTCATTAATGCAGTTGCAAGGATCAACAAATTGAAGTTGAGATCTTTGAAGTACGTCAATCGAAAAGAAGCAACGGGTACTTCTTTATTTGAACGAAGGGTGAAGCTTGCCGGAATCAGTAAGCCCAGTGCAATCCCGCCATAGATACGTACCGCCACTTCCAAGCCTACGATCGTGATCAGCCGAGAGAGTATGATTGAGAAAACGGCTCCTCCAACGCCAGAGCCTGCGTAGACGATTCCGACTGCCACTCCTCGTTTGCGTACGAAGTATTGACCAGCTAGACTGTTACAGCTCCAGAAAGTGAGCGCATAACCCATCCCGAACAAGCTTTGAGCTAAGAACAGATATACGACCGGTTTATCAAACGTGAAGGAAGTTGCCAAATATCCAAAACCGGTACACAAAGCTCCCAACAAAGCAATCGTTCTGTTTGATGTCAATTTGATGGAAGCCGTAACTGGAATAGCTAGAAGGGGCATGAATACCACAGTTGTGCTGGATACCCAACCTAAAGTAGAAGATGATGCATAATTCCTTCGAAGCAATTCTGATTGCATCACTCCGAAACTATAAACGAGTCCTAATACGACAAAGAATATTGTCGTACTACCTGCTACTACTATCCAACCCCATAATCCACCTTCGCTCGTGACGGGATCTGCAAGTTCTGCTGGCGATTGATTTTCGGCGATTTCATCGCCGTCGTTAGCTGGTTGATTGAGAGCATATAGTCGGATAGTATCATCTTCCGGGGTTCCTTGTTGTGCTGTCAGAGAGCGGGTTTTGTTCCTTTTGACAGAGGAGAATTCTGAGCGACCAGTGCCATCGTGAAGTCTATTCGCCAAGCCAAGATCGAATGTTGACATCTTTGTACAATGTGGATTATGATCAAGTTGTACCAACTTTTGGAAGGTTGACTTCCAGCCGGTTTCCCCCACCATTGGCCCGTCGTCGTACGAAAGTCTAAATGTTCCCCGCGTTAAGGTTGTTTTTAACTCCGCACAGCTCCTATCAAAGCGGAAGAAAACGTATACGAGAGACAGGCACGCGTAACAGTCGCGTTTAAAGCGTGCCTACATCAATTTAATAGCTCTATTTGTGGACATTTATTTTTCCGGCACTTATGCTCTGAAGGACATGTCTCAATTCATTAGCAACATTTGATAAAGTCACACACCAACGTCCATTCCAATGTGATTTAAATGTCATCTTTACGCTAAAAAGGCAAATATTTATTCGCAAATCTCTTTTGAATTGCTAATTGGCGCTAGATATGGGAACAATGCATGCAATATGCAAATGTTGACCGAAATGTGTTGACTTGCTTTACGATAGAGTGGGTCATTTTAATCTATTCGGCTCCTGGTATTGATTTGCATACCAATCTTGTGGTGAACAACAACTGAGCTGATTTTCGGAAATGCATGACCTGAAACGTCGTGTTGCCCTATCTGTCTTTGTCGATCAATGTGTAAGAAAGGCCGTCCTTTCTCCCCCTTAAACCCCGCCGCCGGACTGTATAATTGTATTGAAAATGGAAAATCCTCAATTAGCGCTAATTTAATTTGATCTCCGACTAAAATATAAAAATCAAAAGCAGCATGACTACAAAAGAAAAAGTGGCTTGCTTTTAAAGGACGGAAATGGGATGTAGGTTTGCCTGTGCGTTGCGTGCAGTAATAGTACGCGGCGCGCTCTATTAGCTCCCGCATGTCAAACACGGTACCTGTTTGGCGAAACAAATATTAATCAAGGCACTATTAAACGCTGCATGCATACACACATTTCTGTAAATAGGTCTGTTGTGTTTTGTTTCTCTGGCTTTTTGCCTGAATGCTTTCAATTTGGCGTAAAAGTGTCAAAATAGAATAGCTAGAAGAGTGTTGTGCATATGCTCACCAGAAATTACAACTTGATCTTTCTTTTTGTCTTTTTAATGATTGCAATAATACACATTCAATTACAACAACAGCGGAAATATGCACAAATGCAGATCTTTGAGAGGATGCATTACGTCTGTTGTTCGAGCTATAATGCATTCGACAATTGTCCTTTTCTGCCACGATATGTAAGTTGACTTTAATGTTAGACAGGTGAGAGAAGTCCGAAAGTAGAAGACCGAGTTGGAGTATATCGGAGGTAATCTACAGAGATCACCACCTCTTATCATCAATCATCATCATCATTTAATATTCACCTATCATTGCTATCGGAATCTTCATTTGCTTGCTTGTTCATTTGCTCGTACTCGACAACCGCTATCAGCACAAAAAATATCACCTATCAACAATCCATCTTATCTTGGTAAAGCCATTACAACAAAGGGACATCGAGCACAAATGTCGTTGTAAAGCTGTCAAGCTTACAACATTGGTACAGCCATGTTTCTCAACTATCAACCGCACATATACGAACGCGACAGAAGGAAAGAAAGGGAAGAAAGGAGTGCAAAATTAGAGGCAATCTTGGATAACAGTTCTATTTCTTCGCCTAATCGAAATCGTCGTCAGTCTGTTGATTCAGCTGCAACTTCGAATGACTCCGTTTCCAGACATTCCATTTCGCGTAACAGCGATAGAAGATCTTCTTTGACGCCTACTTCTCTGGCAAACCCTTCGGAGTATGCGTCAAACAAGCATGATGTTTCAGTGACCGATCTACCAAGTCCTTCGCCCTCGACCAATTCTGGTGGTCTTTTACAATTGTTTCATCTACGGAGAAACAAATCTTCCGGTCAAGATAGATCATTACAAAACAAATCGAACTCTGTCAATGTATCTGGAAATGCAAGTTCAAGACCATCTCGTAGCAATGAAAGAAGACCAACCTCTTCCAACAAGAAGGAACGTACAGGCCAATCTGCTACAAGATGGGGCAGCCGTGATGCGATGGTACAGACTCATTCTCCGTCAAGGAATGACAACAATTCAACGATTGATGAAGACTACGTGAAGCTGTCGGAATATGAGCAATCACCATCACCTTCTACTTCATCTTCGCTTTCACACTTTGGCTTTACCAAAAAAGCCCAAAGACCAAAAATCAACAAGAGACCTTCCACTGCGAGCGACCGTACTTCTCTTCGGACTGAGAAAGGTATGTTCCAACGTGTCAGTGCCTCAAGAAGCGAACAAGATTTGCACAATCCTACATCTGGCGAAGCAGGAAGAGCAGATCTTTCGTTCAATTTTGATGATCAAGATTCACAAGAGATCCTTACGTCGTACGAGCCAGTCTGCGATGAGAGAGGTATTAGTGGATTACGTATCTCGATCAGCTCTGAAGCTACGACTACGGATAATCATGGTTTCGATTCTACGGCCGATCTATCTGAATATTCATTACCTGTTCGTCTTGGCGTGATTTCTGCAAGCGCATACATACAAGGCGAATGTCCAGACTTACTTCCAGCTTCAGCACGATCTTCTTTGGATTTGTTCAATTTCAAACGATCCAAGTCCCCTTCTCATCATTCAAATTCTGCTTCAGCACACGGTGAACATCAATACGTGGAAGGATATTATCTCTGTACGCCTCCGCCTCGAAGAGCTCGTAAGAAAACGGTCAAAAGAGCGAATACAGGTACGTTTGCTACCAGTCCATCCAGTCCAACGCAACCACGGCTGGTCAGGCAAAGGACTATTTCTAGCTCTCAATCTATATCAAGTCAAAGTATGGTCGTTTCGCCCATAGTTGCATCACCATCTCTCGGAGTTCATCGAAATGGGCCTTTCATGATTGCTCAAAATATGCCAACAAGTACAGAGAAATCTAGCGTTGCTACACCTGCTATTACGAATCAAGTCGACGAGCGTCAAAGATGGCGATTGGAAGACTATTTCGACGTTGAAAGCAATCGGAGGCCGGGCAAATTTGGGTTCAATCAAAGCAAAAGGCATGCTTATCCTGCTGAAGAGGCACCATATTCATTCGCTTATGGGAACAGCACAATTCTTGCGGAGAATCTATTACATGCACATACAGAAAAGACTTTCGGAGAATTCTACCTCTCATCAGATCGACCGCCAAAGAGGGTTCTGGATATCGGCTGCGGCGATGGCCAATGGATCGTAGACATGACGCAGAAATGGCCAGAGGCAGAATTTATCGGCATGGATCTCGTTCCGATACAGACACCCGTGAAACTTTTAGAGAAAGACGTTCAAAAGCGTGTTTCTTGGGTTGTGGGCAATGCACTTCAAGGTCTACCTTTTCCGGATCAATGCTTTGATTTGGTTCATATACGTTTTCTCAATTACGGTATCCCAAAGCAAAAGTGGCCAGGTTTATTGGAAGAGGTGAATCGAGTCTTGAGTCCAGCAGGTGAGCTGTGCATTTTGGAAACTGATGTCAACTTCCTTGGATCGGCTAAACGTATCTTGAAAAGTGATCTCGCAAATCTTGAATCGCAAAATGGCGTCACAAGCTTTTCTCTCGTGGATGCCGAACCACACACGCATCGTAAACGAGACCAACGCAACTCTGCACTCGAAGCAGTCTGGCAAAGAACGCTGGAGCGGAATGGTATCGGATCGAATCCTTCTTCCTTCCTACCGGGACTTTTGGCAAGTGTGAAGGACGTAAAGAAGATCAATCATTTTGGCCCAAAACATATGCCGATTTTGGCACGGTCGTACTCGAAGAAATCGAAAAAGGAGACACAAAGTGGTTACTTCAATGACCCACCTCGGTCCTCAAATCTGGATGCTACTCCAAATATCAATGTTGAGACAAAAGATTCTTCAATTGACCTGGATGTGTGGAGAGCGGTCGTCTTGGCAGCGGAAACCGATAGAATTGCTGATGCAAAGCTTACTCTTTGGCATGAGGCGAACACGCTGCGTAAACAAGAGGCACGCAGAAAAGATGAAGAGGCTATCCTTCAAGAAACTAGGACGAGCTTCGCTTCTTCAACGTCACCCCTAATGAGCAATCTTTCTTCAAATCCATTAGAGCAAAACAAGCAAGTCGAGTCTCACCTATCACCTGATTTGAGCAAATCTTTCCAATCTGATGCTTCTGTGGATATGGTTGCAAAGACTGTATCAGAAAGGTGGAGAGATTATGCTCACTTTGAATCAGAAATAGACCAATGGCAAGCGGAGATGCATGCGAAATCGGATATTGAGCACGTTTTGAAAGTTCAAATCCCTTGGTCAAAAGCGGCAGAGAATTTTGACGGTTGGCATTTGCCCGAAAGACATCCACACAAAAGTGATTATCAACAATCGACATTGCAAGAAGGGGAGGAAGAGCTCTCTAAAGACTTCTTCTTTAACGCAGTTGAGAGTGTGGCAGGAAGTGAAGGCAATAACAGTCCATCTCCATTGACAAGTGATTCTCCATCACATGTCCTCTCTGAATCATCTTCAGAGCGCTCTTCTGATCCAACTTCACCTATTGACGGTGTTGCTTGGCAACCGCCTAGAAGTTTTGCTAGCGATATCGAGCGAGAGCTAGCTCTGGAAGAGCATGATTCAATTCGTCCGGCAAATGTATTAGCGCAATCTGAACAGCAGGAAAAGAGGATAATGCCTGTGATTGTTGCCAATGATATCGAAACTCCGATTCTCGACACTCCAACCATCGGTTCACAGTCATCCACACGATTTGCATCCATTTTAGGAATCAAGACTGTCCTTCTGATTTCTGTTCGCAAAGATGATGGTGGAGGCTTGCATATGGTTTCGTCATTTTAATCTTTATTTCTACTCTCTCATCTATTCTTACGTTCTTATCTCTTACTATGCATACCCTGTATTAAATACTCTCTTGTACATTATTGAGATCTGACTATATTACACTTTTGCTCATACAACCCGATTGCAAATCATTGTGCTGATGGAGTTGAATTTGCATCAGATTGGAGAGTCTCACCTTGCTCTCGCAAAAGTTGTTTCTCTCTCGCTTCTTTGGCTTCCTTGATGAGACGTTTTACTTCTTCTTGTACCCGAGGATCACGAGAACGTTCGCGAACGATTTCCAAACCCGGTAAGCTACCTTGAACAGTGCCAAATAGAGCATCACGAATTCGTAAAAGGCGTTGATCGCTGCTATGGTTTGGAGCTTCTCCGTATCTATTACGTGATCCCAAAGAAGTTCTCCTAACAGCTTCTGCGATGTATTGCTTCATAGCTTGTGTATCGTTTGGATCGGGAAGTGGGCCACTTGGCGGACTTATGGGTATGGTTTCATTTGATGAATTATACGCCATATATTCTCCTGAATCAAATGGAGAAACGAGATCTCTACTTTCAGATAATGTTCTTTTTTCTTCACGATGAGCAAAGAGTGCTGGTCCACTTCGCATTGAAAGTGATTCTATTGCGTTCTCTCTATCTTTGAGTATGAATAAATTGGCACGAACGATCCAATCAATTTCTTCATCGAAAGAACGTAAGATGATATCTTCTTCTTCAAAATCTCGTATTTCTTCATCTGAAATTAATCCAATCTTTGTTTGTCCTGTCATTGTCGGCCTTGAAGGATAAAAGTGTCGTGAAGTATGATAAAGATCGATTGCATGACGTAGCTTTGCATCATGTTTAGCTTGAACTTTTCGTTTTCCCTTTTCTGTAATACCTCTTGCTTGGACTGCTGATGATGAAGAGAAGCAGCGAATTAGGTTGGATGTTGATTGAACGGTGCTGGTAGTGTTGCCCGCTCTGGTTTGTGTCACCAAGGATGACACATTCCTAGGCAAATTGTAGCAATTTCGTAGTGCAGCCATTATTTTTAAGTGATGGTGATGATGTCAATTTTACACAATCTTCTTGATCAAGAAAAATCCCGGATAGCGTGAGAGGATCTTCACGTGCAAAAAAGGGCGTTTAAAGCGCGGAGCTTTCACTCTGGCCCTGGACCACACAGTTTATTGTGTGCACTGCATTAGATTGGTTCGCACGTACCTCTTTCACTTGCAATTCTAACCATTCAACTTCCATTCCTTATCATCATCCTTGTACCATCGATTGGATAGCAAGGAGAACATTCTCGTCACAATGTCGAATGCTGGAGGATATGAGATGAATAAAGGTAGTCAAAGCATTCCTGCTTCTGGCGCTACTGCCTCCTCCTCTAGCAAAACGATTGATTTCTCTACTTCACTGGCAACATGGAGAGAGATCGCTTTGCCTACCATTCAGACAAATTTGGAACAACTATGTCCATCGCTCATTGAATCACAAAAAGATGCATTGCTATCGCGAAAAAAGCTAGCAGAACAAACGAGAGAATTCAAGAAGCTCTCTAGCGATTCTCAACCTGAAGCAATCAAACCACTTCTGAAAGCATATCAATCTGAAATTGATAGTTTGACCAAACGTGCAAAAGCGGCAGAGAATGCTGTCTTGAGCGTCAAAGATCGATTACAAGGTGCTAGCGATCCATATCCGATCTTTGAGCTTGTATTGGAGCAAACGGCTGTTATGGGTGACATTGACGCTTTGAAAGAGCAATTGAAAGACCTTCAATCTACCAATGCAAGTCTGGAATCGCAGGTCGCTTCTGTACCATCTTTGGAAGCAGAAAAGAACCGTCTCACTAATCGGGTTGCTCAATTGGAGTCCACGACTTCAGAGTCTAGGAAAAACGTAGAGGCAGAATTATCGGCGAAGTGGGATGAGAGGATAAGAAACCATAAAGCCAGGGAAGAGAACTTATCTAAATCTGTGGAAACGCTGCAAAGTCAATTGAAGGAGCTCAGAACCAATTATGCCAAAGTCACTGAAAGACTACTGCATCACGGTGAAGAGATCGAAAGAGAACAAACGAATGGAAAGATTGAAGAAATGGAAATGATAAGCGAAGAATTGACGAGAAGCAATGAACGTGCGGCAGCAATGGAAAGACGCAATGAACAATTACGACAGGAGATTGAACGATTGAAAAGCGGATCAGGTGCAGATGAACAAGTGGCAGAGCTGGAACAACGCGCTTTCGATGCGGAAGAAGAGACGAGAAAGCTGAGTAAGCTTCTTGATGATGAACACAAAAAGAAGGCAGAAGAGGATCTAGCAAAGGACGCAAAAGTGCGCGAGCTACAGACTCAAGTACGGGAGCGAGAGCGTGAAGTTGAGGGATTGCGAGAGAGACTACACTCCATGTCTGACTACGATGAGATCAAACGTGAGATTGAAATTTTCAAATACGTCGAATTCTCTGATCAACAATTAGAGGGTGATGAAGCAAACGGACATGCCAATGGATCATCATCTTCAGCTGCAAAGCCATTGGAGGCCCTTTTGATCGAAAAGAATCGACAATTGCAAGATGAAGTGACAAGTATACGAGTTGCCAATACCGAAATGACCAGCACATCCAATCAGCTCAAGCAAGACTTGGAGATTGCACAAAAGGAGGCAAACAGACTGAAGAAGCTCAACGAACGACTAGAGGATGATTTGGTGAACGTAAACTCTGGTCAATCCTCCACACGCTCCGCCAAAGAAAAGAGCAATCCCAGCATGAGTGCTGAAGAAGCATTGGCAGAGATGGACAAAATCGGTAAAGATGCTTCAATGCCAAGAGGCGTCGGTGCAGAGTCTCAAGCAACAGGAAACAAAGCAGTTGATTCAACGCCAGCGGATAGCACAAACATTACACGTTCCACAACTCCGAACCAATCCAATACGAATGCAGCATCAACATCCTCTTCGAGCATCTTACCCATCATCACCAGCCAACGTGATCGATTCCGTGCACGAAATGCTGAGCTTGAGGAAGAGCTTCGCAAGCAATTTGCCACAATTACCGAATTACGAAATGAAGTGAAAACGTTGCAATCTGACAATCTGGGCTTGTACGAAAAAGTTCGTTATTTGCAAGCTTATCATGCTTCAAGTTCGCTAGGCAATGCCAATGGATCTTCCAGCGCTACAAATCCTTCACGAATGGTGAATATGGTTACCGCTCGAAGCGATTATGGCGGAAGTGGACATGCTTATCCGCCTACAATAGGTGAAGATAAATATCGCGAAAAATATGAAGCCTCAATGAATCCGTTTGAGCAATTCAGGGGCAGAGAACAATCTCGCGCTTTGAGTTCGCTTAATCCGTTGGAAAGACTTTTGCATATGGTTACCCGTCAAGTTTTAGGTCACAGAAGGATGAGAATATTTTTCGTAGCTTATGCTTTATGTTTGCATCTTTTGGTCTTTGCAATGATCTTTGAAGTTGAATTCGGCACTGGAAGCAATATTCCGATTGATACGAGAGGCACATCTCCCGTCACTCGTTAGTATATCATCACATGTTATTTTATCTTCTCAATGTACGCTTGTAACCAAACATCAAATTACATAAGAAACATTCTTATTCTTCGGTACAGATGAAATCTAGGAAATGAAGTAAATATACTTCTTTCCTCTATAAAGATATAAGAGAGTGTGTAATAAAAATCTTTCTCGCTTTTCTTTCATTTTTCATTTCCAAAACGGTATACAACCATTTTAAACGGTAGCAATAATTTCTGATGCTTGTTCCAAAGCACCAATCATCTTTACACATTCCTTTCTTCGTGTAACGACATGATCACTTTCGCGCATCAATTCGTTCATCACTTCAGATTGATAAAGTTCTTTGAGTAATTCACGTTGTAAAGAATCTTTTGCGAATGAAACCAAATGAAGCATCGTTGCTTTAGGTATCATATCAATAATCGTTCTCTTGACGATATTAAAGTAAGATGTGATAAGCATCCTGATCACTTCAACTTCAATTTGTTCACGTTCGGTTAATTGACCGCTTGCACGTAATTGAGGTGGTGGAGAATCCATCGTTGCATGACGAGCGCGTTCTTTTTGATTTGCTTTGCCTCCAGCAAAGAAGCTTCCAAAGAATCCTTGATCTTTGATGTCCACATTAAGATCTTTATCATTGTTGACCGCATTGGGATTAGCAATGCCCTTCTTCGGCTCAGGTGGAGCATGTGTATGACGCTCTGATACGAGAGCCATAGCACGATGTCCAGAGATGAAATCAGGGTGTCCTGTGTTCAAGTAACAGGCTTCAGCAAGAACAATATCTGTGACAAGTTTGGTTGTAGGCTGTAGACATCTCTTGAAGAATGAAATGACGACCGAGTTGAACTTCTCACGTAAGGCAGGGAAACGGCGGAAAGACTGATTCTTGTTTAACAGTTGTGCAAGAATACGGACGAGTTCGTCGTATACTAAACTGACACACTTCAATGCGGGATCCTCTAGTCTCTTGATCTGTTGCTTGACGATCACTTCGAATGCTGTAGTACCAACGAATAGAGCGGGCGATGAACCGGAAGAGTTGTACAGAATTGTGCGAATGTCGGCATCTTTAACTTGATCAAATGGATCAATAGCCTTGACACCATTTGAAAAGACTTCGTGGAATACAAAGCTGATACGAGCACCACCAGCAAGTTCAGCCACACTGAGATCGTTTGAATTTCCATCAATTACGGTTCTGAATTCGTTGCAAAATTCTGTGATGATTGTCAAGACGATATTTCCGCTATTGGCGTCACCGAGAGGACCACCCAAAGATGTGAGTTCAGCTTGGAACTTCTGCAATTGAGTCGAGATCTTGGCTTTGATATCAGGCAAAGTGTTGCGGATGTGGTGCATCAAGATCGTGTTGAGCTTACGAGCCAAGAATGGTGTTCCACAGTATTGTGCTTTGCTGCGATAGCTTGGGTGATTTTGGAAGAAATCTTTCTCTGCATCCAGTGCTGCGCTGACTTTCTTGTGCTGATCGATATCGCGTTGTCCACGATTGACGACTGGAACGTAGCCGAGACGCAAAGGAATCACCCTTCCTGCAAGAATATCGACCACATCTGTACCTTGATCCATCAAATCCACCTTTGTCAATACACCAACCGTTCTTGTACCTTCAGGATCGACCTCTCTTGCCAATTTCAAACCATCAGAGTTTGCCAAATCGGTATTGGCAGCAGTGACTGCAAGAATGACAGCATTTGGCTTAGCAATGAATTTGAGAACCATGTCCCGAATCTGTCTTTCGATATCGCGAGGTTGGTCACCTACTGGAACCTTTGTCAAACCAGGCAAATCGACCAGGGTAAGAGTCAAGACGTTTGGACTGTAGATACGAAGATTGATCGGTTGTGGACTGATTCCTGCATTCTTTCCCGTCTTTAATTCTGTATCTCTTACAATCTCTTCACGAATCTTATTGAAATCGTGAAATTTCTCTCCAGGCAAATGCAAGAATTCTCCCCATTCATCTGGGTTTGTCTCGCCAGGCTTGGAGGGTAATTGAGTACTTTCTTGTTTTACGCCATTTGTTGTTGAAGTTGTTGGTGCGACGCCTCCTCCTGCAGGTCTGTTGATCAATTGGAGCACTAAAGGTCTTCTTGTAACGATACCTGTTCCACGAGGTAAGAAATCACGACCTACAATATTTTCCAGTACGGATGATTTACCGGATGATTGACTTCCCAAAACTGTAATTTGTGGTAAATCGATTGGATTTTGAATGCCAACATTTGTGAAAGCATCTTGCAGCTTATTCACCAATTTGATGAGCGATTGGTCCATCGCCATCTTGTGTGTTTGTGAGTGTTCAGCTAGAGTGAGAGTGATATGGTGTGAATGGAGGCTACTCTTCTCTTTCCCTGTTTTGCCGTTTATGGCCAGGTCAATATGGTTGTGGTAAGTGGCAGTGTAAAAGGTGTTTGATGATGGAGTGCAACAACAGCTTTACTGCTTGGCCGCGTGCAAACAACTCACAACTGAAAGTAGAATACATACGCACAGGGCGCCGCCGTCTAATCTCCAGCAGACAAGACCAAGTTGAACCGGGCTTAATTGCTGTGTTCAAGCTGAGTACTGGCTGCGCATTCACAGTGAAAAGCCACTTAAAGAGCCAAAACGCGTGTGTCATATATGCACAGACAGACTAAAACAGTCTTTTTGGCTGAATCACACTTTTTCCAATGTTGGTGATGATGACTTTGTTAGTATTCTTCATCATACCCAATCTGGCCATCCAGATAAATAAGCTAAAGAGTATACTGGAGAGAGTGAGTAGATCCTCCAACTGTTCCAGAGAATGAATGACTGACCACTTCTACCAACTTTCAGTGGAGGATTTGACCAGTGGATCGTCCGATTATGCGGCCAATTCATGGGTTTCTTGGTTCTTGTCCACAAAGGGAAACGAGTACTTCTGTGAAGTGGATGAAGATTATATACTGGACAGGTTCAACTTGACAGGTTTGAATGCAGAAGTACAACACTACCCACAAGCATTGGATCTGGTCACAGATGCTCTTGAGGATGAACTGGAAGACGAGGAAAGAGATCTAATCGAAGCACAAGCAAGGCTACTGTATGGATTGGTGCATGCTCGATACATCGTCACCACTCGTGGACTGGCAAAGATGCTGGAAAAGTATAAAAGAGCCGAATTTGGACGATGCCCGAGAGTGCTGTGCTATCAGCAAACGCTTCTACCTGTCGGATTATCCGATCTACCGTTCCAGAAAGCTGTCAAGCTATTCTGTCCTCGATGCGAGGATATCTATAGTCCTAAGAGTAGCCGACATGGAACGATCGATGGAGCTTTCTTCGGTACAACATTCCCTCATATGCTTGTAAGTTTGCAAAAGAGCTATAATTGTCAAAGAGCGATTGTGCTTACATGTCTCCCTTTTCATCCTCTAGTTTATGGTATACCCTCACATGCTACCGTCTAAATCTCCAACATCACAATCGCCTTTTCTACTAACTTCATCACGCGGAACAGAAGGAAGCGGAGCACAGGCAACACCTGCTCATCTTGCCGGCTTAGAAGGAGAAGAAGGTGATTCACCATTATCCGCAATGTCTCCTGCGATCGGAGCAGGTGTAGGAATTGGAGGAAATTCCGCCGGCGGAACAGGACAAGGACCGGCAGCAGCACCTGGAGGATCAACAGCAACAGCAGCGGCAAAAGTTGAACGTTATCGACCAAGAATATTTGGTTTCCCTACACATGAAACGGCAAAATTACATAGATGGCAAGAAAAACAAAGAGATGCACAAATTGAACGATTGGAAAGAGCAGAAGCTGGTGCTTCGATTACCGTTGCTCCTGATGCGGGAGTTGGAGCAGGTGCACGAACAGGATTGGGAGGATTAGATTGATGAAAAATCAAAGATCGGAGTTTGTACAAATTTGTCAATTTACTAGAGTTTTCGTGTTTGTGTATTCGGTGTACAATGATCATTGGTTCTCGCTATGGAAGGAGTGCGGTTTGGAGTGGGGATGTGGATGGAGTGGTTCGATAAGAGTGTATATTTAAACATTGTACTTAATGTTGTCAGAATAAAAGGTGAAAAATAGATGATTCATCATGGTAGGTTTACACATTGTGTCCATGGCGATGAATTTGAAGATCAAGGATATATCACGTGAAGTTGTATTCATGGAATGTGCTTTCATCCATGACAATAAACGAGGCTCACTAATCAATGGAACTCCTTGCATTCTATTTTGTGAGGACGGTGTATGAATAGCATGCAGAACATCGCGCTAATTGAAGTCCATGTGGTTAAGAGAGAAAGAACCCCTTTAATAATCCCCTTTGTGGCTTCTGTCTCCAAGCGGGAAATAACGCGTATTCAATCTAAAAATAAAGCGCGTTTCATCATTAAAGTCACTTTTAACAATAAAGTCACATATTCAACAATACGCTATCGAATAAAGAACAGACAAGATGCCATTGCAACATGCATGCATCTTTAATCCATAAAGGGCTTGGCATGAATGGAGAAAACAAGACGGTGAATTTTCATGACAACGACAGCGGAAGTAGCCAATTTATGTTTGAATGACAGCTGATATGACAAGGGTTCGATCTTAAATTGAATTCTTAGACTGAAAATGTGCTTAACAGGATCACAAGAGCATGGTCAACTTTTCATGGCATTACATGCACAAAGGGGAGTAGCATTCATTCTTCAACTACATATAGATTCATTCCTGCCTCCTTCTCTCATCATCACCCTTCCACCACCCTACCCTCTTCCTCTTGACGTCTTTTTGGAGTAGATCTCCTTCTCATCTTCAAGTAAATATCGACATCTATCCTGCTTGCTGTGCAACATAAACCCAACCACTCTCTCTACGGTCTCAATTGAATCGATTTCATATTGACATCTTCATTCCCTCACTTATCATCATTTACTCTACACAACAAAATGCGTTTCACTCTATTCACGGCCACAATTCTGGCCCTCTCTCTCACCCTTCAATCCACATCCGCAACAATCACCAATGAAGAATTCCCAATCGTTAAAGCGCTGGACGCTACTACCGATTTACTCAGTTCATTCAACGGAGATCAAGGTGCATCCGCTTCTCACGTTCATGCTTTGGAAGCACGTTCAAGTCCACATGTAAGCATCTTCCGTCGTCATTCTCGTTTGGCTAAAAGATGCAGCAGTAAATTACATGCAAGCAAAAAGGATGTAGAACATACTACAAAGGAAGAACACCACCACAAAAGTTCTGATAAGAAGAAACACTCTGACAGCAAACACTCTGACAGCAAACACAAATCTACTTCCAACAATGATGCCACAAGCACAAACGTCAAAGCGGCCAAGAAGAAGAGCGATTCAAAATCCAAGTCCAAGTCATCCTCCTCTTCTTCCGGTCATGTTACCAACACAGACGGAAGCGGTGACTACAGCCGAGTAGAATCAAATCGAGGCAACAATTTCTGGTCACAAAACAATTGGGACTTTTGGTCATATGCCGATCCAACTCACGGTCAAGTAGCTTATCAATCCGAACAAAATGCAAAGAATCAAGGTTTAATCGGAACAAAGGATGGAGCTGCATTTTTACGTATGAGTGATAAGGATATCAGTGGTACAAATAGACCTTCTGTTCGTTTTCAATCAAAGAAAGCATATGATTCGGGTTTGATCATCTTTGATGTTGAGAAAATGCCGGTCGGTTGTGGAACATGGCCTGCTCTTTGGACAACCGATGGTGGCTCTTGGCCTCACGGTGGTGAAATTGACGTTATGGAAGGCGTTGGTTATACGTCTGGTGGAAAGAATGAAAATCAAATGACTGTTCATTTGGGTGAAAATTCTCCGCTTCAATTAAACAGACGTGCCCTAGAACCTCGTGCTTCTTTTATTGGTCGTATTATGGAAGGTGCAACGAATTGCAATCAATGGGGATCGCATACCGGTTGTGCATTCTTTGATTCGAATAAGAATGGACCTTCTTGGGGAACTGATTTTAACAATGCTGGAGGTGGTATTTGGGCCATGCAGTTCGGTAACAATGGAGGCGTAAAGATTTGGTTCTGGGGACGCAAGAGTGGAAAGATTCCCGAAGAACTTTCAAAACCATCTCAATCACCCAAAAAGCTTGATCCTTCTTCTTGGGGTAAACCAATGGCTAATTTCCAATCTGACGTAATCAATCAAAAAGTCAAAAAGCAAAATATTATTATTAATATTACTGCAGGAGGAGATTGGGCAGGAAACGTTCCTTTGGACGGTAAATGTAAAGGACAAAATATTTGGCAAGCTATCAAAAAAGGATCGAATTATGATGATGCAGAATTCATCATTAATGGCGTTGATGTTTATTGCAAAAACGGAAAGTGCTGAATGTGCCAACTCTTGCTTTCAGCCTCTCAAAAATCAATTCTCTGGAAGAATGTGATTTGATTTAATGACCTTAACGAATTTTGTCAATGTCTACCTAGATGGTGGATTGATCTCTTTCTCGGATATTTGCCTCAGAGTGTACAATGGACTGCTAGCGGTCTTTTTGTATTTCTCTTGATGGCGATCCGATCTTTGCATTCTCTTTTGTTCTCAGCACACATTATACAACTGTATCTACTAAACATCATTCATTTGCTTTCGGAATGCATTACAGTCTCTACTGATCAGAGTGAGTGAGTGAGTGAGTCTTTAGGGGTCAAACATGCCAAGCCCCTATCTTTGTTTAGCCTTTGTTTGTGTGAGTAGACTGTTGAAATGCAGACAAGCAGTTAGACAAACAACAAACAATACGCGGCGCGGCGCGGGTGCATAAGCATTAGATCTCCACTCCAACACTCTAGCACAGGAAGAAACACAAACACTGTTGGTCTTTTTTTTTTTATTTCTTAAGCTTTAGGGTTTAAAGATCATCTATCGTGCATACATTCGATAACATCAATATGAAATCCAACCTCTTCCCCGAGGCCTTGGCTTTCTGTCAAAGGCCCCTAATAGAAGAACACCAGTCAAGTCAGGTGTGGCTCATTGTACACTTCAATCAAGGTTTGGCAATCGAATATGCAGGACAAAAGCTCAATGATGAATAATTGTATTGAAATCATGTGCAGTCTTTTTCATCTGGTAGATATTACACACTGTACAAAGGAACACATGATCAGCATTGCGTTGTCTAATTCCAAATCTAGACAACTTTCATTCTTGCATTAAACACAAATTGATTTATCTCATTCATTTATCCAAACTCAACATCCTGTTCTCACCCAATTCAAATTGATTTGGGATTCTAACCTCCATCAACCCTGTCAATATACACTCGCATCTGTTTTACTCTTTTTGATCGACATCTGAAACCATCAAAGCCACACTAAACATATCCTGTCACTATCATCTCATATCTCTCCGCTCATCATCTGCAAGCCACACAAAGAAGAAAAAGAACACAGAACAAAGATTCGAAATAGGGGCTTACAGTAGAGGAAAAACAACACAACGGTGATTAACAATAACAATCGCCTTTTGTTCACGATCATCTCATTCAAATTTTTTGAAGAAATCGCCAGGAGGGAGTTGGCCTAGGCGATCATCATGTCGGATTTCTTGCCTACCCAACCGCCTGGGCCAGGACCGACAGATGCACCATTACCAACTTATCAATCCTATTCAGCCTATGTTACATCGACGTACGATTATGCTACAACGATCACACGAGTAGCATACGATCCACAAGGAACACTCGCACCATCATTGAACATTGAAACACAAAATGGCAAAACGACAAGTATTGGTTATAGTGTGGTGAATATTCCTCTACTTTATGATGGTCCACTTCCGCCTCCCCCACTTGGAACACTTTATACGACGGCTAATCAACGTATTGCACCTGCTCCTACCAATCAGCCCAGTAATGGAAATGGAAGCGGAAATGGATCTTCTGGAGGCAGTTCTGGTACAGGAAGTCAAGGATCCGGGCAAGGATCTAATAATGGAGGGGCGGGAAATGGATCCAATAATGGTGGCCAGAATGGTTCAGGCGGTAGTAACTCGAACGGTTCAAATAACGGACAAGGGAATGGATCAAATAATGGAGGGACTAGTGGTTCAAATAACGGACAGGGAAGCGGAACAAATAATGGAGGAACAAATGGTGCCGGATCCAACAGTGGTGGCACAAACAATGGAGGAACAAATGGTTCAGGTTCCAACAGTGGCACAAATAATGGACAGGGCAGTAATGGTGCTGGAACAGGATCAGGAGGCGGAAATAGCAATGGACAAAATGGAGGGACAAATAATGGCAGCAACCAAGCAGGTGGACAAGGTGCTAATAACGGCTCAGGGTCTGCTGGAAATGGTTCTGGATCAAATGATGGAGGGTCAGGTAATGGCTCAGGCTCGAATGGTAATGGAGGAGGAGCAGATAACGGAAACGGTGGAAATACAGGTGCAGGAGGCTCAGGTGGGAGTTCGACCGGTACAGGAAGTTCTCCTACCGTGACAAACGCTCCACCCAATGCAACAAACGATCCTGCCGCCTTATCGAGTAGTGCAAGTGCTGCCAGTGTTGCTGCAAGTAATGCTGCTTCAAGCGCCAGTGCTGCCAGTGTGGCGGCCAGTAATGCTGCTGAATCCAGTTCTGCTTCTTTGGCTTCTGTTTCAGCTGCAAGTCAAGCATCTTCTGCTTCTGTCGAAAGTGTGAGCGCAAACAGTTTAAGTGCTACACCATCCGGTACATCATCCACCAGCCAACCGACCGATTCGAATACATCCAATGGAGGTTTCCCAACCGCAAATACGCCAAATTCAAATTTTGCCAAAAACGGTTTGAGTGGCGGTCAAATTGCCGGTATTGTGATTGGTGTTTTGGCAGCTGTTCTTTTGGCATTGCTGTTATGTCTCTGTTGCGCAAGAAGAAGGAGAAGGAAACAAAATGAAGAAGCTGCTGCTCTCACGGGCGGTGCAATGCCATTCGGACGTAGAATGAAAAGAAGAGTTTCAGATCGATGGGCCAACGGATGGTCAAGAGGCGGCGCAGGATCACAAGGTGGACCAGGCACATATAGTGCACTCGGAGCAGGAGCAGGCGCAGCAGCACTTGGAGCAGGCGGAGCTGCAGCTGGCGGTCGAGGAAGCTTACGAAGTGATGAATGGGAAGAAGATCACTTGGACGGAGGAGATGGAAGTGGTTTCTTCGTCGTTGGAGGTAATCGTACAGGATCGCAAAATCCTTTCAGTCATGAAGATGATGATGAGATGCACCAATACGGTAACGCTGCACCAAGTTCGAATAACAAGAGCGGTCTAGGAAAAGCAGCAGGCTTAGCAGGATTGGGAGCAGGTATAGCAGCTGCATTCGGCGCAGGAAAAAGAAGAAGATCGAGCGGAAAAGGAAAAGAAGCTGATCATGCACCTTTACCGACCAGTCAAGATGAAGCAGATTTAGCCGAACACAATACAAATCAACAAGACAACGACGCTGAAAGACATGGACTAATGCAAAATGTCGATGCAGATATGACGGCAGATATGACTGGAGATGCAAGTGAAATGCAACAAGCTGGTCCGTCAGGTTGGACCCGCACTTCTATACCATCCCAATCTAATCCTGCCTCTCCATCCTCGTACAGTAAAGCTGGTTTAGGCACCGCGGCTGCACTCGGAGCAGGAGCAGCGGGTGCATACTATGCTGGAAAGCACAGAGGTGGAAAAGATGATCAATCAGGCGATGAGATGTCTTCTGTTGCAGGTGCGGCACCAGTCAGCACAGCATCGAATGCCCAAAGAAGTAGTGTTACAGGACTCACTGAATCAGGCGTAGCAAGCGCTTATGGCTCAGGTTCAGGAAGTGGCACGAATCCAAGTAGTAATTCGACCGGACAAAGGACGAGCAATTCCACCTTTACAGGATACAGTCACGGTTCACCAGCTCTACATCCACCTCCTTCTGCTCCTCGTGGTGAGAGACAGATGTATACATTCGGAAACGTGCCGCCAAGACATAGCGGAGCTGATCAACAAGGCAGACCTGATCGGATTCCATCCTTTACCGGCGGCTTTGGAGATGGTGATATGGGCATGTTTGGACATCGCAGTGCAGCAGATAGCTATCAAGGTATGGATGACAATGAACGCAATTTGGCGTACGCTGCAGCCGCGGCAGCAGCAGCTGCTGGAGGAGGTGCAGGTCTTTCTGCTTTAGCATCACATCATCGCGATAGCAACCAAGGCACTCCTTATCTAGGCGCAAACGGTCAAGAAGGCGGTAATGATGAACGTTATTCTCGTTTCATCAGTCGTGATACGCCTTTGCTAGGACCAGGTGCAACGCATGCAGATGTAACACAAAAGACTGACGGAGATGTTTCCGGAGGCGATCCTTCAACTCTCGGAAGATCTGATTCTCTTGGCCGTCACGGCAGATTACCAACAATTCAAAGTGTTGGAGAATTTGGAGAAAGAAGTAACGATGCACCAGCTTCTACCATGAATCAGTCGAGTCATTCTGGAACAAATACTACTCGATCCGGATATGGAAGCGGTGGAAAAGGTCAAGGAAGTACATTCTATTCTCCTGCTTTACCACAAACATCTCAATCGATGAACAGTCTAGGAGCTGTAACAGCCGATGAAGGCTTTGATGAAAGTCAAGATCCATTCTCCAATGATGCAGCCGTGGGTCAAAGAGCAGATCATAATGATGAAGAGACAGCTGCCGGCGCATTAGCAGGTGCTGGTCTTTTGGGCTCTTTAGCATCAGGATGGCGCAAATTGACAGGCAATACACCAAGTCAACCTTCATCTTCAGGAGGCAGAGGCGCAGAAGGAAGCGGGGGTGATACAACAACAGAGAACGCTGAAACCTCTGGTAATGCAAGTATGCAAAGAGGTATTAGCCGTGATTCCAATGCCGATGTTTATCACCGTGAACCACAAGCACAAAGAGTGATAGGTGATCCTGATATGGCTGCAGAAGTTCAAAGTCAAAGAGCAAGCGTTCAACAAGCGAATGGAAGTAATCTAGGTCATGGAAATGGTTTAGCAAGCCCTGTCATACGTTCAGGTGAAGGTAGAAGTCCAAGCAGTAGCGCAAAGAGCGGGAATGGAAGTGGTGGCAGCGGTGGAGAGACGAGACCACATACCCTTGCTGAAGAACCTGAAGAGGATGCGGAAGGTGAAACAGCTTCTCCCTATGTTGATGATGGCAATGATGCTGATGATGAGGATGCCGTTGGAGATCGTTCTAAGGCACCACTCATTGCTGGCGCAGGTGCTTTGGCAGCAGGTGCAGTTGCAAAAGGTAAACAATCATCACAAGCAAAGAGTTCGTCAGATGACCCATACGATCATGCATCCAATACGAATGAATCAAGCATGCTTGCCGTACGTAATCCAACCGAAGAACCAGACAGTAGACCTTCGATGGATACGGGATTGAGTAGAGCTGCAACTACTGGAACATATTCATCAAGTATGCAAACTCATAGCCAAAGTCAACCAAGTGAAGAAAGTAGTTCTAGAAGAACACAACAGAGCTCTTCAGGCGCAAGTACAGGTGCAGCAAGCTACAGTCCAAGTTACCTAGCCCGCCATCCTTCTGGAAGTACAAGAGGGGGTGGAGCAGGTAGCAGTAGTATGAGTAGCAGAGGCACTCGTGGCGGTGGAGCTTCAAGCAGACGTCAAGGTACTAATGATGAAAGTGAATATACCAGTAGTAGCGGACAACAAAGACGCGAGACCAGTACGCTCGATAGCGGTGACGGAAGAAGCAGCATGGCCACAGCAGGAGAAGTGGCAGATGAAGGTTATCGATCCAATAGAGAGCGTGGTCCGCTTGCACGTGTACAAGAAGATGAAGATGCTAGTGGATACGATCTTGGAGAAGGAAATGAAGGCGTACTTCCTACTACTTCATACTATCCAAGTGAAAGCTTAGGAGCAGCTGTTCGTAGAAGGGCAGAACAAGAAGCACGTCAAGAAGCACAACAACATGGATCTGGTGAAAGTGATCAAACAGGAACAAGTCCACAACAGCAGCTGTCCTCTATTTCAACTACACCACGAGCAATTCCACTAAGCTTGCGACCTGGCGGCAATCCAGCAGAATCCAGTCAATGGCGTCAATCGCCACGGGTTGATGCAGTCTCACAACGTGCTGCTAGAAATGCAGCCAGTCTTGAAAGACAACATCAACGTTCTCAAAGTGGAAGTGGATCAACAGCGGCTGCCACAAGTCCACGTCAAGAGGCAGGAGATGGCCAAAGAGCACAACAAGAAGGTGAAGTAGGAGAAGACGAGACCGATGAAGGTAATAGTCGAACTACTTGGCCGAAATTTTTACGATTTTAAAGACGGACCGTATAAATAAATGAACGAAATAATGACTTACGCAAATCAAGGTCATGATAAATTACGAGATCTCACGAATTATGTTTTTCCTTGCAATTTTTTTCCTTTCTAGTATCATCTGTGGATTGACACAGATTCTTCCCCTTTCATCGCAATCTCTAAGCGAAAGCAAAGAGTTTTTCTTTTTACCATTGTATTCTTCTTTCATGTACGTATCCATCCCTCTGAACAAGAGGATGAAATGGACAATATCTGCATTTGTTTTATACGCAGCACTTTTTTGCATTCCCTACTTAGCTTTTCAAATGAATAATGTTTCCTCGATTTCTTCAGATGTGCTTCGGCAATCGTCACTCGTTATGTTTTTAAAGGGTACAAATATCTTCATTGAAAAGGTGAAGCTGATGCCGAATAAAAGAGAGAGAGAGTCAAAGTGCAATTAGAGATAATAATAAAGATAAGAATGAGAGAAGAGTAGGATATACTTTTTTGAATGGCAAAGAAACCAATGGATGGGTATGCATTCTCTCCTCACGAGAAGACGAAAGGAAACACTTTGAGATGTGTAAGACATGCCATCCATAACCCTACAACACAAATGCACCACCCAAAGCCATTCCAACGATTGCAAAAGCACTTGCCCAAAGACCAGTATAACCTACATCCAATCGAGCCGCTCCATCTGAAGATCCAGTTCTTGCGGGAGCTGTAACTGTTCCAGGAGGGGTACCGGCGATAACACTTGCGGTATCAACTGGTGTTGTAGCACCATCTGCTGCACCTCCAGAACCTTGACCATGGGCAACACGAGAAGCATAAGCAGCCGAAGCACCTGAAGCAGCTAAAGCGGCAATTGAAGCAGAAGATTCGGCAGCGTTTGTCGGTTGAGCATAATGAACGGAAGAAGCGGGAGGTGTGATTGGAGATTGTTGTGTTTCAGTTGATGCGAATGATACACCACTTTCTGTACAACTTCCATATTGAACGCAAGCTGAGATTCCGTTATTTGTTGTCAATGGACCAAAAGGCGAACTTGATCCTTGACCTGCGACTAGAGAGGCGGCCGAGGCGATTATGAAAGCAGCAGCAGCGATTCTCATCTTGATTGCGGTGGTGAGGAAGGGAAAGTCAAGTATACACGAGCCGTCCAAGAAAGAAGATGAAAGATTCTGTCAAAATGGCGTTCTTGTTTTGATGGAGGTGGATGGAGTTGAAGGTGCGACCAATCACGTCGAGTAGGTGAAGGATGACAAGGTTGTGTTAGAAGACGGCCTTGATTGACCTATAGGTAACGGAGAGGAAGGTGATGGCAATGACGACCTATGCGTGTCAATGAAACATGAATGTATGGTGCTATTTCACGGTTTGTACATCTGACAGCCTCTGTGCCGTGTTTCAACTGTACGGAAATTTTCTTTAATGTTCACAAATGAAAAGTGGGACAAAATTGATGCATTATACTCGGTTGATGCAATTTGCGGTTTTTTGGCTGTTATTTGCCCCGGATTTGAAAATACATACAAACAAAAAGAGAATGAGACCCCACCTTGTAAGATGCACACTAGCCCTGTTATGCGCTGCGCAACGCAACCGAAAGCGTGTTCCCGCACAAGAAAGAATAGAAGAGAACACGGCTTAAGTGCTTGGCTTTCATTCATTTCTACTAGACCCCCTTTTACTACACAAATACCCACAATTCGGCATCAAATCAAACCTCTCGCACCTTCTTGTTATGTAAGCAACAAATAGGGGAATTTCCGCGGCTGTATTATTCAAAATTAAGCTCAAGAATAAAAGCCGCATCGAGTGGAGTGATCATCTCCTCTCCTTTTCATCACCATCAAAACATTCATGATGCGGTGGTGCTTGATAACAGCAAGTCTGTTTTCAGTCATAACTGCTTCACCATTGATACCCTTTTCATCAACATATAGCCCACAAGATGTCGAAAAAGATTATTGGCCTTTAGAAGAAGGAGTTGGACATTTTTCACAATGGTCAAAAAGTACAAAGAGACAATTCGTTGATGAGATCAGGCTAGGAAAAGCATCTGAATGGGTTGTCGTGATGGGTAATGAAGGTGGTGATTTAGATAGTATGACTGCAGCTTTGACTTGGTCTTATCATCTTTCTCATTTAGCATTAAATACAACACATACATTATCACAGCCAGATCCAAATCATCCGCCTCATCCGAAAAAAGCAATCGCACTTTTGCAAACTCCGCGTGATGCTTTGGACTTGAGACCGGAAAACAAATTGGCTTTGCGGAATGTACAAATGTCACCGGGTCATCGGGATTTGCTAACGATTGACGAATTACCGCTACCGGCCGAAGAACTTGCCAAGCAACTCAAAGGGATCGTATTGGTTGATCATCCACAACCACTAAGTGTATGGGAAGGAGCACGAGTTTTGAGTATTTTCGATCATCACAAAGATCGAGGTAATGCACCTGATGCAAGACCAAGGATATTCGAAGGAACAGCTTCATGCACAACAATTGTAGCAAGAGAGATGTTGAACGAGTTGGAGGAATTACCAAAAGAATATCATATGCCACATGAAGTTGTTGAATTGATCCTAGATGCGATCGCACTGGATTCGGACGGATTGAAGAAAGGAACGCCAGAAGACAAATTCACCAGTAGAAGATTGTTAAAGAGAAGCAATTGGAAATCGGAAAAGTTGCTTGAAGTGATGGATAGACTAGATAACGAAATGAAAAAGGCAAAGAAGGACTTAGAAGATCTTGGTGTTCGAGACTTATTAAGAAGAGATTGGAAAGGTGATATCGTCAAGACAAAGTCGGAACGGTATCCTGAAGTCCATTTGGGACTGGCTTCTATTCCATATTCCCTAGACGATCAGATCAAGCGAACACTGCACGAGACTACACAATCGTGGTTTGAGATTGAAGGACAATGGACGAAAGAGATCAAAGCGGATATCTCACTAAGCTTGAACAGCTACAAGTTGATCAAGAAGAAAGTCGAGAAGGACGGTGTTATCGTTGAAACAACTTCAACGGAACCAGACACAGACGAAGACGATGAAGATGAAATGCAGATATTTGAAGAAGAATATATGGAAATAGATCAAAACGGAGCAAAAACTTATTTCAAGAAACAAAAAGTACGTGAAGTTTGTTTGGTCGTTCGTGCAAGTCATCGATTGGACGAAAATTCAGCCACTAGCTTGTTCAACGCAATCAAAGAGACGATCGATGAATCACCATTCATCGATGCTGAACCTTGGCATAAAGTCGACGAGCTCGAACAAAGACAAATGGTTTGGGTTCATCATGTTCCTAATGGAGGTCGAAAACTCATTCGTCCAATCATCGAGGATGCCGTCAAGAATTGGAAATGATATCATGTTTTAATTGCTACATTACATTGCTGTTGAATGAATACTATACATTTGCAAAAGAAATCAATACATTTTCTCGCTTTTAGGGAGATGTACCGGACGCGCAGACTCTCTCCTTGATCCTTCTCCGCTGACCCAATTGAACCAAGATGCTGGTCCTTTATTCTTTGTCTTTGACTGTTTAGCAGGACGCGGCGCAATCGGTTCAGATGATGGTTCCAATCCCATCGCTCTTTGCTCTCGTTCCCATTCAGAGTCCATTGACCATCTTGCAAAAGCTTGATTGACGATAGCATCAAATCTTCTCTGTCTTGCAGCATCGATCAAAGCTTCATCATCGGCTGCAACAGAATCAATCTTGAGATCTTGTTTTGAGACGTCATCTTTTTCTATACCATCACCAAAATCTACAAAGCGGAGTTCCGATTCCATCAAAGATACATATGCCCTTGCTGCTCTTTCATCGCATGGTGTGACATCAGCACCTGAACCTCCCTTCGAACGTGCTCGAGCATCATCTCGTGCAACAAGTGATCGAAACTTCGATTGAGCTTCCTTACGTGCTCTTTCCACTTTTTGTTTCCGATTCATCGGCGCAGGACCTTGAAGGGCTGAATTGAGATTGGCATCATCTGGTGCATTTGCCAATGCTTTCATGATAGCTCCTTCAGGTATCAGCAAGAATTTTCGAGTGTGTATCAGATGCGGTGTAGATGTTGCGGTGGAAGGTGGTAGTTCGTTTAATTTGCATAGAGCCACCGCACTGACTCGGAATCGTAGACTGAGCGACATCAACGTATCGTTTGGCCTTAACCAGTACTGTCTTGTCAGTCCAGAGGTGTCGCTATTCGGTGGTGTGACAGTCTCTGCATTCTTTCTTGAAGCTGAATAGTCTGGTTTCTGAAAAGATGCTTTATCCGCTTTACTGTTCAATGCACTTTGAAGAGACTCTTTCAGGGGTGAAGCTTGAACAGTATTGATTCCACTGGCTGCTTTGCTTGTGTCAACTTGGCCGTGTACCACATTTGGTTTGCCGTTGTTCCATTTTGAATCAAGAAAGTTGTTTTGCTGTTTATCTTGTATGGCAGTGTTTGTGGATTCAGATAGCATAGTCATATCATCACTATTATCCTCATCTTCAAGGACAAAAGTCCCACTTTGCACAGCCTGAGAATAGGCCGGAGGCGGTATACTTGACTGGCCGTTTTGTGGGGTTTCCACAACATGGTCATCTTCCTGATTTAATATTTTATCGAAATCGAACACAACTTGTCCAGCCCGTGTGACATCATCTCTTGGACCTGCTTTTCTCAAAGCATGCTGAGCGCCTTCACATCGAACACAAAATGTTGCCAATCTAGGTCTTTCGGCTAAGCAAGTTGAACAAACTGGTTTTGAACAACATGAATGAATTATACATCTTTTCAATTCAACATCACCTCCTTCGATCGTTTTACTACACGTCAAGCATAAAAGCGATGTCATCTTGATTGCCTTTGGTGATGGAGTGTGGGAGAAGGTCCCGCCACAGATGCTCTCTAATCTTACTCAGCCGTTTGGGGTGCATACATTGTTCGGCTTTCGGCGCTTTTTACGCGTGATAAAAAAGGGGAAAGCTTTATTCGATTAGATAAGGAGAGATAATAAGACGGTCATGCTCTTTAGATCAAGCTGTAGCTATTCCCTATGCTAGAATGTTTTCACTCCTTCTTCACAGGAGATTGTTGTAGTATAAGAATGAGCTTATTTAATTTTCGGAAATCATCTTCTCCGCGGAAGAAGAAAACTGCTTATCACTACATTCCATTAGCCCTTTCATTCGATCTATCAGGAAGAGGTTTTTGGTATACATTTCATCTAACATTACAGACCCTAATTGCTATTAAGATCGGAATTTATAGATGATTTCCACGCTAGATCTCCTACTGCAAGGTTCTGTGAAATGAATTAAGAAGATCTTGTTGTGAAATGATCGTGGGTAAAGTTTGTCTGATTAAAGCTTACGGTGTTTATCAGCAACAGACCTCCCTCACCTTTCCTTCACTTTTTGATTCGATCCGTACGAAAAAGCATTTACGCGTAAACACGGACGCGGCGTAAAATCACTTTTATCTTGAATGTTCTGGCCGATTTCCATCTCGATCGAAGCCATTTGCGTCACTTTGCCTAAAGAATAAGAAAAATAAACATTCACTCCTTAAGTGCAAAGTTTTATGGATGTGCGCTCGGCAAATAAAAGTGTACAGAAAGCAGGCACAGTGTCCAGTTTTTCGTTTCCCGTTCATTTATGACTAGAATCACACACTCGATCCTCAGGGAAGCCTTATGACCTCCTCTTTTACAATGCATTCCAGGAGAGGAAAACACAGACACAGGAGACAAAATGAACCTTTAGGGCACAGTCTCCCTTTTACGATCGGGCTCATTCTCCGATGGCTAGTAGTGCAAAATGACTCTTTGTTCGCCTGTATGAATCGGTATGGATGATAATAATGTTTTTTTTTCTCTCGTATCTCGGGCAAAACTGCTCTGTCAATCTACCCGGTTGGAGCATTTGCTCGGCCAAGATGTGGAGAGGCCAAAAAGTAGCCTTTTTTCCACAGTCATCAAACGCCCCAAGTCACCGGCAGCGCCTCCACAAAAAAACCAAAATTCATTTTTAAATGTTCTCATTCGCCCTTACGATTCAGGGCGCATGGCAAGGCTCCTGTTCGGTGTGGAATTGTACTGCCTAGTCCTAGCCAAAGCGATGTATATTTTTTTTGTCGCGTGTAAAAAAGAGAGTCAGTGGAGATATACCCTATTTCAATAAAAAAAAGAGGCCCACCGTGTTTGTTCGCCGTTTTCTCCATATCCAAGCCGTGCGTGTGTGTATGCCTGTCTGCCCTTTTGAACCAATTTCTGCAAACCACCTTTTGTGCACTTCCTTTTTTTTCATGTACATTGATCGCAATCGAATTAAGGACCCTCACTTCTTTTCGTCATACCTTCGTCATCGTTGATTAAAAGGATTCCATCAAAATACGCACATCATCCAAATCAAAAGATCGAAGCTATCGATAATAAGGTTTTAGTCACTTTTCATTCAGATCTGACAGGGTATTTCGATCATAAAGTGCATTCGCACCCTCTGTCAATAACCAAGGAACGCGCCGATCACAAATTTCACAAAAATGGCAGCACCATCAACATCGGAAATGACAGGTAAGTGCACGTTATTGAACATGTGATCGATGCAATCTGATCACGATCCATCATACATCAAAGGCATCATGCTTTCAAAAGATCGTATTACTGACCCTGATATCGAAACATCTTTTTCTCCTTCTTCTCATTTTCTTGTCAATGCAAATCCTACAAAAAATAAAATAATGCATCCTCGACGTCCTTCACCTTCGCCTATCGTCACTTCACGGTCTCGTCATCTGAACTCGGATCATGATCGTTCAGGCAAAGATACAGCAGGACCATCTCGTCCAGCCGCAAGACCGAGCACACAAGCTTCTCGACATCATCTAGAGCCAAATCCATTCGAACAATCATTTTCATCCAAACCGGGAAGATCGGAATCGCCTGAAATTGGAAGGACAAGCAAAGGGCCAAAGAAGGCCACTCAAAAGTCTACGAAATCAGAAAGTGGTGTAGAAGATGGAAGTGAAGATAAAAAGAAAGAAGGTCCACAAACGCCAAACGGAAATGGATCATCTTCATCTAAACGAATCCTGCCCCCTGTAGCCAGTATCGCATCTCCGGCTGGTCAAGAAAATGGAATGCATTATCCATGGGGATCATCGTTGACTGGATCGCTACGAGCTGGTCCATTGTCACCTGCTATGTTGGCTGGACCGCAAAATTCATTCGACCCGAACTCCTTCCGTACCGGATTAACGCCAGATTTGACAAACTTCAAGACAGGCTTAACACCATTAGGTGGTGCTCCTGGCTCTTTCCCTCCTCCAAGTCCAAACACTGCTGCTTTCCTCGCCATGGTCACAAATGGCAGCGGTCCCGGTTTATCCGGAGCAACGATTACTCCAAACACTTTCTCAGCTTTGAGTGGTAATCCGATTGATATTCACGCCAACAATCATCAAGTCTTGGCATCACAACCTGAAGCTTCAGGAAGCAACGATGGACGAAATGGTTCTCAACACAACGGAGAGGAAGATAGGCAAAATTCGCGAAACTCCAAATCGAAAGGAAATGAGGGAGCAAATGGAAAAGGAGACGGCCAGGTAGCCAGTGGACTATTCCTGCTCAGTCAAGCACAACAAGAACTTGCTAAACGAGATGATGGTTCGGTGGACATGTCGAATGTACAGAATCTGTACAACAATGCGCCGATGCATCATCAGAATGGTATTCACGGATCACCGCCACAACAGCCAAAGAATGGAAAGCGTAAATCAGGTCTTGACGGAAAACAATTCTCGTCAAAGAAGAGCAAGAATGGAAAAGACGAACTTGCAGGTGGCTCTCCTGAAAGTGATGAACTGGTGGATGAGATGAACAAGAATTTCAGATCAGGAGCCAGTAGTCACGAGAGTAATGCTGACGATTTCGGAGGAGATGATGATGAAAAACGAAAGAATTTCTTGGAACGAAATCGACAAGCTGCACTTAAATGTCGTCAACGTAAAAAAGCATGGCTTGCATCTTTACAAGCAAAAGTGGAATATTTGCAATCGGATAATGATAATTTGCAAGGAACGGTTGCTGCTTTGCGAAATGAAGTGATGTTTTTGAAATCTCAATTGATGCACGCTCAAAGACAAATGGCAAACCATGGCGTACCAAATGCAGGACAAATGTCGGGCGGAAATGATCAAATGGGAAGACATAGCGTAAGTGGGCAGATGGGTATGCCTGGAAACATGCTTCCGACTGGCATGACTCAGGTTCCTCATAGCAACATTCATGCAATGGCAGCGGCAGCAGCAGCAGCTACTTCAAATGCAAACATGCTCGGAAATGGTCAATACCAACAAAATCATATTCCCAGACAATCCCATATTCCAGGACATGCTGGACCGCAGTACAGTGGCGGAAAAGCACATCGTCAAAATTCCATTCATGCCGTTTGAGAGAAGGGTTTCAAACGACAAGGAGAACCTCTTTCGAAATTCTATAATTTGTATATTGACCAAAATTTGTACCTAAATGCGTGTGTATAATTGCGCTTTAATCTCTCTTTTTCTTTTCTCTCTCTCTATTCATATGACGATTTGACATCTCATTGATGCTCTCATATACATTTATAATCGTTTCTTTCTTTCACCCCAATGTATAAAAGTCACTGTGGATTAAGCATTCAATATCAATCGATGAGTGCTTTGTATAATTGAATGGAAGGAGTCTCTTGATTGGAATGAATTGAGGTGGAGGCCAACCTGTCTGACGGGGCACTCAACCAGTGTCAACGTGTCGCGTGGGTTGCATTCATGAAAGGGTAAAAGTCCTTCCTATTAAACTGAATTGCGTGCATCATTTCTTCTTGATCATTCTTCCCAAATGTCGTCTAACTTTGATTCAACAACATATCCACCTCCTCCATCCAGAAGTACACCTCGACAAAGAGAAAAACAAAAAGAAGGTAGTGAATCAGAAACACTTTATTCACATTCACCACATCATAAAGAAGACAATCTTTATCGAAAACGAAGAGCAAGAGTGAATTGTGGTTTAGATCCTTTACACGTTGTTGCATTGATTGTTTTGGCAGGATTTATTCTTTCTTTTAATCCCGGTATACTTTCTTATCGAACATACATCGCACCTTTCAAACGACAATCTAACATCCAACCAGTACCTGCACACGAAACAATGGTTTGGCAAAAAACATTCACTCTTCCAAGCGCAAGCAAAGGATGTCATTTAGTTACTCCTTCGGTCGAACGAGAGATCAATGAAGGTTTACGCAACGTAAAAGCAGGTCTGCTAACTTTGTTCATCCAACATACATCTGCAGCTTTAAGCGTTAATGAAAATTATGATTCAACCGTTCGAACGGATATGAATATGGCAATGGATAAAATTGTACCGGAATCGTTACCTTGGAAACATACGGATGAAGGACCTGATGATAGTGCAAGTCATACGAAAGCTTCACTTTTTGGTTCTTCTATCACAATTCCAATCACTGATGGTCGTTTGAATTTGGGAACATGGCAAGGCATTTATCTTTGTGGTACGTACTGCGCTTTCCGCATTTCTCTTGTTCGGTTCATTTCACTGACACACTGCTCTTCTTCCCCCCTTTTAGAATTCCGTGCTGCTAAGCATAGCAGGCGAATCGTTGCTACAGTATTGCCATAATAAGTCGTTCAGGTAAATGATGTATCATACGCATGCAAAGCTGATAATCAATGAATGTTTCTATCTGTTGCTTATGTAATTGGCGTACTTCTACTTCTGCTTATATAACTGACATGTGTCTTCATAATGATTGATGCTCAATAGCCTGTCATCCTGTGAGATTGATGAATGAATTGACATTTGTATGTATGTAAGAGTATGATTGTATGCACGTTTGCACGACCAATCAGTAGCCAGTCATTGGACGGACCCCAATCAACCGCCGGAAGTCCAGGGCATAAAGCTGTGTATAAGGACTAAAATCTTTAAAAAAAAGAATCTTTTCTATGCAATTTAAACAAGTTTGAAAAAAAAATAATCTGGGCAAACGTAGCAAACTTATCCTTAGGGTCTGCTCGGCTGCTTAAAGTAGGTAGCCTTACACAGATTAGGCATTGTGCGCAGCGCATGCAATCCGTCGGTAAGCGTATGGCTTTTAGTCTGTCTATGAATTAAAAACAAACGGGATCAAAATTTCAAACCAACTGTGTTAGCATTAGACTAAATCTAGACTTCTATTTTTAACGTGTGCCTCGTTTACGCGTTTTGGCTGTACGTGCGTGTATCAACAATCTGTCTTAGGTTAGCATGTTCCAAATGAATTGAGCCACTGCTTCAGTCTATATGCATGACATGCTGTACACACTGTAAAACACGTTTCAAGACACACTGTATTCGAGCCTATTGCAATCAAATTAAAGTGAAAAGAAGTTTATTCACTTTTCTCATACATACTTCCCGTCAAACATTGGGTGTTCGGACAGTTCACCAGCAATTAAGCAGCAGACCAACACATTTTGGAAAACAAAACCTTGGATAGGATAAGCATTTGCCATCCTGTCCTTTTCTCATCACCATCACCTTTAACGCATTTCCGTCGGAGTAACATCCTCTTGGCTAGTGTAATCCAATCACTCTTCGCCACACCTTTCCTTTCTGTCAATACCATCTTCTTCTTCACAGTACCATCATCATTATGGCCAATCACTCCGTCGACACTCTCGTCATTGGTGCCGGTCCAACCGGTTTGGGCGCTGCTAAACGTCTCAATCAATTAAACCAAGGCCCTTGGGCTCTCGTTGAAGCTTCCCCAGAAGCAGGTGGTTTGGCAAGCACAGATGTTACCCAAGAAGGTTTCTTGTTCGATGTTGGTGGACACGTAATCTTCTCCCATTATGCTTACTTTGACGATGTCATTCATGAAGCTTTGCCAGCCAAAGATGATTGGTATGAGCATCAACGTATCTCTTTCATCCGTACACATGGCGTTTGGGTCCCTTACCCTTTGCAAAATAACATTTCAGTCTTGCCAGTTAAGGAACAAGTTGAATGCATCAACGGAATGATTGACGCTCAAGAATTACGTATTCGTGCAAAAGAGGCACCAAAAGATTTCGATGAATGGATCATGCGTATGATGGGTGAAGGATTGGCAAACGTTTTCATGCGTCCTTACAACTTCAAGGTTTGGGCTTATCCTACCACAGAGATGCAATGCAAATGGTTGGGTGAACGTGTTGCTGCACCTTCTCTCAAAATGGCAGTCGCAAACACCCTAAACAAAAAGGTGGCCGGAAACTGGGGTCCAAATGCAACTTTCAAATTCCCTGCTCGTGATGGTACCGGTGGTATTTGGAAAGCAGTTGCAAAGACATTGCCAAAAGACAAGACACACTACAGCACAACTGTCACAAAGATTGATGGAAAAGGACACAAAGCTCATTTGAAAGACGGATCAACAATCTCATACAAGAAGTTGGTCAGCACAATGGGTGTTGATTTCTTGATCAAACAATTGGACGCTGATGCAGAAGATTTGAGCTTGCTCAAAAAGGCCACCGAAGGATTGAAGCAATCAACCACTCACGTTATCGGTATCGGTTTGCGTGGTGAATTGCCTTCCCGTATCGGAGACAAGTGTTGGTTGTACTTCCCAGAAGATGACAGTCCATTCTACCGGGCTACAATCTTCTCTAACTACTCGCCTTACAACTGCCCACCTAAAGATGCCAAGTTGTCCACTTTGCAATACGCTGACCCATCCAAGGGCAAGCCAGACAGTACCGCAAAAGGAGGTCCTTACTGGTCTTTGATGATGGAAGTTTCCGAATCCCCAGTCAAGCCTGTTGATTTGCAAAAGATTGTTGCACAAACGATCCAAGGATGCATCAACGTTGAATTGTGCAAGCCAGAAGACGAAATCGTTTCAATTTACCATCGTGCTTTCAACCCTGGTTATCCAACCCCAAGTTTGGGACGTGATGCTGCTTTGGCTGCTATTCTTCCCGTTTTGGAGAACAAATATGATATCTTGAGTCGTGGAAGATTCGGAAGTTGGAAATACGAAGTCGGAAACCAAGATCATTCGTTCATGTTGGGTGTTGAGGCTGTCGATAAGGCTCTCTTTGGATCGCCTGAAGTTACTCTTGAAACTCCAGACTTTGTCAACGGTCGTCGTAACACCGAAAGACGCCTTACAAAAGCTTAAAATCCAAAGAGCAACACACATACATACCTTTTCTCCTCCTCTCATACCTAGAAGGTAGCCCAAATCTTCTAGAGAAGAAGTCTCCTCCTCTACCTTGTATCACTTTTAGAGTTCTGCAACAACGGCTTTGACCCCCTATAAAGCGGGGGTCTCGCATCAGAATTTATTCATTTGGGCTCAACTTGCACTTTTTTTTCTCTCCGTGCATTCAATAGACATTCTTCTCGATCTCTGTACACCTTTTGTACCTCTCTCCGGTCAATATCATCCCATAATCTATACCTTTTCGGGTCAATATCGTTTGAGATCTTTTTAGCTTGTTATTTCATTTCAAGGTATAAAAATACATGATTCTTTTCTATTGATCAGCCAGTACCAAATCCGCTAAAGAATCGTCTAGCGGCCCTGGCTGCCCTTTCGGCAGGATCCATATAACCTGGCATACCTTCAGAAGGCGTGCCGCCTCCCGATGACGACGAATGACCATCAGCAGCAACACCTAATCCATCAAACAGCCTGGCTGCACGCGAGATCGGACTGCCGGTATTGTTTGCATTTGCCTGCAAATCTCCACCTGGATGAGAAGAATTCTGTGCTGAAGAATTGGATCTTTGCGATGCACTTCTGGTCATATTCGACGAAGACGATGTTGAATTGTTTGCTGCCGCTAAAGGTCGTATTGCCGCCGGACCTCGTGAGAATAAAGCACCCAATGGATTTGCATAGGATTCCAAACTTCCTCCAAATTGACTCAAGGCTGCCAATCCAGCAGCACTTAAACCACCCGTACCTGCTTGTAAAGCAGCGCTCAATCCACCGCCAAGAGAAGCTGCGCTCACACCTCCACGAGATAAGCCACTTCTTTGTAATTCATCCACAAAGATCTTTGGTGGATTTGCTTGTAGTTCTTGTTCAAATTCATGCGCAATCTTTCTCCAATTTTCCATATATTTGCCCAATTGTTCTGCCGGACAAAAGGCTAGGGCGAATCCAGCCCAACGTAATCTGCTTGCATGATCTGTCCAATCGGGTTGTTTGGATAATTGATGACATGTTCGATGGGCCAAGCTTGTCACTTCTTCATACAGTTCAACAGTTTGCTTTGATACATTTCCACTTTCGTCCGATCGACTTTGTTCTACACGCTTTCCCAATTGTAAAGCATTGCTTACCAATCGTTCACAAAAGCCTTGAGCGCTAATATAATCACCTTGAGAGAGTGCAGCATCCGTTAGCATAGCCAAAGTGGAATTCTCAACCAGACTTTTGCTTGGTATAGGTCCGGCTGATGTGTCCCCTCGTGCTCCTGGTGGAATGGCACAGAGCTTATTTGCGACATCCAAAATCATATCGGGAGTTCGGTAAGCATCACTTCGCGTTCCAAGCAAGCGACGGATCAGGTCTAGAAGATCTGAAGAGATACGAATCTCGATCGGTAGCAGAAGTGCATTGGCGTGAATCTTTGATGGGACACGATACGAGCAAAGACGGGAAGTTGCTTCAATGAAAGCCTTGAATTGTTGTACACGCTTCGTCTGTGGCGCTCTTGAAAGCAAATCGTACGCCATCTTCATATCTCCTTGATGAAGGTTGGCGGTAGTTGAATTATCATAAAGCTCTTCAGAGGCATCAACGATGATATCCTCTTGCTCTTGTGCATCCAAGATCTCATTTGTTTCGCTGCGAAGAACCTGATCGAAAATGTGTATATCTCCAACACGAGATGCACCTTCCAATACGATCTTGGCAACATCTTTTCGGCTGATCTGGTCAAACGCCTGTCTTGGACCGGCATCCGCTCGTAACGTGTTGGCAAATTGTGAGTACATTTGTGCGTGACTTGCACTCCTGCTGAACGATCGAACCAAACGGGTGACGCCTGCCAACTGCTCATCTCTACTGCCCTCCAAACTTGCAAGCCATGCCACTTTGACGGATTCGACAAACATCGACAGCCGAAGTGCAGCTTGCTGACAAGCTTGAGCTCGCTGCAAATAATTGGTCAATTCGACAATAGTGCTCTCATTGAATAATTTGAAGACTACTGATGGTGTTGGCTGGATTGCAATCGATCGAGTCAATGTAGATGTGACAATATCTTTCAAGGGCTTGATATCAGTAGAATCGCTGGACGGATCAGTCCGATTCAGGTTCACCATCGAAGAACCCAAAGTGCTTACCAGATTTTGTAATACGTCCAATGTTCTCCGGTCTGTCACTTCTGAGGTCAAAATGATTGCCAACAAAATCTGAGCCTTTTTGTCCAGATCGAGCGCAACGAGAGAATCATCGTCAGATAGCAACAAATACGATAATGTTGTTACTTTGCCTTTCTCAGCTAGCAAAAGGTACAGATCGATAATGCGCGATCGTACTTTGCTTGCAAGTGTTCCACTGTCCAATGAAGATGTTGAACTACGTTTGATTGAAGCACGAAGTAGAGGCAGAACACCATTTCGAAGTGCTTCCAAAGCATTGTTGCGGTCTTCAACATTCTCAAGATATAGAGAGGCCAGACTAGCACATGCGATGGGATCCGAGGCTGACTGTAACGCTCTGCAGAAGCTCTGCAAAGACCATTGTTTTGCCTCTGCTGAAGATGCGCGTCCATGGATGAGAGGAAGGAATAATTGAAGATCTTCTGATAGTCTTACAATCCCCTCATTGACACTTGCACCGAATGCATTTGATGATGCGAATGTCGCCAATTGAGCCGCAAAGAATACGGAGCCTGTCTGCTGCTCGATCTCCAGAGTTGTGTCTCTGTAAAAATTCATGACGGAGACTTGATCGAGAGCATCACTACATGCAACGTCCCCAAAGTCAAAAAGTTGCGCATCGCGATTCAGTAGCTTTCTATTCTGTAGCAATCTTTGTATCTCGGGCAAATCGCTAAAGTCCTGCTCATCCTGAGGTCCAACTTGTCCAATTCGAATCCATAATCCCGACTCCTTTCCATCTACGACGCTCGGTAAGACCTCTGACCTGACAAGAATGGATAAATCAGTCTGAAGTACAGCGGAAGACATCAATAGAGCTTTCACGATTGTATATCTCTGCGGAAAGATTTCTAACGCCAAGGCTTTGGGTAAGGCTCGTAAGAAGGAGCTCAATTGTAAAGCCTGTCCGGCCATTGCCAATTCCATCGCTTTTTGCACTGGAGACGATGAGACGAAAGTTAAAGCAGATGAGCGCATACTTTGCGGTGCGATTGGAGATGGTGTTGTTTCTGCTAATTCTGCCCATGCATCGTATTCGTCCTCTTCATTCTCAACTGCTTTTGTATCTCCATCTTTGCCAGTACTGACATCCCATCTTGAAGCGAATCGATCTGCTTCAGGTCCGAATACTTTGTTCCATACGTCTAACAGGCGTGCATAGCGAAGGATAGTTGCCCTTGCCGCTAATAGATGAAGCGTTTGTTCTGGACCATCGAGTGCATCCTCAGCTGAACGGGTACTGCTTTCTGTTGCTCGTAGGCCAATTGCCAGAATATGTCGGAGCAGTATTGGATCATCCTGCAAGGGAGGCAGCCCTGATCGAATCGCATCTATACATGCAGTCGCCAGCCAAAGATTATTCTCTTCCCCATTGATGGATCCTAATGTCTCATCAACCAATGATTGGGATAGTGGGACGATAGACGAGGAAGATGCTGCTCTGGAGTCAGTCTTTATAGCTCCTATAGCATACAGCCATCGACGTTTGAGCCGTCTATTTTCCTTGCTTGTCATCTTTTGTAGATACTCTTGACCATCGGAAGAACCTCTCTTCCGATGTGATGTCGAGTGATGGTATAAAAGTGACTTGAGAAGAATGTTGGTTGAAGGGGTAACGCAAGTTGTGGTGTGTTTGTTATATGCACGCAGGACTAGCGCCTTTGGCTTTTTGGCGCGAATTCACAGGCTACTGAAAGTGTATGCATTATGGTCAAGCTTACAAGCCACAACAGTAAAGCTACAAATCATCTTGGCTCTGACCATCCAATTACAAGCTGGATATATTCTTTTCAGTAAGATATGATATAGCTGATGCTTTTATTGTCAGAAAGTATACCCGAAATAAACCTGTGCACTTGTATGATACATGTCTCGTTGTGAAAGTGAAAAATTGATCTGCAACAACGTTCGGTAAATGAAACGTACTCGGCTCTGATGGTTCAACTCATGCATATGATTGCAATCCGGGTTCTGTTTACCATTCCGGTTGAGCCAATTCTACCATTGCGCTGCTATGGAAGCGATTTAAGACCATCGGATGGGTCAATCAAGGTTTCAAAAAGCTGAGCAAAGTGGCTAATTTGGTTTTCAACACAATTTGCTTCAAAAACATCCCATGCCCTTTCCGCATCGGAACAAACATAAAAGGAGCCCTCTCTGACAATTTTACTTCTTTCCCTCCCACCTCATCACCTTGGTCCCAACATCCCCTAACAGCAAGACTCACTCTCATTCCTATCCATCTTTTCTCACATCAAGCATCATCAAGCACCATCCTACTTATCCTCTCTACCTACTTCTCTCCTGCATTGAAATAAGAGCATATCATCGCTTTTCATCTCATCACCAGAAGGCTTCTTTTTGCATTTCAATATGCCCGCAACGATTACACCTTCTCAAAAAAAGGTCCAAGCCAAGAAATCAACGATGTCAACAGGAATTCCTACCCAACCAAGCTCGATGAGAACACGTCAATCTGTCAAGAAGGAAACCGATTCCGCAGCTGAAAACGCTGATACTGGGTCACCAAAGTCAACAAAAGGTACTGTGAAAAACACTCGTGCCCACTTCTCAAAGGAAGAAAAGCAAGATGAAAATCGTTCAAATGAGAAACGTCACACACGTCATCCCACTCCAAAGCGTTCTTCTGTCAATCAAATCAAAGATGCCGCATTGACGGAAGGCGAAAATGATGAAAATTCGAGCATTGGTGATTCAAGTATTGCTCAACGTGATCAACAAAAGAGGTTGGCCAGAAAGAAGCGTACCAATAATGAAGGTAGCATTGATGGTAGCACCGTCGGTAATGACTCCATCTCCCGTAACGAGGATGCAAATGTTCCTCGTCGTAGATACGGCAGCAATACCAGCCGTAAGAGTGACCATCGCAAGACAGCATCCTCGATTGGTCGCAAGATGATTGTGCTCGGTGATAGCAGCGTCACCAATAAGGAAGACAATAGCTTCGAAAACGAAGCCCCAACGTATGACAATGCGCCAAAAGCTTCAAGCCCAATCGCACCCCAAAAAGCTCCATCTGAAATGCGAAAGTCCTTCAGCGACAAAAAAGATGGTGGTAAAGCTCACCGTGGCATCGTTGCGGAAATGTATGAACATGAACGCCGCATGGCCCGAACCAATGATGCGCATTCTATCAACAACCGTCCACGTTCTGGTACTGACGTCAGCCGTTCATTGTCAAGTCACCTCGGTCAAAGTCCTGCGCCTGTCAACGCTCCCATCTCACCTTTAGCATTTGGACTCCCTGGCATCGCAGCTACAGTTGGTGCGAATCCCGTACCACCGGCAGATGCCTCCCTTTCTCCCTTTGGCATTAGTCCATATGCCGAGCCAGGTACCAGCTGGACCACAAACGTGTATGTCAACAACCTTCCACCTCATACGAGCGATGAAGATTTATTGCGACTTGGATCATGCTTCGGAAGGGTGAAAAGCCACAAAGCAATCATCAATCAAGAAACCGGCTTGTGTAAAGGATACGGTTTCATCATGTATGAATTCCTTCATGATGCCGAATTGGCCATCCAGCAATTGCCATTGCATGGCTTAGCAACTTCATGGGCAAAGGAGTCTTTTAGCTCAAAGCTTCGTAGAATGGCAGACAGTACAACATCCAACATTTACTTGAGCAACTTGCCTCAAGACATCACTCCTGCTCAGCTCGAACAGCTCTTCTCGCCACATGAAGTGATCAGTCTTCGTATCTTAACGGATGGCTCAAGCGGTAAGCCACGAGGCGTTGGATTCGTTCGTTTGCGTGACCGTCATGTTGCACATGAATGTATCGAGAACTTGAATGGAATGGTGTTCCCCAATCAAGAAACTCCTTTGCAAGCTCGCTTTGCTGACAGTGAAGCACAAAAACAATTCAAGCTTTGTGCAAGAGCTCAATTGAGCAAAGAAGAAGGCGAATCGAGTGGAGAGATGGGCGACAAGAGTGATGCAAGTGCAAGCAATGCACCAAAAACGTCTTTGAAGAATGAAACGAGCGGACCAGCTTTCGCAGCTGCTCTCAAACAGAATGGCGTTCAGCATACATGGACCGGATTCGCTACGCCTGCTTCACAGGCAAATGGCTTTTCTCCATTGGTTGGCTTTATGAGTCCTGCCTTCAATACAGGCTTTCAACCTTCAGCGCCCGCTTTTTCTCCTCAAGTGGCTGGCTTGCCAGGCTTCCTTACACCTGATGCATTCGTTGGTGGATTCGCATACGATCCCGTGAGCAACTTGATGGGTCGTAATGATCAACACATTGGCAATCAACACATCCTGGCTGATCCTTCGCTCAACCAACGTATCGATTGGTTAACAGCCGCTCAACAACATTACAGTCAACAACAATCCCGTTTGAACCAAGATTTGTACAACGGTCATCCATTTGGCGATAATTTCACGGTCGGTAATCCGTTGGGCGTACATCCTCCCACACTTCCTACAGGATTTACCGGTTGGCCTAAGTCTCGTAATGGCAGCAACAACAATGGCAGAGCTAAACCAATGGCCGCAACATACTTGCCACCCGATTTGGCCTTACAACATGCCCGTGCTTTGATGGAAAAGAGCACGCAACATCATGCTGCCTTGGCGTCAAATGCTAACCCTTCCAATGCCAGCTTGACACAACAACATGTCGAACATGAACGTGCTGACTTGTTGAAGATGCTGAAAGAGGCAAGCGATAATCTTGCCAAGTTGAGATCATCACAGCAACAGCCACAACAAGAAGAGCAACGTGGCAAGGCAGGAGAAGAGCAAGCAAACAAACAAGAAGCCACGGAGAACTCTTTGGGTTTGAGCAATGTACCCAACTTGCCCAATCTTGACTCTGGCAGTGGTACTCAAGCCAATTCAATTCGAACAAGTAATCCACAATCGTACTTTGGTATGACCACTTCAAAGAGTGTGCCTTTGGTCGGATCAAACGGAACTTCAGCTCCAACTTCGATCTGTCCAATGCGCGCATCCGTTTCTGCCACTTCACTTTCCCCATTGCGTTTTTTGTATAGCAAAGATCCCAATGCTCCAATTTCGGTTGAGGCTGTCGATTTGAGCAACCCAAGTCCTTCGGAAAAGACGGATCAATCAACCGATGGTTACAACAGCGAGAACGAAAATGAACGTATCCCGACGCCTATGCCTGGTTCCGTACACAAGGAAGGTTCAGTCTTCCATGGTGATGGCGAAACGGATCACCCTTCGACCGTATTGGAAGAAGAAAAGGAAAATACCACAAATGGTGAAAGCGAAACCCATGATAGCAGTTACACTTCTGCTGCAACTACCACATCCACTCACGATGATGACGATAACCACCAAGAAGGAAAGGAACGTGAATCAATTGTGGGACAAGATGTCTTTCAAAGCGGCACAGGTTTGGATGGACAAAAAGATAGCATGGTTGTCAAGTTGATCTCAAACGTCAGTATGCCACCTCCCCATAGTATCATGATGTTCAAGAATACGTCAACGACGCAAAACACTATCGGCAGTGGACGTAATCGTTCCAAAAGTGTCGTCATTCATGCTCCTTTTGATGATGTTCCCGTTTCGCCTTCTCAAGCATCAGGTGGTGAAGATAACGATGGCGCAGTGGGTGTGACCGAATCCTAATCTTCTCAAATTTCTTTTTTTTGTATTCGATGAACTCTTTTGCTGCATCTTGATTATCTTTTCGAATTAACCTGGAACTCCATCCGAGGAGTGGAACACCTTCACATCACTCATCTCTTCTTCTTTCTTTCTTTCTCTAGCATCACACCGGATCATCGCCCTCTTTCATAGATGATCTCGAGATACCTACAATTTGAACAATTCACTCATTTTCTTACACGTTCTGATCCTTTTGAATTTCCAAAAATATCGTACATTTGACAAAAAGATGGTATACTTGGAAAAAAAAGAAGTGACCTGCACAATTCCAAATCGATGATAAGAACAAATGATGCATTACCTTCTGTGGTGGTAATTTCCACTATCCGGAGCAGCATCATTATCGAGTGGAGCATGCAAGCCAGAAGATGATCTAGAATTATTATTGTTGTTCAAGAGTGATTGTCTGCTTTGTCTTGGACTTAGATCGCTATAGCTACGTGCGTGTGCGTTTGCCGATGCAAGCTGTTGTTGTTGTTCTATATGTCTTTGTGTAGCTCTTTGTTTGTCTGCATATTGTCCGTCTTCCTCTTCTTCATTCAATTGTGTCAAACCCACAGTTTCTTCATTGTCATCATATCCGAACAACACACTACTGTTCATACTGTCCCGACGAGATGGCGTTCCTGTCCTTCTTGGTGGATACATCTGACCACGCGATCCTGTGCGTGTGTGATAGCTTTCAGGGAACAAACGTTCGTGATGTTCGGATAGACGACCTGTTCCAGCCAATCCTTCACCAGTGACAAAAGAGACTCGTGGCTGTTGTGTGATCGGATCAATCAATCTGTTCAAATTCAACAAATAAACTCCCATGAAGATTACGACAAATCCACCAATCAGCGAAATTGCTGGACCGGCTCCTGCAGTGTTGAATCCACGGAAAAGCAGGAAAGAAGCAAAGATTGTTGAGGTGGTAAACATGACATAATAGATCGGATTGACGATATTTGTCGAAAATTGATCAAGTGCTTTGTTGAAATAGTTCATCTGAACCAGGATGCAAACGATAACCACCAAGGCGAAACAATAAGTCGAGGGATGAGTAAATTGATTGCTGCCGTCCAAAGTCAACTTGAGAGCAACACCAAATCCTTTGACACTCATGACCGAAATTGATCCGACCAGACTGCAGATTGAAATGTACACCACAGGGGTTCTCTTGCCGTATAATGGCACGACTTTGAAGATCATAAAGATTGCAAATCCGGTAACAAATAGACAGTATGTCAAAAATGGTAATTGGATAGCATAGTTGAGCATTTCGTCAACCGTTCTGATCTCCTTATCTTCTGGAGCATTCATGATGATGATTACTGTTCCCACAAGACACAATGTACAACCGACACGTCCTAGGCGTCCTAATTCTTCCTTGAGAATGAACGAAGCCAAGACTGCACCGATCAATACACTCAATGCACCAAGCGGAGTTACGAGGATCGGAGGAGCAAAAGTGTATGCAGCAAAGTTTGCAACTTCACCGACAATCATCGTAGACATTCCGGCCCACCAAATTGGATTTTGCAGGTATGCATGACCATCGGATGCCATTCCATTTCCACGTTCGGCAGCGTCCATTAAGCCCTTCTTTGTGATAATGAAACTTGTACCGATTGCAAGACTACTGCTGATTGCCAAGCCAAGACCGATCCATTTGTCTCTAGAGAGCGTTGATCCATAGCTAAATTCACCTGTTGGCGGAGTGGTGTTTTGTTGTTGTGAGATCTGTCTGAAGGAAAAGTGTGATGGTTCTTCGATCGGTGACGCTGTGGTTGCGGGGATAATTAAAAGTAGGATTGCTGAGATTGCTAAAACGACGAGTGAGATGCTCCTTCTCAACAATCTCGTCTCTATCTGTTTTGTAATGATGCGTTTGCTTTCCTCCATGATGTATGTGCTAGATTGTCCAGTATTTGAATTATGTGCAAGCGATTTGATTATAGTTGGCAACAGAAGCAGTGATTATAGGATGCCAGTCCTTGTTTCTCACTGCTATTCTTTGTGCTGCTCTATGCGTTCACGAGAGGTAGGGAGGACGATTGTTATGGGTAAAGTCGTGTGGCCTTTACACTCATGCGTTGTTGTCGTCGTTGTGGTGATGCAGTGTGCTTTGCCTTTTCTTCTGTTTGGGCATTCCAAAACGCGTTCCAATTGTGATTTACGTACGCTAAGTTCGCGTTCACTGTGCGTACAGTAGCTGTCTGTACTCAAACCCGTTTTTTTAAGCTTCTCCCTTTTCTTTTTATTTTCCGTTTAATTCACCAGCGTAGGCGCAAAATTGGACGCCAGAGCCAAGGCGTTTGATCATAGGAGTCTTGAGTGGCTGGCTGGCTGGCTGGGGGGGGTTATTGGCAGTGTAAATGCACTGGTATGAAACTCGCTCATCTTATTGCAGGCGCAGGCTGCGCGAATCCGCCGACTTGATGATTAGCTAAGCGATGTGCTCATTTGTGTCTTCATATTGGTATTCATAACTTCTATCACAAGAAGGAAGAAGCACATTTCTCGAACAATGAATTGATGCAAGTATATCGCAATAGCTTGATTGAGAGTTATCAGGAAAAACTCATCTTTGCGTCAATGATGAGGCATGAAATCGATTTATTGATGATTGTGGTGTCGATAACATTTTGGTCCGTGTGATCAAAGACAGGATGGGAAAAATGATGAGTATATTTGATTCCGGTAAAATCAACAATACATGATTAGATTCGCGCGATATCACCGCACAAAGGAGGCCGAATGTATTTATTTTGTGTTATGTCATGCGGTCTTTGAGCGGATAGGTGAACCGAAAGTATACCCCGTTCTTGTTCGGCAAACCTTGCCATGGCAAAACTCTTCTGAAGCTAGTCGTAGATTGTGACATGTGGATCAAATCAAAACATTGAGCAAAATTCTGTTGACGTGTTGCAGAGTTGAAAGATGGGTGCCGCTTTTAACATCAATTTGCTCAAACAAATACTTCTCTTGCTTCAGAACTCACCAATCATTCCTCAACCTTAAACACAGTCATCAAAATGAGTCAAAAAGGCTTTGTTCAAGTCTTTCAAGATGACGATCTAAGAGATGTCAATCGAAGCGATCAAGACCACAATTCTGTGTTAAACGCACTGGACGAACCAAATAATTCACTCGGAGAACGACGTTATATTCACAATGATACTTCTTTTGCCACTACATCCTCATTCAACAACACAAAGTTCGACCCAATGTCAAGTTCAGACAATCTAGATCATTCTGATTTCAATCACAATCATCATTCAGCCGCAGCAGATTTCGGTTTCTTGCCCGAATCACCACAAACAACAGACACCTGTCATTCAAACAACAACTTCAGTAGACCACACCTGCAACGTGGATATACTGGCAATTCAGTCGACATGTATGCCAGCGTATCACAATCCAACACTTCAGAATCCGCCCATACATTGAGAAATGTGAGTACCATACATATTATTCATTGTGGCTTCAGCTTCGGCGTTTTTGAATCAGCCGTTGCGAATAAAGGGAAGAAAAGAGAGAGAATCACTTGTCTTAATCTCGATTCATACCTGATAATCTCGTTACGCTTACAGCCAATCTCAACACCCGAAAGTTGATTGAAGTCTTGGCATGCGTCAAATGAACGTTGACACCCACACGCGCGTTGAAGCGCATCGAGGTATGGTAGGCTAATTTGGCTTCCTGCGCCAAGGTGAATTGAACCCCCTGGTTGTGCATCTCTCAGGCACGCAAGCTATAGCAGCAGCCTTTGATGGCAGAGAAATAGCGGCAAATTTAAGCAAAACGCATATATGCAGGCCAAGCTTCTTAAACATCAAAAAGAAGCAGTCATGGATGTGTCAGGTCCATCTGAGGGATGATTGGGAGGGTGGTATCAGCTACAATGTATGCTTCACATAGTATTAATAACGAATCATCCTTTTTCTCGTTCTCTCTTCTTTACCACGGCCATCACTCACCTCATTCATTTCTTTCCCCTCATTGCTCTCATGCTTATCTTTTTGCAACATCGCTAATATGGATCCTTACTCTTCTCCTTTCCCAAAATGCCCGTGGCAACAGGGACAGTATCAACAAATTTCACCTTCTCAATCAAATGTGTCCGGCACACTTTCAGGCTCAACAGCCTTCTCGTCGTATAATTCAAGCAAAAAGAGAGCTTTATCAAACAAACCCAATGCAATTTTCATGGGAAGTACGGAAAAGCTAATTTCCGATCATTCACTAGAAAGTGAAAGATATTTTCCTTCTTTTAAACACCAATTTGATGATGGACCGGAAGATGATGACGATCTACATAATCCAGGACCCAAGAATGGCGCTCGAGCAGATGATGACTCTGGCAGTATATTCACCCTTCGAGGATTGATGAATATCGGTACATTGGTCACTGTTGCTTCATCTCTTCTGATGTTGTTTGCAGGTTACCCGATCCTTGTGTTCGTAATAGGTCACGGTGAAGGGAACAAAGGGGGTTACAACTTGGGTGGAACAAATGCCACAGGTCAAGTACCTTTTTTGGTAGATATGCCATCGTTGATCGATAAGGATACACCCCAAGAAGCATACACTCGTTTGAGCTTGGATGGAAAGAAAACGATGAAGCTTGTCTTTAGTGATGAGTTCAACAAGGATGGAAGAAGCTTTGTGAGTGTGCAATTTAAACAATAGTATGTACTGGTGAAAGTACTGACAATTTTTCTCCATGTAGTACCCCGGAGATGACCCATTTTGGGAAGCGGTGGACTTGCATTATTGGGGTACAGGGAATTACGAATGGTACGATCCAGCCGCCGTGACTACAGAGAATGGCAATCTGGTAATCTCCCTGTCCGAAGCCCCTGAGCACAATCTGAACTTCCGGGGAGGGATGCTAACTTCATGGAACAAGTTGTGTTTCACAGGAGGGTACGTTGAAGTGAGCGTGGTACTGCCGGGTTCACCTGACATTAGCGGTCTTTGGCCAGCAGCATGGACGATGGGCAACCTTGGAAGAGCAGGTTATGGTGCAACTACGGACGGAATGTGGCCTTATTCGTATGATACATGTGATGTTGGTACGTTGTCCAATCAGACATGGCCAGCAAGTATGGGAGGAGGTCCTGTTGCGGCTGAAACGACTGGTGTATACGTGGATCAATATGGACCCGGATTGAGTTATTTGCCTGGTCAACGATTGAGCAGATGTACATGTCCGGACTTTGATGATCATCCTGGTCCAAAGCATAGCGATGGTAGCTGGGTAGGCAGATCAGCACCGGAGATTGATATCATCGAAGCACAAGCCAGTGGAACTAGAGGATTACCCGGACACGTTTCCATGTCTATGCAATTGGCACCTTTTGATGCAGGATACAATATGTCTACAAAAGCAGACGCATATACCTTTTACGAACCAGAAGCGATTTTGAATTCGTATACCGGATCTGTATATCAACAAGCAGCAAGTGGATTGATCACTACAGACAGGGACAATTACGAAGACAATGGGATGAAGTATGCCTCTTACGGGTTTGAATATAAGCCAGGCGGTACACCAGACGCATACGTGACCTGGACGAAAGACAGTCAACCGATGTGGAAGATGAGTACAGAGGCAATCGGTCCAAATGTTCAAACGGAAATTGGACAAAGGACTGTACCACCAGAGCCACTGTACATCATTCTCAATTTGGGTATGTCAAGCAGTTTCACTTATGTCGATTTCGATAGATTACACTTTCCCGCAAAGTATTACGTTGATTATGTTCGGATTTGGCAACCTGAAGATGAAGAAAACATTGGCTGTGACCGTGAGTATTTCTAGCGTGCTCGAAGTTGAACGAAGACATCTGACTGTTTAATTCCACTTCCTCTTTTGCAGCCCCGGACTTCCCGACTTTTGACTACATCAACAAACATTGGGAGGCGTACAATAATCCAAATTTGACCATCTGGCACGGAGAGCGTTCAGTGGGCGCTTACGATCAGCCAAGGTGAGAAAATGAGGCTCCGATAAACTATCTCTTTTGTTTTACTGACTTTCCCCCTTTCTTTATGCAGACCACCAAATAGATTAGTCGACAAGTGCTGAGTAAAAGCGGGAAGATCACAACCTAATCACAATCCTTATAGACCTTTTTTTGAACGCTTTTTATTTTTCATGAACATTTACCCTAATATTACATGTACATTGCCGATATCTCATTCTGTTGCTTCTTTCTTTCGCGTGTCCTTCTTTCGTTCAAGAAAGTGTCCAGCGATCGTGCTGTGGTGGTGGTGGGCTTCTGCTGCTTTGGAGCTTGTATCGAAAGAAGTGATGCCAACTCTTGTGAAAGAAGCGCGTCCAAAGCTTCAGGTCGATCAGAGACGGAAGAAGAAGCATTTGGAACACGTTGTAATGTTTGCAAATGAGGATTCACACTTTTTTCCTGAGGGGCCGATACCAAACTGGCAGGAGTGTTTATACTTGCAGCATGTGCTAAAAGTGCTGCTCCTAGACCGGTGATATAATTTGGAGCGACAAAAGGCTGAACGCTCTTGATTGCTTTTGTACTTTGCAGAGCAGGTTGACCGGCGTTCAAGACTCGAATCGGCTGAGCCTCGCCATAATCTCGTTCTGTGTCTGAGAGATACAATGCTGGATAATATTCGTCAACGATTGTGACGCTTGATGGACGTAAAGTCTCAGTAAGATACGATGCGAGGTAGGTCAAAGTAGCTTGTTGTGCGGACGTATCAGCATCAGGCCTTATGAGAGCATACGTCGCGGATTTTGAATGATCAAGTGCTCCTTGTTGTTCGCCGTTGTCTGAGTTGAGCAGAACAAATGATTCTGTGAATTGAGCATTACTTCGCACGAACGCCTCTCCGGAAGTGCCGATGAATACAGTCAACGGCAAGGAAGGTGAGATCGAAGCATCCTTTGTGTTTCCCTTGAGTGTGAATGAAGGCGGAACAAATGACTTTTTTGTTCGATTTGATCCTTCTCCCGTTGAACTTCTTTGATGGAGTTGCTCTTCATCCTCTGAACCTTCGCTGTCTGATTCAACATCATGCCTTGAAGGCGGTACATCTCTTGAAAGTGGATCGAATTCCATTTTGTGATGTGGTCAAGAACCAAGTTTGTCAAGAATCACTCTTCAGAAGTATGATGAGCAAAGGCCACGCAATATGCATTGACCATTTTTATTTGTTTGCAGCGGGAAGAATTGAAAATGCTTTTAAAGTTTAGCGTGTTAAGTGTGTGCCTCTTCTCCACAGAGTGAGCAACAACAACAAACAAATCCTTCTCTTGATTGTCATTCGCCAGATATCATCCCTCAGCTGGAAGTCATTCGATAAAAGAGAATGTCTACAGGCGATCAAAAGGAGAAAAATGCAACACAGAGCGAAGATGAGCTATCTCTTGAAGTCAAAAAACATAGTGCATTCTGGCTCAGGCATCTACGTATGCTTCCTACACCATACATCTCTGGCGATCTGCAAAGGTGAGGTTGAGCTATGTATATATCAGTACCCAGAATGAATCTGACATCTCCTCTCCTACAGAATGACTTTGGGCTACTTCTGTATCGGTGCTCTGGATCTACTCAACCTACTCGAAGTAAAAGTTGATGTACAAGAACGAAAAGAATATATCGATTGGATATACGACCAACAGCTAGATCGATCATTCGGAGGTGGCTTTTTGCCTGGACCATTCCTACGGCGAGATCAATACCAGGATGGAAGTGCAGACTCATCTCTACCTAGCGGCAGTCGTCCGAGCGGAAACCTGGCCATGACCTATACCGCTCTATTGAATTTAGCAATGTTGGGTGATGATTTCGTTCGATTAGACCGGGAAGCAATACTCTTACATCTACATTCACTTCAACAGCCAGACGGAAGTTTTGCGCCAAGTCTCGGACAAGATGAATGTGATTGTAGATTTGTTTATTGCGCATTTGCAGTTTGTTCGATGTTAAACGCTTGGGATTCGATCGACGTTGAAGCTGCTATTGGATTTTTGCATTCAAGCAGAAGCTACGATGGTGCATTTGCTCAAGGTCCAGGTCAAGAATCTCAAGGAGGATCAACTTATTGTGCAGTGGCCGCTTTGTCCCTGGCAGACAAGCTTGACACAATCCAAAACTCTGAACAGCTTATCTCCTGGCTCACAGCTCGGCAACAGCAAAAGCAAGGTGGATTCAATGGAAGGATAGAAAAGGATGAGGATGCATGTTATTCGTTTTGGTGTGGTGCCAGTTTGGAAATTCTAGGCTCACACAATCTTATAGACTCAAAAGCAGATACCGATTGGCTTCTTTCCTGTCAAACAAAAGTTGGCGGAATTGCAAAAGTGCCAGATGAGATTCCAGACGTTATGCATTCTTACTTGTCTCTGGCTGCTTTGGCCATGCATGCCTATGAAGAGGAATGCGAGAGCTCAGGAACAAGGTTGAAACCTTTCCTAAGAGAGCTTGACCCAACGCTGAACATCAGCAAGCACTCATTGGAGAGGATGAGACAGAAGCTGACCTGAAGCTAGATGAAAGAAGCAATTATTGCACATTTGTACTTTACCCATAACAATATACCAAAATGAAATTTGCATTGAAAAGGCAGAATTTATGTAATGTAAAATAACTGAAAAGGTGACAAGATATACCTCATCCAGAAGGTGCTTCACTTGCTGCTCTTCCTGCAGCCACTTGCACCGGACGTCCAAAGTCATCGATGCCCATTCGACCTTGACGAATGCGCCAAGCAACACAAAGACCGAGCAAGATCGTTTGCAAAACGGCCGTACAAACATACGCAGCCAAAGAAGTAATGTTCACACCCGGTTGAAGAGAAAGGGTGTAGATGAACAAAACCGCTCCTGGTACTTGTAAGCACATCATCGGAATACTCAAACTTCCTACCAGCTTATTTCTTGCCGTATAAACGATTTGAGGTAGATATTGGAATGCGGCCAAAAGCATTGCTGACCAACCAAGGAAAGCCGCCCATCGGTTGACGAGTAGGCGTGATGAAGGTCCAAATATTTGAGTCGATGGTGCTTTGCTAGGGGGCGAAGGGAAGGAAGAGGGCGGTAAAGAAGATACCAGCAAAAGAGTGACCAACAGAATAAAGACAAAATGGAAAGCCACAATCCATCCCAAAGAAAGTGCTAAAGACCATTCAGGTGACCGTGTCTTTATACGACGTTTACGTGGTGGTTTGCGTAGTGCTTGAGGTGCATGAATACGAACGTGTGCAGAATCACCATCAGGGATAAATCTTCTACCATGTTGATCTACTTGTACTTCCTCCTGCGGTATAGGGGCTTCTTGCGAACTTTGGGCCGCTGCTGCAGAAACGGCAGCCGGTGTAGCATTGGGTGGTAAAGTTTCTGTTGCAGCCACTTTCCCCAAAGGTGAAGGGTTAACCTTGCGTGGTGCTTTCCAAACAGGCCAAAATGTTGGTACTAATCGACTGAAAGCTGAACTACTACGTTCATCATCACTGTTCAAGTCAAGCCTGCTAGCCAATGCGCTCTCACCTGCGCTATCATCTGTTTGTGCAGTGACACCTGATATACCTGCACCGTCTATTCCTGCAACATCACTTGCTCCCTCTCGCCCGTAATTCTCTGCGATATGCGAATCGATCGAATCAAGATCAGCACCGGAAGATGCATCATCGTCTTCGGCATCATACGTAGCCAAGATACCACGTTCCGGTCCTTCCAAGGATACCATGCGTTCGTACCGGAACTCTTTTGGGTAATAAACCAAGAAGAGAAGGGCGACAGACATGAAGAGAAGCCATTGAAGACCCACTTGTACGATTCCCAGCAAAGATTCGGCACATGCTCCCAATGTTAGATACTGACAGCAAGATACGGTAGGCCATTGCAGAGTGACGACGTTGAGAAAGCTACTTGCACTACTTGTAGCACCTAAGAACAAGAACCAAGGTGAAAAGCCAATCGAACTCCTTTTGAGAATGATACGAAACAATTGAGGTAAATATGAAATTACCAAACCCATACACAAGAATAACGATAAACCTGTTTGAATTTTTGAATGTTCTGATTTGCATTCTTTTGGAATTTGATCTCCACTTAAATTGACCATGGCCACCATTGCGGCCCATGCCGTTGTGGCCATCGTTTATGGTATCTTGGACCTTTTCGCAGGTCCCAGCGTGAATGGGGAAATTGGTCGTTGTGAGTTGAATGTGTTCGTTTCAGGGGGAGCGTGTTGGACTTTGACTTGAAACCCTATCTTTCTAAGGGAGAGCACGGATGCAGCTGCTCAGCAAAGCCGACATACCGCACACCCCAAGTCCCAGTGGTACTGCTTTGATGCCGTGTTTGAGGCATGCACGCGTTTGGCACTTTTTGATTAAATTTTACTTTGGAGTGAGTTTAGCTTAGCGTTTTAAGAAGAAAATGTTTGCTTCATCATCATATAAGCAACATGGCAAAGAAGGAGCGTGGTTCCTTAGATCTTAGGCCGATCAAGATAGAACAAGGTCTATTGGGTCATCAAGATGGAAGTGCATTGTTCTCCTTTGGTCCTGTATCAGCTCTAGCAGCCGTTAGTGGTCCAAGTGAAGTTCGTATACGTGATGAAAGGACGGATAGATCAGCATTACAAATTCACTTCACACCTTTACAGGGTATTGCAGGAACGTCTGCAACCACATTCGAAAGCACGCTACAGGGAATATGGCAAAATACACTGCAGCTACATTTATATCCAAGATCGCTGGTTCAAATTCACTTGCAAACATATGCTTCTCCACCTCAACTTGTCAGTCATCCTCTCTTACATCCTGATCAAAGAACACCGATCGATCAACCACCAATTCAACCTCCTCATCCGGATGCTCCCATTTCAGTCTCTCTAAGAGCAGCACATATCAATGCTACCACTTTGGCTTGCTTGGATGGTTCGATCCCAATGCGAAGTATGGTAGCCGCCTGTTCAGCAGTAGTGATACGGAAAGGAATTCGGTCTAATCTAATGCGTGGTTGGAGAGCAGGAGAGACAAACCCAACCGAACAGGAAACCCAAAGTGATTCAGATCATTTTGAAATTCTATTGGATCCAACACCATACGAAGAAAGTTTAGCAAAAAGTTCACACGTTTTCGCTTTCGCATTTGAAAAACTTGCCAATCAATCCGATTTTCACTCTGGATTGATCTATAACGATAGTCAAGGCACACAGAGCGGGGCAGACTATCTGAATTGCTTAAGTTTATGCAGAGAAGCAAGTCAGAACATCGTCAAACTCATGAGAGATACAATGGCTCGACGTCTGCTCGGTGCACAGGAAGAGAAAGGGGATACATCAATGGATGCATAGATTTGGAATACAAGCAAGCATTCACCTCACTGTATACTAGACAATGCAAACTTATTCAGAGAATGGTAAATCATGTGTGTGTGCAATTGATATAATGATATATGATGATGATGATAATACAATTTCCTCTATTAAAATTCGGTATCCATAGTCTCAACAAATTACGCAGTCTTTATCATCTTTGGATGCTTGAGAAGCGAAACCCATTTCACCAAAAGTTTCGTAAACTTTCTTGTCGGGTCCCATCGTTCCGGTTGACTTGACTGGGATGTTGGCTTTGTTTGGTGGTGGTGTGCTATAATTCATCGGCTTTTGCGGTGATGAACCTGTTCCTTGTGCTTGTAATGGACGAATGGGTTGAGGTGTTCCAGAACCTCTTCTAGGCGGACCATTGGGTACTGGCATTTGGTTTGACATTGTTTTTCCGGGTGGTGGTCTCGCAGGTCTTACTGCATTGTTGACCCTATTTGGCGAAGCATTCACAGGCGGCGTAGATGCTGCTGTAGAATTAAAGCCAGATGAAGGTGCAGGTGTAGTTCCTCTGCTTTCCGGTACGGGCATCGGACGACGATTGGCCACAACCTCTTCGACCATCCTCATCGTTTGCTTTCTTCTAAGATCTCTCGAAGGAGGTTGTGTTGGACGCTGCTGGGCGGGTGCAGGAGTGCTTTGTGGTTGTGGCATTGGAGGTGGCTTAACATTTTGGCCTTTGGCATTAGAAACTTGTGATCGACGATCGGACAGCATCTTCGCTTCTGTACGTTTTCTCTGTAACTTGGTATCGATGTGCGCTTCGTGTTGCGTTCTTGAAAGTGCATTAGGTTCAGGTCCGGCCAAGGCATCCAAACGATCTTGTGCATCTTTATTGCCATGCGAAGCGGCTCTCTTGTACCACTTTCGTGCTACGTCTAAGTCTTTCTCACATCCAACACCGATCTCGAAATAATACGCCATTGCAAATTCAGCAGTCGGTAATCCTTTTGCGGCTGCTTTGTCTGCAAACGTAAAGGCGAGTGATTCATTCTTATCGAAACAATTCTCTGCTCCGCATAAGAACCATTTGCTCAATGCTAAATCTGCTTCTACCTCACCACCCTGCGATGCCAGACTGTAGTATTGCACCGAAAGTAAAGGATCAAAAGCGCACTCCAATTGAGCATATTCATGAAGCCAGCCCATTCGGTATTGAGCAGGTGCGAAATTGAGATAAGCTGCTCGTTGAATACGTTTTCTGGCTTCTTGTTCACGACTGCCTGGCTGATTGCGTTTTTGCGGATCCACAGCAGAGTCCAAAAGTTCGTGGGAAACTTTCACATGACTAAACTCGCCCGCCAATAACATACCGAAAACGTAGCTAGGCTGTGGCGAATCCAAATTGGCAAGATCAGCAGCCTCTTTCAATAAAGGTATAGCACGAGAGTGGTCTGCTCCGAGCTCAAGCTGTCCGAGAAGGTTTGCCATTCCCATTCGGTAAATACAACCGATATCCTGCACGCTACATCCTCTTTCATATGCATCCCTGGCCCTTGTCATATCGCCCAAAACTTCATAATCCCTACCGATTCTGAACCAGCTTGGCGCATATCCCATACGTGCAGACAACTCGAAATCATTGAATGCAGCACGCAAATCCTTGGGATGATAAGAGGGGAAAGATCCAGATGCTAAGAGATCACCTCTTAGGTACAATGCGTCTGCCAAGGGAGGTTGTGAATTGGCCGCGCGATTGATCACATTCATTGCCTGATCGATCAATTGAATCAGAGCAGGATCGCTGATACGTTGTGCGTCCAATTTACGTTCTACAAACTTAAACACTTCTTTGCACCATGCAGCTTTTTGACGTTCATCTTGACTTGCAAATGCTATATCCCGTCTACGTGTCAATTCGTCCAGATCGGGTAGAACTACATTCAAGCTTGAAGGATCTGAGTTGCTTCCTGATGCACTTGAAATAGAATCTCGAGTGCCCGCAGGTTGTGGCTGAATAGATCCATGATCGCTCTGTTGCCTTTGTCTTGGTGGAGGAGGTGCAGGCTGAGCCCTGGAGTTGTCCAAATGCATTGAATTCATCGAGCTTGATAGATTGTTCGATGGCGGAGCAGGCGAGAGAGATCGTTGTGGAGCAGGACTTGGCATTGGCATCGGTCTAGATGGCGCAAACTGTGCAGGCGCAAATGACTGTTGATGAGGCGGCGGATTATGGTTCATCTTTGGACTTAGTGGTTGCGCATTCATCATCGCTTGTGGTCTCGGTGTGATGCTTCTTCCCGGTCCAGCGGACATGTGATTTTGTGGCATAGGCTGTACGGGTGGAGCCATATGCTGAGGTCTGGGCATCATCATTCCCGGTCCGTTGCCATATTGTGGATATCCTGATTGAGGTGGTGGTGGTGGTCTTTGTTGATTGTGAAATTGTTGTGCTGCTTGTTGTCTTCGATATTGCTGTTCACGTTGTAATGCTTCATTGCGTGAAGGTGGTAATGGTGGAGCATTTGGATTTAGCTTTGGCTGTTGAGATGGTTGTTGATGAAATTGACTTCCACCTGAAACTTGCCTTGGTGTTGCAGCCATTGGGGGAAAAGGTGAATCATTTCCGAAGAATAACGGTAAATCCGGTAACTGGGAAGGTCCCGCCATGATGGCAATCTTTGTATTTAGTTGATTGCCTTGTTAGGTTGACCGTTGAATGATGGTTGTGATCTTGATGTAATCTTATAGATTTTACTTACAATAGATCAACATGAACAAGTGCAAGTGCGCATTAAAAGATTAAAATTTCTACGCTAAAACGTTTCTCTTTTCGGTCAATTGCATCGCCTCGCGTCCTGCATAGAGAACAAAGGGCCGGCTTACATAATCAATTGAGTATGCCGAAATTAGCGCCGTATAGAAAGAACACCTCAGCCAGCTGTAAGCTCAAGCTGTAAAGGCTCGTGCGGCTTGCGAAGAATCCAAAGCTAGAAGAATGCTTCAATCATCATCACTTCAACCACCATCAATCATAACAATGTTGCTTGCCGAAATGATGAGGCGGCAAATTGGCATTGCAATCGTGTTTGCAATTGCTTGTTTGACAATCTCATTCGGATCTACATCCGCATCATCTCTAAAACAGAGACCAAACATCGATGATTGGAAGGTAACCTCTATCATTCGAACAATCGAATTAAGCTCAGTATCAGCTTTATCCGATGTACATACGATCAAGCCATCTGTTGAAGCGCAAACAGAACAAGACATCAAGCCTTACTACTTTGCACTCTCAGCTTTGGAAGCACAACACATTTCAGGATTAGAAGCAAGTGCTCGCTATGGACCTGGCGTTATTCCTAAACAAAGAGCAATCTTGCGTGTGGCAGAACATGGTCCTCTAGATACTTCCGATGCTTTATGGGCTGATGGAAATGCAACGGCTTCTAGACCTCACTTGTACTCTGTCAAGCTACCATTACATTTCCTTCAACCCGGCTCTAATGAAGAAACTTTGGCCGATACTTCGCTCACCATCACTGGCATGCTGGTCCATGCTTCTACACCTTTACCTGCTAGCGTCGGTCAAGCAGAATCGCAAAATGTTCTATGGAAAGGCAGTGCAGGTATTGTGAGCGTTTATGGGGCAGGAAGTGGAAGAATAAAGGTAAAATCGCCTCAACCAACAATCGTTTCCCATTCCACTGAACCTGCTTTACCATCAGATCAAGTGACAAAATCTGGCTCAACCATCACATACGGTCCTTTCAGCTCCATTCCTTCTCTATTGAAGTCTGGAAGTCATAGTGTTGCACCTGAAGCAAGGGTACATTACCTTCACAATTCTCCCATTCTCACAATCGTTGAGGCAGATCGAAAAGTGAAGATCTCTCACTGGAAGAACAGATTGGAGGTAGAAGATAAGCTATGGCTTCGTAATGATGGTGCAAAACTTAAAGGACATTTCTCGCGTGTGCAACATCAATTGAATGCTCTGGTCCAAAAGGCAAAAACAAACACTTTGAGCAACATTGTGATGCAATTGCCTCCTGGTGTGGACGGTGCTTATTTCATTGATGAATCGGGTAATGTATCCACTTCCCAGTTCCGTCCCAAGCCTCCTTCTCCATCTCATGTGGATACGCCCCCACACCTTTTGACGCCTTTGAAAGCTTCCATTTTGGACGTCAGACCTCGTTATTCGTTGTTGGGAGGATGGAACTATACATGCAGTATCGGCTGGTACGTCAAATTGACCGATGGATGGCTAAAAACCCATGAAACAGCAGAAAGAAGATTTATCACGCATATTCCCTTCTTAGCTGCTGTCAAGGATACGGCAATCGATGATGCTACTTTACGAATCATCTTCCCTGAAGGTTCAAAGGATATCTCTTTCAAGGTTCCATTTGCCGTTGATGTGGAAAATGAACGTTCATGGAGCTTTTTGGATACGATTGGTAAGCCTGTTTTGAAATTACACAAGAAACGATGCAGTGAAAGACACGGTGGAATGGTTACAGTGGAGTATACACTCACTACAGGCGATCAATATAGAAAAGCTTTGGTAGCTCTCTTGGCCGGTGTATTGATCGCAGGGGCTATGCGATTGTTCGGTCAGATTGACTTGAGCATCAAAGCTTAAGTAATGTGATAAATGAAAGCTGATGTGGCTTTTGGCATACAAAAGAGTATAATCGAAATTCATTAATATTTCTATGTGAATAGGCTCGCTGGCGTGGATGTCGTGAGAGCATTGCAGATCAGCGGGGCGCTAAAGAAGGCGCCTTGACACTCGGCTTTTTCTGTCCGGTAGTGTGGTATGTAACTTAAGCTGTGAGAGCATCATTCTACGGCAAGTGAAATTAGTGTGGAGCTTAATTTGAGAAGATTGTGATTTTTTCATTCTTGTTCTTTAAACAAAGGATCATTCAATCGCCAATCATGGCGCCAAAGAAGAACAAGAACTCCGGTTCATCTGCATTGTCCAATCAGAGGGCAAATACAGAAGCAGGAAGAAGTACTGGAAGCACCGCTAACAACGCAATTCAAACGATCACAAACGGATCTGCAGTAGTAGAATTACCCGAATCGGTACCTGGATCGGCATTCACATGGACTCATTTATTTCAAGTGTTGGCAGTGTATACATTTATTGCATCTTTGACGTTATGGTCGCATTACCATTTACCCAAACCTAAATCGATCGATACAAACACGTTGGATGAACCTGCACAATTTTCCGAATTGAAAGCATTAGAGCATATATCCAAATTGAGCGATGATATTGGTTATAGAATCGTTGGAACGAAAGAACATGTAGAAGCAGAAAAATGGATTGAAAATGTTGTAAAGAGTTATGAAGGTTGGCATACTACAGTAGTTGCAGATCAAGATGCAAATCAATTACACAATAATGCTACTTTACGGGCAACTGATCCAAGAGGTGATACACAAGTAGAAGTTTGGACGCAAATTGCAGATGGATCACATCGTTTCGATTTTATGAGCTCAATCGTTTGGAAAAAGTATTATAGTATGTCAAACGTAATCGTTCGTATTTCTGATGGAACGGATGAAGGCAAAGAACATGCAGTCCTTTTGAACGCTCATTTGGACAGTACATTGCCCAGTCCAGGTGCGGCTGATGATGGTGCAGGAATTGCAATCTTGTTGGAATTATTGCGCATTTATACTTCACCACCTCGTCCACGACTTAAACATTCAGTTATTCTACTATTCAACAATGGAGAAGAGAGTCTGCAAGATGCAAGTCACCTTTATGCAACCCAACACGAGACCCGCCATTCGGTTCGTGGTGTGGTCAACTTGGAAGCTTGTGGTACTTCGGGTCCAGAATTATTGTTCCAAGCAACTTCTGTTCCGTTTGTGGAAGCATACAGCCAAGTTCCATACCCTTTCGGAACAGTTTTGGCAAATGATGTCTTCTCTACAGGTTTGATTTTATCCGATACGGATTTCCGTCAATTTGTGCAATATGCCAATCAATCCGGTTTGGATATGGCAATCGTTGGCAATAGCTACCAATACCACACACGATCCGATATCACCAAAAATCTCGAACCAGGAATGATGCAGCATTTTGGTGAAAATGTGTTGGCAATCGTGAACCATTTGGCAACCTCCCCACGTTCGAAATTGGCAGTCAACAAACCATTCCCACGTTCAGCACCGCCAATCTATTTCAGTATCGCAAGTCGATTCTTTGTTTTGATTCCAGCAGAGAAGTTCAGAACTGTTATCATGGGTATTTCTGCATTATCCAACTATCTGTTGACATCCGTGGGAAGAGCGGATAAGCATCAAGGAGCATTAAAGTATGCCTTACTCGCTTTACTTTTCACAATCACATCTTTATTGTCGGCTTTGATCTTCTCCAATGCAGTGGCGTTGATTATGGTTCATGTGATCGGTAAGCCTCTCAGCTGGTTCGCCAAAGAATGGTATCCGATTGCACTTTTCGGACCTCCTGCTTTGGTTGGTATTTTGTCAACGCAATACCTTTTTGCATCCTTAACGAGAAAGGATCGCAGGGCTTATTTGGAACGTGCAAGCTTGGATGGTTTATCGTTATTCTTTGTGTTGTCGTTATTGTCTTTGAGCGCTTTTGGAATCGGATCTTGCTATTTGGCCGGATTAGGATCGATCGCAATGACTGTGGTGATTGCACTGAATGACTTGTTCTTGATCGGTTATGACAAAATTGAACAGAAACAAGTTCCAGCCCACAAGAGGGTACATCCGATCAGTTATCTGATTTACGTCATCGTACCAGCTTCGATAGGAAGTGAAGGATTGGTTTCTTTCTTGGACCTTTTTGTTCCGCTCACAGGCAGAACAGGTGAAATTTCGCCTGCTGATCATATCGTCGGTTCGATTGCTGGTGCATTAACATTCTTGTGCTTGCCTTTTGCACTTCCAATGTCATTCCGAATGGGTCGTGAACGTTTGGCAAAAGTGATTGTGTTCTTTTTGACAATCTCAGTAGCTTGCATTGCAATCTTTGCTTCTCCTGCTCTTAAGCCCTTCGATGTTGGACATCCCAAGAGAGTATTCGTTCACGCCGTTCAAAATGTCACTTCTGATACATTTTGGCTCAATTTGGGAGGTGCAGATCCAGATGTTAAAGGGCTAGAGACAATCGTAGATGACGTTTGGAAATCGATGGGAATCGTTGAAGAACCATTTACGAAAGTGGATATGGACGATTATAATCCGGATTTTGCAATCTTGTATCCTGTAAGCACCTTCCTTACACCTTACAAGATGCGTGTTCCAATGCCGCAACCTTCTCCTTGGACGTTACCAAATGGAGATGAATTCGTACCAAAGGTATCAAATGAGAAAATCGATTGGAAAGCAGGTACACGTACTTTAACCATCACCGTTCGAAGACCAAATTTGATTTGGAGCGTGATCGCTTTTGATGCCGATATTCTTGAATGGGATTTACCCTCTGCACCACCTGTTGGAATGCAAAGGCATCATATCAAAGAAGTTGCACGACATGGAATTGATGAATGGTCAGTGACACTGACTGTACGTTTGCCAGATGGAATGCAACAACAAAAGAAAACGAAAACTGCTGCAAACCCAATCCGTCTTTCTCAAGGTGTTCCCGAACGTGATCCAACGAAATTATGGATCGATTATTCTGGCTTAATTGCAGAAGCAATGTGGCCGCAAGCCAAAAGATTGGAAGCATCAAGAAGACAAAAGTATCCTTCAATTGATGTTTTAGAACGTTTAGATGATGTCTTATTGGAAAAGCATCCTGAAGTGGATTCAATGTTACTAAGCGTTGTTGCTGCTGTTGCTCAAGTATGATCGAATTTGGTGCAAGCTTTGGCTAAAGACTCTATATAGAAAAGCTCTTAGAGAGCATACACTAATATACTACTGGAAGAATCAATACATTTATACATCTCATTTATTGCTAGAAGTACATGATTGGATACATTATGAATTACTTTCTTCGGGTGCATTCCCTTCACCTGAGACTGCCTCAATCGTTTCCACAGGTGGGATGGCGTCCATTGATTTTTGTACAACATCTTTTGCTTCTGATTGAGGTTCTGCATCGAGAACATCGTTTGTGCCCATATCTGCATCATTTGTGTTTGCGATCCCTTCTGCATTGATCACCGCTCCGTCAGCGGCATCATCTGCAGCTGTAGCAAAAGTATCATCTCCAACTGCTGCCATACTTGCGTCCGCCGATTCTAAGGTCTCATTAGCTGGCTGGGATGTGGGCAGGGCATTCGATTCATCTGCATCTGCATCTCCATCAGCGTCTGCTTCAGCATCTTCGTCATCAGGAGCATCTTCATCTGCTTCAGCATCTCCATCGTCTTCATCGTCATCGTCGTCTCCTTCGTCGTCATCGTCATCTTCTTCTTCATCTTCCTCGTCGTCTTCAGCATTTCCGTCCAATTGCATTGCATCCGTCAAATTGGATGCTTGCTCAGGCAGAGCTGCTTGAGGAAGCGAAGGTACGGCTGCCTGTTGAACAGGTGCGCCGTTCGCACCCGCGACAGGTTGTGATGCTCCAGGAACCGCTTGCAATGGTTGTCCGGTCGAAGTAGGTGCTGCAGGTTGAGCTTGCGTTCCAGCAGCCACGGCAGGCTTTTGTTCTGGTTCCGGTTCTGGTTCTGGTGCTTTGGGTAATAACTTTCGAACTTCTTCTGGCGTTTTTGCTCTGATATAACCAGCTCCCAAGATTCTTCCTTTGCTTGGCATGGATTTCCAGGCCGGGATTGCTTCGCCACTCGCGTTCACTTCTTCTATATCAGCTTCCTCTAACCTTTTCTTCTCTTCTTCTTCTAATTGTACCTTTAGGCGCTTTGGAGGAGCATGCAGTAGATCATCGTGCTCTTGCAACTCTTCACGCCACCTTCTAAACTTTGTGGAATGGTTTGATTGTAGCTTTTCGATTTCATTTTGAGTTTCGTTTAATTGAGATCGTAATGCTTCTTGATCTTTTCCAGCATAAGGTGATTCGGATGGTTGAAGGTTTTCAATCTTACGTGAATCAAAGATCAAATTGATCAATTCATGATTCCTTCTGTACCTTGCAGAAGCAATATCGCGTCCTGATAATTTATCCAAATCATCTAAGATGAAATCTACCGGATCTTCATCAATACTTAAACCCCAACCCATTCCGGTCGATTGAGGTGGATGTGGTAGCATTCCTGGCGGAGGCATTTGATTGTTCAAATGACCACCCGGTCCACCTCTTGGTGGTCCAGCGCCAAATTGTTGTTGATGATGTCCTTGTGGACCTGGTTGACCGAAACCCATTTGATTTGGATGTTGTGCCGATTGTGTTCGATTGTTTCGTGAAGTTTGATTCTTTCTTCTTCTACGCGGAGCATTGGATTGTGAACCGACAACACTGCCACCAGAGGCGGAAGTACCGCCTAAAGGGCCGCTCATTTGTAATAACAATAAGAAGAAAAAAGAGCGGAGGTGAAGGGGGTTGCCTTTTTATTTTGATAAAATTACGGCGACGGAAATGAATGCGTGGTCCTAAATGATTGTTTTATGGAATCTTTTTGTTGTGAATGACTATGGATGCATTCATTCTTAAAATCACTTTTAACAAAAGGCAATCATCTTATGACGCGCCGCGCCTTTGTAGCCTTTACGCGTGCGTGCGTGCGTGCGTGCGTGAGCTGTAGAAGAGAAAGCAGCGCCTCGTTTAATTGTCCGCTTTCTTGAGTGCGCCTGGCTGTGTTGCTGCTGAGCGAAGGAACAGCTTACAACGCCAGAATTAGCAACGAACCCAATTATTATTATAGCGTTTAACATTTTCAGCGCTTCACCAGCCAAGAAGAGCTGCTACTACGCACAGGAGGTATGATTTCTAGGAGTGAATTCTATACCACATCATTTCCTCCCTCCTGATCATTACAAACACAAGTAGAATACGATGAGACCTTGAAGGTTTCAAATCCGTCAAACCTTTTTCAATCAAATGAAATCGCGCATTTATCTCAATTGAATCACCCAAGAAAATCCGCATTTTATTAACGGCCGCCGCATTTTTTGATATTGTAAACATCACTCCGATCTTATTCACGTTGGCCGAAAAACATCCTCATACGACAGGCTCGTGCACATGATACTACTTTGAATGATTATTGAAAGATGGACGACTTTGACGATTTCGTAACGCCCGCTTACAATTCCGGTGCTCCTCCACCGGAAGGTACCTCTTCTCACCGACCTGTTCATCATCTACAGAGTGGAAGTGCTCAACAACAACAAGCAGGTCAATCTAGGTCACCATTTGCTACAGACCCTTTTGCTGCAAGTTCGGAATCTTTAGGTTTAGGCACTTATTCTCATTCCGTCAATCGAGGCCGTAACGATCAGTCCGCAGCACCTTCACACGTCTTGGTTGATGCGGATGATCCTGATTTGTTAGGTGACGACGATTTTGACGATTATCTTGGCAGAGGTACAAGTGCAAGTGGAGCGAACAAAAGCTCGAGTGGCTCAAGAGCATATCCACCAAATGGAAGGTTTGCTGAAAACAGTAAAGTATCACTAGGTGGAACGAGTGATTTAGCCGTTCCTCGTCTGCCATTCACACAACAAGTTGCAGGTAGTCAAGAGAGTGGCTTGCCATTTGCTATGAGTGGTGCCACACCCGCTGGTCATGAAGGTCCATTCTCAGACATGTACAGAACACATACAAATCAAAGTGGGGCAGGTTTCAAGAGTATAGAAGCAGATGATGAGCCATACGATTCACCAATCTCACCTGCCGGTGCCAAGCGTGGCTATGGGAACGGTGCAGGAGCACAGAGGAAAGCCAAAGCTTATGACACCGCTTCAGCAGGACGATCACGCAAACCGCCCAGAGATTCGCCTTTTGATGGCGTAAAACGATCGATACGTACGATGCGTGCAGATTTTGCACGAATGATGAACAAAAAAGGTGCAGCAAAGAAGGAAGCAGAAGGTGAACGTGTGATCAGACTGAATGATCCAGTCACAAATGATCGTGAAGGCAACTTTGGTGATAATTATATCAGCACGAGCAAGTACAACGCAGTTACTTTTGTGCCCAAATTCCTCATCGAACAATTTTCACGTTATGCAAACTTGTTCTTCTTGTTCACAGCGGTTATTCAACAAGTGCCCGGTGTCAGTCCTACAAATCGGTATACGACAATTGTCCCTTTGGCATTAGTACTTCTTGCCAGTGCTTTCAAAGAGCTGAAAGAGGATTTCGCCAGACATCGATCTGATTCTGAACTAAACGCACGCATTGCTCAAGTTCTGGAACCAGGCTCAGGAACATTTGAGTCGAGAAGATGGAGGCATATTCGAGTAGGTGACATTGTTCGTGTGGAATCCAACGAATTCTTCCCAGCAGATTTGGTTCTGATAAGCAGTTCCGAGCCTGAGGGATTATGTTATGTTGAGACGGCCAATTTGGACGGAGAAACAAATTTGAAAATCAAACAAGCCTCACCTGATACAGCTAGAATCACAACACCACCATCAGCATCAGCTTTGCGAGGTCATATGCTATCCGAGCATCCAAACAATAGTCTTTACACTTTTGATGCCACCCTACATCTGCAATTAAGTTCAACGCCCGGATTCAGCGGAGTGCCAACAAAACAAATTCCCCTGTCTCCTGAGCAAATGTTGTTGAGAGGTGCGCAACTTCGTAATACACCATGGATTTATGGTCTGGTCGTATTTACCGGTCATGAGACTAAATTGATGAGGAATGCAACAGCCGCACCGATCAAACGTACAGCGGTCGAGAAGCAAGTCAACGTTTTGATCTTGCTATTGTTCGCTCTTCTACTGATTTTATCCATTGCTTCGGCTATTGGTGCAATCGTGAGAGATTCGGCCTATGCTAGTGAGATGCAATATCTACTCTTGTCTGAAGATTCAAAAGGAAAAGCAAGATTGTTCGTGGAAGATATCTTGACTTTCATCATCGCATACAACAACTTGATTCCTATCAGTTTGATCGTCACTATTGAGGTGGTCAAGTATCAGCAAGCCCAATTGATCAACTCCGATTTGGACATGTACTACCCTGCAACAGATACACCCGCTCTGTGTCGTACGTCAAGCTTGGTGGAAGAATTGGGACAGATCGACTACATTTTCAGCGATAAGACCGGTACCTTGACCAGAAATGAGATGGAATTCCGGCAAGCAAGTATTGGAGGAATCTCATACAACGATACAATCGATGAGAGCAAGCAAGATTTCGGTCAAGTTGGGCCTGATGGACGAGAAGTTGGAAGTCAACGTACTTGGGCAGAATTGCAATCCATGATGAATGGCGAAGTACCTGACGATGGAAGTACAGCGGTGATTCATGAGTTTTTGACGCTGTTGGCAGTATGTCATACAGTCATTCCAGAAAATCGTGACGGTCGCGTCACATTTCAAGCCTCAAGTCCAGATGAAGCAGCTTTGGTTTCAGGTGCTCAATCATTGGGATACGAATTCTTTGTGCGAAAGCCTAGATCGATTTTCATCAGCGTTCGGGGTATGGAACAAGAATTTGAAATTTTGAACGTTTGTGAATTCAACAGTACACGTAAAAGAATGTCAACGATTGTTCGAGGACCTGATGGTAAGATCAAGCTTTACTGCAAAGGTGCTGATACTGTCATTATGGCACGCTTGAGTGAAAACCAAGCCTTTACCGATCAGACTATGGTTCATTTGGAAGACTTCGCAACTGAAGGTTTGCGAACATTGTGTGTTGCAATGCGTGAAATTCCTGAACAAGAATACCGACAATGGTCACGTATGTACGATCAAGCTGCTGCAACGATTGTAGACCGTTCAGAAGCTTTAGACAAAGCAGCTGATGTGATTGAACAGAACATGTTCCTGCTAGGAGCAACGGCAATTGAAGACAAGCTACAAGATGGCGTACCGGAAACCATTCACACTCTACAAACTGCTGGCATTAAGGTTTGGGTTCTTACAGGTGACAGACAAGAAACTGCCATCAATATCGGTCTATCTTGTCGATTGATCTCAGAATCGATGAACTTGGTCATTGTCAACGAAGAAACTCCGCATGATACCGCAGACCTTCTCACAAGACGATTGGCAGCCGTCAAAGCACAAAGGAGCGAAGGTGATAATGAAGATATGGCTTTGATTATTGATGGGAAGAGTTTGACGTTTGCCCTGGAGAAAGATATTGCAAAAATCTTTTTGGAATTAGCAATCATGTGCAAAGCTGTCATTTGCTGTCGTGTATCCCCTCTGCAAAAGGCATTGGTGGTCAAATTGGTCAAGAAGAATATGCCCGCTCTTTTGTTGGCAATTGGAGATGGAGCGAACGATGTGAGCATGATTCAAGCTGCTCATGTTGGTGTTGGTATTAGCGGTGTTGAAGGTCTTCAAGCTGCTAGATCTGCAGATGTCGCCATCAGTCAATTCCGTTACTTACGCAAGCTCTTACTTGTTCATGGCTCTTGGAGTTATGCACGTTTGAGTAAGATGATCTTATACTCATTCTACAAGAACATCACGCTTTATATGACCCTTTTCTGGTACGCATTCCAAAATTCGTTCTCTGGACAAGTCGCATTTGAATCTTGGACGTTGTCATTCTACAACGTCATCTTTACCGTCTTACCTCCTTTGGTGATTGGTATCTTTGATCAATATCTCAGCGCAAGAATGTTGGACAGATATCCACAGTTGTACGGTCAAGTCTTTTTCAACAAGAGACGATTTTGGGGTTGGACATTGAATGCTTTTTATCATTCTTTGATCGCATTCATCTTTGTCACGATTGCCTTTTGGGCAACACCACAAGATGATGGAGGTTACGGAGCATATATGTGGATTTGGGGTACAACTCTGTACTTTGCCGTTTTGATGACAGTTTTAGGTAAAGCTGCTTTGGTTTCGGATTTATGGACAAAGTATACGTTTGCTGCTATTCCTGGTTCGGCGGTGTTTACTTTGGCATTCATTGCGGTTTACGCTTACGTTGCACCTGCGATTGGATTCAGTAAAGAATATACAGGAATCGTACCAAGATTATATGGATTTTCTTTGTTTTGGTTCTGTATGGTTCTTGTTCCTGCCGTTTGTTTGATACGGGATTTTGCATGGAAATATTGGTCAAGAACATACCGACCAACATCGCAAGATATCGTTCATGAAGTTCAAGTTTTAGGTTTACAAGATCATAGACCAAGAATGAGTCAATTCCAACGTGCCATCAAAAAAGTTCGTGCCGTTCAACGTATTAGACGTCAACGTGGTTATGCATTCAGTCAAACCGAAGGAGCTGATCAAGAACAAGCAAGATTGATCAGAATGTATGATACCACTCAAGTTCGACCTTCTGGTTTGTAGTTGAAAGAAAAGAAAATGAATCTGTACAACATTATTCATCAATTTGATTAGTTTTCTCACAGAATGTCGAGAAAGATATAGAGTATTCGATTGTATTGATGTATGTGTGTACAAGAATGTGTATTAAGGTAATAATGGCTCTGCAGGTAAAGATGGGGTGGTAATGCACAAATAAAACCCGGGGTAATAGGCATGCGAAACGGAAAAGAAAGTTTTCTCATACTTCCCACAACAGAAGCATGGAATAATTCATTCTGAGGCGTGCTTGGAATAGGCGGGCATGATTTGTCGTTGTTGTTGGAATACGAAATGAATGGACAAAAATCATCATTTGACAAGCTTGCTTTGTTCTTTGGCATATTTGATTAAAGGTTCAAGCGTTCGCAAATTGGCAGTACGCTTTAGGAAGACGTGATCCAATAATTGTGTTGCATCCGGTCTGCGTTCTGCATCAACGTCCAAGCATGTTCGTAAAAAGTCTCTGAACGTGCTCGTGGTTTTATCGGAATCAGGAATCTTGGGTGTTCCATTTGTGGCGATCAAATAAAGTGCTCTTAGAGGATTTTCGTTCAAATAAGGTGGTTCTCCTTCTAACATCTCGATTGCCATGATACCTAAACTCCAAATATCAACCTTTGGTCCGTATTCCTTCCTGGTCACAACTTCCGGTGCCATCCAATAAGGAGTTCCTACCATTGTCGTCCTCTTGGCTTGTGATTCACCAATTTGTGCACAGAAACCGAAATCTGTCAATTTGATATCACCATGCATGCTCAATAAAACGTTGTCACTCTTGATATCACGATGGATAACTTTGTTTGCGTGTAAGTGACGCAAGCCTTCCAAAACTTCCTTGCAAACGGCAGCGATTTGAGGTTCGCTCATCACGTTGCTGGTCACCACGTCTGTCAAGCTTCCACCTTCCATGTACTCCATTACAACCCAAAGGTCACCCTTGTGCAAGAAACTGTCAATATAGTTCACAATATTCTTGTGCTTGGACTCTTTCATTACCAAGATTTCATTGATGATCAAATCCTTCTTTGGCTGTTGCTCAAGGTTCATCTGTTTAATAGCAACGGACAGATTGCTTCCCACTTGATAAGCCGTGTATACACCACCAGAAGCACCAGCTCCAATCTTTTCGAAATCGCGATAAAGTTTCGTCGGGTCTGCATCAGTACAGATCGTCTTGAGCTTTTCAATCACTTCATGATCTTTCATTCCAGTCTTCTTCGTATCCCTTCGACGAGGTTGAGCTCCGGCAGGTGCTTTTGTAGAAGCAGATTTTGTAACCGAAGCACCTTCTGCTCCACCACTTGGCGATCCTTTCACTTTCATAGAAGCAGACGAAAGCGCTCCTTTACCACTCGCACCAGAAGGAGAAGGAGTTTTATTCGTTCCAATCTTCGGACTACTTCCACTTCCCATAGGCGGTGTAGCAAGGCCGGCACCGAGACCAGGTGAAGGCGCAGGCCTTGTTGGGATTGGACCTCCAGCAGAAATTGCTGCGGCTGCGGCAGCTTTGTTCGCTTCTGTAGGTGGCGGCCTAGAGCTCTTGCGCATGGATTGAGATGTATTCAGACCAGCTGCACCTGGTGGTGCTGGAGCAGCTCTTGGCTTTTCGTATACACCATCTCCTGATCGTACAACTCCGCTACCTGTTGTGCTCTCTGATCGTGAGTCTGAAGCAGATCCTTCATTCGCATGACCCGGTCCGCCGTTCATCTTTCTCCAAACAGAATCATCTTCAAGATTATTTTGCGTTACATCTTGATAGAAAGCAACAATGTCCATAACTGCTTGTGGATTTTTCGCTTGATCTTCTTTTGAGATACCGGAATTCTGAAGGAGTTGTTGCCATTCTTTGGGTAATCCGGTAAATTCCCCAGTGTCAGAATTGAAACCTACATGGGTAAGATGCACAGGATCGTATGGAGTTGAAATTTCAATCTTCTTTTGTTGAGAAAAAACATCGCTCATCGAATTAACAAAGCCACCAAAAACGGACTTGAACGTATTCCTTCCACCCGGTCCAAATTCACTTCCTCCAAAAGCGTTGTTACCAGAACCGGCACCGCTTTGGTTATTGCTTCTCGCACCGCGCAAAGTAGAATAGGATCCGCCTGGAACGCTATTTGGAGGTGAAATGGGCGAAGATAATTGGCTCAAAGTGCCACTCGCTACAGTCGATCCAGGCATTGAATCGTCCAAAGCGTTGGCCAGACCGGAGCTCCAATTGGTGTCGTTTGTATTTACAGCGCTCTGACCAGGAAAAGCTGAATGAGCAGCAGCGAGATGAGGCGAGCCAGCAGGTCCGGCGACAGAAGCTTGCGATCGAGTTGCTGCTGGTAAGAAACCACTTGCCGTTCCATCTTGTGTTAATAATGGACTGCCAAGCGTAGGCACACTACGCCCATTTCCTGTGGCATCAAATGTATTTGCCCTAATTGGACGCGGAGGTCCGGATGCGAATGCTTGTTGATTGGCAATCGTTTGTGCACCTCCTCCTCCTCCTTGAACCCATGGTCTATTATTGGAAGATGATGATGCTGGACTATCACTAGTGACCATTCCTCCAAACGTTTGATTACCTCCGTTCATGCCTTGACTACTGCTACTACTTCCGCCAGGATAGCCAGAGCCCATACCTGGTCTGATACTATTGGAACGGGGAGGTGAGCGTGTTGAAGTTGCCATTACAGCAGTGGATGGACGATAATTGGCAGATGAAATGTTTGAATTGTTGTTTGATCCAACTCCTACACCGGGCGGCAAAGGGGCACTACGTTGAGGAATTAAATCAAATTCACCTCCACGGGGAATAGGGCTACTGCTTGTGCTGTTGTTGTTGTTATTGGTGCCGCCTCCTACAGCAGATTGCGAATACATGTTGGGAGAAGAGAGCTGTTGTTGTTCGTGGGACATGCCTGCGCCACTTGTTGTTGCAGCACCTGAAGTTGAGCTTTGACCTCCGCCGTTTGATGTATTAGCCCCTGCTCCATTGACTCCTGTTAGGAAAGATTGGTCAAAGCGTTCTCCAAATCCTTCGATAGGTGAAAGGATTTGAGGTGCACCGGCATAATCGTGTGGATGTTTAATGATCGACCTTCTTTGGGTCATTGCGAATAGATGTACACTGAAAGCAAAAGAAAAACGATCAGAAAGATATTATTAAAAATATTCTCTCTCTCTCTCAACGAAGGCAAATCGCTGGATGGATGTTGTTAAATTGAGATCTATGGTCGATTGTCGATCAAATCCAACCAATCTTCGCCATTCACACAGATCCAATAATCCTTGTTGTGATTGTATGATGTTGATGACCACTTGAAGTTGTGATGATGAAAAGGATAATTAAAGAGGAAAGGGGTAAAAGCGTTTTTAAACAATCGAAAGTGGATGTAGTAGTCGATAGCAGGATTAAAGCTTTAAAGCGGGATAAAAAAGAAACGCGCCTTGAATTATGCATGACCGTTGTTAGCTTGCAATTCATGGATGATGTGTGTGTGCGCTTCTCTTTTTATCGGGGGGGGGTAAAAAGCACAAACAGCTTCCAGTGTGTGCGGTGCGGTGCTTTGCGCAGAGTTGTGCTGGGCGTATGTATAACTCGCTCGCAAGCAGTGCAAAAGTGCACCCTCTCTTTACACACACAAAGGCAAATAACCCTAAAGAACAAAAGTTATAATTAGCCTTTCTTTGTCGTGTATTGTATGCCGGTGCCCCCCTCTTTTTATCTCTTGAGCGTACGTGCGCAGTGGCTGGCCCTTCAAGAGCGCTGACGCGATTTTGTTACCAGCCAAATTACTAGTAAATTGAAATTGCATCGCACTTCGTTATAGAGACAGATTCTGTATGTTCAACTTGAAAATTCAAGAAATAAGTATGTAAGACTAGACCTTCTTAACTCTATTTTATAAAAAATAGATCAAATTAAAGAGTATATAATAAGAAGAAAAAAATAGAAAAAAACAGAGGAGATCGTTCAAAAAAACAGACGCAAAAAGACGAGAGACAAAAATAAATTTACCAAAAAACGACCAAAAAACAGAGGGCACTAAAAAAGATCCGAACCATCCAAAAACATATAAATAAAGATAAAAAAAAATATAAAAAAAAATACACTCTATAAAATAGAGCTAAGAAGGTCTAGTCTTACATACTTATTTCTTGAATTTTCAAGTTGAACATACAGAATCTGTCTCTATAACGAAGTGCGATGCAATTTCAATTTACTAGTAATTTGGCTGGTAACAAAATCGCGTCAGCGCTCTTGAAGGGCCAGCCACTGCGCTGCTCATTCTAGACAGTTCATTTGTACCTTTTTCTTAAAGGCCAAGCGTAAGAAGGCATGCATGACTACTTTATAATAAGAGTAAAACCCTTGTAGTATGTAAATCAGACCATAATCCGTTTGGATGATGTAAACATTTCTCCGGCTAGGCTACTGTCTTCTAAACAGAATTCTACAACGATCACCTATAGCAGGCATGAATTGCTACCACTTCTTACTTGAATGCCTTACTGGATAAAAGACTATGTCACGGTTGATTTAGATATGAGGCATCCGCGTAAGATTAATCAGGGTATGTTGATAATTGTTACATTTATTACTGTTTGAAATAAGGTGATACTTGAAAATCCACTGGTCTCGAATGATGATGTTGAGAAATATGACCTCTATGCCGACTTTGGAGAAGTGGGGTAGCGATTTTGTCTCTTTCTGGTGTTCAATTCTTCCGACTCGTGTAAACTTGTTGCCAAAAGATAGAAGTATGCTCCATTCAGTGCATTCAAAATATCCTCAACACTTGTTTTGCCTGATTGCATTGCAAGATGAAAGTAAGTGTTAGTGATGACCACATCTTCTACTTAGCCACATGTACTCACCGGAGTGTTTTGGTAGAATGAGTCGAAGGAAAATGAAAATGAACGGGAAAGTGAAAAGAGCACCAAATCCGGCCGTACGTCGCATTTCAAGGACAATTCTACCGGATCGAAAGACAATAGTGAGTAACCTTGCGATCTTCTTCGTTATCCTTTCACAAAACACTCACCCTAGCCCGTCAACTGTGTCCAACTGATGCAAATGGCGAAGACGGGAATAAAATCGCACACCGGAGGAACACTGATCAATAATCTGCCTTGCTTCGCCTGTCGATAATCTTGCATTGAAAGTCTGCCGGGTGGGAAGACGCAGTTTTATCGCGATCAGCATATTTTTAGAAACTTCCTAATCCGCATTTACTCAACTCACCTGAACGTCATCCAATCGAATTCTCATCCTTGGATCAGGGAGCCATCTCACTACGCTATTGTCTCTTTGCCTTGCCACAATCCGCAACGGGTACGCAAGAATCAAATGACAAATGCTAGAAAGGAACAATCCACTCAATTTACCAAAACCCAATCTACGCAAAGCGAAAAATGTGTTCGTAGGCCAAACGATTCCATCTCCATTTGGATCAAACAATCCCATCAAAATCTTTTTTCCTCTTTGAATATTTTCATTCATTTCATTCTTCTCTCTTAAAATGTTCAAATCCATCGAATTGCGACGGAGAGAATGATCGGGAACGTATGGTAATGATTGAATCCTTCTGCCATGAAAAGAAGTTTGTCGTCTACGTTGTGTCCAATCATCGCTCTGAGAAAGATAGTCAGAGATTGTTAGTATTCTCACCTACAAGCACAATTGCATCCCTCCCCGAAACAGCGCTCACCAAATGCCTCTGTGAACGTGAAGCAACGGATGTATTCGTCGTCGTTGCAGATAAGTATGCATCTTCGATGCCATTATACAAGATTGATGTTTCATCAATACTACCCGATAATGAAGAAACACTGCGTAACGAAAGCGGCCTTGGCATTTCTGTTTTTCTTGAGAAGTGGATGAGCAGAAGAAAGCAAAGAGGACAGCAAAAAAGATAGGGGAAGTTGGGGATGGGCGAATGAGAAAAGACGAAAGGATGGATATCAAGGCTGCTTGATAAATGGTTCTCGACCTCGTGGAGTGCACCTTGTAGACTGGAATACACAGCTCTATCCATGGTCAGTACACTGAATCACAAATCTGTCATAATGCAGACGCTGAAGTGTATGCATTTACTGCTAATGCATATCCAGAATCATTCATCCCGCCAAAGCGACTTATCACATTGGATTGACAACTCACTCAAGCTGCTAGTCATGTACGCTGGTATTCTACGCATATTCATACATTCTACTCTTTAAACAATACATATGTCCGTTCCACCATCTCGATCATCATCCTTCTTGCTCATGACCGAAATCAATGATGGAAAAAAACAATCTTACAAAGCACTTTTCATGCTCCAATGGCCAAACAACTAAATCTTTCATCTTCCGCCTTAGTTTACAGAATCATGCCATATTCTTCATAGAGGCATGTTCCGTGATATGAGGCGGGTCCCGGGGGAATACTCATGCAAAACGTTTCAAGTCTACTCATCAAGAACAGCTCTCTTTCCCTCCAAATCGTATACCAGAATAAATGCCTATGTGCATTCGCGTTCGTTTTGCGTGTTGAGATTACAATCGCCATAACGGTATCCTGCTGTCTGCATTCAAACCGAGATGGTCAAACATGGACATGATAGAAATGTATATGAATATGTGTGTGTGAGCGTGTGAAATGTGCAGTGATATTAGTGCCGGTAAAAGCTCAGGAGAGATCAAAGAGTTGAGCAAACTTGACCTTGAACCACACTGTATATCGGAGAGTCGTTGGTGCTGGTCACTTAGATGTTGCTTGGGTACAACATGATGCGAACGCTGGCACCGAAGGCCTTTGGTGGGATGTTGGTGCGGAATTTGGAGCGAACGGCACCAGAGTTACCGTGGGCACGGGTGACTTTGCCCCAGATAACGCGGACCTTTGATCCTCGTCTTTCTGTGGGTGCTTTGTAGACGTATGCGACACGCTGAGTAGAGAGGAGGGAAGGAGGGTCAGTATACGTGGCATGTCGTCCTTATTCAATGCTCCAAACTCACCTTTCCGAGGTAGAACTTGGTGTCCTCTGGCTTCTCAACACCTTCGATCTTGAGAAGGGTTGTGCGTGGGTGAGAGTTGTGCTTACCACGTTGGTGGCCGGCGATGCGTCCCTTTACGTATAGTCGAGACTGAATGAGGAAAAGAGAGGGATGAGAAGTCAGTTGTTGTTGTTCAGAGTCATTGGTGCTGGATGAGATAGCTGCTGTTTGAAGATGAAGAATATACGAAGAGAGTGTTGTTGAACTTTGGCGAGATCTTTTTGCAATTGTTGTATTGATCAAGCAGGATTCGTGGTGGATCAAAAGAGTCTTCACGCAAACCCGACCTTTAGAACGGGCCATAATGAGTCGATGCCAGAACGCCGTCCATCTCATCTCTGAAAGTATACGGAAGTCGTCGTCGTGATCCTTTGGCGCTTTCGTGTAGTAGCAAGCAGTTTCGTCGACTTTGTATGATTGATAGTACGTTTCGTACATGTTTCATCTGATCGAAACCATTTCCATCGATCATTTCATACCTCTCTTTCGTATCCCATAAACCTCATCCTGATCGCATTCACTTTCCATCATCTCCATCCAGCAGCATATTCGTCATCCATGCAAAGTCGATTTACTTACCATCTTGTCCAATCCTTCAAGTTGAGCAGGCGTGGTGGAAGGTGATGAACAGGATGATTTGTACAAGTTCAATTTACCTGTGGTTGAATGATTAACTTCTTCGTCTGCAGTTGTTGCTGCTGCTGCTGCTGCTGCTGCAAGTGGACTTTTGAAGGCACACACACGCACTGCGTAAAAGCCAGGCTTTAGTCACGCTTCAATGACGATACGCAGCAACAATCATAGGCTTAGGACCGATAGAAGCATTAGAATATTCAGGTATTCAATTACAAAATTATAATACGAGTCCACACTGTAATTGTGTACAAGATTTGTATTCAACCCGATACAACGCGCTGTAGAAAGCGCGCACCGCAGAAATAAATTCGAACAATGCATCACGTGTAAAGAATTGTCAAACTTTCCACAAAACACACGTGCAAGACTAAGAAAGAGTAAGATTTCACGTGCTTCGACGAACAGATGAACAATCATTCTCATACTTCCAATTGATCAATATGTTCCTCCTCATGCTTTCAAAGTTGAAATGGCACAACAGTGTTCCAGGACTTATATATTCACATTGCTATCTTATTATGATTGATGACTTTCTAGAATCTAGGTCTACACAATGATCAAGGCAGGTTGCCATTCCATCAGGTACATTTCTTAATTCGCCTTTACCAAAACGATGGCCGTTCTGCTTGGTAGGTATACTTGAACGAAGTTCTTTCTTCCGTTCCATTCCAATGGTGAAGTAAAGAATCTACTTTGAGCATGATCGATTCTACCATGACCACCGAATTTCTTATCATCCGTATCCAACCCAATCACATATTCTCCCGGTACTTCAACTCCAATTCGATAATCCGTGTAAGATTGAGTTGCATGCAAATTGAAAATGAATACCGCACCTGCACGTTCGAATGCAATCATTCGATCTGATTCATGTTTGAGCGAAATGTATGCTTGTGGAGATGAAAGCCAGTGCAAGCCAGACTCCAAGTTGTTCATAGCTGCATCGAACCAGTATAAATATTTGTATCGTAACAATTCATCATCGACCAAATTGAATTGTCTTCGTGCATGTTGGAAAGAAGAATTATTACCTTCACGTGGGAAGTCGAGCCATTCAGGATGACCGAATTCGTTACCGATAAAGTTGAGATAGCCTTCTCCACCTAAACTATGAGAAAGCAGTCGAATGATCTTGTGTAATGCCAAACCACGGTCAATGATTGGAGTCCTTTCGGTAAGATCAGACATGTTTGTATACATTTCCTTATCCATCAACCAGAATGCCAATGTCTTATCACCCACTAATGCTTGATCATGAGATTCAGCATACGCGATCGTCTTTTCACCATGACGTCTGTTTGTCAATGTGAAGCAAACGTTACCCAAATCCCAATCTTCATCGCGTTGTTCTTTCAACATCTTGATCCACATATCAGGAACAGCCATGCTCAAACGGTAATCGAATCCAAGACCTCCTTCATCCACAGGTCTGCATAACGCAGGCATTCCTGAAACATCTTCGGCAATCGTAATGGCACTTGGTAAGATCTCGTGAATCATCACGTTTGCCAACATCAAGTAAGCAACACCTTCTTCGTCTACAGAAGGTCCAAAGTATTCGTGATATCCACCAGAGAAACCAGTTCCGATACCATGATGATTGTAGAGAATGCTGGTGACACCATCGAAGCGGAATCCGTCAAATTGATATTCTTCAATCCACCATCTGCAGTTGCTCAATAGGAATCTCAGTGTTTCATGATTTCCATAGTTGAAAAGACGACTGTCCCACAGTTCATGTCTTCCTTTAGCTCCTCCATGGAAGTAGAGATAATCTGTTCCATCAAACATGTTCAAACCATCCAACACATTCTTGCATGCATGGGAGTGAACGATATCGAGCAAAACAGTAATGCCCATCGAATGGGCTACATCAATTAGCTCTTTGAGGTCATCAGGTGTTCCGTATCTGCTGCTAGGAGCGAAGAAATTCGTGACTTGGTAACCGAAAGAACCATAGTATGCATGCTCTTGAACTGCCATAATTTGTACGACGTTGTATCCCAACTCTTTAATTCGAGGTAGATTGTTTTGTGTGAATTCTTTGTATGATGCTACCCGAGGCTCAGGTGAAGCAATTCCGACATGCGCTTCATAAATCTTGACATTATCTGGTTTCGGGGGACGAGGGTGCTTGAATTTGTACCTCTGGCTTTCTGGTGGGTTCCAAAAGATTGCATCGTATACTGGAGATACAGCAAGATTTTGGGTAACATAATTGATCCAAACAGGAAGACGTTCGATTCGTTCTCCACTCGGAGTCACCATGCTAATTTTGATCTTACTTCCATGTTCGATTGGGCATTTTCCATTTGAGGCTGGTACGGTAACTGTCCAAAATCCAAATTGATCTTTTTGCATTGGATGACTATCACGATTCCATCCGTTGAAATCACCGATCAAACTTGCTTGTTCTACACCGGGAGCATATTCTCTATATGTTACAGCTTGTGATTGCGGGTCAACATGCAGTCCCATCTTTTCGTATCCTTTTGAGAAGTTAGCCAAACCACCTTCTGTCTTTTGAATTTGATCGTACCATTTCTTGAAAACGGAATAACGAGATCGTAATCCGTCCACGAATGGTTCAAGCCAAGGATCAAAGCTAACGATCTTTGTTCCGTCATCAGCTTTTGAGTAGTCTTTTGAAGTCATCTTTGCTTTGATGTGATTGAAATCAAAAGATGATGAGAGCAATGATCCAGGTTCAAGTGGCGAGAATGTATGCTATTCCCATTGTCTTTCCCCCATTCCCATCAAAATGCATTGGATAGTTTATGCTGCATGATTTCTATTCCCATTTGCAGCACACGCTAATTGTGCCTGATCTTTTGCGCTCGGTGGAATTATCTCTTTGTCTTCTTAATCTTTGCCCCCACACCTTAAGAGCACACACAGAGTGGAAAGGTCTGTGCGTGGTTACGCCATGGGCGCGGCTTTGTCTAGTGGAAATTCATAATTGATTACTTAATCATAATCGCTTATGTCAGCTGCTCACTCGGCACCAAGACGAATTACAAAGTTCTTCCCTGTCTGAGGGGTAAGTCCGTGGGTGGATGGATGTATCAGTTGCATCACCGAGCCATTGACCCTTTTCATTTCCTCACTAGTCTTTGTGACATGCCTGAAAATACAAGTTTGAGTGCATGTATCTGGAATGCATAAATACAAGCGGCAATAAAAGCCAAAAAGGCTGTGTTATTCAAAGGGAAAAACTTGGCATATGATAAGCAGTGAAGTGACGTTGTATTACAGCACAAAAGACGCCGTGCATAGTATGAGTCTAATATCGGCTAAGGAAAAGAACGCGTTGTATTCGAATTCGAGCCGCTTTGCAATTTTAGTGTATTTCTCATTGAAACTCGTCCTTTTGGGCTTGGATCGCTTGTTTTGTAATGAAATCAGTTGAATGTAAATGCATTTTTGTATTCATTCAATACAACAATTCATTCACTTCTAATTTAAATATATTGTACGCAATATGATAACGGGTAAAGTGGGGGGAAAAGATCGATAAAAAAAAGGATTCAACAGATTCAATGACAGTGAGAAAGACATCATCTTCTCAATCCCTTTCTCCTATCATCATCCAAAACCCTGCCTATCGCGAAGAAAAATTTAAAGAAATCGGTATTCACACAGGATAGGACATCACAGGAGCCACAGCATTACGTCATTCTATCCTGTCAGGACAGGGAGAAGGAAAAAAAAGATTCCATTATAGGGCGCGATCTTTACGACTTTTGGGAATAGCAAAGGTCCGATCTTCGCAGGTTCAAACGAAAGACGACAAAATCAATAAGTATTGAGCAAATCCTTTTTCTTCGGCTTTCTCATTACGGCCACCGTCCACCCATTTCTCAATCTTCGATCAATTCTCTCAATCATCCAGATTTTCCTTGATTGTCGGATTTGAAGTTTGCATTTATCTTCAATTTCAAATCACCACCACACTTTCTTCATAGAGCGGTCTAGCCGCAATCAATTCGGATCGCCGCGTTCATCATTGCGATAATTATTATCCGCATATCTGATCGACGTCCTGAAAAGCAACACGAACAAAAGCTATCGTCTTGATATTGTAATATCTGGTGACAATTTGCCAAAACGATCGAAAGCTGGAAAGACTGATCATCCCGAGTGATTGACTTTCCCACAAAGCAAATCAAAGCATTGCGCCGGCGCTTTGCGTATTGACAGGCTGATCAAAAATATCAGTAAACCACTTTCATTCCGCAAGTCCCTAAATGCAACCCAGCCAAAATTGATAGCAATCAGCATCAAATTGATTACGTCAATTTCGGAGCTTCAAATACCGATTCAAGGAATTGGTATCACGACGCTTTCTTTCATTTCCTCATTGCACTAGAAGATAGCGGCCCGAAAGGAGATTTCTTGGCTGAAATATTTCGGATCACATTTCCCAGACATCCGCACACCATTTACCGATAATTGTGATTTCAAAGAGTGGCATCCGCATTTTCCTTCATTTCACTTTATCGACGCCCACTTCATCTCTTCTTTGAAGTTATTCTCCGACCAATCACGCTCACCGCTTTCGCCGTATTTTCGATCTTGTCGATTTTTCTCACTCTACTTTTTTGCAATTCACAAAAGTATCACACCATTTTCAAAACGGCGTTTACGGATTAACAAGAAAAAGTGAACGTCATAATCATACTTTGGAACAAAAGAAAACTTCTGTCTCGTATTTAAGGATACTCGAAATTGCCGGAAAATAACCCACACCTTATTCTTGTTTCTCAACGACTTTGTTTTTCTTTCTCACCCATACCCCACATCTAAATCTTTAAACATGGGTCGCAAAAAGATCAGAATTACACGCATCCCTGATGATCGCAACAGAAGTGTTACGTATCTCAAACGCAAAGCTGGATTGATGAAAAAAGCACACGAATTGGCAGTGTTAACAGGAAGTGAAGTGGCGGTTATCGTATTTGGACAAAATGGAAAATTATCCGAATTCTGCAGTGGAGATATGGATCACCTCCTTTTACGTTACACAGATCATAAAGGACCGGTTGAGAGAAGGGGACCGGAACATTACTCAAACGATAATGACGATGATTCAAATTATGAAGGAGGTGATTATGACGATGGAGATGACGATTTCGATGGCAGCTTTGGCGGTGCAAGTGGTACTGCCGGCGATCAATCAGGAGCAGGTGGAGATTATTCTTTTAGTGGTGCAGATAATAGCGGCGCAAATGGAGGTGCTCCAGGAGATGGCAATGCAGGAGACACTTCAACAAGCGCATCAAAAGGAAGCACAAAAAGAAAAGCACCCAGAGGAAAGAAGATGTCCGATGCACAAAGTAATAGCAGTGGATCATCGAGGAGGAGTACTTCCCCTTTCAACAATGCAGGTACATTAGCAGCTGGTGGACCGGTGATAAAAATCGAAGAAGATAATGGAGTGGATAGAAATACGTTGAAAGCGGCAATTATTCGAAACACATTATCCAAACCACGCACGGATTTGGAAATCCTTCAACAGATCAACGGACCCAATCCTAGACCTGTTGGCATGCAACACCATCATTCATTCTCTACTCCTGATTTCAATTTCATGCCTCCACAAGCACAGATGAACAACTTTGGGCATCAGCAAAGAATGTCTTTGTCAGGTCTGCCGAACGGAATGTTGCCTCAACGACCAAACACAGCAGGCGCTGGTCAAATGCCAGATAATCCGTTCGCGGTGACCCAAAGGCAATCACCACCGAGGTTTGCATTTAATGCACACATGGATCAATCTGCAGCATTTGCACAACAAGCACAGGGGCAACAACATCAATTCTTAAGCCCAACTCCTATCGGCTTTCCTTCCGCGACGCCTCCTCCTCCGAGTCAGCCGGGAATGTCACCAATGCAATCAACAACGTATGGTGATTTAGCACGTGGCGGAAACGTCAACCCTGGCGTTCAATCTACCTTGACCGTACCTGGTCAAACAAACATGCCTGACAATCATTCACAACCCGTTTCACCTTCATCACCAAATGGTGTCGGTCCGGATGGTTTGATGCCATTGGCACATCCTATTTTGAGACAACATCCTCAATTTGAATCATACGCTCAACAATGGCGAACGCAACAACAGAGGAATCAATCGGTACCTTTGATTCATACTGCACCTCCTTCGCCCAGTTATACGGCTAATGGACAACCTTTGCCATTACAAATACCAAACATGTCCAATGCAGGAGGAAGTGTAGGTAACTCACCAATCAGTCCACTTCCACCACCACAAGGATTCATCAAGCGAAGTGCATCGTTTGGCGTTACGAGTGCTGACGATAATGGAAGGTTGATGGTGATGGATCAACAGCCACAACATTCAACACCAGGTCAACAGCGTTTCTTGAATCCGTTTGGTAGGTCATCACCCGGTGCAAATCCGATGGCAAGCGGTGTAGAAGATTCTACTTCGTTATCTACACATTCATCTTTACCGCCACCACCTTATGCGCCAATGGCTTCAAGTACATCACCTTTACCTGAAAGTGGTGGCGGTTTGGGTGATAGCTTAAACTGTGAAGAGATGAGCGGTACGAATATTCAACAGCCAATCTCCAATGCTGCTTTCAATGATTTGATGGGATCCATCCTGGGCGATATGGGATCGAGCGGAGATGTGACGAATGACGATGATGATGGCACAACATCTGGTGATCAAACGCTTACTTCTTCAAAACAAGATGAAGATGTGATGCGTTCGTTAGATAGCGATCATTCGTTAAGCACTTTGGTTAGCAGTGAAAGCTTTGATGTTTTGATGGCTAATGGCGGAAACGTTGATGGATTTTTGGGTAAATCAGACGTTAAACCACACATGCACAGGCACAAATCAAGTATAGACAAAAATGCCGAAGTACAAGAAGGTATGGTTCGTTCAACAACGATTGATGCAACGCAAGATGCAACTTGATTGTGCACAATAAGTTCTGCTTTATTTCTCTTGAGAAACTTTTGTTGTATTTCTAAAACAGCCTCCTTTTTCCGTTTTTTTTTTGTCTCATACTATAACAAAGTGCCCGCTAATCTTCAATTTTTCTCTTTATAAAGTCAAGGCAGGGCCTTTTCCACCCCTTCTTTTTCTTCTTTTTCTCTCCATCTCGAATCAATGTAGATACAACTTTCCGCTTCACTTTTGTTCCACACATGTATAGATGTCAATTCATCAGATGATTACATAATGCTGTAAAGTTGATGACTGGAAAAGATAAGGAAAATGAGAGAACATTCGGTCAGCATTTTTGTCCTTTCAAATCGATTTTTCCTAAGCAAAATCAGTAAGAGTGAAAACGTAAACGTCTCCCCCCTTGTGACCTATGATATCAGCATTGCCAAGGTGATTGGCATGAATGACTGACGTGCAAATTTGAGGAAATTATTCATCCTTTGATGGGAGGAAATGATTTACGAGATGCTCACCTTTTATCTAACATGTTGTCGAGAAAAAAAAAGATGCATTAGATGCCTTTTTGGTATTGGCATACAAAAGTGGTGAAATGATGTATGATGCATGATCCGAAAATCGTCCTCCTTCCCTCCCTCCTACCATGCGGGCTACTTTTACAGGAATGCTGCTTGTCCACGTCTTGCCAATTCGACAACTTTCCATCCACCTGTGATTTCGTTGTCCATCTCTTCTTCCAAGCGGGTAAGAACCATTGCATATCTACATAGATCTGCTTGGTCTTCACGTCCGGCAAGAATTTCTCCTGTTTTTGCATCTTTGAAATACATTAATTCTTGACTGCTAAAGCTAACGACTACGACTGGAACATCGTTTTCCAACATTCTTGCTTGCAAGATTTCAACTTGTTTTAAATCCAACAATCTTCCGTTCAGAACAGCTCCACGTTGAACGTAAGGATCGATAGTTGCCATCAAAACGTTGAATGTTGCTTCTCCGCACCATTGACGCAGTAGATGACGTGCTGCTCCATGATAAGAATCAATGATTTCAGGAACGATGTATTCCCTCAACTCCTTTTGGAAACCATCCAAGGTAAATGTATGATCTAGCGTTTGGAACGCACGAACGACTTTTGCCGTTTCATTCTCTTCGAACCATCCACCGATCGTTTCGGTAATTCCTCTCAATCGTTCAACGAACGGATTTTCTGATTCATCATAAGATTCACGTAATTCTGACAATCTTCGCATTACTGGATTGCTTTCTTTGAAAGATGACCATGCTTGCTTGTATTTGGGCTCAGGTCGTAGTACAAGTGCTTGTCCGGCATTAGGATTGGCCGCCGCTTGTGATCGAACACGGGCTGCGAATCCTTTTGGTTTTGGTGGAGGCTGTTTTGAGCCTGAGGCTTCGGGTGATGTTTCACCTGCAGGAGCTTCTGTAGGTCCAGGAGCAGATTGAGCCTCTTCTGCTTGTTCTCCTTCTGCACCTTCCTTCTCTGCTTCTTTCGCCTTTTGTGCTGCTGCTTGTGGGTCCATCGAGTCTTCCATCTCACGCATCTTGTCTTTCACTTTTGTAGCTTCCAACATGACATCTTCCACATCTTCACTCGGAGCAGGCTTACCGATCTTGCGTAATCTGATCTCTCGTTTGATCTTACGTTGTGTTCGTGCATCTGCTTCTGAATCTGTAATGATACGCAATGCAGAGCCTCCATCATCGAATGCATCTGTTAACGTCTGAGCGAAAGCACGATAAGCTTCTGTATTTCTGATTGGTGCAGTTGTATCTTCTAATTGACGTGCTAATCTTGAGGAAATTGCGCCTAATCCTTTGATTAGCTCACTTTCTTCCATTTGTTTTAAAGTGGCGCCGACCGCATCTCCAACTTGGCCACCACTTTTACGTAATTGTTCAGCGGCTTTTTGCAGTCTAGGATTTTCCTTGATACTTGCCACTATTCTTGCACGTTCGTATGCTTCACGAACTCTTTTCATCGTTTCGCTATCTTGTACTTTTCCTGCTTCTCCTTGTAATTGTTTCATATTTTCTTGCATCTCTTGTGATTTTTTCAATTCTTCTCTTAATGTATCAACGAATGCTTGAAAAGGTGATTTTGTTGGACCTTCCATTCTACGTGAAGATGCATGAAAGCCTCTAATACGTTGATGATATGAAGGTCTTGGGCTTGCGTAGCTATAACGAAGGCTGGTAGTTGTCATATTTCTTCCAACATTGAGCATACGTTGATTTCTGTTGCTCATCATTTGTCTTGCTGAGATTGCATCAACTGCTCCACTCAAGGCTGAGCGAGCTGCTGATCTTGATGCCGCCATATTTGTAATGATTGACTTTTGATGATTGGTAAGAACGATAAAGGCAATCTCTCTCACTCACACCTTGCATCCGAACATCAATCATCAATCTTCTAGAATCTTTTTCCAATTAAAAAATCCTATCCGACTCCCCCGTGCTTAGAAATCTTCACGTGTAGAACAAAAAGGTGGGCTTTGCGCCCTGCGCGTTTTCTACTGCCTGTATGCAGTTGGCACTATGCCTCCCGAACCCTCTGGCTGTATGCGGGAGAGTCCATAACATGGTCGCGAGCTAAGAGAAAGAATGTAATCCTCACAATGTTCTTTATTCAGTCAACACATCAAATAGGAGAGATGACCATACAAGTTTAATTGTACCCTACAAATCATGTGCAATTCTGATCAATATGAATCAAAGTTTAGACTTGATGTCGACAGTAACAGGAGCAGGCATACCGTCACTATATTCATCTCCATGTTCTCGTCCTTGAGGTGAGGCAACCAAATCACCTTCAACTGTAGATTCTGCCGTAACTGTTCCATAAATCTTTGCTCTTTCATGATTGAATAAATCAGCAATACTCAAAGCTGAATCTAAAGAACCTTTAATTTTCATCCTTCCAGTATTATAAATCTTACTTGCAAACGTACGACCAGCAGCAATATCCACAAGATCACGGTCAATGCATTCGATCACAACATCTGCTTTACGTTTACGACCCAAGATTGTTGCCGGTGGTTGTCCTTTACCGATCTTGCCTGATTTCTTCAAATCTAAATACCAATAAGCCGGTCGAATACCACCACCGGAGATTGTCTTTGTCGGTCTTGTACGTGGGTTAGAGGGATCCAAAGGTTGAGTGGGATGAACGATAAACAGAATGATTGCTCCCACTCTACGTAAAAGTCTTTTGCGGCTTACAGGTGAACCAGCAGGTGGATTATCGATCACTTGACGTGTTAATGCAAACACTCTACTTGATTCAAAACCTTCAACGTTTAAATCTGAAGCGTCATCTAATGCACGTAAAGCTTGTGCTCGCATACGATCTTCCAATTTGCTCGTCATTGTTTAGAGGTGGTGATGGTGAAGATGATCTCCTAACTCCCCACTGAAATGCATTGTTCCTTTCCCGGATTACCAATCTTTTGTTTTTATTCTCCGGGGTTTGACATTCACTTACATTGTGTGTGTGTGTTTGTGCTTTTTCACGCGTGCCTCTCTTTCTTAAAGCGGGGATTTCTCAGCCGTGATGCCCGACCCATTTAATTTAGCGCATAAAATGCTGCTATCTGTTTGTCCCTTATGTTTTAAGCTCTTCCCTTCTAATGTGGAGAATTAAGCGCCAGTAAGTCAACTTCACAGGCAGAGATCACATTTCATCAAAAGATTAATTTGAAGAATTTCATGGAAATTAAAACTAATTTGATATTGAATGTGATATCATAGTAGAAGGATGTCCAGCATATTTCGGAATAGTATTGCATTGATTGAACATTTTATAACCGGTGAAGGTGTACGTACAAGGCGCGGGCCATTTAAGACACGCACGCAAAGGGTGCTTTAATTTTACAAGGCACACAATCAGTCAAAGTTAAACCGCTTTTTGGCTGTACGATGAGCCAAAGATGCATCCTATTTTTAAACACACACCAACACAAGCCGGGACAATATATGAATAACAAATATTGTTATTAATTCATTCTACCTCACCACCACACCTTTACAAAATGCCTTCCACTACTCAAACATCCCCGTCAACCGGTTCACAAACACAAGGGAACAATACAACAGATCCTACTGCTAACACACAAGAATCATCAAAATTCAAAAGATTCTTAAAGAGATTCGGCAGACGACCAAGTGAAGAAGGAAGGGAGAGTGATATCCAAAATCAAACACAACCCGGAACAGATGGACCTGAGAATGGCTTACAAAACAACTTTGATGGCAGAAAGAATTCTTCACTAAGAAGCAGAAAAGGAAGTAAGACAAATGGAACTTCCACACAAAATGGTAAAGGCAAACGTAGCGAATCTATGCTCTCTGGTCGCTTCTTCCAGACATCTCCTAATGCTCCAGCAATTCCTTCATCTACTGGCGGAAGAAATGCTCCTTTGACTGCTCCTCTTGATAATACCAACGTGGGCGGACTGGCTAACACGTTAACCGTTCCAGGTGAATCGGATGCACCTCAATTAAGTGGTGTACCGCAACATGAACCTTTGGTTTCAGCAGATCTGATCACGCCATCTGTAGCAGCCGCAGCCGCTTTGCCGATCTCTATACCCTCAAATGGCGATCAGAATTATCAAACAGGTAACAATTCAGCAGACAATGCAGTCATTCGTGCTGATGATCATGCGCTAGCACATCCAAACGGAACTGCGAACGATGATCATGCAAACCTAATTACGGCAAACGGGATCAGCAACGGACAAGGACATGTTCTTAGCCCTCAAGGCAGTTATGGAAGTAGTCAAAGTCGTAATGCACCTTCATTTGACGATGATGAAAGTGCGGATGTATCAAGAGGTCGCGATAGTGTGGATAATCGTACGATGGATACCGGAAAGAGTCGAGCAAGTACAAAGCCAACAACATTGATGAGCATGGATACACGTGAAAATGTTCAAGGTAGCAATAATTACACTCCAATGGCACAAATTGCACAACATCGACATGGAGAAGTTTATCCATCTCAAAATAGGGTTGGTTCTTTGCGTGGAGGCGAAAGTGTTCATAATGCACCCTCTTCAATTCAATTTGCATCTGCTCCGCCTATGGGACGAACGCCAAGCGGAACGATTGTTCAATTACCCGGACAAGATGAAGCACCAGAAGAGATGCCTTATGCTCATGTTCCTACCGTTTCACGACCTCATCCAAGCAACAATCCTCATCCTTCTGGCATTCCGGCCGATAATGCAAGTGTTTTAACATTGGCCTCTTCTACCGCTGCTGCAAGTATTGGCGGAGGTGCGGCTTCTTCGCGTGGTCATCAATCCCATGCTGCTCCAAGCTTTGGTGGTGCACGTTCGATCGGAGGTAGTTTGATGGGAGAAAGAAGGAATTCTTCCGATACTTATGCAAGTTTGAAAGCATTACCGCCTCTTTCAAGACGTGGATCAGATTCTAGCTCACGAACAGGAATGAGCGTAGCAGCAAGTGCGACGGGCAGAAATAGTGCACAAGCAATGATGGGTACGAATGCAGCAGGAGGAATTGGATTTGCCGGACCAGGAGCACCGGGAGATCGAATTAGTATTCATCGAACACCATCACAAAAAACTGTTGCAACGCAATTGTCTATCCCACTTTCACATTCTAACGTTGCTCTTGGACAACAACAACAACAAGCAGATAATGCTTCTATCACTTCTCATCTCGATCCTGGTGCAGCACATCATCTTGCTATCACGCCTCAGACGTCAAATGTACAGTCCAATACATCATCCAATGATGTCAGAAGTGAGGGAGAGGTATTATCGGAACCACAAGCGAATGAACTACCAAGCATTACTACCACATAGTCAATTTCTTGCAAAAAAGCAGCAATGTACATAAGTCATACCATACTTTATCTATCTGCCATCAAATAATCATCCATGGTCTTATTTTTTTGGCCGAAAGTGTGTTCAGAATGATGCATTTGGCAAAGCAGGGTAGTATACAAAGATTGGAAACAAAGTGGATAGACTTCATCTTTCTCATACCTGCACGTTACGATTATGAAGCAAATAAGTCTTACGCGGGAAGACTTTTGGCGAAAAAGCTGGAGGCGGAACAGGGATGATCCAAGTAGGTGGTTGTTGTATCTTCTGCTGATCGTGTACAATCCTTGCTTCTTGCAAGACAGAACTATCTTTTGGTGTTGCCAGGTTGCATGATGAAGAATTAGGTGAGAGCGAATGCAATGAAGCCGATTCCGATTCTGCCGCCGCCAAAGGTGGAGTATGTATACTATAAACGATCGATCTTGCATCGAAATATTGGATATCATCAAAAGATCGGTTTGACTGTGATATAATGAGTTGTTCATCTAAAGGATAATCACTTTCTTTGATTTGTTTACGCTTTATTTGCTTTGAATGAATGGAAGAGAATGAATTTTGATGACGAATTACTCCTTCATTTTGAGCTGTACTACTTTGAGAAGGAGTTCGATGAAGAGATCTTTGATCGAAAGGTGAGATACTGTTTAGTTCGGATGTCAATTCATACTGCTGGCCGCTCGGGTTGTTGTAGCTGACTGGCGAGAATATGTTGGCGTGATATTTGGGTCTGATCTGGTATTTGTATTTCTGCTCTTGTGGAGATGACAAGAACCTTTTCACAAATCCTCTATTGCGTTTCGGCATTTGAGCAGCAAACGGGTATGCTTGTCTGACATCTTTGTTGCTCGTGCTGCGTTGATGATACCAATCGACTTGAAGACGAGGATCCAAGTTGTTTGTACTGCGTATTGAGTATGGATTCATGATCGACCAGGTCATAACGACAAATGCCAAAACAATAGCCGTTAATGTGCAAGCAACTGAAGGACGAACCAGGCTTGAAGCAAAAACGCTTGTACATAAAGAGATATCACATTGACTGTTCAGACGAAAAGGTGTCAGCCTGAATCCTGCTTCCTCTTCATTCTCACAAAATACTCACTGCTGACTATGATATGCGACGCCAACGATGATGACCAATGATGTTAGACTGAAAAGCCACCCAGGTAAAGTCCATGATCGCGTTAAAGGAGTACCTCTGCTGCGTCTAACATGTTCACTTGATCTCGTCTTCGACCATGATCGATGGATCAAAATTGGCAAAGTGATCATACCTACAGTGCTCATGCTCGCACACGCCAAAGCTATCTCTTGCGAAGGCCATGAGTTAATTATTACATCATTTGGTAGGGTATCATCAATCGAGGTTTTATAGGCGATCCAGCTAAGTACCGAAGCGCTCATAAAAAGTGCTTCATCAATAGTGAGTGCGGTGGATACTACCGTCCTTAGTCGTCGTGTTTGCTGTTGTGAAGTCAAATGGAACATTCTTTCAGACTTGATCGTAAAAGGGAAATCCTGGAAACCAGCTGCAAGATAGAAGCGATACTTATAAACGACTAAAGCAATGTCGATCAACTTTTCCCGGGTAAGGCTCAAAAGAATCATATGATTCGAATACTTTCACTGATTGAATGCAATGGGACGTAAGTGCATATTCTATCATGTATCGTTGTCAGGTTTGTATACTAACAGCCACGTACCTGCAGCTGATTGTTGAAAGAAACAATGCAATGTAATGCTTGTTTCAATTCGGTACGTATGCCATGTTTCGTTTTTATGCTAGGAACCTCACCTGATTCTATAGGTGGAAACCCTCTTGATGAAGATAGGTACACGATCGATCGTATGCAAGCAGAATAGGCATAATAGCATAGTATGTGTACCTTCTATGCCAACTCTTTACACTCGTATCACATGTGGAATAGGTCTGCATGCCAAGCTATTCTCCATAATAGTCGTCAATTCTGCTGTTAAACAGATCTAGGAGCAAGAGTCTCTCTTTGATAGGAAGGGAGGTCAAAAATAGAGCAACAAAGAATTCATATTCGATTAGGTGCTGGTTTACCGATATTGTCCCCTTCGTCTTCTCTCCACATCAGCTAGTTTATCACACAAATTCTCTTCTAACATGAACCATGATTTTTATTATAGATAGTATATAATGTATTAAACCTTAAAAATCAGTAAGAATGACCTGAACGACAGGCAAAAGAGCAAAGGAGTTAGGCTTGGTAAGATGACACCCATTTCTTTTTCTGCAATCTTCTTACCTACTAATGCAGGCGCAGCGCTGCACATCGTTCGTACGGTTTTACCTGTTATCAGACTTAAGACTTGCATAATCGATTATAACTCTAAAATGCAAAGCCACATAAATCTAACCGCTAGACTCTCTCACGCCTCAATACATATGACCTATTTGTCCAATTGCGAAGGTATCTATGCTTTCCTAAGCGACGAAAGATCAATTAGAGCGAACATGTAATCATCAAAAGTCAGATTACCGTCTAGCTTCTCTCAGGATATAAGATAAATACCCAGTTCCCCGCTCGCGCTCGCGCAGAGCAGAACGAAAAGTAAGGATTCAGCGTGTGGGTGCAACTTTTCGCTAATTTTTCTGGATGTGCCACTGTCTCTACTGGGTGTAGAATACTCATATATATGTGTCACTCTGATTGTGTATAAGTGTATAAGATTCACATTTAGATTTCAATTAAAAAAGATTCTCTCTTTGTTGCCTCCCCTTTATACATGTGCATATTTGCCTTCTTCTTTTCTCTTACGTGTCATAGCAGCAATAATTGCACTTCCAACACCACTTCCATCTTCGGCTTGATAACATTTAACTTTTTTACCCTTTTCGCCAAATTGATCTTCGATTGCTTTATGAAGTCGATCAGCAAAGTGTGGATATTTGCTAAACAAACTTCCATCACATCCAACACCGCATCCTTCTGGATTTTCACCTTCCAAATAACCCATCTTTGTTACCAAAGCACAAATACCACAACTTGATAAACGTGCTGCTCGTGTTCCGATCACTTCGGCCAACTTTTTGAAAAATTTACGTTCTTCAGGTGTTGTGTCCAACTTGAAAAAGTGTGTGAACAAACCGGTAACTGTTAAAAGTTCATCAGTTGGATCTGCTTCGATCAAAGATAAGAATGCAGTATCAAAAACTTGAGGCGTTTCGATCTTGTATGTGTTTTGACCTAAGAATAAGATACCATCGTCTGCCATCTCACACAAGATCAGACGGAAAATTTCACCAAGGTACAATCCAGCAATCATCTTTTCGTAAGCTTGCTCGTGTGGCTTGTTGGAAGACAAGTCAATGTGCTCATCGTACTTTGTTCGGATTTCCTTCATGTGTTCATGCTTGAATGAGTCAAATGCTCCATATTCACAATTGACAGCCATATCTTCATCGCCAGGCAATCCCAAATCGTTGATTTTTGGAATGTCTCTGATGTGCTCCATATAAGCGGCATTACAACCTGTTCCGAAAATGCATGCAATCTTTGTGTCCTGTTTGACGTAGTTGGAAGCGATCAATGTACCGGTTGTGTCATTGATGATGGAAGTCATCTTGATTGGTACATTGTACTTTTCCAAACTATCGCGGAACATCTGAGCGCAATCTTTACCTTCCGTGTTTGGATTACCGAATCCCTTTGTCCATCGGACAAGCTTACCATGATCGATAGCATTCTGTTCCATCGGGTAACTGAAAGTGAAACCAAGAGCGATTTCCTCTTCTAGGATAACCTCATCATCCTTTCCATTACCAAAGTGATCTTTGATGAATGTGTCCAAGCATTCGACACAGAAGTCAAACAATTCTTGTCCTTCGCATTGCTTTTGTTCATCTGTCAAACGAAACTTCGTTTGTGTGATTTCAAATTTGCCCTTTCCTTGCAAGACAACATGGCATACACGCAAGTTTGTACCACCCAAATCCAATGCCAAGTAGGAACCAGTTTCATCTCCAGTTGGCCATCCGAACACGAAAGCGGGCAACATGGGAACCGTTTGACCTTCTTTCTTTAAACCGGTTTCAAGTACTCCAACGAAACGCTTGGTGATCTCCTTGAGTCTTTCAGGTGTTAATTCAAACATCTTTCTGTACTTTTCAAAATGTTCGTTCAACACCTTTTCTGATGCACCTGGATTTTCCTCATGTTTGTGTGTGGAAGTGTGCCAGTAATGTGTCTGTGAAGAGGAGGTAGACAGGTCAGAGTCAGTACTGAGCCATTCACTGAGATTGTCCTCGCTCACGTCATGTGCGTTTGGGAAGTGATTAGGATCAGAGATTGGCGGCAATGGCGGTAGGGTTGGCGGAGTCAAAGAGACTGGTGGAGCCATTGTTGAGGGTGTATATTCTTCTTCTTGATGGTGATGGAAGTGTGCCACCATTTCTGCTGCCAGCATTCTTTTTTTTGCTAGTGAGCCCCCTTTTCACCCTTATCTCTTCCACTCATCTTCCTTTGTATAGTAATCGGTTCCGTATACTCACATGCGAATCCAATTTTTCAACACCCGATCCACGACGACCTTTGAGTGTTTGACTGCCCCTCCTTCCTTTACCCGAGCCAGCCAAATTGGCATCAGCTTTTGGTGCTCTTTGTGTTGCAGCAGCGCTCATTGTGATTTGTGTCGAATTTGTTTAGGAGATTGCGCCTTAATTTGTTGGAAAAAGCTGCAAGAAGGGAAAAAAGGAGCCGATATCCAAGGCCAAACAACGGAATGACAGATTTGAGTAAGAATAAAAAAGAAAGCTCATACAACGGCTTTCTTTAGCCAACGGTTGTGCGCACTTACAGAGATACACTGCCCCGATGACGGTCCAAATCAAATCACGTAAGAAGATGCAAATGAACTTAGGTTGTAAGTTGCGGCTCCGTAGCAATGTGTTGATGAGCGGGTGAAAGAGATGAAAGTAAGATGGTAAAGAAGTTGTATGGAAGTAATAGATATACTCTCTTCTACCCGACTTTTTCTTCAAGGTGAGAAGATCATGCACTTGGCTTTGGCTTCTGCCACCCCATAAAAAAGAAGAGAGATTATCCACCGAATCGTCTCCTTTCCTGCATCATCAATCCCTTCCGCCAAATAAAGGGCGCAGCGCAGCGCAAGTGCAGCAGCAAGCAAAGTGCAGTGCAAGCAAAGAAAAATACGCATTGATCAGCGTGCAGAGGGTTGAAATAATGCAAGGCACTGTAACAGTCTTGTTGACCCCGTACACTGGATTCGGCTTTTCTTTTCCTTGACGCCCAGAGAAGACGTTTTAAGCCTAAGCGTGCGTGCGTGTGTGCCACTTCGGGGAAAATAAAAAGACTGCTTGCTGCACACTCGGCCTAAAGGGCAGGGAACAATGCTATACCTTCGATCAGGAAGAGAGCATTTATCCAGGAGGAATATCAGTCCGATGTGATGGTAGCAGACAATAAAGATGGGGCTACCAATCAATCAGCCGATGCATCAAACAGCATACTTATCAGACCATTCGTACAGGATGATCTTGAAACAGTCAAAGACTTATTTACATCTTACTATGAATGGCTGAATCTAGACTTGAAATTTCAAGATTATCAGGCTGAGTTCTCAAACTTGCCAGGAAAGTATGCTAGCGATCGAGGCGGTTCACTGCTTCTTGCTTTTGCTTGCTTACAAGGACAGACACTTGAACCGGTGGGGTGTCTGGCAATGCGTAGACTGAACATCACAGGTGATATTCAATCTTCTATTCGCAACCATCTCGAGACTCTTGGTGTAAAACAATCATCACCCGTGAATGAGGCAACGAAATGTTGCGAATTGAAAAGATTTTTTGTCACACCTTCAGCTCGAGGGATAAAAATTGGCAATTCTTTGATCATGGCAACACTACAAGAAGCCAAAAAACAAGGATATGAATACGCATTCTTGGACACCCTTGTTGATCGCATGCAAGGCGCTTGTACCCTATACGAAAGGTTTGGATTTCAGCAAAGTATGCCCTACTATCAAACCCCACTGGCAGATCAAACATTTTTCTACGTCAAACGTTTGTGAATGTATATAAGAATTAGGAACCATTTGCTATTGAAACATAATGAAAAGAATGTGAATGAGGTAGTGCTGATAGAGATGTTGTTGTTGTTGTTGTTATGAGAAGATTGTCAATTGTACATGATGATTAGACGAGAACAAATATGTAGAAGCTCTACTATGATAAATGTAGGATCAAAAAGCGAAAAAGAAACAGGACAAGCTATAGAGGGGGCATCCTTGACGATGAAATTTGATACGAATTGAATTTTTCTTAAAATTCCACATTCCAACTCCAACGTCCCTCTGCAAAACCTTGAGCAGTATCGCCCAAGACAATCTCTCTGCGACGTTGAACGTAATTGGATAGATCGGTTACCCTTTGACGCAACGTAGGAATAAGTGCTTTATCGATCGGCTTTTCCAATTGTTCCGAAAGATCTTCAACCGCTCTTTCCAAATCACGTTGGTTATCCTCAAACAATTCAGTCATATTGTTTTTCTCCAGGTAATATGCCATAGCATATGTCCATTTGAGAGTCATACGACATTCGGTCACAATATCAACCGCTTTCTTCAAGAACTGCACTTCGATCCACGTAAGTTCAGAAGATACTTGCATCTCTTCCATCTTTTTCTCCGTTCGTTTGTACAAATCTCTGTCCAAACGTGCAGATTGATCGTGATTGGCGAAGCGATTGAAGTAATGCAAATAACGCTCGAGAGAGGCTCTAGATTTCGCCTGTTGATCGCGTGCATTGGCTCCTGCTTTCTCGTCAAATCTGTTACAATTGTACCAACTATTGCCATGATCTGACCAAGGTCCCATGCAAATCCAACACCATTCATGTCGACATTTCCTGCATGTCATATGATTACATCCTCCATTCTTTTCGATGGAGGAATCGCACTTGGGGCATTCTTTCGTATTGGCGGAAATCCAATTTGCAGTCTCGCTATCATCTTCACATTTACGAATCCACATTCGTACCACCTCACAAACTGCAGGCGCATGACCTTCATTATTGCATGCAAAGCAGAAAGCATGTCCGCACGCACATTTGACCGTTGGTACGATGTGACTTCTGGGTCCATCCTTCTTTCTCTTCTTGGCATTTGGTCTAGCTCCACCAGTTGAAGCTCCACTGGTATTACATTCAACCGCAAATTCACAATTGGGTGCCGGACACCAACGCAAATTTTGCGAATCGTCAACAAATGCACGATTAAGCAAAGTCTTGTATCGTTCGGCAATATTTTGTCTAACAACCAAGCCAACAGTACCTTCATCAATGACTAGATTGCATTTCTCTTCCATGCATTGAATTCGTCTTGATTCTCCTTCTGTCATCACTTTTTGCTCCAGATAAGTACGATAGCAACCTGTGCAAAAACGATGGCCACATGCTAGTGCAAGTGTTTCGATCGTGGGTGGCGGCGAGGGAGCTGCAGCCCTCTTACCTGATCGCGTTGATCTTGATACGGGAGCAAAGTCCTCTGCTGAGCGAAAACAAATTTCGCATGTGAAATCTGTCAATGCTTGCAATCGAGTCTTGGATGAATCTTGACAGACGCCTGCTTCCAAATTTACCTTTTCGGGTGCGTCCATATATCTTTCGATCAATCTCTCTTTGTTCCAACCGAAATGCCGTAGCAAGATTGCTGCATCAGTCTTCTTTGTCTCCAACATTTCAGTGATTTGCTCCACTTCTTTCGCTTGTACTTTTTCGATGTCTTCTACTTTCATGGGACGATATTCAACCTCCCAAGGTTTACGAGTTCGCTTTCCGAGTTCTTGACTGAAAGCTAAGTCTTCATCGTTGAAATCTTCGTCTTCGTCAACGTTGTCTTCTAATGCGATTTCGTTATCAGAGTCATGATCAGATGACAGAGATGCTTGCATATCTAGATCATCGTCAGAGGCATCTTCGAAATCTGACAAGCCGAAATCATCTTCGTCCATAATTGATGACATGCTGAGATACCTGTCCCAGAGTCTAGTATTTGATGATCAGGAGGATGCTGGTTGGTAAGGTGTGAAGTGGCGTAGGATGTAGAGCCGGTTCAGTTTGAAGGCGTAAGATAGAATGACCGTATAGTGTGTCAGGAACGGCTGTGTTGAAGACAAATGCGGGTATAAGAGGATGTCGAGAGATTTACAAGTGATGGCGTTGACGCCAATGAATGTGATGAGAATGGGGGGGGGGCGCGTGTTGAGGTATTGAATCTATAGGATGTCACTTGAAACGCAAAGATGTACGACCTTTTCTGACAATTGTCTCCTCCGTTCAGCCTCTTTGTTCGTTTTGCTCTTTGAGGCCAGAGAGGGAATTGAGGTAAGATTGTTGGTGGTCAAAGTGTAAGAGAGAGAGAGTGAATCATAATCGTCATCAATCATATCATACCTCTCTCAATTCACTCACCTAATTCCGTACTCCACCGGTTTAGTGCTTGACCTCCCCCTCTCTCACTCAATTACGCATACCGGCTCAACACACACACACACACATCACACACAAAGGGCTTAAATTGTGGTAATTCAAGCACAGGACGCGTGCAGGCACATGCAGGATTGAATTTCGCGCCGTACGCGTACAGAGCAATTTGCTTGAGTGTGTGTGTGTCTCGGTGATTTATTTTTTGATCGGATATAAGCAAAAAAAAATAAATGAGAAGAATTGATACAAATCCGAGAACATTTGGAAAAACTATTCCGCATCATCATCACAATCTCTCTCTTTTTTTTCGAATGCGTTCGGTTTGGGTGGGATTTCCCACTGCTCCTTATACCCACCAATCTGCTGTTAATGCCGCAGAGAAGGTTCTAGAACCGGCAGGATGGACGATTCATCGGATAGATCCTACTCAAGACTTCAGATTGGAAGAGGTGAAATTGCCAAAAGCTGATGTATACTTTGGCGATTATGATCTCCTTCCGTTCGAAGACGTTCATCCCAAAAGTGGAACGCAATCCGATACAAGCGGAGGGGAAGCGGTACCTTATCCGCAATTGAGTAGCTATGTGATCCGCAAATCACTCATCCGAAAGAATTACCTCGCTCATAGCCTTCATTTAGCGAAGGTTAAAAAGTCTACCATTAGCAGTGCAGGCGATGCTGGATCAAGTGTTCGAAAAGTAGAAAGGATAAAAAGTAGCCAACCTTCCACAAGCCAAAACGATGATATCGCGCCGGCCACTTGGATTTTCGAAGCAACGTGTGCGGAAGATTTAGATGAATTATTGGCAGATGATCTATACGACGTAAAGGAAATCTTGGAAAGTGATCAAAATAGATGGTTCATCTTGAAGCCTGCAATGGCAGATCAAGGTATGGGTATCCGACTATTTAATTCCATCGAATCTTTAGAGGCAATCTTTGAAGAATTCGAGGAAGAAAGCGATGAAGAAGAAGACGAAGAAACAAATGTCGCTCAAAATTCCTCTTCGACAGCAGTTGTGATCAGTCAAGTACGTCAATTTGTCATTCAAGAATATCTACAAAATCCACTGGTCATTCAAGCACCTACACTAGAAAATTATCATAAATTTCACATTCGAGCGTACGTATTGGCCCAAGGAAGTCTGAGGGTGTTCTTGTACGATGAAATGTTGGCTCTCTTTGCACCAAAAGCATATTCGGATCCCGAACAAAATGATGATGAAGAGATCGATCTTTCAGCACATCTAACAAACACAAGTAGACAAGATGACGAACAAAGTCTAAAAACCGTTCACCTACTTTCCGATTTAGAAGGCTCAAAGATCGGTCCCGGAGCAACGTCAACGGTTTTAACATCTGAACACCTAAACGCAATTCGTTTAGGTTCAGCAGCAACGATTGCAGAAGCATTTGAAGCATGTACAAAAGCAGGAAGAATTCACTTTCAACCTTGGCCAAATGCATGGGAAATCTTTGGTGTTGATCTAATGGTCACCGTTCCAAATGCTTCTCCTACACAATCCATCTCTCCGAACGATCTTCGTGTTTGGCTTTTGGAAATCAATGCTCAACCTGATTTTGCAAAGAGTGGACCAAAACTTCAAGAAAAGATTGATAGATTGTTCGAGAGATCTCTAGAGATTGCCGTGCTCGGTCAAGATGGCGAAGACGAAAACGCAGAGAAAAAGTGGCAAGCTGGATCTTCACGGAAGGACATGACGCTCTGCTTAGACATCCCAATGAGCTCTGGTGGATGGTAATGGATTCACCTAGAAATTGTACTTTTAGCATATTCGCAAAATATAGCATTTAATTGATTAAATTGCATAGACTACAATCTCTCTCTTTCTTCTTGCTAATATACAGGCAATGAATGTGCATGACAGGATCTTTACCTGACCGAAAAGGGTGAGCTACGTAAAATTGAGCATTTCTTATAATAATTGATTTCAATCGCTACTGTTTGTATCGATTTGTGACACGTTGTGCATGCCAATGGAAGAAGAAGGTGCATGTCTACTTCGAACGTCTGTCGAATGCTGAGTGTCTCCATAGCCATCATTACCGTGTGTTGAATTGAGTACCGAATTCCCATTGAATCGCAACGTACTATTCGGAGTGGGTATCTTTTGAGAAGTTGGTGATTGTCCCTCAAATGTGAGAGAACTTGGCGTTCCAGCTCTTGCTCCTGCAAAGAATGGACCTTTCTCTACTGCTGAATTGGCCGGCTTGAAATAAGATGTCGCCCCATTAGCGCTTGCATCGTGATTGTCACTCAAATAACGTGCGAACGCCAATCGATGGAACAAATTAAGACTTTGCATCATCTTTCGTCCAACAGAATTGGTAGCAATCCTGATTAAAAGCTCATGCGCTGACGCTTGAACGAGCCTAGAGGGATGAAATAGACCATTACTGATAGGTAAAAGACCACCGTGATGAATGGGCAAAGCGGCAAGAAGCTCAATGATTTGATCTTGCGTTCGAATATTTCTTGCAAGAGAAGTGAATACAAGCTCGTACTCGCTTGTGTTCATCTTTTTTGCCCTTCTCAATCTCGCAATTTGATGACCAAGATCGAATGTGACCAAACTGCCAAAATGACTTTGCGCTATTACATCTGCCAACAATTGAGAGTAGGCATTGGTATTTCTCCATCCTTCTATTCGGCTTGCATTAACCTGAATATCTTTCAATTCTGTCTCTCGATCGGCATATAGGGCACCACTTCCCAGCTGACCATTCAAGAACGGTTGACAAGGTGGTGCCAAGGTTGTCGATCCATAGTAATACTCCTCATGCCGAGCTGTAGAGCGTACAAAGTTGGCTGCATATTCGATGAAACGAGAGCGCACATATCTTTCTCCATAACGCGCAGAGATTGCAAGTACAACTTCATCCATAAAGATATTATCTGGCGCATCTTGTCGTGATTCGAAAGCTGCTGAAGTTCCCGATCTTTCCCGTCCACCACCTTTTGTCTTTTCATGATGTTGTCCACTTCCACTGCCAGGGGGAACGTCGGGCTCGCTAGGCGCCATTGTAAGCCTTATTTCGCCATCGGGTCCGATACCTGAGCTAAAGCTGGCAGATGTGAAAGTTTCAGAAGGCTGAGCGGTAGGTCGAATTGGAGGTGCAGGCTCGATGCTCTTGTGTATGGTAATCTTGCCATTCTCTACATTACACAAAACATCCCAAGCACGAAGGTCTTCGAATCTTGGATTAGTCACTCCCGCAATGTAACCCGGCACCTGTTCCAATTCATCAATCATTCCCAAATTTGCATAAGGGAAACACCTTGACACAATACCTCGCCAACCTGCTCCACAACCACTTGCTAAAGCACATAATGACAAAACGTGACCGGCGACTTGGTTCGCAGGTAAATTGTGCCCCAGGAAAATGACTCGCTTACCTGTCACAACCGCATTAAACAGCAAGATGATCGGATGCGTTGAATGTCCATTGGAATGCAGATGTCCATGCAAGGGTCCTGAAGGATGACTGGAGCCAAATGTGTTGATCAGATGAATCAAAGAATACTCCCCGACTTCCTCATCAAATACATCAGTTGGAACACGAATGGGCAACTCTTGAATCTTCCCGTATGCAACACTGGTCTCCCAAACATGCGTGTCTTTTACCTTGCTTAGCATGTGTGCTTTACTGATCGTATTCACGCCTAGACCACCATGTCCCTCTTGACCCATTGAAGCACTAGGAGAGCGTGACGTGCTTAAAACCTGCTGCAAAGCTTCTTGCGATGATGCTGCGGCTGAGGGTTTCCGGCGAAGAATGTTACTTCCGCTACCTCCTAGTCGTAAAGAAGCCAGCGATGGTCTATTATTGAGGGGCGGGGGACGACGTTCGACTGGAAGACCGGATTGTGATTGATGTTTCTTCATGAGGGTATCTTCATTCGAATGCGTTGAACTACCACTACCGCTTCTGGATCGTAAACGGGCTACTGGAGCAGTGTCGTATGATTCAGCTCTTCCTCTCTCATTCTCGTCTGCGTAAGCACTACCGTGCATCGCATTCAGCGGTGTTGCTGACCTTCCTGGCGTAGAATTGAGTGGCCTCAAACTGGCAACGGAGCGGGAAGAAGACGCAAATCGATCCTCAAACAAGTCACGCCGATCGGAGGCTCGTAATATCCTCTTCTCATTGTACGATAGAGAAGGCATCTTGCTCAAATTGAGTGAGTTCAATGCATCAAAAAGCTTCGCCAGCACCTCCACGCCTGGTTGCCGGAAATACTCATCGAGAGCCAATAGGAGAGCAGGCTTGAAGATTTGAATGAAAGGATGGCGAGTGACAATTGCAATGGCTTTGACCAAAGCACCACGTCTGACTGTGTTGTCATGTTTCGTTCGAACAAGATTTAAGACATAGTAGAGATTCTCTCTGTCTTTACCTTTATTGGATTTCGTACTTTGTCCGCCATTGCTGGATATACTGCCTTTAGCTGCATGACTTTTCCCAACACTTGTTCCAGTGATATCGTGATCGGGTAGGAAGAACACAGTCCAATCTTCAGAGCGAGCATGAACACCATCTGGCAACATGAGTTCAGCCAACATGTGCTCATCATGACCACTAGGTGCTGGATATTGATGTGATAGTGTGCTTCCTTTATCGATATCGAATTCGGCGGAAAGACAGAATGAACAATGCTGAAGAGGTGAAGAAGATCTGCTGGAATTGGAGCTTTCTGTACGTGGAAGTGCTGAGGATGAAACACGATCAGGCGTAGATGATCGTGCTAATGATGTTTGTGCTGTTGAAGTGCTGGCAGTGGGCAAAGAAGATGAAGGTGCATGCATTGTTCTAGGTAACGGTGAAGAGCCCTGACGAGAGTGCATTGTTGCTGTTGTTATTTCTGTTGATCTACCCGCCATTCCTTGACTAGGATCGACCATATTTGCACGTCTCTAATTGAAAAATTGAGAATCTTAATGAGAAAGAGAAATTGAGCATTGAAACATTGTTCTTTTTTTCGATGATGAAATTAGTACACTTTTGCGTTGTTATTTTCATTTAGATACCTTGTCATCGTGCATTTGTATTGGAGCCTGAGGGTTCCTGCGTCGCAAGTCCGATTCAACGGTAGCAATTTGTTTTGTTTGAAGAGAAGCTACTTGGCATTGAAAAAGAAGTTGATATCTCTCGATTGTATGTGATTCGAAAAGTAAAAAGCGGAGATATGAGTCCTACTCTCCAGACCAATCTTTAATGGCGTCAATTGATTCTCCTATTGGACGGTATGATGAATAGAAAAGGGGGAGTATGGTAAATGCTCCTCCTCACCTTCTTCCCCTGATGGACGTGTATATGCAAGCAAGCAAGTATCACGCCCTATTGAATTTGTAGGCGAACAAGCAGTTGGCATGAATACTGTACTTTCCGCCTGCCTTTTACTGTTAGACCCGAGTAAATAAATGCGCTAACAATAAATCACACTCACTTAAGTAACTTTCAAATGAGAAGAAATGAGAATTGCATTCATTCGCATTAACATTCGCCATCATCATCTTGAACGAGTCATGCTGGTCATCAAGCAGCTCATCGGCCAACTTCCTGTTGCTGGTCCATCAAGATGCAATCCAGCATCTCAGATACGGCACTTCAGCAATGGCATCATACTCTTGTCCGGCCATAACAAATGGTCAAAGATTAAACACAAAAAGTTAGCAAATGATACGACAAAGAGTACAGGATACAGCAACTTAAGTAGAGAAATCATTGCTGCCGTTCGAAATCATCCACAAAAATCTGCTTCACCCGAACATAATGCACGATTAGGGCAGATCCTACGCAAAGCGAAAAGTATGGAAGTCCCCAAAGATAAAATTGAAGCAACTTTGAAAAAAGCCGAAAGTATCGGAGCAGGAGGCGGTGGACAAACAGTCACGTATGAAGCTTTAGGTCCGGTTTCATCAGATGGCATTCCGGTTGCTTTGATCGTTGAATGCTCTACCGATTCACCTCCACGAACACATGCCCGCGTAAAAGAAGCATTCAATAAGAATGACATAAGACTTTCTTCCACAACACACATGTTCACTCGAACGGGCGTCATTCGACTCAGTGCGGCAAAAGGTGCAACTTTTGATAGTGTTTTCGAAACAGCTGTTGAAAATGGGGCAGAAGATGTGAGAGAGTGGGAATTAGATGAAGAAGATAGTCAAGGCGGAATAGGCGTGGAAATTACTTGTGAACCAACAAACCTTCAAAGTCTGACGGCCACCTTGTCTTCAGCACCATACGGTCATACAATATTGGAATCGGAACCCATGATGATTTTCAATGATGCTCCGGTCCGGATAAGGGGCATTCATGAAGAAGAAGGAAGTGCGGAAGATGCAGCTTCGTCCGGATGGCTACAGGAGGACACACTCGTAAAGATGGACAAGATGCTAGGAATGTTGGAGGAGAACGCAGATTGCTCGAGAGTGTGGAGCAATATCGAAGGCTGGCCATCAAGGTGAGCGGATGCCACCAAGAATTTAATAGATTCATCCCGACAACAATTTGTATCATAAACATCATAGATTACAATTTCGCAAAGGTTAATTCGACTCAACTACAGTAGGAGTTATTGGTGAAAGTAGAGGTGTGCGAGATTGAGATTGTAATGAGCTCTCAGTAGTTTCGTCACTTGGTGGCTCTTCCTCTGCAAGTTTTTTGCAGGTACACCAAGCATACCATAATTGGGAGTGTAGTTGCAATACGTCTTCTTTCCAGCTCTTGACATTTTCGCCAGCAACCTTTCTGAATTCTTCCGTTAGCTTGAAACATCTTTCAATATTGTAAGGTGAAAGGAAATCAACGGCAATTTTGATGCAATCTGTCAAATTGCAAACTTGATGAGCACATCCTGCAGGAATAAAAACAGCCTCTCCAGCACGTTGTAAAATTCTCCAACTATAAACACCCTTTTCTGCATATAGCTTTTGCAATAGATGATCGTCCAAGAAGAACTTTTGTGAATGAATTGGATCCTCTTCATTTGTGTTGAAATGTTGTCGAAGAAACTTCCTTATTTTGTCGGCATCTTCAGCTCGAAAGATGTCCCATTGAGCAGCTGCATGCCCGTCCACAATCCTGAGGTCATCAGAAGCATACAGAAGTACATTGACCGCATCTGCAATGTCCATGTGCAATTTAGTCGTACCTTGTCCTCCCGCTTTATGATCTCCTGGCCAAGCATTGTACATCTTTGGCCCCAAATCTGGTGTGTTTGCATTCTTTGCAAATAGACTGGACAAGTTCTTACAGCCATCGCGACGTGTATGATCTGGCATTGGTACGAAGTCATTGAAATCCTCATATAGGTCAGGAAATGATGTCCGCAAATCGGCTGCGGGTGGCCAATCCTGCAGTTTGAGAAGAAGGAAGAGAAAGATGAGATCGCCAATTCTGCACCTTTTTCCTGTCTTACTCACCTTCAATTTCCAATTGCCTCTACCTAGGAATTCTCGACGTTGGTCTGCGTCCATTGAAAACGTTTCGAAGAATTGATGTACTGTCAATCTCTTGCAGTAGTCGCTCGGATCGTTGTCCTCCATCTCACCATGTCCAATTTCATCGCTGCGGACTACAGTACACATCATTTCACCATAACGTTCTTGGAAAGCGTTTGGATCCCACGTCAAGCGAGGAGTAATGCCACCAACGACCAATGGAATTCCTTCACGCCAAACATCCAAGAATTGTTCTTCGCTCATAGCGTCATTCTCAAATCGTGTTACCGCGTGCGATTGCAGCAGTCTTTGTACTCTGCAGTCTTCACTCATTCCTGCCGATGTTCCCGATTGAGGCTCTGAAATTGCTTCGGTGATCGCAGGAGATGATTCTCTGTCACTTAACTCGCTCAAATCGCTCAGATCACTATCCATGATTTGCTCCATTGCACTAGTCCTGCGATCTTTTGGAGTGTTTTGAAGAGTATCGTTCGAGTGATGAGCTTGCACGATTTCTCGCATTGCCTTTGTCTCTGACTCAAGCTCTTCAGCGGAGAAGCTTGTCACGGGTAGCATGTCTTCCGCGTTATGAAAATATCTTTCTGTATCCACTTTGTCGTTTGCACATCGATAAATTCCATTTTTTTGGTGAGAAGCAGGTTCGCCTTGCTGTTCAAGCATTCTTAGTTGGCATGCAGGACAGTATTCTTGGCCACACTTTCGACACAAATAAGAAGACACAAAAAGACCTGTGCTACAAAAGTCGCAATAATGTCGAAATTGAATCTCTCGAGGTCGGATGACGATTTCTTCGGTTTGTGAATGTTCAAGGGCTTTCTCAAAGATCGGCAAAAGTGACTTTGCGCATACATATTGCATGTACGTTCGTGTCGCAGGATCCAGTGACCAGTTGAGATCAGCTTGATTAGGTAGAAGTGCTTCTTCTAACGGCATTTGCAATGGCCGGAAGATGCATCTGTTCCACAAACAATAAGATAGTTTGCCATTTCTATTTAATGGTAATACCCTTATGTTTTGAAAAAGACAATGATCATCTGCTCCCACCGTGCAAGGCCGACATTTTGGAAAGGAACGACCAATAGTGATGTTGCTGCAAGATAGCATTTGAGGCCAATACTGCACTCCATCGATCGTAAAAAGCAATTCCCTCCATCGAGCAACATCAAAGGCTTCGGTCCCCGCTTGATCAAGCTCAATCGACTGGCTTTCTTCGCTTTCTGAGTGTTCTAGTGAAATTTCGGATCTGTCGTCCTCTTCTTCCTCCTCTTGGCTCTCATTCATTTTTTTCTTTGGATACCTCAGAGTGATAATGACCTGTAGCCTGCGCTTCTTCACGGGAATTTTGGAGACCGGTGGAGATGCTATAGCCAGACGTTTTGATGCTTGATGCTCTGGCATATCTTGCTCCAATGAACTTTCTACCGTAGCCTGCACTTCCGATTCTCCAACATTTGCGTTGACAGAGTTGACCAGGTTGGACGATTTTTTTCTTGAACTTCTTCTAATACCATCTTTCGCAGCTTGCGCTTCAACTTCTTCAGGCTTTTGTTCGACTGTGTTAGTCTTCTTCCTTCGGCTTCTTGTAAAATCATTCTGCGCAATTTGAGCATCCAGTTCTCCGATAACTTCATCGACCGTGTCAATTGACTTTGAAGATGCTCTTGCTTCCCTTGTGATATCAACTTCTACGCGCTGCATTCTTCTTAGAGCTCTAATCATCCTTGGACTTTCTCTTATCGCACCCTGCGTAGCTTGCGCTTCGATTTTCGTGACATTCTCTTCGACAGTGTCATCTGACGGACTCATCTTTCTTGGAGCTCTTACAAGCTTAAGTACCGGTCTTTTTGCAGCTCTTTCCCCTTCCTTCGGGTTGGAACTTTTGCCATTCTCCTTTCTCGTGAGAGGAAAAGCAATTGAATCACTTCTTCCTTTCCACGTTGTTGTTGTCTGACCAGCTTCGCTGAGCACTTCAGCCACTTCTGTATTTTCATTGCTGTCATTTGTCGTGGGCAGCTCTTCTGCGTTGTTCGAAGATGGATTCGTCTCATCCTCCACGTCGATTACTGTCAGCCTTGATGTGCTTTGAAAGCCCGTCCTTACCAGATGGCTTTGTTTGCGCCCGCCATCGTCGTTACCATCCAGATCAGCATAATTTGTAATACTCCTGGATTCAGTGGGAGGGAGTGGAGGGAGTGGTTGTTGTACTTCGGTACTCGTTGAAGGAGCGTGAACAATAGAAGGCGTTGAAGGAAGTGACTTAATTACATTTGCTGGAGGTACACCGATTGTGCTATCACCAGACTCAGAGCGGTTGACGTTCGGAGGAGAATTGTTGGGAAAAGCCACATCATCGTACCTATTTCTGATGAAATGCATACTATTAGAGCGATTTCGCTCTTCAGGCCTGCGTTGAAAATGTCGATTCGTTAAAGGCTGATCCATTCTTCTTTGATCTGCTGAATCAGGACGTCCATGAGAGGTGTGGCCATACCCTTGCCATTGAGCTTGCTGACCCGGATAAGAATTTCGCGATCCCCAGGAAGGGCGATTGTTGTGACCTCTAGACTGGTGATATCTATCATTTGAGCCGAAGTGTTGTTGTGCGACATTGCTAGACGAGCTATTTTGATTGGTCGTATCGTTTGAAAACCGATTTGGCCTTACTGGTATGTATGACCAAGGACCTCTGTCATCTGAGATATTTCGCATTTGGTGCTCTGCAGATTGATCAAGATGATTTTGCTGACGGGGAGTTTGATTTGGCTGTTGGTTTGATGAGCTGTATGTTCGATGAAAGAGTCCTGGAGTCAAATTGAAGTGCGGTGGCTGAGTTCTATCACTCAGCAAACTTGCATTGCCATGTTGTTGCACAGCTTGTGGAGCATCCCAGCCCGGTCTGAAATTTCGAGGCTGTCGCGGTGGAAAAAAGGGTCGACTGTCGTTATTGGACATCTTGCCTCGATGATTGTTTTCAAAGCAGAAAGTATATGGACACTATCAATCAAATCAAGTTTCTATTGTTACTTGTGCGCAGTAATGATGACGGAAGTTGAAAAGGTTGATTGACAACATCTGAAATTCCTTTATCACTTTCTTGCTCAGATTTTCTGTGAAAATACTCAGCCATAGGTCATTCATTCATTCATGTCTGTGCACTTTGGCTTCGTACACTTTTCTTCCAATTTGCATTAAAAAGACGGGGCCGTTCGTACGCCTTTGACTTTATGCAAAAGAAAGGGAAACAATCAAAAATGTTTTCCTCAGCAACACGATTTTGTACGAAAATTATATTTTAACCGACTCTCTTTTTTTCGTATAATCGGTACATTGTCTGATTCGTCAATCTGAAATGAATTACAGGTGAGAAGGAGAAAAGAACAGGAGGAAGATAGATGTATTTGAAGTGGAATTTTGTTTGATTTTGGCTGCATTTGAGCGGTTTCTGGCAAGGATAAAGTTGATGATCGAAAAATAGAAATTGTCTGCGTCGTCCTCTTTCTCCAAGATTTGGTGTGATTTCCCAACCTAAAAAACGCAAGCAAAATATTGCATTTGTCACAGCGATTTTGGATATCGAAGAAAGGGTTTATTGCAGCCATTTCCAGCCTTGTGAAAGTACGCTCATGTGCTCTTTTTGCGTTCATCAACAGAGAATGATCCAGGTCCCATGTTGACCAACAATAACAATCCACCAACGATTGACAACGTTTGGAAGAAGTCATATCGTAAGAAATCGCGTGCAGGATGAGCTGAATGAACAGTCCAGAAATTGTTGACGAGAATGTTGAAAATGCTGAGCAAAAGGACTAAAAAGCTTGCACTCCATCTTGCTTTAAATCCAACGGCAACCATAATACATGCACCAAGTCCAAGAATTGAAACGATCACACGAGCGATTGACCATTGACCTTGCAAAATGAAACCCAAGAACAAAAAGATTAACAAAACACGACCTGCCAATTGGAAGTAAATTCTACGATCCGTTTCACTGATACTTGGTAATCCTGCGAATAAAGTCTTCTTTTTGCTCAAACTGTCGGATAAGACCATCAAAAGACCACCGATAACACTCAAATTACGCAAAAAGAAGTTCAAATCGAAAATCAATCCATAACCGAAACCTTGAACGACTACGACACCCAAAAGTGAAGCAACAGAAATTTCGGGATATTTGCGTGTGATTACAGCGATTGAAGCTGCAGTCATTACGATCACGTTTGTAAACAAAAAGATATGCGAAATTCCCCAAGGAAAGTGTCTATGTCTTTGTAAATAATATTTTTGATCAGACCATTGTGTAACGATTCGTAATGCATCTTCCAAAAATGTAACGACGATCAAAAATCTTCCTAAAGCTGGCAAATGAGGTTTGATTGGTTGTGTATATTGATCGATAATATCTTCCACTTTTGAAGTGTATTCACGTACTTTGTCTAATGGATTTTCCGATACGCCACCACCGTTGTGAGAGCCAAAGCCTTGATTAGGCCCTGATCCGTATGCAGACATGATGATTTTGCTTGTGCTGATAGTGGTATTAGAAGATCGTTCTCCAGAGGTTGAATGGGTTTGACAAGAAAGGAAGAATGATCAAGAATTCGCTTTGATTGCTTGTGCAAAAGCGTATGTCTGTCTTGTTTTGATCTAAGAACGTATTTCACAAGATGGTCGTTTGAACAATAACAATGATTGTTACTTACATACAAGAAACAATCACAAGTTCATTCTCGAGTCCAGCCCTCTGTGTGTGGTTGGGTTGCGTTTTTGACAGACAAGCACTTTGACAGTGCTTTGTTTAATTCGTTCGCCAGCCAGCCAAACAACCAACACTGACTGGCACATGCACTCATTCCCCCCTCGCCTTGACACGTAATTCACTCTTTCTTCTCTCTGCAGCGTGGATCGTACGCGTACGAGGGATACAACTTTTTAGCGTGTTTATCATTTGCGCCCTTCTACGCCAATGCATATGAATAACAGCTCATCATTTGCCTCGTTCAATCTTTCACTAGCGCATAATAAGCGAAGGGAGCATTTCAAAAAAGCAAGCAAGCAAGCGGCTTAAACGCAGGCAGCAGCACCACTTCTAATTTATGTACATACCTTCCAATGTATCCTACACGCCAAACCATGCACCTCATCCCACTTTTGATCGACATGGTTGATTCCAACATTCAAGCAAAAAGATAATGACGTTCCTGACTCAAACAAAAACAGTCTGAGACAATTGCACAAAAGATAAACAAACAAGATCGATGAGATAATAATAATTGTATACAAAGATTACAGAAACGATGAGTATGATTGTATGTTATTGGTGATGATGGTCTACAATTGCTCGTAAAAGAGCATATATGCTTGTGCTTTCAATACTTCTTCAATATTTGCAGGTCTGACCTGAGTATCAGAGGCGAAAATCCATCTACGTTCATCGGTCTTTGTTACGGTAGATGGAATAGGTTTTTCATTCTGTGTAGTACTACTTGCTTCCTTTTCGCCCTCTTGTTGTCCGATATCAGAATCCAAAGAAGAAACGGAAGATAGCGAATCGATACGTGTATTGCTTCCTGCAGCATTTCCATTTGTTGTCAACGGTGATGGCGTTGAAGCAGCCGTTACACTACCCTCCCCATTCGCCGAAGCGCCAGAAGATGCTCCATTTGTCTTCTTTGTCGCTTTCTCCTTCGTGCTCGATGATTTTGCTGTCTCAGTTGCATTGGCATGTGCATCTGCTTTGGCTTTCAGAGATTCATTCGCACGATCAGAAAGCACATACGCCGTATAATGTCCGCCGCTCATCGAACCTTGATGGACTACCACAGCGTAAAGCCTATATTTCGTCTTTGGTTGATATGCAAGAATTTCCGCTTTGTTCTCTTGATGATGATGATGTGGTCGCCAACCCCAGTGGTGATGATGATGCTTTTGAGATCCTTGTGATTCTGCTTCTTGTTGCGCTTTGAGTAGTGCTCTCGGATCGCTACTTGCTTTTAGCTTGCCATGTCGATCATACTCTTCCCGTGGTGGAGCCAGCCAAGGCTTCACATCCAAGTATTCCGGGAAGCTGACATAATCATCAATCTTTTTAAAACTAGTCGAGAAGCTGAATCCTCGTCCAGTTGCCTGAAAACGTTTAAAGTGAAATACAAACACTTTTGGCGTTTCTGCAATCAAGAATCGTTTCAAAGCTCTACGTTGAAGCGAATGAATCGATCGCTTTCTCCGTATAGCCGGTTGCTTTGTTGTCGCAATAGGTGCAGGTTTAGTAATAGAAGACATTCCCTCATCAGCATATTTGATCGAACGTTTACGACTTCCAGCCTCTGATGGAGTTTGTGCATTACTTTCCTCATCCGAAGATTCATCTGAAGATGGCTGGTTGCTTCCTCCTCCTTCATCTGAACTGGTGCTGGACAATGCTTTACCCAAACGCAAAGAAGCCATGATCGGCTTTGGAGCCTGTAACTTGGGCGTTTCCGATAAGTCAGACGTCGCATTCAATTGGCTTGCTTTAAGCGTCGCTTCTCGCTTAGGCTGAGGAAGTGGAGCAATCATAGTTGTCGATCTAGTCGGCGTTTCTGATCCAGTCTGCGCTTCTGTCGACGAAATAACAACTGATGGCGTTGATCCATTGACTGTTTGCATAGCAGAAGGAGATTCGCAAATCTCATTGTCACCCTGCACCAGACTCTCTACACTTCGTTCGACCGACGATTCGGTAAAAGGTATATCGGAGACTGAAGCTAACGAAGAAGCCGATGATCCGTTTGTGCTAGATTTGATACTTGATTTTATAGCTGCTTTTTGCTTCTCTTCCTTTGCTTCTTCATCCGATGATGAGTCGTCATCGCTGCTTTCCTCACTGTCATGCTCACCTTTTCCTCTCCTCAAACGACGAAGACGTAATTTCTGATCTTCTTCAGCAGAAGGTGGGTTGAGCAACCGCCAGCATCTCTTGCACGCAAAGCTATTCGAGCCATCCAAAACTTCAACGCTGGTGAACTGGTGCAATGCTTTAATCAACCCTGTACCGGCTTGTTGAGCTATAAGGTCCTCTGAATTTGCGCCCTTCTGATCCGAAGACACATCGTTCACACCTGGCGTTCGACTACGTCCCCAAAATAAGGCACCCAAGTTGGCTTGTTGAGGCTGCGGTGCTGCTTCCGTCAATAAGCTAGATAGGTACTTTGCATGCTTGCTCACCACCTTCTTCTTATGTCCACCAAAATGTAAATGATGACGATGATGGGCAGATGACTCGCTGTCATTCTCCGCGTCACCGGATCTCACTCCAGGAGAAGAGCTTCGCTTTGGATCCGAATCCACCGTATCCCTTCTTAGAGGACTGGCGGCTCGACTTGCTGGCGTACGTCTGCCACTGACCGCACGAAGCAGAGAGACCCCTGATTCTCGTTTCTTCTCTATTGGGGCATCGATCGAAAGCTTTTCCATAGCTTTTTCAGGACCCACTTCGGCATCCGACTGTTCCACATGATGGTCTTCCATCTGTTTCTTGATGAAAGTTTTGGCTCCCTCTTTACTATTCGCATCTATTCTTGCACGGTCTGCAGTTGAGCGTGGTCTGGATATCCCACGACCGATTCGGCTGTTCGAGCGTTTGACAGGATCATCACTTTGTTCTGTGTCACTATAACTGCCAGACTGACCATCCAGTAACATCGCCAAAGAATCTGCTAGAGGTTTTGATACCTCCTCTTTGCTACCGCCAGTAGCCTTTCCTGAAGCACTTCGACGCCATCTGTCTGCCATGCTGCGTATTCTTTGTCTCTTTCCATTCTCTTTCGCATCAACTTCTGGTCGCAAAGACAAGGAAATGTCATAGAAGTCTTCATACGTATGCGAAACATGACGACATCCTTCACATACGACAAAAGAGAGCAGTTTGCCACAGAACAGATTGTCTACTAGCGGCTTGAGGTTGTCATCGCGCTCATCAACCGATCCACCGTTCTGTGTGATGTATGGACTCTGCGATGCTTGACTTTGCGATCCGGTACTTTTTCTTCGCTTTTCGTTACTCTCAGGCGGCTGAATCTTTTTGATCACATCAAGCTCTTCCATCCTTAGCGAGTCCAACAAATGGCGCAAGAGTTCATGTCCATCTTGTTGTCTATATTCTCCGTATTGATCATACTTTGTCGATATTTCGTTCAGTAGTGATTTGGGATTGATTGAAGCCACTTTGCTTGGCTTAATAGGCGTCTTTGAATTGCGTCGATTTGCAGGATCCCAACTTTTTTCCATCACTTGTCTAAAAGCAGTATTTAGCGGAATATCCTTCGATTGAGGTTCATATTTTTGCTTTTCGTTTTCTATGCTATTCCGCCTTGATTGATGAATCGATTGAATATCTGCCGGCGTGGGGTTACAGACTGCTTGACTTGCCAAAGCTCTAATCGAGGAGGCCTCTATGGACGTTGAACCAGGTCTAGAGATAGCTTGACCCCATAGTCGTCCATGCTCCTCATCTGCCAATCGTAGAACCGGGCTCTTACATCTTGCATTGATCAACTCAGATACGACTGATTCTCGTCTGCTGGATGGACCAGGCGTGGGAGCAGGTGAGACTTCTATTGGCGAGAGAGAAGCTTGAGCAGCTTGCAAGTGAAATTTTTGTAAGACATGCTCTTGCTGTTGTTGTAATTCATCTTCTGTAGGCTGATAAAGATGCTTAAGACTTTGCGTTGCAGAGATTGCCTGTAAAGCCGAATTCAAGAAACATGTATTGCCCAAATTAACGAAACCAGGATGTTGACTAACATCGACCGAATTTGAACCCGAAGATCCAGCTTTTGATCGATTAGATGACATCTCGATGTATGCAAAACTTGCCTCTGATTCAAAGAATGTCGGACGACCGAGATAGTTTGTTGTTAGATTGCTATATCATCTGTGAACAAAGTTGTTGTGAGTGTATCGGAGGTAATGTGAATGTGATTGTTTGGATTGTCAACGCCGACTGTCCAAAGCCTGTGAATGAATGAATGCTGAGTATTAATGCCAGTCTTCAAGAGGGGCTGCGCAGCCGCAATGCGTTTCTTCTCCGCGGACGACCTTTTTCGGTTTTGTCTGATTGCAACTACCTCTACAAAATGGCTGTCTAGCAGCTTCAGTCTCTGCTTGTCCAGGATGACAACGATCAAAGCAGAAGTGGTGAGTTGGATGATGGTATTGATATGATCTGATGTTCAATCCTCTTTACAAGAGAAAGCCGCATTTTCGGACATATGTTTAATCCTTGACTTCCTTAATCCCTTCATTACTTACGACTAATTTATGCAATGCTGCAGCACATCAGCAGTATGTGGTATGGTGCACATACGCAAGTCTGTGCAGAGAGAGAGAGAGAGGCATGCTTGATGTATATTTTTGGCGTTTTTAGAGGCGCGGCGCACACACGCACACACAAAGCAAGCAATTCCCGTCCAAATAAGCAACAATCAAATACATTATAACCGGCATTTCGCCACACGATATTTTGAGTTGACAAGCGGAGAACAAGACTTTGACGTTAATTTACCCCAAGAAAAAAACAAATAAATAAAAAGCAATAAGTAAGGTACGACGGACAATTCTCGGTCAAAAAGTGCATCATCATCATCCGTGGACAATGTCAAGGTACTTTAGCCTATTACATACGCACACACTCAAAGAGAAAGGAACTCGATTGCGATTATGGAAAAATGACAAAAAAGGTACTCTTGATGCTCAAATGAAGAAGGGATTGTCAAATTGTCTTGTGTGTGGGAAAGGTAGAGTAAGATGACCCGAAAGTGTCCGATTTACGATCCTTGGTTCATTGTGCTAATGGTGGTTAATATGCGACGCCGTCGACAATCACAGAAAGGTCCGATAATGAGCTTGAGGGAGGATTGGAATTATTGAACGAACTCATCCTGGAACGTCTGTGGGAAAAGCGTCTCTCACCTCCCGAATGATGAGAACTGCTGTCAGGCTCTGATGATTCTGCCCTTGCCAATTCCACAATTCGACCGGGTGCAACTTGAACTCTAGCTCTTTTCTTGCCTGTGCTTGTACTGCTGCTGGGCGAATGTGTCTTGCTGCCATGATGACTTGCAAAGCTATGTTCTGATGGACTCTCTTCTTCTTGATAATATGTTACTTCTGGACTTCCTGGGCTGCTTGCAGAAGTTGGACTGCAGATCTTGTACGGATCAGAACGTAAGAAACTAGGCGTGCTGGATTCCAAAATAAAGCGTTCGGGCGATTTGTTGAGAGAAGACGGTGAAGAAGTCTTTGAACGAAGAGGACTGGAAGGCAGCTCGTACCTCACCATGTTTGGACTTCTCTTTTGGACGATTTCTCCTTGATTGTCCTTGCCGTGATTTGGGTCACTTTCTTTTGCAGTGATGACAAACGGCTTCAGTTTCTGCACTGAGTCGTCTTTTGTTTCCCTTCTGATGATGTAGAAGAGCAAAATTGTGACATGAAAGCTTCCCAAAGGCATTAGGATTGCCAATTGTAGACTACGATCTTCTGCTGTGGCCAAAACGAGAAACAAAGCCAACGATGCTAGTCCTGGAAAGAAAGGTGTGGCAAGTAGGCAAAGGAATACATGGAACGGCTTTTTGTTGCCGCCTAACCAAGTTCGTAGCAAGCAGACACTCAAAATTCTGTAATGGAGGAAATTCATAAGTAATCGAATTGACCATAAAGAAGAAAACAGTACTCACATATCTGCCAATGCTATTGCTGCATAGAAAGTGTATTGAAAAATGACTGCATTTCCCATATCTTGAGTGGCCCATCCAGGATCATGTTGCTGTGCGCGTGAGATACTTGCTGCAATCCCAACGAAGAAGGATACAAGTGCGGACAATGCCGTCAGGCTGAGCACAATCCAATTCACTTTTGTTTTGACGAGAATGGTGATGTAGAATGCATGTACTGGAGCGATCAAACATGCCGTTAGAGCGCAAAGTATTCGAACTCTGCAATGAAAGGTGTCGTATTGGTTAGCATTAGCTGAGAAGCACACGAATAAAGCAAGCTACTTACGATAATGGTTCTTGAATCTTTGCCAAGGCTGCAAGTCCTGCTGAGACGTCCGCATGATCGCGATGCTCGATTTGCCATGAGCCAAGGATATCAAAAGCGAGTTGCAGCGTGAGGATGGATATGAAATACGTGACTAAAATGCAGTTTCGACCTCCACGAGCTAAGCAGATCTGTAAAAGGCAACACGAAATGACATGATCAGTCAGGGAAAGCTTTTTTAACGTAATGCCCTGAATACTTACGACTGCTATGCCAAAGGCAATCGAAAAGCCAACAAGCAGAGTTTGTACCAATGTGCCAATGTAGGGAGACAAGGAGCTATCATAATTACCTAAAAGCATCAGTGTCCGTCTTTCAATTCTTCTAAGGATGCTTTGCACTTACGTGATCTGCTTTGGCTGTGATGATTCTACACTGTCATCTCTTCGAAAATGATGACGAAAATGGGCATGTGTCATTTTTTGCAAGAGAAGCTCAGAAGATGGAGGTAATTTTAAGACATTTGATAGATGGATTAAAGGCTTCTTAACCGGTCATGCAATCATCGGCAATCGATCAATGTGGAAAGAGTGTGTGCATTTCGTACGGTTGATAACAAATAGGGTCTACTATTCAATCCGGCTGTGAAAAAGCTATGACATGCTTTTGCCATTTCCCACCCTTTTCAATAAATTCGCCGTAATTGCTTCCTTTTCTCTAATGTCTGTACATCCAACCTCCGAGCCGAGCAGGAATTGCCATTATGCGAACATGCGAGCTAAGATTGTGTTTACGGAGCATATCAAGTGGTCACCAAAAGTGCATGCACCCGCCTTAACGCGTTAAGCTTTGCTAGGCTAGAAATACGCATTGGCCATTCTCTGCAAAACAAAAAAGTGATCAATCATTCCTTCTCTTCACCACTACCAACAACAAAGATAAGATGAAATATCAACCAACAACAACCATATAGCAATGACAGCTGCTGCTTCTACTCCGGCTGCATCCTCCGCTACGGCGGCAGGTTTATCACAAAGTGCTTCATACGATAATGGTGTGGATCTTTTACGAATCGCAAGAGGCTATACGCCCAGATCATCATCACCCGGTGCAACTATGGAGGCATATAGAGCATTTCGCGATAAAGTTCGTCAGCCTGTTCTATCAACGTATAATATCTTGGGATTCTTAAGTAGTGGTACATATGGTCGTGTATACAAAGCATCACTCAAAAACTTGCCAGCAGGTTATCGACATCCATCAGGACAGCATTCCAACTCTAGCATGAACGATGATGAGACATCAGGGCTGGTGTTTGCTATCAAGAAGTTCAAACCTGACAAAGAGGATCATGCAACGTACACAGGTATAAGCCAAAGCGCTATGCGGGAAATTGCATTAAATCGTGAATTACAGCACGAGAATATCGTTCAATTGAGAGAAGTTATTCTGGAGGACAAGGCGATCTACATGGTCTTTCATTATGCCTCACACGATCTGTTGCAATTGATCCATCATCACAGCACAGCTTTACGAACGCAAATCTCTCTACCCGTTCTCAAATCATTGCTCTTTCAATTGCTCAATGGCGTTCATTATCTTCATTGTCATTTTGTCTTACATCGCGATTTGAAGCCGGCAAACATTCTGCTCACATGCGATGGTGTAGTTAAGATTGCTGATCTGGGTCTCGCACGCGTTTATCATGCTCCTTTGCAATCACTATATTCCGGTGATAAAGTGGTGGTGACGATTTGGTATCGTGCTCCAGAGCTATTATTGGGAGCTCGTCATTACAATTCAAAAATTGATATGTGGGCAATTGGCTGTATTTGGGGAGAATTATTGGCACTTCGACCAATGTTCAAAGGAGAAGAAGCAAAAATGGATCCAAAAACAAAAACAACACCTTTTCAAAGTGATCAAATTTCACGTATTGTGGAGATAATGGGAATGCCCAATAAAGAACGTTGGCCGGATATTGAATTTATGCCTGATCATAAACATATTTGGTCAAAATTAAGAATGGAAAATTTTCCAAACATTTTGTATTCTTGGTATGAACAAAGAGCAAATTCATCTTCTGGTTTTGACCTTTTTGATGCTTTATTACAGTATGATCCTAACAAGAGAATCAGTGCAAAGGATGCTCTTATGCATCCGTGGTTCCAGGAGAATGATCCTTTACCAACGATGAACGCATTTGCTTCTTTGCCAAACGGGAATACAATCTACCCTGCTCGAAGATTGATCAAAGATGAAAGTGATCCAAAGATGGTAATCACACAACTACCTGCACAAGGTTCAGGCTCGAACACTTTGACCGCACAAGCAGGCGGAGGTACGATTCATTATGGTGCAGGAACAAATACGGGCGCAGGAGCGACGGCAGGTGGTGGTGGTGGCGGTGTACAAGGTATGATGGGAAGCGGAGGAAATGGAAGTAATTCACTTGCTTCGATCGCAGCTGCGGCTGCAAATAGTATGGCAGGAGGAGGTCAAGCACATTCAGCTTTAGGTCAACAACCTCTTTCGGCAAGCGCATTCTTGTCTGCCGTTGGACCTCCTGCTCCTCCTCCTGCTCCCGGTAGTGCAGGAAGTGTTGGTCCACCTTCTTCTCTCAATAGTGTCGGACCAAGCTCTTCTATCGGTCAAGCAACAAATCATTCTTCCGCTGCAAATAGCAATGCACCCTCAAATTCTAGAAACATAGGTGGTGGTGCAGGCGGAGGATCAAATTTGGTCGCTACTGCAACTGCTAATGCGGCCAATGCAGCTAATCGACAAGCTAAACGAACCAAACATCGTTAAATCTCTTTCTCTCTCAAATCAAACAATTGTATTTGTATCTTCTACACTCATCTCATGATAATTGTAACATGTGCTAAATCAAACTTGAGAGATTGAGAGTGCCGCGATTTCTCACCATTTCGCATTTTGTCCAGTGCCTGATTGATCCCAACCTGACATGAACGAATGTGAACCGGTGGCAGAATTGGCCGTGTTGGGCATATTGGACCAATTTGGTGTTTGTTGTTGTTGTTGTTGTTGTTGCATCATTTGAGAAGAAGAAACAGAAGGTGAAAATGTATTGAATAAAGGATGAGGAGATCCACCTTTTGATGGAGGTTGAGATGTTTGCGGTCCCCAAATATCAGTTCGATGATGATCGTTATTCAACGATCCTACTCCACCACCACTTGCATCATTCCATGCTGCTGCAGCGGCAGACGGTGATACATTTGGACGCGGTGGGACGGCTGAACCGATTGCACCAAAGGTTGCTTGATTAAACGGTGAGCCAGGCTGTCTCGCAGCAGTAGAATGGAAAGAGCCAATTGAATCAGATCGTGCAACTTGACTAGGTTGTGCGCCATTTAGCACTTGCAATAAGAGATGCTGGGCAGTTTGTCCCTCAGGAGTTGCATTTTGAGAACGTTCATTCAATTGGCTTGATCCGGTTACCGGTGGGAAATGGTCACCACGTTGCGGAGTAATAGGTCCACTTTGTTCACCGCTTTGAGTCTTTCTCTGATGGGCAGGGATCAAGATGATTTCATCTTCGTCTTCTTCATCGTCATCCGCTCTTAAAGCACTCTGATCTCCATCTTCATTCAAAGTTCTTGTCCTCTCATCAACTGCACGCATGGCCAAATCCACTGCATCTTCGCTACTCTCACTTGCATTGCGCCATTCATCGTCTGAGTATGGCCTTGTGATACTCGTATCACCAGTTGTCTCATTAGCATTGTCAGATATGTGAATTTGCATAGGATCCTGCAGGTCATTTGTGATTCCAAACGGAGTCTCTCCAGTAGCGCTGGCAAAGAGGAACATATTCTTTGCATCATCAAAAATCACAGGACTTGATTCAGTTTCTGCAATCACCTTTGCATCAATCAAGATATCAGCGATTCGAATCAATTGCTCTTCATTCGGGTGTAAATTTGACGTTGCAGATAACTCTATACGTCCAGTTTGTGGCGAATTCGAGGCAAGATGGGCCTTGACGTCATTCAAAGAAGCATTTCTCAAAGGTGTAAATCCACGCAAATCTCGATCTTCTTCGAAATCCAATCCGTTCATCCCACTTTGTCCTACAGAGGTACCCAGACTAGGCAAACTTTCGAATGGGAAGGCGAATCGAATTACATTGATGAAGTGCACATATGTGGCCCAAAAGTCATCTATTCCGCTTGCAAGTTGGGTAGATGCTTTGGCGGACGTTGCGGAGTCGGCTGATTCACCATTTGCAGAAACAGATGTAGATTGACTAGATTGTTGTCTGCTTCTCTGGATATAATTCATATGCAACTTCAACCATTTCGAGATCACACGTACTGCCGGTAGCATTCTTCTGAGCACAGCACTAATTTGGCGAGCGCTAGAAGGATTGATTTGTTGTGGCTTTGTGCTTGCCATTGCTTCATTCGTCTCGCTGGCACCAATCTCGAACAACACCCTCGACAATCCACAAAGATGAAGCAAGATGCTTTGCTCTGCCACAATGCTTGTTGTCGTCTGCCTTGAATCCTCTTTCGCGGTCGCATCGTTCCCTCGCCACAATCTACGTAACCATAAAGAAGCAGTCGCAGTGATGATCAGCTGCACGATTGTATCCGTGTGCAAGGCCTTTCGATGCAGGAGGACGGAGATTCTACGCAAGCAATGGGTTGGATAGGTTGACAACATCAACTCTTTCCTCCGTGTGAAGTAGGCTCCATGCAAAACAACCAAATCTTGCAGGACGTCAGACACGCTTAGATCGTTATCTTCTTCTTCATTTGTAGAAGATGAGAACAGCGAGTCGCCGGCACTGTACTTTCGCAAATTTCCACTTTCTTCCCATTTTGCGCTGGCTCTTCTCAGAGTCTTTTCCAAATTCTTCTTCGCTTTCTCGAACGGCTCGCTTACACAAAGCGCTCGGTAGTAATTATACACTGAAGGAAACGATTCATTCTTGTACGCTGCCAAAACGGCCAATTGATTCCATGGATTTCCATTGGAGGGAATTAGGTGTCTTGCTTGATCGTAACAGCTTGCTGCTTTGGTGAAATCTCGAGGACGAGAAGGGTCGAGGAACATCGAACCGGGGTGATGACCTCCTCTGCTTCCACCTCTGCCACCTCTCCCGCCTCGTCCACCACGATGTGGTCCGATACGAGATTGTGATGATTCGTCTTTTGATTCTTCCCGGTACAGCTCTCTATATCGTGCAAGGTCACCGCAGCTTATTAGTGCTTTGTGAATGATTTCGATCAGCCTCTGTCGGTTGGCAGGTTGTCTGGCCAGCACTTGTTCATCAATTCCAACGTCTATCACGCCAATGATACGTTCCATTCCGGTAGTCGAATTAGATACATCTCCGTTCATCATTCCCAAAGCTGTTAGATTTGGTAAGGCTTCTGTCACCTCAAAAAGTGAGGTTATCCTCGCTGCTAAATCGCGCCAGAATGCTTCCTCTGCTGCCAAATAAGATCGAAAAGAAGACGCTTGTTTGATATAGATCTGAGCGAGCTGTGCAAGTTGCTGTTCATTCCCTTTCTTCTTGCCATGTTGAGCAGCGGATAATTTCCCTTTTTTGTCTTTCTCTTGGCTATTTAGTGATTCTTTCAGCGTTCTGATCTTTGTTTCAATGGCTGAAAGCTGATCTCTATACAATTGAACGAATGGATGAGTTGTTTCGATCCAAATGCTGTTCTCAATTCCTCTTGTTCGTGCACTAAATGTATGATGAAACAATAACTTCAGATATACATTTCGTAACTCTTTCCTTGCAAATTCCAAATTGGGTTTTGCTGGTTTAGCATCATCTTCTTCCAATAGCCCTCTAAACTTTTGTTGAAATGCTTTTGATTCACGTTGTAAAGTTAAGAGTCGTGCATCTTTTGCCGATGGTTGTATATCACGTGGGTTTGTCTCCATGGCGAAGATTGGATTGAGAAATGTATGAATTTTGTGAGAAGAATGCTCTAATGAATCGAAAAGGACTTGGCTAATCGGCAGAGCGTGGCTCGATGCGATTTGCTCAAAATGTGCTTGTTTGATTCAAAGATTTGATTTTCTTTCCCTTTGTTGTTGCTCGTGTATGGCTGTGTATTTGCCTTTGGTTTCTTCTCTCTCTTACTGATAGTTGTTTCGGAGCACCGATATCATCATGACGCCATATTGTTCATTCCATAAGAATGACGCATCTAATATTCTCCCTTTGTATGATGTGTATTTTTCCTCGAACGGCTTGTCCAAATGAAGACGGCCTAAAAGGTAATTCAGGCAAAAGAGAGAAAAGTGAAGAGGTCGATGAGAAGGAAGAAAGGATTGAATCACAATAGCGCTGTTTTTGCCTTTCCACAAAAGTACCGCAGACAGATGCAGTGCTGTAAATTTGACAAGCCGAAAGATTACCAATGCACACACGCAGCAGCAGCATACAGTGAAAGCGCAGCGCGTGTTTATTATTCGAACCTGACGATCTCCCTTCATCACTTACATGGCTCCTTATTCAATCAGTCAAACAGGAGCCGGTGTAAAGCGGATATGATGAATAAGCCACTTTTATTGTTCAAGCATGACCAATTATCAAAGCTTAACAAATAGCCAACGGCTGCTCTTGGCCGTTCGGCGCCGGTCATGAGTGTGAATGCTGTTTGTCACGAACAAAGGGCTCTTAATACGCGTACACCGCTTGAGCCTATGAATCCGAGCTGTATACATTACTACGCCCACCTTTGTTCTCTCTTCAAGCTCAACTTTTGTGCGGCGCTTTAATCCGTTTGGCAATTCCTTTGTTTCGCCATGGGCGTTTTTTCATCTTTTCATTCGCCTTTGTTGTCTTTTAAAAATGAATTTTCTTTTGTTTTCAATCTGAGATTGTAAAAAGTTATCTTGTCTCAAATTACATTTGTCATCTCTTTTGCTTTCCGACTTCCAAATGACGATGATTTAGAAACGGATACCGAAAATGATTGAAACTGTTAACAAACAATGACTTCTTTTGTTGGACATACCTTATCACAATAACTACCATCCCGCAATCTTTCTCATCGTCAAACAAGAATGGCTTGGTGTCATGGTCAAAATGAGAGGCCACCTCCAAGTTATATAGCCAGCATTCGAAGCTCTTCAGCTAGTTCAGGTCAAAATGGTGGAAGAGTTATAAGGAATGGCGAAGGATTCGTCTTACCTTGGCTAGGGTTACGATCAAGATTATTTCTGAGCGTTTTCACACCTGCTTTGGCATCACTTTTGTTTGTTGGCGTTGGAGTCTTGTCATCCTCTTCTGATGCAAATAAGCGGGCAAACGAAACAAAGGATCAACTCATGTCAGCCTGTGTGGCTACACAAAAAGCAGCAAGCACTCTTGCAAGTATGCCATATTACTTTGCACAAAATTTCAATGAACAAACGAGTGAAGCAATCGAAAATACCGTTCATGGTCTTGCACGGGTACTGTTACTGGCAATGACAGCAATCGAGAAGATCTTGACTTTCATGGTGAATATGTACAAGAGCTTACTTTTGTGCTTCATTCAACTCTTGGTCAGAGGCTCTCTAGCGCTGCTCATCTCTGCCGTGGATGCTATGTCGGGTGCAGTGAACGATGCAGCAAAGGCAATTAGTGTTTCTATTCAAGGTTCCATCAACGCCATCAATTCTTCCCTTCGAGCTTCATTGGGTGCTTTGAACGATTTTGCCAAATTGTTTCACAAATCATTCACCATACCACAAGTACCTATACCCGATTTGAGTGCATTACAAAACATTCGATTACCCAGCGAAATCGATGGCGGGTTACGCAAATTGAACAGTTCACTTCCAACACTAGATGATCTAAAAGCAAAGATTGACGGTCTGATTCAAGTACCATTTGAGAAAATGAAAACAGAGGTCAATTCAACACTTGCACAATACGAATTTGATCGTTCTGTGTTACCAATTCCTGCGCAAACTCAGTTGACCTTCTGTCAAGATTCGATGGATTTAACTCCAATCGATACTCTTGCAAGTAAAGTTCATCATGCAGCAAACGTTGGAATAGGAATCTTGGTCATCTTGGCTCTATTGGTGATTGCATTTTATATGCTTTGGCAATGGTGGGAATTTAGAAGCCTAAGAAAACATGTCGAACGAACAATTACTGCTTTCAAAGCTGGGCATGATGAAAAAGATTCTTCTTTGGCTGCAATGTCCGAAGATCAAGCAAGTTTGTTCAAAATGATGTCATTCTTGCAATTATCACAACATGCTTTTTTAGCAAGCATCTTTTTGCCAAGAGCACATAGAGTCGGAATTCGAACTACAGATGGCATTAACCGATTACGTTGGTGGCTTGCATGGATAACGCATCCTTTCCCATTGGCGATTTTAGCCATGGGTATTGTAGGTTTGTTTGGCGTTCTGATTCAAATGGCTGCTATCAAACTAGGAGAGAAGCAAGTCAAAGGTGAAACGCTGGCAATGTTAGACGATAATGCTGCTCAATTACAACAAGCCGTCAATGATCATTTACAAAACATTTCGAAAGATTTTGCAAATCGATCAAATGCAATCATTTTAGATGCACAAAATGAATTGAACAATGGTTTACTCACATGGGTCAATACGACAACTTCAACGATGAATTCAACTTTAAATCAATTCATGGATGGAATTGCAGAAGTTGTCAATGTGACATTTGCTAATACGCCCTTATTCACACCTGTACAAACGTTCATTGGTTGTATCATTGGTCAAAAGGTTGCGGGAATCGAGAAAGCATTAACATGGATACATGATAATGCGCATGTCACATTTCCACTCGTAAACGATACCATGCTGATGTTGAGCAATTCCACCGTTCAAGAAGCATTACAACCTGCGCAAAAGGAATTTGCTGGAGAAGATGATTCACAGCCGGGGTTGCTAGGGTCAATTGCGGACGCATATCTGAATCACTTACGAAAACAAAGGACGATGTTTATCATCCTGATTGTGTTTTACCTCATCTTGTTGATCATTGGGACAATCTTTGCAATATTTCATGGTAAAACGGATATTCGTTCGTTGTGCAAGTCAAGACCTCGTGGCATTTCCATGTCGATGACTAACAAGAGCATCAACCAAGAAAGAAGTCATTTCTCTACACCAAGCGAGTCAGATCCAGTCGTGGCAAATTCACTTCCAAAACAACAAACTGGTCATGATAGCACTTTAGCTTATTACACCAATCGTGGTCATCAAAGCATTTCGCAACCTTTATTGCCAGATGTTGTATCATTGCACTCACAAAGGGAATTGACAGATGAACGTGAGCGGTATGATAGGTTCATCAAATCTCATGCAAAAGCATCAGGTGCTTCATCCAATACAAGAACGATTCCATCTTATCCGATTGAAATCTTGACCGGCTCAGAACATTCTATGAACAGTAGTAGAATCACTTGTACAGATCAACGTCAATCTCCTCGTTATACATTCGATCGTTCAAAGCATGGTTCAATAATGGCTGGAATCGGGTACAAAGGTGTTCCACGGATCCTAAGTGAGGACGAAAAGAGCAAAAATTCTTCATATCAGGTTTATGGTGAAGTGTTACCATACAAGAAATCAGCGAAGCTGGTCCAGCGTTCACCTACTTTTCCTTCAGAATGTTCTCCAACGTATGATACCTATGTGAACTCTTCAAGCAGTCATGATGCCAAAGGTGCAGTCATCTTTGACGGGGCAAAGCATAACAAAATCACCAGAGCTACTTTTGGTATTCATGATGATGTGAATGTTCAAGATGCACCTTTACGTCGACATTCGAAATCATCAGATCTGGGTGGCACTTCAGGCGTGGCTTTTTAGAGTTGTAAATTTGGAACTTGTTGTATGTTTACTGTATAATACACCCGATACTCAATTAATCTTGATTCATAAAATATAGTTTCGTTCTCTTTCGTTCGTTCAAGTGTTCATAGCTTCCAAATTTACTCATCACACTTAATGGCTCAGCAGTGTCAATCGCTCAAGGATCGTATCGCTCTGAAAACTGAATTTGATATATGATGGAATTTATAATACAATTTGTACACGACGATTGCGATACCTTGTCTGACAAAGCAATGGCAATCATTCTTTGGATGACTTCTTATCTTTCTTCTCCTTCTTGTCTTTCTTGTCCTTTTTCTCCTTCTTGCCAGTGCTTGTATCACCATCTTCAGCGGCTGCATCACGCTTACGCTTCTTTTTGGACTCCTTCTCTCCATCTTCCTTGGGTGCAACATAAGCTTGTTCACGTTCTTTATCCTTTCGAACTTTATGTTCTTCTTGTCTTTGTTCACGTTCTTGAATCTCTTTTGCCTTCTTTTCACGTGGTTTGAGGAAATATTCACCACTTTCGATTTGCAGATCAATCTTACTAGGTTGTTGTGCAGGTGGGAAAGGAGTGTAGACTTTCTTCTTTGGTTTTTGCTTCTTCTCCTCGGCTGTGTTGGCTGCGTCGCTGGCAAGTGGGGTTGCATTTGCTCCAGAAGTAGCATTTGTATCGACAGTCGGCTTCTTGCTCTTGATGTTACGTTTCTTGAATTTGGGCAAGAATCTTTCCCAGTTCTCTTCTGCCAATGCTGGATCTTTGGCCAGTTCTCGTTTGATCATTAATTCTTTGATATGATAGATCGGATGAATGTTCTTCATGCAATCGATGATGATCCGTCGTACTTCCTTCAATCCTTTATAGCCTCCCATACAGCTGACTGTATTTCCTTGAACCAAAACATAGCAGCCTGTAAGAAGTTCGATTGCTTTCAGGGTACTTCCATTGGGACCGATAATTCTTTGTCTTCTTTTGACAAATCGTTCCTTATTACGCACTAACCCACCAATCTTGATCACATCACTGGTCACATCATCCTCCAAGATGCGAACAGCTTGATTGTAAGGAACACTTCTGCTGAGCAATTTGATCATATCGCGTGCTTTGAAGACGATATATGGATCGTATGCTTTACGTGTGGTACGTACAGTCATACTTCCTTCTACCAAATCCAGTGTACATCCAATTCCATGCTTCTCCAATGCCTTTGTCACCAATTCCCAAATGGATTTCAAGTATCCTTCACGATATTTAGGAAACAAAGTAGCGAAAGAACTTTCTTCTGTGAATGGTTTCACATTGTCCTCTTGACCAATCTTTACCACTTCCCAATGATTAATATCATCTGTGTCCCATGGTTTCTCCTTTCTGAATCGTTTATTCTTGTTTACGGCTTGTGCATCAGATGATCCTTCTGCCACATCAGTTGAGGCCTCTTCAGCGTTTGCCTTTCTCCCGCTCTTCACAGAAGACATTTTTGGTAGGAAAGCCAAAGAGGTGATGATGGAAATGCATGTCAAATACGCCTCCTCCGAATCCAAGGTACATTATAAATTGTCCACAAAAATTCCAAAAAATCCTTTGCACGTGAACTCTAAGCGTGTGTTGTCTGAATTCATATGCATATACGCGCCGGCACCCCTAAAGGCCGAATTGAATTCAGGAACACACAGGCAAGAAGTCGTGGCGTGCTTATGTGTGTGGGTGGGAGTGTTGAGTGTTAATTGATTGATGCACGCTTGCTCCGCCTTGATGTGTGAGTACATGCTGCTATCATCATCATCATCCTTTCAGGGCGAGGTGGAGTCGCTGACTTGCATTTGATCAATCTCAAATCAATCAAGATGAGTACTGCACTATCTCCAAATGTGACTGGTGGAAGCGGCGTAGGCAACCATCGTTCCGCTTTTGGCGTCGGAGCGGAAGGAGGAGGAGGAAATTCCGGTTCAACTGCTGATGAATTAGAAGAAGAAGTACGCCGAGCACGCGAAGAAAGATTAAGGAGAAGAAATCAATTAAGCGGAGGTGGCTCATTAAGTTCAAGTAGCCGTCAATCACCGCAATTATCAGCTTCAGAATCACCTTCTCCAGCCAATCCATCATCTTCCTTATCAGGCGAAGAAACATTGAGGAAATTATTGGGAGAAAGGGGTATAAAATCACCAACCCTTGAAAGATCAATCGCTTCCCCCTCTATGCAATCATCTCCTGTCATGCAGCCAAAATCGAATTCTCTTTTGGATCGCTATGGAGGTGCTTCAGGTCCAACCGGTGTTGCCAAAGCAGGTACACAAGGTCAATCGGTCTCATTGGCTTCATTCATGGGAGGAAAAGCAAGTGGTCCTAGACTTGGAAAGCTGGCTGGAGACGGTCGCAATGCTCCTCCAGAAGCCGATTTGATTGATACATCTAGACATGCATTACCAGGGTTAGCGTCAGGAAGGCCAATTCCTGGTCAAAACACAAGTTCGGCATCGGGTATGGGCGCATCTCCTTTGGCAAACTTTTTGGAAGCAAGAGCGGCCAGCAAGACTGGAAGCGCCGGAGTTGCACCTCAAGCACGATCACCAAGTCCCGTCAAATTGGCAGAGAGCGAGGTGAAGAGATTCTCGTACACGTCACCAGCTGAACCACAACCAACAGAAACGAAACCATTATCACCTGTTCGCATTCCCAACAGCACACAAACGGAGAATGTCAAAACTCAAGGTCAAGATCTCGTCTCACCCCGACTACATGATGCTTCTACTAGTCCATTCAAGCCTCAAGACCTTCATGATGCAAAGACTTTGGATGCACCCTTAAAGAGCGCCTCACAATCAAAAGCAGGCTCCAGTGCTCTTTCACCTGGTTCGATCGTTCATTCTCCTACTGCAGATGCACTTTCACGTTTTCCTCCTGTCTCACAACACAGTCCTGCAGTCTCGCCTTCTCTTCCACAGGAGCCAAATATGTCCCCTGCATTCATGGCAACTCAACAAAACAACGAAAGACAGCCAACCGAAAGTTTGACACGTTTACGATCCAAGAGAATGGTAGAACAAAGAGTAAGAGAAGCACAAGAGCGTGGTCAACAGGAAAGTGGAGCTTCTTCCCCTGGCCACCGATCACCAGCAGCGGAAGAAGGATCTGCTCAAAGTGCAAAAGCTTTCTGGAGCGCTGGTGCTAACCAAATCAATGCTCCGCAACAAGCCCGTTCCTTGCCGATTCCTGGTAGGATGAGCAATGCATTGCCCGGTCTCGGTGGTCAACACGGAGGCAGCGGTGCACCTCGTAACCTGTATGCTGTCAATCGAAAGACTCCCGAAGAGGAAGCAGCTGCGTTTGCACAGCCTGTTCGATTGCCTGGCATGGGATCTGCTGCTAGCCCTTTCGCTGCACGAAAGATGACCGAAGAGAAAGATGATGATGGAGAAGTGAGTAAGCCACTCCAATCGCTCACTGCTGGTCGTGCGAGACCAAAGAAGGCATTCAGTGCAAGTACAACGACAAGATCGAGCGCTCCCGCTCCACAATATGCAACTTCGTCCATTGTCACCCCGCAACATGAACCTTCACCGAAAAAGGAAGATTTGCATCTTCAAACAAGCAATATACATGAACGAAAGCCGCAAATCAGGAGAGAAGACTCTGCATCTGGACCAGACTCTGCTGCAAAGATCGCCGATTCAACAGCCGCACTAGAAGCTTTACTGGAAGGACGATCGGTCAAGACGCCACCGCCAACAAGCTCGAAAGCATCTGTTGGATCTAAACAGCACGTTCGACCGAGTGGAACATTAAAGATTGCTCGAAGTCGTAGCGAGTGGACAAAAGTGGATCACTCTGCTCTTCTTCATTCTGCACCACCAATCGTTCGTGCTAATCCTCTGAATCGCAAATTGGTCAGTTTAGAGGTGGCTTTGATCGGTTCGAATGGATCTACAACAAGCTTGAAAGGTCAAGATGCTGCTACGTTGTACGAGACGGAAACACAAGTGATCACACATCGATTCAAAGATTCGGCCATGAGCGCAATCATCACTACAAACGTGTATGCCCGTGTTGGACGATTGTCACCAATCGTTACTGGCTCACAAGGAGCTGAAGCACGCAAATTGATGGAAATCGCTCAGCAGAATCGTGTTCCAGTGATTGATGCAAGACAAGGAAGGGAAAGCTTGGAATTGGCACAGGTATTGGGTGGCACTTTGATCACGAAAGAAGGAAGTAGAAACACTGGTCGTGACAACAGCGATTCAAATACGACAACGTTCCAAGTTCGAGGCGTACAAGGTGGCTTGTTTATCGATCAAGTGGATTCCCTGACAAGCAGCTTGTGCTCATCTCTTAGCGTCATTGTCGAATTGATGGGAGATGTATTCGTTTGGCATGGGATGGGGTCCGTTCCTGCGATCCGTGAAGGTGCTTTACAGTATGCAAAGGCACTCTCTCCGCAAGCAAAAAAGATTGCACAGTATGAAGAAGGAAGTGAAGATGAATTGTTCTGGACTTGCTTCGATCGTGCAACAGCATACAGTAATGCTTGGCATCATCAATTCTTGCCTCTTCTACGTGAAGATCAATTGGCCAATAGACTGTATAACCTTCAAGTGCAGGGATCTATTGCCAAAGTGACGGAGCAAACGCCTTTCTCAGCTTTGGATATTAAACGTGATGGAGTATATCTGCTACAACTACCGATGGAACTTTACATCTTAATCGGACCTGATGCAAGATCGCACAGAAACGCAATCGGAGCAATGATTGAGGCAGCTTCAGTATTATCACGCCATATCGCTCAACAACGTGGATCGACAATCATGACTGCACCCATTCACGTTCTCACTTTCCCTTCAATCGTACCAAGAGAAGTTCGTTCTGCATTTAGATATTGGCATGACGAACATTTGAACGGTAAACGTTGGCAAAGAATGCAACTTCGCATGAACATTACCGAAAAACGCGAAGCAGTCAAACAATTGGAAAAGGTCGAACACGATGTAGCTGATTTAGAGGATGACTTATTCTTACCTGTTGGTGTTGGATTGGACGATGTGAAGGGCATCGATGTTTAAATGGTATTCTGCCATATTCCTTCTCGAGCTATTTTTCTGTACCTATGTCATTGCTGTATAAACACGGTCTAGAGTATGATTAATGGTCTAATTTTACAGTTGAATTTCGCGAATGCCTTGTCTGTCAATCACTCGAACTTTCCATGTTCCCAAATCAACGATGAAACGTTTCTTGAGTTCATCAATACACCTTTTCAATAATTCCAAACCTTCTTGTTCTGACATATCCGGACGATGATAACGATCCAAAGTTCCCATTGTGAAATGTGCTCCGTATCCATGGGCGGCATATGGAACGCTTGCCAATGTGCCAAGATAATCGAGCCAGAAAAGTGCTGGACTAGAAGACGGTACATCAAATCCTCCTAATAGCAAATTGACTTGGTATGGCTTTCTTGATCGTAGTGATTCGGCAACTTGGGCACGGATCCAACTTCCTGCTGCCTTTGGACGTAGCTCGACGTGGTTTCTGGAGGAGAGGAAAGAAGTCAATATTTGCGTCGATCTTTCTAGCACCATAATCTCTGTGCACTTACCTGATTTCATATAGACGTAAATTTCTCTCTACGTATTCGGAGAATTGCAATGTATCTCCTGCTTCACCATTGTATGCCATTACCAAATGTTTAGACAAGACTCTCATCTTATCTTCATCGCCTTTCATCTTTACAATACTTCTTGCAGCATTGCAATCCGATGCAATGATCGTATAACCCTTCCCTGTGATTCCGAATGAGCACTCCATGATTGATATGACTGTTGACCTTGTGTGATGGAAGATTGATAAGATTGAAAGTAGCACTTGGCTTTAAGTCGTCGTAATGCCTGCACTTCCCTTGTTCAACACACCGCCCAACAGCCGCGCGTCTGGATTGCAACGTCTGTGCACTCAAAAGCTAAAAGCCTGGTTTTCTCCATTGTTAATGGAAAACACACGTGAGAGGCGCGAGGCATTCAAATTCAAGCGTGGGGACAACTTCAGGCACACGCGTAAATGAGTGGGAAAGCAACACAAAATCAAAGTGTTGTACTTCCCTCAACACCACATCAATGGCATTCTTGAATCGGTCAAGATGACATCAAGTGCGATGACAGCAAGAAGAGCACAAGATGATGAGCCATCAACAGATTCTAATTCAGAATTACTCACAGAACATTTCGGTTTCAATCCTCGTGTATTTGTTGATGCATTGGTATACGCTGCAAATGAACATCTTTATTCGATCGGAGGTCAATTCGAAGAATTTGCCAAGAAGCAGCTCAAAGCAAGTGTAAAGAAAGCGATCAAAAAGGAAAAAGAAGCAAAGAGTGATGCAAGTAAACGGGAAAAGGGTTCCTCGACCAATTCCACTTTAGCAAAAATGACTGCAACTCAAATTGATGCAGCGGCTGAAAGAGGTGTTCATGGCGTTTTGACATTGATGGAGAATGCATTGGATCATGTGTTTGATTCTTTGGAGCTTTATTGCTTAAAGACTGTGTTTGGTATCAAGCCTAGCCAAGCGCAGGCTATCACGCTGAAGCATCATCGAGATCTTGACCTGCGTACAGCAGAAGAAAGGGTAGCAGAGGGAGATGCATTGTCGGCACAAGAAGAATGCATGGAGTTAGAGAGAAGAGAGACGGAAATGCAACAAAAGCTGGAGAAGGCGAGGAAGACCAGGCACGCCCTCCGTATAGCGAATCTGGTAGCCGATCAAAATTTGGCTCGAACAAACAAGGTTGCTGATACATTTGCATTTATGATCGATGACTCTGGAGTGGCACTTGATACAAGTACACCACAACTGGCCAAAAAGCTTCGATATGACGCACAAGGTCTTATGGACGCTCTCGACCATCTATCAAGCACCAATCCCCTGGGACCAAGCCTGATCAATGCAGACAGAGCAGGAACGATGAACGACAGGGAGAAGAAAGCGGTGATAGATGCTAGCGGTGCTTCAGAGAAGGACAAAAGCGCATGGGAGCGCGGAAGAGAAGCATACATTAATTGGGAGATGGATCGTATCATCAAATTAGTTCAAACGAGAGGCAATGAGAATCCAGATCATACCGTTGCTTCTTTCTTCTTCGCTTCTCCCTCCAAAGATGCTTCTATGTACGCAACCGCTGGACCGAAAAGACGACGAACAACGTACACAAGTGGTGTACACGATCAGACTGAAGCAGGCGACAATACACGAATTGGTGAGGTAGAAGACGTAGAGGTAAGTAGGAAATACAATTCAAGTCATAGCACATTTAATCTGACCATACCCTCACTGCTTCTTTACCTTCACAGAACCTCGCAGATATCGTATCAAAGTAGATGAGTGTACTATATCCATAACATACCCAGATGTATTATTACATGGTTGGTTAGAAAGCCAATGTTGTACAATTGTATTTTTTTCGCTTTTGAGATTATTCTATCCACGACTTGGCGAAAGCGAATCACGCAATTCCTGCAATCTGTCCCACGACGGATCACTTTCGAACGCATCTCGTGTTCGTCCCATGAACGTACGAACAAGACTTCGTGCTCTGAATTGCCAATTTTCCATCGCTGGTTCACGTTTCGCAGTTGGACTTGCTTTTGCCGTATCGACATCCAGGTCGGTTTCGGTTGCTTCATCAATTGCTACTTCACGATGACCAAAGTTTTCCAATAATTCACATAGTTCCGTCAATGCCTCAACAGCTTGAACGAAAATTGTTTGTGATGTCAAGTCACAGCCTTCAGCTCCGTATGACGTTCGCCATGCAGTCAGATGTGCGTCCAAGGCTGAACGTAATCTTCCACGCCAGAACAAAAGACGGGCATACGCTCTCCAAAGATCTGGCATATCGGAAATTTTGGGCAATAAAGTATTCTCGAACAGGCTACGAACTGTCGGCCATAAGCCATGACCTTCGTTTGGATTATGATTGGCTTGTTTTGAGACGGGTGCTTGTACGTTTGTTGATGATGTATCTTCATGTTCAACGAGTGCATCTTGTTCGCTGCTTGGAGCTCGAATTACAGCATCGACAATTCTGTTCACCACAGCAATGTCAACAGATTCAGCAATGCTAGAAGAAGAAGTTGGATCTGAGCCTGGCAGTACACGAGAAACAGAACGTAATTCCACCACTCGTACCAAAGAACGAACAGCATCTGCCATCAAACCGCAATCAACGCTTACGATCATGTAATTGTTCCAAACACGCCAATCGTCATGTGCGAATCGAAGTGATTTTCCCAATGCACGATGTGCCAGCAATTTGACATCGAATGCACCCTGTCCACTACCACCTCCTCCAATTGCTGATAATGTGCTGCGTTGCATTTGTCGACGTAGTCTGCTATCATCATCGTCACCCATTTCAGTTTCCGCTTCACTTTCTGTATCACTTTGAACGGCAACTCCCGAATCACGGCTATGCAAACTGTCCGAATCGCTTTGACTGCGATCATCCTCATCTTCCTCTTCGATTCCAGACAAAACCGCTCTTTGATCGGTTACTGCATCGGCATGTTCGGCCATTTGTGCTTCACGCAAAACACCTTCGCTTTGTTGTGATAGACGCAAATAGCAACTTGCTAAATTATTCCAACTTTCTGCATCTTCATCATCCAAAGCCGTACATCTTCTAAAGCATCTTGCTGCTTCAATATAACCGGCAATCGTATCTAAACGCATATACACACAACCAAGAGTGAACCATGTACGTGCATAAAGTGGTTGAATCTTTAATGCTCTACGTAACCATGTTGTCGCTTTGGCAAAGTCGCTGGCAGCAAATGCAACTGCTCCCAACGATCGTGCAGCCCTTGCTGATCGTTTGGATGAGACATTCCATGCTTGTGTATAATGTTCAGTCGCCTTCTCAACTTCCAAATCACCCAACAGACACCAAAGTTTTGCTTGACGTGCAGAATTTAGTTGAACTTGTACGTGTTGTGAACGATCTTTCTTTGCCGAGATCACATGATCCGATTCGTCTTTCGTGCCTTGCAAAAGATCACGTAGAACCTCAATTCCTTTATCTTGTCTTCCCAATGCACCCCAACATTGAACAACTTCTTGCCATAATTCAACTCTTTCAAAAATTTCCAATGCACTTCTCAACACTCCCAGAGCAGCATACCTTCTTGCCAATTCAGCTTGCATCTCCCATTTTGATGGAAGTTCCAGTTCGTGAACCAGTTGCAATCTTTCCACAACACTCGAATCGGAAGTTGGCATTTGATCCAACAATGCTTGCAATTGCAACGTACTCCTTTGAACCGTTCTTGTTCGATCTGCTTCCAATCGGCTACGCAATAGCAATCCCATCGTATGAACACTCCAATTACGTGCATGTGCAAGTACACGCTGCACGAAAGCAGACATTTGTGATGCTGTCAATCCATTCTCGGGAGAAGCGTTGTGAATGTTCAAGCATAATCCTAATAATATGCACGAATCGAGAGGATCTAGAATGCTTGGGTTTGTGATATCGTCTTGTGTGAATACGGAATTCGTTGTACCGTTTGAGTCTGCATTTGCATTGTTCGTTGTTGATGTGAATCTTGTTCGTTCGAGCAACGTATCATCATTATGCAACATCTCGGAAGGCATATTCGTAGCACTATTTGTATCGGCTGTCGCCTTCCATCCAGAAGGAGTGCCGTTCAGTTCTATTGGATCTGCATCATATGCTTCCTCCTCTTCTACGCCATCTTCAGCCTCTTTCTTCTCTGCTTCATCCTCCCGCACACTCTTTGCTAGTAATACCAGAATTGTTTTATCTTCTTTTTGGAACTTCGTTCGTTTTCCCAGTGCACCTGTGATTTCGTATTGCAGTCCATCTGCTCTTGCCGCTTCCAAGAATCTTTCATTGGCTTCGCGGTCTTTCCCAGAGCGCTGTACCGTCAAACCTTCATCGATCAAGGTGATTGCAAGTAGCTTATTCCATCTTTGTGCTTCTTCTGAATCTTTGCTTGCGTCACGTTGTGTAGTGAGGTATTCTTTCAACACTCTCACTTCTTCAATCACATCCTCTGGCGGTGCTACCGGATTGTCAAGCACGCGAGAATAAATCGAACTTGCTCTTAACCTCCATAAAGCCCTTGAGTGTAAGCTGCTTGGTAAAGCGTTGAGAGTTTGAAGAGCGAGTACCAAGAGGAAGGGCGATTCACAAAGATGATAAGCCGGCTCCCCTGCCCAAGTAAGATAATCGAGCGAAGCAGAGCGCAAAGCCGTTTCAAGTTTACCATCGCTATTGCCTTGATCTTCGTCATCGTTCATACTTCTTGCTGGGAAGCTGTCAGGTGAAGCTCTGCGTAAAAGTTGTATGGGTTTCAACAATTCTTCCTCTAGGTCGGGACCTGTCCAATTTGCCTGAATGAAAGCGTGTAGAGCAGCAACTGCGATACATAGAGCATCAATCGAATCTATTTTACTGATGGCATTTTCCAAATGTACTTTGTAGAGCGTGAAAGCTTCATTTTGTCTCTGTTGTGCAACTAATGCTAATATCTGCCTAGCTTGAGGAGATCGTAAGACGTCCAAGAATTTCCCTTCTCTTACATCTGCTACCAACTGATTTGTACTTCCTTCTTGTCCAAGTATTATTCCCCATTCATCTGATATATCAAAGGACGACATATTTGCAAGCAGTCTCGCCGTATTATGGTTGCAATGATGTTTTCAAGAAGAAATGAAGCACAACCAAAACTCTAAAATTTTAAAACAACAAAAATAGAAAGTTGTCCGTTTCCCGCGTTTGCTTACGGCCGAACCAAAAGAAAAGGAGAAGCGTGTTACTCATCCGTGCGAAGATTGTACGTCATGCTTATAGCCATCATCAGAAGAACAACATGGCAGTCGAACAGTCCAGAGATACAACAGATCAAAACACTGCTGGTCCTCAGAGTGCTCTTGAAGCACTGAAAGCTTTCAAAGTGAGTCAATCAAATTACATATCCAATTCTTTGTCGATTACTGAACAATTCTCATCACCTTTCCCTTGACAACAGGAAGTACAAGAAAGAAGGATTGCTCATTGGAAAGAATATGATGAAGCACTAGAACATTACGAGAGAACAAATTTAAATGCAGAAACTAGAGACGATGCTGATGAAGAGGAAGAAACGACATCCACCTCTCAAACACAGCAAGTACCACATCGATGCGGTCCTCAACCTGGTTCGCATAGCTCAAACGGAACATCAGCATCACATAATGATCACTATCATTCTGTCGCACTTCCGATGACTGACGAGATTTTCAGTAAGATTCTTTCTTTAGTCACTTCTGGTTTGTTGGATTGTTCACATTCAGCACGTACGATTGAAACAGAACTGAGGACGGCGCTGCAAAGACCTGATCTTGCACGAATGGTTGGTCAAGTACAAGATCATGAGAATTCAGTATTGAGAAAGATCGTTGAAAGAGATCAAACTAAGAGAATAGCCAAATTGGAAGGAAGAGATTTGAATGATGCCATTCAATTCTCAAACCAGCAGATCAATCAGGCAAGAGAACGTATTCAAGAAAGCATGGAAGATATTGCTGCCGAAATGGCTGAATTGTAATAATAGCATATATGATGTGCGCAAAATTGTATTATACATGAGCATGTTTGATGATAGTGTACATTGATTGTATTATGATCTTTCTTTGATCGGTTTCAAATTGATTGCTTCCTTTTCAAAAGCTTCACTTTGTTTTGCTTCTTGTGCTTGTCTCTCTTGCCACCTTTGTTGTAATTCTAGCCTTTCTTTCTCTTCGATTTCATCCCATTCTTCTCTGTGATCCAGCCAACGTTCATGTACGTCCAATGCAGATTCCCATCCTGTTGGCGCACCTCTATCGGCAACCGAGAATAATGCAGCTGCTGATGCTGCCGTACCTCTGCGAGAACCTGGTTCATAGGCAGCCAAAGATGGGTCTTCTTGACTGGGCAATGAAACATCTCTGAGTCCTTCTGCACCTGTCTGGGATGTGATCTTACCATTATTCTGGGTGGAAGACTTGCTATTAGGATGTTCGATGTAGACATATCCCGTCGCTTTATCCAATATATGCTGAAGACGGATCATACTTCGTTTATCTTCCACAGCCAGCGTCTCAAATTGAACCAATCCGAATTCTTCGATCATTTCACAAATCTTTTCGTTCAATTCGGCAAATTTTGCAGTCCTACGTGGACCCATAGAAGAATTTAGATGATCGACAAGGTAATCCAAATTTTGAACGTCTGTATAAAAATCCAGCTTGAACGGAAGTCCTCCTTGTGGCGCAAGTGTGTTGTCTTTCTCTTCATCTGTCGCTTCGCTATCGGCATCGTCATCTGATTCATCATCCGATCCGATTGAGCCTGGATTCCGCCGGCGTACCTGTGCAGCTGCGTCACCGAGGAGATCCACTTTGCTTAATACGTTTATATGCGGTAGTTCCAACGTCAGCATTGCACGCAAGGAAAGCAACAACAGCGAAACATATCGAGAAGCATCAGTGATATGTGAAGCGTCCAACAAATGCACTGCAACCAATCTCCAATCCCGTTTCTGTAGCCTTTCCAATATCCTTCGAAGACTGCCATGATTCGTACTTAATTCAACTTGTCCCGGTAAATCAAAAGCCACATAAGCATCATCGCCTAACGCATCCAAACGTTTCTCGAGCCAATCGAAATTTTCTTCTAGGTATTCAATACAATACAGCATCGCTCCGTTCGGTCCTAATCCTTCTTCGTTCATTACATCTTTTACGGTAATCAAATCGGCAATATTGATCGCACATTCGTACGGCAACCGCTTCCCATTTGCCGGATCTAGGTTTACGATAGAGATTGGTCGGCCTAATGCTGTTAGGAATTGATGTAGGCCATCACAATATGTCGTCTTTCCTGCACCCGGTGACCCGATGACCAACTGGCCGAACGGCATCCTTCTTGGTGAATGAATGGATGTAAGCAGGGGTGACCATCAGTTGTGGAGAATTATTGATAAAGTTCTTAAAACTTAAAAAACTAGAATTAAAAGCATCGGGCGCGTTAGTCTAATAATTTAGAGAGGAGATTATATAATCCCTCTGCCCTCTTCTTCGTTCTCATCATCACTGTACCATTTATCTTGACCACTAAGATAAAGTTGCTCTGACTGACTAGCCTTGGCAGTGATCTGTTTTGTGCTGTGTTTTTGCCAAGCCGCCGCCCTGCTTTGCATGCGTAACGCCGCCGCAATCATACGCCAGAGGTCGGAAACACAAGCAAGCGGCTATCTTTTATGGTATCGGGTCCCTGCTCGTAATCGAGCTTCTCTCTTTACGTAATGCATCTCAGCAGTTTTGACACAAATTCTCCTGGACGTGCACTTATCACTTTTAGAAGCAGTCCTATCTTCGATCCTTCCTGAGCGTGCTCTTTTCTGTACTTTAAGAATTTTTGACTTTTTACAGCGGTCATCTTTATTTACCTTACGGCCCGTTTCTAGGCACGTTCGGATTTCCTTCTCCGGTATTGTTTCTTCATTTCGGACTTACCTCTATTTGACGATCTGATTGGCCGAAAGAAAAGAAGAAAAAGAAACGGAAAAGGTCATGAGAACAGAAATAAAGGTACACTACATATCACGGTTCCGTCTAGCAAAATGAACGGAGTCACACAGCTCCGCTCTCCCAAAAGAGTATAATTTCATATTACTAATTATTGTTCAACAAATAAAGAATTACACAAAAGTGCAAACCCATTTTTTACCCATTTGTTCAAAGAGTATAAAATCACACAGAAGTGCTTTTCATTTTTACCCCTAAACCCCCCACGCTTTCAAGGTTCACCTTTTGGTCACCAATCAACACCAATCAACGATAATGTATCATCTGAATCAATCACTCTTCATTGTTGCATTGTTTCCTACATGCTTGACTATCATTGCGAATGCAATTCCAGCACCAGCACCAGCTCCGGCTTGTTTCAAACTTACATAGTGAGTGTGCTTCAACATACATCTATATATCATGATCTGTTGCTAAACAAGTTCTTCTTTATAATCTAGCCGATGTTTGCCAGCATGTCCTGCAAGACAAATAGTCACTGTGGCTGCATGCCATACTTCATCATGCGGGTCAGGTCAAGATTGCTGTCAACTTACCGATCCATGCTAGATCCGAAATAAAATCACGCAAAAGTGCTTTTCATTTTCACCCCTAAGCCTCCAAACCTTTTCAAGTTTCACCCCTAATCATCCTCCATCGCCCCTAATCATCCTTATCATCCCTAATCATCCTCCATCAACCTTAATCATCCTCCATCACCCTTCCACACCAATCATCACCAATCAACGATAATGTATCATCTGAATCAATTACTCTTCATCGTTGCATTGTTTGCTACATGCTTGACTATCGTCTCGAATGCAAATCCAGCACCAGCTGCGGCGGGTTGTTTCAAGCTTTCATAGTGAGTGTACTTCAACATACATCTATATATCATGATCTGTTGCTGAACAAGTTTTTTCTTTATAATCTAGCCGATGTTTGCCAGCATGTCCTGCAGCTCATATAGTCACTGTGGATGCATGCCATACTTCATCATGCGGTACAGGTAAAGATTGCTGTCAGATTACTGATCCATGCTAGACCTGAACAAGTTGTATGATTACAATTTCATATATGCTTTCTTTCATCTATAATGGTACCCTTTTTACGCCGAATTATAGTCGCACCTAAATGAAGCATTGCGAGAGGATTGCTTTATTTATCGGTAAGAATTTCAATATGTTTAAGATTATTTTCAGTCCGTTAATAATCCCTGCTTTCCTGCACCCGATGAACCGATGAACAACTAGCCGAACGGCGTCCTTCTTGCATGACTACATATGAGTAGGCGGACATCACTTATAGAAATTCTGAAAAGTTGAGAAACTCAAAATGGCTCGAAGTCCGATTATATGATCTTTCCTCTTCATTCTCAATCATTATTGTACAACTCATCTAGACAAAGATAAGTATAGATAAATGTTTACCACTCCTTTGTCATTGCTTGTGACAGCACTGCTTTACGCCAAAGATTGACAGCAAAACGCCTTTTGTAGAATGAATGATATCATTTTTGCGTGATTGGTGGCTGTCATCATCTTTGTACCGTTCAATTTGACGAAAACAAAGATAAGGATGGATAAATGTTTACCACTCCTTTGTTATTTCTTTGGCAGCACTGCTTTACGCCAAAGATTGACAGCAGAATGTCTTTTGTAGAATGAATGATATCATCTTGGCGTGCTTGGTGGCTGTGTTTCGGTGATAGAATGTATGATATTAATATGGATGGATTTGATGGAATTAAATACATTAATGAAAAGTCATTCTTAGAGTATCTGAAGTCATTCTTCATAATTGTTATGATGATGCTTCTTTCAATTTAGCCTTTAAGCAACACTTTCTCTCTAGCGTGTGATATTTGTATGACTTTGGCTTGGCAGTGATTTGGTTGTTAATAAGAAGCCGCTGCCTCTGCTTTGCGCTGCGCAATTCAACGCCGCCCACACACAATCCTACGCCCGGGTTAGAATGGAAAATCACACAAGCAAAAGCGGCGGCGGCTCTTCTTTTCCTTATCGGACTTTTTATTTCACAGTCAATAATAATTCATTAGGATTCCCCGCGCTTTTATTTATTTGAATTATAATATTCATAACACGCCCGCCTTTTGCCGTGGAAGGACTTTTATGCCAATACAACGTGCGCTGCGCCGCCGAAATGCTGCTGCTGATTAAAACAAGAACTTAAGAATTCCACTTTGTGTGTGTGTAAAGCATTCTCCCTCGGTTGATCTTTCACCACCATACTCTTGCCAGCCAACACACAAACACAAAGAACAGCAAGCCATCTCTTGTCTGCTCGCCCGGTTGGAATTCAAATGGGTTATATTGCCTAGAAATGGCAACTCCACCTAGTCCGCGATCTCGATCTGAGCAACAAACAACATCCTCTTCGCAAAACGGTAATAAGTTTGCATCTCCAAATTATCAATTAGCTGCAAGTCCTTCTCCTTCACCGGCTTTATCCGCATACAGTTATACATCCTCCACTTCTTCCGATTCAGATTTCGATCTCAATTCACTTTCATTGGATGATTGGGGAACATCAAAAGCTAATCGAAAGAATTCAATCATTCCATCTGAATCAGATAAGAGTATAAGAGCTTACCTTTCACCTGAATATGCTCAAAGTGGAACAACAACTCCTGTACCCGGATCACGATCTTCCACAAGCGATTTCGAAAAATATCTGAGAAATAAAGGATCATTTTCATCCGACGATAAATCATCTCAACATCGGGATAGCATCGACACCATCGAAGTTGAAGATTTAGAGAATGAAGCAGATGGATTTGATGTAGAGGATGAAAATGAAGAAGATATGCATGCAAATGGCGTTCCAGCCGCAAGAGGATGGCGATTAGATGCCCGAAAAGCAAAGACGCCTGCCTTTCAAGCTCAGGTTCTTGCACTCTTTTCCGAACAACTTCAAATTGATACTTGGTCCGAACAAACTGTCAATCCTGATTTGTGGCCATTAGACGCAAGCAGAGTTCAGTTGAAACGTATCAGTGGCGCTTTTTCCAACGCTGTCTTCTTTGTCTCATACGATAAGCAAGATTGTGAGGGATTATATCCGAAGACTGTCCTTCTTCGAGTGTATGGAAAGGGAACCGAGGTCTTGCTTTCTCGTAGAGCTGAATTGCTGATCTTGCATACTCTCTCCAGCTTATACGAGATTGGTCCGCATATCCTCGGAACATTTGCAAATGGCAGAGTGGAGACATACTTTGACGCAGAACCAATCGGCAAAGATGGTATTCGGGACCTGGGCGATCGAAGAGAGACCATCAAGGAGGATGGCAGTCTACTTGTACGAGGATCAGAAGGTCGAGCACAATGGGTAGCCAGAAGAATGAGACAATTGCATGAAGTACCCCTAGAAACTATGCGAACTGTTCTTGAACAAGGCGATTTACGTGCAAATGGCGATGGTAGCAGTGTATACGGGAGAGGTATCGAAAATCATCTATTCGCCCGCAGTCATCGTCCACGCATGCACCGAAATCCATCTTCAATCCCTCCATCTCAACAAAACATCCTTGATTCATCCAGAAATCTGAGAGACAGTCCTGCTCCGATGGCGGAAGAGTCAAATAATCATTCCACTTTGACCGCGGTAGCCAATGAAGGCGCACAAGCAAAAGCGATGTCCATTCGCGGCTTTTCGCCTCATCGCAATAATTCGGTTACCTCTTTTGATTCTCTTGCGACTTCCTTTAATTCGCAAGATAGCAGTTCGATCAATAACGAAAACGGCTTCAGTAGTCCTTCCTTTGGTCCAACAGGTTCGGGTCCTTCCAGTTATACAGAATCAGTAAATGCAGTCCGAAATGCCAAAGCTCCTTCTTTGTCTCCATATATCCCAAACCATCCGACATCCTCTTCTACAAAGATATCCAATGGTTCCAGTCAGCCATATCCCGGTATGTGGAGACGATCAAAGCGATGGGCTCGCGAAGCAGGAAAAGTGTTGGCTTTGGTGGATGAATTCTGCAAGACGGATGCTGGACAAGCTGCTTGCAAGAGAGCTTTGAAGGGTACGCCTTTGGAAGGAAGAGAATTCTCTCCTTTCACCTCGTTTAATGATATTAACGTACCAAGCCTGGAACTGGGTACAACAGTGAATAGCTTGCGGATTACCTTGTTGGCTATTGCTTCTCTCAATTTCCCTCGATTCTTGGCGGAAATGGATGCTTTTAAAGCATTCATCAGGAAATGGGAAAAGCTCAATGGTGCAAGTCGTCGAGTTTTGGCACATGGCGATACGCAATACAGTAATTTACTGCTGATCAAAGAGGGCGCCTTTGAGGAGGATAGTGCAGGTAAAGGAATGCCTCGCGAACGTAGCAGAGATTCGAGTAAGCCGACTGATAGCCCGGAAATCAGTAAGAGTCGATCAAGCAGCATTTCTTCCAACAAACGAAGATCACGTTCACGCCGAGCGCCTTATGAACGTTTGATCGTGATTGATTTCGAGTATTGTTCGCCCAACCCTAGAGCGTACGATATCGCAAATGCATTCCACGAGTGGCGTTTCGATTATCATCATATAACCGATTGTTGGTCGCCTTACACGTTTGCTTATCCAACGCGAGATGAACGTAGAAGGTGGCTTCGTGCATACGTAGAACAAGGAAGATTGCTACGGATGCGTGGAAAAGCACCCAAAGCAGCCTCTGATCCAACAACCGCCGCCACCGCCGCCGCCGGCGAACCAAATGATCAATCTTTACCGCCTGCACTTCCCAACGGCGAAGAATTGGAATTACCACCTTGTGTGATGTCAAAAGAAAGTGGTAATGAACCAACTCCGACAAAATCACGTCCGTTCAATGCGGTCTCCAATGCGAACAACGTGTCAAGTATACCGCAAAGTAGAGGAGATTCGGTTCCGGTTGGTACTTCATCTCCCGCTTTGAACGCTTTGGCCGGAATGCCTTCGCCTTCTGTTCATCCAACGTTATTAGGAGGATCGAATGGAAATGGATCGGATTCTCCACGTTTGAATGCGGTTCGACAATCACCTTTGGCATTTTTGGAACGTAGTATGCAAAAAGAGATTGATCGTTTAGAAAAAGAAGTTGAAATCTTTTCGCCTGCTTGTCATGCTGCTTGGGCATTATGGGGAATGACATTTGCAAAAGAATCAATTGAACAACTTTTACGAAATTGTTTACAAGGAAATTATGTCGATCCAGCTCTTGTTTCTGCTCGTGATATGGAAAATGGTTCTGAAGTTATCGCTGGATCGGCTGAAAGTTTTGATAACTTACGTTATACCTTGAGTAGGGTGGAATTATTCCGTGCCGAATTAAAGGCATTAGGCGTTCAAGTATCTCCAACTTGAGAGCATAAAGCAAAACCTTCAAATGTTTTATCTCGTGTTTTTAATCATATTTGCGTTTTATATTTGCATTCAATTTCAAATGTGTAACATCATCATCATCATCATCGTAACCTATTCAACTTCATCATCTTGTACTCACACCCTCATCAATCTTTTACACTATAGGAAACATACGTATATATGACGAACAAATTTAATGACATATACTTGCAATCAGTGTGGGTAAAAAGCAGTGCAAGACGTCATCCTTTATGATAACATCCGAATGATTCCGAGTTATGATCATTTAGTAGTAGTAGTAGCGCGGATTAGGCGGAATTGAGCTTTAAAATGATGGCAGGAAGGGTACTCATGAAAGCGAAAGCCTTTTGCTTGCTTGCTTGCTCTGCGCCGGTGCACGCCACGCTTCGGAAGATTTATTACAGCCCAACAAGTCTGTAGGCAGACATCGAAGTTCAAAGACCTTAAATGAAGAATTCAGCCTTTGCACTGCACCGCACTTTGGGCGTTTCCTCGCACAGGGCACATTTAAGAAGAAAAAAGGGCGTGAGTGTGACTGTGTAGAAAATCAGTGATGTTGGGCATAAGTTTTTCATGCGGCTTGGGCTTTGCCTGCCTTTACGCCTGTGTGTTTTGACCTAAACTTGTTGAGCTTCTTTTTTTTGTTGTGCATGCATTCATCCTTTTTCTCTTCTTTTAACAACCACTACCTAATCATATCCACACACACACACACATTAATCATGTCTATCACAAACATTTTGGCTCGTCAAATCTTTGACTCTCGCGGTAACCCAACCGTTGAAGTGGACCTTTGGACCGCAAAAGGTCTTTTCCGCGCTGGTGTTCCAAGTGGTGCTTCCACTGGTGTTCACGAAGCATGTGAATTACGTGACGGTGACAAGAAAGCATACATGGGCAAAGGTGTTTTGAAAGCAGTTGACAACGTTAACAGCGTCATCTGGCCAGCATTGAAAGATGCAGGTTTGAAAGTTACAGAACAAAAACAAATTGATGACTTTTTGATCAAATTGGACGGTACACCAAACAAGACAAAACTTGGTGCAAATGCAATCTTGGGTGTTTCAATCGCTGTTGCCAAAGCTGGTGCTGAAGAAAATGGTGTTGCCCTTTACAAGCACATCGCTGCTTTGTCAGGCGTCAAGGCTCCTTACATCTTGCCTGCTCCTGCCATGAACGTCATCAACGGTGGTTCCCACGCAGGAAACAAGTTGGCTCCTCAAGAATTCATGATTGTCCCAACTGGTGCCAAGGTGAGTGAATAAACATGCATATATGCGCCTAAAATAGCATAAAAACTGACCAGTCTCCCTTTCTCCCCTCACAGACCTTCACTGAAGCAATGAAGGTCGGTACTGAAGTCTACCACAACCTCAAGAAGGTCATCCAAGCCCGCTCCGGAATCGATGCTACCAACGTCGGTGACGAAGGTGGTTTCGCTCCTCCTCTTGAAGGTGCAGATGAAACTCTGGAAGTTTTGTCTGAGGCTGTCGAAAAGGCCGGATACACTGGACAAGTCAAGATCGCTCTTGACGTTGCCAGTTCCGAATTCTACAAAGAAGGCAAATACGATTTGAACTTCAAGGATGAAAAGAACCCCAAATTGATCACCGGTAAGGAATTGGCTGATTTGTACATCTCTTGGATCAAGAAATACCCCATCATCTCTATCGAAGACCCCTTCGACCAAGATGACTGGGAGGCATGGTCATACTTCCGTGCTAACAGCGGTGTTACCGTTATCGGTGACGATTTGACAGTCACAAACCCATTGCGTATCAAGACAGCCATCGAAAAGAAGGCATGCAACGGTCTTTTGCTCAAGATCAACCAAATTGGTACAATCTCTGAGTCAATCCAAGCTGCTCAATTGGCACAATCTGATAACTGGTCAGTTATGTGCTCTCACCGTTCGGGTGAAACTGAAGATGTGACAATTGCTGATTTGACTGTCGGTTTGGGAACTGGTATTATCAAAACTGGTGCACCATGCCGTAGTGAACGTGTTGCTAAATACAACGCTCTTTTGCGTATCGAATCTTTGGAAAAGGATGCCGTTTATGCTGGTATCAATGGTTTCACTCAAGGTGAAGCTGCACCAAAGGTTTTGGAAGGCCGCAAGTAAGCTGCTAGCTGCTAATGCTTTTTGGTGGAGAGAGCCTACACAAAATTTTAATTAGATTCGTTGTAGAGAGGTATTGTTTCAATTTTCTTGTTTCTTGAATAATACTGTGATTTGAAAGTGGAGAGTGAAAAATGATTGTGTGTGATTATAACCCCTTTTATATCGAGAATCGGCCCGCCTGTTTGCGTGATTTGATTGACCCGGAGAACTGCATATTAGATGAGATTGGACGGCCAAGGATGATGATTTCCCAAACTTCAAGAATTTAACCACTGAGACCCACTCCCGCATGGCTAATTAAAAGTGAACGCCCATCAAATATAATGTTCGGCAGCGATTAACCGAAATTATTTCCCTACTTACTCGTTTGATACCCATCTTTTGGTAAGAAAGAGTATATACAAATAAGCTGAGGTTGAAAGATGTGATGAAAATCAATGGGATAAAATTTTGAGGTTCAAAATTTTTTAATAAGGGAAAGAAAAGAATGTTTCTGAGTACGAATTGTGTGATATAAGAAGGGAAAGTAACATTCCGGTCTTGAATTGGATCAAAGAAAAGCTGAACGGCAAACTCGAAGATCTTTGGGTAAATCAAAAATAAAATCTCTCCTCCCGATTTTCAACAACCAATAGATACTTCGCCATGGATCTTTCAGAGGATATGGCTTTTAGCCAGAATAATCCTAATTGGTATGAAAAATTCTGGAACACATTGACTGCTGAGCAAAAGTTAAAATTGGAAGAAATCAATAGATTGAAAGCCGTTTTCAAAAACAGCTATCGTGCAACGCCAGTCCCTATCCTTCCTTTGCTGAGTGATATAACCCATTCAAAGCGTTCTCTATCTGATATTCAAGCAGACCTTACATCAAAAAGGCAACGTTTAGGATCAGTGGAAAACGGTGGAGCCTCTCCGGACGAAATAGGATCAAGCAATACCAAAGCAAGATGTTGGACGGCTTTTGAACCTTTGACTATAGAAGGATATGAAGAGCAACAAGAATGGGATTCATCAAAATTTCGATTGCCCAGTAAAAAGAATCAAGAATTACCTGATCGTACTTCTCGTTGGTGTTTGGAATTTGAAAAACCCATAAAACATCCAGAAAAAAGAATTAGGGATCGATTGAAAGAATTGATAGAATTGCGTTGGTCAAAAAATAATTCGGATAAAGGTCCTTTGTTCAAGGATGAGAATGGGATCTTACGCATTCCAGAAGTCAATAACACTCTACGTATTGATGGTCACTATATGGTTGACATCACTTGCTCTACCATAGAAGAAAGCTACTATTTGGCTTGCAAAGTAAAAACCATCGATGTTCAAGCAGAAGATGGAAAAGCCGGTATTCGAATAGAATGCATTGATCCTGGTCGCTGCAGAGATCCTCAAATCCTTACAATTATGATTTCATTGGAATCCAACGAGATTGTTCCCGCTGATCAAGTTCCCAATCTTTATTACGAAAGAGCAATTTACTATATAAGTCAAGACTATGCGACATTATTTCAACTTCTAGGTGCTTGGCGCCCAACAACAAAATGGAGTGATGGAACACAAAGCAGTGCTCGCCCTTTCGCTTGCTTTGCTGTAAAAATGGCAGAAGGAATAGATAAGTCAAAGCTCCCTTGGGATACTATTACTTACAAAACTGTTCCAAACGGGCCTAAGATTCTCTGCAAATTCAATTTAGAGCATGTTGAAAAGTATAATCGCTGCAGCAAATGTAGACAACTAGGTCATTCGTTCGGAAACTGTCCAACAACTGTGTGCTTCAAATGCAACGTACTGGGACACATGAAGAAGGATTGTCCAAATAAGAAACCAAAATATAGATGCCAGAATTGCGGCGAAGAGGGTCACATGAAGAAGGATTGTCCTAATCCTCCTGAATTTTTTTGATCAGAGAAGCATTTACTATTTTAAAACATCCTTTTTCACTTCTCTTGCTTGTTTACATACTTCCTTTTATATCTGTCATGACATCGTAATCAATTTTCTTTTAAGCCTGACATTGTCTGCCTCCCCGCGCTCCCTTTTGTGCCTCCACGTCAGATATCTGCATGCATGCGTGGAAGAAGTTGGGAAGAATCGTCATTTACACATATTCCTCGCTTCTCGATACAGACACTTCTTTTGAAAACACCATCACATTTGATCACAAACATGGCAGACGGTACATCATCACAAACGACCAGAAGACGAACCAGGGGAGGTCAAGATGCGAAGTTAGCTCGTAATTTAGCAGCAGTTCAAGCGTTAAATTCTTCTTCTTCGCGATATACAACAGCTGGACGAAGAAAACCATCAAAAAGTGGTTCATCATCACCTTCAAGACTTAAATTTTTACTTTCTATACTGTTGGTCACAACATTACTGCTGGTGATCCTGCAAACGTTCAGACATATTCGTTCGCGGTCAGCAACTTCTACTTCTTCGTTTCAATCTCGACTAAAACGAGCTCAAGCAGCATTACAATCAAAGCAAAATGCTGGAATACTAGAAGAATCTCTTGGCGGCTGGAAAGATAGGATTGCAAATGCTGCTTCTGCCGTATTGGATGATTCTTCAGCAAAAGATCCAATCGGAAGCGCAGCGGCGATTGCGTCTCAACGTGATGATCGAACGCAAGAAAGCGGAGAAAAATCATTGAATTGGAAAGCATATATGGCTGGAATGAAAGCGCACTTTGATGATGAATTATCTAAAGTTCAACAACAAAAGAAATCTCCGGAAGATCTTGTAAGAGACACACGTCGAAAAGTTGAAGCAAAATATGCAGCAGGTTCAGGTGGTGGTGGAATGGCGGTCGTCCCCGGTGAAGGCGTTCGTGATCACGAATCCCCGATCCCGTTCGACGAACAAGATCTTCCGGCTGTTGAGGGAAAGTCTGATCAAGAAGCAAAGCAAGATCGAAAGATCGCACTAGAGGACATCGATCAAGAAACGCTCAAAGCAATGTTTGATGCACTGTATGGCAGAGGATGAGCACCTAGAGCATTCATGTATTTTCCTTAATTTCCTTAATTTTTTATGTACAACCTAAATGTATAACTCTCAATATAACTCATCACACACAAAGAAGCGTAATCCCAACTAACTTCGATTAATTTTGCGGCTCAAAACATACAAACAATTAAAGGGGGCTCTCAGATGCAAGAAGCATTCTGGACAACTTTACCCTACAAGAGAAGTACTATCTAAAAAGCCAGTTTAAACAGTACCAGATTTGGCAATGACCAAACGAGATTTGGTCTTACCGCTGCCGGAACCCTCTGCTTCGATAGCCTTGACGATGTCCAAACCGTCAACGACTTCACCGAAAACGACGTGCTTACCGTCCAACCAAGAGGTAACAACGGTTGTGATGAAGAATTGAGAACCGTTTGTGTTTGGTCCGGCGTTGGCCATTGACAACAATCCTGGCTTGGTGTGCTTCAAGTGGAAGTTTTCATCTTCGAACTTGTTGCCGTAAATGGAACGACCACCGGTTCCGTTACCAGCAGTGAAGTCACCACCCTGTAATAGAGAAGAGATGTGTCAGTTTCAATGCTTATTCTATTTGCGTGCTTACATGGCTATACTCACTTGTAACATGAATTGTGGGATAACACGGTGGAAACCAGATCCCTCATAACCGAAACCGTTTTGACCGGTGCACAATTCACGGAAGTTGCGGGTTGTCTTTGGAACGACATCATCGTACAACTTGAAAGTGATACGGCCCAATGGGTTACCGTCTTTGGTTACGTCGAAGAAAACGTTAGACATGATGCGTGCAGTTGAAGTAAATCTTTTGGCAAAAGTGGGAGCAAAAGCCATTAAGTGATTTGAATGGTGGTGAGAAGAAGAAGGTTGAGAAAGGGGGTTTATATTGCATGGGCCAATAACCGAGCTCATTCTCTCTTCTTTCTTCTTGCGCACGGACCGAATTGACTATAGTTTTTTTGCGCGTAGGGATAAAGTCCAGGGTTAGAGTTTAAGCACGTAAGGCTGACAAAAATACGCGTACACTGATCGTATGCCACATCTTCTTTCTTCCTTGAGATTCCAGCGAATTCAATCACTCCTAAAAATTGTGAATGCAAAAATGCTGTGGCGAGCAAGCAAGCAACAAAGGCGTGCGCACACAAACACACTTGCCGGACATGGGGACCGCTTCTTTTTGCCCTTTGCACGTTTTCTTGCCGGATTTCTCTTTCTATTGTCACATTTAGCCAAAAAGACGTCATTAAATTCATATGGGACCGGAATTGAATGAAGGCATGAATATCCTTCTTGGCCTGTACGCTAAAAGGGAAGATTGAGTTTAGCGGCAGTAAGGGGAGCTTTAATTGGGTGTCAACAGTTGCTCTCTCTTTTTTTAAGCTTTATTTTATTTTCTTGGTGTGGAGGAAATCTGATGATAGAAATCTTCTTGGCTTTGAATTCATATGTGGTGATACAATGATGACAAGTCAGGCAAACATTGGATCATCGAGCAATTTGCGAAGACCAAAGAGAACCAAGAAACAAGGTCCAGCAAAGAAACAACTAGATCAAATACCAGTAAGCTCATATTCAGATCCGGAAGAAGCATTGGATGCTGGCATTCAATTAGAAGAAAAAGCAGAAAGGTTTGCTTTTGGTGAGAAAGCATTGAAATATTACAATTTAAGCTTTCAGGTCTATCAACGAGCTCTTCAATTAAGAAATGGTAACGATGCAGATGCTGCTTATAACGCAGCAAGAGTATTGTACATCATCGCGACAACATTCACTCTGCCACCTTCCAGCTTGAAGCATTTACAGGATGCAATTCAGCTATTCGCAAATGCGTTGGCTTTGTCTGTTCCAGTATCTGCTATAGATGGTTCACCCAATGCATTCTATCTGGACGTTCAGTATAATCTCGCTTCAGCTCAGTCCACTTTGGCAGACCAAAAGCAGCGGATAGGTGAAAAAGATGCTGATGTACAAGCGCTTTACCAACAAGCAATCGTTAATCTGGAAAACGTATTACAAGGCCAAGAAATTGTGCTTCGAAGACAGCTAGAACAGGAGGCAGAGGATAGGAATGCAGAGATCGAAAGAGCTCCCTTACTGGTGCCCGAAGGAGAACAGGATGAGAATGAGGACGGGGTTTCGATTGACACAACTTCCGACTCTGAAGGAGCCACCCGAACAGAATACACAACTTCACTCATCACACCTGCCTCAGCTTTGGAAACAATCTCAAGCCTACATTCAACATTGTTAGCTTTGCTCGATTCGGGTGTAGATAATGAGGTGGCTCTATCCACATTTGCACATGCCGCCAACAATCTTGCTAGAGCAGAAAGCGTCTTTATATCTTTCCCGGATGGCGAGAAAAGAAGTCCGGAAAATGAATGGATGGAACAGGTAGCAGCTTTGCGGTTCGCAAAAGAGGAAATAGATATTGCAAAACTTCTGAGAGACGTACAAGGTAACATCAGTCAAGATCTAATGTTTTACGCCGTTCCTATCCTTACGCAGGTAACATCGGTGCTAGAAGAAAGCACGAAAAATACATTTGATATGGCTACCACGAATGGAAGAGCTGCTCAAAAAGTGTATTTGCAACAATTGGAACAAATGGCAGATCGTACTTTACAATTATCTCGTTTAACGATCGGGCATATATACTCACGAACAAGTCAAGGTGCAAATGATTATGTTCAAGCTCTTATTGAATTAGCCTGGCAGCTTTGCACGAATGCTTCCAAGGTATATCTCTCTGCTCTTAAAGCTTTGGATGCATCTTCCAATGCGTCTGGAAGTGGAAATACGGTGGCAGTATTGGGTACTGCTCATTCCATCAATCCATCCATGCGAAGAAGAGCATCACTTTATACGGGATTGAGTACTGTTTCAATCCTACGAAGTGAGGTTTTGTTCGTTTCCGGTGCCATAGATGGTGTGGATGAGAATACCCGGAAAACGTTGTTGGATAACGCTCGTATTTACGCACGAAAAGCATTGGCTGAAGTAGGATTGACGTGGATGTTACAACAACCAAAGACAACTTCAAGATATACTGCACCCCATGGAGGAGTAGATAGCTTGAACGTTGATACGGAAGCTGCAATGTCGCTCTTTCGTGCATTGATTAAGAGAGCTGTCACGTTAGATGGGGATGCTGCACAAGTAGCACGGAACGAGCTTGAATTATTCACTGAAAATGTCAAATCCATCGTTACAGCTACCGATGCAGAATATGCACCTGTTTGGCTCGCATCTTTCGGTCTCCTGTCAACTACAGGTGCAGATTTACGATTACTTAACGAAGTCATCGGCGAAGAAGGTGATTCGAGCATATCTGATGAGGAAAAGCAAATTTGGGCTGCCGTCGAACAGCAGTTGATACCACAACAACAATAGAGACATGTTACTTCATAGAAATATTACACATTGTATTGTACATCAGGTTATGTCCTCGTATGGGTATGTTGCATTACAATCTAGTCATCGTTTGCCCATCGACTACGAGAAAGTTTATGTGCGTCTTTTCGATGTAAAGGCCCCTCTTCTTTTGGATGATCATCGTCAGATTTTTCGTCATCCCATTGTGCACCAGGCGGAGAGTACGTCGGTGAACGATCATCTCTTCTTCTTGGCGGAGTGAGGGATGGCGAAGGCCGATGCCTTTGTCGATCACGATAATCTGGTGTGACACTACCTTCGGCTTGCCTTTTGCTGCTGCTTTGCCGTGCTTCTGGTGATCGCGAAGGTGATGACTCAGGAGATCTTCGACTTACGTTCCTACGAGGTGGGCTTTCCCTTTCGCGCCGATCATAGTTTCGTCTTTCGTCGTCGTGATGTTCGTAACGACGTCTCCGCTGATCACTCCCTTCATTGCTATCTGCATTGTCAAAGTAGCGAGAACGTTTTTCTTGTCGCTCATAGCGGGGAGGTGACCTTGAGCGAGTTCTTGAGCGATTTCTGTTGCGAGGTGGAGATGGACTTCTGCGAGGTCTTGAATCATATGATCTTTGCGCTCCCCAGCCACTATCTTGTATCCTTTCTGTCCGATTACCTCTGCGGTCCACAAAGTCGTTTCTGCCTGAATTGCGTGAGCGTGGTGCATCGTCCCATCTAGATCTATTTGAGCGGTCTTCAAATCGTGATCTACCCTGCTGCTGATCTCCTTGACGATCGTACGATCTGCCTTCCTGTCTCCTACTCAATCCACTTCCAGCGATTGCAGCAGCATCTCGTTCTCTTGCCAATCGCATCTCCTGCTTCTTCTTTTCGACAAAGTCTTGCGGTATACCACCGATAGACTTTTGAGCGCTTAGGAGCAAAGACCAAAGTTCCGCCATAAAAGTCGGCGTTTTCGATTCCAAAAAACCAGTTAAGCTTAATTGCATCTTTTTTGGATCAGGTTGTGTATCATTTGGATCTTCAAGCATTCCATTCACATATTCTACCACAACATCATCTTCGAATCCCAAAACTTCTTCCACTTTTTCCGCTATCCAAGGTCGTATAACTTCCATATTGACTTTTGTCATATTTACACGTTCTTCAAATGTTGTGGGAAATTGACCTTTTGCTGCCAATTTCTTTAGCAGGAGTTGCTCTTTGTTTCGGAACCTTCCATCTTGATCAGCGCTGATCCCACGATAGGCACTATCACCCATTCTCTACTCTTCTTTGGATGCCCTGTTCACCTTTTCGTCATAGCTTGCTTATGGTTGTCAAGGTGGAGAATAAAGCAGAAAAATATAGTATTAATTTCAAAGCGTACACTAACACTGGGCGGACAAATTTCTACCCCGCGCTTACAAACATAAACTAATGTACTTTCGCGAATGGTGTGCTTTTTAGGCTCCGAAACACAGATTGTTTATCTTTCTTTCACTCATTTCAATACCACCAACTACCTTTTACAGTATATCAAAATGATGGAACCTACTACACACCCTACCCATCCTCCAAAAGATGATCCATTCACTGCTGAGGAATTGGCTCAATACAATGGAAGTGATGAAAGCAAGCCAGTCTACGTTTGCATCAAAGGTATGTTTTGTCGATGCTGCAGCACCCAGACCCACAATTGACAGCTCTATCTGCTCTCTCATAGGCAATGTCTTTGATGTATCTCCCAAGAGAGAAATGTATGGTAAGTACACAGATGGTTGCGCTTCTGCGACAATGCTCTAAAACCCCTGTTCCCATTCAGGTCCCGGTAAAGGATACAATGTCTTTGCAGGCAAGGATGCATCAAGAGGTCTCGGTATGTCCTCCTTGAAGCCTGAAGATGCCGTTTCAGACTATTCCACTTTAGACGAGAAACAAATGAAAGTTTTGGACGATTGGGTGAGTGTAAGACAACACAAACACCATCTTTGTGTGCTTTACTTACATTTCATCTCTTCTCGAATCAGCTCGCCTACTACACAAAGCGATACAACATCGTCGGAAAGTTGGTAGACTCAAAGTGATGCCATATTTGTATTGTTCTCAGAATTGATTGCATATTTCTCTGCTTTGTGGGAATGATTGGGCTCAGATCGTGTGATGGCAACTATTAAAGACGACAAATCAGAGCTCATTCTAGGTCTATCGAATCATATCTATTACACAAAAGTAGAAGCGATCATCCTCAAAAGTCATGAAAATATACATATAAGGGGGATTATAACAAAACGGTGTAAATATGAAATTTGCCTTTTTTTAATGCCGAGCACCACGACCAAAAACTTCAGAAATCAAAACGAAACCAACGCCAGCCGCCAAACCGATAGCTAAATCGACAGAAGAAGGATTTGGAAGACGAGCGAAAAAGTGATGAGCTTTCAGTAAGATGAAGTGAAAAACAACAAAAATTAGTCCAAAAAATTCCCTTCTCTACCCATACATTCTCGGAAGAATGTGCCCTTTTTCCTAAGAATTTTCTATGCAAATACTCACTGTATGAAGGAATGATACCAAATTGTCTCATGAGGCTCCATTTCGAACTTGTCGAATCTTTCCCTTCCTCGTCGGCCTGTGGAACTTCCTCGCGCCCTTCCTCTTCTTCCGCACGATAAAATGGTGCTGCAGGAATTGTAAACACTTCATCCAAAGCAGCACGTACTTGAGCTGCGTTCATATTGCTACTCTTTCCCAAACTTCCTAAATCTGAATCGGGAGGTAAAGAGATTGCTTCTAATCCGGCTAATTGATCTTCCAAAACGCCCATTCGTTTTGCCAATGCTTCAAATTTACGTCTATCCACTAAAACCATACTACGTTTTTTTATCGAACCTTTTCCGTCATTATCGGGTTCCAGTGTCGTTAGTGGAAGTAAGATCTTGTCTTGCGGAGAGGCTGGCGTTGTATCTTTAGGACTCGTTTCGGCATCTTTTTCGTGCTTTTCCAAATTGGCTTCACTTAGAGGGATAGGATTGAACAATTGTGACATCCGTGATGCGGCTGAAGTACCAGTAACGTCTCTTGCATGATCAGCATGAACAGCTGCAGCAGCATTTGTGCCATCTGCACGAGCAAGAGTGTTGCGTCTAGAAGCTTTACGTGAGAAAGTTACTCCCCATTCACTTTCATCTTCTGCTCGTTTGCTGCTATCGTTCTGTGCTTCTTTTGCTTGTTGCAAAGCTGACATAAGTGCAGCTCTGCCAAATGTGCCAACAGTGCGTGCTGTCTTCAAAGGTGGAACTTCATCATCCGCTGAACTATCCCGTGATGCATGATGAGCTGAGGCACTGGACTCTTCTGGTTGTGTTGCAAATATGTCACGAATGCCTGTTGCTGCACTGTCATCGCCTGAGCGCTTCACACGAATGCTGTCCTGATCCGCTCCTCTTTCTTCGGCAATTCGAGGAACCTTTTTGGCTGTGTCGAATTTGCATGTATTCACATTGGCATCCAGGCCCAGAGCTTCCAATTCCTCTTCCTCATAGGTCGATCTTCTATAAGGGTTACTTTTTCCACCGTTAGATGCTCCCGGTCTTGGACCAACGAGAAGGTCATCTTGATCTTCATCAACCAAAATGTCTTTGTGAAGAGGTTGAATGTAGTTTGAAGTTGATAAATGCGCTTCAACGATCAAATCATTTGATCCTTGTTCTAAAGTAGGAGATTCAACAATTGATTTCACCAAGCTAGCATCGATTGGCGTCAAATTGAATCCGTTCACTTCTGCTGCTGGTGGTGTGGCCGGCATAGGTTCACTGTTGCAACTTTCGCTATTGATCGATGATTCAGAAACACTACGGTTGAACGCATGGCCTTGCGAGAGTTCATCTTCGGCATCCAATTCATCTGCTAAGCCTTGTACTTCACTCTCAGATAAATCGCCAAACCAATCTTGCAATTGTTCACGGGTGAACACCGGTCTTGAAGCATGATGAATGGGTATTTGTTCGCGTAAAGATGAAAAGCTTTCAGCTCTTTCACGTACATACCCTTCACCATAGATTGGTGGAATAGCAGGACGGTTAAGACTATCATTGCTTTGTGAGCTGCTGATACTGCGCAGGGAAGACATTGATCCGCGTTTTTGCATTCCACCGAGGGCAACGAATGCATCTTCACCATCTGAACTTCCTTCACGGATATTCTCAAAAGATGAAATCATATTGCGAACAGCTTTTTTGTCTCGTAAGCGTTTGAGAGTTCCCGTTGAATTTGCGTTGACTTGTTTTGGGATATCGGGCTGTTGTTCTGGTTCTTCAGTTTCAGTGTATGCATGACTGCCTTCCAAACTCCAAAGATGTCCTCGTAAGCAGTCTTTGCGTAATTTTCTGACCGCTTCGATCATCAGCTTGCGCCATTTTAGATTTAATCCTTCAGCAGCAAGATCCTTTTCTTTCAATCTCAAGAATGCTCTTCCGCTCATGCCTGCATTACGAACGTATGCAGTTACATCTTGTACGATTGGCTTTGGCGTGAGACCGAGAACATAGGTAAGATAAACGGCTACTTGAGAAGGTAACCATCGAAGTGGATCTTTTGGTAATTGTTCAATCAATTCTGCCACATTTTCAGCAGCGATTGATGTATCATTGCGATACGGTGAATCACGTAAAGATTCCAAACTTGATCTACGACTTGCTGTTGAGAATTGTTGTGGTTCAGGCGAGCGTTTGTATGTTGACAGATCTGAATAGGATTCTGAATGCTGCAATTGGCCTGATAGTGATTTAGAAGGTTGTGGAGAAGATGTTGATAAGTCCAATGTATCTGTACGTGGACTTTCCATTCCTCTAGGTACGTTTCGTCTCGTTGGCGTGACCAGAGAATGAGCTCTGTCCAAGTAGGAGTACCCTACAGGAATATGACCGCCTGGAGTGAATCCATTTGTGATTGAATGACTGCTTTGATGACGACGTAATTGAGACATGGAGGGTAAAAGTTTATTAATGAATACAAGTTGGGAGTATAGTCGTTAAATGTCGTTAGAGGTCGTTAAAATTATGGGAGTGATGATACAAAAGATTGAAGTTGTGAGTGAGATCTGTCAAGATCTTTAAAGTAGCAATTCATCTTTCTCTTCGAATGTCAACATGACCCCTAAATGCGAATCTTTCAAATTCAATTTTCTTTAGTGTCCCTGATTCATTTCATTGTCAAGATCAATGCATAAATGCACTGCAATCATGCTTCAACTCTGTTCACACTATAATTCGCTGCAGCCCCTAATTCGCTCTCCACCTTTTTTCCCCTATTATTGTGTTGCTTTAATTACGCGCTATTCCACGCGGTGCATGTTTGCACGTGTAAATAAACAACCCGAACAAGCAGGCAGGCAATTGATGCTTAAAGCTGCCGAGTATAAGCAGTAGCACAAGCATTTATTAACTTGCCAGCATCAGTGTGCGTGTCTGTCAATCCAACTTTTAAAGCTTGGCTTGGCTCGTGCCGATTAAGCTGTGTACGTGCGTGCACAATTCAACAGAAATTTGGGCGTCCTTGATCTTCTTCTTATCATCAAAATCTTATTCTGGCTTCTATCATTTTCATTCATCTTCATCATTCTGGACAGTATGGGTGACGCTTTTGCCAATCAACCAGAATTCTTGTAAGTAAAAAATGATAATTTGACTGAAACACGCTGGAACTAACAGTTATTCTCTCTTTCACAGCGAGGTGGACATTGGTGAAAGTCTTATATCCAGAACGGAAACGTTGGGATCATTCAGAGAATTAGGACCGCCAGATTTAGTTCACACGATCAAAACAACCGGCAGAGCAGGCTCAAAAGAAATCGGATCTTATCATTATGTTTCAGGCGTTGATGCTTCAAGTTCAGCAGCATTGGCAGCGTACATCAATAGCTTAACTTACGAATTGGAACAACCTACCACTTGGTTCTCCGGAAAGTCACCATACAAACTCAAAAGTGGTGCCTACTGCTGTTTCAACGCATTCTCTCGTGTTGACGTTCGGGTGGAAGTGAGAATACCGGGTTCAGTCGATGCATTCGTGGTAGACGCTCGTGGGGAGAGACACGAAACAACACCGGAGATCTGGCAAGAAGTATACCTTTCAGCACTTCTTCGTGCAATTCTGTACTCTGACGATGCAAATTATCGATTGGCAGGATATCGGAAATTGGATCCCATCAGCAGCCCAGATGCAGAACACAGATTCTTACAAGCAGCCGAAAATCTCTTTTTCAAAGGATGGCAGCTAGGATCCGACCCAGAAATACAGGTGGCCACGGTGGTATCCAATCATCTAACTGCTGGTATCTTGAAGTACTTTGGGGAGGCAAACCGATACGAATTGGCTGTGAACCTCTTCGAAAAGCTATACGCTCGTGAACCTGAAGTGGCTGCTTTGGTTGCACAAGCCTACATTGGAATGAACGAGGAGGTGAAAGCGGTTCAAACGATGCATCACGCAATCAAAGAGACGCCGCACAGCTATTCGCTTCTGCACATTCAATGTGACTTTTTGAGAAAGAAGGAAAAGCATGAATGGGCCGTCAAGCTAGCACAAGAGAGTGTCAATTGCGCACCAACCGAATTCTCAACATGGGCAAAGCTAACGGAATGTTATATCGAACTGGAAAGCTGGGAAGAGGCTCTATTCACACTGAACTCGTGTCCCATGTTCACGTACAATGAACGCGATCTTCACCGAATGCCAACACCTTCTCGATCACATTTCCCGATCAAGCAGTACATCGCAGAAAGTGGCTTGCTGGACGATGATAGCATTAGGGACGTTGAAGCAGATGCTGCCTTGGTCAGGCTGCCAGCTCCTGCGCTGCGTGGTACATTTGCAAAAGCATACGCTCTTTTGACCCGCTTGGTAAACAAAATCGGTTGGGATGAATTGCTAAGATCGAGATCACAAGTATTTGTGATGGAAGAAGAATACAGAGCACAAAAATCACGCCCGGATGCTATTACACCAAGAAGTGAAGAAGCTTCACCGTTCCCGCAAGGAGCTAGTCAAAACGCATCCACAACTGCTATTCCACCATCAGACGGCGCTGATGGACAGAACGATGAAGAAAGTACATTGGCAGATACAAGCAAAGCGAACGATCTTGCAGACAAGGCTGCTGATGCACAACCTTCAGAAGTGATTGAAAAGATTGCAACTCTTGGCGTTTCGCAGATCAACGGAAGTTCATCATCACATTCAATACCAACAATCAAGATTTCAACTGATTCAGATCATGAACGTGAAAAAGTTCAATTGGAAGGATTTTTGAAAGACAGAAAGGAGGAAAGCACGACAACAACAGTGCATGAAGCACAAAAAAGCCTAGATGAAAAAGAAGGTCAATCTTCCGTTGAGGTAGAAGCGCCACCACTTGAAAAGCCAGCGCTGGCGCAGGCACAAGCACAACCTATTTCATCTGCCGAACAAGATGGCATAAATGGAACAAATGCGAATGCGGCCAATGGCACTTTGGAGGGAAGCCATACAGAACCAAAAGATGGACATCATGAACAAGATAAGACTACAGTCGCATCTCTATCTTCAACATTTTCTTTTAACAATAAACGATTATGTGAAAGATGGCTTGATAACCTTTTCATGGTTCTGTATGAGGATCTACGGGTCTATACGATTTGGAGAGCGGAGGTGAATCATTACAAAGCTCAATCGCTGCCATACAGAAAAACATCAACGGAATGGGAAATACTGGGTGAATTGGCATTACGATTACATCATCGTGAAGAAGCAAAAGAAGCTTTCCAAAAATGCGTTGAAGGAAAATTTTCGGCAAAAGCATATTTAAGATTATTGGATATTTATACGGAAGAACGTGAAGTTGAAAGAAGTTTATGGGTTTCCCTACGTTTGACGGCTTATCATCATAGATGGTATATGGAAGGAACTTTTCCTAGTGCGGTTGCACATTGTTTATTCCGTCTTATTCGTGATGTTGGTTTGGCAAAAGTTAACTTTACCCTTGTTTCAATGTCGCCTCCCGATCCAATCTTGCGCATTATGAAAAATTATTTTGCTTATTGTCAAGCGTTCAAAGTACCAGGCTACGACTTTTAATGCTCATAGCACGATCTGATTACGATCAGATGTACAATTGTATCTATTATAGTCACCTTACCAATGAAAGAGTGAAAAAAAAATGCTTTTGCACACACAGGATGATAGATAGGAGGCATAAATAGATAAAATTTTTACATTGTCATAATACGGACATCATAGAAAGAGGAGGGAACTTGAAAAAATCGTATCTCGCACACTCTTCCGGAGAGAAAGAGCGTGAACGGAAGGATAAAAAGATTTTGGATTTTATTGGTTTCTGGGTAAATTATATCCGTTTATAGGAAATTCTATACAATCCTTTCTTTCTTTTAAAGTTTCTTTTCAACGATAGCACGCAAGTCCTTGTTGGCCTTGTCGAATGAACGAATGCCTTCGTGCAATTTCTCGAAAGCCATTGGTTCGTTGAACAATTCCCAAGCGAACGAGGCTTCGTTGTCAACGAAAGAGACCTTCTCTTGTTGAGCAGCAGCCTTGGCAGATTCAGGGGACAATTTGCGTTCCAAGTTACCCTTCTTGCTCTTCAATTCTTCAAGCAAAGCAGGTGCGATTGTGAGGAAATCGCATCCGGCCAATTCGACAATTTCATCAATGTTACGGAAAGAAGCTCCCATAACGATGGTCTTGTAACCGTGTTGCTTGTAGTAGTTGTAAATCTTGGAAACGGATTTCACACCTGGGTCTTCGTGACCAGGGTAAGAGTCTCTGCCCTCAGCCTTCTTGTACCAGTCCAAAATACGACCGACGAAAGGAGAGATCAAGGTAACCTTTGCTTCAGCACAGGCGACAGCTTGTCCGAAACCGAACAAGAGTGTCAAGTTGCAGTGAATGTCATCTTCAGCTTCCAATTCACGAGCGGCTTGGATACCTGCCCAAGTGGAAGCAATCTTGATCAAAACACGTTCTTTGGCGATACCTTGTTCTTTGTACAAAGCGATCAATTGTTTTGCTTTGGCTTTTGTTGCTTCTTTGTCAAATGACAATTGAGCGTCAACTTCGGTAGAAACACGACCAGGAATGATCTTCAAAATTTCCACACCGAATTCGACCAAAAGACGGTCACATGCCAAATCGAGTTGCTTTTGCTTGTCATTTCCGGCATGTTCCTTTGCGTACTTGATGGCAACGTCGATCAAACGAGCGTATTTCTCTTGCTTGACGGCAGCCAAGATGAGGGACTAAAGGAGGAGGAGAGCGGTATTAGTTGACTGTTTGCTTGTGGGATATGGTTGCCACTTCTATCTACTTACAGGGTTGGTGGTAGCATCTTGTGGCTTGTAAGCATCGATTGACTCAAAGTCTCCAGAGTCAGAGACGACGGCAGTGTATTGCTTTAATGATTCAAGGTAAGACATTATGAGTGACTATAAAAAAGGTGTTGATGGTGGTAAGAAAGGAAGGAAGGGTGAAGATGGGAGAATTGGTTTGTATGAATCTAGATTTCTCGCTTGATCGATCAGGAGGCACGTTTGATTTTGATTGACTCAATTGGGCAATTCTCGAGCATTTCTTCTCGCATTGACACACACATGTACTGTATGCCTCTCACCCTCACTTTTATGAACTTTCTTCTGCCAATCGCTGGCGTATTGGATGGGCTGGCTAGATCGGTGAATTTAAACTGTGGTCTACCACGCACAAAAGCAGTCTTCTTGTGGGGCTTCTAAGGTGGAGTTTATCACCCCTTCATTTGCCCGCTTAGAAGGTAGAAACTGTGCTTGTGTGCAGCGCCTGTACACACTTTTGAATTCCAATTTCCCAACACTTGTCTTATCCCCCCCGGTACAATGAGCCAGCGTGTTTTACAAATAGCAGGGCAAAGACCCTTTTAAAAGAGTATTTCTCGTAGATCGCCATGCAATACAACCTGCATAATAGCATCACCCGGCAAACTCTCTAGAGCGTACACACAATGTGTGTGTAAGGAACATCTTCCAATCCAATGAATCATGGCTTAAGTTTAAACTTTCTCGGAGCAGGGCTTTAAGGGCTCAGAGAATCAAATTGACGTCATTTGTTGTCGTTATCAGTGTTGATCGAACAAGATGATCTCTGATGAACATTCAGACAATGGATATTGTAGCGAGTGACATTTTTAGACAGATCAAACAAGTTATAAAAATAGTACAAAAAAGATATAAGAAAAAAAAAGAGAAGAATGGGTATGTATATATGAACAAACATTCACTGATCCATCAAAGACGATGACCAGGAACGAAAACGAATAAAACAGTCAAAGCTGCAGTAATAAGAATAACCAGGAAAAAGACACCTAAAGCACGTTGTAGAAGTAACTTGCGGACGTATTTCTCTCGTACTGTGATCAGATGGAATGGTGTCGTTTCGGATTGTTGTGCTAATGCCAAGATTGGATCTAATTCGTATTGATGTGAAACAATCAAAAGAATGGCAATCGAGAATGGTAAAATAACCCACAATCTCTTCCGTCTGTAAACGTCCAAAAAGATAAATGCGAATCCGGTTGCCAAACCTGCCCATAAAGCAAGCAAACCTAATGTAAGTCTGGTCAATGCAGAGACTGGCGTTAGATTTCCAAATGCCTTTGCACGCAAGAAGCGAGGGAAAACATCGGCTTCCATTGTACGGAAGACGTATTCTTTTTGTGCATGGAACATATCGGGCACTCTTGCAAGTGCAGCTTGTTGCTCAACATCATCCGTATCAGGAATGGTAGAACTGGACAATGGGAAACTGTTAATGCGCAATTGCGGTGGTAGGTAGATCTCCTTTTCACTTCCAGGTAACAAGTAGCGAGCATAGATACGTTCAGCACTGGCAACTAGATCTGCACGAGTGATTGCTACAGATCGAGAGATCACAGTTGGTGCCATTGAGCTACGCTTGAAAAGGGAATGTTTCCTTTCTGCACGCTCAGAGCTTGATTGTCTTGCTGATTGATAATCGGGATCACCCGGGAATCTAGGTTGATTCGGAGCGGGCAAACGCCATTCACCGTCTGAATCCCTTCCATATCCTCCTCTCATGCTATCACTTTCCAAATGAGATTCTTGCATTTTTTCGTCAGCAGGCATGGTTTCTTGCTGAATTCCAGTGACAGGACTATAAATGGATCCGCGAGAACGTGCTTCGCGGTAATATCCTGGCCAATCATCTTGAATGTTCTTTCCTGTTTTACGTATATCGCGGAAGTATGCTCTGCACAAGTTTTCATGTTGTTGAACATCAAGCCAGAAATCTAAAGCATCCTCTGATCCTTCACGTTGCATGAACAAATAATAACAATACAGATCAACCGGAGGCAATGTTCTACGGGCCAACACTTCTGCCAATGTTGGTAATCGATTGCGTGAGGTATGGTTGGCCATTGATAGAGGACGTTGTTGTCCGTATTCTTGTTGTTTTTCGTTAGGGAATTGAGGTTGTTCTTTTTGTTTTTGTAAATCATCACCGCCTGGCATGACTTCACTTTGAACTGCACCACGTCCATGGTCTTTTTCGCTCGTGTGAAGGTTATGATTATCATTGTGGATACCTTCTAAGTGTAATTGTGGTGGACCGCCTTGTTCTGGACGCTCACCTTCACTGTATGCGATACCGTACTGTTCGTTTGCATTTGATTCTTCTGGAACGGGAGCAGGGCGAGGATTGAAGAATCGTTCGGAGAAGCGCTTCATGATGATGTTGTTGTTTTTGGATGGGTTTGAGGTGATGTTTTTTGTTTTATGTCGGATGAAGGTCGCAATAACCTTCAGAGAAGGCTAAATTTGCTGAATGTCGTGATTGATAAACGAATGTGAGGATGCTCTTGATGAGACAGAAATGGGTTTTTGTTTGTATTAGAATTGATGATCGTTATGGTGATGGCGCGCTCAGGAGGGGGGGATCAAAACTCGTTTGTATGCACTTTAGCCTTTGAATGAATTTATGCCTGAATAGACACTTTCAAGCCGTGTTGTTTATTTTATTTAGCCTTCCTTTTAGTACGCGGCTCAGTGCCTCAGATGAAAATTAACAAAATGCGGGCGCGTCAAGCGTAACGAGAGAATTCTTCTTAAGAAACACAAAAATACGCTATTGAATGCCTTATTGGGTACGCTGAGTTGGAAATGGGATCCTATTCATGAGGCTTGGCTACCATCACGTGTAAGGCTGGCCATACTTGAAGTTGATAGAGTATTCTGATGACTTTGAACAGTATGATCATCACGGTCTCACTTCAATGATCACTTGATAACCTTACTCAGTCTTTAGTTCATCATGGCTGAGTTTGGCGTTTGAATGTGAAAGATGTCATCCATATGGCACACTACAACAGTCTTTTACCACCGCGTGCAACCACTTTGGCTGAGTCCTATTGTATTAGCGTATGTATGCACTTTAAGCCGTGTAAAAAGCTCCACACGAATTTGGATGCAAACTTGACATCTGTCACAACTTTATCTTTTACCATAACTTTCAACATTTCAGAAATCATGGTTCGTGGTAGTGATATCATTCTCATCTTGGTTGCAATCTTATTCCCAGTAAGTAAAGGGCGAAACAATGTATATGCAATCCTAATCTGACTTCCTCAACTGCATCCAATCAGCCTGCTGCAGTGGCAGTCTTAACAGGATGCTCATGTGATCTCTTGATCAACATTTGCTTGACAATCTTGGGTTATCTTCCCGGTAAGTCTTGATATACTCTAATAATAATGAGAACACCTTTCTGATCATCTCTCAATTCCACCACTATCAACTTACACCCTTCTCGCCATAACTTACTGATTTACATCAACTTCGCCATCATCCTCTCTTACATTGACTGGAATGAACGCACTTCAGGTCACGTCCATGCTTTCTGGCTCATCTACAAGAAGATGAAGGCCGAAGAACAATATGGCTTGAACGGATTCGTTTACGTTGGAAGCGGAAAGTACGAAGCTAAACCAGGTGCACAAATCAACGTTCCACCACCAAACGTGAGTTACAGGCATGAGTAAAGAGAATTCTTCGATATTGTGCTAACATAACTCTTCTTCTTCTTCTTTTTAGTACGGAGCTGTGCCACAATAGAGCACTATGAGCTCAACTTTCATCTTAGGGTGTTTCTTATCAGATCGGCTACAGATGAATTGATTCACCATCATTTTCCATATTCTCTTGTTTGCTCTCCCTTGCACAATGTCATCCAAAAGCTATTTTTTCCACTGTCAATGGATATTATAAGAATATCAATAGCATTATGATGATTACCATCATACGTCCTTGTACGGCCGGTACAATAAAGGGCCCAGGCCTGTGTCTTTGTCTGTGCGTATAAGAAGAAAAAGCGCCGAAATTGCTTAAAGCGCTGGATTGCCGACGCCCTGGAAAATTGCCAGGCACACAGGCAGGCAGGCACGCAATCTTATATCGCCTGCAAACCCACTCCTAATCAAACACAAGAACGGGCCGAGAATTAGGAAAGGGTTGGACAACATATTGTGTTCATCACTACCACATCCATCCATCTCTCTCTCCGTTACTATTGCTATTGCTATACCTGACGGCAAACATGCAAACGACGATGGAACATGGCTCACACGACATGCCAATGCCTATGCCCGGGCATCATGGCGGCGGCGGCGGCGGCGGTGGAGGAGGAGGACATGAAGGAATGGATCATGGAGGAGGCGCAATGGAATGCAGTATGTCAATGGTATGGAACTATGCAACGGATGGAATGTGTGTAGTATTTCCATCATGGCATGTAAAAGGCAAACAATCATTCGTGTTAACTTTGGTAGCATTATTTCTCTTGGCTGCCGTCTTGGAAAATTTACGTTTTAGAATACGTAAATTTGACGTTCAACTTATTTCTACTCATCGATTAACAAATAATGTTATGGCAAGCTTGACCGGCGGCGGCGCAAACAGTCATCGGAGAAAGGCAAGCGTACAACATGTTTTAGGACAAAGTGCTGGTAAGACAAGCGGAATCGGAACGGCAACCCTTGGTGATCGAAGAGGAAGTCCATCGCATACACCTTCAGATTTTGGCAGTCTTACTTCTTCAAGAAGCGATGATGATTTACCGCTCTTACCTGGAGGGCATCAAAGGCAAAGAAAGAATCGATCTACTGTAGGTAGATTATATGACGCATTTGTACCATCTTTGCTCATCTCCAGACGAGGTCAAATTCATCGTGTCATCTTGTATGTCCTTACACTCACACTCAGTATGTTCCTCATGTTGGTTTTCATGACATACAACGCATGGCTAATCGCAGCAGTCTTGCTGGGAGCAGGAGCGGGTCATTACCTGTTCAATCGGGATATGGGTCATGGAGGTTTGGACAACGACAAGTCGTGGTGTCATTGAAGGCAGAGTTTTACATTGTATATTATAAGCAGACAATAGATGCTAAATTCCAACACTTTTTCACACACAGAAAGATTGACGGAGGAGCATGATGTCATTCAGTATGAATCGCCCGACGATCCGTCAAGGTCTAGAAAAAGGGGAAGCAATCGTCGTGAAGTGTACACCAACGAATTGCTTTCTAGGTAAAAATACAGCTATATGGTTAGGAATAATCCTGACGATCGTACCGGTACGAAAAGTCAGGTCATAATGAAACCAAGTCTATGGTGTGAGAAGATGAATGTATATGTGTGTATGTATGGATAAACAAGCTGATTACTTGTTTAGTTGTCGAACCACCAGGTGATTGGAACTTCACCTTGTTCAAAACTTGCCAAAGCTTCAAAAGCACCACGACTCAAGTCCAAATGTCCATAATCACATTCAGGGCAAGTGTCAGCGACTGTTGCGGTTGTGGTCTTGTCACCGGATTTCATTGTGATTTTTTGTCCACAATGTTTTCCGGCCAAATCTTCCGAAACAGCGATAACTTTGTCTTGATCGCTATGTTGAACACCGCATGAACCAGTTGTTCCATCTTGACGGTACCAAGTTGCTTGACCGGATGTGGCACGCTTTTCAGCTGTTGGTGCGGCACTGACGGCCAAAGAGCCCAAAACGATGGCGGAAACGGCGGCGACTGTGAATCTCATTGTGTTTGAGTATGTGAATGTGTAGGTGGGGATTGTTTGTTTGTTTGTTGTGAGAAGAATTTGATAGGGAGAGGAAGTGAAAATGCAAAAGGAAAGATGGACTTTATATACCTTTCAAAGACTTTCCAAATTGGTCATACAATCATCAAACACAACATGCACCATATCAGAGGGAAGTAGTGTTTCGATGACGAATGAATTTTCTTTCATTAGTTCAAGAACCTGCATTATGTGTGTATGACCATCTCGCGTCCCTCAAAAATCTAAACCAGGGACCAGAAGGTGTGAAATGGGTATTGGCGTTATGTAGCCTGCAAATCATCCAAAAAAGTGAATCGATGAATCTTCTAAACGAACGAATTTCTAGGGTCACACTAATGCAACATGTTTTTCATCCCTCCCCAAAAAGGTTCTTTTGATGATATGTGTGTATGTTGAAAAAAGGAAGCTAGAAGAATATCGAGCAGCAGCAGCAAAAGTTTTCTTTTGTTTGTTTATTTCATATCAAATCAAACATTTAATTCCCCCAGGTCAACTTGCCAAAAACGGGAGAAATGACCTGGGAAAGGTACAATTTCAAACTTGGAATCTATGGAGCAAGGAAGCACACCCCATCTGATGTTGCTGTGGAGGCAAGAGTGACTGTTGATCTTCCTCTTTCAACTCTATACCCCGGTCGTGGCTTGGTTAATTCGCCGTATATGCATGACGTTTACAAGATGTAAATCCGGCGGTATTCATAGGAAGAGGGAGATCGTCTGTGTTTTGAGAAAAGCACTCCCCATCTTTTATTGCGGCGGCGGCGTATACAATCATGTCATTCAAGATTTGACAGACGTACATCGATAAAAATAAGCGAATGAAGATGGCCGAAGAGCGAGATGGATCAACAGATGCATCCGGGCAAGGACATGTATCCCAAGGGAAACTGTAGTTGAATCAATGAGCTATTTCAGTCGCTCTCGGCAGATCAGGTACCACTTCCCAAACCCTAGCCTTAATTCAAGTTTAGATTCAATCGAAGGAACCGGCCCCTACTCGCACTGTTGTACGGACGCGTGTTGAAAGTGAAGGCAGGGAGAAGGGGAAAAAAGTTTTTACCTGTCTTGCCTCGGCGTCTTCTCCAAGAAAAGAAAAACGTCACTTCACTGTCAATTCGCCGTCACTAATTGTACGCTAATCCTAAACCAATCGTTTCCAAAAGATTTTCCTTACACGATCTCTCCCAAGGTGGTCCCTCGTTTAACCCATTTTGGCGTCTTGTGTCATGTACGGAAAACTTCCACTGTTTCAAGTCGCGCTTTCTCTCACACAGTCACATTCGGATAGGGTTGCTGACCGGTGCCATCTATGAATAGAATACTTCCCTCTTCTCACGTGTGTAAGCCCCTCCCATCGTGATCGATCATGTACATCCACTAATTCACGGGTCCAATCAATCACTATAAATATAATCAAAAGAATGCTGCATCATTATTCATCCCACAAAGTCGGCTAACGGCCGTGGTTTTGTGGTTTTCTGGTATACACTGGTAATTGGGTAAAATACATGTAATGTTTTCGTAGCTGTCCTTTGAATGAGGGGAAACAATGAAGAGAGAGAGAGAGAGAGAGAGACTAAAGATGGGGAAACTTGCTTATTAAGAATTGTTAAAAAAGAGTTCGAATCCAGTTAAATTCCTTGATCGATGGGGACGGCAATCGGCTTCTTAGTGCTTTTCATCGGCACCAGGGGTACTTTCCAATGTATCGAGTTGTTGCAAGGCTTCTTCGATAATTTGAACACCACATTGCAAATCTGCTTCATCGATCACGAGAGGAGGTGCAAGACGAATGATGTTACGATGGGTCGGCTTGGCCAGTAAACCTTTTTCTTTGAGCAACAGACATAATTCCCATGCTCCACGTCCTTGAATCTTACTCTTGCTTTCATCAATCACGATCGCGTTCAATAATCCACGTCCACGTACACCACTTAACATGGGTACCTTTCCTGATTGCATAAGCGTGGTCAATGATGCACGGAATTCAACACCCAATTTGTCTGCTCGTTCGCATAACTTCTCTTCTACCAAAACGTCCAAAGCAGCTGATGCAACGGCACATCCTAGTGGGTTTCCTCCGTAGGTGCTTCCGTGTTCTCCTGGTTGGATGGTAAGCATGACTTCTTTGTCGGCCAAAACAGCACTAACTGGATAAACACCACCGCTAAGTGCTTTACCCAAGGTGATCATATCAGGGCGAATGTTGTCCCATTGACATGCTAGCATCTTACCGGTACGTGCTAGACCCGTTTGAATTTCGTCACAGATGAGCAAGACGTTGTGTTGATCACATAATTGACGAACTCGTTGCAAGTAGCCTTCTTGCGGAACGACGATTCCTGCTTCACCTTGGATTGGCTCCACCAAGAATGCTGCCACTTCATTTCCATGCTTTTCCAAGACAGCTTCCAAATCTTCTGCATGTCCATAACGGATCTTGAGTTCACCAACTCCAGGGCCAACACCTTCCAAGAAGGGACCGAAGCCTACTCTTGAGTCAGGATCTGTGCTCATACTGACTATACCCAATGTTCTTCCATGGAAGTTGTTTTCGACACTCAAAATCTTTGCTTTGCCTTCAGGAATCTTTTTGACCATATAACCCCATTTACGTGCAAGCTTGAGCGCAGTTTCAACAGCTTCTGCTCCAGTGTTCATCGGAAGGACCATATCATAACCAAACATCTTTGTTACCTTTTCGGCAAAAGGACCGAAAGCAGAATTGTAAAATGCACGAGAAGAAAGTGTTAACTTTTGCGCTTGTGTAACCAAAGCAGCAACAATCTTTGGATGACAATGACCTTGATTGACAGCACTGTATGCGCTCAAGAAGTCAATGTATTGCTTGCCTTCTGGATCCCAAACGTGTGCGCCATTTGCACGATCAAAGACAACCGGTAAAGGATGATAATTGTGAGCTGCAAAATCATGTTCTTTTTGAATAGTTTCAGAGCTTGTCAAGGTTGTTCCTGTTGTTGCTGCTCCTGCAACGACACCAACTGCACTTGCAGTAGCTGTATGTGCTGTATTCACAACATCGTTCAGTTTGCTTTTGATTTGCGTGGCCACTCCATTGCCATTCACTGCATGTCCGTTTGACGAAGTAGCAGTTGGCGCCATGATTGCGAATAATTGAATAAGATAAATAAATAAATAGATGAAAAACGAATGTGATCCGATGATGACAGTCTAAAAGAGAGAGATGTTTGTTGCTGGCAGGTGTACAAACATACGTTGTGCATGACAAATAGAGAGGGAGGCGTTTTTGTGAGCTTGAATGCGAGTCAGAGAGGGAGGAGTAATACTTTCTTGCTTTCACTCGTCTAATGCCTTATTTCAGCAATTGTCCGTATTACCAAGGATGCGGGTAATTATAAAATGCAGGCAAAATACCCCGAAAGAGCTTTATCTATCGCTTAAAAAGAGGAACACAAGGCGTCTCGCCTAACAAATCAGCCTAGACGCCTCTCACGCCTAAGATCACACACACGCGTACATCTTATGGACCCGCGGACGAGGATCCGGGGAATTAGTTGGTCATTACAACAATTACGTCTGATGATGATGCTTGGAAGTCACAAAGAAGAGGAATGGGTTGATAGAATAGAGTGAATGACAAGCATTGCAAGCAAATAAAGAACATTAGAGGCTATGCATCTTCTCATTGTGGGGAGGATAAGATGCAGGTACAAGTGTTAATCAGCAGTGTGGCTTAAGATTGACAGAGTTCCTCAACCTTTTCTCCATCTATTCTCCGATGCAAACTATACCCTGAACTTCCCACGACCTAGATCAAACAATCTGTTGAACTTTTGCAGACCTTTGTCTTTTCCATGGTGACTGTCTCGTATGCACTTGGGTTAGGGCATCTTTAGCGTAAGTACGCGCACACAGAGAGAATGAAATCAAACCCTCAACCCAATCAGTTCCTGAACACAACCTCAACGGTTCAACAGGTATTGCAATCTGATTGGAAGTAATGCGAATAATGTGTATGATTATTGCTCAGAAAAGCATATTGATACAAACATCAAAGCAAGCACGTGCGATCCATTCCAGCTTTCCAGAAAAAAAATGCTACGATTGAGCACTTTTAATCCATTGTTCATGTCTTTCTTCTAAATTGCGTACGATATCCTCTTCGATTTCTTTTTCTCCGGCTTTTCCCAAAACGCTATTATCTTGTTGTGGATCAAGTCGAATCCAACTCTCTTTGAAATTTCCATCACTTATCCTTTCAACAAATACTACCTCATACTTTCTTCTATTCAATTCATTCCCCACCACAACTTGATGTCCATACCTTTCCAATGCATTCCTTGCTTTTGGTATTAGAAGATCTTCGTCCGTCTCGAGCTGGATTAGGAAGGAGTGAAATGAGTATCCTATTCATTTCCATCCGCGACTAGATACTCACCTTGAAGCTGACGATGAATCCTTCAGGTGCCCACTTCTGTACCATTGGCTTCAAGACTTTTGGCACTTGGTCCATTTCGATCATTAATGATCCTTTGCCTGATTGGATCTTATGCTCGGGCTGTGAAGAGTATTGCAGATATCAGCACAATTTCCGCATACGACACCCCACACCAAATCCACTCACCGTCTTTTGACTTGGTACATAAAAATCGCTCACAGCTGCTGCTAGGTAATACATCCCTCTTTTCCCTAGCGGTTGCATGACCTGACTCAATTCCCGTAACATGAATAAATAATCGGTCACTGTGACAAACGTTAATCGGAGTAGCGTTCCTGCTTTTCGTGCTGAATGATAATTATGCAGAACCGGTTTCAAAGCGGAGGAATGCTGAGGTAGAACAGTGATTGGGGAAGACCCATCTTTGCTGTCTTCTTCCGCCGGCTCCGATAATAAATCCAAAAATGGATTGGTGGTATGGCTGTAATGTCGAGTATAGGGTGAAAGGCTGTGTTGGCGGTGCATAAAGATTACAGCATACCCTGCTGCTAAGAAGTATTCTGCTGATGTAGCACCTCTAGTACCTGCTGAAAAGTTGTCCAAGAATCGAACACTGAGGAAGACACAGATTCGGATAAGCTCGTTTTTCCAATAGCAACCGCATTTATTGGTCCACTCACACATTCTGTTCCAGAGGTACTGTTGTTCCACCACTCTGATAGATGAGAGAATAGCTAAAATGTGAGCATCCTGGTTTCCTTGCCTATCTCACCCCTACTCACTGTGACCAAGACCACTTTTCTTCCTTCGGAGCTATGTCTTTCTACGAACTGTTGTGCTTGTCTTCTCTTCTTTTCCAGTCCAGTTGGGGCTTCTTGTGTATCAAAGAAAGCATCAGCTGAGAATGTTAATTTTGGTGACCCTAGAGGAGGTCTTGATTGATTTGAAGTCATCTTCTTTTGGCCTGATGATGATGAATGTATGCTATCGATATTTGAATTTCCGAAGAAACACTTGAACAATAAAGATACTTCCGCTTCTTTTTATTTTATTTTTTCGGGCATTGTTTCAGTATCCTTTTGCTTGGTTCGTGCACCTTTTTCTTCGCATGGATTACTGTTTGTCGGTTTAAACGGTGGAAGAATGTGTGTGCAGTGCAATGACCTTACGCGTAGGAAAGCAAGCAAAGCAAAGCAAGCAGGCACACACACGCGCCTACCTGCCTTTCTTTTACTTTTTGCCTCGTCCAATGCGACGCCATCATATAAAAACGATATATACAGAGTACATGTAGTGCTTTAGGGTATGTGCATGCAAATAAAAAAGCAAAGTCAAATGCAGATCATCCTCTTTTTTGCTAAACTTCAACAATAATAACATGACGGGAAGGGCCGATCAGGGAAAATACAGAATCAACATCGCGTATTGGTGAATGGACAAGATTCTTCCTTCATCACTGTCAATCGATTACCCGCTAGAATATTGTACATTGCTTTCCTCCATCAATTCTGGCGTGTGCATACATCGGTCACCTCTCATCAATTCAAATAACGTCTCTTAATATCATTGACCGCCTTAACATCATCTTTCCCGGTCACTGCCCCCACATCAACCTTCCGCACGACACATCCCGATCACAATGGGAAAGCTAAGCAGAGCACAAAAAGAGGCAAAAGAGGCCAGACGAGCAGCCGCGGCAGCAGGGGGAGAAACACAAACATCTCCCGAAACACAAGTGCAACCTCTAGCAAGTGCATTGTCCACTAATCAACCAACAAAAGCCTCAACATCATCTGCAAAACCAGCTACTAAAATCGCTCCTGCTTCCGCCGACATGAACGATCGTGGAAGATCATCCGAGGCTAGGAGCTCTTCTGCCGTTTCTGAACGAGGTGGATCAAAATCGAGAAAAGCGAGGAATGAATCGGCAATCGCTTCTACTAGTATGATGATGGCTGGTTCTTCACCCGGATTCGCAGCGAGTGATGTCTCAACATCAGACGAAGACGAAGATGGAGATATGAGCACATCAAAGATGAACATTTCACTAGCAGACGAACATGCAGATGCGGATGAAGAGGATGAATTGGGAGAACCTGCATCATTAGGAGGCGATAGTCCTGAAGTGAAATGTATGTGGGAAGATTGCGGAGAGGTTTTTAATAGTTTGGTCGATTTTATCAATCATTTACACGATGAACATGTTGGAATGCATAGAGCAAGATATGCATGTGAATGGTCAGGTTGTCCACGCAAAGGAAAAGCACAAACCAGTCGATTTGCTCTTTTAAGTCATTTACGAAGTCATACGGGAGAAAAGCCATTTACATGTCCGAGACCAGGTGAGTTTTTCTTTGATGGTGAACAAATAAAATGACCCGATTGAATGGGTCATGTATTGGTGCATGGCCCGTATTGATTGATTGATTGTAGAATCGACACGCGGAAATGCCGTTTGATCGGATTGTACGGTACCGTCGGCGTCAATTTGGTAAAGCACATCATACATTTCCTGCAATTTGCGGACCTTCTTCCCTCTACCAGCGAAGCACAAAAGAATCGATCTGGCCAGCAGCAGATTGAAGAGCTTGACAGCGCCACACTGAAAACGCATTTACTTGCACACATGATGCTGACTCTTTCCTCTTTTCCTACTCTCACATTCTCCCATCTTTACACCATCTCATCATGTTCCCGTTTCCATTGCAACAATTCGAATATGCAGAATGTGACAAATCGTTCACACGATCAGATGCATTGGCAAAACATATGCGCGTTCAACACAATATCAATCCGGTCACTTCTCGTGGAAAGACATCAAACTCAGCAACTGCCACTGCGCAATTAGGCATGTATGGCAGACAACACGGAAAGAATCGAGAAGGTGGTGCTGCAGAAGAAGGAGATTGGTTGGATGATGGCGCTGGAAGAGGAAAGAGTGCAGATGTTTTGGGAGAGGAACTGTTGGAACTTGCAGAAGGCGAAACGAATGGATCGTTGGCAGAAGTGGAACAATCTTTGTTGTTGCACGGATCAAAGAGTCCTTTCTTCACGTATGACAATTTGTTTGGAACAGGATCTCGAGCATTGGCAAGTATGAATGGAGCCAGTAGTGCAGCATTCCATGGAAATGAAAACTTTGCAGATGAAGAACTTGGAATTGTTCGAGATCAGGAATACAGTATGGGTCTTTCGGCTACTGATGACGTTCGTGATGAAGAAGCCATCACAAGATCGGAAGAAATGATGGCAAAAGTGTTGGAACAAGGAAGACGGGAATGGATTAGACGTGAAAGAGAACGTGCAGAATTACGACCTGATCCTGAACCTATGATGTCTAAACGTGATCAAATTGATTATCTATCGGATGATGAATTTGAAGATTCAAGGTCGTTCAAACGTGCAAGACGATCATCTACACGCGAAGCACAAAAGAAAGCACAAAGTATCAGCGATGTTGCCAATCTGAAGAGGCTATACATCGTTGAAAAAGCCAAACTTCGATTTATTCAAGAAGAGAATAAACGAATGCGTGCTGGTTTGGATGATTTACGTGAAGTCGAAAAGAAGGAATTCAACAAAAAGAGGGATTTGTTAGAGAGAACGTTGGCAGCTGAGTTGGGACAAGATATTGCTGCGATTTTCAGTCCACCTGGATCTCCAAATAGTCATGCTAGAAGGTAGTAAAATGGTAATAGCATGGATCTAACAATGTAATCTGTAATTTTACAATGAACTGTATATCTCGGGAAATGAAATGTACCACACACAACCCCGACCCAACGCTCCCTAGAAATGAGAATGACGCTAAATTCCTCCACAAACCCTGGTGGTGCAAACGCCACATGTTGATCGAAGATTGTGGGTGAATAACACTGTTTCTACTACCATCTTCTCCGTAACAGCAAGTTGCCCACCATTCTGAGAAGTAGATCTGGCTTGATAGCCAAGACAATTCGCAGCATAATGACATCCAGAACGACAAACGGGGAAGGATCCCTTTCAAAACGATCAATTTTGAATTTACCTTTAGCACCAAAAGGAACACGATTTACCGAAAGATTATTACCTGATCCACTTACCCCAACTCCAAGTGCTTTGGTAGCCGTTGAAGAATCAGCACCTTCTCTATTAAGAAGATCACGACAAGTTGGAGAAGGAGCGCATTTTTCTTATACGACTCCATTAGCGCTGGAATTTCCTTATTCGTTAGAAGGAAATGGGGAAGAAGTGAAAAATGAGGATGCTGAGGAAGATCCAGAGCAGGAAACAAAACGAGTAGAAGCGATGTCACCGGAAGAAAGAGAAACGTTTGCGATGGAACGCGCGAAAAAACAAATGGAAAAAGTGGAAAGATTGATGAGACCGTATGAAGTCACGCCAGAGATGGTTGCTGACTCGGCATCTGAAAAAGATTTGGATCGTTTGCAAGGATATCTACCTAAAGGTCGCAAATCACAAAGTTACCCATCTGCAAGGATATTGGGTTACTCCAAAGAATGCTTGCAAGATTGTGTTCCGGATCTGGACGTAGGTGATTTGGACGTCTGGCTAAAAGAACATGCAAAGAAGGATGGTCCTGATGTATACACTTCAGGACCAATGGCCAAGACTCCAGCCAAAGATGATAAGGCTGCTTTGGCACGATATGAATTGAGTGATTTCCTTTCAGGTCGCTTACTTGGACTGCAATTACCCGATGTAAAGGATGCCGATATCGAACAAGGAGCCGAAAGAGGTGTTGCAGAAGCACAACATAAAAGAGTTGTCAGAAATCGCGAAGGTGCATCAGAAAGCTCAGAAGAGAGATGGAAACGTGCTTCGGACACATTAGCTAAGAGACAAAAAGGCGAGCCGAAAGAGTACTCAGGATACGCTCCTTGGAGTAATGCCTATTCTGGTCATCAATTCGGTCAATGGGCAGGTCAATTAGGTGATGGAAGAGCGATCACGCTTATGGAAACGTACAACAGTAAAACTAATCAAAGATATGAGATTCAATTGAAAGGTGCGGGTAGAACACCTTATTCTCGATTCGCAGATGGCCTTGCTGTACTGTTTAGCAGCGTTCGTGAGTTTCTTGCAAGTGAAGCAATGCATGGATTGGGCATACCAACTTCAAGAGCATTATGTTTGACTTCATTACGTGATATCTCTGTTCGACGTGAACAAAGGAATCCCGCCGCAATCGTTGCTCGTATAGCACCTATTTGGGTTCGTGTCGGTTCTTTTGAACATCATGCTACCCGTGGTGAATGGGAAAGTGTGAGGTTGTTGGGAGAATTTACGTGTGAAGTTGGATATGGTTGGAAAGACGTAACAGGAACGGCAGCGAAACCATGGGCAGAAAGATTGATAAAAGAATGCGTTATTCGAAATGCAAAAACGATTGCGTTGTGGCAAGTATATGGATTCATGCATGGAGTGATGAATACTGATAATATCTCTGTTCTGGGGCTAACGATCGATTACGGACCTTATGGATTCATGGATATCTTTGATCGACATACAATTTGCAACAAGAGTGATAGTGAAGGAAGATATGCTTATCATATGCAACCCACAGCAGCCATGTTTGTTATGGAACAATTGACTTCTTCTTTGGCTGCAATTGTAGGATTTGAACGCAAACATGGACGACCACCACGTGCAGGTGAACTTGTTGCATTGTCAAGTAGTGAAATTAACGAATTGGGCAAAGAAACAAACGAACAGATATGGACAGAAATGAAGTCATTGTTCATGGATACTGTGATCGAACACTGGCAAGACGGTTGGCGAAAGCGTTTGGCATTGCAAGAAAAACGCGATGATGATAGATACACTCTGATCGAGCCTTTGACGGATGTTATGGATGGATATTTGGATATGACACATACGATGCGTAAATTGTCTCGATTGCCAGACTTTGTTCAAACTTTGGATGAGAACGATTCGGAGGGTATAGACAAGTTTGTGGAGTCTTTGGCCAATTGGGAGAATGATTTGCCTTCCTATGTCCGGGATGATCGCAAGAAAGCAGCCGTCAAATGGGTCAAGACTTACGTCCAACGTCTACGTGAAGAACGTGTATCTGAAAAGAACACAGTCGAACAAGCAGCTCAACAAATCAAGAAAGATTTGCAAGCCGCCAATCCAAGTTTCATTTTGCGCAATTGGGTAGCCGATGAAGTGATTGAGCGTTTGCAGAATGGTGATGATACAGAATTCTTAGAAAAGGTTTTGGGGATGTGCTTACATCCTTTCCAACCATGGGGAGAAGAAAAGGCTGAGGGACAAGCAGAAGATGAACGTCTTTGTTCTCTTGGTACACTCTTGACGACAAATATGCCATCTTGTTCATCATGAAAAAAAATCTATATATTGGTATAGCAAATGTCAATTATAGTACAATGCATTGTGTGTTTTATTTACTTTTTTTGTGCGTTTGCGGTGACAGGTTGACCACGAGGTGCAGTGAACCATAAGATAGCTTGAACCATCTTGAAACTAGCAGCGATTGTCATTCCACCTCGTAACCCGGCACGAGAATATAAGAAACATTCTGCAATTCCAGCACCCGTACAAAGCATAAAGATACCAAACATTCTTCTATCTCTTCCTAACGTTTTTGGTTTGACAGGTTTTGGTTTTTCATCTTCTTCTCTTTGACCTTCGATCGATCCGGATCTTTGACGATTCTTTCGTTCTTTCCAAGATGCACGAGCTTTTTCGACAGGCGCTAGAGAAAGATGAAACAAGAATGGATCCGAAGCGATTTGTGTCAAAGTTGCAGTGAATGCCACAGTTGTAGCAAAAGCAGGAGAAGATAACTTTTGTGCAGAAACGGATTGCATTCCCATTGAAAGGGAAGTCATAACAATTATTGGCGGCCAATAATGAATTGTAGGTAGCATATCTTCTGGTTTGCATAATAACATAATTGCAGCTCCGAATAATAAACAACTTTGAATGAAAGCCGAAAATGCAACCCAACCACGTTTTGAATGACCGAAACGATCTCCTAGCTTTCCACCTAAAAAGCTACCACAAATAAAAGAAGAAACACTAAGTGAACGTTCTAACGTTAAAAGCGGAAACTTTTCTGCGTTTGGTAAAATGAATTGAGCGATATTTTGTGAAAATTGAACCATATTTCCGGTTTGAAAACCAGTCCAAATTTGACTTCTACTATAAATCAAAGCGTCAACCAAACCTGTCAATAATGCTTGCCATGCCAAAGGGATTGTAGAATCTTCATGTGAGATTGAATCGGTTGCACGTTGTCGAATTGATTGAAATAATCCAACCTTTTCTGATGTTGTGCTTTCGGCTTGATCATTGGACTTTGTATCATCGTGAACATTAAATGTTGAAGGCGTGGTAGCCTCTGCATTTTGAACGGGTCCGTCCATAGCAGATGCTGCCATCCTGAATGAGATAGGGTGATGATGTATGGAAGCAAGATGTGTGAGTGAGTTGTGTCCTAGTCACAAATGTTAAACAAAGCATAAGCAAGATAGGGATTTTATTGATTTGGCGTGGGGGAAACGCCAAGCAAGGAAACTTCAATTAAACGCGTAAACAAAATCGGCGTTTTATCTGCCCAGGCAAGCAAGCACACACATCGTATCGCGGAAAGCCGCTTAGAGCCGAGATTCACCCCAACATGATAAGAGAGAAATTGCGTGCTAGTCTCAATTCAAGGAACGCGGCGGGAAGTTTAACTGAATGTCATCATAGATGGCAGTGGTCAATGGTCAAGAAAGAAAAGGTCAAAAGAGGCAAAGAAAGTCTTGCTAGCAACAAAGAAGAGAAACAAGTGAGCCTTGATCGCAACCTCGATCATCTAGCTAGATCCGCCGATAATATACTTCCTCCACCGCATTGGCCAGAAGGAGTAGTGTATCTAGGATGGCATAGTCAACCTTCAACAAAACTACCCAGTATACAGCATTTGACGTTCTGTGTCGCTCCCAGACTCGCATATGAAGCCCATCCATCTCAAATACGAGCAAGACAATGGACAGAAGTACGTACGATTACAGCTTCTACCGCATTTATTCCAGCTTTTGGATCTAGCCTAACAACACATCCTGCTGTAGGTCAATGTGGGTTGTTTGCTCGAAAGACGATCCCTCCTAGAACCTTGGTTGTGCCTTCCTATGGCTTGGTGCACTTAGCAGGCGATGAAGAAGGTGATGAAGATGCTGAAAGTCGATATGATGCAGCGATTGAAGCAGATGATGGGACAAAGTTAGGCATAGATGCTACTCGTATGGGCACAGAAGCACGATGTGAGTAATGTATTGAGAAGTGTATCTTGTCTGCTCTGACTGATTATATTCTCTTCATTAAGTCGTCAATGATTATCGAGGGATCTTACAACGGCCAAATCTATTCTTTCAAGAATGGTCAGCTCCATTTCCCAAAGATGTCCTTTGCGCCAAACCAACACTCAAGCCACCAAGTCAAATCCGTGGATTGGCAATGTATTCGGGAGCACATCCGATCAGTGCAGGTACAGAATTATGTGTAAGTTATGGTAAAGGATGGTGGGCAGCTCGAGAAAGAGATTAGATAAGATGTAAATACCCACCGGCTACTTTTTAACAAATGTCCAAACCCGCGGTCTTTTTTTCATGTCACACGAACGTGGTTAGCGTAGTGTATACAAATACATTACATTACACACACGAGCACTGTAGCAGCATCTGCTCTTCTTGGGATCATCTTTAGCGTCTTGGTATTGAATGCATCTTTTGATCTTGGCTTACTTGGTTTTCGGTTCCTTTTCTTTTGTTGTTTCTCGGCACTGCACATCCGTATTTCAAGCGGAGAAGGATGTTCGATCCTTTTACCTCTGAGGGTCAGCTCGTGCGAGTGAACTACAATGCTATGAATATAGACCCTTTAAGTCAATCTGACAGACTTGAACAACTTCCCTTGAAAATCTCTTCCTCAACACCATCATCACTATTCTTTGGTAAATCGAAAAGCTCACCGATTCTTCATGAGGAGATCAAAGTGTATGCACAACATGACTGGCACGTCTATTTCATCAAAGCCTATAACCAAGCCTGGATAGCATTCATTCATCAACATGGCTTGAAAACCCTATGCAAACGCATTTTTTGCTCGGATGGCTCAATGATCTCAGAATGCCACGTGATTGGAGAAAGCTGTTCATATGATCTGATCAAAACGTGCTCGACTAACTTAGGAGAATCACGGATTGAAAGAAGGCAAATTGGTGTTTCCAGGATGGAGGATGGAACGTTTCATTTTGACAGGCTTCGATCGGTATTTGAATGGAAGTCTTGTGCTGCAATGCTGCATATTACGATAAGATAGGAAATCTAGACTTCCCTCTTTTGTGTGGCAGCCTTGCAGCAGCGAGCAGCTTATGTTATCCAAATTTAAATTACCGACAGACAGGCAAACGTGCGCCGAGACGCTTATACGGTTTTGAACACGTTGACAAGCAAGAAAGTTGTTAACGCGCCGCGCTAATTCTATAATGCAGTAAAGTTAAACTTATGATTGCCGTGCATACAATTCTGACTGCTAACTGTCAAAAAATCAAATTTGCAATTGAGATGCCGTAAAAAGGCACAAAGACATGACAGACAGCATAACTCAAAATCAAATTCGCTCAAACAAAACTCTCTTTTTTCGAATTGCCTTACATGTAGAACGAACGTTTGCCGCCGAGAAGCAAGAGACCAATCTCAGCACAAAGCACATCATATAAGCGACACTCCCAATCTTTTACGCAAGCCCACGTACGAGCGGAGTGATGAGGAGGAGAACACAATGAAATGTCTATTTTGCCTTATCGTTTCGGGCGCACGTTTCAAGCGTATCGCTACGATGGTGACTGCAAGTAAAGGCGTATGAATGAAAAAGGGCAAATACGCTTGCTTGCCTTCTAAAAATACAATCGGGCAATCTTGACAGGATGGAAAATGTCCACGAGGTTCTGCGGCTTTTGTGGGTCCACATGCATAAAGGACAATGGCAAGTGATATTGTTCAATCATATGGTTTGAATGCCTTTTGCATATGAAAATGAAATTTCACAGCCTGTGCATGAATTTCAATTAGGCACAAAAGCGTATTTTTAGCTACACGCAATCACACAACAAGCTTCAGCCCTGCGCAGCGCACGCTTGCACAACAATGAGGGCACGTCTGCTTTTTCAAGCTAAACAGACAAGGCACTTTTCTTTTCGTCAATCTTGCATACCACATGGAAGCATGCCGTTTTGCCTGCCTTGCCGTTTTGCCCAAGTCTGTTTTTTTTTCTCCTCATGCTCGCCCCTCCTTTTTCCTTCCGACAGTGAGTGGAAATAGTCATCGGAGACCGATGGCGTCTAGTCTTTACGGAGTTACAAATTGGCAAAAAAGACGTATGACATTAAAAAAGGAAGGAAGTGACTGTGCTCTGATGCTTTCAAATCAAAATAACAGTCATTCTTTTGTTGTTGTTTTTTTCTGTCGAAATATTCTTTCTTTTTAATCAATGCAAAATCAGAACGGGAAAGCAAATTAGCGTAATGGCAAAGTGCAATGCTGATCAAAAGAGCATCAACGTAAAAAATGTCTATGCATGGGTGAGCGGGGAACTTGGTTTGTTGGCAGCAGGACGAGAGGGAGAGAAGGTTCGCATGAAATCATTCACGGGATGTACATGCTTTTCCCTTTTTAATTGATTTGTGCATCTTTGGGGTAAATCGTTTCGGTAATTAATCTTTTCTTATCACGGCATTCATCACTCTCACTCACCATCATCCACGCGATCATTGATCAAATCCCTCACACGACTGTTTGTCTTCCAAGACTCAAGTGAAGTACAATTTCCAGTCACGAATCCACGGTGTAGATTTATCGGAAGATGGTGGCATCCTATCAGGACCGCTCTCGGTCCTCAATGATGAAGAGAATCATGTTCAACAACGTAGCATCCGATACAGTGGCTTTCCTTTTGCAAAGATTGCCTTTTGTTGCTCATGTTGGAATGCTGGTTTTGAGCGCAATCGGTCCATTCTTTGCTCCTCATATGTTGGCATTCTGTGTCGTTTTCACACATATCGTCTTCTTTGTTTGTCAATCAAGAACTGCTTATGGTATTTATCGTGCTTGGGTTGGCGTTCGTGCTCATTCTCAACGTGATTGGGTTGAATATTTTGAACACGAAAGAGCATCTCTAGAAGCATGTGATCGTGCTCAGCACATTCTACCACTGGAAGACGTTCAACATGTGATCATCTTACCCGCATACAAGGAAGAAATGGCAACTTTACGCGAAACGCTGGACGTTTTGGCTTCTCATCCTTTGGCTAAAACAATGTATCACGTTTGTTTGGGAATGGAAGAACGTGAAGATGGAGCAGCAATCAAAGCACAAATGTTGAGCGATGCTTATCGTGCAAAAGGAAGATTTGCCGATATCACATATTCCATTCATCCCGGTAACATTGTAGGTGAATCAGCCGGAAAATCATCAAATGTCAACTGGGCCGCTCGTCATATGGCACATCGTCGTGGTATTTCCTCTTTACGCGGTATTTACACAGTCATGGATGCAGATACAGCATTTGCTTCTGATTTCTTTTTGGCATCTGCCGTTCATTTCAGTTTGGCAACTCCTGCCATCCGTAGAAGGATGATGTTCGTTCCACCAACTTTGTTCGATCGTAATGGCCGTGAAGTTCCGGTTTTCACTCGTGTTACCGACATTTTCTGGTCTTGTGCAGGTATTGGAGGTATTTATCCTTCCAGCTCAGTCAAAATCCCAACAAGTGCATACGGAACAAGTATGGAATTGGCAAGATTTTGTGATTTCTGGGACGCAGGACCAGAAGCAATTGGTGAAGATTTGCATTACTACTGTAAAGCAATGTTTGAAACAAAAGGAAATGTTCACGCTGTTACAATCTATTCTCCTGCTTCTCAAATGAACGTTGTCGGCAAAGGCGGCTCTAATTCAGTTACTAACTACGTAAACGATATGAACGCTCGTTGGACACAAGCCGTTCGTCATATGTGGGGAAGCTTGGATTTCGGTTATTGCTGGCATAGAATCATTATGGGTCGTTTTGGACGCTCTGCACCGCGTGATGGCTATATGGCCGTTCAAACTACCACAGAAGAAGATGACGATGATCGCACATATATTGATTCAGAAAGTCTAAGTGTGACAGATGCTGCAACTTCAAGTCGTACACCTTCTCCCAGCGTTACAGCAACAACGGACGCAACTGATGATACCGATATCACCCATATCAATTTGCACACACCAAATCGCAAGATCACTCAATTTGACAGCATGCAATATGCTCAATCAAAACATTTGCCTACTCTTAACGTCAAAGGCATTGATGATACCACAAGAGCACATGCAACTCTTTTGAGCAGTACAGATGGCGAAGAGATCGAATCACAAGTACAAGATGCATACGATGAACAAAGTGATGCTGAAAAGTTGCGAATTTTCCCATTGATTGTGCTAATGACACGTCTTTATGAAGCTCATTTGATGATCGCACAAGTTACATTGTACGGATTTTTCCTAGCCATCTATCCAAGCGTGATTTACAGAAATGGTCATATTGCAATGACTGATCCTTTCAGTCGCAAATGCACTTTCTCCGATTGCATGTTGTCAATCTTTGAATCACCATTTGCTGCTGGAGTTGATTTGCCAGCCGATACGCCTCCTGGACTACAACCAAGCTGGATGATGCCAACGATCTTAATGTGCGCAACAAAAGCAGCACATTTGTTCGGTGGAATGGGTATTGCTGCCACTGTTTTGATGTGCATCTTCCATGATTGTTATCATGCAGCCGCAACACGAAGATGGGCATCTTCTGATCAATTATATCGTGAATGGTCATTCTCTCAAAGAAATCATTACGATCAACGTCTTTCACCTTATGGTTCACCTCCAAATCGTACAAAAGTTCCTTCTCGTTATTTGGGCACAAGACCTTATCAAAATTTTGCACGTGCTTGGCCTGCTGCTTTGTTGGACTTCTGTGCCGTTCCTGCTGCAATCATGTATGGACTTGCACCTCTCCTTTGGGCACAAATGAATCATGTCTTTACCAACAAACTGACATATACCGTAAGTGCAAAGAGTAAATCCATCGTAATCGTTCCAACGATTCATGGTTCAAGAGCAAGTTTAGATCGTATCAGAGGTCAGTCTGTCGAATTGTCAAGGTTAATGACGGATGAAAAGTCAGTTCGGAATTAACAATAGGTGGATTCCATTTTTCTTTTTCATACAAAACAAGAGATGAGCTATAGCTTGAGCATAATAGATTTTGTTCATGTTCACCTTTAAGCACTCCTTCACACTACTACTTTCTCCCTCTGAACGTTCTGTATCTGATCTTTTAACGAAATGCATGTGTTTTATCAATGAAAATGTCCTACATTAAGAAAGAAGTGCCAAAGTGACCGAAAGTAAACCTACAAAGATCATAAAGAATGCAACGGAAGTAGGAGGTGAATGTCTTGGTGTTGGATTGGCAGCATTTGTGCCACGAGTGCCCAGAACAGCATCTACGCCCTTGAAATTCTGACATAAGATCGCTTGTGGTCTTCCATTATCACCACGTGTGGTGAATGCCGTTCCAATCAAAATTTCATCATCCGCACATGTTGCCGCTGTTGCATTCAAGCCGAACCACTGACCACGATCATCGGCTACGTCTGTTTGCTTCCCGAAATATATTGTCCTTAGTCCAATCTTTGACGTGCTAGCATTCATTCCGTTAACGATTGCGGAAGGATCTTTGGAGTTCTGTGCACAAATGATTGATTCCATCTTTCCTTCTTCTGAGAAAGAATATCCGATCATATGTTTCCCAGTTGAGCATTGAAATTTGGTCAATTTTGGTGCCCAATCAGGTGAACGTGAAGATGGTTTTTCTGTTGTTATAACTGTATATCCCCCATCTTTTGCATCCCACAGGTTTCTTCCGATTTTCGCATCAGTACATAAACCTGATGGACTTTCTTCGTGACTGAGACCATGAAGTCGTAATCCGTCCGGACATGAAGCACGTACAAGTCCAGGTTGTGATAGTGTTGCATCTTCGTTGTATAGTCGATTACTCTGCTGTACATTTCCTTGTGCGGTGAATAATTGTACATAAGAAGCGGGTAATTGACGAACAATTCCAGAAAACGTCGAGGCATCACTACCATTTACAATCTTTGAAAAGTCGTCCAACCGCCAATCACCCGGATCTAAGATTGACAACCTTTGTGCGTTTGCGTCAAACATATTCATCGCCCAACCATCTCCATGTCCATCTTCCATCCAACCAAGCAAAGGCCAAATGGCAAAATCAGCATCATATTTTTCCAATAAATTTGTAAATTTTTTCCACCACCATCGATCTTTGTTCAGGTAATCCGTTCTTCCTGCACTACCGAATTCGGAAATCCAAACAGGAGCAGAATAATGCTTTTGCGTTTCGTTTGAGACATAGAAAGCTAAAGTGCGCATGGTGGAATCCAAGACACTGGCTGATAGATCTCTGTAGAGTGGATCATCCGTTCCCAGATCAGGTCCTCCTCCTGTAGCGTTTGGACCGGTGTAGGAGTAAAAGTGCGAAGAGTACACAAGCTTGTCCAAGACGGGCAAAGAGTGTGATAGCTGTCCTACAGGCTGTAATTCTGGTCTGTAATGTTGTGTGTACTTTGTTGGAATTCCAACAAAATTGATTCCTTCAACGATGATTAACATTTGCGAATTTGCTTCCCGTAAAATTCTCGTTCCTGCCGTTTGAGATGCATTCCACCAATCTGTAAATGTTCCTGAACCCCAAGTTGGATCAGCCAAGAAATCACGACGAACTTCATTGTACAACTCTGCTCCAACAACTCTACTGTTGTTTTGATAACGTTTTGCCATGAATACCCAATCATCTTGCCATTGAATATCAGTTTGAGCGCCATTCCAACGTGCATTCACATCAACGCCACAACACCAAATACTTTTCACTGTATGATTGTTCAAGATTACTGCCAATCCTCTTTTTGTGAGAGCTTTAATGCATGCATCAAAGATTTCCAAAGGTGTCATTCCTCTGAATTGTGGATTTGCACGTAAAGCATCATCAGGTGGCGGTGTAGTTGAATGAATCATTTCGTTTGAAAACGGTAAGCGAATCGTAGTGATTCCCAAATCAATAAAAGATTGTACAATTTCATCAATCGGAACACGATCTAAACAAAGTGGTGTTTGAAATGCCACTTCACCGGCATGATGATTATCAGGATCATTTATATCTCCCTTGCCTAAATATGTTCCTGAAGCACCATGCCAATTTCCACCGATGAGCTTGAATCGCTTACCGTTTGCGTCAACTATATATCGCCCTCTCGTACTTAGCGGAGGCGTCCAGCTGTTGGTCAAATCATCCGCTGTCAATTTGGTCGTAGGGGCATCGCCTACGTTCTTATCAACAGAAGGAGTTGTGAATGGTATTTGTGTGATGTGAACGGGAAGTGAGCCTGAAGATGTTGGTGTTTTCAGGACTTCTTCATTCGCGACAATTGATTCTTGACTTAGTGCTGGCCATTGACGACTATTTGATACCGTTGAGGCGGCTGCCAGAATGAAAAGCCAAGTTGGTAGCCTCATTCTAGACTTGCTTTTTTATGTGATTATGGAGTGATACATCTGGCTATAAAGGTGTAGCTTTGAATAGAATGGATGTGTATGGGAGAAAGTACCAATTTAGTAAACCACCCCCGGAATTGTCATACGATAATTAAAAGTCCGACAGATTGATTCTCTCCACATTAACGATAAGTATTGTTCTTCTTGTACGTACAAACAACAATTCATTCATCAACGGCAGATTGGCTTACAAGATGTATAATAGCCAGGGGTGCAAGATTAAGCATTCAATTTGAAAGAAGGACAAAGCTCTTGCCGAAATTAAGGGGGATCATGTGGTCAACGTATGCATTGTAAAAAGGGTTAAAGCTGTGAAGAGTCAAACGCTGCTCTGCGCACGTTCACATTAGAAGCAAAGCAATTGATGAATTGATTTTGACAAGGCCATTGTTAGCGTGATGCAAATTGGAAGCCACACACACATGCATCGGATTTAATGTGCAAGTTTGGCACGGACCAGAAGAAAACCTAAAATCCGTGCAATACACTTCTGGCTGAACAACTTCACACGACCATTTCGACTATCATCCAAAATCAAAGATGACTTGGTCAGTCGTTGATGACGAAACAGCTCTTAAGCTAAGAGAACAAAAAGGAACACATCTCATCCTCTTCTTTGCTTCAGGCGATCCTCCTTGGTGTCCTGATTGCAGAGATGTTGATCCAACGATCAGAAAAGTGTTTGATAACAATTCCAGTCCAACATTAAACGTTGTCAAAGTTGGTGATAGACCAACATGGAAAGATCCATCAAATAAATGGAGATCAGAACCCTACAGAGTAAGCGAAATTCCAACTTTGATTCAATTGGTTGATGTGAGTACTAGCGGTAAAAGAATTGTATTTACCAAATTCATGCTGATCAAACCTCTCACTTACCTCTCATCCAGGGAAAAGAGAAGAAGCGATTATTGCAAGCTGACCTAGAGTCAGAGGAGAAGTTACGAGAATTGATCCAGTGATGTGCATATTGTGGTATTGGTGCAATGCGATTAAATTTTAAGTACAAATCAAGATCAAGCATCATCCTTCAATGACAAAATAAGCATGAATTACACAAAGAATTTTGAACGCAGAACATTGACTGAAATTTTGTGTAGGAGACAGGATCATCAATCGTTGCCATTGTACACAGACACAGGCAAACCTTTAACTAGCTCCGATTGCCCGGTTGCAATAAACATAGGAAAAAGTTATGCTGTGCTATTTGACCTTACACAACAGTTGAATAAGCCTTTAAAAGGAGTGATATGATGGTTCATTGGCTTTGCTTCTTGTCACAATGCTTGATTTCGCTACAAGTCCTGTGCTGGAGAATACGACAGAATCAAGCGAAATGAAGTATTTCAATGTTCTCGTTTTGTTGGTATTCATGCTTAATGTATATGTTGATGGCTCACCTATGGATAAGCAAAAGAAGGTTAAGCCCGATACGGCCGATTATGTTACTGTTCCGTCTGATCAAATTGCAAATCATAAAAGCAGCGAAAAACTTTTAGCTTCAGCTTCAATGAGAGATGTAACGTTTCACAGTGATGAAAGCGCAAGAATGCATCGTTTTCATCCTGGACAACTTTATCATTCATACAAAATCAAAAGGGCAAATAAAAATTTGAATAGTCATCTTTCAAATTTGAAAGAAATTGATTCTGCACAAGCGATTGGTTCTTTGAAAGTGGCGATTAACCCAAAGAAGAAGAATAGTGTCTATATGGCGGTTCCAGATAAAGCAAATGAAGAGAGCAATCATTCATCATGAAAAAAGTTTGAGGTCTAATCCTCAAGTTTCTATAAGCATCAAACGCTTCTTTTTATGCTTTGCTTTCACCTTTATTGGTTAGAATCAGCCTCCTCAAAAACAAATTTCACTTTCTATGTTTCTCGATTTCCTTTCATGACGTGAACTTAACGCTTTTTTCCTGAGAACACCGCGAGAGTCAAATAAATGATGTCTTTTTCTTGATATTGATACAATATGATTACAGTACAAGTACAAATGAGGGTATTCCCAAGAGAATCACTCTTCAATGACAGATTCAGCATAACTGTCAAATATACCTTTAAACGCTTGTGTTTCTTCCGTTTCAATTTCATCTGAATTTGCACACTTTTTCCAATCTGCTCGATCAGGAAACCCTAAAAAGTTTGCTAATGTCTCTCGTGGAAATTGTAGGTAAAATCGTAATCCCTGCGGTAATAGCATCAACCAAGTTTTGTCATCCAAATCCAATCGAAAATAATCAGCCTGTTTCCTTCTTTGTGAGACATCATCACTGATTTTCAGCAATTGTTGCACTTCGCTTGTATTTTCAATCATCTCATAGCCATACTTTTTGGCTGCTTGTCGAAAGTATGCTTCTAGTGCTCCATTCTTGCATAATTTGCTTGGAATAGGCACTGCTTGACATTGCATATGACCTGCTCGAGATCCAACTGTTCTACAAATTTCCCACGATACCATCGTTGCGTCACAAGAAGAATAAGCCTTCCTCAAAGCTGTTCTCCATGCATTCATTTCATCTGCAATCGGTCTTGCAACAGCTGGATCAGGATGTCCAAGAACGGAAGGGATATGTTCAATCGGTACGATCAGCACATGTCCACCTCCAGGCACTGTCGAACGATCTTTTGTACTGATAGGTAATTGTCCTTTTGGCATGGCAACATAGCATTCCGTTCCGATTGCAACGATTAAATGTTTTGCACATTGCGGGTTGCTTAAACAGAACCAACAATCTTCAGGTCCTACCGGGAAAATTTTGGTTGGCTTATCGGGTAAAGGTCCTTTTGGCTTATTCGGAAGACCAGCGGCGTTACTTGCCCCATTTTGTCTATCAGATCTTTGCTGTTTCTTCGGACGTGCTTTCCCGTTTTCTGCCCATCTATAGTTCTGCCCTGACTGCATATCATCCTCAATTTCTTTCCGTTTGGCCTTGTCGCAAGGTCTAGATGTAGATGTTGAACTTTCACCTAGCGAGAAGGGATTCAAAGTCGTCCCAGCAGGTTCCTTGTTGGGTACCGCTTTGTCTGCATTACTAGCCGGTACCAGATTCAATGCCATGAACCATCTCTCTTTCTTCTCATTAGCAAATCGCGCTAGAGAGATGAATCGAGTTACATTACACAAAGGATGTGAAGGCGATTGATTTCTGAACGGTTCCCTTTCCCAAAATGCTCCAATTTTACGCAATTGCGTTCCTTCTTCAGTTCCATCTAATCCTACAATCCCGAATGCATCTTCACTTTCTGGACTTCCACACGATCCAGGTGCCAACGCGAAATGATACCTCGGCTGACCATACGAGATCAATTTTGCCAAAATTGGCGCACCCCAAACTCTACTGGTGGGATTTGGAAACTTTTCCGGATTGGAAAACATGGTTATATTGCTCGGCCATGCATTCGTAAGAAGGATATCGATCGGTGGCTTTCTTGTTGCTTCACTTTGCTTTTGGAGTATGTCTGTCCGTTTTGCCATTTGTGCTCGAGCTGCAGCTAATGTCGTAGGTTCGCCTTCATCTTGTGCTACATCGGCAAGTACACTCGGCTGTTGAAATGATGGATACGATAAAAGTCGTTCGACGGATGTAGATGAAATGAAAGGGCTCTTCAAACCTTCTTCCACACTTTCCTCCACGCCAATGCTATCCTGCCATCTTTGATGATCGTAGCAACCACCCAAGACGGCAACCCGTAAGCCTTTGCTGTTAGGAACATTGACTATGCCTTCTTTGCCTAGAAAGTATAGTGACTCGTTCAGCTTGATTGCCTGTTCGTCAGATGAAGCGGATGTTGTGTTATTCAAGCAGCCTTTTTCAATGATTGCTGCTTGTATGATTGGATGTATCGGAGATGGCTGGTGAGCAAAGTAAATCGGAATAGGCGATGGAAGAGTACCATTCAGTAGCCCTATTTCCTCTTCTGACAATTCATCTCCTTCAGAGTAAGGTCGAAAAAGATCACCCAGCACTAACAATGCATCAAAAGGTCCGTATTTCGTATTTATAGCTGTAATCTTCCCAATCAATTCTCCTATACGACCGCAAGCGGGTCCAACAGTCAAAACTTTTACCGGTTTACCATCTTGCACCACCATTTCGTTTTGATTGAAAAGATGAGAAGAAAGAAAGAAGATTTGACAAGCAAGCGTGTTCAACTTAAGACGCGTCTCAGCCAAAAGATGAAATATATATAACATACATGCAACATCAATTCTTACCCACCATCATAGTAAAGGCTATTGTGTCTACTCAGGATTTCCAGTGTTTTGATCCGGATGAGTACTCCTATATTCCCATCTTTTACCGCTTGCGCTCTTGCTTACTAAAGCTTTACCACCTGTATGAGCGATTGCGCTTAATTTGATCATATTGTCTTGGTGTAATCGACCTTGATTTTGTATAGATTTCACTTTGAACCGGTCATAAATTCGTGTAGGATTCAAAACAGACTTATGAATTAAACCCCATTCATGTTTGTCCAGAGGTTGTGCGATTTTATGGTATAAATCTTCTTCTTCACGTTGATGACTTCTGGCCTCAGCTGGAGTCAGGGAAAAAAGTCTTGCAGGCTCTTTATTCAATCTTTTCGTCGTCTCTGCCGGAGCTGAACTGATCGTATAAGTAAAGTACAGCTGCGTAAGGAGAACTAGTAGAACTCGAACCATAATGAGAAGAATTGGTCGAGATGAGGGAAATGCAGATAGAAGAAAAAATTTTGCGTTTTTTATATTTTGCAATACGTAAGTCACTTCCTTCAATTATTACTACACAATGATCACATCTTCACCGCAGAGGTTGCATTTCGGTGCTTTGTTCGTAAAAGAGCACCCGAAAACAGATAAGTGTATTACACAAACATGAGTCAGTTCATACACGACTTTGATGATTCATACTCAAAACCTGCAGGTCCACAAAAGTAGCCCTTTCGGGGCAATATTAAACAAGCAAGTATGCATCCAGTGAGATGAATCCATCAGCTCAGTGAGTAACAAAGTTGTTGATATTGTTCACAATATTTTCAAGCTTGAAAAGTCAAAATATAACAGAATTCAGGAAAAAAGAAAAAAAATCTAAATGATGTGAAAGAAGAAAACAACAGAGAGGAAAATAAATCACCCCATATATAAGATTACTCTGCCACGACTAGCTATTTTCAATGAACAGCATGATAGACATCATTTCGGCCAGATTCGGATCGTGTGATTGCCATTTTACCATTAGTTTTAGCTTGAATAACTTGGCCTTCATTATGCTTTGCATAGTGTTGATCTCTTTGAGCATTTATCACAGCTTGTGGATCCTTACCCCATGCCTTATTTTCTGCTGCAACAGCCTCTGTTTTCTTATTTTGAATTGATTTACTATACTTTTTCTTATTCTCCAACGTCATTTCAACGTGTTGAACCACTTTGTCTGCAGGAGGATGCGGTGCAATATTTGGTTCGCTCTGAGTGAAATGTTTACTTCCTGCCGAACTGGATGCTGCCGATTTTGCGGGTACTGCTTTCTTCCTACCGAAATACTTGCCAAGAGGCATTGCGTCAATGAGAGTCATGAGAGTGATCACAATCAGTAAGAAAAAGTAAAAAGCCTTCATGGTAAAGTTGAATTCTAGCCTGCTAGAAGGAAAATGAATAGACGAATCTTGATCGAAGATTTGACGTTTACACGAATGAAGGGCTGTTTGCATCGAGAGATTTTCAAAGATATTTATATCATCAGATGGAAACTTTTCTTTCCCCAAAAGCATCACATTAAAGCCGCATTGAAACTTAAGACATCGCCCCAATTCAGCATAGCGGGCGGGGCAGACTTTCATTAAATGCTTGGTAAGGCGTAAGAACGCAAACCTAAATAGATCCTCCTTGATGATAGAGTTACGTTCATGCAATATCAGACATTTTACTGTTGGGGCAGCTCTTTGTAAGCTGATCGGGCCTTTTGCGTATAGCAATAGCTTTAGCCGCGAGAGCACTTGAACGCCGCAGCCTAGTTATTTTAATAGATAGGTAGAGAGATAATCATTTTAAGTATATCAATTTCAAATCTCAACTCACCAAGCGCCGAGGTTCGCCTTCATGCAGTCACAGCATACATAATTGTACGCATTGTACCTTACTCTGCCACTCGTAGGAACGTCCCGCAGCACGGGGACCACACAAAGCTAACACTGGTCCATTCGGTTAGTTATATCCAGCAATTGCAGGAAGAAGAGAAAGTAATTGCTTGCTAGATGCTAAAATATTAATAAAATGACGAAAAACGGGATCATTCGGAAGCACATTTTTCGAAAGATATGTCATATGTGATGAACGGGTAAATATATAAGAGAATGAATCAAGAAGACTAGATTCATTACGAAAAAGAAAGAAAACATAATGATAATATGAATATGAATGCATGTACGTTCTATCAATCTGCAAGCTAATCATTCTTTGGCTTGAAAACAGGCGTATACGAAAATCTTTTTCCGCTTTCACTCTTGTCTAAAATGACATGACCGCCAGATTGAACGATTTTGCCTAAGTTATTAAAATTGATCCTATGCAAATTACTTTTATTTTCTTGTGCTTTGATTTGATGCTTGTCAATCAAGCGTGTAGGGTCAAATGATAATTTACGATTCATCGCACTTCTTTGCTGCTCAGCAGGTTTTACAAGCTTTTCGTACGATGTGATTTCATCCATTCGACGATCATGTACCTGTTGTGAACTCATATGAATCAGTCGCGGATACTGTTCATTCGCTGGTAATGATTGAGTAATCGAGAATAAAAGGAAGACAGAAAGGGTAAAGTAGAATTGGAACATTGTATGCTTCCTGTGGGTAAGTAGACCCTTGGAAAAGATCAAGTATTGGCCTTTTTATATGTTCATACTTTTCATTTTCCATGCACAATCAGAGGGGCTTTCAATGTGGAAAATCATGCCAGATATTCCTTCACTGCATTTGCATGTTGGTAAGCCTAACTTTCGGGGCATTTGCTAAACAACAAAACATACATTGAAATACAAACTCTATCACACTTCAATACAGTATTGTTGATCAAAAGAGAACATAATATTGAAGGAAAGAAAGACAAAACAAATTCAACGTCACAAGAGTCTAGAAAGTAGCGGGAAAGAAAAAAAAGCAAGAAGAATGTCATCACATTTACGTTCCATCAACTTGCACTCTCAGCCAGTTGGTGTGGGACAACGTTTGTGTAGGATAATCGTTTTCCGCTTTTGCTCTTTCCTAAAGTAGCAGTACCGCCAGTTTCTAAAATCTTCCTTAAATTAGTATAATTATCTTTGTGCAACTTGTTCTTCTTTTCCTGTTTCATGATATGGTATTTATCAATGATACGTGTAGGGTTAAAACTTGATTTTTGGTGCATTTTTGCTCTTCGTTCTGCGACAGGAAGCATAATTCTGCCAGATGCTGTAATTTCATCAAGTCGACGATCTTTTACCTCTTCCGCACTCAAGATAATCTTTCGCGGAAATGTTTGATTATCTTTCGTCTCTTCTCCTGCAGGTTTCGAATGAGTAGAGGAGATAAGGATGAATGCAAGTAGGAAAAGGAAGAGTCGAAACATTGTGTGCTTCCCGTTACACATTTGAACTGATGCTACCAGATGTAATCTGAAAGTAGAGATGTGCTCGTACAAATGAGGAAATTCGACGTTTTATAATTTGCAATTCTTTTTCTTTACACAAAAGAAGGGGCTTGAGCAAATGGATGAAAAATGTTCCTCACTGCTTTCTCATTTCCGAAAGGCTAGCTTTCGGGGCAGATGTTGAACAAGAAAGTATGCTTGTTTCGCGGCTGAGCTCAACATAGTATATCAAAAGAACACAGTATTAACAAAGAATATCAAAATTCCAAAAAAAATGAGGATATACACTATGAGTAAGTGAAAGGCGTAATGCCCGTATGTACGGTCTTTCAACTTGCATTCTTAGCCGGTTGATGTGGCCTTACATTTGTGTACGTCAATCGTTTAAAGCAGCACAATACACATCTGTAAGGGTGCTACTGTCGCCGGGAGCTGGAGCATCAGTTGCCTCTGCTCAAGGACTTGAATCTCTTGACTTAGAGAATGGACTAGCATTGCTATACTCGTATCTTTTTCCACTTGCACTTCTTCCTAAATCAATTGTACCCCCATTATGACGAAGCGTGTACAGTTGATCTATATTATTTTCATGTATTTCCAACTTTGGTTTAAGTTTAGCCTTCATCTTCTTGTTATGTGAACGTGTTGGATTGACCTTTGATTTTACGTATACACCATTAGCATGCTTGTTGTACTGACTTTGTACTGGTGAACCGGACGCAATCTCGTTGAAAGCGTGTTGATGAGCTTGTGCAGGTGAAAGCGTGATCTGTCTTGGAGTCTCTTTTTTAACATTCTTGGTTTGAAGGAATCCACCGTGAACAGCATAAATCAAAAAGAAGAATAGGTGAAAGAGTTTCAAGATCATTGTTGTAGCTCTCGGTAGGATCAGATATAGGCTAGATTCAATTGACCCGGAAGGTGGTGAGTGAGAGGATAGTTATGAGAATGTATATACAGTGTTTTATAGCTTTGCCGTAAGATACTTTTACATTTTTTTTTGTTTCACTGCCCCTTTGCGTATTGTTTGTGTACGCAGACATGTAATTCATATCACCATACAAAGCGGTGTTCATGAAAGCAGGGGTTTAGCACTGGTTATCTTTAATTTTGCAGTGAACTGAATAAGACTTGCGTACTTCCAGGATCAATTAATACGTAAAATCATTTTGTGCTACATAGTACGCACAATTCGAAACTCGGCACTCAACAGCTGACTTATTGATTGCCGAGAAATATACAATGAACGTCAAAGTTACAGTTTATTAAGATGCACTCTTGTAGCATGCTAGGCACGTCGATGAATCTTCATTGAAAGAAGTCCAACGAATCTCATATAAGACTGGAAATAAATTGATTATGGAAAGAAGCCGGCTGAAGTATGACATTATGATGAAAGTGAGGGAAACAAAAAGGTTTCAATTGTATTGATGGAAGATCAGACCATTTTCCGTTTAGATGGAGAAGTAGCTGGGCGACTTTTAGGCATGTGTTGATAGTATTCCTTTTTTGTGACAGCGGTGTAAAGATCTTTCTTACCACTTGGACTTTTCGTTAACTTTACCGCCCCGGTTACGTCGGCAAGACTTAATTGTTTCATATTCTTGACGTGTGAAAGAAATGTTTTATGCTCTTTTTTCACTTCGTTTTTGTGATATAGTTTCATAGGATCAATCCAAGTCAATCTGTCTCTTTCTTTGCTATGGTATACGTGATTTGTAGCTGCGGTCGAAGCCAAGCCTAACTCGGATATTTGTTGGGATTCGGCTTGATCTACTGTCATTAATTTATATCGCGGTGAATTAGCTTCAGCCTTCTTTTGCTTGGGCATAGGCATACCATGTACACATAAGTCGAGCATTGTTGCTAGCAGTGCCAAGTATAAACAATTCTTCATTGTACCAAGTAGACCCAAAAAAGCAAAGTATGAAGCCATCAAGGGCAAAGAATTTGTGTGGCAAGGAATGAAAGCAAAAGGAATTATTTTGCAGCTTTTCATGTACTCCAAGATAGTACTAAGGGCGATATTCAATGCATCGGGGCGATAGAATACACAGCAACTGTCAGTAAGACTTCTGTATGCAAAGTCGTCTTCCGGACTGTCACAGTGTAAGGATTCAAAGGGCTAGAATGATGGGGGGCTTCTGGAACTACATTATGGTCTGCATGTGTACAGAATACCTCATTGAGTAAGCTCTAATGACAAATTCGATTGTGTGCGGACGACTAATACAAGAAAAGAACGGATAAAGGCTGAAATTGAACGGAGGATAAGATAAAGATGTATCACCACTACTGATCAACTGGAAATGAAAAATATCAAGGAGTAGTAGGCTTATGTTGTTCGTTATAAAGATCCGAATTGACAGCTGTGATATGGTCTTTTCCGCTCTTAGTTTTTCCAAAACGGGCACAACCAGTTTTTTCAGCGCTTCCTAACTGTGTCAAGTTTCTGACATGCGCTGTTACCTGTTTATTTGCCTTGGTTTCTTGAATTTGATGATAGTATCGGGCAGGATTGATGCGCCATCTGGTGGATTTGTCGTATTTATGCTTCTGACGAGCTCGATTTGCATCTGCCAGCTTGCTTTCCTCACTTCTTGAATAGGTGCGAATAGCTTCTGGCGTTGCTGGCGTTGCAGGACCATCTTCAGATGGCTTAAACTTGGCTTTGATCTTTTCGAGGATTGGTGAACTGTAAGAGCAGGTGCTCAGCAGGAGAAGCGTCAACAAGAGATAAATGAAATGCATTTTTGAGAGCAAGAAAGTCTTACTGAAAGTACGAAGAATGCAACGATGGTGAAGGTGTGACAGGGAAAGCGGTGGCAGCTCGCAAGTTACACAAAATAAGAAAAGGAAAATCGAAATGCATGATAAAATCTGTCGGGGGCTTAAATGACTATTGTGTACTGCAGCGTTAAGCGAATTAATGATGATTTCTGGAAGGAATTTGACGATCTCTTAAAGTATATGCTTGATCCGTCGTGATAGCTTGATAATGACGTCCTTTGCCACTTGCGGTTCTTGACAGATAAATTGCACCAGAAGAACGCCTTTGGTCTGCTGCAGCTTTGCCTAATTCACGAAGATTTGTCCCGCTTGTATCACATTTTTTCACACCACAATAAATTTTGTAATAGTTATACAAACGTGTAGGATTGTACCAAGCTTTGTTTCGAGCACTTTCCCGATGAATGTCTATTTGGTTTAGGTGATGATGAAAAAGTTCTCTTTCAAACTTTGCATGTTGTTTTAGCCCATCGTCCGAAAGTTGAAGTACTTTTGAATCTTGCACGTCGCCATCTTGGAACATTGGGGTTCCAAGAGCATTGAAGAAAAGCGCAAAGAGGATGATGAATGATAGAGCAATGGATTTCATCATCAGGATCAAGTACGTTGAAATTTGGTCTTTACGAAAGTCTAGCTTGAGCAGATTGGAAGTATAGAGCAGTATTTCTGTGAAGTATATACAAGCTTAAATACATGCGATCGAGAAAGATTCGAAACTTAGCATCCAATTGCATACCGCAAAGGCAGTGTCAGTACTGCTTTTTCTTCGGTGGTAGATCAAATACATATTCAAAATCTGATAAAGGAGTAGTATGAGCTTCAATCGCTTTATACTTTTTTCTGTTGAACAGATACCCTGTTGAAACTTTTGCTTTACCTCCATACATGATGTTACTCAGCTCATTCTCATTTTTAGTGTGAAATTCTTTTTTGCGATTCAGTATTGAGATTTTCGCTTTGTCGTATAATCGAGTTGGATTGATTGGTTTTTTCGTTTTCATTTTGGATTCTTGAGATTCGATTGCACTTTGAGCTTCCTCTTTTTCATTTGCCTGTATTAGAAGGTGTTTGAGAACACCATCTCTGGAATATGTTTCTGTTTTTGCGCCGATTGGCCTGGCAGAAGTGGTACAGCAAGTTCCAAGTAAGAGCATCGCAAGTAAAAGTGTTTTCATTGTTTCTCACAACAATAAAGACTGCTACCGTATTTGTCAGATGTGAAAGATGAGTAAAAGAAATAGAACTTGCTGTTTATTTCTTTCTCCAAAGATTTAAATTGCTGTGGCCATTTCGGATGAAACAGTAGAACTGTCAAGTTATGACGGGGCATGAAGATTAAGTTTTATACAGCCCTTATTAGGAAATTTATTCAAGCTTTCTGAGGCTGTGACAAGGCTTATGATATAGGGCAATGTAGTAACGCAAGCCGCACAAATGCTTAAATGACTCTTTAGAAAAGTAGCATGACTTGCTGACAATGCCCTCAGTAGTCTTCGACCGAACATAAGAAAGGTCAGTATATACCAGACACCTTTAGCTGTTCTAATAATTCGGATAGATATTGGAATGAATCTGATAAGTATGAGAGAATAACAAGAGAAAGAGGTATGAAGCGAATATGATCAACCTATTGGATGTGTAAGCGCCTTATAAGAAGTGCGTTTACTGCCTTCACTTCTTGTAAAGCTGACTTTTCCTCCATGTGGCATTCTATTAAGTTCTTTGATGTTAGCTCGATGATTCTCAATAACTTTACTTGTTCCACCGTATACACTTTCTGCAACCATCTTTTTTTGCAGCTCTTTGCTTTTCAGTCTTGCTACTTCAGCTGCAGTCATATGTTTACGTTCCTCACTTCCTTTTTTACGAGAAATAGACTCACATCGTGTGATTGAAACACATAAGGGTACAAAAAAGATAAGAAGACAGTCTTACGCATCGTAACTACCGGATTAGTACGCAGATCTGATGCAGGAAAAGAAAATCGAATTGAAACAGAAATGTAATCCTTTATACTTTTCACAAAAGACGCCCTCTTAAAATCTAATCCATTGTACAACCCCTTATCCTACTGCTGTGTACCCAAAAGTGCAATCCGAGGGGCGGTGAGAAGTTATATTTACTATAACTGCGGCTAATGTCAATATCAGAGGCTGTGACCTTGCCTCAACAATAGTCTACGTATTATTCTCAGCACTGTATATTCAGCAGATGCGCTGTGAAAACAATTAAAACTCAAACAAGCAAATTTGCCAGACAAAAAATAGTTGGACAATTATGGCATTAGGTGATATGGAAAATGAAAGGAATGAAAGAAAGGGAAAATGATTATGAAGTAGAGCCTGGAATGGAAGACGAAGCTGGTGCTTTGACAACCTTGTACCTAGAGCGATTACCGCTTTCGCTCTTTCTTAATTGAACATGACCTCCATCAGGTATCTTTGCAAGCTCTTTAACATTTTTACGATGGCGATTTGCATAATTACGTTCTTCAACTTTGTTAGCCAAATAATATGAACGATCAACACTAAATCTACTTGATGCTTTATGTTTTGCGCTTGCTTCGCCTTCTTTGCTTACTGCTTCAATCATTGCTTCCTCTTCCGCCTTTTTATGACTAGCTACTTCTTCAGCAGTCAATGTTTTATGCTCGACACTTCCACCTCTGAAGGGAATTGGCTCACAGTGGGTAAACGAAATGAGCAAAAGTACAGAAAATACAATGAGAACGTATTTATGCATCATGACTGATGTAGCAAAAGTGGGTGTGTGATTACTAAAAAGAGATGATGACTGGGAGGGAAAAGATGAAAAAATACGCAGCTTTATACCTCTTGCAGAAGATGTGTTTTCTGTCAAAATTTTACTTCAATGCCCCTTATTCATAGCCTGTCTACATACGCACAAGTGTAGTTCAGAAAACTTGAAATGCTGTATACACAATGATCGCAGGGGGGGCTTATTGTCGCCCCAGTTGCTGTTTTTGCTCTGTTGTACACAAACACAAGACAAAGACAACTGTGTTGGTCAAGTACGATTTGCGTTTGCAAATGTCCGGAAGTGCAGAAAGTCAATGAATAATTTGATCATTCTATGTCTGGCAGACGTATTCATTTCCTCCCATCAATGACTTATGGATGAATTTATGAAAGAGTGAAGTACAAGTTCATCAAATGATCAACAGATGCGCTGATCGTCATCAAAATCCACTTCTCTGAATAGAGTGAAGCTTGACAGTAAGAGGAGAAATTTGCATGTGAAAGAAGAAGCAAGACTCCACCCCCGCTCTGTACGCGTCAAACTGGTAAACCGGCTCGGGAAAAAGAAGAAAGACCGAGAACAACTCCTCCTCTTCCTCACCACCACCACCAACCACATTACAAGAATGAAGGTAGCAGATCACGTTTGGTATATCACAGGAGGTGCATCAGGTTTAGGAGAAGCAACAGCACGTCAAATACACAAATTAGGTGGATATGTTGCAATCTTTGATATTAATGAAGAAGCTGCAGAACAATTAGCAAAAGATTTGGGAGGCGAACGATCAACGTTTGCAAGAGTTGACGTTGTAAGTGAAGAAGATGTTCAAGAAGCAATTGCTAAATGTGATAAACAATGGCCAAAAGTCAAGGTTGGAGGTGTGGTAAATTGCGGTGGTGTCGGAATGGCTGGTAAGACAATTAACGGAGATGGAGAACCGTTTGATCTGGATACATTCAGAACAGTTGTCGAAATCAATTTGATCGGAACATTTAACGTTTGCAGATTAGTTGCCGCAAGATTGGTAAGAGATGTTCAAAAGCCAATCAAAAAAGCAGATGAACAAGCAAGCGATCTTGGAGTTTTAATAAACACAGCCAGCGTTGCAGCATTTGAAGGTCAAACAGGTCAAGTTTCTTATTCTGCCGGTAAAGGTGGCGTTGTTGGAATGACATTACCAATGGCAAGAGATTTGGCTTGGTTTGGAATTCGCACAATGACTTTAGCCCCTGCTCTTTTTTCAACGCCAATGGCAGATAAAATGTCTGAAAAAGCCAAAAAAGCTCTTGGGCGTCAATTAGAATTTCCAGTGAGTGTTTGTGTGTGTGTGTGCTTTGGCATCAAGGTCAGCATGCTAAGTGTTCTTTTCCCCCTTCCTAACACAATCAGGCTCGATTCGGTTTGCCGGAAGAGTTTGCGTTGGCGGTTGTTTCGGTGATTGAAAATCCGATGTTGGTGAGTATGCTTTTGTGTGCGGGAGTCAATAAAGTGATCAGCAAACTGACGATGGTTTCTTACACCCTTCTTTAGAATGGCTCAACTATCCGCTTAGACGGTGCATCACGAATGGGTAAATTGTAATCGTTCGCAGATGGAATCAATCATATTCAGATCGTTTGAACTCGATCACATCGCCATGTACCACAATAAACAGCATTTTTACACAGCTCGGCGTGAGAATGCTGTGAAGAAGGATCACTTTGGCGCTGCTTGGGCGGGCGTATTTGTGTATGAATATTGCGTGTGCCAACAAAAGAACGCCTATGAAAGGGAGTGCCAGAAGAAAATATATAAAGAGAGATTTTCACAACGATCAGATTGAGAGAATTGTTTGTTTGTTCGTTTCTTTTCGAAATTCTTCTGCTTCCCAAACAACAACGAACTTGAGATCGTCAGTGACGATTATCCGTTCGATTTCATCAAACGACAAATTCAATACTTAGCGATTGAATTGTTTATCCTACTTCTTCTTCGGGGCAGGTCCCTTCATCTTTCAATTCAACGACAACTTATCGTATCGTACACTTTTGATGTACCTGAGCTATTCTCATTAGCTCCTTCATATCAACAACCAAAGGTGAGTATTGCAGCATTCCAACTGGGGGGGAGGGGGTGATAGAGATGAAAATGAATGCCCTAAAAGGAGGAAAAGGGCAGGAGAAGGGGGGAGGGGTGTTTAAATGCACAATGATCAATTTACGCTTATGCATGTCAAACGTATCATCAAACGCGTAGGAGAACTCCAGCTGCTTTGACGCCCATACAAATGCTGCTAGTTATGCAATCTTTTTCATTAGCTGCATAAAGAATCGTTCTCGTTTAGGCAGCTATCATCATTGCAAAGCTGTTAACGAGAATGGTGATCTTGGGAATGATCTTAGAAGAAGAATGCTGACTGATGTTTAATGATCCTCCCTATTCAACTTCAGAAACAGCGAAAGCCATTCAGCAAAAGGCACTTCAAACAGCCCTGTCTGTTCTGCAAGCCAGAGAAAGAGGAGAGAAAGTTAATTTTCAGCCCAGTTCCCTTTTCGCGTTTGAAGGATTCAGCCCGTAGGTAAACTGGGGGAGTTTTTGTTGCAACGAAAGTCTTTCTCTTTAGCGGCGGCAAAAGTGCAACCAATCGAAAAAGAACAAACGCTAAAAAAGCACACGCATTTTTTATTCAATTTCGATTCAGGAGCACAATTGAACTATTGGATCGCCCTTTTCCCGTTTTGCTTTGCTCAAGACGCGTTTACAATAAAAATTAAATCATTTCGGGGGCAGCGCATCCGAGCAAAAGGCCCAAAGCAGCAAGCAATTAAAAACAGAAAGGGGAATAAAGACACTCACACGCACACGGCAGCCAAGAAACAGCCGAAAGTGAAGAAAAAGTACACAGCCACTACGCCTGCATTGTAGAAAGAGCAGCATCAATCAATCAATCTTGCTCCTCCATCAAATTGTCAAACTTTACCATCACCTCAACAAATTCGGATAGCGATAGTGAGGTTTCGCTTTCCACACTTCAATCAGATCAAGGAAAAAGCGTAGAAGAGGGTACTTTCAACACCAAACGTTCTTGTTCAAATTTCGCATCTTTTTTTGACGTTTTGACATTTGCTTGTACTTATTTTTGTGCAGCTTTTGTCGTCGTTTGTTGTTCAACTCACGATTGTGTTTCTCAATTCAAACGAAATCCACTTTGTTTGATCAACTTCTCCAAGCAAAAACAAAAACAAGAATCATCTGCTAAACTCACAGCAAACACTTGTGAAAAAGCAATCTCTTGTTCTACCACTCGCACAAAGCGTATCAAACAACAAAAACACGTTCGCATTCAATCTCCAACATCTTCCAAACTGTTTACCGAAAAGATGGCTCGTAAAGGAGGCGCAGGCCTCGATATAAGTTTGCTATTGAGCAATTTAGTTTTATTGATTTGTTTGGGTTTAGCTGGAATAGGTTGGGTGGTTGCTTTTATCGGACAAATTGTTGCAGAAGCCGATTATGGTCATCAAGGCGTCGTTTGGTTTTCGATTTTCTTGGAACTATTTTTGATCATCGGTATCGCTGCCGTAATCGCAACTGATAGCGTCGCTTTGGCAAGACTACAACTTTCAACCTTTTTGGCAGTCGCTCTTGTATTCTCAGTCATCGGTATCGATAAAGGTATTTACGCTCACAGCGGAGGCTTAAATGCAATGGCTGCCGGATGGTTCATCTTGACAATTGTAAACATTGTCTGGCTATTATTCTTCACTTCAGAAGAAGACAGTGCCATTTATGGACTTTTGACCACATTCGGAAACGGACAATTGGGCGGACCAGGTGGAAGAGGAACAAGATCTGGACCCATCACTCGTGTTAACAATGTGAATGGATCTGGAGGCTACGGAGGATCTTACTCTGGAGGCATGCAAGGCGTTGGAAACGGATATCAACCCACATACGGTAACGCACCGTCAGCCGCTGATATCACCCAAGCAGGAATCGGAATGCCGAAGAGTCAAACGGCATTGAACGGTGCAGGAAGCATAAGAAGTGGAACGGGTGGCGCAGGCGGCGTGACTATGGGATCACTTGCGGGACCCAAATCTGACATTAGCCATGGAGGAGATGGTGCGATTGGCGGCGGTGGTGGTGCAGTTGGAAGTCCGGCCAGCAAATTGAACGGAAGCGATAGCATTCCCGGAGGAGAACCAATGCCAGGATACGGATACCGTGCTCGTGCATTGTATGCATACACTGCCAATGCAGATGATCCAACCGAAATTTCATTCTCAAAAGGTGAAATTTTGGACATCGTTGATAATAGTGGAAAGTGGTGGCAGGCAAGAAAGTCAAATGGAGAGACTGGAATCGTGCCAAGCAATTACATGCAAGTTTTGTAAGAAGCCTTTTCTCGTGCACACATTTTTGTTCATCTTTTTCGACATTCTGATGGATCAATCATCGTCTTTTTTCTTTCTGTTTCTCATCATCACTGTACACAAATGATCGACGTCATGCGATTTCGTCTGCGTCTCTCTCCTGCTCTTTCTTTCTTTCGTTGCTCGATGCTTTACCTACGTTCATTTTCTTGATGCCCTGGTGTGCCTTCAAACTGTTTTAACGTTGCCTTCTTTTTTTTTATGAAGGAAAGTTCATACCATTTCTTTCACGCTTTTCATAAATCTACTCTCGTTTTGCTCTTTTACACAAAAAATCTCATTCTCAAATACCTTACCAGTTTTTATATTTCCCATATTTTGCTGTAATTCAACATCAATCAAAACTGGCGTACATGAAAACAACCGAATTGTGTGAATTGAGATTGGCATACGATGATATGATACAGCTGAGGGAAAGTGAGTAAGCGAAGTGCAAGAAGCAGTAAGCAGATCAAGGTTGAGAAAGTGAAGGCAATTTTGACCATTGCACACGAGCAAAGAGTCCAGCAAGGATTGCAATAAGCGATACAATGACAGCAATATGATGAGTTCTATTTGCGTTCATTTGTGACCAAGAAGTATGAGCGGCACCCAAATAAAGAACGAAAGCAAAAGTAGGTAGCAGGAAATACCCTGAAATTCTATGCCATTTCCAGAGGTTTTTTGCACGTTGCATTCCCCCGACTGCCTTGCCGTCAAACGCAGTGAATGCGATCCCGGCCGCAACTTGTATCCATGTCCATGCGACTACTGCTGTTCCGAGTATACCGTGCCAACTGATGAAATGTTCTGAACCTGGTTGATCGTGCAAATACCACATGATCGATGCACCCGCAGTGAACAACGGAAGTACCAAAGCTAAATTGAATAGCCGGTGAACGGAAAAGGCTTTTTGTTTTTCGTTGGGTCGAGATTTTGTCGTGGGTTGAAGTGTCAAGATGGATTGCAAGAGCAGCAAGAATGCAAGTGACTATTAAGTGTGAAGCGGGAGTCAGTACAGTGAGAGTCATGGTAGAAGCGATGTACGCACCTGTATCATTGGATGATAGCCAAAAAGAGGCAGTGGCTTTAATGGCATAGAGGCCAGTACCAGACCCCAGATCAAAGCCAAGAAAGCGATTCCAAAGCCCTGTTCGATGTGAATAGAAAGGAGTGAGCTTCTCGGCAACTGACTTACAGTACAATGCTATAACATACCTGAACAGTTAAAGCTGATAAACCTGTCATTGCATTCTTTCGATAAACAGTACTTTGTCTTTCATCGATGTCTAGTGAACGTTCACCTTCTTGTTCTGCCAACAGTGGCTGTTGTTGTTCTTCCCTCTGACCACTCATTTCATTTGATGTATTGATGGTGGTCAATTTGTACATTTGAAGTGTTTTGATTTTCCCACTTTGAATGAATACGTAATCTGATTACAATTCTTTGCTTGAATGCTCTCTTTCTCATTGGGTGGAGAAAAGCAGCAATCGCGTAAAGCGTGGGTAAGAAAAGCAGAGCGACTTTAGTGCCCGCTCCTCTTTCGGACGTAAGATCTGTCCCAGGGCCCAAGCTATCTACTAATTGTGAATTGGCATATAGCATTGTGTACTCTTTCAATTTGAATTCCATGGATCTCTATATGATATATTCCCGATATCCCATTATTGAACACCGAAAAGCGTAGGTACGGCGTATACAATTGAATTGTATAATTCTCCGCGCGAATAAACCCGTTTGCAGATTTGCTTACACACATGCATTAACTCTCACCCTGCCCTGCCCTGCGCCTGTTGTAAGGAACGCCTGAGAAAGTTTCTCGATTTAATTTCCGTGGACCTGAAAGCGGAGAGGGAATGAGGCCATACCGTGTACATGTAACATATGGTGATTGCATCATACATCCAATCAAAGTGGATTCGAGATGCTAAGCAGATACAACATTCCCATCTTCCTTTTCTCTACCATCACATATTCACCGTCACTTGTTCAACTTTCTGTGTGTGACGAGATAGCAAAAGATGATCGGGTCAAGATTGTCAACCTCCACAGTGGTGTTAGTGGCGCTCACTGCTCCAACTCTAGTAAAAGCAGTTGAACTTCAGCCTGATTCATATCTTGATTACGTTCCAAATCTGGCTGGAAATGCAATCTTCGGTGTTCTCTATTCAGTCTTGTGTCTGGTTTTATTTTATCATACTCTCTTTCTTCAACGTAAACCACAAAAATGGGCTCTCACACTCCCAATCGGAACATTTTTTGCCGCTTTAGGTTATTGGTTAAGAATACCAATGCGTACAAGTCAACATAATGAATCGCTGTATACGGTGATGTATTTGTTCGTTGTGCTCTCACCGGCTGCATTTTTGGCTTTCAATTATATCGCTTTTGGAAGGTTAACGGCCGCTTTGGAAGGTGAAAGACCATCAAATGTTAAACGGAAATCACAATACCTTTTCATTCCACCAAGATGGGTTAAGATCATTTTTGTCACTTCGGACGTTTGTACCTTTTGCGTTCAAGCCGCAGGTGGTGGAATGCAAACAAGTAATGATTACCAAACGGCAAATACAGGAAATAATGTCTTTTTGGCTGGTGTTTCGGCTCAAGGTGCATCCTACCTACTCTTTACTGCGCTGATTTTGGTGGCACATTATCGTCTCATCTTTAAACGTCCAGATGGACATCGATTCAACATCTTCAATTTCAGCGAACCAACTGTGATCATGTTGGATTTGTTGTATATCTCAAGTATTGGAATTTTGGTTAGAAGCGTTTATCGTATTATTGAAATGGCTCAAGGATACGGTGGATATTTGTATACACATGAAATTTTCACTTTCACACTTGATGCTTTACCATTGGTGATCGCAATTGGCGTTTGGGCGCTGTATTGGCCAGGATTGTTGATCAGAAAAGTTCGTGAAGAAGCCGCTGCCCCTAGTCAAGATTTGGAACAAGGCACAAATGACGCTTCCAATAGCCCAACTGAAAGTCCAAGTCCTACCGCAGAGAAAAGTGAGACAGCAAATTAACCTGGATCAACTCTTTTGATGGACAATTTGATCATGTAATACCTACACATCTTGTACATTATCATCTCTTAACATAGAATAGCATAATTTCAGACTTTTTTTTTTCCTTACTTAATTAATTGCACAATGATGAGATTCAAATCCAAAATATGAAAAGTTTGCGATAATAATGATTATGAAAAAAATCTGTATGATAAAGAAAACCATCTATTGATAAGAGAGTTTGATGTGGAAAATACACGAGGGAAACCGCTACTGTCCTGGGTATTAGGTGGGAGGTGATACCCTCTTGCTTTACATCTTTGCTGGTAAAGGCGTATGTCCATCCCATGAGACCAAATCCAAAGGTCTTGCTAAAACTTCATCAATTGTCCATCTACCACCCGCTCCGCCTGAGCCGTACTTCATACTCAAAACCGATCCAACTTCATCGGAAGCACGCAAGACGGCTTGCATATCGTCCACATTATGTGCCGCACTAACACAGAAACGCACTCTACTCGAAATCAAAGGTGTCGCCGGGTATGCAACCACGACCACGACGATTGGCGGTCTAAGCGGTCTGTCTGCTTTTGCGCTTGCGGTAGGATCATGAAGATATCTAGTTTCTTCTTCACGTTGACGTTGATATTCTTCTTCATTTTCTTCCGATGCAAAACGTTGAGAAGGCGGTAAAGCTTTTGATCGATCTAACATCATTCGTGAAAATAATGCCATCTTACCAGGATGGAAGATTAACAAAGGCACGATCGGACTATCACGATGTCCATAAACGATAAATCCAAGTTTACGTAAACCTGAACTCAAATACCGTGCATTGAAGGCCAATCTGCGTAGACGTTCTTTTCCTTCACTGCCATCTAACATACGAGGCGGTAGATCGAACCAAGGAGGCAAAAGAGCATGTTCTTGTACATTGCGTCCAACACCCATAATACCAGCCATACTGGCAATAATTTGCGTCAAAATTGGGGGAGCCAAAGTTTCACCATAAACGTTGGCATGGTTCGTTAGACGGATACGGTCAATGAGTGCCTTTGGACCACAGATATATCCACCAGCTGCACCAAATGATTTTGTAAATGTGCCCATCAAGATATCAACCGATTTAGGGTCAATACCATAGTAATCACAAACACCTCGACCACGTGGACCAAGAGCACCAATAGAATGAGCTTCATCGACATAGAGATAGAACTTGTACTTCTTCTTCAATTCCATCAATTTGGGTAGATTGACCAAAGTACCTTCCATACTGTACAATCCTTCAACCAGCAAAACGATCTTTTTCCATGGTCTATGCGTGCGTGGCATACCTTGACTGATACTTTCACGTAGAAGCTTCTCTAGCTCACGCATATCGTTATGACGGTATTGACGAATATGAGCGCCACTCAAACGGGCACCAAAACGGATAGAAGCATGATTTAGCTCATCAGAAATCAGCAATGTACCGGGACCAGCGATGACTGGAATTGTGGTGCTATTTGTTGCAAAACCCATAGAAACAACAATCGCATCTTCCTGTCCAACAAAACGTGCAACCATCTTTTCGGTTTGTGATTGCAAATCAAGCGAACCAGCGCCCAATCTTGAACCGAAAGAGCTGGTACCGTACATCTTCAAACATTCCAATACTGCGTCCGCACATCCACCATGCGATTGGGCGTATCCCAAATAATTGTATGCACTGATGTTCAAAGTGCGTGTCTTTCCACCTGTGTACGTGAAGGATTGGTAGAAATCATCGGTTGTACGATCAAGTGTCATGACTGTACGACCACAAACACCGGTAACGGGTCTCGAGAAACAATCGTCCAATCTTGCTTTGAGTCGTCTCGTGTAGAAACTGTCAAAATCGGAGTTAAGGGCTGCATAACCATTCGATTCGACCAAGTGGCGATACGATTTAGGGAACAAGCGTTTGCCGACAAAATCACGACAGTGACCAATCACGATCAGGATCAAGTAAGACACATACGTTGTTAATAGAATAACATAGCTTGGCTCTTCCTCAATTGGATCGGGTAGAGGTGCTCCTGGTGGATGTTGTGAGGTGTATCGGTAGTTCTGATTAGCACAGAAAGCAAATTCACTGTGAACCAGTTGCGTGCCGTCGGCAGAGCTGTCGAATGAGGTGGGCGGATGTCCGGTTGTTCCATTGGCAATATGCTTAGTACCATTGGAAGTAGCCAGAGCTCTTTGTGCTTTTAGCTTTTCGTCCATGATAGCATGCATCAACCTTCTTTGGTGTTGATCTTGCACGGATTCCAAACTTTCAACAGAGGCGGAAGTAGATCCTGTAGTCAGACTTGGAGCTTGACCTTCGGATGCATCGGGTGAGCTACCTGCACTGCTACTGTCACCTCTTGATCTTCCCCATGCTTTCATTTCCGCTTCAGAAATTGTGTTGGAATAAGGTGTTGTGTTTGGGTTGAGAGTAGCGGCTGCCATATTGTATTCCTTTTCAAACTGTTGATAATTTTGAGGAGGTGAAACGCTTACGATTGGTTGTGATTTATGATTTGCGTAATCGCCACCGCTGATGACACGGATTGGTTTGTGTGTTGGAGTGGTTGTCGCACTGGAGGCGTCGGAAGTGGTTCGCTTGTGTGGTAAAGTCTGACCAGGCATGGCGTGTTTGGATATTCGAAACAGTTGATGGGAAAGAAGGTAAACGTAACACGATGCTGTGTTTGTTCAACAATCTTTCTATGAGAAGAAGTCCCGAAATGTCAAGACTTTTCCCCTAATCGGATCTCCTGTCTTTGGTGATAAGTTGTCAAGGCCTTATGCTCGACAGCTATTTCGTTTTAGGAGGTGAAATGAAGGAACCAATACCAGATGATCCTTACTTTGTTTGATTGGGTATGATGTTGTCGAGAAAGACAGTGCTTTTATATGCTGCTCGAGTTGTGTTGTTGATTTCTCTTTCACCGGCGCAAGAAGGCGTTTGTTGGCTTAAGTTGAATAGAAGGCAGTGTTTGAGATGCCTGTTCCGCTTTGATAAGAAGTGAACCCCAATTGCAATGATTGACAGGCAATGGAGGTCTTCCTTATAGATTGACCATATACCCCAGATAGGGTCAAATGATTTTACCGTTCTTTGTTTCTTTTTGAATGATGGTATAGAATAATGGAAAGGGAACATCCGTCAAATCATCCTAACCAACCAACCAACTAACAAAACCGCGGACGGCATTTTTCTACCGACCCTGGTGAAAGAATAGTGTGGCGTAGTGCAGTGAATCGTAGCCTTTGAGTGAGTGAAGATTTTGTGCAAATGAGCGGTGTATAAAAGCAGGATAAATAATCTACAAAACACTGACTTTGTACACGCTTAAGCCGTTACAGCCCACGCGATCTTTGCTTACTCAAAAAAACTGATTCGTTCTCTCTTCTTTCCGCAATAAAACAGTCAATAGGAGACAAAAAACTTTCTTTTTGGGTTCACGCGTTCCGGCCAACAAAAACGCATCTGTACAAACACGCTCCCTTAAGTGCGCTGCGAACGCGTTTGGAATGTAAGCGTGTATGTATAAGAAAAGTCTTCTATTATGCAGATAAATCCGCTTAACTACTCTAAGTATAAGACCGCGGGGATGTCATTTGAGAGAAAGGTGAGCCGCCGTCAGTGCTTGATTGCGGGTGAATGTTTGTGGTCTTGCATACGCTATTCCTACATCCCGCTATCTTCGTTTAGGGAGAAGGGAGCTCAATTCAATCCAATTTAAATGCCCGAGCAAACATCATGAGCTATGAGTAGAGGCTTAGAAGAGGGGAAGACGGATGAAAGAGGATGAAGTATCTAACAGATTACGCTCGACAAGACCGGGTACTTTTCATTGTTGGACACTCATTGTTTAGTTGACAGCCATGTACAGATGTCATGTGTCAATCAAATTCACATATATCCAATCACACATATCTGCTTGAAGAGTAGGAATAGAATATAGTCTTTTGCAACATATTCAGATAGGGCCACTGATCTTGATTGCACATGCTTCACTCTCTTCTAGAGGTGCGGGGGGTTGTTTCCCTCAAAGTCAAATGAAGCCAAACGCCTTGACGCACAGGCCTACGCGAAGTTTTCAGGGCGTAGTGAATGGACTGATATACGCATGAACGCATACAATGCCTGGCAAGCACTGTTTCACTCTCCACTCGATACCATCAAGCTATTTGTTCTCTAACATCATCTTTTGCATTTCACATATCTCATCAATATTGCAATTCGAAACACAGTCAGTCGTACATCATGGCGCTCCCAAAGCGTATCATCAAGGTAAGACCATGCTCGGATACTTTTGAAGGATTATTTGAATGCTAATGCTAATCATCCCCCTTCACAATCAGGAAACTGAACGTCTGGTAGCCGATCCAGCTCCAGGAATCGTAGCAACACCACATGAGGACAATTTGAGATATTTTGATGTGGTAATCTCTGGTCCATCACAAAGTCCATTCGAAGGTGAGACAATGACTACATTTCGATCGATCACATGATTGGCAAATCTGACTCCATTCCTTTCTTTACAGGTGGTTCCTTCAAACTAGAACTTTTCTTACCGGAAGAATATCCAATGGCACCACCAAAAGTTCGCTTTTTGACAAAGATCTATCACCCAAATATAGGTGGGTACCAGGCATCCAGCTGTTTGCACATCACACATGTTGACATTCTGCCCTCTTTTGCTCGTCTCAGATAAACTTGGACGGATCTGTTTGGATATCTTGAAGGGTGAGTATGATCTCTATTTAAGCAATATTGGCTTTAATGCTAATCACATCTACCGTTCTTCATCCCAGACAAATGGTCGCCAGCTCTACAAATTCGTACGGTCTTGTTGTCGATTCAGGCACTACTTTCAGCACCCAACCCAGATGATCCGCTGGCAAACGATGTAGCAGAGCATTACAAAACAGACGAGAAAGGGTGAGTAAGAGTGATGGATCAGTCAAAGGTATAAAATGCTGACCTCTCCATTCACCTTGACAGCGCCATCGAAACTAGCCGTCAATGGACAGCACAGTATGCAAAATAAGCGAAAGAAATTGGAGTTAGCTTTTACGCATATTCAATGTATGTATATATATATGAAGGGCATCTCGATTGTCGTTGTTAGTTCTATGATTTCAATAGATCATCGTTCACCTGTTCGACAGTATAATGTTCGCCAGCAGATACACTCACTTGAAGGGAATGATCTTGTTGACTTGCGGATACTTGTGGAGAGCTTCAGACTGACCACTAGATTTCTCAATGGATTACTACTAACTCACGCATCAGCACAATCATCTTAGATTCCATTAGCAAAATGCAGGGCAAGCGTGTGATGGGAGTACAAAGGGGCAGTAACAAAGAGCAGGTTAGCTATTATGAGGATGATAATTCGATTAATCTTCTTTAGCAGTTGCGCCAAAACGAACTTTTTCCGCCAAGATTTCACGTCTTTGAAAGTAACGAGAGATTGCCCAACCTGGACCAAGTAAGGCCACGATTGGTAAACCCAGCACAGCATCTTCCAAGAACAAACGACGAGAATGAATTCTTTCTCCTCCTTGTTTAACTTTTGCACCATCAACGATTGCGTCAATTTGAACGATTGCGTATGTTGCACTTAATACTCCGATCAAATCCCAAAATAAAAGGTAAGGACCGTCTGATTTGAAATCGAGGTCGTGAATGATTGCATGGAATAATGGTTTTCCGCCCCAGTATAATCCTAACCAATAGATTGGGATAACCATGAACGATAATAATTGATAATTTGATGCTGCCAAAAGTCTTGGTGATTCACGTGCAGAGGCAGATCCAGCTGTTGAGACAACAGTTTTTGATCTTGGCACAAAGAGCAAAGGAACCAGTACAATTGGGAAAAATTGGAATAAAATATTTGCATGTGTGAATGCGATTGTACCGGGAGGTGTGAATGTTGTCAAAAAGATGATCAAAAGAGCAGCAATATTGCAAATCGATCCAAGAACGATCTTCCATGCATTTGGGGTTGGTAATGGATGTACAAGCGAAGATGCTTCTTGCCATCTTGTATATGCGTATGCCGGTACGAGAACAATAGACGATGCAGCAGCAACGAGGATAAGTTGACCCAAAGAAAGGACAAAGATCAAAAAGCCAGGAGAGATGAGAGGATGACGACCATCTTTGAGGGATTCAGTTGTGAAGAACAAAACAACAGGTCCAAGCACACTTGTGATCAAAAGTAAAATTGATTGACCAAGCTTTTCACCAATGGCATCTTTGAAAAAGTTTACCAATACCAAAAGAAAACGCCAAGCTTCTCCGCCATATTGATCAAAGATGGTTGTGCCAGGCCATGATTTCGGTAAGCCTAGCTCAGAACGTAGCTTTGCAACATTTGCAGTCATTAAATATTCTGCATTTTTGTAACGTGGAAAATGTAATGTACGACTATGAACGAAAATGCCTACTGAGATTGACAACAAGCTTATCAAGATTAATGATGTTGCTCTTGGTTTGGCAGCAGGTGTGTTTGATTTGATTGTGCTCTTGGCAACACTCGTGTTTGACTTTTTTGGAGCCATTTTGATGGATGATGGACGGTTGTAAAAGATGAAGTCAATCTTCTAAACAGCCCGTGCATTCAAAAAGTACAACATTTGAAAGCAACAATTGAAGTGAATAATAAAATAGCGCGAGTTTTAAAAATTAGAGTCGGGCTAAAATTTAGTCTTTCTTACCCGGACTTGGCTTTACCTTGACTTTTGGCAACCGATTAAGAAATTGACATGCAATTAACACCGAAGCGAGGAAGAAATACCATGACAGCTGCTCATTCATCGCCGAGGTTTAAACATACTGTCTCAATATCTGCACTAAGGTTGCAATCAAAGCTCCCAATGGACAACATCTTCAGTCTCGAAAAGCGGCTTTGACTGCTCCGAACTGCGTATCTGTACAAGATGATTGTAATGAAAGATGACATTCATCCCCCTAAAGATGAACCGGCCGAGAGTTCAGACATAAGATGGTAGGAGCCGTGGGTATCCATCACGTCTTTGAACAGACTCATCTTTCTTTGATAGGGGGACGGAACCGAGAAAAAGGGAAGTTTACCGCGGGGAAAAAGCCGTTAAGAGAAAAAGAACTTAATATGATGTCAATTTGGCCGGTTGAAATTGGGTATGCTAATTTGAATTAAAAAGAGATAAGTTTTGGATATATGTTGTACATACAGATGATTAAAGGAAAAGAGAAAGTGAGATATGAAACGCAATCAAGACAAAGAATCACGACTGTATGTCAATGATGTCATGCTCCGATTCATTCATAGCATTGCCCTTTTGTTCTTTTGTGGTTTTGGAGTGAACAAACCTAAAAGACCTGCAACGCCAAACAAAAACACAAACGCACTTGCACTGCCAAACGTTGCACCTGTCCAACCCAAAACACTTACGTTGTTCTCTTTCCATGCTTGTGCACGTCTTTGATATTTTTCCAACGTTTGCATGAGGAGTGTTGTATGTTCTTTTGAAACGCCTAATCGACCAGCCAGAGCATCTCCGTCTGGTAATCTGAGAGTTTTCATCAAAGAAGAAAGATCAACATCAAAATTTAATCCCCCTCCTTTTTGTAATTTTGAACTTGCACCTTTGTTTAAACCAAACGAACGTGCAGCATCGGATAACATTAATTGTACACCTGCAGTTGCTTTTTGTAAATTTCCACCTGCTTGATCGGCCGCTTCCAGCAATCTTTGTGAGAATGCAGGAGAAGGTGGTAAAGGTGCAACGATTGGGCTAAGAGCAAAGAATAGCGCCACATAACCTGCAACGATACAAACAGTCAGAGCTGGAATGGCTGTTTTTAAATTTGAATCTTTTTGCCATTGTAAATAATCAACTTGTTGTCCACGAGCAGGCAATAAAATCACATAAGCAAATATCAAAATTGTTGAAACATATAATGCGATCGATAGAAGCGCAACCGATCTTGTATATTGTGAACCTTGAAGAGCATCTTGAATATGTAGGTGAACTTGCCAATACCAAACACCAAATCCTCCAATCAGAACGTACTTTGCCTGTTTGCGTAAGTTTACATAGGGTGATGCTGGACCTTCATCAGATTGTTCGCTCACTTGAACGGCCGCATTGGACCCAGACGAAGATGTGTTTGTGACCATTGATGGACTATATACTATTCTCGGATGGAGGTAATTGCGTTGAAATGTGGAGAATGTCGTCTTGCAACCTGCTTACACGATAAGAGTGAGCCTATCTGCAGTTGCCCTTTTTGTTTCGTATTATTTGCCGAATTCAGCTCTGTACGGCTGTGGTGATGGTGGAGGAAAAGGATGTACTCCAATAAAGATGCATGTCGATCACACTCAAACCCCAAGTTAAAAATACTTCAACCACGTTCGGACGGAAAATAAGTGCTTCTTTGCATAAAATACTCTCACGCACACGCCTAACAAAAGAAAGACACTTTGACCGCTTACACACGCGTACCGAGCCACACAACACACACACGCATGTACACAGTTCGGCTCTTCCTTTACTGAATTACCACAACCTGAAATGCAGGAAACAATATAGGCAGTATGTTCAATCGTACGTTTGAATCTCTTTAGCTGAATACTTAATCCACCCATTGCACCTAAAACACACTCATAGTCACTTGCTATACGCATGCATTTTGGCAAATAGCCTGGATGAAAGGGTAAGAGAATACACGATGGGGAGAAACTGAAGTCAATCATAACTTCTACTATGCAGCTGGACGTTCACCACGAGGTTGAGACCAATTAACAGACAAGATCAAGTTGCTATAACCACGACCGTCAACCTTTTGTCTTGCTATATCAGCATGTTCGCGATCCATAAAGCTGACAAACGCATATCCCTTACATTCTCCTGTCTCACGATCACGTCCAATGTATACTCGGGCAACATGACCATATCTGCTAAAGATTGCACGTAAATCTTCTTCATCGGCATCTTCGCTCAAGTTTGTAACACGTAAAGTTGGCATCTCATCTCTGTTCATTCCTCCTGCTCCTGGTCCGCTCATTCGTTCACCTGAACCACGAGCACCTCCACGAAGATGGACAGGAACATACTTTCCACTTGCACCTGCCGAAGCAGCAACGGCGGGATTTGTTGGATCAGTAGCTGCTGGTGTGAGAGAGCCATCTGCTTCGGGTGTACTTGCAGCACCTGGAATAGCCTCTAAAGTATCACGATAAGGACATTTGTATGTCAAGTGATCACCCTTACATAAACGACAAGTAATCTTTGCTTTGGCAAGCTGTTCACGCATTGCACTAACGTCATCCTTGTCTGGTTCTTGTTGTTGTGAATTTCCAGCGCTCATCTTGAGAAGGATACTTTCTCCTACAGATGTTGTACTGGAATGCGGTCCGGCAGCACGATTTTTTTCTTGTCCGAATTTGGTCCATTGTTTACGTTCTGCTTCAACAGCATTCACTTTTGTGGTAACCAAAGTTCTACGAATCCTTCTTGTAATCTTTACCTTTTTTCCTTCGGGATTTACTCTATATTCTGTAATCACTTTAATTCCATTTCCTTCATCACGTTCTTCAATCTTTGGAGCATCTGGCGTAACATCATCATCCACATCATCTGCCCAATTCATGGGTTTTGGTGGATTTGATAAACTCTGATCGATCGCTGCTGGTGCCATTGTTGACAACTTTGAGGTTGATGATGGGAGTTGTGGCGTATGACACCAAATCCGCGAAGAAAGTTCAAGCAGCACGTTCAAGCCTCGAGCCAAAGATGAATGATGCCAATTCTGGCCTAGAAGCCTAGTAAAAGGCCACAAAGGACTCTGGCCCATAAAGATCCTAAAATTTTGTTGCGTCGGCGCAGCGCAGAGAAGAGTGTGAAGCTTAAGCCTGTGTGGTTTGGCAAAAAACGCGTGCGCACATTCGTGTGACTTCAGCACTTTGTAAAGTGTTCGGCACGTGAGCCGGGCTTTTCTTCTTTTCTCGACTTTTACCGGCCATTTTTGGTATCGAAGCTAAAGATTACCAAAGAGGATACAATTCATTTAAATTCACTTTCTTCATCATCATCACTTCGACAGCTCATAAAGTGATCAACAACTTTACACAAAAATGATTGTTACAGGCAGATCAGCTGCCAAACAGGCGCTCAAAAATGGTTTGGCAACGGCCGGAAGAATACATGGTACTTCTCAAAATGTTGCATCATCCTCTATCGCTTCCTCTTCCAGGTCAACTCAAGTAGTCCTTGCTCATTCATTTCACACCTCTCCTTCTCAATCTTCACCATCTGCATCATCCCCGCGAGACATTGCACGATCATCAAACAGAAGGGCAACATACGGATCGGAAAGTTCGACCGTTCCACGATTTAACGTTCGTATGACACCAGCAGCGGCAAAAGATACGCAATCCGTACAAAGATGGTTATCAGAAGCATTTCCTACTTTGACATTACCAGATGATGTTGCTCTGCAAATGATCACGCATGAAAGTTGGGATCAGGGCGTATTGGCAGGACACAATCGAAGACTTGCATTCTTGGGAAGGAGAGCGATGAAGTTTTATCTAAATTTGTTTCTCGCTCAACATCCGGGTAATGAACATCTTTTAAAGACTGAAAAGGTAGACACTCTGCTGCAAACATCTATCATTGGAGATTATGTAGGAAGAGCACTAAAGTTGGGAGAAGTGATGCGATGGACTCCAGCAGTAAATGATGGACAAAAAGGTGCAAAAGAGACTGGTCTTTTCAAGATCCGTGGTGTTACGGTGGAAGCGTTGGTGGGAGCTATATATCATCAACATGGAGCACAAGCTGCCAAAAGCTTCTTTGCTTCACGTGTTTTACCCGAACTCAGAACGCTATCAGAGGAAGATCGGGAAAGGCTTAAGGATGTTATTGCAGCAGAAGGAGCCCAAGGGGAAGCATACCTCCAAGCAAAGGCAGTTCCCACTGAAAGTGTTGCCGCAGACTCTGAATTGACATCGGACGCTCATTCTACCACAACCTCAGCGACACCTACCAGACCGGCAAGAAGGCGAAGTGTATCAGGATCGGGAACTGCATTCGCTTTAGATGAAGAGACGTCGACATCTGCTCGGGCTGAAGCACATCGAACGGTATAGAATCTCGACCAAAACAAAAAGGAAGGCTTTTATAGCCCAAAAGACATAATCAAGTATATTATCACGCTTTGTCAGCAATTGTAATAAATAGCAATTTTTCCAGCAGCCACGAAAGAGAAGGGAGTAAAAAATCTCATTCCATGATGTGAAACTATATGCAGATGCGAAGAGAGAACAGAGAGAAAGAGAGAATTGTGAAGTCTAGTATGAGTATACAAATTTACTGTAAGCGTCACCTTTGTGAGCTCTTGCTTCAGATCCGGTAGCATATGTTCCACCTTCCATTTCGCCAAATCTGCGTCGTAAAGCGTTGAATTTTCCAAATAATCCTGATTGACGTTCTTTTTGCATTTGTTCTTCTCGTGCATCTTGAGCTTGTTGGAACAAAAGAGGATCAATATTTTGTTCGATCGAAGTACTATTTGCTGCAGCTGCAGTTGAAAGTGCGTTTACTGCTGTATTTGTACCTTCTGCATCGGATCTAGATTCGGTTGGAGAATCTTGACGATGTGATAAAACTTGTTCATCATCTTGCAAGATTGTTTCATCACATAATCCTTGTGCACGTCGTTTGTTTGCTCTTCGTAAACCGAACAAATAGACTGCAGTTGCAATCCAACCGATAGCCAAATACATGATAATGATACCGTGACCCATTGGATACCAAGGAGCATCTTTAGGCAAATAAACATTTGTAGTTGCTGCACCATTAATGTTTCCGAATGAAATAATCCATGCCATTACAACAGATCGTTTGTATGTTCCTTCAATACTTGCAGACGTTAAAGCAATCGTATTTGGAATACAAGGATAAATTCCAGCAGCGGCTAGGTAGATCGCAAAATACGATAAACCCGGAACTCTACTTGCTGCCAAAATAACATATCCCGTTATTCCGATCGAAATCATTGCCATATTGACTAATGCACGATGTCCTTTTCTATCACAGTAGAATCCTACAACCACCGTACAAATACAAGCGAAAGCGTAGATTGGAACGGAGATCAAATTTGCTCTTGTTGAAGAATATCCTAAAGCCTTCACGATAGAAGGCGTAAAGATTGAAAATGCATAAAGTGGACCTGTGTGAAAAAGAGAGAGCATTTTGTCAGAATATCAATCCAACGAAAGTCCAGATTGGCAAAGATTGTAACGGTGATACGGCGCCGATTTATTAAGCTGAAAAGAGAGGACGGCTTGATTACCAGCGCGCCGGCGCCATCACACGGCAAACCTTCTGTTTCTAAACCCTAACCCTAACTCACCATCAACGCCCATATAGATAAGCATTCCGGCCCACGTTTTCCAATCGAAAATGGCTTTCCAAAACGAATTCATGGTGAACTTTTCACCTGCAGCCGAATATTTTTGATCAGTTTGTAATCTTTGAATGATAAAACTTCTTTCTTCTTCGTTTAAAAATTTTGCCGTATCCGGGAAATCTTCACATAACCAAATCGAAAGAATACCAATACAAAATGTTGCCAAACCAATTATAATAAAAATCCATCGCCATCCCGAATAACCTCCTACTCCGTCCATATTATGAATCGCAGCACTTAATAAACCACCAAATGCACCACTGACCGTTGCAGCACTGAAGAAAAGACTTGCTCTTAAACCGAATTCGGAACGACGATACCATCCAGATAAAAGAAAGTTTGCACCAGGAAACAATCCAGCTTCCGTTACACCCAAGAAGAAACGTGCTACCAAAAGACCATGATAGGAAGAAACTACACCTTGAGACAACATGCAAATTCCGACTAAACAAGTGATAATTGGGAACCATACTGAAGGTCTAAGCCTTTTCAAAAGGATATTTGACGGTACTTCGAATAATGCATAAGGAAAGAAGAAAACTGCACTTGCAATTCCAAATTTGTTTGTACCCAACATGCCTAATTCCTGTTCTAATCCATAAAGACGAGCATTTCCGATCGCACTTCTGTCCAAGAAGCTCAACAAGTACAAAACACTCAACCAAGGAACCAATCGAAAGTCTACTTTTCGCATCAACTTCTTTTCATTGATGCCATTTGATAAAGCTGCTTGTCGTAATTGCTCTTCTGCTAGGTTGGGTAAACCATTCTTTGGTGCTTGATTGCGTTCTTCATCGTTGAATGTGGCAGTATGAACGACTGTGTCTTGATTGTATGAGCCTTTCGTGTCGTCTTTCGACATGGTTGATGGGGAAAGGAAGTGGGGTGAAAGATTGGAGATGGTGGAAGGAAGTGAAAGAGAATGATTGCTTTTTATGTCAATTGGTCGTGGTTGTGTCTGTATTGCTTTGTGGGGGTTGCTTACGAAGTGGCAGTCCTGACTGCAAAAAAGTGAATACGCAAAGGCAGGGTTACAATTTGAAATAACAAAAAGATAAGCCAATGATACAAAATAATGTAAATCAGGAACCACAGCAGGTACCCCACTTTATTGCCAAGACAAAAATGATTGAGATTGTGAAGAAGCGAGAGAAGATAATTGGTAATTGCAATGAATAGTACTGTACCCCACGTTGAATGATGCCCGCTCCTCTTTTTCGGATTTCCCGTTGTCAAGAGTGCATTTCAGCATTTCATCAGTGTTCTATTATTATCTTTATGTTTATCCGCTTGCCCACGTTGTGTCTAAGGCACTTCGTCAGTCTTTTATCTTTAGCGCCTCTTCTTCATCCTCTTACCGCTTTTTCCGATCACCGCTGCAGGATCATAGCAAAACAGGTCATTTGATTGGCTGTGCTAGAACGATATTGATTGTTGGTCATCCGTATTGATTATTTGCCGCAGTGACCAAGCCATTCGGCTGAAATACACAAAAAATAACCCCGAAATGGTCTTATCTGGCTCGTTAAAAGGCTTTACTCAAGAGCATGTCCAGCTGACCTCATCATATAATCATGCTATCGGCATGTGTTGTCTATTTTGTAATTTGTATCTATTTCATCATTTCTTCCAACTTGGTAACGGCTAACGATCAATGGCTTAAGCGAGCAGGTGAAACATCTTCTCCCTCAGATTCATTCTTTAATCTAGAGAACGATGCATTTGCACAGGAGTTAGCCAGCAAATATGGAAAAGCAACTGTTCAACCTCATCATTCAGGAATTGGTCATGCAGCCGTTCAACCTCAGCATTCAGGTACTGCTTATGCAACCAATACGGAGAAAGATGAAGAGGTTGCGTCAAAATTACAGATTTCAAATCGACCGTATGTCTATATCCCGAGGAAGGTAAGAAAGATACATTTGATCTTTCGAACATGTTATATATTCTGAATTCTAACCCTTCTTGATCTATAGCACTCCTCACAGTACGCTAAATCAGTAACAGCAAAAAGATTTCGCCAATATTTAAGTAACATACGGGCTGTAGGTATTGAAGCAATGTACATAAAGGGAAATTCTGTTTACTAAATCTCAAATCAAATTTTAGGATCCAAAAAGACTTCAGGAATATCGACATAAAAAACACATTGCTCATTCTCAAGTATTGTCAAAAGCAGGCAAAGTGAGTAGAGAACGTCGAAAAATACAAGTACCTTTTAAAACTTTGCTAGAGATGGAAAGAGAAGGAAATATGGATAAAGATCATACCGAAGAACTCGCTTATCAAAGACAAAAACGATACGAACGCAATCAGAGATATTACACAAAGACGAACACGCATCGAAATTCTAAGAAGAAAGATTAGCTTTCTGGGATGATACAGAACAACATCAGCTCCATGCTCACTGTATGATGTGAGTACGAAACGTCCGAGTAATATGATCATCCTCGAGAAGAAAGCCAAGTAATAACATTGCTATGTTTTTCAAAAGCTGTACTAGACCTCTTGGCTTTAGCGCTCAGCCCCATTTAACCGACCGTTGAATCTAAGTACGACTTTTTGTGTATCGGTCGGGTCATGTCCTTTTCATACCCTTAGACATCCCCGGAATGTACTGAAAGAGGTTGATAATACACAGAAACTGACATTCCTCTTCACCGCACCAATACCAAGAAAATATGATGAGCAGAGCTTTTTTCCTCTACCGTATTTGCTGCTTTCTGCTAACAGTCACATCGGTTGCGATATGCTCTTATGAGAATCCGGAACGGACACCCACAAGATCTATCTTTTTTAAGAGAGGTGTCACACCTTCTTCGCCGTCTGATTCATTCTTTGACTTCAACGATGACCCCTTCGCCCATGAATTAGCTCACACCTTCACAAAGCAAGATCAAGCTTCTCCTACCTCTGTAAATAAAGAATCACCCAGCTTGAACAAGGCTCCGACTATCAAGCATGGAGAAGAAACCGCTTCGAAAGCTAAGGGAAAGAAGAAAACTAGAGGAAAAACGAAAAATAGAACATACGTTTATAGACCTAAAAAAGTGAGCGGGCTTCATGAATTCAGTATTTGTACTTGACAGCCGCTTATTTCAAAAGAAACATCTTTTACCTTACAGAAAGAAGGAGAGTATATCAAAGATTGGCAAGCAGAAAGAGTACGAATTTATCAAGCAGAATTACGAGCGGTGAGTGAAAGATTGCAGTATTATCAACGTTTGAGCTAATTCATTTCTTTGTCATTAGGATCCCGTAAGACGAGAAGCTCAATTACAAAATAAAAGAAACTACTATTATCAAAAAAAAGCAAGTCTTCCACAAAAACCAAAGTATAAAAAGTTTGGTGAAAAATTGATGCCGATGAAAGATTTGATTCAAATGGAGAAAAATGGAACCCTCACTGAAACTTACTATGCTCAATTGAAGCATTTGCGAACGTTACGTCGATTATCCAATGAGCGAAGTCAAAAAAAGCTTATTGCACAAAAACAATCCGTCCAGTCAGAAGGTAGTTTAGGCTCAGCTAGAGCATCCTCACACTCTTGAGTTCATTGCATTCCGTCTATATCCCCGATGACAGATGCTTATGTCGCCCTCTTTTTCAAGCCCCAGAATGAAAATGTCTTTCTTGATAAAAGTAACGCGAACATTGCTATGACTTCTACGGATAGCTCCATATTAACATCCGTTGAACTACTTCAGCCGGGTCTCTTTCGTTCCGATACGCTCAAGTATCCCCGAAGTATCTTGAAATCTTTTACTAGTGAATGTGAAAATGATCTTACCCAGTCACACTTCAAAACGACAACCATGATCAAGATTCCGTTCATTTGCCTTATTTGCTGCTTTCTGCTTATATTTAAATCAGACTTCATATGTTGCTCGACAGATAGAACAAAGCCAATCGAAAAGTTCATTCTTGTCAGGAGAAGTGTTCAGCCTTCTTCTCCATCTAACTCATTCTTTGAATTCGAAAATGATCCCTTTGCTCATGAACTAGCTCATACGTTTGTAAAGCAGGTACCGTCATCTCCCATTTCTATCAAAAAAGGATATCCTATCTCTAGCAAACCTAGACATGTTGAACATGGAGAAGAAGCGAGCTCGAAACCAAAGAAACCATACGTTTATAGGCCCAAAAAAGTAAGTAATGGCAGAACGTTTGGCGAAAGAATTCTACAATAGCTGAAAGTGAATTTTATGCCCTTAATAGAAAGCCTCAGAGTACAGCACAAATGAGCATGTAATAAAAATGCGTGCTCGTCAGGCAGAGATACGATCGGTGAGTGGAACTTGACAGAAAAGTATAGCAACCAAACTGATACGAAGGTTGTGCGATCAGGATCCTGCAAAACGCGAAATTTATTTACAGCAGAAGAAAGACTATCGCAGGAATCAAAAAGCAAATCTTCCATCAGGAAGAAAACATCGGAAATTTAGCGAAAATCTATTACCGATGAAAGATTTGATTCAAATGGAGAAAAGTGGAACGCTCAATGAAACACACGATGCACAATTGAAACATTTACGAAGACAACGTCACTTATCCAATAAAAGATATCAGAAAAAGAACAATGCAGAAGCAAAACCCGGTCAGTCAGGTGGCAATCGCGGCTTAGCTAAAGGACCATCACACTCTTGATACATTATAGTATTCTGCCTCATATCCCGGAAGACAGAAGCCCATGATGCCTTTAATTACTCTGTATCTGATAGCACCAAATTACATGATCTCTACCGCCAACAAGTATGATTGAGTGGACACATTTCTTCTTCATCATTGCCTGCCTTCAGCTTACCGAGTGCCTCGCAATTGATGGCACTAATCAGAGAAGCTTCACACTAATGAGAAGGTCTCAAGCATCGCCACCTTCTGACGATTTCTTCAACTTCAATGACGATCCTTTTGCCAAACACTTAGCGGACACTTTTACTGCTAAAAAATCATCTTCACCTGCTTCTGCAAGCAAATCGTGGGATCATACCCCTTCTGAACACAGCGATGCGAATGCTTCAAAGACAACGAAAAGAAAACAACCTTATGTCTACAGACCAAGGAACGTAACAATTGAGTGTACGACCAGATGATCTTACAAACATTGTGCTGACCTCAGCTTTACTCGAATGTTCTAGATGGATTCAGAGTATGTTAATAATGATTCGGCAAAGAGGGCACGCGGTCATCAAGAGCGAATGCGTTTGGTGAGTATGATGACTGGAGCCTTGATGCACATAAATGTATTGCTGAGATGAGTTCAAACACCTGTATTAGGATCCAAAAGTACATGAAGCATATCGAATTCGAAGGAGAGAAGCTGCACGAGCGAAGAAGGGAACAGATTATAAGAAAAACAATATGATATTCAATAAACCCCTGACTCCATTAACACAATTGATAGCGCTAGAAAAAGCAGGTCAAATCAACGAACAACAAAAATTGGAGCTTGCTCATCAACGAAAGGTAAAGAAAGCGGCTAATCAGAAATATAGGTCAAAACAAAAAAATATATAGAGGTTTAAAATGTGTCTGATCCTTTCCCAAAACTGTCTTTCAATCTATTCTATTGCCGATCCCGTTACCGGATTAATAGTCAGCTACAGAAATGCAAACAGCCACCTGACAGGCATGCATGCACAGAGCTGTGCAAAACACAATGTATCCCACAGCATTTTAAAAGAATGCAACTTGAAAATTCTGATAGTGAAGCTTCATAGCTCTCCATCATTACAATCTAGCAAATTGGACTACGAAGGTTCTTATGGTTTTATGATTATCACCTTACTCAAATTGAAGTTGGTCCAGGTAAGAGGGTCAGATGTAGATAAGCTGTTCATTCAGAAGCGCCCATGTCTCCGACGCTTGCAAATTTGGCCGACATTGAAGACGTGAGATGTTGCAACTCGTTGTTTATTTGCTTCAAAATGCTCTTGGCATGTTGTCTCGTCCCATATCCCCGAAACCAGATGCTGACGACGCCTTCCTTAGCCTTAGAATACACATTCTCTCTTTTACGATTCTTACCACCAACAGATATGATTGGGCGGTCACGTCTCTCCTGTTGTATCATTCTCCTTCAGCTTTCTAAGTGTCTTGCATTCAATGGCAATATCGAAGCACGTTAAGATTAATCAAAAGGACTCATACACCATCCCCACCTTCGGATGAGTTTTTTAACTTTGATGATGAACCTTTTGCTAAACAATTAGCAGATAAATATACCGCCCAAGAATCGTCCTCGTCCGTAACTGCTGACAAATCAGGGGATCAAAACGTTTCTGAAAGTCAAGATGGAAAAGCAATAAGACCAAGGAAGCATAAAGTGCCTTATGTCTATCAACCAAGAAAGGTGAGAACTATGTTGAAAAAATCGGATATTTTTACGGTTACTGTGCTAACTGTAGCTATACTCGGAATGATCTAGGATGAATCACAGTATAGCAAAAATGAAACGGCAAAGAAGGCACGAAACTATTTAAAGCGATTGCGTTTTGTAAGTAAGATGACTGATGTACTGATACACTTGAGTGTATTGCTAATTTCAAAATATCAATAAAAGGACCCAGAAAAAAATGAAGCACGTCTGGCGCAAAGGAGAGCAGAACGACAAAGCTTCAAGATAACAAGACCGAAGAAGGCCTACAAAATTTTCGGTAAAGCTCTAACTCCTATGAAACAATTGATAGCGCTGGAAAAGACTGGGAAGATTAATGAGGTGCAATCATTGGAGCTTAGTCATCAAAGAGCAGATCGGAGCGCAAGTTATAGAAGATCGAGAGATAAGCGAAAGAAATCTATGTAGAAGTCTCAAGAATACTTCCGTTGTCATCTTACTTCGTCCCTTTGATTTGCATTTGAAATGAAATACGCAATTGTGTAAAGGGCGAAGATAAGAATACCAGGCTGTATGAAATACACAGCCTTGTGTAGCAATGCAATTTCAAAGTCCCTCACTTATTAGCTTTCGTGCTCTCCATCATCACATTCAAAAAAACCCACATCTAGGTATGCATACTTTCAAAAATGCCACAGTAGTTATTCTGGGTTGGGGATTGCTCTGTTGCTCTCTGGGCGCAATAATATCGAAAGAATATGACGGAGCTGTTCCCCTGTACCGTCGAGCAAGCGACGAAGAGCCGCCCATGTCTCCAACATTTGCAAATTTGGATGACATTGAAGATGTAGGGCCTTACAGCTCATTTCCATACCAGCAATTGCCGTCAAAAAATGACAATTTGCCTGTACAACATCTCGAGCAACATACGCCAGCCAACGAGCACATCGAACAACAAAGCGCAAGTCTTACAGATACAGCAAAGAAACTAAAGGAAAACAAAGAGAGACTTTCTGATAGACAGCGAAAATATCGCCAAAAACTGAAAAGCGATCCAAAGAGGTACAAAATGTTTAGGGAAAAACATGCTGAAGCACAGAATAGAAGAATGAGAAGATTTCGAGCAAAGATAAAGGAACTTGAAAGAACAGGCCAACTCAGTGACAAACAGAAAGAACAGATAGAAAGAACACGATTTAAAAGTCGATTGAGATCGAAAAAGCATTATGACAAGTTCAAAAAGAAGAAATCGTAGAACAAGCTCTTACTCTTTCCTTTCGGATGCTTCGTTCAAATTCTCCATGCGCGCCTTCTTTCTTGCATTCCACCTTTCTTTTGACATACTACGCCTTCGACGATATTCTGCCAATTGTATGCTTTGCTGCTCGTTTAATTCTTGCTTCCTTTCTAAGGATCTGAGATGTTTAAAATAGTTAATGAACTTTTTCTCTCCACTTCTATTTGTTCGTCTCGCACGTTCTTTTGAAAGATATCTTTCTAGCCTTTGTGGATCTTGACGACGTCTTTCGCGATACAACCTTGATCTACGGGCTCCACTACCTTCACTGTATTCCTTCTTAATCGTTCGTGGTGTATATGTACGTCGCACATATGGACGTATTTTTGTCTGTGATTGACTTGCGGGATCAATAGCGTTCAAGGTCTTTTGAACGCTACGGGTTTCTTCCTTCTGTGGCGACAAGTTCAAATCAATTTCAACACCATCTACATCTTTAATAGGAGACTGTCCCCTCTTCACCAAGATACGGCTTTGACTGCAGCGCAAACAAACAACATTGAGAATGAGGCAAACGATGAAAGCCGAGAAGAAAATGTTCATAATAATGGGATTTATTGCAAAGAAAGAAGAATATCTCGACTAGGTTGGCATTTCATGTAGTATTTTATTGCTTTCACTGCTTTAAGCTTTTAATAAACAATTTTAATTAAGCCCCGTTGCGCAAGCTTTCGTCGAATCGTATGTATCAATTGCGACAAGACAACACCCCACAGAAAGAGATGAACAACTCTAACAGTATCAAGACGCATAGGCCCCCGGGACCAGCCCCGACTAAGCAGACTGGCTCGATGGGCAAATTGACATTCTCAGTCTAGTATCATCGTAGAACGTGCAAGTACTTTAATCCATACTTGAATCTTTGGCTTGCTTTGCTTTTTTTCTAAATCTCTTTCTTCGTTCATATTCTTTTTCTGCACGGTGAGCCAGTTGCATTCGTTGTTCATGCGTAGCATTCCCTTCTCGGCGTAACCTTTTCAATTCTTTTCTTTGCTGAGATCGTTTTTCGCTGTTCTTCTTTCTTTTCTTTCCTTGAATTTCTTCGCGAGCATTCCAACGCTCTGGTTCCTTATGAAATCGAAAATGTTCGCAAGTTAATGTCATCAACCTACAAATTGCAGAATTCAACAATACTCACTTCATTACGCATATTCTCCAAAAATGCTTGCTTTTTTACCATCCAGTATGCTTTTTGATAGGACCTTCCAGTCTCTTTTGCCTAATCATCGCTAGATACGTTAGCATATGTCTTTGATCTGCAAGAAGTAATCTAACTCACATATATTAGTGCTTTGAGACGGAAGTCTTCATCGGCGGTGTAATGATTTGAATGACTCTCGCTATGGACAGATGGTCCTGGATGATGATCGTTGCCTCCTGGCTGTACTTCTGACCCTTGACTGGTTGAGTGAGTAAGCCTACCATCCTCACTGCTAGATTCTGGGGCCGGACTTTTGTTTAAATCGATTTCTCTATGATTATTTCCTCTTTTCTGTGATTGCACCGAAGGGAGAGCAGTGTAAAGGAGAAGAAAGCAATATAACAAAGTGAGCCGATTTACTTTCATTTAAATGGAAGTGCTCTGATGATGACTCATGTACTGTCGAGACTAGTCATCGGGTTGATAATTTAGATGAGAAGCACAAGCGCAAGTAGAATGTAACCGCTTGAAAGATAGCAAAAGACATGTTGCATCGATCGGGGCGTCTTTCACATGTTCCTATGATGGCGAGCGCATCGCATGCAATGACTACCGATTTTTTGTGGACAAGAGAACAAGCTCGTCCGGGTACTTACTCATGTAATCTTTAAACACAGCAAGCCTCACTGACTTGAGACAAACGCTCTAAGATGCATTTATGTAACAAATTGTGTGCACACTATTTCAACAGGCTGGAACAACTTCGATGAGGACAAATAACACACAAAACATTTATAATCAAAGGCACACATGCTTTGAGCTCCGAGTGAGCCGACTTGCAGGAACTGTCAGGTAACGAACGCAGATAGCTTTCGCTGTACACAATGCAGGTGCATCAGCTCTTGGTGGAAGAATCGACTTGCTTTGCCTTTTTCCTGCTTTTCCTTGATCGTTCAGTCCCTCTTCTTGTATGTTCAGCCAACTCTGATCGTTGTGCAGGTGTGATTTTGCCTTCTCGACGCAAGTTTATCAAATTTGCATATTGACTTCTTTGCCGTTTGATCTTCCTATTCTTTCTTTTAGCATTCTGATGCTCTTCTCTGGAATTCCAACGCTCTGGTTCCTGTAGAATCATGATCAGTCAAGTCAAAATCGCTTATGTATGATTTGTATAAGTTCCACGGAGACTCACATTAGTTCGCATGCGTTCAAGGAGTGCTTTCTTCTTGAACATCCAATAAACTTTTATGAATGACTTACCAGTATCTTTTGCCTGTCTTAAGCATGATTCATGAGTTTGCAAACTTAGTCGTAACAATCGGAGGTACTCACGTGCTGTCGTGCTTTTAAGTACAGATCATCTTTAGTTGAATCTTGATCCGTATGAGCTACAGTCTTAACAGATGATCGAGCATGCTGATCAATGCTTTCATGTCGTACTTGCGGTCTCACGCCAGCTCTAGCTTCTGAGGGCTGAGCAGGAGATCGAGTTCCATCTTCATCACTGCTGCTTTCAGCCGCCGGGCTCTTGTTAAGATCGAGATCTGCTCTTTTCACCAAACACTCAGGCCTGTAACCTCTTTCATGGAAATGTTGCAGAACGAAAGCATTACAAAAAGCGTGTGAGCACCACAATAACAATAAGACGAAACAAGTAAGATTCATTTCAATCTGAGTCTTGCAATAATAGCCAAACACATGCAGATCTTTCGACTGCGACTTTGCTGTAAAGATGTTGTTTGAAAAATGTAGAATATGAAATACTACCACCAATTCAAATTGTAGCGAATCGTATTCGTACATTCGGGGCTTCTTGCAGATGGCATATTGATGTTACAAAAAGCTTGCGAGGTTGTTAATGCACTTTGCATATGTCAAACTCAATTTTCACATTTGGGCAACAACTTTTTCTGACATTCAGTACGCATGCATTCGATAAAATGTGTGCATACCGTTGCAATGAGGAAGATCAAAATAGAGGAGATTGAATCAACTTAAGCTTTGAACTCTGAACAGACAGAATAGCTAATGCTCTCATATTTCATGTTGGAATTACCTTAGTCCTTTTTTGTGGAATCAAGTTGCTTTCGTAGCTTTGCCTTTCTTTTATTTTTCAATCTTCGTTCACTCCATTTCTTTGTTTCTTGAGCTAATTCCAGTCTTTGTGAAGGCGTAATCTTCCCCTCTCGACGTAACTTGAGTAAACGATTGTATTTACCTTTTGTCTTGCCAGTATAGATATATATCTTCTTCTTTGGATCAATTTGATTTTTATGACGAGCATTATATCGTTCTGGATCCTGATAAATCGTATGCAGGTATGTCAGAGTTTTTCAAAGCACACACTCATTGTGTACAACTCACATTCGCTCGCATATTCTCTAGAAAGGCTTCTTTTTTTATCTTCCAATATACCTTTTGATAAGACTTACCAGTCTCTTTTGCCTAGGTCGAATGAACGAAGATATAAGCTCGCCGATTTTGTTGCTATATATGTATGTACTCACCTGCTGTACTGCTCTAAAATGTATATTTTCTTTGGTAGCCTGTTGATATGGGTAACTTTCGACTTGAGTAGATGATCTGTTATGCTGATCAGTGCTTTCATGTTGCTCTTGTGACCTTGTTCCAGCTTCGAAAGGTCGTATAGAAGAGTGATTTATATCATCATCGCTGTTGGTCTCGGCGGCTGGGCTTCTATTCAAATCCAAATCTATACGGTTATTGCCCCTTTTCCGTAATTGTACCGAAGCGAGAGGAGTGCAAACAACAATGAAGCAGATTAATAATGGAAGAAGGTTGACAAACATTTCAATCTAGTTATTGCTGCATATGCGACGTTGAGACCGGAGTAATTGGTTGATGATATGCATAAAAACGAAGGAGAATATAAAATGCGACTGCTTAAAACAGCAGCAAAACAGGTATTCATTCGGGGCGGCGTCATCCAGCTGAACGTCCCTGTGATGACGAGCGTAGGCATTGAATATCGACTATTTGTTGTATAAATTTCGGTGCGGAAGAGAAAAGCAGTTTGTCTAAGTACTTTTCATGTAATATTTTAAAGATTCAAGCTTCGGTGACTTCAGAAAACAGCTGCTCAAACGCTTTAATACGCAAATATGTGACAAAATGCGTGCATACCATTGCAACAAGCTGGGGCAACATAGATGGGGACCAATCAATCACATAGCGCTTTTGTACATGGTATACGGCGCTTAAGCTTTGTAATCTGAACGGGCAGACTGGCTATGAATGGAAGATAGGATCGTAGATGACTTCACAATTTCTGTTATGGGTACCTTAGTCCTTTTTAGTGGACGCAAGTAGCCTCGCCTTTCTTCTACTTTTCAATATTCGTTCAGTCGATTTCTTTGTTTCTTGAGCTAATTCTATTCGTTGTGCAGGGGTGATTTTCCCTTCTCGTCGTAGCTTGAGTAACTTTTGATACTTGCTCTTTAATATAACAGCGTAATGAGTTCTACCCTGTTTCTGAGTACTACTTTGTTTCTGCTTCTTGGCTTGACGAGCATTCCAACGTTCCGGTTCCTGATCAATAGTAGTTAAGCATATAAAAGTCATCAATGTATACATTTTATATAAAATGTAACTCACATTTACTCTCATATTCTCTAGGAACTCTTGCTTTTTGATCTTCCAATATGCCTTTTGATAGGAAATGCCAGTCTCTTTTGCCTATTTTTGAGTAAGTACATGAGCTCAGGAACTTCAAAACTACGCAACAATATACTCACATGCTGTGTTGCCCTGAAATGTAGGTTTTCTCTGGTGGTGTAGTACTCATCTGGGGCTCTATATTGGGCATATGATTCGGCATGTTTCTCGCTCCTTGTCCCAGCTTCTGAAGCTTGATTAGATGACCGGCCCACCTCACCATCACTACTTGACTCGGCTGCCGGGCTTTTATTCAAGTCTAATTCCATACGATTGTTTCCTCTTTTCTGCAGTTGAGCTGAAGCTAGAGTGAAATATAGAACAGAGAAACAGCACAAAACCACGACGTGATTGAGCATCATTTCAACCTAGTACATTTGATAATAGGCGCACCCTGGTCTGTTGATAGAAGTGTGGTGCGATTTGATATTTATAAGTGCGAGCGGAAACAAATCGACAATGATGAAAAATTGTATGATAGTTGTTTTTGCGGGGCATATAAGTCAATTTTGCGGTATTGTGTATCTGAATGCAAATGCATTCCTGGCTTCGGTTCGACAATGCAACAGGTTTGGACTTAGATACAGACGTCGACACATATAGTTAAATTGAAAAGATGAGGATGATCGCGATTTTCGGATCACAAAAAATGGCTAGCAAAGCAAATTTAGGTATGCAAAGTAGCTTTACGATACATCAGAGAAACATTCTAGTCCTTTGCAGAAGTCTTGTCTTGCATCTCTCTTTCTCTTCTCTTTATTCTACGTTTTTGTCTTAACATTGAGTACTTTTGTTTCTGATCTGCCAATTCTGTTTCTTGTGCGAGCGTAAGTTTTCCTTCTCTACGTAATTTAAGCAACCTTAGATATTTATTCTTGGGCCTGCCAGGATCATTCATTTCTTTCCTTTTTCTCTTCTCCTTTTTGACTGCTTGACGAGTGTTCCAACGTTCCGGATCCTGATAAGTACGGGAAACACATCAGAATTATAAAGATATACCCCATGCAACTTGTCTGAAACTCACATTCACTCGCATATTTTCCAAAAACGCTTGCTTTTTTATGATCCAGTATGCCTTTTGATAAGATTGACCAGTCTCTTTTGCCTATTAAACAACGAACATGAGCTGAAAATCGTTTTTCACGATGTATGTCTCAACTCACATGCTGTAGTGCTTTCGTACGTAAGTTGTCTCTGGCAGCGCTATCATCTATAGGATTTTTGTTATGTCCAAAGGATCCGGTATGTTGATTGCTGTCTTTCTTTTGTACTTGCGGATTTGAACTTATAGTAGCTTCGGGAGAGTGACTGAAAGACTGATTTACTTCATCATCACTGCTGCTTGCGGCGACCGGACTTTTATTCAAATCCAAATTCCTGTGATTGTTCCCTCTTTTCTGTAGCTCAACTGAACCGAGAGCAATACAAACAGCAAAGCGATACCACAGGATCACGATTCGGCAGAATATCATTTCAAACCGATCTTTACACCTCTGACATTAAACGCATGTAAGCCGGTCGGTCAGAGTCTGTGATGATGATCTTAAAATTTTCGGAGAAAACAATACAATCAAAGATAAAGTATCAGGCTGTTCATTCGGGGCATCAAAACCTCCGTACGACGATCTCTACAATGACGAACGCAGCAGGTACCTGCTAGCGTCAGATCAACGACGCAACATTTTTTCGGGCCTGGACATTGACAGGGACATATAATGTAAAAAGGGGAGGATGTTGGTTAGAATAAAAATGTATTAAAATCAGATAAGCTCGGTCATGTTGCTTATCAACATTTCATTTCAAAACTTTGTAGAAGATTTGGCTTGTATTTGTCCTTCTTCCTTTTTCTTCTTCCTATATCTTTGCTTTCGAATCAAATCTTTTCGTGCTTGATCCGCCAATTCTATCGATTGTTCAGGCGTAATCGTTCCCTCGTTACGTAATTTGATTAACTTTTGGTATTTGCTCTTTGGTCTATCAATATTACGTCTTTGATTTATCTTTTTTCTCTTGCTCCCTTGGATTTCTTGACGGGTATTATAACGTTCTGGTTCCTGATCAAAAGCATTTTGAGCATATCTGGATCATCAATGTACAACATATGATTTACCATCCCCAACTCACATTCACTCGCATGCTCTCTAAGAATGCTTCTTTTTTGATCATCCAATATGCTTTTTGATAGGACGAACCTGTTTCTTTCGCCTAATTTATAATGGATGTAAGCTTACGTGCTTTCACAACAAGCTTAAACTTACCTGGTGTAAGGCTTTCAAATGTAGTTGTTCTCTAGCAATGTGTTGATCCTGAAGATGTTGGATCAGAGCAGATTTTTCGGTATGTCTATCGCTGCTTGTTGTAGCTTTTAGAGGTTGATTAGGAGAGTGGTTTAAATCATCATCACTATCAGTTTCTGCGGCCGGACTCTTATTCAAATCAAATCCTGTATGTTTATTCGCTCTCTTCCGCAATTGCACCGAAGCGAGAGCAGTATGAACAACGAAGGACAACCACAGTGTTACGAATCGGTTTATTGTCATTTCGAACCGATCTCTATGTCTCTGACATAAGCCGCCAGTAGAAATACTGATCTGAGATGATGATCTTTAAAAGTGCAGGGAAAACGAACGAGATACGGTGGGTATGGATGAATCATATCAAGGCTGTTCATCCGGGGCGTCAAAGTATTCCGCATGTTGATTGGTATGATGACGAACGCAAAAGATATTTGTTGGCGTCAGATCGACAGAGCAGCCAATAGATCACTTCATGTATTCGTTCAATGATCATTCAATATTGATTTGGTAGTGATCAAGATGATACCCTTTTAGTGAGTGCATGCATGCTTGTTAGTTTAGCCTTTGTATAAAATCGCCTGATTTGCAATAAATCGCGTGAATAAAGAAAAAGGGTTGCAGCTGCACAGCAACATTTTAAGCTTAAAGCGTTTTACCACTCTCATGTTGTCCGGCAATTGATTGACAAGGTGGAGAGACTCAGGGCTTAGAGGGAAATATGATTGCTCGACAAGAAGATTGTTGAATAGAGGAGGTCAGACCTCATCTTCATCATAACCACCACCATCATCTCTGTGGCGAATCAAAGAACAATGTCAGGCTCGACATACTTATTCGATAATGACTATATTCGTCTAGATGCCGCGCCTTCCAAAGTCTTAGTCTCCGCTCTGGTGGTTTCGATATCATTCTTACTTTACCTTGTCTTTGTTCCACCTCGTAAATTGTACGCAAATGACAATGGTGTTCAAATCATTCGAAATCGATTTCCAGGATTAGGAGGTGTTGGCTTTTATGCAAACAGATATCAATAGTACGTAAGGTGGTTAAAGATTGCACATCTTTGAGGCTTCTACTAATCAGCTCTCTCTCCCTTTCTACTTTACAGTCTAAATCGAGTAGTAACAAAAGATCCTGCTCATCCGCATCACGGAATAGCCAAATTTAATCTATTAGGAAAAGTTGTTTACCATGTAGGCAGTAATGATCCCGAAACGATGCGAGCCATTTGCACGAACAAAGACCTTAGCTTTTCTCAAGGTAATCAATTCTTATTCGCCGGTATTCAAGGCGCAGGTCAAAAAGGTTTAAATGAAGAAGGTGAAATGGATGCAACCGAAAAAAGAGAAATGAAAGATTTAGCAAAAGCAATCACTCCGAGAAGTATGTATTTCTTTTAATCTTAAGCGAACTGCTCAAAGCTGACACCTGACCTCCTTCTTGTTTCAGGACTGAATAATATGGCACCCCGGCTTGCAGCTGATGCTTATGAAGCAATAGAGAGCTATTTTAACAATTCAAAGAGCGCTTCGATCGATCTACAGCAGACATATTACCCACTGGTGTTTCGATTCACAGTTCGTATAATGGGAATGGCAGAATATGCATCTTCGCCAAAAGAATTGGCTAAATTGATCAACGCATTTTGGCTTACCCAAAAGAATTCAGGATATTGGACAACAATTTTACCATGGTTACCGCAACCTCGACTGCTCAAACGATTATACGGAGCTGTGACTCTCTGGACAATGGTTCGTTCAACGTTGAACAAACGAATTCAATCAGGTAATCGTGAAGAAGATTTCGCACAAGATATGATCGATCAAGGTCATCCTGCAGGAACGATTAGTAGATTTGTCATTGGTGGTTTGATTGCTGGTATCTTGAACACAATCGGAACAGGTGCTTATTCGGTCGCATTCGTTGGTGCTGATGCAGCTCTACAAAAACAATGTCGTCAAGCTGTCAATGATGGCATTCGAAGAGCATGTGAAACACATGGTGAAGATTTTGAAAACTTGACACCATTAGAACGACTACAAACAGTACGTTTAGAAGATTGGGAACAATTTGAAGAATTTGAAATCTTACATTTGGTTTTCAAGGAATCGATTCGGTTAATGTTGACAAACTCATTGAATCGGTATTACCCTGGTCCTACTCGCAACAAGGATGGCTCTTTGCGTGAAAGGTTGGTAATCGAAGGTCATGAGATCGAAGATGATGTCTATATTTGCTTCTCTCCTCCTTCAAACTTACACGATGCTAAGGAATACCCAAACCCTTTCAGCTTTGATCCTATGCGTTACAAACGTGGTGAAGGTCAAACGGATTATAATTTCATCGCATGGGGAGCTGGTTATCATAAATGTACTGGTCAGCGCTTTGCCAAGTTGGAAACTATTATTGCATTGGCATCATTCTTGCTATTCACAGATGAACTCAAAACAACGGATAATAATGGTGAGCCTTATTCGTTGGCGCGCGTACCTTTACCCGATCTCAGTCAAGCACATTGGAGAAGTCCTACAAAGCCAATGAGAATTCAATTGTTACGTAATCATTCCAAATAGATCTTTCTCCCTCTCTTCTTCCTTTTCAAAGATACCCATTCAATGTATACAATTGTTTATCTCTACCTCATTCGTGACGTCAATTAAAGGAAAAAAAAGAAATGATGCAGGATTGTACTATTTTACTGTATTGAGATTCGATGCTGCGAAAATTGCTACTATTTGGATGTCGAAAGCGTGAACTAGTGACTGATAAAACAACCTATTTTGACAAGGTGGAAAAAAGAAAAGATAAAGCGTTGAAATTGCTCTGCGGCTGTGATTGACAGTTGCGATTGATGTACGTAATAGGAAGGTAGGTGAATTCTTCAAAGGAGGAAAGCGGAACTCCGACCGATCGATTTCCAAAAAAAAAAAATCTACATTATTTACGTTGATTCATATTATTTAGATATTTTTCTTGATAATCTTTCTCTCTTCTGAAAAGAAGGATATGCGGCTCTGGTGCATGAACTTCATAATGTTCCCATCCCAAACTTTGCGTGATTCCAATCTTTCGCCATTCTGCATCTTTTAGGATCCGTAGCACTCCAGGCTCATCTGGGTCGAAATAGTCCCGAGGGATCAATTTTAGTAGAGGTTTCGGCAGGATGACGTGACTGGATTCAGAAGAGGAGAGCGGTAAGTATGAGAACGTTGGCCATCATTGCATCATTAGCTGGACACTTACCGGTATTCCCACTTGTCATCGGAGTACTTTTCCGAATAATGTATTCTGTGAATGGTTGGAGATAGAAGGTAGGTCAGATCACAGCTCAAGTGAAATAGCCATGCAGTGTTGCTCACCTTTCCACATAGTCTTCATATGATGGCTCTCCGGCCTTCTTTTGGGCGTTTGACATGATGATCGATCGGGTCTTACTGCTCTTTCGGGGTTTGGTACTTTGAGCAGTATTAAGCCGAGTCTGTCAATGTCTTGTGGTAGTTGTATACTCCGACTCCAGATAGCACCTTTGGAAAGGATACTTTAGCCAAGAGTTGGGCGACGATTGTATGGCGGTTAAAGGTGTGAGTGATGGTGGAAAGATCTATTTAATTCAATCTGGGCAAACGCCATTTTTTTCCTCTCACTCACTTTTTACACCTCCTTTGGCTGGAATTGTGCGTAGATTACAGGAACGCGTTCATTCATTCGCGTTGCCCACATAGGTGTTGTTCTTTCATTGTGTGTTGATTGGAAACGCGTTTTGGCTCAAGGCATTTTAGGCTTGCATACATTCTGTCATTTTGTCATTCAACCATCAACAACTCTACTCGCAATCAGATCATTTGTCAGAATGAATGATTACATCGCCAATCTGCACAGGATATTGATCCACATGTTATGTCATGGGCGTACGTAGATCCTTTTTATTCAGTTTGAGACATCTGCCAACAATCATGATATAGCCCCGGAAAAAGCTTCGATTGATATTTTGTAACTGAGCTTTTAACAATCATCATTTGGAGCATTGCTTCGACTATCCCACAGCCATCAGGATGATACAGAGTAGGCTGATCACATTAGTGTATCTATTGCAATTGGTCGTACTGACGCAATGCTGTTGTATTCCCAAATTGGGTATCGGACGTAACGATAAGCCAGAAAGAAAGAGTAAGCTTTATAACGCCACAAAACAACAAGAATTGCTTAAAACTGAAACAGCAAAACAACAAAAATTTCAATCACAAGCAAACGATTTACGAAAGACATCCAAAAATCCATTTTCAAACGAACGTAAGATGGCACGTAAATTTAGTAAGAATGCAAAGATCTCCGAAAACAATATCAAAGAAATCAAAAAGTTACCTCAAACAGGTGGATATGCAATCGTTCAAAAAACGAAAAGCGGAAGCAATGCAAAAATAAAGGCATGGCAAGATCCAACTTGAGGCCCTTCTTGATTGACATCATTTTTACGCCTTGCCATTCCTTTCATGGCACTTTTTTCCCGTCGATGGGGCTGAATTGGTGCGATGTTAGAGGTAATAATGCGGCTTAAATGTAATGCGTTTGAATACACAAGATAAGGTCAGCTAAACATATAAAAGTCCTCGACAACTTCAATGATTAATCTGATTGCTTCCCACCATCAAAGGAGCTTTCCTTTACGTCTCTTATCTTTTTCTGATCTTTTGTCTTCTATGTTTTGATATCTGTCTTCCATCTCTGTTATTGCCAACCTCGTACAGCTTCAAACATATGTTTCGTGTGAAATTGTTCACCATTCTGAGAGTGTAACTCCTTGATTTGAGTATGATAGCACTCTAGTATGACTTTCTGCGGCGGTGTTTAAACACGCTCGCGGCTTGTTTATCTTCAAAGGTGTTTACTGGCACATCTAGGCAAAGCATATCATTACGCTGCAGCTCGGCTTACATTCGGTGCTTTTGTGTACACAAATAGGGTACAGACTGTATATTCAGGTATCTCATCTGCAAAGATTACGAAGCTACGAAGCGGTGTAATCGAGACTCCATCGAAAAGTATAAAGATTGTTGAAAACTTCTTAAAGCCAACTCCCTACTTTCTAAGATCATCAAGCAAAACATACCTCTACCAATTTTCGGCAGGTATCTAATTCATCATGCAGGTTTTCTTTTTGCTCTGTTTCTTTCTATTTCTCTCAATGACTTCTATCGACGCAATGCCTGCTTGTAGTAAAATATCTGATCTCTTCAGTAAGAAGAAACCCGTATATGGTAGCCAACCAACAATTGCTGCAACTGCTTCTCCTAATGCAGAAGTTCGAACGGTTGACCCAAGCTTTCGTCAAGTGTACCCAGGCGTTTTCCCTACAAATAGGAATAGAGCCGTTTCAGATGCTCTTTTCCATCACGACAGTGGCAATCCAGCGGGAGCAGTACCTCATGAGAGAACGCAAGCTTACATGAATCACAACCTGCAAGTCCTTAACAGCACTCCCGACGGTGGTAAAGTTGCATTCTCTAAATCCGAATCCGGCCGCAATAGAGTTTTACATCCCGCTAAAGAATAATTTGTTTAGTGAGGAGTTACAGTTTCTCATCCGAAGTCGCTTTCTCTACCTCACTTCGTATCTCCTACAAGTCTTTTATGATTTAACCTGTTTTTCTTTTGATATAGCCTTTGATGTTTTCTTCTTCATTGAATTGCATTACTGCGAGGCACACGATAGTTTTGATTCAGTCCTTGTCTGGATATAGCACTGCAGATAGAGAACTTGTGGCGGTGTTCAAATCATTCCGCGGCTATGAAACAGCGCCGGAGGGGATTACGGCAGAATCTATAGCTGCTTCAGCGGCCGTGGCTGAGAAAAGTAGTCCCGGGAAAGCAAGATTCGATAACCTGAGAAAGTCCGCCCCTATCCCTGATTGTGCTAAAGGTGAAGACCCGACACATACAAACGCTGCCCGCTCGGTAAAATTTAGCCACTATTGAACAACATAAATATCGAACAACATAAATATCTCCCTCTTGTAGCTGATGAGCCCATTATCTCTTCAAGTCTTTCATCGAAGCTACATCGCTCATCGAGACTTTTCTATGACTCATTTTTGTTCTGACAAGATGTGCTTAACCAAGAAGCTTGTATGCTTTCTTTTCTTCAGTCTGCTCTTTGCTATGACTCTTGTTGATGTAGTACACGGTTTATCTTTCTCAAGTAAGAAGTCTGCATCGGCTACGGTAGCTTCTTTGACTTCAAGCAAACCGAACATTCCAAAGAAAGCACCGAAAGATGTACCTACAACAACATTAAGACCTGGTGATCACAAGATCTTTAGTGATCAGATCGCGCGGAAAAAGGCTTCTGCAACAGAAGCTGCTCAGTATAATCATGACAGAGGCAATCCAGCAGGGGCAGTGAATCATGAAAGAGCAAAGGCTTATTTGGAACACACTCAGAAAGTGATCAATAGTACTCCAGTAAATGGTAAAATCAAGATCTCAAGGTCTGAATCCAATCTCAATACAGTATATCATCCTGCTAAGAAGAGTTTCCGCTTGTGGTGAAATGCTGCAGTCTTTTATTAGTCTTCTCTTGTCTTTTTTTCGTTCTGTTTTGATATAAATTTATTCACTATAGCTTTTTTTCATCTTTCGTGTGACATTCTGTGCATAAAGTAGAATTAGCCGTGATCTTAAGCATACAGAGGAACGTTCATCTTACTCTGTGTCAAGATTCTTCCATCCCTTTTGTTTGGTGTCGGGGCCAATTCACATTCCTCGAAGCCCTCTTGGGTGAGCTGGCGTCTTTGAGACATCGGGAAAAGACCCGATGTTGGCAAAAGAGCATGAAGTGATAGGTGCCCCGATGATGAAAGCATAGCGTTAAAAGTATATAAAGTGCTCTTTCATGTACTCCTATCGGGAAAGGAACCAGACACTCTTCGAATCTCTTGGTATTCAAAAAGCAGATATGAGGTTAAACTTATTCGTCATTTTGACAATCTTGATTTCCGCTTTTTCGATTGCTGAAAGTGGATCTGAGGTTAGGAACCTGGCAAGTCGAACCAGCTTAAGAACACGAGGTCGAGATATCCGAGTGGAAGCAAGGAGATTAGCTCAGAAGGAAAAACAAGTTAAAGAGCTCGATCAAATGGCCAAAGCAAATCAAAGACAAGGTTTTCATGATGTTGCCGAAAAGCATGTGAAAGCTAAAGCCGAAATTGAAAAAAGTGCAAAGTTAAATCAGGACAACCTTTCAGTCTTAAGTAAGAAACAGCAGCCTTCAAAGATGACTAGAACTTCAAGTGGCAAACAAAGAATCGTTCCTGCTATCCGTTTGAAGCAAGGACCATGAAAGTTTGTTTCAAACGAGGAGGCGGTGTAGACGGCACTCCTTTATGCTAGGTGATATACCTATACTCTTCTGTATCAGTTTGTTTACATTTTGACCCTTAAAGCCCCATCTTACTGCAATCTGTGTATACTTCGCTACACTAGGACTGAATCATTATGCTATTCTCAATTCATTTGATTGCTCAAAGATACCTAGATAACCATCATACTGTCTGACATATCGCACACCACCGAAATGAACGCTTTCAGCCTTATTTTGTTGTACAGTTCTATTTTTGCTTTGGTTGCATCAAGTCCAGCTCTGGAGCAGATCAAAAATCTTGTTGGTTCAGGGTGGAAGAAAGTGCCTGCAGAAAACCGAGCAGGCCACCTTCAAATCCAAATGAATGAATTGGATGAACGTAATGGACAAGTTCATACCGCAAAGACTAAAGCTAAATTTCACATGGATAATGGCAATGCAAAATCCGCTGAATTTCATGAGAAAACCGCCTTACAAAGACAAAAATCCGTCACAAGAATCACGAAGAATATTGGAGTATTGCAAGATTTTGGACATGTCAAGATGAAAACATTGAAAGGCAACAGACCAGTCTTAAAGCCTAAAGAGAAATAATGATTGCGCTCAAAGTTTCCTCTCGAGTCTGCAAGCCGATATTCTTCTAATGTCTATGATTACTAACAACCATGATCTCTGCAACATCCATTTGTACCTGACCTATTTTTTCCTTGAGTCTCTGCCTCATCTTTTCTATCGTTTCATCGTATATCATCAAGTACTGATGCAGATTATGGACGTATGTCTATAGCTTGATTGCTTGCTTTAAGTCTAATTAGCCGGATGAAGAGATGACAAAGCACAGCTTTGCCACACAATTTTGAGCCTCCGGAGGAGTTTGGTAACCACAGCCCACCCTTGCCTTTACGCAAGTCGGTGTATTCACGCCCCACTCATGCGGCGGGGTGGGCCATATGAGGTATACCGGGTCTCAAACATTACTGACTCTCAACAAATGTTTTAGGCATTTGTGGCAATTTCAGAAGTATAAGTACGACAATTACGACAGATTGATTTTCGTCACTACGACGTCATCGATAAGTTTATTTTCCGCAAGCATGAATTTCTTTCGACTTTATTTCTTTCTTCTTGTATTGACAGCAACTATTGTAACGTCAGCTCCTGCTGGTATGCTGCAACGTATAAAGAATTCATCAATCGTTCAAAAGGTAGGACAAAAAATCAACGGACATAGTTCTGTAAAAATGCGCGAACAAGATAGAGTCAGCTTTTTGTCACTCTCACAAAGTCAACTTGCTGATAGAAAAGCAGCTCATTCTATGGCACAAAATCGAGCAAATGAAGCAATGAGGAATGGAAACAGAGCTGAGCTTTCTAAACAAGCACACATCGGTATCGATAGACAAAAATCTATTACAAGATTGGAAGGAAATGTCCGTGTCTTGGGAGGTAACAAGCCGGTCAAGTATAAAGAGAAAGGAAATAGAGTAACCTTCATGCATCAGTGATTATGATGTGTGTATGTGTGATTAGACCGTATGTGTACGCCGTGCTGGTTTTATGGCGTGTCTTATATTGTCCTTTCATGTATATGCAATCCTTTTCCTAGTCCTAATAAAGACTTATAAGTTACTTTGAGGATGACCAAGCTGTACCTTTGTAATCAACTTAGATTTTAGCAACAAGTCGTATTCCTTCAGGGCTTCGTCTTAGCTAAAGAACGCCAAACAACTTTCCGTGATCACGCTCGGATGCCCCTGCTATTTTTCGTATCGCAAGGCAAGTGCTAAATAATTCGATTTCACTGAAAGCCTCATTATAATTTCCTCTTTGCCCCGTGTCACTCGAAGCAGCCTCAGCCTCTTCTAAAGTAGCAGCTCCGCCCTTTCGAATAGATAAAAGAGCAATCTTCTGGGGCTAAAGCACTTTGATCTGCTGAAATTTTTTCTTGAGATAAATACTTCTAACGAGAAAAGGGAATTTCTACTCGTTTGATGCTATCTCACGCTTACGATTTCTTCAAATTAAAGATTTATTTGACATATGAATATCACTCGTATCATCGTAATTTTCAGTCTGGGACTGGCCTCAATGATTTATTCGTTACCTATCATAAAACAAATTAAGAAGCTTACATCAGGAGGAGGGTGGAAAACAATGCCTGAACAAGATAGGCGTGGTCATCTTACAGTTCAGAAATCGCAACTTGCAAATCGTAAACACGTTGTTCAACAATCGGAAAATAGAGCAGCAGCAGCTTTAGCAGATGGCCGTAAATCAGATGCTGAGAAACATCAAAAGGTGGCTTTTGAGAGACAAAAATCTGTCGTTCGATTAACGGAAAATGTTTCAGCGCTGGAAAAAACCAAGACACTCAAGATGAAAGAGTCAACGGGTAATAAATTACATTTTAAGCCTAAGAAGTCGTAAAAAATGAAATGCTACCGCTTCTTGATCGTGAAGAGCCAGCTATACTGTGAGGCTCGCACTGCTGTGTATGGCTGTGCTTAGAGTCATATATGCAAAGTAGGCATTTGAGCTATGTATATGACTCGGAAACGGAAAGAACTTGGCAAATAAGCTGCGTAAAGAGCAAAAACCCCGAACGATGAAATTTTTGCTTTTAGTCATGAAAGAGGAAGGAGGAAGGCTATGACTATGCTAGTTTTTGACTCAACAGGGAACACCACAAGTCTCATTGTGTTTTCTCTTTGCAAGCTTTACGATGTTATTCATTCGCTTGGTCATGCTCTTAGCCGTCTGTACAATATTGACGTCTGCTGCTCCCAGTTGTTTTGGATGTATCAATGGTATAAAAGCAAAGAAATGGAAAGTCCACGAAGTTCTACGAGCATCTTATCTCAGAGATCAAGAACATGCTTTCGAGGTACGTTCTCAACAGATTGCTGCGTCTGAAGCTGCTATTAGATCACATCCAGCTACGCTTTCAGAAGCTACTGAACCTCACAGATTGGACATAGCTAATCGTCAACAATCCATTAAACGCATTGAACGTAACATCGAAATTTTGAAAAGTGGTGAACCTGTCACGTATACCATAAAACCTGGTGCAGATCATGGTACAGATCAAAAAACTTATTATCAGACTAAAGTCTAAGCACTAATATCGAGTCGTTGCTTCAACATCTTTCATCTCCCTCTTCCTTTCTCCCCTTCTATTATTTTCATAACTTGTATCGCTCCTCTATTATATTTCTAGCTTCTTTTTATTCTTTATAGACGTTTTTTTTGTTTATTATCTTACTTTATATGTCTGTTTTTGATGGCCTAGTATGTAAAGTGAGCCCCCGATCGCAGTATGTCATCAGAAAGCCATAAACTCAGTCTCTAGGGCTATAGTAGAAACCAAATGATAATCTTTTGCCTTTTGATCATAATATAGCAGTTGTATAAAAAGCCTTCCTATGTATGGCTGTGCTTAGAGTCATACATGCAAAATAAGCATTTGAGCACTGTATATGATTCGGAAACGGAAACAACTTGGCAAACAAGTTGCGTAAAGAGCAAATAATCCCCGAATGATGAATTTTTAGTGATGATTATGAAGATGGAAGGCTATAAATAAACTCATTTTTATTCAACGAGTATCATCACAAGTCTTATTATTATTCCTCTTCGCAAGCTTTACGATGTTATTTATTCGCTTGGTCATCTTTTTGGCTATCTGTGCACCACTAGCAACTACTGCTCCTAGTTGTCTGGGAATTAATATCCCAAAGAAGGTTAGATCAGCTGATAAAGCAGCTCATCTTGAAGAGCAAAAGTCTCAACGTGATATTCGTACAAATGAAATTGCTAGATCTGAAAGGATTATTGATTGTTATCACGATAAGAATTCAGAAGGTGCTAAACTTTATAAATCAGATATTGTTGATCGTCAAAAGTCATTGAAACGTATTGAACGTAACATCAAAGCTCTTGAAAGTGGAAAAATTGTGACGCATACCACACAGCACGGCGCAGACAGAAAGACCTATAGGAGTTGGCCTTAATGGCGAGTCATTGCTATGATAATTTACATCTAGCATGCCACAATTACATTCTTGTTTTTTTATAGCCTTCAATCTATCCTCTCTGTATTTCCTCTTTCTCTTATCATATCACAAGTCTATTATTCCATTTTCTAGCTGTGCTTGGCCGTGTTCATGATCAGATATTTAAATCATTTTAACGCCACCTGCCAAGCGAATTGTGTATGTAGCAGGGTGAGTGATGCTTTCTTACCTTTTAATCGTGAAGATTTGTATTCCTATGCATGGCTATGATCCTGGTGGCGTATACAAGGTAGTCCCTAATGATTGTGTAACACTTGCGTACAGCTAACGATTTGCTTGAATGGTAGAAGCCCCGAATATCGAAATTTCAATTTTTTGATCATAAAGGAGGAAGGCTACAAATACCCTCACTTTTACTTAACGAGTACCCATCACAAGTCTCATTGTGATTCCTCTTCGCAATTTTTACGATGTTATTCATTCGCTTGGTCATCTTTCTTGCCTTCTGTGTATCACTGATATCTGCTTCTTCTAGTTGCCTTGGCTGTATCTTCAAGGCACCAAAAGTCAAAGAAACAAAGGTCCCTGATCATGAACGAATAGCTCATCTTTCAGAGCAACAAATTGATCTTCGTCAGCGTAACCAACAGGTGGCTCGTTCTGCCGCTCAGATTAGAGCACATCCATATCCGCATTCAGATGCTACAATCCCTCAAAGAAATGATATTATGAATCGTCAAGATTCAATCAAACGTATCAATGCTAACATCAAAGCTTTGGAAGGCTCAAAATCTGTCTCGTTTACCACAGAACGTGGCACAGGTAAAAGAATTTATAAGACCTCGCCGTAATGGCGAGTGGTGACTATGACATTTTACGTTGTTGACCTTAGTTACCATAATACATCTCAGTCATTCCTCTGCTACTTTCATGACTTATACTTGCCCCTGACTGTCACTTTTATAGCTCTTGTCTTTAGCCTTCATTCGTCTCTCTCTGTCGTCCCTATCACAAGTTTCTTATCTCATCGTTTCTCTATATGTTGTGGCTGTGTGTCAGATGTTGATGATGGTAGAGCAAATGATTCTTTATTGAGCACGTGCTTGATTCACTCATTGCATTCAAAAGGCCGTGCGCGTTGCACTTTTGCATGCACACTGTGCTCTTGTGCTTCCTTCCCATTCTTAAGTTTGTTGAAAGATGTTGGGCTTCGGAAGGTTCGGATTTTGTTGGATTGATTGATTGGAAAGTGCAGTGCATAACAAACAGCACTTCCTTCTTCTTCTCCTTCTCGTCATCATACAACATATAACCTTTTATCACAATCATGTCTTTATCAAACAAACTCGCCATCACTGATGTGGACGTAAAGGACAAGAAAGTCTTGATCCGGTAAGTGTATGTTGGGAGAAATTGCCTCCACCTGCACTCATTGCTAACATTGGCCAATCTTTCCCTCTTATTCCAGTGTTGACTTCAACGTTCCTATGGACGGTGAAAAGATCACTAACCCACAACGTATTCAAGCTGCTTTGCCAACAATCAAATATGCGATTGATAATGGAGCCAAAGCAATCATCTTGATGTCTCATTTAGGTCGCCCAGACGGTCAAAAGGTATCCAAATACTCTTTGAAACCAGTTGCAAGTAAATTATCCGAACTATTAGGTGGAAAAAAAGTTGATTTCTTAAACGATTGTGTTGGTTCAGAAGTTGTTGAATCCGTTCAAAAAGCATCAAACGGTCAAATTATTTTACTTGAAAATTTACGTTTCCACGTTGAAGAAGAAGGAAAAGGTAAAGACGCTTCAGGTGAAAAAGTTAAAGCTGAAAAAGCAAACGTAGACAAATTCCGTGCTGAATTGACCAAATTGGCAGATGTTTATGTTAATGATGCTTTCGGAACTGCTCATCGTGCCCATAGCTCAATGGTTGGTGTCGATTTGCCTCAACGTGCAAGTGGTTTCTTGATGAAGAAAGAATTGGAATACTTTGCCAAAGTACTTGAAAACCCAGAAAGACCATTTTTGGCCATTTTGGGAGGTGCAAAAGTTACAGACAAAATTCAATTGATCGAAAATATGCTCGACAAGGTAAACAAATTGATCATTGCAGGTGGAATGGCATTTACATTCAAGAAGACAATCGATAACGTCAAAATCGGTAACTCTTTGTTCGATGAAGAAGGTAGCAAAAAAGCTGCTGCTCTTCTAGAAAAGGCAAAGAAGAACAACGTGGAAATTGTCTTCCCTGTCGATTACGTCACTGCTGATAAATTTGACAAAGATGCCAAGGTTGGTCAAGCTGATGATCAATCCGGTATTCCAGATGGCTGGATGGGTTTGGATGCCGGACCAAAAAGTCAAAAGTTGTTTGCAGACGCAATCAAGAGTTCAAAAACAATTCTTTGGAACGGTCCTGCAGGAGTTTTTGAATTTGAAAATTTTGCAAACGGATCAAAAGCAATGTTAGAAGCATGCGTTGAAGCAGAAAAGAATGGTTCAACAGTTATCGTTGGAGGTGGTGATACGGCAACAGTTGTTGCTAAATATGGCAAAGAAGATGCTTTGAGTCATGTTAGCACAGGTGGTGGTGCAAGTTTGGAATTGCTCGAAGGTAAAGAATTGCCAGGTGTTAGCGCATTGAGCGACAAATAAAAAGAAAAGGTACAATGTCGTTCTCTCCAAATACAATTACCAATGTCATTAATTGAGATTTCAATATGCACTAAGGGTGTGATCATGAAAATAAGTGTCCATTATATGATAGAATGTACGTGAGGTGCATGAACAAAAGTCATTATATGAAGGTGAGATTGGGGAAATGCAGTTTTTTCCGATGGACAAAGAGAATGTGCTTGTCCTATGAAAGATGTGAAATTGATTGCTACAAAGAAAATCGTCTAAAAGTGGGGGGAAGGGGGATTAAATTGGGGAAAGAAAGGGGGAAAGAGTGCTAATGGATTTCTCTCTCTCTACATCGCCTTTAGCTGAGCCCATAAACTCTTCTTCTTTTCTGATTGAGAATCATCGGCGTTTTGTAATCCTCCGTTGATCATTTCCGGTGGCTGTTGCAAAACCGGAATGCCAGGTCGATAAATTCCTCCTCCTCCATTTTGTCCAGGTCCAGGTCCGAATTGATTGGCAAGCTGCGGCGGTGGTGGTCTATTGGCCGAATAACTTGGATAACCATTACCGTGTCCTGCAAGTTGAACGCTTTGTGGACTTGGTGGTGCACTATTTTGTCTTTGTTGTTGAGGTCGGAAAGGAGGTGGTCGCTTTCCGTGCATTCCAGCTTGGCCGCCGCCCATCATCATTTGCGGTGGTGGTGGACGCTGAGGTAAATAAGCAACTTCCGCTCCCGAAGGCGGTCTTTGCATCCCGTTCCCGTTTTGTCTGTGATTGGGAGGTAAAGACGTATGAGATTGTCTGGATGAATCAGATGGCTGTCTGCTGAATTGACCTGGCGGACCGGATGAATGAGATGAAGCGGACGGTGGTGGACCATTGCGCAAGAAATCGTGTGGGGCTTGCATTGGAGGTCTGGGTAACATGTTACCACCAGGACCGTTACGCATATGCATATTCTGGAATTGGTTTTGCAATGCGTTCGTGGGTGGTGAATGAGGTCTGGCCAACGGCAACTGTTGAGGCGAACCAGGTCCGGTGCGATTAGAATTGTGAGATTGCTCTGATCCTGCGATTGTGTTGGGCAAAGATGTTGTCGATCCTTGAGAGGGAGGACCAAGAGAAGGAGGACCATTGGGACCATTCATTTCACGTAATCTCTGATGATGTTGCACGGCCATTTGATGAGCATGATCACGTTGTGCCGTTTGCACTTCACGCATATTAAGTGGACTTGGATAATGCATTGGCATATTTCCTGCTGCTGGAGACATATTGCTTCTCTCTACTGCCGATTGAAAAGGTGCGCTTGTGGGCTGAATTGCCTGCATACCCATCACGCCAGGATTGGCGACTCGCATTCCTTGTTCGCGCGCTGTTAATGGCTTTTGTGGCAAAGGTGGTTGTTCTTCATCATGTCCATTCGAAGCTCCAGATGCACCCGTATTCGGTTCAGATGCTCTGCGTTTTCCAGATGGAGCAGCAAGTCTAGTCTCTTCGGGTGGTGTGATACCCATTGCGATCAATCGTTGATTTGCCCTTTTATCTCCATGCTCAGCCGCTGCCCGATACCATGAACGAGACTCGTTCAAATCTGCAACACATCCTATTCCCATTTCTGTAAAGTATCCGACGGCGTATTCAGCTTTTGCCAATCCTTGTTCCGCTGCTTTCTTGGCCCACAAGTAAGCTTCGGTGTCACTTTGCGGTAATATCCCGGGAGCGCCAACAAGGTACCAAGCTGTGAGAGCAAAGCATGCTTCTTTGTGATTCTGCTGTGCGGCAATATTGTACATGTGAATACTCAATCCTGCATCTTGAGGACAACCCATTCGGCCGTATTCGTAATTGACACCGAGCTTGTAAGCACTGGGAGCATATCCCATCTCACCTGCTTGTGCTAGTAATTCACATGCGTACTCTGGATCAGCGAACAAGACGTTGTCCACACCACGTTCATGCAAGAGTGCAAGCTCATGAAGAGCATGTGGAAATTCCGGAGTGGCAGCTTCGGCTGAACGTTTGAGCCATTTAACACCTTCACGAGCGCTTTTCTTCAATCCTAGGTCACCATTCAATTCTGCCGTTCCCAATCTGTACATCGAACCGGGGTGGGATTGGGCGCCTGCTTTTCGATAGAATTGAATAGCCTTTGCTGCATCACGTCTACATCCCCATCCTTTTTCATAACACATTCCTGCCCGATAGGCGGCATCAGGATGACCATGCTTGGCAGCCAAAACGAAGAGCGGGTATGCTTTATCGAAATCTTGTTTGCCTTTCACAGTTCCGATTCCGTTTGCATAACAATCTGCCAAGAAATATTGAGCATCAGGATGACCTCTATCAGCAATCTTTTTGAGCAAGCCAACAGCCTCCTTTACCAATTCATCTCGATCGCTTTCCTCTTTACCTTGAACGCCAACGCTACTTCCAGAACCTGTCGGTCCAGATCCTCCACTGCTATCATCTCCGCCCATACTCTTGGCTGCATCGATCATAAACACGGCCAATTCATAGATCAGCTCGGGATCGTTGGTCTTCTTTGCATTGAGCCTGTACAGCTCAAGTGTTTTGTTGTGACTCAACAATGCCGCCTGTTCTCCTGGTCGTAAATGGCTATGATCCAGTAGTGGTCCATTGGTAGTAGGAGCGATGCTAGCCGGTCGTGTGGCTCCATTCACGCTCCTTTCTGCACTTCCGCTGCCATAATTACTTGCTGATTGAGAAGGTGCGATAGAAGGAGGCGAAGGTGAACCTCCACGATTACCGTTGGGTGTATCTGTTCCTGTTTGAGGGGATTGATTTGCGTTTATGTTTGGAGAAGCAAAAGATGCTAAAGCAGCAGAACTATTTGTTGTTGGTGGATTTGAATTGGAGGTAATTCTTGAATCTGTTGGATTTGGTACATGACCTAAAGGTTGTTCCATTCCAAAGAAACTTGAAGGTCTTGCTCGGGGCGCAAGATCTTCTGTTCCTTCTAATTCACTTGCATTATCTTCGTTTGTTGTTGTTTGTTGTGAAGTAAAAGGTATTGAATTTATTGATTTATATGATACTTTTGTTGGTGTTGAAGTTGAAGCTGAAGCTATATTGTTTTCATCACCTCCTAATGCGATCCCTGTTGTAGGTTGATGATCGTCTAAGCCAAAGAAGCTATTCGGCCTACTTGTTGCAGTCATCGTATCTTTAACAAAACGATGAAGGTTTGAATCCGATCATGAACATCAATGAGAGAAGTAGAGATTTGTTGTTTGATTATTCTCAACAACAAATCGATTGCATCGGATGTATGTGTGTGTGTGTGCGTAATCTACTGAGTGGCATACAAAAGAGAGCAATTGCATATATGCAGTGCACTAAACACCCTGTGCTTGTGTGTGTGTGCAATGCCCTGATGTTTTCTCTCAAGCGTGTAAGCCGAGATGTATACAAACACACTGAGTGGTGCACTGCAATTTAACAATAATTTTGCTCCTGTGTTTTTTGACTCTGTTTGCGTTCCTCAATAAAAGATAAAAACTTTTTGTTTGAAGGTTTGTTTTTAATACCTGACTGTGTCTTTACGCAAAAGGTACCAAAAACTTCAAAGCCTGCCCTTTTCTTAGCGCGCTGGGCAGATGTGCAACAACATGCACTCACACAGCCCACGCGCGTAAAACCAGACCGGTGTACTGTTTAGGTGCTGCTCTCATGCAGGTCATTATAATTAGAAATTTTTTCATAATCGATTTAGGAGAACTTTGGATTGTGGTTGTTGTTGTTCTCTGTCTGAAAGGGGCTTTTTTATTATTAGATCAGGTGAGGGGAAGATACGGCGATCAATTTGCACCCTTTTTCTCCCCCCAAAAGATAGAAGGAAGTTTATTACTACGTATTGTAAGATTATGTGATTATTGAAGATCATCATACAATCATTTCCGCGGCGATGCTGTTCGTAATGCTCTCAGGGTCCATTTGGTGCAGGATGTATGAGATTTGTGTGGCGTATAATTAGTCGTCTTGGCTTAATTCAAAAGTCAACAACACATTTGCATTGCTGCAATTCATTGCCAGCTTCAATGCCGCCGGCTACCTTAAAGCATAATGCTCTCTTCCATCAATCCTTTCTCTTGCAGAAAACATCCGGAATCATTATGCCGTCCGTTAAATGCAGGACCACAAAGTTGGGCATTAGTATAATCATCACTTTCTCTCTTTTTTTTTTCGCGCAGAAAACAAAAAGCCCATGGACTTAGTAGCTGCCCTGCTTTCTTGCTCTATTAGCTTGCAAGCCTGCCTGCGCCAGGGCGGCCAACCCAGAGCCCGCCCATAAAAGAATACTTGGCAGTTTATTTTTCGGCCAATAGCTGCTACTGTTCTAAGCGTAACGTCAAAGATAAATAAGATTGATACAGGTAGAATACAATATACAGTGTGATGGTAAATCGGGATATAAATAAAGAGACCAAATGCTTAGTCGTCTTGCTCGGTATGATTATCATTCTCATTCATGGCAGATTGAGCTACTTGTTCTGCCAACTTTGTTCCTTTTCTTGGCCTACCCAAAGCTTCTTTTTCCTCTTCTTCCAATAATGCACATAAATCCATCTGCGTTAATGCTAAATCATGCTGACGTTCCAAATGACGTTGAACATCGTACAATCGAGAAAAGCGGAAAGAGCAGGAAGGTACTGATGTGTTGCCAATTCCTCCCTCTAAGGTTTCTTCATCTCTTAGACGACAGATTGTTGACCAGGGACATGAGAGAATACGACCTCGAACTTTACGTTTCTTTGCGAGATTGCTCTCATCTTTTTGTCCAATGATGAGTGATGTTGGAAGCGCGTCCAACTTTCGCTTCTGAGTACGAGGTCGATCTGCGAATGATTCAGGTACAGCACCACCTTCACGACGGAAAAAGTCATCATCTCCGTCATCATCTTCATCTGCTTCTGATGCATTATCACTATCATCCGCATCCGCATCCGATTGATTCGTACTGGAAATTGGTGTTGCCCATGAACATTTGTATTGATGACGCATGAGCGCTCTTTTGTTGGTAAAAGTACGCTGACAATCCGAATGAGGACAGCTAAAAGGCTTCTCGTTACGATGAACGGTACGTACGTGTAAATCTCGATTGTACTTGGACACAAATGTTTGCGTGCATCTCTTTGCTTCCTCTCCTTCCGCTATGTCTTCCATCAACCAGCCACATGAGAATGGATGGGAAGTATGACCGGATTCACCAGCTTGCTTGCCTTGCTCATCTTCGACTAAGAGAGGATGATATCGCTGCGTGTGCACTCGCAGATTGCGTGCATCTTTGAATTTCTTCTTGCACTCCATGCACATAGGCTTATGCTCATTCCGTTGATGTGCTTGCAACTCAGACCAGGTAGAAAATCGTACAGCTGATTGACCTTCCATCTGATGGCTCTCATGAAAGCAAACATACGGCAGCTCATTTGAAGCAGCGTGCTTCTGCTCAATATGTGCATTCCGTTTAGTGTTTGTGGGATATCGCTTTGTGCATCCAGGTTCTGTGCACGGGAAGGGCAGCTTAGAGATATTCTCGCCTTCTTCAATATCCGCTGCACTCTTTCCTATATCTGAATGATGAGTGCTTATGTGTGCACGAAGTAGCTTTCGTTTCGTAAATGTTGCCTCACAGTCGGCTATCGTGCATTCATAAGTTCCTGCTCTTCGAGCTCTTTTGCGTTTCTTGTTGCCATTCTGATCCCTCTCGAGCATCTTGATCGTCTCATCTTCCAGAGCCGATAATTCATCACAAGATGTACTATAGTTATGCATCTCCTTGATATGTCGAATAAGGTGTTGCCTAGTCAAGAATCGTCTCGCACATTGTGTTCCTGAAAGCGAGCCATACGCTGCAACTTTGAGCGTACATTGAAAAGGTCGAACCGTATCAATATCCTCTGCAACGGATGTTGATCGATTTGGTCCTTTGATCGAATGAGATTTCATATGCCTCTGTAAATGATCTTTTCGTCCGAACGTCTTTTCACAGTTTGGCTCTAGGCATTTGAATGGTCGTTCGCCTGTATGTGTTCGTTTATGATCTTCTAATTTGCATTCCTTGGTGAATGTTTTGCTGCAGCCATCGAATGGACACTGTAAGCCTTTCTTTGTGGATTTCTCCTCCAATGAATCAGATGCTTTCCTCTTCAATTGGATGGATGATGAAGTAGATGCGATAGGTTGTGAAGGTTGTACATTCTGCCGGGACTGATCTGAAAAGTCGGACATTGAGGCTTGCTGCAATGCCTGAGTATCACCTCTCGTCGGGAGGATAGCCACAGTGGCCATTTTTTCATTCGATCACCTCATAAAAAAGTCAATTTAGTGTTTGCCTGGATGTTGATTGCGGTCGTTATGAGCGGATGAAATTTCAATTCTTCTCATTTGGTGAAATTCTTAAAATTGACAAAGGCGCCGAATGAACCAAAATTATTCAAGACACGTGACACGCGCTTAGCCACCAAGAAGCAACAAAGATGATCATTCTCCATCAGTCATTCAGGATTCTCGCCGTGCGGAGACAGCTGCAACAAAAAGTAAAGAAGCATCTTCAATGCAGCGGCAAGTTTAATTCTCTTGCTCCTTATCTTCCATGTTTCTCTAATTCTTTGTGTCACAATCAATCATCAACTTACAAGCAGAGAACAGGTTTCCATTCGCTGTGACATTAGTACATGAAAGGTAGATTACCGTTCTAGACTGAATGGCAATTAAAATTGGGGGAAGAAGCAAACTCCCCTCAAAGTCATTGACATCCTTTCACTCCATTATTGCCTTCCCGATCCTTCTGAACCATCATTCGAAGGTGGTGCGCCACCAGAGCTTTGTGGAGTGGCGACCGGTTGACCTGATCCGCCCGTAGCTGCTTCTGCACCCGCACCACCACCTCCGACGATCAATTGAGGTTTTTCAATAACCAATCGTTCACCTTCATACATTCTATTTGTCAAAGCTGCCCTTCTCAAAACACTTAGGTCTTTTTTTGCCGTTTCATAAAACGTCTTTAAACGTTCTTCATCTGAAATTCCACTTGAAGAAGTGGAGGATGAAAGTGCATTGGGTATTGGTGATGCTAGCGTTGATGGTGATGCAAGTGTTGTCCTTCCACTTGCTTTTGATATAGGCGATGAAAGTGTTGCTTCGGATGCGGGTAATAGATTTGATCTAAACATATCTCTTGACCGTCTTAGAAAGTATGTTCGGAAATTGTATGAGGACTGTTAAGAGGGAGGATTGCGTTAGCATACTTGCGTCATTCGCCATCGCATACGCCAGCAGCCTGATTCTGCGCTCTTTTTGGCCATACTCACAAATGATTGCGCCGTATTGAGGTAATCGCGATAAAGCCGCAAGAATTGCTGTCGTGTGGGTGCAGCAGACATGGTGAAAGGAGTTGTTGTAGTGGTAGATTGCAATGAGTGCTTGTTGTTCCTACCAACTTATTGATTATGTTGTAAGTTGTTTCCTTGCCGATAAGAGTGAAGGAATAAATACAATCTCCGACAGTGTTTGTGTATAATGAATCTTTATCAGATGATGATCTTGACAAAAGATATGAATAATTGTTCTTCCGTAATGAGTGGCACACAAAAGAAAAGAAGGGCCAGTAGACTAACGCGTTCAAAAAGTGGCTTACTAAGAATAATCCAATTATGTAAGCACAAGTTCTCGGAGGAAACGCTTTCCTCTCCAATGGCCTCAATTAGACATTCATCTCCGGGGACAAAAGTGGAAGCGAAGCTTATATGATAGCATTGTATAAATGCTGCTGGTTAGTAATGCTCTTGTCAATTACATAAGTACAAACACAGATTATGTCATCAATTGGGATGATCTCGTCCACGGTCTTTATGGCTTTTGTGGTATTTGCAATTCGGCATTGATGATCTCAATCTCGTCGTCAAATAATCATCGAAAGCACTGAGAGTTATGCACCCTCTTTGCGTCCCCACTTGACCGTATGGTGTGCCGTGTGAATATGATGTATAGGCAAGCCACCTTTTAAAGTGGGGTCAGAATTGCCTTCTTCACAGCCACTCTAGCTTCGATCAGGTTATTATGTTTTCGATCATGATTACAAGGTGATGTTCTATGTGTCATGATAATCATCGGAACTTCCGAGAACATTCAAGGAAGCTGAATATGATTTTGATTAGTGAGCATCAACCGCATGCATTCACTCAGTCCACAGTCTTTCGCACGCATTTGGTCATGGTCAAAAGAGAGATTTCCGAAGCCACAACTAGGGAGGGTGTATATGCTATGATAGACACTCTTTTCAATTAATCCTGATTGCGAATACGGTAAGAAAAAGATGTTGTCCCTATCTCGAAGCGATTATGATCCGAAGTTCAACCGATGCCTTTGTGATAGGGTTCATCTCTTGACAAAATCACAATTCACTCACTCACTCACTCACTCCTGACCGGCAAGATCATACGACCGTACATTATGAATGGGGACCTCTTTTCCTCTTATGAGTGTATGTTGTAAGCCTGCGTTTTAATCTATGTATGTATGCAATCATTCAACCCGGTAAAGAGGGTGCAAAAATCAATACATTACGACAAAGGCAAGACTAAATTCAGGGTGTATTTTTTGTTTGAACTGGACGCGTTATGATTTTTGGGGTGTACTTTTGTGTTCATCAACTTTAGTGTACGCTCGCGCCTCTCTCGGTTCCAAAAACACCACTGAAAGGGAAAATCTTTAATCCTTCTTACCTGGCTCTTCTTCTTTCGGCGATTGATCATGGAAAGGTAGAGATGTGCGGGCATATACTGAGACAAATCCTTCCAAAGAAGCTTTTCTTTCTTAACAATCTTTCAATTGATCAACTGTAACTTCTTCTCGAGATCTCGATTGATAATTGGCTTTTCACATTATGATATTCCCTTGCAATTCTTCTTTGTTTGTAAAGAGCAACCCACAAAACAGCCTCACCCACTTTTGTGGATCCGAGTTTGCTCTTTTTCTTCTTCCCAATTACGCAAAGATCTGGTTAAGATCGGCGCTAAAGCAGGCGAAAATGAAAAGATGACAGCATACACAGTTTATGCTTGCATACAGCAAATCAACAGTATCCTCCCGTAAGAACCAGGGCGCAGTCTTGTCGATCAATTTGAATAAAAATCAGGCTAAGACGGTGTTCTTTTGCCGGCGCTTCGAGGGATTAGGCGCGACACCACTGTTGTGTTTAAACGAAGGAAAAATGCGGAAAATTCTATCTGGTCCCTTGAAATGGACTGAGCTGCTTACTGCTGGAAAACAGGCTGATCGCCGTGCTGATCCTGTCCATGCACTTGCCTGTAAATAGCTGCCGATTGTGCCTTTCTTCGATAAATGAAAATTTCTCCGTTTCTTTTTGTTTGTTTGCACGCATAACAACAGAATTGCCTTTCTGAGCAGCTCCCTCTTTTCTTTCTTTTCGACGTGCATGAACCTACTGTCAGATTGCCTATGAGTGCAGATAATCTCCCACAATTGGCGCAGTTTTTGTTACATTGGTAAGAAGAGCTTCCTTCCAAAAGAGGGACAGTTCAGTTGTAACTGCGCCTCATTCGTTTTTCGCCTGCATGCATATACCTATTCTTCTCACTTTATCAAGCATTGACCCCATAAACGCATTCTATGCAATCACACTCTTTTGTGAAACCTTTTTCCTCTAAGATCACCGGCTTAACTTTTGGAAGGAGTAGAGCTTAATTCGTGTCCCTCTTCTTTGTATGCATCTTCTTTCATCGTGCATCTCAACCTTCCGGTGCCGATAAATGGGGTTTCCCGATCACAAAAAGGGGAGGGAGGGTTTCTCTAAGAGAGAGAGAAGATTCGATGATGTGTGGTGGAAAATTGTACCTGAAGCGAATTGGGTCCCTTTTTATTACTTTTTGATCGTCGCTTCAAAGCACTAAATAGGCAATTAACGATTGCAAGACTGTATAGAACAAAGAGAGATCAACAACGGTTTGCCCTTTTTTTAACCGATCTTCGTTTTGCAGTTTGACTGATGATCAGCTGAGAAAGGTCTTTGCGATACTATCAGCCGAACATGCATAAAACACATTGACACTGATCAATTACCTTGTTTCCACGGTGACCTGATCATACACTTCCTTCCAATTAAGAAAGTATAAAAAGATCTCTTTCATTTCATTTTCTGGATCGTTTTCCCTTCATCTAATTCTCTTTCTCCCACTTCTATTCTCTCACATTCTCTCTCTAATCACTTCTTTCTACAAGATGTTCGTCACAAACGCAATCGTTGCAACAACATTTGCCCTTTTGGGTTTAAGCGCACAAGCAAGTCCAGTTCAAAAGCGTTCAACTTCTGGCCGTGGTACATTCTACAATGTTGGAATGGGTAACTGTGGTTGGGAAAGTTCATCAAACCAATACGTTGTCGCTTTGAACACCGCTCAATACGGTTCAACTTCTCAAGTTAGCGGTGCTTGCGGTCAAACTGTTACAATTAACTATGGCGGTAAAAGTGCTCAAGCCACAATCGTTGACTCTTGCCCAACTTGCCCTTACGGTGCTTTGGACATGTCAACCAGTTTGTTCTCTTATTTGACAAACGGTAACATGGGTTTGGGTGAAATTCAAATGAACTGGAGCTGGGGTAGCGGATCATCCAACAACAACAACAACAACAACAACAACAACAACAACAACAACAACAACAACAACAACAACAACAACAACAACAACAACAACAAGAGCAACAACGACAACGACAGCAACTCATCATCAAGCTCTTCTTCTTCATCTCCTTCCCCAACCCCAACCCAATCTTCCTCTTCTTCATCTAGCCCAAGTGCTACTGCCACTGCATCTGCCACTGCACCAAGCAACGAAGCCCAAAAGACCGTTACCGGTGTTCCAGAATGGTGGGCAGATATTGGTGATGCAGGATGTGCAGGAACAAAAGTTCCATCAGGAGCAGATGTTGCCGCAATTGCCCCATCCGGTAACGCAGAAGCTGATGATCTCTCAAAGATGTGCGGTAAATGGATCGAAATCACAAACACTGCAAACAACAAATCAACCAAAGCAATCGTCACTTCTTGGTTACCTGGAAATGACCGTAATAGCGTGGTCTTGGCTGATGCTTACAAAAAGATCGCTGTCATGAACGGTGATTCTCCAAACCCAATCGATCAAGTTAAATGGGGTTTCTTGAACTAAAGGAGAAGTCTTCTTAAGCGTGGGGTGAATCATCATCATCCCCCACTGCGAAGCCTTTCAAAATAAAAAAGCCTTTCTCTCTCTTGTCGTGTGCCGCGCGCGCGTACTGAAAAGGCAAAAGCATCCAACCCCAAGTCCTGGCCGACTCAAACACTCAACACACTATAGACGATCTTCCCCAGCAAGTAAACAGGCTCGCGCTTGCAACGGGAAAATCAACATCTCTTTTGTATACTCTCCTTTTCGTCTTCTAGCACTCATTCTTTCATACAAGGGTTTGTCATACAAATCATTATCCTTCTAGGATTTGACTTGTATAGACATTGGTTCTGGCATTTTACGGTTAATTGTCACCCCTTTTACCAATCTTTCTATTGCAGAGGATTGGCTGTATTTCTTCTTCTGATGTATATTATATTATACATACACATACATACACACCAAAAAGGCCATGGGTGCCCCTAATCAATAATAAAATTAACTTTTCAAAACAATCATTACATCGTCTGTCTGTCTACAACTGCTTCTGTAGTCGATCAATCTCTACTTCTAATTCACGGGCACTTTGATTAAGACTACTTGCATCTTGAAATTTACGTGCTTTGGAGGCACTGGCAGCATACTGTCGTACCAACGTTAGCTGTTGTTGCAAAACTGTCAATTGTTCTCGAACAGCAGAAGGATCTTCTTTTGTGGTGGACGTAGAACCTGCTTCTGAACTGCTATGCTTGTGACCCTTTATAGAAGATGGATTTGAACCGTTCCTAACGCTTTTTCCATTAGCTGATGAACTTTGCAACTTTGGTAAATTTTGTAAAGGGAACATGTTTGCTTGTAAAAATGTATTTGCTTGTGTCCAAATGGCAACTTTAAGCCTTGCCAAACTTGCATTCCCTTCATCATCTAAATTACGTATCTTTTTCGCAATCAAATCGTAATTTGCAAAATTGGCCAAAAGTTGTTTTCGTGCTTGTGCAGCGTCTCTCTGAAGCGCTAACGTCGTTCGATTCTTTGCTTTCATGGCTGCTATCGATAATGTCTCACTTTGAACAGGCTGAACAAGAGGATCATGGCTTTCTTCTTGATCTGCAGTACCTAATGCTGCTGCTGCGTCATGTTTTTGCAAACCCAAAATCATTTCTTGAAATTCAGGTAAAGATTGTTCAATCTCCTTTTGAAGAGATTTTAATGCTTCGTATAATTTCACATAAGTCGGCAGACTACCATCGTCCAGCATGTATTGTCGATGTAGGATCGTATCTTTGCATTCTCTACATATCCGTATTCCTCTCGTTCGTCCGTAGGCATCCAGATGCTTACTTGAAGCTTCATCCCATCGCGGTACATCTTTGATTTTTGTTCCGGTTTGATCATCAGCCACTACCAGACTACTACACTTCACTTGATCATCAGCCGGCAATTTCCCTTCTTCTGTATTGGTTGGCGGCGGTCCTGATATACCAGGAGGCAATGATAAATGCGGAGAAGCGCAAACCACACGACCACAAAGTCGACAATGATGTTTTCGAACGGTGAACGAAAAAGGTGTCGTACAAATCGAACATGCTTTTCTACTTTTATCGTCTTCCCAATTCACAATTCGCATCTCTTCATCACGTAGTCTTCTTTCCATTTCAGCCTGCAGACGTGCCTTTCGTATCGTTCCGGGTAACCATCCAGGTGCTAAACTGAATGCCTCTTCTTCGCTAAAGAGCGGGGTATCGTCATAATGCAAAGCAAACAATTTCTCCAATCTTCTCTCTAATCGTTGTGATTCCAATTCTGATCGACTCTTTCCTCCTTCTACATCTTGTGCGCCATTATTCGCACTTCGACTTGATTCTCCTCTGCCTCCTTGTTTCCGCCTAGTTCTTGCAGCTACAAATTCATCCGTTCGTATCCGATAGCTACCCTTTGGTTGAAAGCCGGCTCTGTAAGCAGTTCTTCTTCCTACACCATCGTCGTAAAAGCTACCATTAGGATCGAATTGATTTTGTGGCCCTCCAGTCGTTGCACCAAAAACCGGTGAAAGAGGTGCATTTGGCGTTTGCGTTGGTGAAGAAGTGGATGGTGTTGAATAATCCAAAGGCGAAACAGTTCTTAGCCTTTGCGCTGTGGACATATGATGAGGCAGATTGACCGGTACCGATCCATTAGAGATAGATCTGTTATGTGATGGAAGAGTTGAAGCTGTCATTGAATTTCGTTTGGAATGTCCGTTCATGCGATTGCTATCCGATTGAGCAGCAGCATTCAGTGGCTTTGTTGTACCGGAAGACGAGGTGGAAGGAACAGCCAGCGACGATGAAACCGTTCTCCGAGGAGGAGATTGCACTGGTACAGCTTTTGATGAACTTGCTTCTTGGTCTGCGTTAGATTTGCCTTTGCTGTCGTGAGTGCCAGGAGAAGCTGAATCGGGTGCTTTGGCTTTACCATTACTTGGCTTTGCCTTTAGCGATGAAAGGCTTCGTAGGGGAGGTGGAGCTGAGCCTGCGTTAGTCGAGGCATTAGTCGATTGATGGTACTGAGAGGTAGAATTGGCTGGCGATACGACTGGCCTTACAGTATTTGATACTTGCGAACGCTGTGCTATCGGTTGCTGGTTTGAGTATGTGGTATCCGCTGATGCATGTGATTGATTTGCAGAAGTAGCTTGTGGGATATCTCTCGAGCCACCAACAGAGACAGCCGATGCTGCTCTGCGATGGCTCTGATATGGAGTATAGGACAAGTTCGAATTTGAGGATGACATGTTGTCCTTCCTTGTGTTCGTTATTATTGTGTCATCATCAAATCGTGCGCTTTCAGTTTGTATAAGTCGTATTCAAAACCACAAATCCAGCCATACAGCTCCTTGCTAGCCTCTTGGTGATTGCCTTTGAGAGAAATGCCTCGGATGGTTATGTTGTGTGATGATTGATTGGATCCCGCCCTTGAGGAAGCAGGGTTTAGATGGAGGCCTGATAAGTATAAAAGCAGACAGGCTGTATGCCTTTAAATAACACTTAAAAGTGGGCTATTATTGATTAGTAGTCTCACGCGTAAGTAACTGGGCTGTACCTTCGTTTCGGCAATTTTTAGTCAAGAAAGTTTAATCAAAAGAGCATTACCTCCATCATCATCACCTCTTCAACAACATTATGTCATGGCGGTAAGGCTCATCAGGCCGATCAACTCGGCCATTCGAAGGCATTTGGCTACGGCTCCTCCTGCATCGTCAGCTGCTTTGTCCGGACTTATTACTGGCAAAAAATCGAATCTTTTGAATAGCCGCTTTGCACCAAATCAGAGCAAAAGTCCAGTTCATCAATGTCAAAGATTGTACAGCGCCCTATCTCCAGTGCAACGACATCCTCCTTCACTGTATGGACAGCTGCAACCGATTTCATTCAGCATCATTGCCCATATCGATCATGGAAAGTCAACTTTGGCAGATCGACTGCTTGAAATGACAGGTACAATTCCCATAGGTGCGGACGGACAAGTGATCAACAAGCAAGTTCTCGATAGCTTGAAAGTGGAACGAGAACGTGGAATCACAGTAAAAAGTCAAGCAGTCAGCATGATCTACGATGATGTAACTACCAAACAGAAATGGCTACTCAATCTCATTGATACGCCCGGTCACGTCGATTTTGCCTATGAGGTCAGTCGAAGTTTATCAGCTTGTCAAATTGCACTTTTGGTTGTTGATGCAACACAAGGCATTCAATCACAAACATTGTCTGTCTTTCGAGTTGCGATGGCACGAGGATTACGGATAATACCCGTTATCAACAAGATTGACCTTCCTGGAGCATCACCTGATGCAGTATTGGATCAACTTCATGAACGTTTGGGATTGAACGTGCTACCCGGCGAAAGTGAAGAAGCAATAATGGTCAGTGCAAAGACTGGAAAAGGTGTGGAAGATGTTTTGAAAAGACTTGTCGCTGTCGGAAGTGAATCCACCCAAGACGTTGGAGACGGTCAAGATGAAAAGATGCGATCGCTGGTATTTGATAGTTGGTACGATTCATACAAAGGAGTTGTAGCTTTGATCAGTGTCAAAGATGGAGCGATTCGAAAAGGTGACAAAATTGCATCTGCACATTCACGAAAACGATACGAAGTTCTCGATATTGGTGTGAACAGTCCCACTGCAATTGCCACGGGAATTTTGCGGAAAGGACAAGTGGGTTGGGTTATTTGCAACATGAAAAGTGTGCCAGAAGCATCAATCGGAGATACACTCCATCACGACAAAGTCAAAGTTGATCCTCTGCCTGGGTTTAAGCCCTCTGTGCCGATGATCTACTGCTCGGCTTTCCCAGTATCCTCGGCCGATTTCCCCAAATTAGAGATGGCAATTCAAAAGCTTGCATTGAATGACAGAAGTGTTACGTGGTCACGAGAAAGCAGTCTAGCTTTGGGTCAAGGTGTCAAGTTGGGACTATTGGGTGCATTACACATGGAAATCTTTCGAGCTCGTCTGGCGGATGAGTATGGAATGGAAGTATTGATCACCAATCCGACTGTGGCATATCGAATCGTACGACCAAATGAAGATGAGAATGAAGCGAAAGTGATTACCAATCCACTTGAATTTCCAGATGATGAAGTGATGCGCTCCAAGAGATCAACAAAGAATGGTCTTCAAATTCAAGAGCCAATGGTGATCGGTACTCTTACCTGCCCGGAAGAATATTTGGGTGCAATGTCGCAATTATGCTTTGATAGACGGGGAGAAGAAATTGATTTGATCTTTCAAGATGGATTCGGAACAGGCGAAGATGGTAAGCCTGTCGGCGCTGAAAATGCAGGAGGGGAAAGGTTGGTGATTATGAAACATCGCTTGCCATTATCAGAGATTGTGACGGATTTCTTTGGTGAATTGAAATCAAAGACGGCAGGATTCGCAACTTTCGATTATGAAGACGATGGCTGGCAAGCAAGTGATCTTGTCAGACTATCCTTCTTATTGACGGGGACGCCATTGGATGCGCTTTCACAAATCGTTCATCGTAGTAAAGCGGTAGACGTTGCAAAAGTATGGACGCAAAAGCTAAAGGACATCGTACCTCGTCAACAATACGAAGTCAACATTCAAGCAATGGTAGGCGGACGAGTTGTTTCAAGTGAAAAGAAGACTGCTTATCGCAAAGATGTTACTGCTGGATTATATGGAGGACATTATGAACGTAAATTGAAGCATCTCAATAAACAAAAGGAGGGAAAGAAGAGGTTACGAGCAATGAGTGTGGGTCGTGTACAAATCCCTCAAGAAAACTTTATGAAATTATTCGAAGCAAAATAGATCATTCATTACTCTCCATTCTTGTACTTTATCTCATACATTGCATTGTACAACAGGCAAAAAAAACAAACATTGCATACTTTTCCACATTAAATTGATGGCATTTATTTAACCACCTTTGGGTATCAAAAGGGATGCTGCCAAAGCAACAAATAGTCCGCTCACTTTTTCTTGTGGTGTATGGAAGTAAATTGAGGTGACCATAAGACTACCGGTCCATAACGTCAGCAAAGCGAGAATGGCTGAGATTGCGATCAAGTTTCGAGTAGCCAAAGTTTGTGATTGTTGTGCCGATGCTGAGAATGGGTTGACCGGTGCCCAAAGAGGACGAGGAAGGATGGAAGCGATCGATTGATGGAAAGAGGTAGGGAACAAGTACGGCAAGAATGGCGTGATTTCTTCCAAAAGGTAAAGAGAGGAAATGATCAAAATATAGGTATGACCCGATATATCATGACCTCCTTTCCATCGTGGTCTCAGAATTCCCGCTGAGACATTAGACGTGCCAAACGAATTGAACAATTGCGGATGGCTCTTTTCCGAAAGTGAGGCACCGGTATAGCAATGCTGTGTTTCAATCGTACTCGGCAAGAGTGAATTGATTGCTGAAGAGCTTGTTTGTGGAGTACTATGATGCACAGGCACACAGACAGCTCCGGTATAATGACGAATGCGTTCCATAACGGGCGGGCCTAAGAACCATCTAGCAAAGAATACCCAAAGGATTGTAGCGATTACATAACGTAAAAGCGAAATGGATAATGCGCCCATAACTGTAGCTTGCAGATCTACATCATCATTTGTACTTGCGGAAGTGCCCCTTTTTTGTTGTCTTTCTACACGTTTTTCCTTTTTCTCCTTTACAGCGCTATGATCTTCACTTCCGCTTTCGGTTCTGACAATATCAGGTCTTGGAGTTTTGCTTCTTACCGTAACAGCTTGTGCGATGAATGCAAGTGTAGTCCAAAACCAAGCAAACTTTGTGAACAATCTGTTCAATAAATTTCTCCTGTCTGCCAAGAATGTTGTTGGAATATTTGCGATAACTTTGCTTATTCCTTCTTGTGCATCAGCGACTTCTGAAGGATCTTCATCCGCTGTTAATGATTCGGCAGCATTGGTTGCTATTGTTCCAAGATTAGAAAGTAAAACGTTGTATGAATGCGTTCCATGTAGGAGAGAATATATTGTTCCACTCAATACGATTGCTGTAAAGAATCCCATATACACCAGATTGTACCTTTCCAGGTTAAGTGGAAGGCCAGAAGCCCTTGCACCAGGTCTCATTTTGAGATGTTCTTAAACTGGATATGGTGGAATGATAGCAAGTATGACATTCTTCTTAAAATGCCATTTCTCTCAAGGTTGCGTGGAGGTTGAGAGCGGTTAAATATTAATTGGGCATTTACACAGCCAGGCAAAAGCAAAAGTCAGAATTGGCACGCGATAACAAATACAATAGACGTGGAGTAATGCAAAGGCATTTAAAAATTAAACAGCCAATGCCCCTGCTGTGTACGATGATAAAAAGTGTTATTAGCGTAAATAGGCTCTTAAGCTGTTGCTCATTCGGCTGAAGATACTTCCCATGCAAATTGGATATTCAAGTCACCGCCTAATCAGCACCACCAACACACAAGAAGTAATAGACAGGCTCAAAAAGGCCATATCATTCTACATCTTATTATGAACACTGTTGATAGACTTCTTATCAGCAATGCATAATGCCTAAACGTGAAGGTCCTGAAGATGGCGGTCTACTACGACCGCCAGGATCATCTTCAAGGTCAAGGCCTACAAGTGCAGGTAATCAAAGAGGTCCTTATTCTGGTAATGCAGCTTTTGCAAGTTCTTCATCTTCTGTAAATAGCATCTTACGTCCTGCAGATGCTTCAACAGCAGCAATCATTCAAAATCCTACTGCTGCCAACCAAGTTGGAGGAGGTCCGGTTGATGCTACAGAAGCTCCCTTTCTCACCTCTTTGGAAGCGCATTTTGGCAGAATGACCTTGACTGCACCTGATAATATGCTAAGACGAAAGCAAGAAGAGAAGGAAAAGAGACAAAAAGCTCGTAAACGTAAAGCAGAAAGAGCCGAAGCTGCAATCTTGGCATTGAGTGGAGTTACGGACACTACCGGTCAAAGATCAGTGACACCCACTCAAATCTCCAATACAGCCATTCCCAATACAGTTTACACAACTGAAATATTGGGAACAGCAAGACGGCGACCAGGCTTAACAGCATCTCGATCATCTTCCAACCTGCAAACAATCACAAGTACTAATGCTAACGAAACTCTACGATCAAGATCTCCAACCCGTCCACCTCGACCGCATAGCGCACAAAATGCTACAAGGAGCGATACAAGCCCGGAAAGGAGACCTTCTGCAACTATAGCTACTGGCACTGCCTCGGGCAGTAATGGTGCAACGAGACCTGCGACGTCTCAAGAAACAAGAAAGGTCAGAAGGAAACAGAGACCGCAGCGACAAGCTCAAGGTGCAACATCTGGCGAAGAACACGCTGTCCATACACAAAATGTATCTTCACCTAGACGCAATCAAAGGACGGCATCTGGCGGAGCAGCTCGATCGGCAGTACGAGCAGAAGCACTGAGGAGAGCGACACAACGGAGGCGTGATATCTACGCTGACTTATCTACGATGGGTCTACCGGGAGCTTCCGACTCAGAACCTGAAGAAGGTCCTCCTCCATTTCCTGCGAATGCTACAAGGCCAATCTCGCCTCCTCAGCTACCGGTAGATGGCGAAGAATGGACCGAAGAGATGCGAAGACGACAAGAAGAATACTTTACAAACAAACCACCTGACAGTCCTCCTCCAGCATTTCGTAGTGAAGATGAAGATGCAGGGCCGTCTCATACTGGAAGACGTGGAAATGCGGACGACAGAAGCATTTCGACAGATGAAGATAGCGATAATCAACTTGATGAAAGCATCAGTGAGGAAAGAAGGTTATGGGAAGAAGATGTTGCTGCAGGATTTACATTCGAAGAGCGTCTGGAGCGCGAAAGACAGAGAAGGTCAGAATCTGAAAGAGATACTTCTACCCCGCAAGCATTGCCGAATCTCAGTCTGGGACAGGCAGTCATGGCAGCTCGTGCACGTCGAAATGCTCCAGAGGAGCGGACAAGTGTTCCTGTAGAACCCACAAATCCGGAACCAGAGAGCTCAATCCAGCAAACTTTACGCAAAACAGCACATCGTCGAACAGCATCTGAAGGAAAGGATGAGGCCAATCAGCCTCCGGTACAGGAAAGACATGCAAGCCGAAATGCAGCTGTGGGAACCGGAAGAGGTCTAGGGGAACAGAATGAGAGAGAAGTGCTCAATCATCACGGAAAAGTGACAAAGATTCGACCAAGGCCGGCCAGCGAATCTCATTCACGCTTTCGTGATGATGCTTCTGCTGCCGCAAACCGTAGACTTGCCCTTTGGGCTTCTGCAAAAGCTCAGGCAAGTGGTGTACAAGCACAGTCAGCTGCTGGTCCTTCGTCGATGTTGCGATCAAGTAGCGAGAATCAAGCAACAACACCAGAACTACAATCTATCATGTCAGAAATGAGCGAGCAAAGTTCACGACAAAGACCTGAACGTAAACAGACTTCTTCGAGCAGTGGTGTGGATGAAGGACCGGAATCATCCGATTCGGAAGCAGAATGGGCAAAAGAAGAAAAGCAGTTCAAACGAATGCAACGAAAAGCTTCACAAAATGCACAAGCAATCGTTGATTCGTCTGATGAGGAAGATGCAGGCTCAGATGTGGAAGCGAGTATGCCTGGAGCTTTGCATAGCGAGCGCAGTAGACGTGCACCTGTTCAACTTCCTGAACTGGGCAAAGTTGGATCAAGCGTACCAAGAGCACCACCACCGTTGGTATTGGGTCGATCACGCGGAGGAGCAGCGTTTGACAGTAGCAGTGAAAGCAGTAGCGAAAGTGATGTGAATCGAATGGAGGAAGATGAAGACTCTAATTCAGACTCACCTCCTGAGGCTGACGACGGTCCCAGTGCACCCAAAACAGAAGGAGAAATTACAGAGACAACGATCGACAAAGGTAAACAGCCAGTTCGACCGCTTCCAAATCTTCCTTCAAGCGAATCTGTGGTCCACTACAGTACTAGTGAAGGTGATGTGAATAGCATTCGCGCTGGAATGTTTGAAGAAGACGGTGCGAGCAGTAGAGATTTCACCGATGAAGAGGGAAATGATGATTTCCAAAATACATCTTCCACCTTACATGCCGATCGACCTGCCGTGCAAAATCGTCTCAAAGACTTATTTGCTGCACGTTTATCACCTTCAGAATTAGGTGAGCCTTCAACATCTCAAAGTGCATCTCGTGCCTCGCTTGAACGATTGTTTGACGTACCTATTGATGGAAGAGCAGGACAATTGAATGACGACGCTCGTAGACCCTCGATGACTGAACAGCTGCCGCACGACACACGTCAAGCAAGTGCAGAGACCAGTTCTCGGCCACAGTGGGCGAATGATGCAAGTTCTATAAGAAACAGACAAACCATTGACTTTACCCGTACAACTCCAAGGATGGAATCGATGAATGAACAGCAAGCACGTAAAGAGGCTTTAAACTCACTTTCTCAATTGCAGCGCAATCAAGATTCACTGCCCGCTGGTGTCGATCGTGATTCTTTGGCAGCTTTGGAAAGATTGTTGGCTCGTACGACTCCTTCAAACGCTCGAGCAACAACCTCAAATGGATCTGAGCCGCTCATGGCCGAACCGAGTAAGTTGATGCGATCAGGCGCAATCGGAAATCGTCAAATGACATCCTCTTCTTTTTCAAACCCAAGAAGCATCAATGCACCTAGACCTTTGGGTAGATTGCCTACAATCACAGATGCAACTCGACATTTTCCACCTTCGCAAGCACGTAGGATGGAAGAAGAATCTTCACGAATGCAAAATATATCCCGTCGTCCTGCTTCGATGATGGGAACACCAAGCTGGATGGCATACATACCCCAACAAGAAAGGGCAAGGTTGCCCAATCCAATGCAGCCAGACGTACGTTTACACGAAGGTGGGGAGAACGTCGATGTACCACCACGTAATCCTTCACCTACACGCGGCAGTAGAATACAAGCAATGGTGAATCGTTTTGAACAAAATGCAGGCTCTGACCGTGATTCAATGGAAAGAAGACCATCTTCGCCAACGAAAAACCAACCGGATTTGCAAAGACAGTCATCGCAATCTTCTTTATCTCGTGTAAGTAGCGAGCAGCCCCAAGCGAGAGAAGAGCCGTTGAGAAGGCGACCGCCACCCCCTCCACCACTATTTGGACAACGTAGAAATGGATCAATATCTCGAGTGGCATCAAACGAAGAGCAACAGCCGCCTGTACAACTATCCCACAGCTCTTCACAAGCTTCAATGGCACGAGCTTTGCATACTATTGCAGTTGAACGACAAAGACAACTTTCCAGTAGCAGTAGTTCTGCTGGCTCTTCTGCTTTCAATTCGCCTGTTTTGCCTCCTAGGCCTACTTTCTCGGTCAATTCGGGAGCTGCACAACAACCACCACAACTTCCACCCCGATTTGGTGGCTTCCCTGAACGTCAACGATCACGACCTTTACCTATACCCCCGAACATCTTGCCAAATGAGCGGACAGAAACACCCTCTCCTCCCGCTGTGCCACGAAGGGTGTCTGAGCAATTGCGACAGGAGATCCGTGAAGCCAGCCCAGTGCCCAGTCAAGATCGTGTAGAGACACCAGAACCACCAGTGCAAGATGTGGGAGAAGAAGTGCAGCGCGATTCACCGGTGAATGATACCATTGTTGAAGAGACGGATAATACACCTTCACCAACCGCCTCCAACAGTGTAGCTGAACAGCCTTCGCAAAACAATCCAAGACGTATTGCTTCACTTGGTATTACGGATTTGGATATTTTCGCATCAAGACTTGCGGAAGAAAGGTTGAGGAACACATCCGGTTCAGGCGGAGATGGACAAGAAAATGGTGAAGAAGACGATGGACAAGAACAAGGCAGGGATACGTATGACGATTTACATCTTTTAGCTGAATTCTTAGGTCCTGCAAAAGCGCCCGGATTAACGCAAGATGAAATGGAACGTTTGCCAGTCGGAAAAGTTGAAGTTTTACGAAGAAGAATTGTGGGTAAACGTGAAGATGGAAGGGATAAAGTCAAACTAGCTTTAGCCGTTGCGGGTGTTAAAGTGGAAAGGTGTGCTGTTTGTTTGGTTCAATTCAAAGAAGGTAATCTGGCTTGCGTATTTCCTTGTTTGCACGTTTTGCATGAACAATGTGCTGCAAAACTTTTGCGAAATACCAAACAATGTCCAACATGTCGATCCGACGTTGTGTAAATCAGCATTCTTACGACCCAAGCAAAGCATTGTATTTATATTTTTGCACTATATTTAACCAAAATTAATGATGATAACGATCACACATACACACAATTAGCTTCTATTTCTCATTAATTGCGATGCGAGATATAAAAAAAGATACACAGTTTAAAGCCCCCTCAAACCCAATCTTCATCTTCATCGCTAATATCTCCATCAGCAATACCTTGAGCAAGCTCACGTTCACGTTCACGAGCGGCCGAAGCAGAATCCAATTCGGCTTTGTGATTGTTAAGTGGATAACGCATTGCTTTTACACTTTCGTTGTGTAATTGCAAGCAGAAATTAATTCTTTGTCGTAATTGTGCTTGAGGTTCATTTGTACTATAAACATCACCGGTTTCACGACTGGTCATTTCACCACGTTCATGGTTTACCTGTGCTTCAATCACACCATCGCGAATTGCTTTTGCAACAATATACTCCGCATCTTCCTCGGATTCCAAATGAAGCTTCTTGGTGATATCTGCCAAACTGATACGAGAATATGCCAAAGAGATTGTACGAATTCCCGTTTTGATCACATTGTGACGTAACCTCAAGATCAAGCTGTACGTCTTGTCAGCTTGGAAGAGAGTTGTATACGTGGACAGAGTCTTTGAGAATCTTGAAAGGTCTCCAACACGCACAGCTTGAACGATCTCCATGTATGGCGCTAGAGCTTTCTTCAAGATTGGCATGCGGAAAATACTTCTTTCTGGAATGTCTCCCATCAATAATTCAACGACCACAAGATATTTGTAAGCAGTTTGAAGGAATCCAACTCCAGCTGGTGTCTTTTGAGATTTTTTGAGTTCAGCTTTTAGTGTCGCATACGCATCTGGCACTTCTTCAACATCGTCCTTCTTCGCATCAGAATCTTCTTTCTCGCCCTTCTTTTCTCCTTTGCTTGTTGTGGTTGTACTTGGCTTTTCCTCCTCCTCTGTCAGTGAGCTTGGCTGGGGTGCTCTTCGGATAGCTTGCTGCAGATGGGTGTGTGCTTCGGTGTAATTCAATTGAACTGCACGAATTCGTCCTACGTAGTACTCGTATCTTGCAATCTGTCCGTTTCCAGCTTGAGCCCTTGGGAATGGAGCGCGTGCAACGAGCTTGTCAGCTTGATCGTATAAGTTGGATTCCACAATGTATGATCGTAGCAGCAGATTCTGCACAGTTGCATTTGTCTCGACGTCATGTCGCAATGCTGCGGTACGATGAATTGATAGAAGTGCAGTACGTTCTTCTGCCAATCCTCCACTTTTGCCTTGTGCTTTGAGAATTTCGATGCATCTTGCAAGGTAATACACAGTACGTGCCATCGTTTGATCAAGTGTACGTTTGTTTGCTGTTTGCATCTGTGTTAATGAAGATCTTGCCAAATTCAAAGCTTCTGAAACATGATTTGTGTCGATCAAGTAAACGGCAACCAAAAGCGAAAGGTATGCATCAAGATCTGCCGTTGCCTCTGCCACATGTTTGAATGGTGTATCGGTTGCGTCTTTAGTTGTGGTCTTTTTGGCATTGTCTGCTTTAGCAGAATCTGCTGGTACATCAACATCCATTGAATCAGCTGTTGCTGTTTTTACGGAAGATGTTTGAGCTGGCGTGTAAGGATGAGGAAGATGAGATAGCAATTGAGCCCGAACAGGAGATTCTTTGAGGGTTCCCTCTTCTACCAATCTAGCCAGCACATCTGGATGCAAAATGCATAGCTTACGTGTTGAAGTGATTGTTCGAATAGCACGAGCAGCAAATCTAGGTTCCAAATGTACCACCGATCGTACAATCAATGCTAAATTATGACGCAATAACGATAACGATAAATCCTTAGGTGAACGTGGTGTGATTGGCTTGGTTGGCTTTACGCCATTTTCCATTGCTGCTTCCTTCTCTTTTATCTTTGCTGCAGAAGTCATATTTGCGTCTGGCATTCTATGAATGATTGTTTGAGAATGGTGGCAGAAGGTTGTTATTAGTGTGCATACGCGAAGGATGACGTCCCTCACCAACAACACGCAAGCTTCGCGGCCTCTCACGCGCTCAGGCCAGGGTAAATTACATAATCAATATCTATGTGCACGATTTGCTGAGAATTTATCTGGACATGAATTTGTAAATTCAAATTTCACTTCCGTGCTTCAACAATAATGTATCGAGACTGGTATGACAGTACTTTGACAAATCGATGAGAATTAACAATTACGGTATTTAATCGAGTCCGGTCGGGCAACATATTGTGAAAGATGTAAAATGGCCAATAGAGCTGTTGCATTGTGTGTTCACTTTTCACCGTGACATATCATTACGACATGTGGCGATGACTTTCGATACAGAGGGAAAAAAAAGTGACAGAGTCTATTGAAAGACAGAAATGCTAATTCAATCTCAATTTGAGGGGAATGTGTCCGAACAGAATAAATTTTTTATGTACAAAGCTAAATCTGTAAATTTTCGCAAAAGTATGTGTTCCAAAACCAAATTGACATTTCTATTTTTACATATAACCAAGCGGATAAGAACAGGCTGTACAGTTTTGTCCAACTTCCGGTGCCGCTCGTTCAATCCAAATGTGCGGCGGCGCTGTTTGCCTGAATGACATATCTCTACAATCAAGATCCGACACGTGTATACTTCAACCTCTCTTCCTTTTCGCATGAAATTGTTGATTGCAATTCCATCTTTCTCCTCCCATCTCCAGCCAAAAAGCAATCCTGCAAGATGCAGTCCAATCAAGGTCATCATGATGATCTTGATATGATCTGCAATCTTCCACCTGGCTCATTCAACACAGATTCAATCGTATCCACTTTGCGAGATCGTTTCTACGCTTCTCAGACGTTTCTCTCTCTGTCACATACAATCTTACTCTCTCTCAATCCTTACTCTCCAAACGGTGCTTACGAAAATGAAGAAGTGTTGAGACAGTACACTGCCGATTATCGTCAACTTGATCGTGAAAGACGTATTGTCCTGCCAAGTCATGTGTTTGGCCTTACATGTGATGCATACTTTTATATGATGCGAACAGGTCAAGACCAAAGTATCATCCTAGCAGGTGAAACGTCATCAGGCAAATCTGAAAACAGGAAGAAGGTTTTACGTGCTCTCCTCGCACTCAGCTCTGCTTCTCCAGGCAAGAAAGGCTCAAAATTAGCCGTACAGATCCCTTCCGCAGAATACGTATTGGAATCATTCGCGCACTGTCAAACATTAGACAACAACAATGCTTCGAGATATAGCAAGTATACAGAGCTTCAATTCGATGAATCAGGCAAGATTATCGGCTACAAGACTTTGAACTATTACTTGGAAAAGGAGCGCTTGACAAAGTGTGCAGCTGGCGAACGAAATTTTCACGTTTTATATGCTCTTTTAGCTGGCTGCTCTGCTGATGAGAGACAACACTTGATGTTGGGTGAAGGTACCAACTTCAGACTATTAGCCTCACATACTCGAGGAAGCAGAGAAAGTGTTCAAGATGACATTAATCGTTTCAACAAGCTTAAGCAAGCATTCAAGAATATCGGTATGTCCAAACGTCAAGTAGCATCCTTGTGTCAGGTTTTGAGCGCAGTTTTGCATTTGGGCGATATTGAATTCTACCACGATCGTCATAGCACGCAAGAATCCGCTTCAGTACGCAACAAAGACACCTTACAAACAGTCTCAAACTTCCTTGGTATTCCTCCCCGTGCTCTGGAAGAATCTCTGACATTCAAGACCAAGATGATTCGCAATGAAGTCTGCACAATCCTCCTGGATGCCGAAGGTGCAGGAAGTAATCGTGATGATCTTGCAACTTTTCTGTACTCGATGCTGTTCACCTGGGTGGCAGAATTTGCCAACGAAAAGTTGTGCAAAGACACTTTCAGTACATTTGTCAGTGTTTTAGATTTGCCTGGACCTCAAAATCAATCACGCCAGAATTCGTTGGATCAATTCATCGTCAACTATGCAAACGAAATGCTTCACCAATTTATTTTGCGAACTGTATTTGAGCATCGCAAGGAAGAATTCGTTCATGAAGATATCGAAAACGCTATTGATGATGTACCCTACGCCAATAATTCCGAGTGCTTGCGTTTGATCACAAATCAGCCAGGCGGTCTTGTGCATATCATGGACGATCAAGCACGTCGCGTGCCAAAGAAGACGGATCAAACAATGGCAGAAGCTTTCGGGAAAAGATGGGGTAACCACCAAAGCTTCAAAGTGGGCCCAATTGACAGAAGTGGTGCAACTACTTTCACGATCAGTCACTTTTCCGGTCCTGTAAATTATACAAGTCATCAATTCTTGGAGAAGAACAGTGACGTGACGAATCCAGACTTTGTCTCCTTGCTTCAAGGTCCATTGCAAACAGCAAGCGGACAAGTTGCGCCAGGCGCATTTGCAGGCTCTGACAATGCATTCATCCGTGGTCTCTTCAACAATCGAGTACTGAATGTACAGGCACATCCTCGCAACGAACAAACCTTGGTCGCTGTCCAGCAATCGCTCAAACCATCCCGCACGCCTTCTACGAGAAGGCCAAACAGGAGTGGAACATTGCGTCGTGCCGGCACGTTGAAGAAAGATGACAACAAGTCGGAGAAACAGAACGATAGCGATGATGAAGCAAATGATGGCGACAATACCATTGATGATGAACAAGGCAAGAGGGGCAAGAAGGACGGCATTCGTTGTGTTGCAGGTGAATTTAAGAGTGCTTTCGACACTCTTTTCAAGACTTTGGAAGATAGTAAACCGTGGTTCGTTATTTGCATTCGCCCAAACGATCATCAGCTTCCCAATCAATTTGAAGCGCGTCAAGTGAAGCAACAACTTGTCACATACGCAGTAAGCAATCTTGCAGCCGGTATGAGCAACGAGTATACGGTCAGCATGACTCATGATGAATTTTGTGAACGTTATTCGGACTTGGCCTTCCTTAATGCTGCTGAAATGAAAGGTGCTTCGGGAGGAGAAGCAAGACAGAAATGCAACAATGCTAAAGAAGTGATGGGTTGGTCTGACAAACATGCGAGATGCGGTCGTTTGAAAATCTTCTTATGCCATTCAGTATTCCGTCAATTGGAAGATGAGTTGCGCGCTGCTGATCCGGATGAAGTACGTGCGAATGAACGTAGAGCTATGCTGGATGCAGATGCTATTGCCCGTGGTGATGTCGATCCACTCGTACCTGCAAATGAGCAAGCCAACTTGTACTCACAGCAAAAAGCATTTTCAGATGGTGCAGGAAGCGCCAGTAATGTGCCATTGAACCCTTTCTCCAATCAATTACGCAATCGAGGTGGACCAAGATCTGGCGAAGATGAATTTGATGATGCGAAAAGTTCGGTGACTAGTCTTTCAGGCCGCTTTGATACCACTTCACCGTCCATTGCTGGCACAGAAAGCTATGCTCCGTCTCGTAATATGTTCTCTGGACGAGTCGACGAAAAGATGGCCGGCTTTAGCGGTACAGACCCACATGAGACAGTAGAGGTGGCTCATGTTACTTCAGCTCGACGCAAATGGACTTGCATTACTTGGTGCTTAACATTTTGGATTCCAACATTTGTGCTCAAGCTTTGTGGCTTGAAGCGTCCTGATATCCGTATGGCCTGGCGCGAAAAATTGGCAATCAATATGATGGTATGGTTTGTTTGTGGTTGTGCAATCTTTGTCATTACTATTCTTGGAAATTTGATCTGTCCCAAACAGCATGTATTCTCGGATGCAGAATTTCAAGCAAAAGCCAGCAAATATTCCATGACTAGAATCCGTGGTGAAGTTTTCAATTTGGACAACATTATCACCATGCACAAGACTTCCATTCCTGTCGTGCAAGCGGATGTGATCAGAAAGTATGCCGGTATTGATGCCTCGCCAATCTTTCCGGTTCAAGTCAATGCTTTGTGTAATGGTCGAACGGGCGCCATCAGTCCTTGGGTTCAATTGACCAACGAGAATACATCCGACGTCAATGCGAAATATCATGACTTCCGTGCAATTCATCCTGAGGATACACGTCCAGATTGGTACTACGAATCTATGGTACTGATGCGATCCAACTTCCGCGTTGGTTTCATGGGCTATACACCAGAAGGCATTTCAGATTTAATCGGAGATGGACGTTCGGTAGGCATATATCGAGGTGATGTATATGATGTCTCCGACTATATTCGGCAAGGTTATCGAGGTGCAGTACAGGCACCAGAGAATATGAGAGCACCAGGAGATACAGATGCTGCTTTCATGACTGAATCATTGATCTCTCTATTCAATCAAAATCCGGGACAAGATTTGACGAAAAAGATTGACTCTCTACCACTTTCGAATGATGAATGGCACAGGCAAAGAGTGTGTCTTCGTAACCTATTCTTCATTGGTAAAAAGGATAATCGTAACTCTCCGCAATGCCGATTTTCACAGAATATCTTATTGGCCCTGTCTGTCATCATGGTTGCGATTATTGGATTCAAATTCTTGGCTGCTTTGCAATTCGGCAGAGCACGTGTACCAGAAGATCATGACAAGTTTGTGCTTTGTCAAGTTCCTTGTTATACGGAAGGTGAAGAGTCCATGCGAAAGACGATCAACTCATTGTCAGCACTGAAGTATGACGATAAGAGGAAACTACTGTTTGTCATCTGTGATGGTATGATTGTCGGTTCTGGAAACGATAGACCAACACCAAGAATTGTGTTGGACATCCTCGGTGCAGATACACGATTGGAGCCTGAGCCTTTGAGCTTCTTGTCCTTAGGCGAAGGCAGTAAGCAGCACAATATGGCCAAGGTATACAGTGGTTTGTACGAGCATCATGGTCATGTTGTACCTTATGTGGTTGTGGTCAAATGTGGAAAGCCCACCGAACGTCATCGACCAGGAAATCGAGGAAAGCGAGATTCACAATTGATCTTGATGCGATTCCTCAACAAAGTACATTTTGGTCTCCCGATGAACCCTATGGAGCTTGAAATCTTTCACCAGATCAAGAACGTGATTGGTGTAAATCCAAGCTTCTACGAGTATGTCTTACAGGTTGATGCAGATACGGAAGTTGATCCGTGGAGCTTGAACAAATTTGTCAGTGCTTTCACGAATGACAAGAAGGTGATTGGACTTTGTGGTGAAACGAGTATCAGCAATTCAAAGCGCACCTTCATCACCATGTTGCAAGTTTACGAATACTTTATCTCGCACTACCTCTCCAAAGCTTTCGAAAGCTTGTTTGGTTCAGTGACTTGTTTACCAGGTTGTTTTTCCATGTTCCGCATTCGAACACCTGACACTCATCGTCCACTCTTTATTGCAAATAATGTTGTGGAAGAATATGCTGAAAATCGAGTGGATACCTTACACACAAAGAACCTTTTGCATCTCGGAGAAGATCGTTATCTGACCACCTTGGTACTGAAACACTTTGGAGACTTCAAGACGACTTTTGTACGAGATGCCAAAGCAAAAACTGCCGTACCAGAAGATTGGTCCGTTCTACTCAGTCAACGTCGTAGATGGATCAACAGTACCATTCACAACTTGTTCGAATTGCTCAGCACGCCAGGCTTGTGTGGGTTTTGTTTATTCTCTATGCGTTTTGTGGTCTTTATCGATCTATTATCGACAATCGTGGCACCAGTGACGCTGATTTATATCGTATACTTGCTCTTCTTGGTTATCAAGGATCATGCGGCCGTGCCTTTGACGGCAATTTTGATGTTGGCTGCTATTTATGGATTGCAAGCGATCCTATTCTTGCTCAGAAGACGATTTGATATGGTGGTCTGGATGTTGATTTACATCATTGGCCTTCCGATCTGGACGTTCTTTTTGCCATTGTATTCATTCTGGCATATGGATGATTTCTCTTGGGGTAATACTCGTGTCGTTATGGGTGAACAAGGTAAAAAGATTGTTACGCACGACGAAGGAACTTTCAATCCAGCCGAAATACCTCAAAAGACTTGGCAACAATACGAAGAAGAACTTTGGGAACGTGGATCAAATCAATCCATCGGAACGATTTTGCTCAATAGACAAGGTGGTGCCAATGAAGAAGGTATGACTAGAGCAGAAAGTCATTATACCGCCAGCGTATATGGAATGCCGCAAGCGGACAATATGATGGGTGCTTCCTACAAGAGCGGACTCGGATCAGGTTACCAAAGTCCCGTTCCTTCCATTTACATGGGAGGAAGTGGGAACTTGAGAGGCGACGCGATGGGATCTGCAGCTTTGAGTGGTACGCCATACTCGCCTCTTAATCAAGGTCGAATCGGATCTTCTTATGGTCCATTGGGTGGATCACCGGTGGGATCTTCACCTGGAGTGCAAGGCTTAGAGTCGCCATTCCAAGCAGCGCCTGTTGCTTCTTCGAGTGCGGCAAATGCAGGCAGTATGATGCATCGACCTAGATTCAGTACGGCATCTTCTTCTTATTTCGGTCAAATGAACAACCCACCTCCCTATGCAGGTACCTCGAGTGGCAGATCGACGCCCACTGCGACTGGACAAACCACCATCCGTGCTGTCAATTTGATGGATTCAGACTCGCCTTTGATCGATATGGAACGCAGCTCTTTGCCAACGGATGAAGTGATTGCACGGGATATACGTTCGATCATCAGCGCTTCTGATTTGAATACAATTACCATGAAAGGAATTCGTGCACAATTGGAAGCGATGTACGGCACTTCAATCAATGCGAAGAAGGCATTCATCAGTGATACCATTGACTCTATCTTGGGCGATATTTGATCTTTCGACCTTTCCTTATTCTACTTTCTATAGTTTGTTTCCCTACCTTGTCCATATCACCCAGTACGCGCTCACAAAGATTGTGTGAAAGTCTATTGAATGAATGATAAATTAAACATGAAATCGAATGCAAGTGTGAGAATGATTTTGAACTATATCTGAATACCAAAATTGATTCCGAAATCTTTGAGTCTTTCGCAGCTGTCATACCTTTCAGATCGAATTCGTTTTTCTGCCTCTCGATCTGCTCCGATACCAAAGAGCGTTCCTTGAGCGGCATTGATCCTTCTTTCCTGATATTCACGTCTGCGTTGACAATCACGATATAATGAATTTTTGAATTGATTTTCTACCCTTCGTTCGAAATCTTGCAATTTTGATGATGCTCGATTTGCTTCAGCTTGAACGGCTGAATCTTTTGCGTTGATTTTTGCAGCAGCTGCTACCCAAGGATGGGTATGCCAAGTACTTTGATCAACATAATATTTGACATTATGCGTTGGCGTATGACGTTCTGTTCGGAAATGGGCTGAAGGAGTCCAATCGAATTGCGGATCGGGCGTAGAGAAAAGTGTTGGAGCGTAAGAAAGAAGACTGAATAAACCAAGAATCAAAAGTGGAAGAAGTTGTAAAAGCATTGGAGTTGATTCATTATTGTTTGCAGCTCTTCTAGGACCTTGACGTGCTTGACGTGCATGGAATGCATTTCCCCCGCCAAATTGATGCATGTGCACACCACCCGGTCCCCCAAACGAGAAAGTTGTCCCTCCGAATCCATTACCCATACCTCCACCGAAGAACATATTGAACAGATCATTAGGATCAATCTCTGCTCCTCCCATTCCATTGCCATACGTTCGGAACGCGGGACCTCCTGCTCCAAATCCGGAAGCTCTTCCTGCTGCACTGCTGCCTCCTCCGCGGGAATCAGGATCTCCTCCATATCGATCATACATTGCCCTTTTATCAGCGTCTGATAAAATTGTAAATGCTTTAGACACAATTTTGAAAGCTTCATCTGCTCCTGGCGCTCCATTTTTGTCAGGATGTAATTGCAAGGCTAGCTTTCTATATCCCTTTTTGATTGCATTTTCATCTGGTTCATCGGACTTTTTTAGCCCTAATACTCCGTAGTAGTCATTCTCTCTGCCTGACTTGTTCACTTGAGTGACAATCTTCATCTGCACTTCGGTGTATTCCCGCTGTGGTGTACTTGGAGATTCTCTTGTTGAACTTGCAGTAGCACGTTTCTTTAATCCTTCTGCGCTGGCATGTCCATTCATTCCATTTGTCTTTCCTGTTGAACCTGCTGCCGAACTACTACTTCCTTCTTCATATCCAGGCATATGACCTTTTTCCAAACTTGTTAATAAAATTTTTGCTTTTGTTAAACCTGGATCGATACTCAATGCTTTTTTTGTCCATTTTAATGCTGATTCTAAATTACCTGATTGACTATGTTTCATAGCCAATGCATATGCCTTTGCACCATCTTCTGGAGATGACATGATTTGTCAAGTCAACTAGTCTAGCCGGCGACAAAGAGAGATGATAGAGAAAGGAAGAATGAACGATTGGACCTAGACCTTTATCTTCTGACTTTAACTCAGTTTAGAAGCTGCTGATGCATGCATGCGTGGGGTGTAAAAAAGAGACTCAAGTCGTATGGCTCCAACGCATACACACTCACACACCACACACGCACGCGGCGGCGCAAGCAGACGACTGTGTAAATAAGAATTCTATGGCTTGGCTGCCTTTCTCTTAAGGTGTGGGCTCAAGCGCTGCAATCTTTTTCTGCAACAAAAAATAAACTCCGGCCGAGAAGAAAGTATGATTTTATGATGACAATCGATGCATCTTGTCTTTTACCATAAGTGACTAGCTTTGACAGGTTGAGCTATAAGCGGTCGAGTAGATTGCTAGGGCATCAATACAAGCATGTTCGCACGATCATTGCGGAGTACGGTCGCATCCACTTCTAGACTGCATCTAGAATCTGCATTGCCCAGAAATACCTTGCTCAGATCACAAGCTACATCCGTGCTATCGAACGGATATGCGACAAAGTCAGAATCTGAACCAGAACCTAAACCAAGAGCTAAGCCGGGACCCAAGCCAAAGGCTAAACCGGGACCCAAACCGAAGAAAGCATCAGCCAAATCTGGAAAAAAGGCAAAGGTGGAAGGAAAACAAACCGAAGAGCAGCCACTTGACGACAGCATAGGCAATGAAGAAGACAATATCAATTCGAAGACAAAAGATGTAAATTTCGACAACTCGTCACCTGAAGATTTGACATTGACTTCCTTATCCAAAAGCACACTGAATACAATCGGAGACGGTCATGTCGAATTTAATAGAACATTTGGAGATAGGAAATCGCAACATGCTGATTCTGTAGAACAAAGAGCTGTTAGTAAAGTCATTCCAAATCCATCACATAAAGATTATCCATACGTGCCAAAGCCGCCAGTATGGGATAAAATTTTCTACAAAGTGAATGGAATCAATACCCGTCATCGAATGTTCATCTCCAATGTCGAAACGGCCAAAAATGTCGTCAAAGCTTTGGAACTGGACAAGCAGAGAGAAGCATCCGGAGAAAGAATCACTGTGATAGAGGGATATCCTGGTATAGGATCATTATCAAGAGAATTATGCAACCATGAAGCTGTAGAAAAAGTGATTGCATTTGAAGATCATGCATCTTTCAATAAAGCATTGCGAAATTTAAAAGATAACGAACCGCAAGCAGCGGAGAAGCTGGATGTGTTGCCGCTATCTTGCTTTCAATGGGAATCTTTTGATCAAGTAGTCGGTTTAGGTGGTTTGGACAACATACCTGGTGTACGGGAAGAGCGAAAACGTCAACCAGATTACAAGGATGGAATATTTGCCGGTGATTCGTGGAAAAAGCCATCTTCTTTATTATTCCTTGCTCAATTGCCAAATACCGTTCACAGTGAACAACTTGTCTCGCAACTCTTACGTTCGATCAGCAATCGGTATTGGTTGTACAGACATGCGAGGGTACGTATGGCATTCATCTGTTCCCAACAGATGGCCGAACGCTGTATGGCCCAAGTCTCGGATCGCTTATATGGCAAATTAACATTGGTGGCAGGGGCAATGGCAGATTGTACGGTGGCATTGGATTCAAGCCATTTTAAACCGTATGCTGAACATTTTTGGCCGTCAAAGCCTGCAGTAGGACCTCAAACGCCAATTACCGTTCATCTAGGATCGATTAAAGATCACAGACAGCAAGCCACTCCAGCAAAGACGGATCAATGCTTATTGATACTTGAACCAAGAGTGAAACCTTTGATAGAAGGTAGTTCGGAATTGGAATCGTTTGATTATATAACGAAGAATCTTTTCATCTTACGATCTTCACATGTGAAGAAAGCTTTGGCTCATATCGCGCCTGGAGCAGATAACATCCTTGATGCGATGAATTCAGGTAAACATCCAGCAATGCAAGAGATTGGCAATGTTACAATCGATCCAAAAACAATCGTTTCAAAGCTTACGCTAACGCAACTTATTGGCTTATCCAAAATGTTTGATAGATGGCCTTTCCGTCCTGCAAATCTCTTTGATGAGGGCAGAATAGAAGAGATTGCTGAACATAGAAATAACAATAGATAATGTACTATAATAATTCATTCATCATCACTTGTCCAAAGGAAGAATGTATAGATGAGGTCCAGCAGGAACGATGCGGGTTGGGTTGATCTGTAGGGAAATTGGGGGAAGATGTTTATAGTTAATATCCTTTCTCTGCAGAACCGTTTCGTGAACACTTACCTGAGGATGACTTTGATAGTAATGTGCTTTGATACTTTCGAAATCGGTCGTATCTTTGAATGCGCCGTCTCCCTCTTTCCAGTAGAGTTGTCTGGCCCATTTATGAATATGAGGATAGCCGTCTCGGATAGTTTTGATGTTGCACTTGAAGTGACCAACATAAACAGGATCAAAGCGAATGATCGTTGTGAAGAGACGAATATCAGCTTCTGTTAAACGACCACCAGCAAGGTAATCCCTTCCATCACTCAAGATTTTCTCCACTTTATCCAAATGTTCAAACAAGGGTTTAACTGATTCTTCATATGCATCCTGCTTAGTTGCAAATCCGCTCTTGTAAACACCATTGTTGATACATGGATAAATCCATTCGTTCAATCCGTCAATCTCTTTTTGTAATGATTTATCGTCTTCCGGGTAGAATGTCAAATTGCGATATTTTGGATCGATGAAATCATCAAAGCAAGTGTTTAGCATTCGAATGATCTCAGAAGATTCATTGTTCACTACGGTATTCAACTTGTTGTCCCAAATGATCGGAACTGTGCATCGGTCTTTGTAGTCGGGATTAGCAGTCAAATATAATTCACGAATACGTTTCTTATCTTCGTGTCCTGGGATCTTGATTCCCGTTCCAGGGATGCCCAGTCCTTTCAATTCTTCTGAATCATAAGGAACGAAAGTCCAGCCTTCCGGACCCAAAAGAGAATCAACGGTATGCAAAGGCAAAAGTCCTTTCACTTTGTCAATGCCTTTTAATTTACGAACGATCATACTTCTATGAGCCCAAGGACAAGCCATTGCGCAAATGAGATGATAACGGTTTAATTCCGGTTTAAAGTCTGAATTGCCATCTTTTGTGATAAAGTTACGAAAGCTTGATTCTTGTCTTCTGAATCTGCCATCGTTTGAACTCCATTTTGTGGATCCGTCTGTATGCTTATGAGTTGTTTGAGTGGACATTTTTGCTGCAAATTGTAATCGATTGAATGGTGGTAAACGAAGACAATTATTTCTCAAAGATGTAGTTAGAAGCATGAGAATTGGGATGAAAGAAAGACAATGTTCTATTGATTTGCTGTTCTACTTTATATGCTCTCTTTCTCTATCTCCGAACAATCCACTGGAAATTGCTCCACTTGTGTTATGCTAAACATACAGTGAGCATGCTTTAAGCGCGTTCATCTTTCACCCGCATAAAAGCCTTATTGTGTCTATAACCCAAATCCGTACAATGCTCATTATCCACGTACATTCTATGAAGGTCTTTCTTTCATTGTGTCATTCATTGTTGTGCACTTATACCTTGTCAGACAATGAGGATGATGTTCTTTTATTCATACCATCGAGCACGTGAGGATCTTGCAATGGACTTCCTTCCACAGCCTCTAGTGAGCGTACGTAATCACCTTGAGAACATTCACTGTGTACCTGCATGAGTTAATCTGCACCACATGGCGGCGCGCGAAACAGGTGTGAATGAAATGAATTTTGGTGGGGCGCAAAATGGAAGAAAAGTTCTCAAACCTTGAGAAAAAAAAAGTCTGGATCTTCTTCTTCTCGGCGCAGGCACACAGAACAGTTTGTGAGAGAAGCTTTTTCCTACAGATAAGAAGGGTGCAACTAGCTTTTCTCTTTATCAACCATTATCCCCCTACTCCTCATACACTTCTTCTTGTGGCCATGTTGCAAACTTATCAGGCCAACGCTTTGGTTTATACCACTTTGGTCGCTTTCGGTGGTGTCGGTTTCTTTGCAGGATGGAAAGTGAAAAATCGTGTAGATTTCCTTAGTGGATTGAGAACACAATCTGCATTTCCATTGGCATTGAATTGGATCGCATCAAGTTAGTATACTCTCAAAGAACACCCATTCAATCAAGCTTTATCGAACGCAGTATTATCTTTGGATCATCCATCTCTTTTCATCATGGTAACGTATATGTTGTGGCTCAGTGAAAACAAAAAGCTCCCTCTTGCTCTTTGCTCTTTTTATGATCTTCGTTGACAAGCGAAAAGATGGTAGGGCGATATTATGAACGTGCGATTTAAGGTTACACAAAACAATCTACATAGTCACATAATCTTTCATAGTATTCTCCCCCTTTCCATACTTTTCTTGTCATTCATATTTTACTAAAAAAGGCTCAGGCTACGGGTGCTCCCGAAGAAGTGTTCACGCACCAATTCGAAGGGCTGAGATCATACCGTTACCATGCATCGGATCCAGATAATGCTGGCGTCGAGAAGCTGGTGCCTTCTTTTCATATCATCATACACTCTACTCTATCTCTCTGAAAAGAGAGAGAGTGAGGTTGATGTCTCCCCACCCCATTTGCCAAGAGCGCTTTATGTGCTCATCAGACCCTATTGACACCCGCTTCTCTCTCCCTTCTCTCTCACAGATATGTCTTCCAGTCTGCTCTTCTCTTATCCTCAAATCGGTGTGATTCCCGATGCAGGATTATTGGGTTTGTTCGCATACACGTTCGCAACCGTGATTCCAATCTTTGTGTTTGCATACTTGGGTATGTATATGCGCAGAAATTATCCAGACGGTTTCACGTTTGCCGAATTCGTTCGTCGTAGATTTGGCTGGCCGGTAGGATGTCTTTTGGCTTTAATCTTTGTGGCATTCATGTTGTGCTTCATGATTACGGAATTGAACACGTATGGTTCAGTGGTTGCATTGCTTGGTGGTGTGGACGCAACAGTTGCTGCTGTTGTGATCGCACTCGTCACGTTCTTGTATACCTCTTATGGTGGTTTCCGTGCATCTTTGTACACCGATAACGTCAATGCTGTTGTGATTATGATTTTCATCATCATTGCTGCCGCCGCGATTGGTGAAAAAGTTCATGTCACGCAAGAACGAATCGATCAATCAGGATTATTGAAACCACAAAAGTTAGGTGGTCAATTATGGTATATCTTACCTGTTGCCATCATCTTTTCACAAATGTTCAATCAAGGATTTTGGCAACGTTCGTTTGCCGCAAAAAGCATTCGATCTTTATGGGGTTCTGTCTTTATTGCAGCTATTCCACTTTTTGGAATCGTATTCTTTGTTGGCCTTTGCGGTCCGATCGCTCAATGGGCAGGATTGTTCAACGGAATCACGCCTACAGATGATGGAAGTGAAACATTCTTTTACATCTTGGCCACTATGCCAAATTGGGTTACCGGTATCGTGATCGTTTTGGCCGGACTGCTCTCAAGTTCCGCTTATGATACATTCCAATCTGCTCAAATTACAACAATCTACAATGATGTCTTCTTGGGAAGAGTCAACATTTGGTTCTGTCGTCTTGCCCTTTTAGCAATCAATGTGCCAGCGGTCGTTTTGGCAGTGAAGAATATCGATATCTTACAAGTATTCTTGGTTGCTGATTTGGGAGCTGCTGCCGTTTTGCCTGCACCTTTGTTAGGCTTGGTACCTCAATTGCACTTCCTCAACGGATTTGATGTTTTCGTAGGTGCTTGTGGTGGATACCTTACAACGTTTATCTTTGGATTGATCTATTATCATGGTGACGCTCATGCAGCTGGAAATTTGTTAGGTCTTTCAAACGGATTGTACATTGGAGGAGACGACTACAGCGTTTTAGGAGCATTCTTTGCTGCACCTCTTGGATCGATCGGTTGGACGTTGGCATCAGGTGGTGCTCGTATTGGAGGAAGATTTGTTTTGTGCAAGATTCGTGGAGAAGAATTCGTATTTGAAAGACGTGAATTTGATGCTTCTCAATTCGTTTTACCTGAAGATCGTCCTGCTGGATTTGCAGGTTTCCACGGATCTGGAAATCCGGAAGATGGTAAAAAGATTGAAGAGATGGAAAGCATTGGCGAAAGTGATGAAGGTGCGGGTTTGAGAAGGACTCGTTGGAATAAAGGCATGATGGCTCGTTTGCCAGCCATGCCTTGGAAGCGCAATTGATGTGTGGGATGTGCTCAATAACTTTACTATTTGCCTTTTCTGGATTCTACCAACCCTTCCTTCTTTCCCTTCTTTCGCTCTTCGCCTTACAAATTCATACACCAATTAAGAGAGTTGTATTATTCTCACTTGCTTTATATGGAATTCTCTTGAATATAAATCTTTGCATCATCTACATGCTTCTGAGTGAGTAGTGATCATTTATCTAGTTTGCTTTTGGTAAGCACAGAGTGGTTCGTCAGGTTGAATACAAGTTGCTTCGCGCGGTTACTTTGCGTCCATTTGGTAGCCGGTCAAGTTTTATTTTTTTTCTCGAGCCTGAAGCTCCACATTTTGTATGTGAATCGAGAGGATTTAATTTTGGTGGGGGTGAGAAAAAGGAATTAAAGTTTCTTGTGGGAAAAACAGCACCGCGTCTGCATTAAAATGATAGTTATGCTTTAAATTTCTTCTTCTTCTTCTCCCGGCCTTTCAATCTTTCCTTGTGTGAAAAAAAGTTTACATATCCCACTCATTCTCCCTCCCGTCCTGTGTGTGTGTGGGGTTATAAGTGATGGATAGAAGTTTACTTCTTCCTTCCAATCAATCATCACCTGAATTACAGCAATCTTCTTCAACCTCAACACCTTCTTCTACGCCAAATTTGGATAGCGGTGGATCAAGTAGATCGGCCCGTTTAGCTTCTTTGTCCAGGAAGAGATCTCAGTTGGGCTACGGCAACAAAAGTGCAAATAGTAGCTCTTCAAGTTTACGTATCAAAGACGAAGACGAAGCGATCGCATCTGCTGGTTTACGAATTGATACCGGATTCAACAACAAGAAAATGTCTGATCAAACTTCACCGCCATCCATGAAAACTTCTCAAAATGGGGGAGCTTTCCATGCTTCTCACATTCGTAAACGATCTTCAAGAGGATTTGGATCTGGTTTGCATACACCGGCAAACGGAAGTGGAACATCTACACCGATCAGAGGTGTATCTTCTGCTTATCTAGGTCAAAAATTACAAAGCTTGGCTGATTCGTTAGAAGAACGATTGGAAGATCAAAGCAAGAAACCCGGTTGGACGGGTAATTGGGCACGTCAATTGATCGAACGTGGATTGTGGGTAGAAGAACATTTGGAACAAGAATGGGAATTACGTAAAGATGCGATCGGAGGAATTGATAATATGTGGATTTTATTATCAAGTGTTTCTGCATTCAATCCTGTTTGTGCGGCAAGTTTTACTCTTAAAGGAAAGATTGAAATGAGCACACTCGAGGAAAATGCAAAACGTCAAGTTGAAATTTTTCCTAAATATCGTCAAATTTTGACAAATACAGGTCGCAAATTTCACGGAAGTACGTTCATTGATGATCCAAATTGGGACGTCAAGCGTCATTTGAGCACACACAGTTTACCAGAGCCTGCTGGACGAGAAGAATTGGACGCATTTACCGCAGAATTCATTGCTCGTGATTGGGATTTCAACAAGCCCTTGTGGGAAATGGCAGTCATTGACAATTTCAAAGAGGCAGGAAACGAAGAAGGAAGTGCGTTGATCACCCGTGGTCATCATAGCATGGCTGACGGTCAAGGCTTTGTGATGTCGCAACTTTACATTTCAAGCTTTGGTCCTGAGCTTGAGCGTATGTTGACAGAAGGCAAGGCGACCATTCGTGCTGCCAGACGAGGAAAAGCACGCCCATCCAAATTACACAAATCTCTCAAACCTCTTGATCGTTATAGACATATGATCGTCTTGCAATTGATCATGTTTAGTCTGTTTTGGACGATTTGGTTGATGGGTAACTTGATGGATGCATTCAATGCAATCATTCAGCTCTTTACCTTTTCGACTCAATACCTTCTTTATGGCTGGAGACCGTTGACGTTGACAAGTGAATATGCAGGCGCTCGTGTGGACAAGCGTGAATTTGCAACGAGTGATCGTATGCCTATGAGCGATGTTCGTAAGATGCAAAAAGCATTCAGTGGACCAGTTCCGGGCGGATGGTTTGATCGTGCATTGGGCAGAAAAGAAAGAAGTTGGTTCGGACATTTGACATTGAACGATATCTTGTGTACGATCATTGCAGATGTGCTTTCGGATGAACGTGATCATCAAGAATTAGTACCTGCACCAACGATGCGCGTGAGGTTCACAAGACTTGCAAACAAGATCTTACCGCAACGATTAGCACTCATGATCCCGATCAGTATTCGTCCGGTAGCAAATTGGGATATGCGTAATTGGTCAACGGGTAGTTTGGTATTTTTGCCTTTACCCGATTCCGGTTCATCAAAACAACATGGTTTACCTTTAGGTGCAAAACCCATGCATGCACGTTTACACGATGTTGCCCGACGATTAAGCGTTTTAAAATCAGGTTTATTACCAACGATTTTCTTTTGGGCCGTTCAAATTACCGGGCAAGCACCACTTTTGTTCCCGAGTATGTTATGGGTACCTTTTCGTCCTGTGGTAAAGTTTGGTACAGATTTATTGTTGGAAGCATTTTCGGCAGTTGTTACAAATGTGCCCGGACCACAAAGTAAAGATGGCATTCAATTTGCCGATCGTCAAGTTACTCGTTGGGCTTGTGCTCCTCCTCAAGCTGGAAAAGGTACTTTAGGAATCGGAATTATCACCTATGCAGATGGAATTTGTATCACAATCGCTGCTGATAACGTCAAGGGTGCACCTTCTGATGGTGTTACCCGCAGAGTTGCGCAAAAGTTTGCAACCCGTTGGGCACAATATTGTCAAGTGGCAGACGATATCCTTGAAAGATCTTCATCTAATAAACAAAACCGAAAGAAGGCATGATTGATTCACTTTATCATCTTTCCATGTAATAGCATCAGCATGTAGCAACCTTTTGACTTTTTTTAAGAAATATATGACATTGAAATCAAGGGAAAAGAGATAAGTAGACAAAGAATTTTGACATCACATCAAAAAAATAGAGGGGTGAGGGGGTAAGAAAAGGGGGATTTAGCTGACTGTAGATGCACTTGCAGATCTTCAAAAGCGAAAATAAAATAAGAAGATAAGTAGAAATAAAAAAGAACAAGTCCAAAGCACTACGAGAAAGACAGAAAGAAGTAAAAAAAAAGAGGAGCAAAAGGAGCAACTTGCTAATCCGAGATCATCACACACATCTGTTTGAAAAAGATGCATGACGGAGAAAGCAATTATAAAAAAGAGAGCAATCTTGGAAAAGCGCAGAGAGAATCGAGAAAAAATCTTGACGGAACCTAGAAATAAAGTCCACTCGCTCCTTGTACGGGAATATGTAGATCACCACCAGTCTCTTGAGTATATAGTAAGGTCTGTTGATGAATCTGCAAAGTGCAAGTGAGGCGGAGAGCGAGACGATTGGGGAAAGGGGGGAAAACATCAGATCCAATCCGGGTTGAGGTTGGACAAAAAGGGGCAAATTGCATTGAGCGCAAATCGCAAAGAATCGAAACGGTGAAGCGGATTGTCCGATCGTACTTTGATATTGACGAACGTATTGGGGCGAAAGAGAAATGAGCGTTGACATTCTACAAACATTAAAGGAGCGTTGTGTGTATACGATTGTTGCACGCATACAATAAACTGAGAAATGACAGTGTTTTTCTGTTAAGCTGGAAACACATTATGAGTCCATTCCAAAGATTCCATTAATATTGGCTTGAGATGCATCTTCATTTTCCATTGCCTTGGCAGCCGCATCTTCTTCATCCCTTTGAATGGCTTTACGTAAACGTTCACCAACAGCCGCAAGACTGCTTGGAGTTTCAGCATCGGTGTTGCTGTTCATCATGAACGATGAACTTTCTCCGCTGATACTTGAACCTTGGGTGTGAACACGGGCATGTTGGTTGAGGTTGTCATGGCGAGAGAAACGCTTTCCGCAGTGGCACATAAAAGGCTTCTCATCAGTATGAATACTGCGAACGTGTCTCTTCAAGTGTTCACTACGTTTGAAGCATTTACCACATCCAGGAACCTTGCATGTGTACACCTTTCCACTCTTGCCCAAATTGTTCAATTCTTCAGGATTGCTTGGAACACGACGACCACGGCTTCGTTTGGTAATGATACCGCTGATCATGTGACCATTAAGAGCTGCTTGTTGAACCATACTTGGCGCAGGTGAGTGTGTCATTGGGCTGGCATACGGTGACGATCCATGCGAGGACATGGTGGCCGCACGGTTGCTGCGAATTACCCCACCTGTTGGGGTCATTCCTGGTGCGGAGAAGGAAGCATTCATCATTGCACTAGAGTAGCCTGTCAAAGGCGAATTAGCTGCATTGACAAAGTCATTCTGACGATTATCTTCATTCCACAAAGAACGCAAACCTTGCACAGGAGAAACAGAATAATGCGGGAAGCTGATCGATGCAGAACGTTGATCGTTTCCTTCCATGTTTCCGTAAAAGTTTGTTGGAGGAGGAGGCATGCTAGATGAAGAAAAGACATCATCTAAACTATGCATCCTTGGGTCTGCCATACCACCCGGAGTGATATAAGCCGGATTGCACGAAAGAGGATCAATCGATCCCATCTCATTTCGGCTACTCGTACCTTCTCTCTCGGTGAACAAATTGTTACCATCAATGCCGCCTTGTCCGGCTGCAAAGCTGTAGCTTCTTTGACCTGCAGGATAATGCCTGCCTCCGTTTGAAACCATGTAGGATGTACTGGACATCTGAGGTGAATCAGCTGGCGAAGAAAATGCGCTTGGTAATCCTGGTCTTGAGGATGTGTTTTCACGTTGTCCAGAACCAGAACGATCGGAAGAAAGGAAAGAGTTTATTTGACTAGCACGCAGGGTGGACGAGTTTTGTTCTTCGGTTGTACTTTGATCTTGATCGTGATCAGAGATAAAGTCAGAAAGATTAAAGTTGTTGAAAGCGGCAGAGTTGTTTTGGGGAAGTGTCTCGAGATGATTTGGCTGTTGCAATTCAACAACTTTTGTTCCTTTTAATAAGTCCAATCCAGCGTTTGTTGTGTCCAGACGGAATCCCAATCCAAGCGCCTGCATGGATTCACTGTGAAGTTCTTCTTGGGTTCCGAAAACGAGAGCTTCTTTGATACGCAAGAGCCCTGTTTCGTCTTCTTTGTTACGATCTAAAAGATCACTGTCTGCTTCCGAAGGTGTTGCGGATGAGATTGAACTTGCGGCAGATGAGCTGCTGAATCTTGGATGTAATGAATCACGGCCACTTGGTGTTCCAATTGATGACAAGAAATCGTCGTCCTCTTCGTCGTCTTCGAGTAAGAATGACGAGCTGCGACGTGGATGAAGATGTTTTTGTTGATGATGTTTGAGTTCAACAAGATCAAAAGAAAAAGGTTGGAAGGTGGTGTCGTTGAAGGAAGAGAAGAACGGATTGTGATTTGGATCTGATGAAGGAGAAAGGAGGAGGGGAGGCGTATTGTTTTGCAAGTCCATGCCTGGAAAAGGCAATTCACTGCCATGCATAACCAATTGATCTTCCATTTTTAAACTTCTCAGCGTGCTTGCAAAAAAGTACTAGCTGTCAAGAGGATAGGAGTTGTTCCTATACGTCAGAGAAAGGCCTAGAAATGCATCAGGTGCTTACTTACGATTATTTTTATCTTATCGGCAGAAAGTATATATCGTCCAGGAGCAGTGTGCTTGATTGGCGATTTTCAGACGGGCGATTGATTGTTCTTGAAGCGTGGGAAAAATTGTTGACAAAGCTGGGGCTTAGAAAATGAATACGTCGTAAAGAGGAGCTTGGGATTTGATGATGGATGGAATGTTTCGTTAGATAGCCTGACAATTTGTATTGGGTGCAATACAAATCTTTTGAAAGACTTGGGTTCGTAATAGTCGTTAACTATTATTTCGATCGTCGGGCCAACATCGAGAAAGACGGGGTTAGGAGAAAAATCAGTGCAATCCAACGATGTATTGGTCGATCAGATATTGTTGAAATTGTTGAATAACAACAATTTGCAGATGGGAAAAATAATGAAGAAGAGAGGACAGAGGGGAAGATATGTTTATAGTCAGTAAGTCTGTACATTTTTTTCATCGGAAGTTTGAGTCGTCTTTGTTTGTTAAACATCCGCACATTTGGGTAAATATTTGGCGTTCGATACCGTGTACAGGAGAACCGTGCACGAAGGTGAAAAGATTTCAAATCGTCATTCGATACGGGTCATGCAGATTAGGGATAAAACTGCTTCTGTCTGACCATAGAGGATCTGTGCTTCGAATGAGCAGTTGGTTCTGCTGCTCATATTTTGCAGGAAATGCGTTTATGAAGCAGGATCAACTCAATTCCCCACATCAAGATCTTTTGTTGGAAGACGTGCAATATTCCCATCGCAAGAAAGCATGCATGGTTTACGTGCCTTGCTTGCTAGGAACGCGAAACATATCTCAACCATCCAATCGGAAACACAAAAAAGGCCAAATTACTAATTCGACTTTTTGAACGTTTGCAGATGAACATCCAAAAAAGTTGGTTTGAATCGAGACTGTCATGAGAGGGAATTACGGCATTCTGACACTGTGCGCTTTGGATATTGGTTGTATTTCCCATCTCCTAACCATTTCCCTATCTTTTCGAGATACTCCTTTTGCCAGCATTTCTCCTAACAACACGACGACGCCCACAATACCGTGTGTATGTATACTTACATAGTCGTTAAAATTTGATAAGCGTTAAAGAGCTACCTTTGTACAAAGGTATAACTCGGTCGTAACAGATCGTAAGAAGAAGGGGGGTATTTGGATGTGATGGTGATGAAAGGGAGTAGTCATAGAGAGACAAGGCGCAAAACAGGCTCGCTCATACGCGGACGGGATACACAGATCGGAGGACTGACGAAAATCATGCGCAATACATACAAGCGTAGTGTATAATCATTGTATTTTATTTGTTGATCGGTAATGGAGGCATAAGACAAGTGTTTCAAACACAAAAGTGTGTTTGTAGGTTTAGATTGTGTGCATAGGCAGTATCTCACTGTACAAATAAATGTGTTTTTTTTTATATTTGTGCAACCCGGCGCGGAGACAAAATAAAATAAAAAATAAAATAAAAAGGCAGTGTCGCGATCTCAATGAACCCTTGAGCCCAAAAAGAGGCCAACAAGCGGGCGCCAAGTGCTGCTGAGCCGATTTAAACGGAAGCGGTCAGTTTGCTCATCATTTGTCCGATCAGGCTAATCATCATTTATGACTTGGATGATCAAATTGGTATCAATCAGATTCGTATGATGTACGTATAATAATATCTGCTCATTGTATTCACTACTCATTACACGTTCGGGCTAAGCTAGTGGTGTATTAATCGGTGAATTACATACAATACCCGCGCGATCACAATCCAAGCCTTACGCCACTGACAATGTATGCACTTGTAAGTTGCAACCTACGCTAATAACACTCGAGAATGATTCTAAAATCCACTAAGAGATGCTGGTTGCCAATCACTGCATACAAAGAGGACACTGCTCATCGGCATTTGAAAGTGGGAGTATATTTATCGGAGGATTATTCTACAACGCACAGTGACTTTATTAAAAAAGTGTGATGCTGATTGCATACATACAATGGTTACCTCTGTGACATCTTTTTACAAATCCGACAAACAAAGGCCGCATAGAGTTGCATCTTTTTATTGCTCATTAGCTGTACAGTCGACAGCTAAGCGGAAAATTCTTCTTCTTCTAATTGTGGGTTTGGTATAGAGTGCATAAATGAACAAACCTTGAAAAAAGGCAATCTTTTCATCACAATTTTTTTAAACTTTCTTCGCAGATAATTTCCGATCGAAGTGCATATGTATATATTTCCGAGGAGATTCTATTTGAGATTGTTTGAGAAAGCACGTGGGAGCTGTGATGAAGAAAAGTGATTGAGATCACATTGAGATGATGGAATAGTATAATGAATTTCCAAACTTTGTCGGCAATCTCGTTCAAGATGATATGCTATCTCTGGAATTGTCAAGTGACATCATCTACCACAAAATATAAGATACAAATGACCTGGAGAATAAGCATTTGAGTATCAGTGATTGTAGAAAACATCATGTTATAAGATTAGCTTTTATTATTTTGACATAATGTATTATTTCTGGTGTAATTGCATTTCACACTGTCCAGCCTGCTACATCTCTTCATGACCACTTATTGATCACAGTTGACTCTTTTATCGTCATCATGTCATTTTTTAAATTCGAAATGATCATGTGTTTGCTCTCGAATATCCTATTGCCGGCTTAAGTCCGTTTAAGATCTGAATAAGATGTTTAGCCCCTGAATAGAAGATCACACGCATGGGCCAAGAGAGAGAGGGAGAGGGCCACGACAACGCGTGTAAACAGTGATCTAGTGCGGGGTGTTGTTGTTGTCAAGTGAAACGCGCTTAAGATCAAAAAATAATAATAAAAGAGAGGCAGTGTTTCACCGATTCAGCATCAAAGAGAGCTTTAACGAGGACGACAACAACAACAAGAACAGCATTCATTGCAATCATAAGCAGCTATTCCAGAAAGGAAGCATCCTGATCTGATCAAGAAACTCCACTCAGTGGAATCATACAGTCTCACAACCAGTACCGCTTCAAGATTTCACCTCTTCCTACCAGCCTCAACCATCAAGCACAACAAGTCACATCCAAACATCAAACAAAGGGTCACCATAAAGACCGACTGACTAATCCCGAATTAATACCGCTTGGACCTTCATCCGATATACCTCGCAAGACCGATTCACAAATCTGTCACAAAAATATCAAAAAACGGAACCCTAACGTAAAAGGAGATCCGAGCGTTTACACGGGAACAAATTTATAACAAAGTCACACGAATACATAGAAGCTCCTATCATCTTCACAACAAACAACAACGACGAAGACATCCTCTCTCCAGCTCTGCGTTGAGGTCATTCACTGAGAAAAGCAACTCCAGAAGACAACAGGATGAACTTTTTCAAATCTAAACAAAAGACTCCACCAGAATTGGTAAGAAATTTACGGGAAGCAACGACCAGATTAGACGCACCAGGAGTGAGTGCAGAAGGAAAGAGAAAAGCAGGCGAAGAAGTTTCAAAAAATCTTTTTCAAATCAAATTCATCCTTTATGGAGATGGAGAAAATGAACCACAACCTGATCAAGTTGCACAATTAGCACAAGAAGTTTACAATAATGATGTCTTGCAATTACTCGTTCAAAATATTTGGAGATTTGAATTCGAAGCAAAAAAGGACGTTTCACAGATATTCAATAACCTTTTGCGGAGGCAGATCGGGACACGGTGGCCAACGGTTGAATATTTGACTACAAAGCCAGAAGTGATCTTCACAGCATTGAAGGGATACGAGAATCCTGAAGTGGCGCTTAATACGGGAATGATCTTGAGGGAGATGCTACGACATGAAGGACTGGCAAAGATACTTCTATACTCGGACAAGTTCTACACATTCCCGGATCATATCGAAAAGACGACATTTGGCATCTCATGTGACGCTTTCGCCAATTTCAAAGAGTGTCTAACACGACATAAGCCAATGGTGGCTGAATATCTAGAAAAGAATTATGATCGATTCTTCACAATGTACAAAGGTCTATTGCACTCGCCGAACTATGTCACCAAACGACAATCGCTCAAGCTGCTCGGGGAAATCTTATTGGACAGAACGAATTTCAACGTGATGACCAAGTATATCTCCAATGAAGATAACCTGAAGGATATGATGAATTTGCTGAAAGATCGAAGTAAGAATATTCAATTTGAAGCTTTCCACGTTTTCAAAGTCTTTGTTGCCAATCCAAAGAAACCTCCAGTGATCGAGAACATCTTGCGAAGGAATCGTGAGAGATTGGTGCAATTCTTGTCGAATTTCCACAACGATAAAGATGATGAACAATTCGTTGATGAGAAGCAATATGTGCTTCAGATTATCGAGTGAGTAGAAGGTGAATTTGGGGTTTTTCTCAGATAGACCATATGATTGCTGACTGTTTCTCTCTTTCTCACCTCACAGATCTACCGGTCAACCGAGCTCGGCAGCAGCTGCGTAAGAGCGTGGCAATCTCATCTTATTTCTTCGCTCTGTCTTTTCTATTTGATGCATCAATTTCCCTCGTCAATCATTTGTACTTGTATCTGCACTTTTTATATGATGTGCACTCAAACCGGCGCTTCATTCTATACTCGACCTTTGTTCCTGCAAAAGAAAAGCACATTGGAACATCAATTTGAACAATATACATAGCCATCATCTATCCCTTCCTTTCCCTCCTTTTGCTCTACCTATAATTTATTTATCCTTTTTATATCAATGAAACACAATTCTCCGCAATCATTCATTCGTTTTGAGGGTCTACATCCATTGAATTCGATTACGGTAAACTTCGCCATGACTCGATCAATGGAAAACAAGGCCTAGAAGAGTCTATCAAGATGACAGACAATTGTGGCTTTGAATCCGGTGCAATGCGTGTGGGCGTGTGAACAATGAGTGAGCAAGTAAGCAAACAAAAAACTCCGAAACAACTTGCGGGGGGGAACTTGGGCGTAAGCACGCACGCACGCGTATGTGCTGGCCGGCGTACTGTAATGTAGCTCGGGAAAGCGGAACAGTCTGACTTTCTTTAATTGTCTGGACTTTTTCGCCTTACCGATTCCCACGTTTTGGTGTATTTGTTTGACAGGTCGGTCAAGTCAAATCAAATCAAAGAGGCAACTCCGTCTTAATTCGGAAAATAATCTCGTCTGTTTGGTATGCAAAGAAGGTTGAGAGGGTAGGGTTGATTTTTCAATGATCGAGTATGTTTCACCATGGCTTTCATTGGGGACTAGATAGGATATCGAATGCATGTAAGCGCGGCGACACGCGTTAAGACAATGCATTCAATACTCAACACAGCCACCCTCTTTGATACCGGCGCCGTCTCTGTGTTTTGTTAGGTGTAGTATTTGATCATGATTGCAGGATCTTTCTAGTGAGACAGATCCTATTGTTCAAGTAATGCTTGATCAAAGGAATGAGAACGAGAAAGAGGATAGCAATGACAGTTTTTGCTTGAACAACCTCTAGACTCTGGCTTATCCGACAAAATACGCACGCGTTTGTGGTCGGACAAAATCTTGGCGGACAATGTTTTCATGCATCACAGTTTCTGCAGGTCCAGACAAGAAAAAGAGAGCACAGCGCGCGCATTAAATAGAAAGCGGAGCTGCAGCGACGGCATTGCGTTGCACAGCGTAGCGTCAAAGGAGAAGAGGACTTTTGATTCCATCATATGCTTTTAATGCAAGATGATATGTCTTTCACATATTTCACCGACAAGAATTGGTATGTGGCCTGTACGGCGTTCTGTTCTGCCGTTGCTTTTTGTTATCGATCAAAATGAGACATTGAATTCATCTTGTTTGCTCCATGGAAAACAATGCATTACTTTCGAGAGAAGGGCTTGTTCTTCTTGCTTACGTCGAAATAAAGGCACGGACGGGCCTGCGGGTTCATACGTACAAAAGATTCAATCGATCACTTGCTTTGAAAATGGGGAGGGGGCAATTCTCGGTTTCGAATTTGCGTGCGTGCGTGCGTGTACAAACATACGCTAAAGCACAACAATCTTCCCCTTGGCACTTTTGCAGGCACGGCTTGGAATAATAAACCCTGTTTTCATTTAGCGCCCGCCTTTTCTAAGATGATTAAACTTATAGGCACACCCTATTTTTTGGAATAAAGTGTAATGCTTCTTATGATTGCATGAATACGTCTTTGCATGTCTATGCATTTGGCTCAGCTCTTTTACGGACAATGTTTGCCGTCTCTCTCTGTTGACTTGCCATCACAACATACATCCATCGCATCGAAAACTTGCACTTGCAGCTGTCATATGTACCTGACTATATTGGGAAACAAAAGTCAAGTACGCCCATTTGACACAAAGTAAAACATCCTCTTTTCCCCTCATCGTCAATTTTCTCTTTCGTTCAACCAACATCTCAACTTCATCATCATCCAAAGCGGACTTTTGAACGCCTCTTTGGTCGTCATTCTCTTCAATTTGCCCAAAGGCGTTTTTATTTCGTACACCACTTTCAACCCTTGGCGGTACTACATTTCACCTTTAAGCTGACTTTGATCGCATTCGACGGAAACTCAGCCTACTTTCATTATCGATCCAATCTGCAAGTAGGCGTGGCGTGAAAAAAAGGTAAGTGTCCACTTCAATAAAGATCATATATATGCATTCCGACGGCGCCGACGGAGAAAATAGGAGAATAAACGTCCGATCCTGAAAAGTTATCAGAAGACAAAATCTTCTCAGAATGCTAAGCAGGGGAAGAAGCGAAAACGGTATCGCCAAAGTTATCTGCCAGGATCAACGGACTAGCGATCCCCGTCTTGTTTAGATCGTATTGACGGCCTAAAAGGAGCCGAAAGGGGGGAGGGGCTGTAAAAGTGTGCGATTACTTGATACGCCGCGAACATTATTGAAGGTGAATAAATTGCAAGTGAATGCGGTCGTACTGACATCTTTATTTCTTTTCATCACGTCATCTATACAGTCTTAAATGGTCACAACTGCATTCCATCTTCCATGAACGGATTCGAGTAAGCATTTGCATACCACAAAGATGCGATCGTCAAACATTTCATCCGAAAGTGGAAGCATTGATCCGTTCACCACAGAAGGGACCAAAAATCAGCATTTGCTCAGCACAATGCCTACAGACGCACTCTCCTCCCGAAGACTATCGCAGACCAACGTACGTGCTTCTTTGGATATGTCGGTCAATGAACCCAAAGATCTACATAAGTGGGCTGCTGAGGCCCTGACAGCAAGACCAGAGACAAATACTGCGCCTCCTCTGGAATCGCTTTCAACTAGCACCTCTTCCCTTCTGTCAGGCGGACGTCGTGAGAGCGAAGCTGGAGTACCTTGGACGGCTAAATCATCTGCACCTCCTACTGGAGGTAGCTTTGCCAGATTGTATGCAAATGAGATGAGCTCAAACGGGCCAAATTTTGATACCATCCCTCGCTTTCATACACCAAATCATCTGGAATCCTCTGGCTCAAGCAGACGAGATAGCTTCTTGTCCAATGGCTTACGTGAGCGTCCTAGCTCAATGTTTGCGGTCACTTCTCCAACGTCAGATACAAGTTTTGCACTCCAACTTCCCGAAATCGAGAGAAGTGATGAACACATTGATTTGAGCTCCGTACCTGCTTATAATCAAGGATCTCAAAGACACCCTAGCTTGAAATCGTGCCTCAAATCATACTATCCCTCCGCAGAGGAGGACAAGTCGGAAGCACAAACACCTTTGCATTCTATGGATTCGCATTCCAGCTTAGGAGGAAACAACGGCGCATCCGTACAAAAGTCCGTACACATCAGTGATGATTTACCCAGACTCAAAGAAAGCGTCGAATCATCTTCACGTTCCTCTTCACCAGTTTCCTCACCGATGGCATCCAGACTGGTACGTCGAAATGCAGCGCATAAACGCAACGTATCCGAAAGCCGTTCAAACCGACGATCATTTGGTCCAACTCACCAACATGCACGGTCTCATTCACACAACTCGCCCACTTTGACCGACGATACCACTTGTGATAGCGAGGAAGAGGATGGCGTGGCAGTTGTTACGCCAATGGACGAGAATGGTCCTTCGGGAGAATCATCCAAGATGAAAGACTCAGGCTTGCTTGGCAATGCTCATGGATCAAAGAGCGATGAGAAGGATGGATCTGGAGTTGTACCACTCCTTTCCCGTGCAACGCTTCTTGATATCGGTCGTCAGGAAGGATTGACACCTCCAACCATGCAAGATGACAATCACAGATCTCAAGTTGCAAGTCTTGCAGGCACGTCGTCTGATGCTTTGTCTCAAGTGATGAGTCCGACAAGTGTCGTCAGTGCAGGTTTAGGAATGGGTTTAGGAGCTCGAATGGGTTCTTCAGCATTCTCTACGCACATTCCTCAAACGTCTTCTTCTGAGATGAGCAGCTTTATGGAAGCAAGATACGATCGATTTGCTGGACAAATGGATTTCAATGCCCTCGCTATGAGCGGTCTCAAGCTCACAGAAGCACAAAATGATTTCAGTCATAACGCGAAGGTCAAATCAGACCGTGCAGCGGACGAGGTAACATTCGCCGAATTGGATAGGGACGATGCTGAATTGAACAGACGTCGTACCACCGGTGGTTTGCAATCTCGCCGTGAACCAAGATCTAGTGGTGTTGTTGGAAAACGCAGAGTTCATCGCACAGGCACACAAGATCCTCATGGTTCACATATGAATGATATCGAAGAAGGATCAGTCTCTGTTGATAGCTCTAACATCAGCACCAGTCATAGCTCTCCATTTGTTGGACCTCAACAAATGCACGGCACAACGAGTACACCGCTCGACACGCCTTCGCATGGTCACAAAGCTCTTTTATCACCATCGATTGAATACAGAGCCGAGAGCGCATCATATCATTCGCGATTCGGTGATGACCACAGAATCTTTGCTGATCGTGTACGCGAAGGCAAGAATGAAGCTAATGATAAAAATGCCCGACCGGCCGCCGGAGGTGCATCCAACTTGGATGGTGGTTTGATGGGTACGGGAGAAGTGGGTCATTTTGGTCCGGGCGTACGTGCAAAAGTGTCTGAATTGATCGAGGCATTCATCGGCACGGTTCCTCTATCCGGTATAGAAGGTGAAACTGTCAATATGATGGAGTATGGTGCTCTCAATTCCCGATCTGGAACCCTCTTCCGCCCAGCCATCTCAGCCTTAGCTAAAAGGGCAATCGCAAAGGAGGAAAGCGATGAAGAAGGAAAGAAAGAAGAAGGAAAGGAAGAAGATGAAAACAAGGAAGAAGGAAGCAAAATTGACACCAAGCAAAGCTACTTCCAAGGTCGCCAACATCAATCTGCATTCCAAGTACAAGACAGTAAGATCAATGTCTGTGTCACTCACGAAGATGCTCCTTCGACCGATTTCCGTGCAATGACGCAAATGCTGGAAACACATCATGACTCATACTTGAACGCTCATTGGCAAGCCAGACATGTACCGTGTCTCACCAACACAATCTTCCCAAGTTTTGCCGCTCGTCCGTTCGTATCAAGATTGGCCCCTCCTAATACGATGCATCTCGGTATCAGCTTAATGGATATGCATTGGACTCATACGCCAAACAATGTTCACGTCAGTCGAGCAACTACTGCACAAGCTGAATTGACAGCGTTCCTCAATTCTCGTGCCAATGAGTTCAAAAAGGATGGATTGCTTTTCATGGCTTACATCGCTCGCAGTGACGAGCCAAATCGACCATCTCTGGGCCCAGATCGTCTTTCCTCAGACCCTGCGATGACTGACGACGAAAATTCCACATACTCCACCTCTCCTATGGAGAAGAATTCAAACAACATCACAAACGCTCAAGCATTCCGAGCACCAAAGAAGGACATTTGGACAACTTTAAGCAATGTATTGGCACCATGCATTCAGCGATTGGTATCATGCTATATGCTGAAATCCGATGTTGCTCGTCACCTCTTGGATCTTCCCATGCATCCCCGAACAGCCAAGCAAACAAAAGCAGCGTTAAAGAGTGTTGAGGATAAGTGGAAGTTGGAATGGAGTTGCGGTCTGGGTCATAGTGACAATGCAAGCTCTGCATCTTCCTTGCCCAATGAACCAACACCCTTACGTTTGGCACATCCGGCGTGGAAAGCATTCGAGTCAGGATGCTTATCAAGAGTAGCATTTACCGAACATATGATTCAATTGTTCAAGAATCTGTACGATTCTCATTTCCGCGACGTATTACGCGAAAAAGGTCGTTTGAGCAAAGGAGCTGCTGATTATTTACTCGACTATCTCTGGGACGCCCTGTTCAGCCGTATCAATGATGATACTACTTCTCCTAACGCAAAAGATATCGAGATCGAAATTTGTGTCTACGCTTTACGCCGTCTTTAAATCATTTTTTCACCTCTCATACCCATCGGGTCTGCCATCTCTTGGCAGCAAGTCACACGCAAGCTTTTCACTTCAGATAATCAGGACTATATTTTCACCGATAAATCAGCAAGTATTCGATCACGGACGTAGGAAAAGAAGATAAAAACAAAAAAAACATTCACACAAGTAAAATCTTTTTTTTGGGGTATATTTGTATTCCATGTCACCTCCGTCACCACGCATTCAAGAAAAAGTATCATCATTTGTTTTCATATTCATCGTTTTCATTCATACCGGTTTCGTCTTTTCTCATTAGCAAAACAGTTTTCGTCTCAAGAGTTTCGTTTCATTGATAAAAGTTTGTAGTATCCTTCCCTTTTTTTAAAAGAGATTCAATTTATTCCCCTTCAAGAATGTTTTGATTGAGCAATAGTGGTGGGTATGATATGGTATAGTATGAGAATCCGATTTGTATGAGTTGTGAGAGATTATCCAGCACGGGAAAGGGAAGGTATACTTTCCTTGAAGGAGGATACCGTTGAAGGATTTGGACAATTTGAATTTTGACGAATTTGTTCTGCTTCGGGTAACCATTGTTTCATTTTCGTATAACGCTTTGCACTTGTTGGATGAGTACTTAACATTTCCGTAAAAACTGAAGAACCGCCGCCAAAGAGTTTTTTTTCTGCTTCTTGAAATCTTTCCCAAACACCTGGTGCTTTTGTTGGATCAAAACAAGCAACACTCATCAATCGTAAACCGATATGATCAGCTTCTGATTCGCATGCACGTGAGTTGGGTAACCCAAGAAGAATTTGTAAAGCAGAGCTTGAAATACCAAAATTGATTCCGATTAAAGACTCTACTGCGAAACCTAGGATGATATACAGGTATGCACTTGACATCTTTTCGGCCCCATGTCGAACGAGTTGATGTGCAACTTCATGACCCAAAACGGTTGCTAAACCATCTTCATCTTTGCAAATGGGTAAAATTCCAGTATGAATAAAAATCTTTCCGTTTGGAAGAACGAATGCTTGTGGCGTATCATCTTTTATTACGAACACTTGCCATTTCACATCCTGTTTGCGTTCATGAGGATCAGAAGGATGATGAATACCGCTATGAAGACTATCGGAAAAGTGATTTGCTTTAATATTACCTTGTTGACGTTGAATAGAAGCAGCACGAACGATTCTCGATGCGATTCCATGAACGTATTGATGAACAGGATGACTTGCAGGTAAAATGCTACCTTGTATCTCTCTCAAGAGCTGATGGAACGCTTGATCTGCCGTTTGTCTTTCTTGTTCAAGACTTACGTACATAAATCGCCATCTACCCGTCTCCGGAACTTTTTCTAAATGTGCAACATAAAAAATTCCTCCTCCTACCAAAACTATCGCTGCTATTCCTACCCGGCCAAACGGATCAAATCCACCTCTTCTTCGACGTGGACTGTTCTGGCCTTGTTGGACTGCAAATCGTTTCCAAAGTGGTATTTCTTGACTTTGGCCATTTCTGGGAGGGAAAGGAGATGGATAGCCACTTGGCGGTCCTTCTGTCGGCCTATCTCCAAATCGTCTATAGTTGGCATTGCTGTGTGCTGAAGTGTGTATGAAATGTATCGATGGTCTTTCTATCTTTGCTCTGGCGAAAGGAGCGGATGTGATCGTAGAAGGAAGCACTTTCGAGCTGACATTGCATGATCTTACCATACAGCGAAGTGCTGACCTTGCTGCCATTGTGGCAAAAGTGATGATGGTCGTAACAATGCAAGGATGAGCAATTTGTCAATATTCTACATATGATTAAACAATGGGAAGAAGTCGATTGTGTCGTATGCAACTTTAAATGTTTTGTGCATGCATTCCCGATTAGACTTTGCAGTTGTACCTGCACCGAACGCGTGTGCTTTCCAAAGAAAGAGGCCTTTATCCGTTGTTAGCTGAAACCCTTTGTCTAAGCATAATCACTCACAACACAAGCCAATCAGAGAATCATTCGTATAAGATTTCATGAGCAGTCAAGAACAAAGAGAAAAATAGTACAGGTCCTCAAACAATTTAAGTCGAGGATTTTTAGATAGCGGGCGGGGCGGGTCAGAGCGATTGAGTTTTTCGTTGCGAAATCATTTTCTTGGCTCCAATTTCAAATCAGAATGTAGTACCATTTCATGTAGTGCTTTTCCGGCAGCAACCATTGGCAAAACGTGTTCTTTATCTTCCACCAAAACTTCCATCAAAACAGGTTTTGTATTATCGTAATTGATAAATTCTGCCATCTTTTCTTTCAATTCTCCTTTATTGCTGCACAAAATTCCCTTGATTCCACATGCTTCTGCCAATTTGGTAAACGAAGGATTCTTTTGTTTTGTATGACTATAACGTTCTTCGTAGAACAAATCTTGCCATTGAACAACCATTCCTTGTCCATTATTGTTCAAGATCAAAACCTTTACACCAACACCAAATTCTGCTGCAGTAGCCATTTCCATAAATGTCATTTGTGCACTTGCATCACCATCAACATCAATAACAATCTTTTCAGGCTGTGCAACCTTGGCTCCAATAGCGAATGGAATACCTACACCCATTGTTCCTGCACCACCAGAAGTGACCCAGGTACGTGGCGTAGTCCAACGAATATGTTGTGCTGCCCACATTTGATGTGCTCCTACACCGGTAGAAACGACCAAGTCCTTCTTACGTTCAGGTCCCACGGCAATATCAATCTCCTCCATCACTTCTTGTGGTTTAGCAGGCGCGTCTGGAGCGGCAGGGTTGTAATAGAATGGATATTTTGTCTTCCATTCATCAATCTTCTTTAGCCATTCTCCACGTGTTTTATTTTCTGTGATCAAACTCAGAGTTTTGCCAAGGTTGCGAACAACATCACCTTCGATCGCACATGTTGCTTGAACGACCTTGTTGATGTTCTTTGGCATGATTTCATAATGGATAATACCACCTCGTCCTTCCATTGCAGCAGCTCTTGCATGAGGTGCAAATTTGTCCACACGTCCAGTAACACGGTCATCGAATCGTGCACCAAGAGCAATGATCAAATCAGCATCTTGCATGGCCAAGTTGGCATAAGCACTACCGTGCATACCCAACATATGCAGAGAAAGAGGATCATTTTCGTCAAATGCTCCTAGACCTTGTAGTGTGGTTGTGACGGGAATTTGACCACGATGAGAGAGTGTTTTGAGCAATTCTGGACCTTCTGGGCTGGAGAGCATTCCTTGACCGGCATAAATGATAGGTCTCTTAGCCTTGTTGATCAAATCAGCAGCTTGTCTGATTTCAGGCGAAAGTTCAACAGATGCATTGCTGGAAGGAGAAAGCAAGCGTGAGCGAGGACGAGCGGTTGCACGACTTGGCAAAGCAGCTTGGTTCGGTGTTGTTTGAGAGAAAGGCAAAGCTTGCCACAAGATACCAGCAGTGACATCTTTCGGTAGATCGACCAATACTGGTCCAGGTCTTCCGCTCATTGCAATCTTGAATGCTTCATTGATACGACGAGGAAGTTCAGTGATGTTCTTAACCATCACGTTCCATTTTGTGCAACTTCTACTGATGCCCAACATATCAGCTTCTTGGAAAGCATCCGATCCGATTGCACTTGTGGCGACTTGACCACAAAAGACAATGAGTGGGGATCCGTCCATTTGGGCATCGGCAAGTGGTGTGACTGTGTTTGTGGCACCTGGACCACTGGTGACCAACACGACACCAGGCTTTCCGGTCACACGGCTGTAAGCTTGAGCCATATGACCTGCACCATCTTCACGACGAGGTAGAATGAAGTCAAAATTTTTAGAATTGTAGATTGCATCAAACACGGGCAGAATTGCACCACCTGGATAACCGAAGATGTGTCTAACACCATGTCTTAGCATCATTTCATGAAAGATTTGACCTCCTGACATTCCGACGAAAGATTCATCAAGTTCTTCCTGTTGTTGATGTCTGGCTAGGGTGCTACTTGGAGGTGTTTGTTGGAATGAAGGTGATGGCTCAGGTCTTGCGGCAGAGGTAGATCCTTGAACGGGAGATGCTTGTTCTTTTGGTGCATTTGTTGAAATAGATCTGGCCTGTTGTGCATTTGAGGTGGCTGCTGGATTGGATTGATCAGGATTGCGTAGATGTGCTGATGTTGTGAAAGAAGCAGTTCTTTGTGCTTGTTGTGCTGCCATTCCAACGCAAGGTAGAATGCGTCTTGATGAACTTGACATTATCATATTGGCCGAAGTGGTGGCAGATGAACGTAGCATGTTGCCACGATGGCGAGCTAGATTTCTTGACATCGACATGATGACGAGATATTTGTGTGAGGAACGATAGACGCAAGGGAATACGTCTTGATCGTTACCAAGTTAGGATAGCTTTTTGGATGTTATGGTTAAAGTAAAAGGTTGTGATCATTCCCACTCCGGTGAAAGGGATGTACATCGGATATAACTTTCTGCGGCTTAAGAGGAAGAAGGAGAGTCATAATAATTTGAGAAGAATTCAAGAGACTGTTGAAGTGCCTGTAGCTCAAAAATCGGGGAATGCTCTCTCTCCTCTTCTTCTGCTTTAAGAGAAAAAATCTGCAGTGGGGCCAATAATACAAGTGCAATTGTATTGACCAATACAAAAAAGGGATGACTCGCGTATTCACTTTTTTACACTAACTTCTTTTTTTCTTTCTCGGCTTGCAGGCTGCAGTAAACGCGTCAGACAAGCAAAGCGTGAAAATGGCCTAGCCTTCCATTCTTTGCGTATGTAAGCAGTCAGCAGATTGAAGTAGTGGGAAAAGTACGCAGGAGTGCTTCAAATGAATGCGCATCATTCGTACAGACTGATCAGGGTACAAGCTGGATTCTGTCCCTGCTTGGTTGAGTTGATGATCATTTATTAAGTCATGTATTTTGACTAATCTAGATCAAAATTTATGTTCTTTCGAGAAGGAACGGTGCCGCTTAATTTCAAAGAATGCCCCACGATCACATCTTTCATGTCATAGTTGACATTGATGCGGAGATTAAAAAGGTTATTATTTTTCACTTGATGGAGGTTAAAGTTCAGTCGAAAAAACGGTCTTTTAGCCTTTTAGAGCTGATGATCGAACGCCCATTCATTGAAATCACATTTACCGTCAAAAGGCGAATTTTCGGGCCGTAATTGAATTGAATCGGATGAAATGTGTGAACTGATCATACGCGTGTATTGCATATAAATGCATTTTAAGAGGAGTTGACTTGACTGGAAGAGCGGCCTGAATGTGGAAATGGGGACATATGCTCTTTTCATGGGGCTATGTCTATTGCTCTTCCTTGACGAATCGGAGAAATTGTAGCATGTATTGTTGTTCTCATGAAGACCATTCCTCCTCTTCCTTCTTTTCTTTATGGAATTAATTTCATCAACTTTTTACCTCATTTCATTCTCTTCCGCAATCACTCCGAACGGCACCGTTGAAAAACCCCGTATGAAAACTCAATTCATTTCGGATACAGTCTTTTACGTAGTAATCGGGCCATAGAAAAGCGCTTTTTTACGCCTTCTAATCAAATGTACTTCAACCCACCAGCTGCTGCTGCTGCTGCCTCTTCTTCGGCCAAAACACATCAAAACGTGAATCGATCTGAAGAAGAATCGGAGAAAAATCAAGACAAAGGCAAGCAGAAAGAAATCGATCAAACTCGACATGTTTATCCTGCTCAAAATCCATTTCAAATGTCTGCTTCTTTGCAACAACGATCATTGAATTCATTTGCGCAGCCTTCTAGTTCATCATCAGCAGTAGCACCAGTAGCACAAGCACCGGCACCGACGACGTTTGCACAATCTTTCTTACCAGTCGATTTCTCACAATTGGCAAACAATCAACCATCCAGAAACCTAGATCCTTTCATCATCGACGAACCAAGTCTGGATGCATTGATTAAAGTCAAACGATTGATGGAAAAATCAGACGTGACTTGGAAACAAATTTACGCTGAAAGACAAAAGCAAAGAGAGATGAACAGTAGTAGTACAAACGAAGATTCGGATCCGTTTCCAAGCAATGATTTGCAAGCAAATCAATTTCAACTGGATCCTTCAAATCTTTCTTCAGATACAGGTGAAAGTCAATCACTGGATCAATCGTTCAATGGAATGATTCCTAACAATCTTGGGCAGTATCCTATCCTGCATACCCCTCTTCAGCCGGGTGCTGCTGCTTTGCTCAATATGACAGAGTCATTGGATCTCTCTTCAACTGCATTACAGCCAGAGAACTCAAATCAAGCGTACAAACCCACAAAGATGACATTCTCTGATCCTTTCGCCTCAGACAGAGCAGGAAAAGATGTTCAAACACCTGCAAAGAATGCCCCGGAAGTGCAATTGCAAAAGAATGCTGCAGAAGTACAAGGAGAAGGAGAATCTTCAGGCATGGTAAGCAACACGTCAAAGAGGGCCTATCCGATCAATCGAACAGATCAATCTCCAAATGAAGATCCAATTGGAAAGCGCGAAAGACGTGCTGGGGAACCAGAGTCTGATCAAATGGAAGCAGAGGGAGAAATCGAAGTGAATAGAATTGAAGAAGTGGCGGTCATGAACTCGAACTCAAGCCCACAACGCGGTAGACGAAGTTCGGTCAAAGGAAGATGTAATCGCAGTACAGGTGGCACTCAACGCAAAAGCCTTCGTCCGCGTGCTAATAAAGCGAAAGAAGCAGCGTCCATCGTCGAATTACCCGCTTCGAGAGAGCACAGGTCATCACATCCAGAATCTTCTTCTAGTGCAGTAGCAGAGCAAGATGCAAACATTCCGACTTCTGAGCCGGATGCAATTGACGTCGGATCCCAAAAAGCACAGAAAGCTGTTGGAGATCTTATGCGACAACAACAATTGTGGCAGAATGTGGTAAGTAATTTGAAAATTTCATTGAGGGTATGTAACTTAAGATTGTCACGTATTGGTTTGCAGTTGGAAGAAGCACAAAGAGATACGGTGGAAAAACAAAAGATGCAACATTTTCATGAAGTTGAACAATTGGTGAGACATGATATGGCATTGAATATGCAACAAGCAGCTTCACAACTATGGATGCAAAATTCTGTTTCACATGGAGGTCAATTGATTTCTTCTTTTGCACAGCAGCCGAGCTCTCTCACTACTGAATCAGCTCCTTGGGTTTTCAATCAGCCCGTTTACAACACACAGATTCCGAATGTTTGGCCAGCTCCAGTGCAAAATGCACCAGTTTCGATGCCTTCTTCCGATAGTACCGATAGCACTTTTGCCAGTCAGTATCTCGAGTATGCACCGGGCCAGTTTCAGCAAATTCAGAAATCGTATGCAGCTGGTGCTGAAGTGGGAAATGCTAGCATGGAAAGCTTGCGTGTGACTTTGAAACATCCGACGGAAGTAAATATCGGCTCTTCTTCTTCTTCAGATGCAGCTTCAGTCTTGCCTCAGACAAATCAACAATCACAATACACATTCGCAACGGAAGACGGTAAGGCACCGTTAGGCAATAAGCCAGCCTCCACGATTGTTGCTCGAAACAGCTTGCCTTACCCGACGACCAATCCGAATTCACTTGTACCACAACAGCAACTCACTCCTGTTTCTGCTCATCCAGCAGTCAGTCGAGCACAGAGTGTACCGAATCGAACGACAAAGATGCCCAGACCAACATCTTCCAAGGGAACGCCAGGACCAGTAAAAGATATTCATTTTATTCTGACCGATTACGGCAGCAACGGTGATGTGACATGGAAAGCAGATGATAATGAACTTGCACAGCGTTTAGCATCAAAGTTTTATTTGCCCAATCAACCGCCTTTTCCGATTCGACCTTTGCATGAGGGAGTATTGCGCAGAATTCATGATGAATGGTTGCATGCCCATTCGTTCGCTTCCGATGTGCTTAGAACTGGCGATCATGGTCTGCCAACAGCTTATCAAGCTGCAGAAGGTTCACGACGATACTTCCCACCAGTGGAAATGTGTCCAGATGCGGCATATTTACGTCAAGCATGGCAAGAACTAGAAAGACGTCGTATTTTGAATCTTGCAAATTTTCCGGATGTGATTGAACAACTTCGCAAAGAAGCAACAGATGAATTAAAGCGAGAAGCTTCACAACGTGCAATGATGAGTGCAACGATGATGAATGTACTCACTTGGGCAAGCATTGCTACGCAAGAACCACCAGCAGAAGCAGTTGATGATCGTGCAAGACTCATTTGGGAAAGACGTAAGGCTGCAGCAACATATGCTGTTGGTTTGTTACGTCAGGCAGAGTACTGTGTTGCGGAAGGATTTCGAGCCTTTGCCGTTGGACAGCCGACAGGACCTGAAAAAGAAGCGAAAGAAGTCAACGTTGCTGGACCATCACAAGATGCATCAACTTCTCATGCACCTCCCGCGGCAAATCAATCCCGCCACCATCGTGACAAGTACGGTAAGAAGGGAGAAGCGCCTTCGAATGTCTACAGTGCCACTCTCCCTCATGGTGGTACAGGTAGTGACAGTGATGCTGTACTGGCCAGTCCCTCAATCTTGTCAAATGCTACATTCTCACCTGAAGCCATCGTTCAAGTCAAGCGAAATGCGCCTGAACGTAGAAGTTCAAATGGAACGGATAGTTGGGATGCAACGATGATGCGCAGGATTGGTTCAAAGTGAGCTATCAGCTGTTAGGCAACGCACACGCAATACCGCAATACGATTTGTACATACGCTTTTGTTTAACAACAAGAATTCAAATTCTCAACACTCTTTCTTCAACACAAATAAGTTCGTATTTCATTCATACACCATTTTTGTTCAGCATCTTCATGTACTTTGCTTGCATAGCTGTTTCGTCTTTCAGCAATATTGATTATCCATCACATCTTAGACTTGCAAAGTTTCAATTCCTTAATCATTCCTTTACACTGTCTGTACCAAGAATGATGTCCTTGCACCTTTTCAGGATGGATAGACGACGGTATCGTACACTCGATTTATTTCGAGGTGCTTGATCAGGAAACACTTTGCGCAAATGTTTCATCAAATCCACTGTTCGAATAGATTCTTCAATGTAAGCCTGAGAGGAAAGTCAGTCATTAGCAAAACTGACTTGAGGAGGGTAATCTTTTGTAAAACTACTCACAATGATAGCTGCATCTTCCTCTATCAAATTCAGAATGAAAGCAGTGGTAAGAGACATTCATATAAACATAGATTGCAGAGTGAATAACACTCACCACGAGAAAATCGAGTTGCTTCTTTTCCTTCAGCTTTCTGGGGACGAGATGCATGCTTGTGATGGTTGGTCATTCCGCTTTTGTTTTTCCTGATTGCCTGCTCAGCTTTTGGCTCATCTATGTTCTCGATCTTTGCTTTCTTATGAGCTGGCTCTTTTGTCTGATGAGATTCAATCTCGCTTTCTGAACTGCTGGAACTTCCTGTTCCATCCTCACTATCGGATGGTGAGTATTCAGAATCAGAAATATCGATCACTTCAACCACATGTTTCTTGCGTGACGAGTTACCAGAATTGGATCTCTTTTGAAATACCCCGTTGAAGTGGGAAGCTGACGTACTTCCTTTTGTTGTGGAAATGTGAGAGGGATTTCCTGACTTGGCTCGGTTTGTCGTGCTGGGCGATTTGTTTTGAGCCACTTTGTCAGACGAACTCTTCGTGTTGTTCATCTTCGTCTCTGAATTTTTAGGTTTTGATCGCTTTGAAGGTGTACTGCTGGGAGTTGCGGTCTTGCTGTGCTTTGAAGCACTCGAGGCAACACGATTGGTTTCCTTCACCACAGGTTTTTTGGGCACAGAAGGGCTTGGTGAGCGTGCCTTTGAAACAGATGTGTCATACTGAGAGTCTGTTTCGCTGCTGCTGTCATAGCTATCATTTGTTGATGATGAGCGTGCAGTCGTGCTCTCGCTTCGACTTCGCTTCATTTTGAGAAGACGATGATGAGTTTTGGAAAAGAAAGTGCTCTCTATTGCTAGTTAAACATTGATAACATTACTTGCTGTGTTGCGTTTCATAAGACCAACGCCTTGCAAGCTTTACTCAGATTTCGCAATACCGTACTGACACGGAATGTTGAAAGGTGGTAGATGAAACAAGAAGTGAACACTCAGTTTTCCAGAATTACTCCGCGCTCCTGAAAGTTCGAGTGAAGCACAAAAATTTTTGCTAAAATCACCATTGCAACATAAAGTCGCAGATACAAACACTCAGAGGTATTATTTGAAAAATGTTGAAGCTTTAAAGAGATACAAATTCCATATCTTACCATCATTCAACAACATTGATTATTTTGTCAAAATCTGCCAAGGTCTTTGGGTGTTGTTTTTCAATCTTTTGATGTATCTTTTCCCAATATCGTGTCTTTCCATTCCTTGAAAAGGAAATTACGATGACTTTTAACACTTGAGTAAGTTCGTTTTGGTTGTTGATCTGGGAATGTCTCACGTAAATGCTCCATCATATCAACGATTCGGATTTTCTCTTTAACAAAAGCCTGTCGGGTAGGAGGTATTTAGCAAAATCGTAGAAAGTTGTCGTGTTGTAGTTTAATACTCACAATGATTGCTGTATCTTCTTCTGCAGGATTTGAAAGATGAACCAATGATAAGCAAAGATGTCTGAGCTGAAAAATTCTAGGAGAACTTACCACGAGAATAACGTGTTGCTTCTTTTCCATCAGATTTACGGGTTTTTGAAGAATGTTTTTTGTGGCATGGCTTCTTTCCCTTCTCTTTGCCGCTCAGCATTCGATATGCTTTCGTGTCATCTTTTGTGTCCATTTTGACTCTCTTTTGAACATGCTCTTTTGATTGATGCGCATCATTCTCGCTTTCTGAGCTACTCGAGCTCTCTGTCCTATCCTCATCGTCTGACGGGTGAAATTCAGATGCAGAAGAATCGATCACTTCAATGACCTCCTTCATGACTGTATGACCACTAGAGGTGAGTTTCTTTGACGATCCTTCGTTGATTTGTGAAGCTGTCATACGTCCTCTCGTCGGGGAAGTCTTTGATACATATCTATCTTTGACGTCTTTCGGTGCGCCTGAAGAGTTGTATTGAGGTGCTTTATCAAATAAATATTCTATATGTTTCTTCTGTTTATCTGGAATTGAAGCCTTTAATCGCTTTGCAGGCGTACTACTAGAAGACGCTGTACTGCTTTTCTTGAAAGCCATCGAGGTAGTACGATCAGTTTCTTTCATAGCCCTAGAGTTTGGCAGTATAGGAGGGCTTGGTGAATGTGCCACCGAGACAGATGTGTCATAGCTAGATTCTGATTCGCTGCTGCTGTCATAGCTATCACCTGTTGATGATGAGCGTGCAGTCGAGCTCTCACATCTGCTTCGTTTCATCTTGGTAGAAGGTTGTGGTGATCGGAAATGGGAAAATACTTTTACTGCCTTTGACATAAGACTCAAGGTCAATTGCTGAGTTGCTACGCACAGCTTTTCAAAGCTTGTAAACTTTACTCGAGTCTGCCCATGCCGTTCTCATATGGAATGTTGAAAGGGAAAAATATGTGACGAAGTGAACGTTAAGCTGCATTTGTGAAGATTTGAGTAAATCATAGAATTTTGCAGAGCTACCACCGCAACAAAAAAACACAAACACAAATGATGATTCACAATAGTATCATAGAAAATTGTTGAAACTCTACAGAAATACGAACATTTAATTTCAATACTAAGATTCGTCTCCAGTCTTTCTTTTGCTTTTAAAAGCAGTTTTCATGTAGACAAACTTAGGCATCTTGTATCAAGTCAGGTTCTTCTTCCAATGTTTGAAAAGAGTATCGCGGCGTCCGTAAAAGCTGGCTGCAGCTCTTCTGCGGTCTGGAAATGTATCATTCATGTGCTTGTATAATCTAGGCATATCGATGTTCTTCTCAATGAAAGACTGGAGATTAAGGGTAACAAGTTAGCTGCATGAAAATGATGATCGTGATCTGGGATAGACTCACAATGATTTCTTTGTCCTCATCTGCGATTTGAATAAAGAGAGAAGAAAGGAAGTCAGACATTGAGAAGACAAAGCATAATATCGCCTGTACGACTTACCTTGTGTAAATCTAACGACTTCATTTCCTTCACTTGACCTTTTCCTCTTCTTACCTCCTTTGCTACCATCAATGCTGCTCTTGGTCCTCTTTGAGACTTTATTCTCGATGAAGTAGTCTGATTCAAGGTCGCTCCCGTCAGATGCATTTTCGTTTTTGGGTAAATCACGATACGTCTTTGCAAGTTTATTGTCTAACTCCAGCAGCGTCGGAATGATTTTGCATTTCTCTTGCTTTTCTGTAGAGATTCTTTCGCCTTCTTTTGATGCAACGTTCACCTTTTGAGAGGATGATTGTTTTTGGCCGCCCTTCTCAGCTTTTGTTGGAATCAAAACATTCGTACTTTCAATCTCTTTTGCTGTGCTACCCTTTTGAATTTTGAGGGAAGAGTTGTGAGAAGGTTTCGGTTTTGGACGTCCTACAGGGGATGATTTGCTGATTGATGTTCTACTTGAGGATGGTTGCCTCTCATTCTTTTGTGAACTGCTCTTGGCCTTCTTCGGAGGCAAGGGAGATGTGCTCCTTGATGCATCTGATTCTTCACTTGATGAACAATCGCAGTACTCATTGTGACAGCAACAATCACTTTCATTGCAGCTCTCGAAATCAGAATCTTTTTCCTTCATCGCGATCAAATGGTACTGGTTGACGAATGATGATATCGAAAAGAAACATTTTCTCTTTGGTTCATAATTTTGAGTATACAAAAGAATGACTCTGAGGAGATTGCTCAGCTTTCATGTAAAAGTCAAGCATGATACAATTCAATCAACTTTTAATTTCAATCGAATGCATTGGAGAAGCCGTCAAATCATGGACGGTGTGAAAGGGAGGAGGTGCGAGAGTTTGTGAAAGAAGAGAATTACAGAAGAAACATTTTTTTGGCGCGTTACTCCACAGGCGTAAGAAAAAATGAAATGCAGGCACAAGTAACAGAAGAAACCTCCACGGAATAAATTATTCATTCTTCTTCCTCTTCACTTTCATCTTACCAAGCATGTCAACTTCCAGCTTAGGCGGTCCGAGCAGGCTGAGAGGGTCAAATAATGCAACACAAATGAAACGACACTCAGCATTTGATGATTTGGAAGATGAGGAGTATGACGAGAGACCGAATCGAAATGGATCATCGGCCGCTGGAAGATGGAAGGATGAAGCCTTGTCTGGCTATTCTGCAAGAGATGAGAGAAGGGAAAAAGGAACGCAACAGCAGAAACTTGTCATTCAAAAACAAGCAGATGCAAATTGGATGGAAGAACGTAAGAGGAGATTGGGATTGGAGAAATATCGCAAAGAGTTGGGTAGCTTGTCCGGTGGCTTTGGTGGTGGGAACAGAGACAGCAGCAACGCACAGCCATCGACCGAGAGGGTGGGAGATGAAGAGCAAAAAACTGGCCTGGAAATACGATACCGATCGGAAAATGCAGATGATGACCGGATGCAGACGGATCACGATGAGGAGATTAACTCAGAAGTGGAGACGCAACCTGTTACAGCAGATATCACAGACGAGGACACAGAAGCACGAGCAGCATTACTCTCAGGAAAGAGCAACAGCACGAAACGTGATAATGTGATCATCACTCCTATAACAGAAGAACAGGCTTTACAGCGGGATATGGATTCAAGACCTGATGCTCCTTCTTTGTCCGATTATGCAAGTATGCCAGTGGATGATTTTGGCGCTGCTTTGTTGAGAGGGATGGGATGGCAAGAAGGCATGGGTGCTGGCAAACAGAGACAAGGCCCAACAAGTGCTCCACAAGTCAAGAAGCGGGCTGCGCTACTTGGACTTGGCGCAAAAGAAAGGGAGCCGGTCGATGATCGCGATAACAAAAAGGGTGGATCTTCCCATCGATCATCAAATAAGCCAGAACGTAGATACGTACCTGTCACACGCAAAGAGAGGGAAGAGGAAGAGAGTGGAAGAGAACCACATTCCAAATCAAGCAAAGATCGAAAGAGATCGTACAGTCCGCCAAGCTCGAGAGGCGGTCGATATGACGACGACAGGGAACGATCCAGACGTCGTGATGAATCAAGAAGAGATCGGGATAGACACGACGATCGCTACTCTGATCGCAAACGTAGTGACAGAGATTACGACAGGAGACGAGATGATCGCTCACGCAGAGATGATCACAGAGATCGACATAGATCAGAACGATAACAATCAATATACCCAAAGCAGGAAATCATTTTGCATGCATGCTGATGATATTACATGTGTAAAATTAGTACAAGATTAAAAAAGGAATAAGAATAAAATTTGTAATATTCATAATTAAAAGATGCGGGAACCATTCAATATCTTCTTCTTCTGCTTCTCCATTCGTTGCGTAATAAAGTGAAAGCGATAATGATCATCAAAACGGCATATCGTTTACGAAAACCTAAAGCTACCAAAGGTTGTGGTTTTGGTTTGGGCTTTTGAATAGCACTTACGGTTTCTTGACTTTCTCTACGATCACGATCGGATAAAAATCGTGTGGATGCACTCCTTAGACTTTGATAACGTTTGTATTGTTGTGTTTGTGTAAGATCTTCTTCTTCTGGTGTTCTGCCACCTACCGCAACAGCGCGAATCGCAAGTCGATAAGATGAGAGCAGTGCTGATCGAACATGACGATGCAACGCCAAAAGACGCAAGACGAAAAGGTAAATGAGTGTTCGCACCAAGTCACGCTTACGTCGACGGAATTGATAGCGTTTACGAGGATCGTTCTCCGTTGCTGTCGTTCCACTTCCGCTTGCATTGACAGGGTAAGCTGGATATCCGTAAAATGGGTTGGCTTTGTTGTACGGGCTCACATGTCCCGGTAGTGATCCATACAAACGTGAACGTCTTGAGAATGTTCCGGTCAGCTCGCTCAAAGGAGGCTCTTCAATGTCAGGCACTTGCAAACGCGGCGAATCCGGAGCGATAGGCTCAGGTGGCAGCAATGTCAGATCCCCGTCTTCTTCCTCTTCCGTCTCTCCTTGCTTTTCGACTGACTCCACCTTCTTCTTCTCTGCATCTTTTGGTGTAGTTGCAGGTTGGGTTCCTCTTCGCCACAAGGAAAAGAAACGCCTTGTACGGCTTGCTGAGGCTTCCTTATCGGCCGATCCCTTATGTCCGGCTTTACCACTCTTGCTACTCTCTTCATCACTGTTTACGCTATTGCTATCGCTCGTATCAAGAATACCATCATCAACGCCCGCCAAATCATTTTCCAACAATCTAAAATCACGCAAAGATCCAACCCGTTTGATAGGGATACCTTTATGTGTAAATTCCGTTTCAGTTGCTTCACTGTTTGAATCTTGACCTCCTCCTCCTTCAAATCGAACATTTCTACTTCCACGTCCACTTTGACCTGTCATCGTTCTACGTCTCTGTCTACGTCTTTCTGGACTTGCATTTCTACTTATGATCGGCGATGCACTTGCACTTGACCTTTCACCTCCCCCTAAATCATGAATATTGGCAGCATCTGAAATCGTTCGTAATCTGGCATCATGACCTCTAGTCATTTGCAAGCGGTGCAGCTTGTTCACAGCCGAAGGCGGCAGACGTAAAGTGGATGTAGAGCCAGCACTCTCACCACCTTCAGTAGTGGGAAATGCCATTGTGAAATGATATCCGCTCATTTCAGCATGGGGTGTTGTTGGTCGAGAATGTCTCGGGGTGGCATTTCGTGACAATTTTGGGGAATTGGTCACACTGTGAAATTCATCCATCAAACTGTCAAAGCTGCCAACCCGACTTAACGAGCGTGGAGTACGACTGGATTGCAAAGCTGGAGTGGATGTGCCTGAGCGGTATTTGGGACTTGGTGGAGCACTGTTGGATTCCAAATTGTCAAGATCATCCTCATCTTCCGCATCTTCATCATTTCCGTTAAGTTGGCCGTTTTCCTTTTGCTCACTCCGCTTTGAGAGATCAGTTTGACTGCCACTGCGTGATGATCGAGTAAGCCAATGAGTCCGAGCATACTTTTTCATCACATCATTCGTCTCTCCGCTCATCTCGATATCTTGTTCTCCGCCCAATGCTACTGGTAGCCTCTTGAGATCAAAATGTTCAGCTAATTCTTTGCTGTTTGGGAAGAATATCCTTGCCAAAGCTTGTTGTGGTAAGACCCTTTTGGCGATTGCCCACATACCCGAATGAACCCATCCAAAGTGTAGGATGTACACTGCTCCCACCATACCAGGAAAGTGGTTCTTGAGCAAGTCCAACAAGAAAGGCAACAATTCCATTTCCAAATTTGCCATACCCGAAGAAGCCAGTGAGAAGACGATGACCATTTGTAGAGGTGGAGGACGATTCTTTACATCTGCATTTTCACCATCTTGCCGTCTAAGTTCGCGTACCCTATCAATGTCTATCTTGCGAGATCCAGTATTCTGAACTGATTGTGCATATTGAACAGCAAGATATCTACGTACGCTTTCCATGCATCCTACGATGTATTCTCGACATTCATCAAGTCCTGCCTGTCCCTTATCGTGTGTTACACGTTCAAGACTTTGCAATGAGATCACACCTAGTGGTCTTCCATATAGATCGAACGATTGTGTATTGCACCAGAACAACGGCGGCCGATTGGGAGGTGATGCATACAGTGGATGCAATGACGACAAGGAGAGAGAATCCAAATCTGTTCGAAGTCTCCATGTGAGTGTTGCAGTGAGCATATCGAGTGCAGTTGAAGTAGAATAGCGTGATCTCCTCAAGAAGCGGAATACCAAACCTGCAAGGGAGTCATCTCATTTCAGTATTTTTCATGCATATTAGTTATTTTTGTACTCGTACTCACCTCTATCTTTCAAGAATTGCCTAACATGCTTACTAGCTTGTGGATCATCTTGTAATCCCACTTCTGTTAGTACTGCCGGCAAAACCTCTTCCAAAGCAGCTTTTTGCAATTTATCTACATCTTCTTGATGATCGTTATATTTTGTCGCTATGTCTTCATACTTTGCCGCAACTGCTTTTGCAGCAGCAGAAGGAGCTGCGACGGGCATTTGAACGATTCACAACCCACACGACCGGCACAGTTGAGGGGGGGAGAGAAAGACTGTATCCAGAATAGAAGATGATGATTGAAGTGATGAGAAATGAAGCGGTGTCCGTTCGTTTCGGAGAATGTTTCTGGCTCTTGATTTGATCCGGTTAAGTTGAACCCGAAAAAAGAAAAGAAGTGTGGTGGTGCCTCTGTTTTGGTGGGTAAGCAAATTAAACGCGCTACTTACTAAAGATTGGCCTTTCTTCAAGACATTACTGCATACACACCCACAGCCCTTCAAGTGCGTGAAAAGAAAAGTGGCGTCTCCTCGGCGCTGCGCCAAAAAAGGTACAACTTGCCCAATTCGTAGGCAATTGAACAAAGTCCGACGGCTCTTTACAGTCTAGACTTAAGAGAGATCAAGCTATCTCCGCTTCCGTTTTAATGAAGATGGTGTTCAAGAAGATGGATTCAATATCAATCACAATTGGTCACCATCATATTATACAACTTTAAATATATTAAGGGGTCAAAACTATAAATAAAAGCCATGTGAAAGGCATAAGCGCTCGGACTGTGAATCAGTCAATCCGTTCCCTTGTAATATATACGGTCCGAAAGAACAACACCTTCTATGCTAGAACGCGTCGGTGGGGTAATGGACTTGATGATGATTTACGCTAACAGTGAGAGGATGAAACGTAAACCTTATTCATACTATGCGCTATTTGTGTTGCTTTGACAAACATGACACTAAGGACAGGGCGGGAAGATTGATTTACGTACTGAGCACTTTTCTCAAGATCAATGTAGCACATCCATCCAACAATTAATCAAACACAGCATACATCCGGCCAGAAAGTAGTCATATGCAATCCTGATGTCTCGACTTTCGATACTATAACAACACTTGACACTTCCATCTTCTTCAGATCATCCTCTTTTATCTTACCATATTTGCAACTTTTTATCCATCTGATATACTTTCATCAATCCCACAGAAAGTCATAGTCAAGCATCAAATTTACCATAATCTCTCTTCTCTAATCTCGGCTGGAATGCCTGCTTTTGGAGCATCAGTAAGCGACATTTACGCAACAAGTCTGTATGCAGCATGTGAAGGATTACCACTTTGGAATCCATGCTTGTGTGATTTGGGCGATGTTGGTTTCGTTCGTCAAGGAACATTCCACAAAATATATAATGCAGCTCAAGGTCCTCAAAGTGTACCTTCAAATCCGGCATCCAATGTGGAAGCAGCATGGAGAACGCAAACACAATATCCAGAAGAAGCAACAAGTCCAACGCGAATTTCACAATCTGGCGGTGGAAATTATATTCCGTTAAATAGAGAATCACTTTCGAATGCTTTGGCTAGTGCTTCGTACAATAGTGACGGCGAACGTAGTGATACAGTCACAGAAGCTCCCAGTCCGGCTGCCGTACCTACTGGATTGCCAGGTGTTTCAGGCGCTCGTTTGCCAAGCAATTCTCCTCCGCCGGGTTCACGCAGAAGTTCGCTGACCAAATACTTTCCACGTCATTCTTCTCCTGGATTTGGAAGTAATGGAGCAACGGATGGAGGTCCACCTTTGCCTTTGCATTTAGAAGCAGAACCCGTTCGTGCTTTTGATATGGGTCCTCGTATGTCAAGCAATTATCACAACGTTGGTGTTTCCATTGGTGCAAATGTTCATGCTGCAGGTGTTCCTCTTGGCGCTACTCTTACCTTCGAATCAAGCGGTGGTGATGGAAGCCTGTTGGTCGCTCGCGATCCTGTAGAACGCCATTTGCTGCTCCATGTCGGTGTTTTGAAGGCATACCTCAAAGCTCATAGAAGATACATCCATGAAACATACGGACAATCGGAGGATGTTGAAATGGACGATCTTGTGCTTGTATATGGAAAAGATTGCTCTTCCGATTGGGCTGTTGCAGTGACACTTGCTTCTTCAGCCGGCAATCGTGTTGAGTTTGAAGTCTTTACTGCTGCAAAAGCAGGTCTTTGGGGTGGTTGGAAGACTACATGCACGGCCAGCCAACGTGGTCCTCATCGTCCTACAGAAAACTCTGATGGAGCTGTTGATCATAGTATGGATGTTGATATGCCTAGCCAAACAGCAGGTCCATTATCCCCTACTCCACCTGCACAACCGATTGGAAATATTTCCACAACGATGAATCTTGCCGGAGATGGATCGTTCTCCCTTCAAGCTAATACACCTGCTCCTGCTGCCCCTCAGAATGGCAATGCACCAGCAGTAGACACAAATTTCAAGCCAAGCATGCCAAACTTACGATGGAACGGTCGTCATGGCTCTACTGATGTGAATCAGTCAATCATCTTACGTCGTATCACGGCACGATCAAGGCTTGGTTTGAATGTGTTCCCGCCAAGCTTGCGTGCTAGTGCTGGACCACGTAATGATGGACCAAGAGGACCACCACCTGGTGAAGACAGTGATATGTCAACAGACAACGTTCTTATGGCTTCTGATGCCGATGAATTGCAGCCAACTGAAACCACTGATCCTCTCAATATGGTTCATGAATACATTTTGAATCATCCTACGGCAGCAAGAGCAAATGTGTCTATTGCAAGTGATCATGATGCTTCCTTGCTCTGTAGACGTGTCTTGCAAGAACGTTGGCCGCACATCTCACGATCGAATCGAACGAATGCAACATTCAAGAGGTGTATATGGGAAATGGCAGATCAACTAACGATGATCATCATTGATAGGGATAATGTTGCCACACTATATTTCCCACATGAAAAGTGCATGCAAGACAGTGCACTCATCTCACGATCTCCGCCTGCTTCTGTTCGACCACCAATGTTCAGAACTCCAAGCTCGCCTGCTTCTCCATCAGAAGGCCGTACCCGCCGCAGAATTAGCCGAGTGAACAATTTGACACCCGTTCGGGCATGAAACGACCTTTTGACGCCGACATCTTTTTACGAAAACGAAAACGAACAATAGTAATACTCTATCATCACAATAACGACATTAATCTTTTTTAGTTATAAAGCAATTATTCACTTTACACAGCATTATTCTCACACTATTCTTTTAATTCAATCACATTTCATGCATTCAATCTTTTTTTGATGACACGCATGTAATCAGAAAAAATACTTTTTACTCTAAGTTGACATTTCCATCCCGGTACCCATCTCGAAATGATTGCATCAACCATTCCGGGCATCCATGCCCTGCAAAGAAAAGGCTGTACAGCATAATTACTGCAAAAGAATTCGCACGCAGATTATGACATTCATAAGAGTTATGTATTTCTGATACATTTCATCTTGACTTGGCCTTTCTCGCTGTATAAAGACGCCCCAGAATACTCTTTCTTCACTTCTCATCTCCCAATTTCATCAACGTCCAGTTCAATATGAATGCTGATAAGGCTTCAATCAGCAACATATATGCTAGAAGTTTATATACAGCTTGTGAAGGATACCCATTATGGAATCCAAGTAAATGTGAATTAGGTGATATAGGCTTTATACGTCAAGGGACATTTCATACGATCTATAATGCCGCTGAAGGATCTGGAGCTGTACCACCTGAATCAACTTACGACCCTGAAAACACAAAAGTGGATCTCTTTCACACTGTCAAAAAGGTATTTTTGCTTTCTCTTTCTCAGGATAAGGCTTTGTATAGAAACTTTACCGGGACAGGAAAAATTGAAGAAACACTCCCCCTACTTCACTTAGCCGTAGAACCTGTTTGTGCTTTTGATATAGGTCCTCGTATGTCAAGCTACTATGAAAGCATTGGAGCGTCTATCGGTGCAAATGTCTATGCTGTAGGTATTCCTACAGGTGTAATCTTACTTTTCCAGTCGTCAGGAGGAAATGGTAGCCTGCTGATCACACGCGAACCTGTAGAACGTCATCTCCTACAGCACCTTAGTCATCTAAAAGGCTACTTCTTACTGTACAGACAAACGATCTATAATAAATTTAGTAAATCCGAAGATATTAAACTAAACGACCTCGCTTTTATATATAGAAAAGACTGTACTTCTGATTAGGCCGTTACGGTAGATCTCTTAAAATCTATAGGCAAAAAGATCGAATTCGAGATATTTACTACTATAAAAGCAGGTCTATAGGGTGGTTAGAAGACTGTATATACTGCTAGCTAACATAGTCCTTATCGTCCTACAGAAAATTCTGATAGAGCTATTGATTATAGTATAGATATTGATATACCTAGCTAAACAGCAGGTCTATCATCCTATACTCCGTCTGTACAACCGATTAGAAATATTTCTACAACGATAAATCTTACTAGAGATAGATCGTTCTCCCTTTAAGCTAATACACCTGCTCCCGCTGGCCCTCAGAGTAGTAATACACTAGCAGTAGACATAAATTTCAAGCCAAGTATACTAAACTTACGATAGGATAGTCGTTATAGCTCTAGTGAAGTAAATCAAATAATCATCCTATATCGTATCACTATAAAGACTAGATTCGGATTAACGAAACTCCGCGCTACTGCTAGACCTAGCGAAGATAACTCTAGGATACCGCCGGATAAAGAAGCTAAAGCTATAAACGAAACGATATTCATCACTTCCGATACTAGGAATCTCAATTCTAATGAAACCGCAGATCCTTTAGATATGGTTCATGAATATATCTGGAGCCGCGTTGAACTTAAAGTCGAGAGAGATACAAGCATTGCAAGTGATGATGATGCTTTACTACTTTGTAAGCACGTCGTGGAAGAACGTTGGCTAGATATTCCTGAAGCAGGGAAAACTTTGCAGACGTTCAAGAGATGCTTGTGGGATGCAGCTGATGAAATTACACGTATCAATCAATCTAACTTTCCTCCTCCCCCTGGTGGAACACCAGATTGGGCCCGAAGTTGGGCTCCGGCTTGGGGAAAAACATATTGTCTAGAGTTCGTCTAGCCCAGCAGCACTATTTCTGGTACAGATTCTCGATATCCTATCAATCAATTGTATATGCATTCTACATTAACATCAAGCCAACTGTTCGTTTCAATACTATACACCTTCATAAAGTCCTCACGCTTCAGCCCTCCTCTTCATCACGATAGTTAGCCATTGGATCCTCAGTTCGATTACGGTTCTTCATCCTATACGCCTCCAATTGTTCTTCCGTAACATCTTGATCTGTTTCTTGACCACTTTGTAATGATTTGAATTTATCTTTGTTTCGTGAATTGATTGCCTCTGCTTCCAACAACCAATCTGGTTTCTGTGTTGCGGCATCCTCACTTCCGTTCAATCGACGATCTTCGTGTTTGAGTGCATCTCTCAATTTACCTTTGTCCAATCTTCGAGATACATCACCTTCACCTATATCTTTCTTACTTGAATAACCTTTGGCATGTGTGCGATGTCGCTTGCGATCGTGACGAGATCTTTCATCGCGTGAATCATCAGAAGAGTAGTGGGAGTCGCTGGAGTAATCTGAAGAAAATGACGCAGAACGAGAGCGACTCCGTCTCGATCGTCTTTTGGTGGAGGTGGTTGCTTCTCGGTCATTTGCTCTCTCGGTTGAGCCACTTGCCTCTTTGCTTGGAGTTGAAATTGCAAGAATGTTGCTCGCATTAGCAGCCTCTTTACCTGCCTGCCCAGTGCAATAGCTGTTCTTGATTGTACCATGGCAGCATTCATATCCAACCTTGCCGGTTGCTGGATCAGTCCACGATCCATATGGGTTGACATGGTTGCCATCAAATAGCTCAACCTTCTTTTCTTCGCTTTTTGCTCGTTGAATTTTGGTATCTGATTTCTCTGCACTGCTCTCCCGTTGTGCACTCGCTCCAATGATCCGCTGGGCACGATGGACTGGTTGACCAGTAGGTGTGTATTCCACATAACTTTCCGATTGTCCAGTCAAGAGCTCCTTTGGTACACTATCGAAATGCTCTGCACCGCCATATCTATCCAAGATGCTGCTCTTGACTTCCTTGTTAAGCTTCTCTTTCTTTTGCTGATATTCCCTATGTTGAAGTTCATTGACAGTCGGATTGGCTTGCATATGGACATCATTTCCGCGTGCTTCAGCTTGCCAGGCAAACATTTGCAGCTTTTGCATATCTGCAACATCTCCGCGAGATCGTTCAAAGTTGTCTCCAGCGTACTGTGCATCTTCTGGTCGAACACCTGGGTTGGGTGCTTCTCGCATTGAACGAGTTTTTGGATCGTAATAAGCAGATTCGGGATTGAGGTTGTAAAGGTATTTTGCACGATCTTCTCTGATACGTAAGTTTCGCACGGATATTCGCTTATCTGTGTCAACCTTCTGACCGACCATGTCAGCCTTTTCAGCATATTTATCTTCGTCTTCTTCATCGCTATCACTGCTGCCAAAGTCGCCATCCGATGTTGGTCCGCTCTCTTTCTTTTCTTTTCTGGCAAGCTTCTTAGCTGTGCTAAGGTCTGTGCTAGTTTGCTTATCAATCTCTTCTTCACGTTTCTTCCGTCTTGCTTCTTCGATAGCCTCGTATTCCTTGATGACATGCTTGTGTTCATTTGGATCATATCCATTCCATCTGTCTCGCTTTGCTTCATAATCATTGTCTATCCCTTTCACATCGCTGAAAATTTCATCAGCAGCAATATTTTTGTTTGTCCATTTTGCACCTTTCTTTCTTGGCCTTTCAAGACAATCTTTAGTCTTATGCGAGATAGCACCACAATTTTCACATGCTCCCTTTCGGTATTTGTTTGCTGATTTGCTCTCCCTCTGTCCTCTCTGATACCAATCTCCAAATTTAACATGATCTTTTGTATCTTCTGGTTTCCTTTGATGCTTTAGTGATGGCTTTCCGGTATCCATATACCATGGCGCCTGTGCCATAAATTGCGGAATATGTGGATTGATTGCATTTCCCTCTTCATCCAATTCTGCCGGTGCTGTACCTGCTTTTCTTGCTGCATCTAAATCTTTCTGCCGCCGAAATTCTTCACGAGATAATTTTCCTATTGATGATGACATCTTGACTCAAATGTAATCACCACTTCAACTCAATTGCTATACAAATAGCAAGGTGGTAGACCGAAAGGAGGTAATTGTGGCGCTTTGCATGGAGGTATTCCAAAAAAAATTGGGCGCGTTATATAAGCGCGCCAAAGGAAAGGTTTACGCAAATCAAAGCATTACACTCGTTTCGACTTGTGCATTCCTTCATCCTTCTTGCAACTCTAATCTTTTATCATCAATAGTTACAAACTTTGCCCGAATGGTCACTACAAGGTAATTGCACAAATAGTGGATGCAAGATTGCCGGACACAATAACGGCATGTCTGCAGTGCCACCCTCCCGAGATAATTCCGGCATCAAAGATGATGATCGAAACGGTAAAGGCTCGCGAGAGAATGGAATGAGAGAATCAAGTCAAAGCAGTAGATCATCTTACGGAAATGATCGTCAGTATGGCGGCTACAATGATGCTTATCGATCCGGGCAGTATCGATCTCAGCGGAACGATTACCACAGATCACAGGAGGATGTCTATCGGCCAACCTACTCTGATGACGAAAGGAGAGAAAGATGGCCTGCTTCATACAATGAATCCGGACATAGAAGACAGCACGAAAGCAGCTACAATGAGCGAGAAAAGTATAGAGAGGCACAACGTCGAGATCATCATTCAGATCGCTCAGGCAGCCACTTGCGCAGTCCTAGACGAATGGACGAAAGTGCTGATAGTAGTAGAACAGCACCGCCGTACGATCAATCAGGGTCATCGTTTCGAACTGCATCCTTATTCCACATCCAAGCAAGACGTGAAGACCGGGAAACGAATTCCAAGAGATCTTCTAGTCCTAATCGCAAAAGCTCCAGTAAAGGGTCAGACAATGCTCCTGGGTCCTCTAAACCGCGAATGCTCGTTTCACCAAATGTCGGTCGTGATGAACGTCTCTCAGCAAATGGCAACGATGAAAGACATAGTGGATGGACGCCTGATTCAAGTGTAGATAATCACTATAAGTCTGGAGGTTTCCGGAGAAATGGCGTAGATGCACATGAAAGTCATCGAAGGAGGCTGGATGAAGGCGATGAACATTCTCCGGCAGCCAAAGTGCTCAAGCGTAAAAGCTCTCCACCCGCTGAAGCTGGAAGGGAAGAGAATGAAAAGTCTGTCAGGACCAATGAACATCATTCGCAAGATGCCGGCAATCAAACGGGGCACACCTCAAAAGAAGGAAGGACAACGGCGGCATACACAGCCAATTCAAGTGAAAGAGGTGCAAATGACTCGAAAAGTGGACGGATCGAATCAACGAACTTTACTACAAATGGCGCCAGTAGTAGTAGGCTGCCCACAGCTAAAACCAAGTATGGTGCCTCCATACCAGATGCAGCGTATGAAGCAAGGCACTCTGCAACCATGTTGGAGCGAAAGTGTCCTTGGCCATTTGAAGATGGCAGCTTGCGCGAAAGAAGAATACCAAAGAAAGAAAGACCAGCTTCAATACCTTTAAAGAATCGTCTATTTTCCGGATGTAGTTCAATAGATCAGTACGACGTCGGCATCAAGCTCGGTCAAGGAACGTTTGGTGAAGTGAAAAAGGCTAGACATATTGTGACCGGAGATGAAGTTGCACTGAAGAAAGTGACAATTCATGAAGAAAAGGATGGAATGCCCATCACGGCTATTCGTGAGATAAAGTTGCTTAAACGTTTGCAGCATCCATCCATCGTACCGATTGTTGATATGGCATACCGAGCGCCCACCGAGCGTGGTAAAGTGGGAGAAGTATTCATGGTGGAACCTTACATGGATCACGACTTAAACGGAATGTTGGAGAATCCATCCATTCAACTGAATTTATCTCAGATCAAGCTATACATGAAGCAATTATTCGAAGGGACACTGTATTTGCATCAAAACCAAATATTGCATCGAGATATGAAAGCTGCAAACTTGCTGATCAACAACAAAGGTCAACTGCAGATTGCGGATTTCGGTTTAGCCAGACCATATCACGATCCAGGCCGTGCTTGGGATGTTGATGGCTGGAAAGGGGGAGCACATTCGTACACGGGAATGGTGGTCACCCGATGGTATAGACCGCCAGAATTGCTTGCCGGAGACAGACGGTATGGTCCTCCGATCGATATGTGGGGGTTGGGTTGTATTCTAGCGGAAATGATTGTCAAGCATCCGATTTTCAAGGGCTCATCAGAGGTGGATCAGATGTTGTTGATCTCTCAATTGTGTGGGTCACCTGATGAAGCTATTTATCCAGGGTGGAATGCGTTGCCTGGAGTCAAGAATGCCGATCCTAGTGGTCGACCGGATCAAGAACCTGATGTGCCTGGTCAACATGAGTTTGGCAAGTACACCAGGAATATTGTGGAGTACTTTACGGGTCCGAAGTATATGGTCTCTAACGATCTAGCAGATCTGATTGACAAGCTGCTGGTATTGGATCCATGTAAAAGACTAACGGCAAAGCAAGCATTGGAACATCGATGGTTCTGGTCGCCTCCATTCCCGGCAGATCCAAAAGCGATGCCGATTTATCAAGCATCGAAGGAGCTGGACAGACAAAAGAGAGAACAACAAAAGCGTTTGACTCAACCGCAAAAGCTGCCACCTTCTCAAATGAGCGGAGGAATGTACGGTGCTCAATCAGCAGTAGGAAGACCGAATCCATCAATGCCGTATTCCAATGGACGAAACCCTGGTCAACCAATGGCGGGCGGATATTCCGGTTTGCCGCAAAGACCTGCGCCTGGGCCTTATTCGGTTGGTGGTAGTGGTGCCGGCATGTCAAATCGTCATCCTGGTCAGCCTTATGGTCAACCACAACACACATTTCAACCCGGTCCAGCTTTACCCAAACAATCACAACCATACAGCAAAGATTCACGTCCGTCTAATCCGTATGTTGATCTATAAACGTTTGTATAAAAGAAACACCCGAAAAAAAAGGATGTCTTGTACCTACTTAAAAATTCACTGTATCACTAAACACACATTGAAAGAATGCACAACTTTTGAGGAGTAGAGTAGTAGGATTGTTGTTTTACAGATATATTTGTACAGAATTGCAATTTATGCTTTTGCGTATATATGAGCTGAGAGAATGTTCGTCATTCAGTCGTCCGAGGAGGGTTCGACCTTTGTTTTCAGAGGTTGGATCTTTTGCAGTGGTAGTGAAAGTTGCTTATAGATTGACGACATCTTCACCTCTTGCGCAGAACGGTAGTAGACCAATTTGCGTGATTGAGCATCTTGACCTGCTTGTTCGGTCGTTGAGTCCTCGCTTTGCTTCTTTCGCAAATATTTGGATGCATATCGTCCATCCTGGATAACGTCTTGTTTACTCAAACCATGCAGTAGCGTAATCACTGAACCAGCCGGTCGTTGATGTACCTCTTCTTGCGTTCCCACATGACTGCCCAATCTAGACACTCTTCCTGCTATGTGCGTATACGTAGAAGCATCTCCGATCGCATCTACGCCCAAGATGAAAATGTGAGAAAGACCACCAGGTACGTCCAGACCGCGAATGGTAGCTTTCGAAGTGACAAGCAGGAACTCTTCTTCAGCGTCAGCGTTCGATTGAGATGCTTGATATTCGTGGAAGGCTTGGACTGGAACTCCGACTTCGCGCAAGAACGTCATTACTGAGAATATACTGAGGTTATCGGGGATGACCAACATTCCTTTCCGTACACCTTGGGTAGCATAAATGAATGCAAGACAAGTGAGCATTGCAGTGTTCAGTTCAGGTTTGTCTGTCGTCGTTTTTGTCGCATTGCGTATCACTTCATTTGATTCATTCGATTTGAGATTTTTCAAATTTCGCCATCCAATCGAAGGACCGGTGGCGGAGTTGTCTCCTTCACCTTCTGGCGTATCAGGAACATCATCCACCACCACAGAGAAATGATTGATCTCTTTTGGTACTTGCACTGGGAACGATGTGCCTACTGGCAAAATTCGAATTCCTTCCATTTCATCGGCTTTCTTTACCCCACTACTCAACCCTGTCGTATCGATCCATTTACCCAATTCTACATTTGTGACGGGATCGCGAATACCTGTACGTAACCATCCCGTTCGTGCACCGAGGAAGTGTCGAAGGACTGCATTTGCTGTCGCACTCATAACGACCAGTTGCAGGGGTGAAGTTGAAAAGCGAGGTAGGTTCGAGCCACCTTGTTGATTTGCTTCATCACTTGATGTCTCTGACGACGCCTTTTTGTTCCTTTCAAGCGTTTTGACAAAGGTCAGATTTCTGTCGCGAACGTCTTCGGGCAGCCTGTTCAGTTGTTTCTCATTCTCCAATCCACTCATAGGCATCAATTCTCCACTCGAATGGGTCTTGCGCAAAGTCATGATCATCTTCATCGCTTCAAGAGCAGGAGGCGGATGTTTAGAATGTTTCCAGATAACTTTTTGATTTGGAAATTTTCCTGGTAATTCGAGCATCTCATCCACTTCATCCAGTATGAGCGTTTTGAGGTTACGAATCAGGAATCTATCCGCATCCTTTTCTTGCAATAATTGCCAAAATAGCTTTGCTTTGATTACCAAGATTCGTGGTGTTTCTTTGCGCAACTCTTTAAGATGCTCTGAAGCTGTGATTTGTTTGGTGTAGTACTTTACATTGACAATCGTACTGAGCTTTTGGTGAAGTGATTCAGGCACAAGACTTTTGGCCCAGTTGCCGTACTGTAAGGCAAGTTCGCGAGTTGGCACAACGATGATCGTTTGTATGTTTTGCAATTTGTTGCCTTTTATACCATCTTGCATCCCTTCTCGTACTTTATCGAAAAGAGTAGGATCTTTGTTCAAAGCGGAAAGTAGTGCTGCAAATGATTTTCCAGTAGCGGTACTTGCTCTTAGGATGATATCGGTTTGCTTTCGCACTGCTTTCAGGTACAAAGCTTGACTCAAAGTTGGCCTATGAATGTGATCGTACGATGCGACTAGCTGTTTGCAAAGATCTGTATTGATCCCAAGATTGTGAAAGTGCTTTGCAGCTTCCATTTGTTCGGGTGTCAGTCGTCTTCCTTCCCATTCTGGTGTGAGTGGTTTGGGCTTGTACCCTCCATCTTCTGCGATGGAGCTCAGAATGGATGGATCAGTGCTCTTTTGATCTGTTGAAAGGGGTCCTTCTTTTGCCTTTCCGTTCCTGTCATTTGTCTTTTCGGATAAAGATGGGTTCCATGTTGAAGTCTTTATCACTTCTCTGTCGAATTGTGATGCTGATTGATGTATCGTGCGGACACAGATAGAGCATGGTGATCGTATCTGGACAGCCCGACTTATGTATCTCCTTGCCAGTCTTGTGGAAGCCATCTCATCAATGAAGGTTGTCTAATAATGAAATTCTTCTGTGGAGGAAAGCTAAATATCAAAAATTTTCGGAAGAAGAAAAAAAAATAAAAAGTAGCGGAGATAGAAAAATAAAAATAAAAAAAGCGGAAATACCAAAAAAAGAATCGCGCTGCTCTAAAGACTTGCGAAGAACGAGGGCCGAAACAAGAAGATTGCATTTCACCTTTCTTTTGCTTTGGCTTTGACGATCAAGTCACCGTTGCATCAACCACGCTGAAGATGGCCAGAGAAGATGAGCCACGTAATGAAGAATTTCAAACACGAGAATATTGGGATAAACGTTATGCATCCGAAGCACCTGAAGAAGATTTTGATTGGTTTAAAACGTACGCCGAACTCAAACCAATCTTGGATGAACTCGTACCTGATCGTAATGCAAGAATATTGATGTTGGGATGTGGAAATAGTACATTGACAATCGATATGGTCAATGATGGCTACGCAAACATTACAAATTTGGACTATTCGGACATTCTGATTCAGAAGATGAAGATACGTCACCCAGAACAGGATTGGCGAACGATGGACGTGAGAGAATTGAGCGAGAATGCAGATCAACTGGGAGGTGCTGAAAGCTGGGATGTTATCCTGGACAAAGGCACAATGGACGCTTTGATGGCCGAGCGTGGATCTGTTTGGGATCCTTCTGATACCGTTCGAACGAACGTCAAGCGTGAGATTGATGGTGTACTTCAGTGAGTATGATCGAAACTACAGAAAAAAAAAAGAAGTTATAAAACTGACGATACCCCTTATCAGCCTACTCAAACCAAAAACGGGAATTTTCATCTATCTGACCTGGATGCAACCTCACTTCCGAGCACCCTACATAGAACGTCAAGAATGGACACTCGAAACACGCACGTTAGGAGATGCATTCCACTACTTCTTATACATCGCTCGTAAGCATTAAAGAGGTGTTACATTACAGGTTCTATTGTATACTTTGTACCATTACTGTAATTATATAGTTTTCACGCAGACGACTTTGTTCGTTCAAGTTCACTCAACGCTTGTGCACATCTCGATCGAGCTTCACGCATTCCATAGGTATCCGCTTGTTGATAAGCACGTTGAAAGAATTCCCTTGCTTTACAATCATCTTTGCGTAAACGTGAAAGTTCACCAAGGTTGATGAGGAGTGCAACTTGAGCGGTCCAACATTGACCTTTAACTTCGTTCATCCTTCGATCATCACCGCCTTCAACGTTCTTGAATCCTTGGCTTCCTTTACCGTCCCATCCGGTTCCACGTAAAGCGAATTGAACGATATCCAGTCCACGCATGGCCCATTGTGTTGCTTCTTCTGTTTTGGGTTGTGCGTTTGCTTCTTCTGAATCGACCAACAATTGAGCGACATTGTTCATCAGAATACCTGCTCTACATCTTTCTGCGACTGTGGGATTATGCTTTCTCTTGTCTTTATCGCCCGGCATCAGCACGTTAATGGCTTGGAGGTAGAGTGGAATCGCATACGACGATCTTCCTTGAGCAGCATAAAATTGTCCAAGAGATTCCAATGAAGCGCCTAGAGTAGTGTCGGTGAGCCATGGTGGCAGATCCAGATCTGAAACATAGATTGCACCCGTATTACCCTGAACGATACTTTGACGGGTTTCATCAGGCACAGCAAGTCGCAAGAGCTCTTCAACACTCCATCTCAAATGTTCCTCTGCTTTGGATTGTGATGCACCGCCCAAACTAAAAGAATCTCTCACTTCACGAATGTTTGCCAAATCGCCACACTTTTGTGAGAGCGCCACAGCTCGCATACGTTCGGCGGGTGATTTTCCTTGTTGAATGACATTCTGTAGTGCTTCCAAATAAACATCATAAGCTTTTCTCAAATGACCTGCTTCTTCCAACACTGATCCAAGTGAGATACTAATACCCGACAATTTCAACAATGCATCATCGCCAAGCTTGTCATGTGGTAAAGTAGTTGCTGTCTCTAACGCTTTACGGAATCGCGCTTCTGCCTTTGCCCAATCACCATTCCTTTGTGCTTTTAAGCCTGCTCGTAAATCATCACGAACTTCTTTTGGCCATGTAGTGAAAGATCCATAGAATGTATACAAGCCCGCACCTGTTGCTGCGATTGCCAAAGCTATCAAACCATAGAATAAAGTTCGAATACGAGGCTTGCCAGGTTGTGGTCCATCAGAAGGCATTGAGGAAAATGATGTTGCCGCCATTGCTTCTGGTGCGGGTGCCATTCGGATTTGTGTTGGACGAAAAGCTGTTGATGTTGATGCATTCCTAGCAGGGTTTATGGTCTTTGCGCCACTTCTGATGGCAGGAATTGCCCTTACCATTGAAGATGGTCCTGCACGGCATACAATACTTCCTTTAGTGATAAGCGACATGTTTTCGGCTTTTATGGGTTGGTTGTCAAGAAGAAAGGTAGGTGGAGGATGTGTGTGTATGTGTTGAGAAGATTAAGATTAAGTGATCGGAAAACAAAAAATAAAAATTAAGTCAGCCGGAAGAACGAAGCAACCACAAACAAACATTCGCACGGGACAATAAAATGCAAAACTTTAACGCTAACAAGAATTGACATGCGTGCATGCATAAACACTCAAGACGCATTTGGAAGATTAAAGATTCGGTTTAGCTCGCGTGATAAGAATCCATGATTTGACATTCTCACCATCATCATCCAATTCAATTCCCTCAATCATGGCAAACACACCTCCAGCTTATGCTAGCGGATTGCTAAGACAAGTCGCGGAATTCTCTGGAGCTGTCTCGCTTGTGCCGATTCATGCCTATCTTCCAATCCCACCGCTTACTCTTATTCACGCAATCGTTGTTTCACATAACTCTTTGTTGATCACAGGCTATCTGACACACAACAAAGGCAAGCTAAACCTAGCAACATCCATCTTTTTCAATCAATTACTCCTATTTGGACCACTTTCTGTCATCGCTGCAATGCTTGGCGAACCATGTCCGCTCCTTATCGCGCCTGAATTCATCTACATCTATGCTGGTGTGCATATCTTCAACGTATTGAGCGGACTAGGCTCAGCCTTGATTGGGATAAGTCAAACAGGCGGAGCAGGTTTCTTGCTAGATACACTATTTGTTGCAGTGGATGCATTCGCTCGTGTGGACGGTATTGCAGTTTTGGGAGTAGAAGTTGTTCGTAACCATGCCAATCCAATCGTTTCAGGTTCACCTTTTGCTGCGTTGTTGATCGGAACAGGTGTGGGTGTTGGAAGCTTGTTGATGTTGGGCTTGATCTCGTTCGAATCGACTGAATGGAATTTACGCACGCCGCTTTGGCTCAAAACACCTTCTTTGCTCGTTGGTCCGGATTATATCAGCTCATTCTTGGCAACTTTGGCATATTACGTCTTGACTTCTTCAAGAGGTTTGGCTGCTTTGGCAAATCCTTCTTCCGTTGCACCCGTGCTTGATGTCTTACACCCATACGTTTTGCCGGTCTTGCCTTATGCGGCTGCTATCACTTCGGGCGTTTTGGAAACTCTGCAAATCCAATCTGTGAACGCTACCTCCAAGGACAAGTCATCTTTGACAAGTGGACCTATACTATCCCCGGCTGAAGCGCGAGCATTGGGAGCGGCAATCGTGTTTGCATTCTCATTCGGAAATCGTTTGAATCGTGCTTTGCTGAGCACGGTGAGCAGTACTGGCCCAACGCCCAAAGTCAAGTCAAATGGTTTACATAAAGTTGCCGACACTTTCCTAGAAGTGGATGGAGATACAGCAGTCGCTGTCAAGGCTACAGCACGTAAATCCACAGGTGCAAAGAAGAGAAAATGATGGACTTGGAAAACACAAAATGATACAAAAAAAATTTCATTGAATTTTCTAAAATTACAGATGTAAATAGAGGAATGGCATGCTATAGAATACAATTACAGTAAACTACCAAATTCGACTTCGAACCATCGTATATCTGCTTACGTCCATCAGTGATTCGGAACCTTTGTTATTCTTTCCACCTTGATATTTGGCAGGTGTGGGGATTGGTTGACCACCTAGTCCCATTCGAGAAGCATCATCATCCTTTTTGTCAATGAGTTGTGAAACTTTTGCATCGTATGCCATTTCATCTTTGTCCACTCCGATCGGCTGACGATCACGAGCGTTTAGCTCTTCTTCTTTTTCTCGTTGACCCATAGTTGCATATCGACTTGATGCAAAGCTGACCAAATTTGTACCCAAAATCAGCTTTAATGCCACCAAGAAGAACCATGCGATCGTGATTGTTAAAATCCAAGCTGCCGTACTCCACAGATAATACAATGCCAAGTCCAGAGTGATCTTTGGGTTGTTCACCATCGGGCTTAAGATCAACTCGACCGGACGACGTAGGGTATGCCAAACAAACGCCAACCACGAATTATCATTTGCCATCGCGGCCGCCTCAGCAGCATGTTTATGCCAATCCGGTACTGCACATTCGTCAAAATGACTATCATCATGTAACATTCCCATAACTTGACTTGTCATTCTGACCAAAAGGCAAGCCAGCGGAACGGCAGCAAACCCTAACCGTCTACTGACAACAGGACTTTGATCGACAAACGTATGTTTTCTTCTACTTGAAGATGATCGAACAACCGGTCCTGCCATCACTAAATCACGACATAAAACGTCCATAAATCTGCCGTACACCGAAGGTCTGATATGATTGAACTTTGTAATGAACGCATGCTTTAGCCAATCCACCACAAATTCCGATGCCAAAACTATGCACACCGGTGTAAAGATTGTCTCCAACAGTGAAAAGCTTGGAAAGACGGTAAAGCTTGTAGGCAAAGCACCCAATATGGCAATCGCTGACAGTGGTGATGAGAATTTGGACGCATTCGCATTTGGTGAAATCACTTCTTCCACAATCTCGGGTACGGCTGCTGGTGGCGTAAGGGCAGCGATCGAATTGCCCGCTGCACCCGCCACTTCGATCAAATTTCGTAATCCGATAGAACAAAGCATGAGCGTTAGCTGGAATCGTTCCACAATATCCGCACATGTCAACTGGAATAAATTCTCTTTTTCAAACTTCTTGAAAACGCTCCCTTTGATCTCGACAAATTGATTTGAGAGTAATAGCGTTAGTAGAGCATTGTCGTACGAGTTGATGGCGACGTTAAGAGTGACGAGTTGATAGAGCAACACCAGAGTATGTGCAAGAACGTAAAGCAAACTCAAGGCAAAAAATCCCAAAGGACGCAAATATGGCTGATGACCATCTTTGCGACGGGCAAGCGTACTTCGAGAGAATAGCGAGTCCAACAAATCCTGACCAAACGAACAGCACAGACGATCGGCGATTTCCAAAACATTGAAGATGACGTACAGCTTCACCACATCTTGTCCACGAACAGAGTGGTACATCTTGCTAGCATCTGTGATACGCGACAGAATCCAACAGCTCATGATGATCAACAAAGTTTTGAGAATGTCACATTTATGCGAAGAAGAGAGATACCTTCTTGGTCCACCTGCGATCCATACAACAAAGTTCGAAACGACACAATAGATGGCGACCAAAAAACGAATCGGCAAGATCGTAAACGTATACAAAAACGAATCCAAGCAAACGAAAAAGCCAAAGAACATAATCTTTTCCATCCAAAATGGAATCGCAATAAAATTCGTCACCCTTTCCCATTTCATTTCTTGTGTACTATCAAAATCACTTGCCATGATCTCTTCTTTAAGGTAATCCCAAAGACTGAATGGAGGTGTAGCTTCAGCGAGCTGATCTAGTTGTGCTGAAATGAGATCTGATCTTGGATGATTTTCTCCTCCTTTTCCGCCAGACGCATGATTTGATGGCGCTGAATCAGCATTCCTACTTGACCTTCTGGAATGTTGAACTTCATCCGAAGATGGTGGCTCCACTTTGAGCGCGGGAGAAGTTTTGGCCGACGTGATCGATTCCTTGCCTCGATCATTGGCGTGAATCCATTCATTTCCATTTGGTGTATGATCAGCAGGAGATGCGGGAACCGAAGCATACTGCTCCTCTGAGAAAGAAGCATGAGCGTCATCATTAGAATCAAGCGGTAAAGGTACCGTTTTGATGTTAGGCGATGTTGACAGCTTACGCAAAGGCAATCTTGGTGAGCGCAAAGGTACATTTTGCGAACTTCGCCTTGAATGAGATGGCGGTCGAGCAGGACTATCTACTGAACCTCGTTGTCGATGATCGCTACGAAAGCGGATATCATGTGCACGGGCCGAGGTGTCGGCATCATCGACTGCCTCAGTTCCTATACTGGCAGAGAAAGGATCCATCTTATCTAAAAGATCAATCGTATCTGCCCTGCGTAATTCTCTAGAAGACTTTTCATCCTCACGTTCCACATCAACCTGTTCACCTCGCATGATTCGATTGTAGCGTTCAACGTTATCACTTTCTGACTGTAGTAGAGCCAACTTGCTCTTACGGTATTCCCGTAGTGCACGTTGAGCGCTATTTCTTCTGGGCAGACGTGAAGATCTTCCCTGCGGCGTACTGCGGATGCCATCGTCTTCGCTTGCACTGCTATTCTGACCGTTAATGTTGGCTGCACTCTTATTTGTGCGTAGCTTTGAGTTACCATGCCGTCCATGAGAATGTGCAGTCTCTGCTGTTGTTTGTGAATCTTCGCTATCACTTCCATCCACGATTGCATCTTCATCTTCCCATTGATCTTCATGATCCAAGAGTAAAGATAGTGATCTGCGTGTTGGCGTACTGTTTGTACTTCTGTCTGCTCGTATTTGTGCCATTTTTAGATTGATTGTGTTTGTATCGCTATCTTCATCCGATGAAATATCTTCCCAACTACTTTCTATACGATCTGCGCGTACTCCATTTCGACGTCTGAATTGAGGAGAAAGAGTGCTATCGAGACTATTCGATGATAGGTCAGCCTCTTTGTGAGCCAAATCAAACACTCCTAGAGGCGGAGCAGTTCTTGGTAGTATGCGTTGATCATCCTTGAGTGGATGTATGCTACTTGATTCATCTTCTTCAATCTTTATTTGCGGAAGTTGTAATTCACTTCTATCCACTTGAGTATGCTGTTGAATGCTATTGTGTGTCTCATTGGTCTGATGATCCATCTTTATAAGTCATGTGGGGTATCATTTGCCATATGCTGTGGTTGAATTGGAAGGATGACCTTCTTTTGCAATTCACACTCCACCACCCACTCCAACCCATCGACGTGTTAGTATGGCCGTGCACTTTTTTTATTTTTTAAGCTCAGAAAAAAGGCAAGCGTGCAGAATCTTCATGACAACGGCCAAAATGACCGGCAACCGGTGCTGAATGGCTATGCTCTGCTCTTTGTTGGCCGATGCAAAGAATCATAATCACACACAATCAAAACTTGACTTATGACGGCTTGTTTAAACAACAAGCACACAAACACGGTAACATTCTTACCGCATGGCTCTGCATTTCATTCGCCGATTGTACCGAGACAACTGCATAACAAACGCGTGGGGGAGGAAATGCAACGACTGCATATGTGTGTGTGTTTTGGTCCGAAAAGGTGGAAAAGTGAGTAAAGGCGGGAGATAATTGGTATGCTTGAGTGTATGCTATGCATTCCAGTGCAGTGGCTTTGTTAAGTGAAGAAAAGCGGATAATAAAATTGCCCCAATTTAGCGAAATAGTCCATGTCAGCAGAGGGGGGGAAAAGATATAAACGGCTTGTTCTCCGATTAATTAAATGAAGGCAGAATAAACTCCATTACATCTTCTCTCTTCTATCTACCATCCTTCTTTAAAGTGGAAGAAGAGACAAAGATGACCAACAAAGCACATGTTGTGATTGTTGGAGGTGGAGTGATTGGTGTAAGTACGGCAATTGCATTGCTCAATCATCCCGTCGAATCATACGATGTTACAATCGTGGCACCCGATCTACCTTCACTCGATTCCACAACATATCGTCCAAACCCCGTTCAAGGTGAAGCAGCTTTAGCATCGTATGCAAGCGCATGGGCGGGTGCACATCATGTAAGTGATGCCAAAATACCAAAACAAATTAAACGTGATCGTGAGACATACAAAGTTTTGACTAAATTGGAAGAAGCATGGAGACAACAAGGATGGAGTAAAGATATAAATAAAAGACCTTTAGTATACGTTCATCAAACAGAATATTGGAGTCATAAAGCTGAATTATTGGAATCTTGTGTTGACTGGTATCCGGGTTACAAACAATTACCAAAAGAATCTTTACCTGATTCTATCGACTTTGGCGCAACATTTAAAACGTTGGATTTGGATATCCCCAAATATTTGCCAATGTTATATGCTTATTTCTTGAACTTGGGCGGAAGGTCGATAAAACATAAAGCAAGCAGTATCTCTGAAGCTATTTCACTGTCGTATAGCAGCGCAGCCTCTGTCACACAAATGGTAGATGGAAGAGCAAGAACGGCAGAGCCAACGAGCACTTCAATCAAGCCATCTTTAGTGATTGCTTCGCCTGGCTTGGGTGCAAAAGAGTTGTTAGGAGATGATGACGTCCTTCCTATTCGCGGACAGACTGTTCTTTTGCACGCTCCATGGTGTACAACAACAGCCGTTCATGGTGCAGAAACGGCAAAGCAAAGTGAAACAACATGGTGTGGAGTATCAAAAGTGATTGCTGCACAAGGTGGGTATCGTGATACATATGTGATCCCAAGAGGTGATGGAACGATCATTTGTGGTGGAACACGTTTAGAAGATGATTGGGATGTTGAACCAAGGATAGAGACTTCTCATGATATCTTACGTCGTGTGTTGGCTTTGATGCCTCAATTGCAAAAGCCAAAGCAGAATGGCGATTCATCTAATGGAAATGCAACAGCACAAAAGAATCCTCATGCGGGAGAATACGACGTTGAAATCGCTGCTGTCAACGTTGGATTGCGTCCGGGTAGAAAGGGTGGTATCCGATTAGAGAATGGCCCAAAAGTGGATGAAATCCCGATGGTATACTGTTATGGGTTCGGTGGAATCGGTTATCAAAGTTCTTGGGGTGCTGCTTTTGAGGCTCGTTCGCTGGTCGACGAAGCATTGAATCGCACTCTTGCTCCTGATCAAAGTACATTTGCCGATCTAGACTCCGGCAATCTTGTTCTGCCTGATCCTTCTACCTTGTTCACGAAAGAACACATCAATGGCTCTGCACCAGCCGTTAACGGACATTGAGTCGTATCTTTTTTGTACATTATCATATATGCTATTATCGCAATGTATTGCTCAACAAACCTATCTTCACATGATGTCATTGAAAGGTAGATTTTTTACACAGGTGAAACACAAAGCTGACAGTAAGATAACGAGGGGAGATACAAAGTTGAATTTCTCAGTACGTCTCATGTTGATGTTGATGTTGATAATGTTGCACTCGCGGTTGGCGATGGCTGACAAGGTTGATATTGATCAATTTCCTTGGACCTCCTGTATTGATCGTACGAGCACCGGTGATATTGCCATCAGAATCGCTATTGAGAACGACAGTCTGTTTACGATAATTTCGCGTTTGTGAAAAACTATTTGCAAAAGAAGCTGCAGCAGTGACCAAAGCGGCGTTGGGATCAGGATTTGGAGATCGTTTAAGAAAGACGATTCCGTCTTTTGCATCTTCTCGAGAAATATCAAAGCGAAGACCTTTATCGGTTTCGAATGGTGGCAAGACGACAAAGCGTTTTTGTAATTGGTGGCTTGGTTGTTGAATATCACGTTTGCGATGTGAAGTCCCGAGTCCTAAGCCATGATACTCGCATCCTGTTGTTAAAACGACTTTGTTACCCGATGGCCCAGTCTTTTCCAATGGCATGTTACACTTGGATGCATCGAATACGGTATAGGCCCTACGCATCAATTGACCTTCTTTGCCATGCAAATTCTCTACACCTTGTGTGGCCAGCAAAGGACCACGCGATGTTTTAATATCGTGTTCGCTAAGCGGAGAAAGTCCTTTTGCTTGCAAGATCCTCTTTTCATATCTTTCAAAATGTGCAACATTTTCTGCAGCAGCATCACCGGTTCTGCGCTTCACAAGGATGTTACTTTCGGCGTTCTCATCCTCACGTCTTGCCACAGCTTTAGCAGCAGGTTTGTCCATCCAATCTTTGTGTATACCTTGTTTTTGCAATTTGTCCCTCATATCGCGTATCATTTTTGGCACGCCTGAGCCAATATATGGGGTCGGATCAAATGAACCATCTCGATCCGGTACCATGTCCATCCATTGTTCATGTCTTCCTAATTTTTGTAATTTCTCTTTTCTGTTTTGCTGGAATCTCAAGTCACCAGCACTGTGTCCAGGTGTACGTACAACGAACAATTCCCCTTCATCTGGCACGTATTCATGATCGACAAGGATATACTCTATTTCACTGAGATCTCGCTTGTGTCCGAGATAGTGAGGCTTTTTTTCAGTTACGGGGTGACTCTCTTCTTCTGATCGCTTTTTGAATGAGCTCAATCGTTGACCCAAATTTCGAAATGGTGAACTTACTGTATTCTTGACTGAATGCCATGCCCTTGCTATTGAACTTGGTCGTTTGCCCAAATATGCGATAGATTCGTGTTCGCCCCTTTTCTCCAGAAGTGTTTCAGGTAGATTGGCCAGTTGAGTCATTGAACGTGGTCTAAGATCATGCTGGGCAACAGCACAATATAGGCTCACAAAGAGAAGTAGTGAGGCAAATGTGAAATGTTTGATTGCCATCGTTCTTTCTCCCAGAGCCTGCTAGAAGAGTGAAGAGTGAAACGCATATAGGGATGACACTTCTTTCAGAAGTGTACAATTGCCCTTTAAGTACCTTTTGTTAGAGTGTTGATTGCATTTTCGGGGCATGGATTGGAGTCATTGGACAATAATATCAAACTTGCACAGACCCGTGACACTGCCACTGTTGTCATTATTGCTTTTCTTGCTCATATTTTATGAAATGCGATACGCAAATTGTTTTTCGACAGAATCTTCGATTGAGTATCAGCTGTGAATAGTTATTTCGAGGAATACAACGACTATTGGTATCCTATTGCCAAACGAAAAAAAGGACTCTGCTTGTTGGCGATGATGCTGTGAGGTGGATGAATGCATGTTTGCTTCTTTGTTCTGGATTGCTTAGTCAGACTTGCACGCCCATTCACACTCTGCGCTTTGCTGTGCGCTAATCAGTGTCACATCGCCGCATACGCCCAAGAGCGTGAATGTGTGTGTGTGTGTGTAACGGGCGTAGCACAGGAATGGGTCCGGCTCGTATCTCTCAATAGCCGAAAGCGAAATTCATCTCCACCATCACAGCCATTTGCGTACACTAAATTCGAAAGATTTGTCGTCATGTCAGATGACAAAGGGTCCGGTTTGGATGGAACTGTGGGAGATGATACATCATCCCGTTATACACAGGCATTGAGATTTTTAATCTCGCTACAATCTCAAAAGGAACAAGATACTGACGCTCAGCGTGCTTTCTTACGCTCAAAAGGTCTTTCGGAACAAGAAATCGAAAATGCATTCGAAGAGATAAAGAGACCTGAGATTATGGAGAAAGATGGTCTGGTGAAAGCGAAAAGCGTGGAAGAGAGTGGTCTAAGCGATGCTGATGCTTTCGATCATGCTGCAAAAGCATTTGATGATCCGCTTCACTCGAATATGTACGGTGATGACAGTACATCCGTACAACAAACGTCAAACGCACCGCCTTCTCTGCCACCAAGAACGTACCCTAGATCACCCTTGGCCCTATACCAACAACCAGGTCAAAATGATTTATCAAATTCATCAATTGATAATCCATTAACAAGATATCACGTCCTCTTACGCTTTTTCAGATCTTTCTGCTATTTCCTCGTCTTGGGAGGTGGTGTGACGAGTATCGCTGTGGCATTGTATAGAGCATACATGATGCCTCGTCTGATTGCAACTTTGGATGCACGTTCAAGCTTGTTACAACACCATCGAAGTTTGTTCTCCACTCTGGCAGGTCGAGTGAAAAGTTTGAAGAACAACAGCTTGGCACCCGCATCCACTGTGCAAGAACTACAACAACAGCAGGAAGGTGCAACAGGTGCACCACCACTCAAAGGCGTCTTGAAGAAAGTTCAATTTGCCGATGAGGTAGAGACAAAAGCTGTAAGCGGCAATGATTCAAAGGGAACACATAAATCAGAGGCAATCGAAGAAGAGGAAAAGAAGGAATCAGGAGAGACGACTGCTCTACTTGGAGAGAAAGAGGCGGGAGAAGATGCAAGTGAGAAGTCGATACCCGAGAAGGAAGGCGGGGAAAACGCAACTGCAGAGGAAAAGAACGTGGAAGAGATCGAAAAACCTGCTTTGCCTCCTATCAACATCTTGGAGTCTCTGCAGTCAAGTCTAGCACGACTTAATCAAGCTCTCAAAGCGGATGTATCGGCTTCTGCGATTGGAAGTGAGATCGGCTCAGTGAGAAATTCCAGCACTACAAGTCTGGCCACAACGGTTGAGGAAGAAGGTGATGCATGGGTAAGCGATGAAGATAGTGATGAATTGGAATTCGATCCTTTTGCTCCTCCATCCACAAAAGCAAAATCTTCAAAAAGAAAGCATTCACCAAAGAATAATGTCTCTTCGTCCAAGTCATCTGCTGATCGACCTTCGGCCAGTGGTACATCTTCTTCCACACTAAAGTCTACATTGAACAGCGTCAATGCTTACATCAACACACAAACTTACATGGCAAATGCCAACGTATTTGGCTCAAGGTCACTGGGAATCGGTTCAAGTGGAAGTACAGACAGCAATGCATCCAAATCAGGAGAAGTGGCACAAGTCAGAGCAGAAATACGCAGTCTGAAAGGGTTGTTATTGAGTCGTAGAAATTTCCCTATCTATCAAAGACCTACGCCGCCACCACAACCAGCTCGTGTTGAACCTACTGCATGAGTCGTGTACATTTTGCTTCGAACCAAATAATGTAATTTTATTGCAAACCATCTTTTTAAGAAAAAAGAAATACTGTCTAGAGAGTGTGAGAACTATATAATATACAAATGTATTGAAATCCTATTGCTAATCAATTCCGCATGCCCAAACCTCTAAAGTGATACATTCGAAACGGCCTTCTTGTCCTTCTTTTTGCGGAGCAGTTGAATCATCTTTGCCATCACAAAGGATCTCATTATCAAACGCAGGACAATGCGAAGAAACACCTTGTTCAAGTCTTCCGTCTACCCATAAGCCATATTTGCCTTCTCCTCCGCCAAAAGAAAGATAATGCGCTTCCGTCAAGATCATATAATCATTCCTTCCTGTCCATTTGAACGTTTTCAATTGACCTTGATCAGTTTGTTTCCACAAGAAGCATTCTCCATTTCCGTAATACGAAGTTTGAGCACGTAAACGTTCATTTGCAAAAAATCCAAAAACATGATCTTCTTCATCTTTGATTGCCAATATCAAACCGGCATCAGACATGTTCAAGCCACCACCTACACGTTGGACACCCGTCACTGCTGCCCTGGTCGCATCACTTGCACCACGTAACCATCCTTCTGCATCAGCAACCCCGGCAGATGTTCTTCGAGTGTTTGGATTTCGTAAATTACGTAAATCCAAACCGGTTTCTACTTTGTGATACAGTGTACTCAAACTTATTCCATGTTGATCACTCGAATAGAGTAATTTCCATGATTTTCCAAGTTGTAGCCGTTTAGGTAAATGTGCCGTTAGGGAAGCTGCTAAATCATCTTCTACAACAGACTGTGTCTCTTCACGTCTTCCTTTCAACGAGACAGGGATTGGATTCCTTCGTCTCTCAACTTCTTCACGAGAAGATAAAGACCAACTTCCCGTATTCCAATTACGAACTGCGTTTGGATTGAACCCGGGTGCTCCACTAACAGGAGCTGTGCTATGATGACCGGCGGTCGGTCGCAGCCTGGCCGAGAATCCATCTGAATCTCTTCGTAGGGGTGTGGTCTGTTTTGTGGGAGATCCCGAATCTGCATGATTGCTGAAAGGAGTAGTTTGAGAATATTGCGATATATCCGCCAACTTTCGAGGATGTTTGTGGTGCTCTTCCTTTTTGTCCGTTGAACCTGATGTCGGCGTTCCTCTGCCTGACGTAGCTGGCTTGCTTGAACCTTCTCGATCATCGTTATCTTCTTCAGAAATGTAAAAGTCTTTTGCTGATGGCAGATGACCACGAATCGATCCTAACGTACGTCGGAATGAGCCTGCCCAACCGCCTGCAGTATCTGACCAACTTCCTCTTCCACCATGCCCTTTCTCGTACGAGGGTGAGAATCCTTCTTGGCTTCCCGATGCTTTGGCATCGAAGTAGCCATCACGATCTATCTCTAAGGGCGTTTGAATATTGATCGGGCTCGCCTGTGCTTCGTGCATGCTGTTCAATTGATCTCCTCGCAAAGCCCTCTCATCGCTTGATTGACTACGACTGTTTGCCATCACAGCCCGAGGATTCTTGTCAAACGATTCGAAAAAGTCCAAATCTGCCGAGTTCAGCTGAATTTCCCCTTTTCGTTGCTGTTCCAACTTCTTTTCCATTTCGCGAAGATCTATCATTGGAGGGGAAGGCTGTCGTTCTGTTTGATTACGTTGAGCCATAGATACTCTTTCGAATGCTGCAAGGAAGTCATCATTTGGTTGTCCATTTGCTGCCTTGCCATTACTTGGGCCTGGCGTTCCGCCTCTTGGTGTTTCCCATGCTTCCCAATCTAAGTCGTCTAATTGTTTAACCTTGGCAGTCTGTGATGCTGAGCCAGGTTTCTGCATATAATTCTCCATCGAGGAGGTATGCATTTGAGGTGAAAATCCCGCCACTAAATCTGCATCTTGCCATTCATCATCATCTATGAAAGAATCACCATTGCCATCTTTTGGTTCATCAACTTGTTCTGGATGATCAAGTGCAGCAGCGGAAGAAGATGAATCGATAAAATCACCAAAGCTATCACTTGTATTGGATTTACCTCTTCTATGCAGAGCGGTCCGATTCGTATTGCCGCTTGATGACATGATTGGCGGAAATCAATTTTGTCTAATTACGAAAGATGTGAACATTCTATCTTTTGTGTGATTTGGTGATGTGTTTGTCAAGAAGGTCTGTGTGTTTTCAATGATCCGGAGAACAACACCAGCATTAAGCTTAAATCATCTCGCTGTACGCCGCACGGACTCCTTTTGCTTTATTAATCCGCCGGCATACCGCTTACAAAGCATCACTTAAAGGATGATTGACATTCAAGCTCGCATATATCATACAAGCATCTTGGCATGGCATGAAATAGTATCGCTCCTCCTTGTTATGGAAAGATGGCACAGAATTGGCTACAAAGGGATCTTTCATTGCTTATAATATCCGATATGAATGCAGGAAGGCGCCCATTGAGAGACAGTCGCCTTAATGTATCATGTTTTCAACAAAGGGAACTTAAAACGTTACGCCCGCACCGACACGGTACACATTCTGGGCGTAGATGCAAATCGGTGATTAACAGGCGAGAAGCCGAATTCATCGTAAGCTCAAGCGGGCGCTGCGTACGCTTTCACTATACAACACGCCATGCAAAATATTCATAATATTCTTTATTTTTCCCTTTGTCATCATCAATCATCGTCTTTCTTTGGGTTACCTCCTTTTGTACATTTTAACGAATTGGTTTATTGTGTGGCTTCGAACGCATTTATTGTTTTGGACAACAGCAGTTCCCACACTCGCATAAAGACAAAACACTCAACGCATTTACATCTTTTTGGTGGCTGTGGAGCAGGGCTGCAGTAATACTTGCTCGACTCTTTTTTCTTGCGCCACATTCGCATAAAGATTTTGAGGAGACTGTCATTGGCACCTTTGTTTCTCTCTCAACCAGCAAATCAAACACACACATTCATGCTACCTGCAACCCGTTTGATTGCGCGAAGAGGTACGCGATCCGCATTAGTAGTGACCGGCCTTTGTCGTCGTTCAACGAATAAATCATTATCGGTTAGATCTATTTCTACTACAATCAATTCACAATCATTACAACAACAATCTAAACGGATATCACCACCACTTTTACAAAAGTACGGCACAATGTCCAATATGCACCCTTCTCGTTCTTTGGCCACTTCGGCTGCTCAACAACCTAATCTGACAACGGGTGCCACTTTGGAACCACTACAATCCTTACCTGAGGGATACGAGATACGGACAACAGTTGGATCTTCAAAGGCTAGTGCACCATACGCTGTTTATACGGGAAAGATGGAAATGTCATCCTTGGACGACAGAACATACAGACTGCTTCGTCTTCAAAATGGATTGGAAGCTTTAGTCATTCAAGATCCCGAGACTGATAAATCCAGTGCTGCAATGGACGTTCGTGTGGGGCATTTATCTGATCCAATCGAATTGCAAGGACTTGCTCACTTTTGCGAACACTTGCTCTTCATGGGAACTGAAAAGTATCCAAGGGAAAATGAATATAGCGAATATCTGTCCAACCATTCAGGTAGTTCAAACGCATATACTGGCATGGAGAATACCAACTACTTCTTCGATGTTGGACACAAGCATTTAGAAGGAGCTTTAGATCGATTCGCACAATTTTTCTTGCAACCTCTTTTCGACCCCAGCTGCACAGAGCGGGAGATCAGAGCAGTTGACAGTGAACACAAGAAGAATTTGCAATCTGATGCATGGAGAGCATTCCAACTAGACAAGAGCTTGAGTGATCCCAATCATCCTTACAGCCATTTTGGAACTGGTAACGCGAAAACACTTTGGGATGATCCACGCAACAAAGGGATGGACGTTCGAGATGAGTTACTCAAATTCCATGATCGCTACTATAGCGCTAATGTGATGAAGCTTGTCATTTTGGGACGTGAATCAATTGATACTCTGACGCAATGGGCTGTAGACAAATTTTCAGGTGTTCGCAATAAAGGACTTGCAGCTCCTACTTTCCCTGCTAACCCACTCGGCCCTGAGCAATTACAGACACAGGTCTTCTTCAGAAGTGTTAAGGATATCAGATTGTTGGATCTGTCGTTCCCCATTCCTGATCAAAGTCCTCTTTTCAGGACAAAGCCAGGTCAATTCCTCTCACACTTTATCGGTCATGAAGGCCAAGGCTCAATTTTGTCATACTTGAAAGCACAAGGATGGGCAAATCACTTGAGCGCAGGAGCAATGAATGGTGCAGATGGTTTCGAATTTTTCAAGATTTCTATTGATCTTACAGCAGAAGGCTTGACAAATTATGACAAAGTCGTTGCTGCTGTTTTCCGATATGTTGACTTGCTGAAACGGTCACCCGTTCCGGAATGGTCTTTCAAGGAAGTGCAGCAATTGTGTGACCTTGCTTTCCGTTTCAAGGAGAAGCAACCGCCAAGCAGCTATACTTCAGGCCTTTCCAGCCAATTGCAATTACCATACCCTCGTGAATGGGTCCTTTCAGGTCCCTTCTTGGCACGCGAATTTGACCCTCAACAGATTCGAGAGGTCACAGAACGTCTTTCCCCCTCCAATTGCCGCATTTCCATCGCAGCTCAAGCTATGCCTGATGGAAGTCAAGGCTGGGATATGAAAGAGCGATGGTACGGAACAGAATACAAGGTGACACCACTGAAGAGCACAGAAACATCTGTAGACGCGAACGCAATGTCTTTGCCTCAACCCAACTCTTTTATTCCAACTACATTTGATGTTCCCGGTGCACCGACTCGTGGCCACCAGAAGCCAAGACCTTCATTACGACCAGTCTTGGCTCAAAATTCTCCTCTTTCTCGTTTGTGGCACAAGAAAGATGATCAATTCTTCCTCCCAAAAGCAAACGTGTTCTTGATCCTGCGAAGTCCATTGATCGATGCTTCTCCTAACAATGCAGTTCGCTGCCGTATGTTGGTGGAGCTCATCAAGGATGCTTTGACGGAATACTCGTATGATGCTGAATTGGCCGGATTGGGTTACAATATCGAATCACAAGGTGATGCGATCGGATTGTCAGTGGACGGATACAATGACAAGTTGCCTGTCTTGCTTCGCTATATTCTCGAACAATTTGCTAGCTTCAAGGTTGACAAGGACCGATTCGAGATCATCAAGGATCAAGTTCGAAGAGGATATCAAAATTTCCGCTTGGAAGCACCCTTCCAGCATGCTAATTACTACACCTCGTACTTGACCGCTGAACGTATCTGGAACGCGGACGAAAAGTTGAGCGAGATGGAACACATCACTGCGGAAGACGTACAGCAATTCCTGCATGAAGTTCGGGCACGCTTGCATTTGGAGATGCTTGCACACGGAAACATTGATCGTGAAGAAGCAAAGAAGCTGCTGAACTTGTCGGAAACCATCCTTGGACCGCGTCCATTGGCACCTACTGAGCAAATCGGAGCAAGAAGTCTAATTTTGGAGCCAAACACGAATGCACGCTATGCGATTGCTGTGCCGAATGAAAAGAACGTGAACTCTAGTATCGAATACTATTGTCAAGTTGGGGATCCGGAAGATGTTCCAACACGAGCAACTTTGTCACTTTTGAGTCAAATTGCACAAGAACCTGCTTTCGATCAATTGCGCACGAAGGAACAACTTGGTTACCTGGTCTTTAGCGGTGTAAGAAAATCGATTGGATCGATGGGATTCCGTATTATTGTGCAAAGTGAACGATCATCGGATTATCTCGAAAGTCGAATTGATGAATTTTTCCGTGTAAACATGCATGGACTTTTGCAAAAGATGACAACGGAAGAATTTGAAGCACAAAAAGAAAGTTTGATTCGCAAAAAGATGGAAAAGGTGAAGAACTTGTTTGATGAAAGTAGTCGTTATTGGTTCCACATCTTTAGTGGATATAATGACTTCTTGCAACGTCAAACTGATATCGAAGCTTTGCGCAAGATCACAAAGGATGATGTCGTTCGATTGTTTGAAAGGTACATTTGGCCAGAAAGTAAGGAGGGTAGAAGTAAATTGACCGTGCATGTTCAAAGTCAGATTCAAATGCCACGCTTCTCTACGGAGGCATACGATGCATTCGCCGAACAAGCACAAGCTAAGGGTTGGACAGATGCAATTTCTGAAGACATTGCCAAGCAAATTCGTGGACAAGAAATGAGCTTGGAGATGGTGAAAGGATTGATTGTTCGTGATGAGTCTGCACCTAATGCAGCTGAAGTCACAGCTCTCTTGGACGAACTTGCTGCTAAGCACCCCGTTCAACAAGATGATACCAAATTGGTCAGACATAATCCCAAAGAGCAAAATGTCAATATCGATCAAGCTGTTCATTTCAAAGCAAGCTTACGACCAAGCAAGGCTGCCGTTTCTGTTCGCTCGTTTGAGGAATTGAGTGCTGAGCCTTCAGCCGAGGAACATGCATTGGCAGATGAGGAGATCGAACAGAGCAATAAGCCTGTTTCTGCAAATTTGTAGTACCCACCACCGCTTTCTAGTTTTTCATTTGCAATATTTAACACACACACCTTTTATTTGTACAAGAGCTTGTCAATCAGTAAAATATAGAATTCCATGGAATTTGATGAAAAAAAGTAGTGAAATTGTGTGTTTACTGTTGTTGTTGTGTAGCTTGTGTTTCAACTCCTCTCAATGCATCTTTTGCTTTCCAATACTCTCTTTGCTCTGCACCCATTCCACCCGAAAGAGCACCGCCTAATCGTTCATCTTTGTATCTCTTCCAATCTTCCGGTTTATCACGACGGTAAGCTGCCCATTTTTCATATTCTTTTGGGTCTGAGAGGTTTCGCCATTGACGTTGTGCTTGATCAGGTTCACTTGTAGTAGTAGTAATAGTAAATTGTTTTATGAAATCTATCACGATATCACATATCACACGTAGAAGGATGGGTAGTGTCTGCTTCCCGATGCATACACTTTCTTTGCTTTCCAACCATCTGCCAACTGGACAACTATTAACAACACTCAAAGGCCATCTGGCAGAGATCGATTATCTATTCGGACTTGTACGTTGTGATTCTGCTTTGAGATTTGGTCATATTGCGAAAACAAGTAGCGGTTGACTATTCCTGTAGTCGTTTTGGGGCTCAATGATACCATGATATCGTTTTAAAGAGGATTCATGACGCACGTTGTGCTGGGAGAATTCGAGGTAAACTATCTTGAACAAGGTTGAGGCTTGAAACGGTTATCTTGACGAAAGAAGGCTTTCGATGCTGTATGAAAGAAGGGGAGAGAATCATCTATATAGTATCTCACAAAAGGGAACCCTCTACCATCTGTCGAACCTTTTGCAAGATACTTTCGTCCATCCATGGGAAATCACTCGCCTAGATTCAGGAGCATCAAGTTCAAGGAACAGAGTCAGATGGGCGACTTTTGAGAGGGAAGAGGCGTATGAGTGGAAAAGTGGAAAGAGTGAAAGACCCTTGCCCTTCACCATCTGTCGAGCTTGTTGCATGATGCTTTTATCCAGCCAAGGGATACATCGATGCTCAGAACGGAGTCAGATGGGCGCATTTTTGCGAAGAGCTACGTGTGGAAGTGGGTGGTGGTAGTGGGATGAATTTAAAAGAGGAATTCAATTATTTATACAAAAAGCGAACCTCTCTTGGGTACACATACTCTACAGACTCCTCATGATTCATACGATCATGAGCCAGCAGATATGATTATGACAAAATCGAAATCAGCAAACGACTCTTACAGTAGTGACATGTCGAAGTTAATCCATTGGGTCAGATCTGTCAGATGAGAAGTACGCGCAACACATCATCCACACGTTGGACTGTAGAATTGAATTTCGAACTACCCTCTACCCGTCCATAGAGTTCAACAAATGATTTTTGCCCTTTCCATTGTGTATATCATTCATGCAGCATATACAAACAGTGTCTGTCAGATGGGGTTCCAACGGCGGTGGATGCTATTTTTAGTTACAAGTATACCTCGTCATTTACAGCCTGTCAGATCCGTTGGGTCTTATGTACTGTCCTTTGAACCTGATGTACCGTCCATTGGATTTGATGTACCGTCCGTTGGACCTAATTTGCAACATCTATGTTGATATAAGGATAGCATCAGTAATGCATCTCCATGAAATTGCATAATTATGACCAAACTTCTTCGTCTGCCTACAAACATTTAAAAGGAGGACTTTTTTGAAAGTTGGAATACCCCTTCCCAATCATTTTTCCTTACACCCACCAATTCTCCTCTTACGTTTTGCTTCCACATTTACCACCACCACCACCTTTTACACCCACCAAATCTCCTCTTACGACTTGCTTCCACATCCATCACGACAACCTCTCCACTGCAGTCCATTCAATCAATACAACAACATCACGGCCGACAGGAGGATGAAGAGGACGATGAAGAGGACGATGAAGATGACGATGAAGAGGATGATGACGACGATGATCAGAAGAAGAATGACAATGATGAGGAAGATGGTGGTCGTGGTGGTTGTGGAAAGATACTTAATGTTTGTTAATGAGATGTAGTCAAGCTGTCGCCCATCAACGGATGGGCAAAACGAGTGCGTTGTGAGAACTAAGTTAAGGGATCGGATGTCTATGACACGATCATGAGTGAGTGTGGCCATGATCAAGTGTGGCCATGAGTGAGTGTGGCCGTGAGTGAGTGTGGCCAGGAGTGAGGTGGTCATGAGCATGTGTGATCGAGGCGGAATGTATGCCATAAAGTACATTGACTAAAAGTTCAACGGTTGAGTAATGGTACAACGATTGTGCATCAGGTCTATCAACCCTGTCGGTGGGTTCCTGCGATACGCCATCGTTCAAGTTCCACCTCTCCGAAACGTAGAAGGCTAGTCGTGCCACAATCGTTCACTGTAACGATTATGTTCCTGCGTCCCGATCTGAGTGGTCCATAAAGGGTGATGAGTCGCTTTTGCTGTCCACCGCGTTGTGTATGACGGCCTTTTGTCCTCCTCGGCACTTGATAGCCAGGCGAAAGTTGTGTAAAAAGGGTCGAGATGAAGCCCAGTAGCCCAACGAATTGATGGCATATCCTCTCGATCGAGCTGGTCTATGAGAGGGTGAAATTGTTCTTGTGCCTCTTTAGCCTGTCTTTGTGCTTAAGCTTCTCTCACGCCTCCCTCTCCATAACTCCCAATATTCCTCTTTCTCTGCTCTTCTGCTATCTTCCATACCCTTTGTTCTTCTTCATCCATTTGGTCCGAAACTTGCGTTGGAAGTGAAAGTCCGTAAACTTGTATGTCTCACGTCCATCACTGCTAATTGATATTCCCCGTATTCAAAAATCAAGCACTGTGAAAGCTATTTATACCGTCGCCATCGTTTATTTCTACCCTTTCGAAGCCTTCTTCCTTAGTTCACCTCTATTTGAGGGAACATGTGTGATCCATTCCTACTGATAGATTGTCCGCACTTCCACCAATCTTCGTCTTCTTTCGTAAAATGTTACAGCAATATCGTATCTACCGCTATTGGAAGTCCATCTGATAGACATTGATTATCTATTTGGTCTTGTACGGTGTGATTTTGTCTTGAGATTTGGTTATGATGCAAAAATGAGTAAAGGTTGACTATTCCAGCACTCCTTTTGGGCTTTAATCATTCCCGCCAAAGACGTTGTGCTGGGAGGATTCGAAGTCGAAGTAAACCATCATTGTTTCTTGAACAATGTTGAGGCTCGAAACAGTCAACTTGACGTAAGAAGGCTTTCCATGCTGTGGGAAAGAAGCGGGAGTCTCATCTATGTAGCATCTCACAAAAGAGATCCTTCTACCATCTCAACCGCTTCTCTTTCTAGTTTTTTCATTTGCAATATTTATCACACACACACTCCTTTTATTTGTACAAGAGTTGTCAATCAGTAAAATATAGAACTCAATGGAATTTGATGAAAAAAGTAGCCACCATGTGTGTATTTACTGTTGTTGTGTAGGTTGTGTTTCAACTCCTCTCAATGCATCTTTTGCTTTCCAGTACTCTCTTTGATCTGCACTTGTTCCACCCGAAAGAGCGCCGCCTAATCGTTCATCTTTGTATCTTTTCCAATCTTCTGGTTTATCACGACGTTCAGCTGCCCATTTCTCGTATTCTTTTGGGTCTGAGAGGTTTCGCCATTGACGTTGTTCTTGATCTGGTTGGCTTGTAGTAGTAGTACTCTGCTCGCTGTCTTTTTGAGATGGGTTTAGTCCTGATAATGCAGCTTGTGTAGATGCTGCTACTCTTTGTCTGTATGCAGCCAAATCTTCTTGATTGTTCGTTGTTGTTGACATGTTATCTGTAATCGTTGTGATGATGATGGTTGAGAGAAGTGTTGTTCAACCTTTTGTCTGTACCCCTTATGATGATCAAATGCACAGCCACCTTCTGTAAAGTGACTCTTTCTACGCTAATGCTATGGTCGTACTCTTTTGCATCTTTCAATCACGCACGGGCTTGTTGCTTTCACTGATGGCGTACATTTGCATCAATCATTCGTTCAGCCCAACGGATCTCTCTCGCAAGACGACAATAACTCAGATTGAAGTTGATCTTACAAGATGGTTTCATTCCTCATCTTTACAAATTCCATTCTGTCCCTGAGAGAAGTTGATGCGGAAGGCGTTGGTGCGTGCGTATCTTTAGCGTAAAATCTTTACGCCAACTTTGATTTAAAGTGTGGCGCTGCCGTTGCAACCGATACTTGGGGCGCAGACAATAAGAGAAAATCAATCTTGCCAGACATGTTCCAATCTTATTCCATTCAACGGGCTTGATTAAACAAGTTAGCCCGCTCTGTATGCTTGCGATGCCCCATTGATACATACACGGCTGAATATGTACATCTCTATACATTTGAAATTTTAAAGTTAAGGACATATCTGAAATGTCGATCTGGCCTAGAATTAAACATTATATAAAGAGGACGTACGAATGATCTCTCATTCCTAACTTTCCATCACTCCATTCTTTTCTTCTCTTCTCAATATTCATTCTGCTGGTCAGATTCAAGGATGCAATTCCGTCTTTCTTTTTTGTTCGCCTTTATGGCACTTTTTGCATGTGCATTATCCACTCCAACATCATTTGACGATTCCGCTATCAACCTTTCAACACAACTTCAAAATCGTGGAATCAAATTCTCCAAACCAAAGCCACAAGTAAAACCGTATACAGGACCAGGTGCATTGGATACAAAAGGTGGCGGTGGTGGAACAGGCAACCCAGAAATCAAAGCATATTATCCAACGGGAAATCCAAATCCTGAATCTCCATTGGATGCCAGTAAATTCAATCAACATCGTAATTCAAACACGGCCGGAAAAGAAGATGATTATTTTGGTAATTGGCAAGCTTACTCTAAGCCACCTAACCGTAAACGTGATTATGAATATGCAGGCTATCCAGCTTGGTTGTGAAGAAATCGCAATAAAAGATAGGACATTGTTTGAAAATAATATGTTACAGTGTAATGCAAATAAAAAGCAAAAAATGAATGGAAAGCATGATTTAAAAATTGGTATTTTGTGAGAGCGTTTTAAAGCTCATTCTTTACGTTCGTTTGTTGTATTTCGTTAATATGTGTTCTCAATTGAGAAACACGTTTTTCCACATCGTTCAATAACCCTAGCAATGATTCTAATTCTTGATGTGGATCTTCAATCGCAACTCCGTCTAAGCCCAGCTTAGGGGTTGTTGATCCTCTTGGCGGCACCCTTCCTCCAAACACACTTCCTTGTTGATGACGTGAATGATCGAAATATTCACTCAACACATCACGTACTGCCACTGCTACAGCTTCAGCTGAATTGGCAACATCGGGTGCATGAAGTGTTTGTTGATGCTTGTTTGCTTTTGACGTTGTGCTACTGCGTAATCGATGAGGGTCCAAAGGATCACGTTCACCTGTACGTGATGATAATGCCCACAAGTTGCTGATCACCAACAAGAACACCACTCCGCCCAAAATCAAAACACTTGGACTCAATTCCGCCAATCCACCGAAAGCGTCTGACAAGATATCCAGCACAGGTCGCCACGGTTCAAGATAAGCAGCCAATGGTCCTCCACTACTCTTCTCGCCTTCTGCTGCTCCGTCTGCACTCTTTGTAGCTTGTTCATCACCAGCACCTCCCGCATTCTCTGCATGCTCATCAATAGCAGCGACGGCCGCTTCAGGATCTTCACCTTCTTCGCGAAACTCGGAAGTATGTTCTTTTATATACGTTCGAATTGCACCATCCAGATCTTTGTAATATTGTTTTTGTCCATCAATGCATGCACGATCGATCACACTTTTTAACATACTTCTTCCGCTCCATTCAACTTGACAAGTTACCAACATTTTTGAAACATTTCCACCTGCCCATGTGATACACGTCTTTGTTTTGACGCTGAAACTGTTTCCGCTCGGAACATCTGGCGTTCTTGTCGTCGTCAAAGCGATCACATGATCGTCAAAGTCTACGTGAACATTCTCATCCGTCAAAAGACACTTCGTTTGCTTAGGTCCGAAACCACCGGCCAAGGGTTTGATGTACGAAATATCTCTCGAAAGATTGTTGTTGTTTTGCGTATTGGGTTTCCAAGGGCTAATTTGCAAATCTGTCAAGTGTTGGTTGTCGGTCCAGAAATCCTTCATAAAGCCACTGGTAAAGATCAGATTGTACAATTTTTCTGGAACGGTAGGATACGTTGTCTCCATTGCAATTGTGGTAAAATGCTTCTTGTCTCTTTCACAACTACATGTCGTCTTTCGATGGGGAGCACGTTTGGCACTTCCAGGAGCCGGACTAACACCACGAGAGATGGCCGGTCCGCCATTAGTTCTACCGTTTGCCATTTGCATTTCTGATCCTTCTTTATTGATGCCCAGCTTCTTCTTAAGCATCTTTCTCTTTGACTTCTTGACAGGATGATGATCATCACCTTTTGCCTTGTCGTTATCAACGTCACCATGACTGATCGTTGCGCCATCTGCACCTTCAATGGATTCTTCATCCGTTCCTGCATCGATCGTCTCGGCAGGTCGTAAAGCAGGATGAGATAGTTTCCAAATCTGAACGATGAGATCATACGTCGTATCACGGGATAAGAATGATGCGAAAGTGTTCTTCGAGTGCAGAGTTGCGATTTGAATGGCATTTGGGATCACATAAGCGGTCATTCGTTTTTCCACCGAAACAATCTCAGAGAATGGCAAAGCGATATTTGTTACCCAACCGAAGATGTTCGCATAAAAGCATACGTGATTCTCCGAAACGTAAAGACGACCTTGAATCAAGATTTCACGAACAAGAGCACATCCGTAATCTTCGATCAAATAGTCATCTTCAGGAACAGTAGGGAACAATCCATGAAATTCGGCATTTCTCTTTGAACTTGCAACAGCAAAACCAGTAATTTGTGCGTCAACGTCATTATGATGCCAATCGTCATGCTCTCCCAATGTGACCCGTTCTCCCAGACCGCTTGGACTCAACCCAGTCACTGCACCGATCCCTCCAGGCGTCATTGGAGCATGTCCATCACCCTCTGCTCTTGCTAAAGGATCTTCAGGTGAGACAAAATTATCATGCAGGCCCAAAGCAAAATTTGCGGCTGCATTCAAGCCGCTTCCTGCCGATATGTCTGAGCCATCAAAGCTTGCATTGCTACTCTGTAAAGCAAGGTGATGTCCATCTGGTCCAGCTTCATGGCCTGGTCCGCGTTCGGTCATCTTGCCTGTGACTGGGTCACGATACACACCTCCTTCATATCCAGATGCATAACCAGACCCAATACTGGAATTACGAGATCTCGTTATGTGTTTTTGACTTTGTTGACGTTCTTGTTCGTTCAATTTACTCTGTGTCCTTTGCAATAATTCCGCATGTCCTACACCCATACCCGCCATACCGCTAGCTGCCAATGCACCTGCAATTCCACCTGAAGGTCCATTCTTCTTTGAATTTGAATCACTTAATCGTCTAAATTTGTGCAAAGGAGAAGCTAGCAAAGAACCCGTACTTGCTGATTCGTGCATATGATGGCGTCCATTTGAAGCTGCATCAAGTGCACCTCCTGTTCCTGGTACAGCCAAAGAAGAATGTTTGGATTTGACTGGCTCAGCAGCATGTCCTGTTGTTGCATAGCGACCATGGGTAGGATTCTTCATCGGCGATGATGTATTGGCCGGAGTCGGAGCAGTACCATGTCCAAAGACTGAATTGGTCGGCGAATCATTGAGTGGGTTGTGCTCGCTTTGATATGAATTGTTCCTGCTACCTAATTTAGGTCGCAAAGGGAATCTTGAAGAGATCTTTTTCGTCGAATCTATACTGTCACTTTTCGTTATTCCTGCAGTGGCAGCAGCAGCAGATACAGTCGATCCATCTGCCAATACCATCGTTCCTTCACCTGTCTGACCGGCAAAATGGTCAAACGATAAAGAGCCTTGGCCCGGCTTATCAAGGTCAACTATGCTACCAGTACTTTGACTTGCTGGCATTGCCCTGTTAAGATTTGAAACAGCCTTGTTCGCTGGCGCTTCAGCTGGTACATGCGGCCTTACAGTAGGTGAAAGAGGCATTTGCGGTGGTAGTTGCATGTTAGAGAAATTACGTTCATTGCCAAAAGCTGGAGCAGAAGAGATTCCATATTGATCCGATGTGGTTGCATCGGCCATTGCTCTTCGCATCACATCGTGTCTGTCTGGAACATCCTTACTGCCACGCTTAGCAGGCGTTGAAGGATCACCTTTTGTTTGTCTTGCCATCTTTCTGTTTGAAGACGAGAGTGAGTAAAGAGGATCGTCAAATTCTTCTTCGTCGTTGTCGTAACCTTGATCGTACGATACTTGCGGAGGTGCGCTAAATAAAGCGGTCGATTGTGATTTTGGCGAAATAGATTGATAAAGATTTTCCGAACTAATTGCGGATAAAGAGGGAGACGGATTACTGTTCCGATCTGTATCGTCCGGACCCCAAAGATGTCTAGGTGTATTACCTGAAGGAGAAACTATTTCAATAGAAGGAACACTTGATGATTTCGTTGGTGGATCTCGTACAGATTTTTCGTCAATGTTTGTAGAAATTGGAGGTAAAGAAGATTGGTTCTTTGGTCTTACGATATGAGGAATTGCTTCTTTGAATTGCTCCGGTTGTTTTTGTTGTTGTACTTTAGCCGCGGGATTTGGCGTGGCAATAGGCGTTAGAACACTTTCACTTTCCGAAGAAGGTGTTGTACTATAAGATGTAACAGATTCGGGAGATTGATCGTTTGATGATTTTTGTGATGCGCCGCTTGAATCACTTTGTTGAGCAGCAAAAGATGCCCTTCTTGATGCGCTTGAGCGAAAGAAATTGTTGAGCGTGCTTGGCATTTGGCACGAAAAAGGAAGAAGGATGGAGTGATTGTTTTTTTTGAGAGATACGTGCAACCAGTGAAAGCGTATCTGTGAAATCTCACACAAGCATTTGTTTAAGATGAGTAGATGATGTAGCAGATGGTGATGATGAAAGAAGATTGAAGAATATTCTCTTGTCCATCTGATTGCCACGAATGTAAGGATGCGAATGTATGAAATGAATTTTAGGGCCCCTTTCGTAAAGGCACGAATGAACAAAGTGGAGATTTAGGCAGGCATTAAAGCAGGCATGCACAAGTTGTAGGGTGTAGTAGCACCACACGGTATTCCGCTAATCTTGCCAGCCTTGCAAATATTAACACACACAGGCGCCGCTCATCCCCTGCACCGGTCGGTTACAGCTAAAAAGATCAACACTCAATCAATCCCCCCCATGCTCTGCTCTGGCTCTATCCTTCCGAGGGTGAACCTAAAATATATGCGAACCATATGAACGCCTCACAGAAATGCTCACGATCCAGATATCAAATATGAAGGGGTTTCCCATCACAGCTATCATGGCCAAAGAATGATACCCTCTCTCACAACTATCCAACACAAAGGGCGCGGCTATTACGCCACCGTTTGGGGCTGAATAATTGGCATGGCGCGCAAGATGAGGCGCAATATCAAAGAATGCTTTTGCTTATTTCTCATGAGATGATCTAGATAGGGTAGTGTACATGATCTCCTGCTTTATGCAATCTGCTGATCAGGATGAGGGTTAGGAATGATTGATATTATACAAAGAAACAATACTGTGAGGAAGAGAAAATGAGAGCGAATGTTAGCATACATCTGAGGCATACTGTACTCTTCATCGTCAGGTCAAAGTCTCATCCAAACAACAACCATGTCCACGGGGCAAAATGAAAGCAGCAGCAGCGACAGAACGTCTAATCTACCGAATCAATTTGCATCTTGTACCATGATGCTATTCGAAAGGACCCTGTTTGCCCTCAATTTTATCTCCATCGTCCGAATTACCAAACGGACTGACAGCATAAGGATGATTTGATTTGTATCATCTTGTAATCATTTATCAAATTTATTACTCACCTCATCAAGTGTTCTTCTAGCTGGCTGTCGTCTTTTGCCTCTTGTGTGCCGACAATGCACGTTGCCTCAAAAGAGATAATTCACCTTCCCGCTTTTCTGTAGATGCAATCCTGTCTTCTTCCTCTCGTCTCGCACTCGATTCCTCTTCTTCTTCCGCCAGCCTCTTTTCTTCTCTAAATCGTTTTGCATGGTCGAAGATCTTGATCGCATCCGGAGTCAAGAATTGGAACCCATGCCTTGCTTGCCATTCTTCGTCCGTTTCTCCATCGAGTCTCTCTCCGAATTCAGACTCGATGTCATCATTGTGAGGTAGTGATTCAGCCACTTTGCTATGCTGATTACCAGATTGTGTCTGAATTTGATCGGCAAAGAACCGCCGCCGCTCAGGATTCAAGAAATGATCTTCAAAGTACTTTCTTGCGGACGGGAATGGTGGTAATGGAGGCTCGACAAGGTCGATCTTCCTCTGCGGTGGCGGGGATCGTGACTTCTGAGAAGAAGATTCAGGAGCGGTTGCCACCGACGATGACGAGGCTTCATCGCTGCCATCGCTTACCTCAGATTCGGAGCCAATTGCATTGCTCGATGAAGTCTGTTCTTCGCTTAAATTGACGATTTCCTCTCCATTTCCTATATCATTTGCATGCTTCTCAAGAGCTTCTTTGTCAATCGTATTTTGTTTATCTTGTTCCATCCATGCATCTACTGCTTCTATACCACTCGGCCTGGTTAAACCCAAAACACATGCTGAACATGTCAAACACTTGTCTGGACACTCTTCATTGCCCTGCTTGCGCTTCTTTCTGATATCTTCATTCTCCATCAAGCAGCCCGGACATGCACAATCGGGTCCACAATGACAATCAGGCGCAAGGATCGCATCTGCCTCTTCCGTCGTCATTGGCATGATTGACGCCACCGGATCCAGTATTGGAGTGTCGTGTGTGGTTTGTGCTTGTTCGCTAGTTTTGCTGCCACAGCAACTTCGCTTGATGGCTTTGAGAGTAGGATCTTCTGTTACGAGAGGTGCACATTGCACAGCATCTATTCCATCATCACAGCATTGATTTTCTCCATTACAGCCACACGAGGCGGGTTGTTCGACAGAAGCCGTTTTTACGATTCCATCCTTACTTGATGAAGCACGACTGCAACAGCTACAAATCCCCGTTGTCTTGCATTGACATGGATTCATCAAAGACTGTAAGCTGTGCTTGCTCTTTCCCTCTTCCTGCAAGTCTCCAAGAGACGCTTCATCTTGAACCAAGAATGGAGTAAAAGTCTCTATACTCTGTTCGCTCTTTCCGCGTTGTTTTCTGTTTTGTTGTGGACTTGTAATATCTTCATCTTCTCCACAATCACATCTACCATGAAAGCTTCCATTTGCTCTTTTTGATCTGCATACATCGCATTGTGAACTTGGTCTGCCTTTCTTGCGAACGAGTTGTAATTTTCTACCTGTATGTGAGCAATTTGATGCTCTATGACCACGTATGCAAGCCTCACATGCGAATTTTCGGCCATTAATAAGTACCATCTTGATAGGTTTGATGAATGGTCACCGGTAAGGATGCAGAATCATCACAAGATGGTGGTATGGGGATGTTGGTTGTAGGATGGCAGGGGATCTCTGTTCGGCGAGATTTTTGGATTTTAGTTTTAACGGCCGAAACGCGCTGTGCGCTTAATTGCACACACACGCACAACAAAGCACAATACATAGACTACTACTGACACTCATATCCTCTCGGCGCCTTTTTTCTCCTTTCATCCTTTGCGGCTCGGAACCGTGCAATTGCCATCAGAAGATGAAGATGTGATTGATAAAAAGGATGAGGTGCAATCAAAAGATTATCATTATCCTTTATTGTACCACAATCGTTGCAAGACATGTTTCCAGTGTTTTGGGTCATGATAAAGGCCGTGTCTGCACAAAAAAGGGGCTATCCAGTCATACATTAAGAACCACTGGCCTGATCCCTCCTATTGTTGCATGCATCAACCCACGGAACCATGATGTTGGCGTTCCTCATTTGAGTTGTTGTTTGGTGTGTGTGTTAATTGTGTTATTTCTGTTTTGATCATGTCATATCACCTCCACCGTTAAAGGCAAAAGAACGCGTACAATCATGCGTGTACAGTCAGTCACTCGAACTTCGGGGCGTCCATATATGCAATCAAATTACACTTCAATGCTTTCTCTCCTAACAACATACACACAGCATCACATTATCTCTCATTTTGTGATATGTCACAATGACCGCAAACGCAGATGGCTTGAGTCAAGGGCTGGAATCGATAAACTTTGCTGATGCACAACGTGATCCGACTTTACTCAATCCAGAAGGACAGACTTCTAATAACCCCAGAAAGAAGAACGGGGGCGGCGTAGAATCTGAGCTATCTGGTCAATCGGTCAAGAAAACTAGGAATAGAAGCCTGAGACGCAGATTATCACGCAGGAGAAAATCAGCTGACATGAAAGCACACGAGAATGGTGCTGTCATTGAGGAAAAGGATACCACCGTTAATGGAGAAACATCAATCTCATTGCCAGCTGGTCTACCTGCAAAACCACAGTCAAACATGACAACCATGAATGCACCACGTCAACCGCGTGCAATGACGAATGGAACAAGCACGAATGGTAAGCTGAAGAAGGATGAAGGCAGAAGTAAGAAGGCCAGTAAGAGCAAGGACAACAATCAGAGTAAAGCTGACAGCAACAGTAAGGATAAAGGCAAGACTAAGGTTGAAGGCAAGACTAAGGACGACGGTAGTAATATCGCTGAAAGCAAGGGTAAAGATGAGAGCAAGGGCAAGGCTGAAGACACAAGTAAGGATAAGGCAAAAGATGAAGTAGCGAAATTACCTCGTAATCCGTCGCTGCCTCCTGAGGCAGAATCTTCCGCCAGACAGAAGGAGGCTCAGGCTAGAAGACTCCTGATTGCACAAAACGAAAATGCAATCGCACAGGCTTCTGCTTTGGTCACAATGCAAACCAATGCAGATTTCGAACGAGATTACGGTATCTTATGGTGTCAAGGGATGCGCAAAAATGCATTCCCGCAAGACACTGATCAAGATTTCCGAAACCGTGTAATCGGAAAGCAAGTAAGCATGCTTTGGCGAAGTACTCGTCCTTCCGATTACATTTTGCGAATGCGAAAAAATGTCATCAGAGAAGTTCAAGATCATATCGAGAGAAGATGGCCAGGCTGTGGCCTTCATGTTGCGCCTTTTGGGTCAACTCAAACAGGCCTGATTGAGGCATCATCGGATATCGATCTCTGTTTGTTGGATCCTTCACGTCCTCGAGGTGTAGGAACTCCACGATCAGAGGTACTTCCATTGCTCAATCCAAATTGTGCCCAGATCCTTCACAATGAACGAATTATCGGCATTCCAGGCGCTCCAGACTACTACAATGTCTCTTACCTGGCAAGAGCTTTGGAACGTTACAGTTTCGCCTTCAAACAAGTGCAACCGATTCGACATGCAAAGGTTCCAATTGTCAAATTTGTTCACGCAGATTCTGGCCTAGAGGGCGATTTGAACGTGAACGATTCGTTTGGGTTGCATAATTCCGATATGATCACCAATTATATCGACATTTGTCCAAACATCGTCGCTCCCTTGTTGTTCTTTATCAAGAAGTGGGCTGCAAGACGACATATCAACGATCCAAGTGGAAAGAGTGGCATTGTCAGCCTAAATTCATACACCCTCACAGTGTTTGGCTTGCAATACCTTCAAATTCGTGGAATTGTGCCCAATCTCCAATCGACATCGTTGATTGCAACATTGGGTGCTCCTGAAGAGTATCTTTGGCAACGTCCTAAAGGTAGCCTCTCGTCTAGAAGGGCCGGCAAGAATTCCACGACGGATGATTCGGATGGAGAACGAATCGAAGTCGATCCTGATATGGGAGGTAGAAAGTTTATTACTACTTTCTGCAGGTTAAAAACCGAATGGCATTTTGCGATGGCTCAAGAAGATTCTTTGAATTGGAGAGTAGGTCACTGCGAACCGTATACAGTGAGACCTGCTTATCTTGACGAAGAGGAAAACGATCGGCTGCTTGGCAGTCTTTTGGAAGGATTCTTTGAGTGGCTTGCATCTTTTGATTTTGATAATTGTGGTATCAGTCTTCGCGAAGGGCATCCGGTTCGAAGAGTTCGTCATCTATCCGAATCCGATCAGGATGCATTGGGTAAATTTCCATACGTGAAGCAATGGGATCCCAATTGGAAGGATGAAGCAATGCTTTGTCAAGATCCTTTCATCTTGGATCGAAATACGTGTGGTGCGGTATTAGATACTACACGAGTGATCATTGCCAACGAAGCCAAAAGAGCTCACAAAATCTTAACGCAAGCAAACGCATCTTCTCAGAATGGGCAGAGCGAACAAGTTTCACCACTTTTGTCTGATCTGATGATCGATTGGGAATACGAGCAATTGCTTGAAAATCACAAACAAACGGTGAAAGGCTGGGAACCTGCAAGAGTTGCTTATATTGAGAAAGAAGCGAAAGCTAGATTGAAAGATCCAAAGTATAATCCGACCTACAATCGAATCCGTGACAAGAGGGCTAGAGAGGCTCAGAAGCAAATAGCTGCAAAACGAGTACCAATTCCAGCAACTTAAACTTTATATAGAATCAATGTGCACATAAAACAACATCATGTATCATATCAATATAAACTATTCGCAATGTACATTTACATAAACCATTGATGGACGTTGTCACCGGATAAGAATTCGAGTAATGACAAGGAACGCCTTAATTTACGCGCAGGCAGCGCTGTTCGCTAATGTGCAGTGCAGCATTCCTTTGCTTGTGTGCTTAGTCCTTAATTTTGGCGTATGCGTGAATGGGGAGTGCTATTTTAAGAGACTGTTGATGTGCGTTGAAAATTGAAAACAACAACGACACACACACACACTCAAAGTGTTGTTAACTTGCAGATCCATCATCATCATCTCCCTTGTGATCGTTACCCCTTTTTCGATCTTGAAAATACCTCGTAAGCTTTCGACTCCATCTGTTACATCCAGATTGCTAGCTTCTGACAGTCTTAGCGGACGGACTCAGAGTAGAAGAGAATTGGACTGGTGATCGCCAAGAGGGAGGATCGTTGTCAATCAAAACTCCTGATCAACCGGCGTTCCACATCTTCTGGTGATCGTTGAGCTGGACGCTGGCCGCCAGATGGAGCTCTGCCAGCAAGGAGCTCTTGGTTGCTGAAAAATACCTGGTTTCTCGACCCAATCACTTTCTTTTTTCATTTCACTAGCTCTCTATTCATACATAGAGCGCATACATCCACCCAAAATTTCACCATCATCATGACAAGCTCTTTAACTGACGGACAACGAGATGAACTTCATAAATCCATGTTGGAATATTTCCAAAGGAGTGGTTATTCGGATTGCTTTGAAGCATTACAAAAGGAATCCGGTCAAGAAGGTTTTGTTGTTGATCCAAAAGCACGATATGTTGGTTTACTAGAGAAAAAATGGACGGGTGTTGTCAGATTGCAAAAAAGGGTGATGGAATTGGAACAGAGAAATCAACAATTACAAGAAGAACTTGCTTCTGCTCCAACGTCGAGAAGGGCAGCCACTTTGACTGATTGGGTTCCGAGAAATCCACCTAGACATACCCTTTCGGGACATCGATCACAGGTTTCCCGTGCTACCTTTCATCCGGTCTTTAGCCAAGTCGTCAGCGCAAGTGATGATGCGATGATCAAAGTATGGGATTGGGAAACTGGAGATTTTGAAAAGACGCTCAAAGGACATACCAAAGCAGTTCATGATGTAGACTTTGACTCAAAGGGCAACCTCCTCGCTTCTTGTTCAAGTGATATGACGATCAAGGTTTGGGATACCAACGACGATTACAAGAATACAAAGACGTTATTTGGACATGATCATTCCGTTTCAGCTGTCAAGTTTATGCCGGGCGACGACTTTCTCGTTTCTGCTGGCCGTGATCGAACGATAAGGATCTGGGATCTGAAGACTGGATTTTGTGCGCGTACATTGATCGGGCATTCGGATTGGGTCAGATGGATAACGCCTTCGGAAGATGGTAGATTGTTGGCATCTTGCAGTACCGACCAAACCGCTCGCATTTGGGATTTCGCTTCGGGTGAAACCAAAGTCGAACTGAGAGGTCACGATCACGTTGTTGAAACGATCGCATTCGCACCTATTACCGCATATGCAGCTTTGAGAGATCTGGGCGGCATCACTGGTATAAATTCGACCACACCGGGTCAATTCGTCGCGACCGGTGGACGTGATAAGCTGATCAAGATTTGGGATGCGGTCAGCGGACAATGCCTCAAGACGCTATCCGGACATGATAATTGGGTTCGAGGACTATGTTGGGCACCAAATGGAGCATTCTTGCTTTCATGCTCAGATGATAAGACTGTCAAAGTATGGGATCTGAAAGCAGGTGCAAGATGTAGCAAAACGATCGAAGCACATGATCATTTCGTTACCGGAATCTCTTGGGCTCGTGCAAAGACTGAAGTTGGACCTAGACCTGATGGCGTGGTGGAAAATGGAACGTCTGGAAGTGCGAATAAAACGGAAGTTAAAACGGTCAATGCGGTAGTCACAACAAGTGTCGATCTCACAGTAAAGATTTGGACACCTTAGATTTTCAACAAAATAATAAGTACATTTTTACGCTCCTTCTTAATCGTTTCAAGCTACATTCTTTCTTTCTTTTTTCTCTTTTCCTTTTCGTTAGGCTTTGATTGCCAGCATGATACCAAACAAGACAAATATTCCCCCACCCTCCCCTCTATCGGCAGCGAGCCGCCTTCAATAAATGAGGGATGTACAAATACACTCTGAACAGTCACGGTACTTTAAACCAGTAAAATCATTCATTTTAGACACAATTTCTAGAAATACAGTAGTGACACAAGTGTCTTGTTTTGATTAGCGAAACCATGCATTTGCACTTGCTGATATTGAAAGGCTAGCTATGCAATGATAAAAGCCTTGTGGTATATACAAAACATCTCCAGGTTCCAAGATAGCACAAGCCGCATCTGGATCTTGGATTGCCTGTTGCAAAAGCGGGAAATGATCCGACATATCGCTGTCCAAATCTAACAGGGGTTCCTCCGTCGGAATTGCAGAAGTGTTTGACTGTCTGCTAGAGCGATCAAACAGGTACAACTGCTCGGCAACCTTTGGCGGGAAGATATGAACACGTTTTCGGCCAACGATTTGTGCAAAGAGGTTTTCGTATGGATCACGATGGATTGGTGTGAATGTGCCTGCACCACCGATCCATAGATTTCTTCTCCATTGTTCATTCGCTTCTCGTTTTCCTGCGGTGGAGTGTGGTAGAGGTGGACAATGTTCGTATAGGATCGGTGCCATTTCGAACAAATCTTGCTGGGCTACATAACCAACAAGCTCTGGCTCAGAAGATTGCGTACTGTTGTTCCACGGTATTTTACCGTCAATGAATGCATCTTGAAAGATACTGAATGGCATTCTCAATTGTGTCCATTCGTGTGTGCCATCTTTTCCTTCTTGACGGTTGATATTATCATTATATCCTGTTCCAATCGGAGCTACTTCTACTTCTACATTTGCATTTTGGACTTGCTTGATCTCACGAAGCCCAGCAAGTGGTTCATTCTCATTTCCTTTCCATTTCTGACAAGCTGGCCATCGATACGGAGATTGAGGGTCACGTATTAATCCCTTGAACAAACCTGGCTTCGCTTTGGACAAATGCTTCTCATTGAATTCAGACGGGGAGAGAATCCCGGAAGGCTTTAAGGGCTTCAATCGGGATTGTGCCTCGATCAGCCGACTCAATCGACCTCCCTTGACAGCATTTGAGAATTTTGACATCTCCTTATCATCATCATATCGGACAATGTGAGTGGAGAAATGCATACAAATACGCTAGCAGCCAAAGTTGGATTGATACAGATTAGATAATCGACAATTATTGACTGAAGCACGTGTGAAGTTTCTTTGTGCGAGATGTAGAAACACGTGCGGTATTGGTTGGTTCTCTTTCCAAGCCAATTATCGTACAGCGCGTTGTACGCACTGTGCCGAGCAGGGAAGAGCGCTTAAGGAAATTCTTCTAAGCAGAGAATCCGCAGCCTGGCACAGAGTCAGTATTAATTAGCTGACGCGCACACAAGAGCAAGAATTCAGTGAATGTTAGGCAAGAGAGGGACAATTCTCAAACTCACATGGATCGAAGGTTACATTCTCATTCACTCTTTCTTATCATCCATCCCCGTCATCAAGTAGGATAAGGTGAGTTACACAACGAAAATGTGTAGGATGAAGCAGAGAACAGAGGAGATATACGACATGCGACAGACGACTTAGATCACGACGAGGAGGGGGAGCATACAGTGACACTAGAAGGAAGTTCGACAATTCAGCATTAAGAGGTAGACAGAGGGGGTCTTTTGATGAAAACGAGGATGCCGGCAAAGCGATCGCTGTAATATTCGACATTCTCTCCAAACACTCTCGCTACTTCATCCTACACATCACTATACTTTATACCGACACAGTTTACTAATATCGAAAATCCGACATTCTTTCTTGCTTTTTAGTCTGCCAAAATGGGTCAACCTTCAGGTCTTTTCACGGCACGCAAGTTGAAGGCTGATCGCCGTAACAACAAATGGGCCGATGCTCACTACAACAAGCGTATGTTGGGAAACTTCTACAAATCATCCCCAACCGGTGGTTCATCCCAAGCAAAAGGTATCGTTTTGGAAAAGATTGGTGTTGAAGCCAAACAACCTAACTCTGCTATTCGTAAATGTGTTCGTGTTCAATTGATCAAGAACGGAAAGAAGGTCGCTGCTTTCGTCCCCAATGATGGTTGCTTGAACTTCATTGACGAAAACGATGAAGTTTTGATCTCCGGTTTCGGTCGTAAGGGTAAGGCAAAGGGTGATATTCCTGGTGTTCGTTTCAAGGTCGTCAAGGTTTCCGGTGTGTCACTTTTGGCTCTCTTCAAAGGTGAGTTTGATGTGAAGGACAGAATAGAATAATGACAGAATGAGTTACTGACCTATCTACCTTTTTCTCACCACAGCCAAACGTGAAAAGCCCCGTTCATGATCGCCTTCTCTACATCATCATCATTCACGCATATCCGCATCACAAAAAGCGTTGACATGTGCTCATAGAGCCCTGTCTTCGTATTTGTATGGTCATTTTCATACATATGTTTCAGTATATTTTTACATGCTTAAAGCAATCACATTTATCACGCATTCCAGTCAACTGACCGTGGCCGTTGTCCAAGAGTACAAAGCTGTGCAGAGAATCAGTTTAGATTTGTGAATGAATCCCTTGAGCTCTCAGTACAGACCCTTAATACTCCCGTGCTTAACATGTTTGCCATTCATGTGTGCTTCATGATGACGCTGAGCCTGATGAGAGGCCCAGGCTCTATAGAAGATAGTAGACGGTCCTAGAACAGCTCCGCGCACGTAGGCTGAGTTAGTCTAAGAAGGAACACTGGCCTATTACCCCAAAAATAATTGACTACGACGCCAATCGATTGTACGCCTGAAAGTTATATGCAACGCATGCGAAGCTTTGTGTTGGAAGGCAAATTTAAGCTGCATTCAACGACTTCTTCTTTTCTCCCTTTACCCATCTTCTTATCATATACTCTCCAAACAAACATGGCCGACGCAGATCAAAAGACGTTGGCATTCGCCGTTGCAAATTGGCTACAAACACAAGCAGGCACAGGTGGAAATGCAGAAAAGTTAAGGGAAGCCAGTAAATTGGTCTCGGATGCATATGGAATTGATATCAACAATGCCGAACAAAAGGCTCAATTTGGCAAAGGACCTGGATTGAAAAATGTTTGGGATGTTTTCATGAAGACACAAGCTAAGCTTGGCGGTGGTGCTGGTGCGGCTGCTGCCCCATCTGCATCGCAACCTTCAGCAGAAGATAAAGCAAAAGCAGAACAATTAAAGGGAGAAGGTAATAAGCACATGTCCGCAAAAGATCATAATGCAGCTATTGAATCATACACACAAGCTATTGAGCTAGACGCTACCAATCCAGTCTACTTTAGCAACAGAAGTGCTGCTTATGCACAATTGCAACAACACGACAAGGCAATCGAAGATGCAAGAGAAGCCAGTCGTGTCGATCCTCAATTTGCCAAAGCATACAGTCGATTGGGACATGCTCTTTTCTCTGCAGGACGTTATCAAGAAGCTGTGGAAGCATACAAAAATGGTGTTGACGTCGATCCAACCAATTCAGTCATGAAAGCAGGATTGGAAACTGCTAAACAACATGCAAAGACGGATTCTACACCGCGAAGCCCTCCTTCCGGTCAATCACGCGATGTTGCAGGCGGTGCTGGTGCTGGTGCAGGTGAAAACCCATTCGCAGGATTGGGAGGTGGTCAAGGTGGAATGCCTGACCTTGGCTCATTGATGAACAATCCAATGATCGCTCAAATGGCACAACAAATGATGGGAAACGGTGGACTTGAACAAATGATGAACAATCCAATGATTCAACAAATGATGCAAAGATTTGGCGGAGGTGGTGCTGGAGGCGGTGGTGGTATGCCAGACATAAATGCAATGATGCAAGATCCTCAAATGCGTGAAATGGCTAGAAATATGATGGGTGGAATGGGCGGTCCAGGCGGTGCTGGTGCTGGTCGTGGAAGTGGAGCCGGTGGAAGAGGTTCCGGTAACAATGGCGGAAGTACAGGCGATGATATGTTCTCATGAGCGATGTGTTTGGCATGTATTTCATCTTATATAAATCTAGTATTCAACCTTTCAATCATAATCACCTTAGAGATGGCCATCATGAGAGATTCTTTTTTATGAGCGCACGGGCGTACGTTGAAAGGCGGGGAAATTGAATTTGCAGAGAAGCGTACACTTTAGCACTGCATCTTTTCAGAAAAGCGCGAATGCTGGGTTACACTTCGAATCTAAAAGAACAACCATCACAACACATGTCAGAAAAGGGGGTTGCACATAGGACAAGATGGCAACAAAAAGTGATGAAGCAGTAAATGAAGCATTGAACGAGCCAATCGATCAATTGAAGATCGGAGAAGCATCTTCGTCCAAATTGGAAGAAAATGGAAGAGCGAAGAGTAATGGAACATATGGACATTCAGATTCGAATGAACTCGAAAATGGAGAGGGTGAAATGTCTGCAACAGCACTAAAAGCCGAGCTAGAACGAATGAAAGATGAGCGGGACTCATTCGAAGAGCAATATCATGGATTATTGGGAAAATTAGGTCAGATGAGAAGTACTTTGGGCGATCGGCTACGGCAAGATGCGGAAGAATTGGATAGGAGAGAACAACAGATTGATACTTTGAATGCTCGGATAGACGGATTGAGCGGATCAATGAAAACGCTAGAAGGAGAATTAGTCACATCTCACGAAGAGGTGGAGAGATTGACGAAAGAGCTGGATAATACTCGATCTATACAGCAGCAAACAGCCGCCAATTCAACAGATCGCAAAGGCAATGAGATGAAATTGCGTGAATTGCAAGAAATGGCTGAACGATATAGGATCGAAGCAGAAAGCTGGGAAAGCGCTTGTATGGAAGAAAGGGCGTACAGGGAAGATGTGGATTTGCAGTTACGGGAAGCACAACGAGAACGTGATGAAGCAATCGCAAGAGAGCAAGAGCAAAGTACGATCGCACAACGTGAAATGCAAACAGCGCGAGAACTACAGCAAGTATTGGAAGAGTTCCAAGCAGCACAGGATAGTGAACTTCAACGGGCGATCGGGGACCATGAAGAGAAGATAGAGCGCTTAACAACATCCTTGAAGGAACACCAAGAGCGAACGACGACTGCAGAAGCCTTGGCAGAAGAGCACAAGAAAGGAGCAGAGCGCTGTCAAACTTTGGCAAAGGAGGTTAAAGAAAAGAATCTACTGATCGGAAAATTACGACATGAAGCGGTGATACTGAATGAACACTTGACAGAATCTCTAAGAAGGCTACGAGCGAATCAATCAGATGCAATGGTGGATGGAAAGTTGATTGGAAACCTTTTGATTCAATTCCTCAATACGCCTCGCTCCGATTCAAAACGTTTTGAGATGCTAAGCTTGATCGCAAGCGTTCTAAATTGGTCGCCTGAAGAAAGAGAGAAAGCTGGACTACAGCGGAATAATCAAGCACCAACACCAGATCGCAAAGGTGGAAAAGGAGGCAGTGAAGGTCACAAACGGTCAGGTGCACAGACGAATACGACGGGTGAAGAGAGTTTCTCGAATCTGTTTGTCGAATTCCTGCTGTCCGAAGCGGAGAAGGCCAAGAAGCCGTCACAGCCCATATCTTCAAATGCATCCGGACCTCCTTCGCCTACAACGCCTAAGCAATCTGGTCGTCCAAGCTTCAATCTTGGCAGTTTAGCAAGCTTGAACCGAAATTCGGGCGACGACTCTCGTGTATTCAGTCCCGGATCAAATGCAGCCACCGATCCAAGTGGATCGCCGCGGAAGCTGAGAAGTCCTTAAAGCCCAGCAAATGTGAGATCACCTTTTCATCTGTACTTATCGCACACATTAAATCATTCCAATCAAACTGCAAAGAAGTGTCATTTCATAATTGTGATGCCGTGATTGCGGCGCATTGAGAAAGTAGTCATAAGAGATGATGATGAAATGATTCCCATTCCGCAACACTGGCTTGATTCAAGCAAGATGTTAATGAACTGGTAGCATTATGTTAATATGTACATGAGAAGGATAAAGAGTCAAAAAGTGGATATCTTAAAAAAAGGGGTACTTTTTAGAAGTAGAAGAACGATAATCCTAGCACTTTAGCTTATGTAGCCTTGACTGTGCTGGAGGTTCCGTTACCCAATTTGAGTTCTTTGGCAAGCTTTTCGGCAACACCGTCAACCTTGCGTTCACATTGACCGTTGTGCAACAAGTTTGCATCCTTGACGTGAGATTTTGTAGAATCGATCACACCACCACGTTTCAAGAATTCTTCACGTGAAACGGGTTCCAAAGTTGTGGCTTGATGAATGATTGGTGCTTCGTGCAAGACGTGATGGGTTGGAATTGTTGTCTTGATACGGTGATGTTCATGAGCATCGTGAGAAACCAATGGGACAACGACGTTGTGGATGTGGTGGTGAACGGTTTCCTTGACTTGTTCACCCTTGTCAACGATTTGATGTTGAACGGGGGCTTGGTTCACTTCATCACGATGACCGTGGGAGTGAGTGACAGAAGCCAACAATTGAGCATCCTTATCAGTGGAAGCATGCTTTTCGCTAATCTTTGTGACTGGGTGAGATTTAACGTGTTGCTTTTCAGCTGCATGTTCTTCATGCTTGATTGGTTGATGATGAACTTGAATGTGATGTTGATGACGTTCGAGTTCACGTTGACGTTCAACTTCTTCAATGTTATGGGTATGATTAGTTTTGCTTGTGATACCGGCCAAATGTTCAACGGTTTGTGTTACCTTTCCTTGACTCAAATCAGCATTGGCCAAATTGTGACCGTGGGAATGACGGTTTGCGCCATCTGCTGTTGCAACTGTTTCGCTACGGCCAGGTCCTGTCTTGAGAGAGGAATCTGTTGCTGTGGCTGTCTTGCCTGTACCTGCTGCTGCACCTGCCATTGTGGTTGCGTTTCCCTTCTTTGGAGAAGTGGCTTCGTGCGAATCAACGGAAGTGTTGTTCTCGCTTGACAAGTTTGAAGTGGCTGATTTAGGGGAGGTGTTTGGCGAAATACGTTGGTCCACATCATCTTCCATACTGGAAGTTGAGTTACGGTTATGAGAAAATACCTTTTTGATTCCGTTCATGATTGGTGATTTGTTTTTGCTTTCGTGTGATTCGATTGTTGATAATCCCTCAGAGACCATTAGTTGTTCTTAGGAAGATATGTTATTGATGAGAAAAAAAGGGATTGATGGTGTTCTCATTCCCATCGTTTATATAACTTTTCAGCATTCTTTACCTCCACTTCTGTCTTGTCATATACAAGTATCATCGTACCATTAAAAGTGATGAGCTCCACTTTGGATCTCCAAACAAATCGTGTTTCTGAAGTATAATGACAGTATAATCACACAATATAACATAATTACAACCGCTAAGCTTGATTGTACGATCCCAATCCATCTTATGACGATTTCCGTTCCTCTTGCAATCAATCTTTGGACAAAAGACGGACTAAAGAATAAGATTCAAAAGCATTCCATGATGAAAATCATGTGCAAAGCTCTCCACATGACGAAGGAGTGTTTCATCCAAGTCGCACTAAGGGAAACAATTTCGGCATCCGCAATTGTATCTCGGTATCCTGTAAGGAAATGAAAGCGAAGAACGGTTGTAGAATCACCTTGTGTGGCTTTGATAGGAATTTCTCAAAAGCCAATCGACCGGGGAATGCATCCACTATATGCACCTTGATGCTTCCATGACAGATGCAATTAATTACTTGCATATTCGAAAAAGCAGCTTTCGGAATAGTCCGTTGTCATAAGTGATGGCATAAAGCTCTTCCGGCCACTTTTTGTTCATTGCTGCGAATGGTTAGCTTATGACATCGATAGATCGACTGACAACCAGATGCGTATATGCGCTTTGACGCTAGTGTCACAATCAATTCATCAGCGCACTCCCACGCACGGCTTATAAACCGTCATGGCTGTACAAAGTCTCACTCTTAGTGTGTGATGCTTATTAGGGTGTTCATTTTCCATTGTTTATGATGATAGGAGTTTGCTTTGTCGATTGGAGTGGTATGAAGTCAAGTAACATTCAGATCGGGCCGCTTCTTGTTGATCGGGCTTATGGATGGGTTGGATTGGATCACGTGTCTGAATACAATCCCAAAACGCGAACAACACTCCAACCCATTCAACACGCTAATTCAACCACACCCAATTTATGAAAATAGGAACCTTCTTTGCCGGCTTAGCTCTCTACAGTGGAATGCATTCTCCCTAGTTACTCTTGTAGTGGGCAAACATGAGCCGCAAATTGTATAGACACTCTCCGGCGCCGTACTCATTTACGTCCCTGAATATTGTGGGCTGATGCAATGTGTACAATACGATGTACATACAATGCTGTCATACTTGGGTATGCACATCCTTGGCTTGTTTGGCTGGCACTGTCAGATGAATAAGAAAGAGCCAACGCCGAAACTTGTTGAAATGAGAGCATGCAGGCTGCACAAGGACGTAATTTCAAGGTAATTTACACGGTTAGGGTGTATGCGCGCGCGTTTCTTTCTCTCTCTCTAACCCGGCGCTGCGCAGTAGGTACAGCCTTGTTGCTGCTCAGCAGCAGCCCAAAAAATAAATAAAAAGGCAAAGCAAGCGGCTTTTGTCATCCTTAATGTCTTCGCTCTTCCGCCTACACTGGTTGTGTGCCTGAATTTGTGTTCAAGCAAATTTTTCAATTTGTTCAAACGCCCTTAAAGGGCTAAAGTATACGTAAGTAGGCTTTTTGCTAGGGTCAAATAATGTGTGTGTGTGTGTGTAATGGAGACAGTGAAATGCACTACAAGCAGCGCATACATACGACCGCGTTAAACTGAAAGAGAAGCGAAAAAAAAAACTTGAAAGCAAATACATTATGAGTGTATGTATGAAATTAGAGCGGAAGTTTTTCCGTTAGGGATGGGTGAAATGATGAATAGGGATTTGGTGATGGAATGAGATCTTATACTCTTTACCTCCATCGAGCGTTGTGTGTTGTGGTCGGATAGTGAACGTAGCTTTTGATAACCTGCAAAGAACAATCAGACAAAAGACAAGTGGAAAGAGACGTGCAAATAAGCAGTCCTCTCAAACTCACGAATTAAAGACGGAACAGGTATTAAGGTCATTCAGCGGAGAATCAAGAAATTCCAAGAATTTATTTTCACTGCAATCGACTTTGATCCCTTCTATACGTCGTTATCGTCTTTATCTTGGTTCATTTCAGGTTTCACGTTCACGTTCGTACCATTGAGTATCACACTCCTGGTCAAAACACGCACATTTCATCACATTCGCATCTCCTCTATTCCGGTCTATCACGCACGGAGACAAGAATTGATACGTCGCTAACGCTTCAATCGTCGTCTTCTTTTCATCCTGATAAACCACTCCGATTTAGAGTTTCATCTTCCGAATCTCAAACCCAAGTATTTATATTTGGGATATAGCCACAGCAAGACTCATTGCTGTGCCGATCTCGCGTGTTTGAAGGATCGATCTCGGTCTAGGATCGGTTTGAATTCCTTAGAAGTCGTTCAACGTTAAGGCACAAAACACCTTGCTCTACATCTCCTTACGCCACCAACTTCATCACGCGATCGAGCACCTTTTTCAAGTGGCTAGGACCTCGTCAGCTTCGATTCAGTTCAACTGATCGATCTTTTCCGCAACTTTCAGGGACGCCTTCATTGTGCTGCTCTCTATCCAATAATCACATCAAACCAAGACAAGATAATTACCAGTCCTTCTGGTATTTCAAGTCCTTCTTCACGATAGAAAGGATATCTCCTTCTACTTATTCACTACCTGGTCTTCACGCCACTAAACCTCTTCAAGATTGCGCGTGAAACCAAAGTTTGCGACTTCGTTCGCTGCCCTTAAGGCTATCAAGGCAAGCTAAGGCTTCGCCAAATACACTCTCCAAAGAACATCGTAAAGGACTTGAATCGCGATCTCGTTTTCATTATTCAAGATGTCAGCTTATCAAGGTCACCAATACGGTGATGGTCAAATGACTTCCAACGCTGCAAATCATGGAGTTTATCATCCTCAATATCATCCTCAAGAGCCAATGATGCATGCTCCCGTCGGAAATGGTGTTAACAATGTCATGTCTGCACAAATGGCTGAAGAGGCGGCTTACTATAACATGATGAATGCATCCCGTATGGATGCCGGTGACTATGCCGCAGGAGGCTTTATGCCTTTGCCACAAGCACCTCGTTTGCCTGTTGCAGCTGCTCGTGCTACCTCGATGGCTGCGATGTATTACGATCCTACATTGCATCCACAGCATGCATATAGCAACAACGTTTCCGCTCCTGCTCCATGGGCAGTTCCTTATTACAATCCTGCGAATGGCCACGCAATGGGAGAGTATAATCCTTCGGCTCCTTTTCAACATCAACACGTTGAACATCAAATGATGATGCACAATCAAATGAGCAGATCGCATCAACATCCTCCGCAGCAGCAAGTGGACCCACACACGTACGGATCAGGCATTTATTCGAATCCCGCTCAACCAATCACAACAGACCCTTCTCATCTTGCTGCGGGCAATCATCATTTGGATTCAAATTATGCGCACAATCCAGTCGTATCATCTGCTTCTTACTATGGTTTAAACGCGGCTACGGCGTCTGCGGCTCCGCAACAATTTTATGACTGGGAACAGCAGCAATTTGCAGGAGGAGCAGATGAGTATGATCCTGCGAACGCGGCAGCGTATCATCGAAATAATGCAACAGTAGCAAATGATCCTAGGCGTAATTTGACTTCCGCTGGTATCCGATCAGAGATGACCGGATCATATGGAATGCCGCATGGCCAAGGCGGCGAAGGAGTATATGGCGAATTCCGAAATGTACATGCATTAGATCAACCGTATCATCCTGCTAATGCACAAGCAGGATGGCCTTCGACAAGTTACCCCGGTAACGGTCAATGGCACGATGTCAACCATCGTTCACAGCGTCATTCGATGCAACATCCTCATCAAAGACATCCTCATCATCAACCACCACCATCCTCACATGGCGGTAATTCGATGTGGTTTAGAAAAGGAATTAAAACGAATGAACCTGTCTGGACAGGCCATGAAAGCTCCTTCCCCATAACAAGTTCTCAAGCTCAACCCAATCCACACTTCGTGTCAGAGGCACAAAACTGGCAACATGCAAGACCTGATCAAGGGTATGCTCCACAGCATCAGATGCATCCACTTCAAGGACAATTCAATGCTGATGTGACAGCCGTTCCGCATGCGCAATTCCCACCAATGGATCAAAATGCAATTGTTCCAGCACCCGTACAAGATGCTGAAGCACAAAAAGCTCCTCCTGCACCAGCGCCACCTTCGCCTGATACGTTAGACAAATCAGCCGTTCCTGTCTCCTCTGTAGGAGCTGAGATCATTTGGGTTGCAGCAGCTGCATTGTTAGATCCAGGTATGTGGGTCCGCGCTTCTTTGAACATCAATGCATCCAACAGGAACAGAGTTCGTAGCGGCAGCGCCATGTCTGAGACGTCTTCAAACCCATCTCCATTCACTTCGCCTTTGACGGATTCTCATGATCATTGGGAACAAGCAATGGACATGTCAACGCAAGATACAGATGTCTCAAGAGCAAGCTCCAGCCAACAATCTGCGCATCGCAAGAATGTCAAATCGAATGATCCATATGATGAAAGCAGTGCGAGCAGCTCAGAGCCAGGAACGCCACCAACATCTATCCCTTCGAGAATATGGGAAAAAGATGGACGACATGAAAAGCAAAGCTCTTTGAGTGCATTGCATGGCATGCGCGCTTTGGAGTTGTCGAACGACTCTCGTTCAAGTCATCGATCTGTCAGTCCGATGAATGTGCAAAGTCCATCTCAAAGATCGACATTCCAACGAAGTGCTTCGTACGATCGAGCACGCGAAGCTGTTGTCAGCATTACCGACTTGCTCGATCGTGATTGGAGATGGAGCTTGAATGATGACAAGTTGGAATCTCTTGGTCAGTCACAACGTCCTGAAGCTCATCAAAAGGTTTCAAACGGCCGTCGTTCATCATCATCATCACGACGTGAAGACAACGGTGTTCATGGAGGCGGTGCAAGCATGCCTGGTACTGAGCCTAGTCCTGCTTTCCGCCGCTTTGCTCATCAAGTGTTGGCACAAACACTTGTTTCGCCAACCGCATTCATGTTGAGTTTGATGTACTCTCTACGAGTGTTGCATTTGGCAATTCAAACCCGCTCTGGTAAGCCATCTTTGGATCCCGAAGCTGCAGAGATCTTTGCTCAACCTCCTTCCGCTGCGCCTTTCAAGTTGTTCACTTTGGGACTGATGATTGCGAACAAGCATTTGGACGACAACACTTTCTTGAACAAGACATGGAACGAAGTCACGGGTATTTCACTGGCTGAACTGAACCGTGCCGAGAGATGGTATTTGGAGAAGAGCAGTTACGAGATCACCGTTCCCGAAGAAACATGGGTCTCATTCTTGAAACAGTTGCATCTTCGAACGGAACACAAGATTTCATCATTGGCATCTGCTAAGCGCATTCGCGTTCCTACCAAGCAGGCACCCGATAGTCTTCGTCGTCAAGATTCTTATGTTGTTCCGCATGCAGGCAGTGAAGAAGCTCAAAAGCGCTTCTTGCTCGGTATCGAAGATGCACTGCAGGCATTAGGTTACGATAATGTTTTCGATCTGGCGGCCAACAATGCGCAAGGTCGAGAAGAGAATAATTTGCATCATTGTGCTCCTAAACCGAAAGATTCTCTCACTCATCTCCATCACAACCATCATTCAGCGCCAGCTGCCGATCTGATGCGTTTGTCCAAGAACGCAAATCAAGAAGGAGAGTTTGACGTATTTGAAGACGAGAATGGACCTTATCGACCACACAGCGCCAGTATTCGTAGACTCACTGCGAATGGAGTTGATGGCAAAGACTTGATCAAGAAGCGATCATCTCAAGCAACCCTTGGTGGAGAAGCGGTCTTGAGTAGGAGTGTATCCGATGGTATCACTCCAACAATCTCTTGTGCCCATGAACAACAACGCATTCAATCAAAGCGGGAAAGCAAAGCAGAAATGCATGCCCCTTTGGCACCATCGGTTTTGTTGGATCTTTTGAACAGAGGTCAACATCTAGCGCACGCTGCCCATTGAATGATTGCATCAAGCATGGACCCAGTATACCCAAAAGAAGAATGTGTTTAGGGAGCTTGACTCATTCTCTTCAATCTCCAAAGTTCTCGCCATAGTCACTTGCAATCAGTTGCATGCGACTTATCAAAAGTGAAGATTGTCTAAAGGCATCTCACATCGCTCTCCGTACGACTCGAACTCTTTTTTTCTCGATTCACATACAAGAAGACTCCTTGACAACGACGCATTTGGCTTTACCTATTTTTTAACGACTCTATAGACTTTTTTTTTTTTCGAATCGCTTATTCGTCAAACGCAACCTATTTATCTTCCCAGACAATTTGCTCATATTTGATACATATTCAAAACGGAACCAATCGACATCATCATTTCAAAGAAGAATCGGTCATTTACGCCAACACTTTGCAAAAAGATGACAAAACTTTTCATCTTCTACCTGTTCATATTCAAGTATTCTCGTTTGGGTTTTTCCGCTTCCCATCACAAGGAAAACGGAGTCTTTTCCCAACCTGGCCACCTTCCTTTTGTTTCGCGCGCAGAGATTATCTTTTTCTATTCCAATATTGCATGTCAATATCTTATCCGTTTATACAACAACAACTTCCTCAAAACAAAGCTCAAGGAGCATGCTCCTTTTTTGCTAATGACACCTCAATTCACCGTCGTCATATACATACATACATACTTTATTAGGCACTTTTCTCTCAGCATACTTTTGTGATTTGATGTTCAATTTGACATATTTTGTGGCTATCCTTTATGTTTGATCCGTTCTTGGCTAGGTTACCCAAACTTGACGCAGGTTTCACAAATCTATGGGATTCTATAGTACAGTAATGATACATGTTTTATAGCCATCAGTCTTCCTCATCACTGATCTGCATTTGCTCATCGTTCGGTTCAACGGAGGCATGATCAGACTCATCATCGTTTGCAGGTTGCTCCGGCTCTGCTGATTGCTCATTTGCTGCTTCTTGCTGCTGCTGCATCTTTGCTCGCCATGCATGGGCTGCCTGTAACAGAGCAAAGGATGGTTTTGCCTGTGCCTCTTCATCATCAGGGAACAGCATATCGTAGTATTCCTCCATGCCTTCGCCATCTTGCGCTTCTCGGCGTTTCTTGACAACTCTTGGCATCCGTGCTTCCACTTGTCGCAATCGGTCAGGTTCGTCTGTTCCATGCTCTTGTTCAAACGTTTTCCAGGCTTCGAGTAGCACCACTCGATCTTCTTTTAATTTTCTTAACTTCAAATCATCATAAGCACGCTCAAACGTCTCTCTCGTCTTCACCACTGCACGCGCTCGGCGATCTTGCCTTGCTTGCAATTCGTCTGCAGATAATACCCTGGGTTCCTTCTCAGTCGGCTCTTCCTCATCCTCGTCTTCATCTTCGTCCACTTCATCTTCATCCTCCTCTTCTGCAATCGCAGCTGCCATCCAACTTTGCGCATAGCTGATCCATACTTTCACATGACCAGTCTTTTGTGTTAAACGTTCATAAAGTTCTTGTACGTGAGCCCATTCGCGCATGTCAAACTCAAAATCGATAAACGCTTTCCAAACAATCTCCGGCATATCCAAGCCACCCATTTCATCGTTGCTTTGACGGATGGCAAGCTCAAAGATCGCTCGAGCACGATCATTATCGAACAGATTCCTCTCCAACTCTGCGAATCGGATCCACATTTTGGAATTGCTTGGGTTCCATTCAAGTGCACGTTCGTATAACTTGCGTGCTCGATCAAACTCTTTCAAACTCAATTCCAGATCAACGTATCCGGTAAAGATGCGTTCTTTTGCACACATTCCGATCGCAGCACCTAAAATTTTCCGTGCTTGTTGCAACTGTAACCTTCTGATCTCGAAATTTGCATAATTGAGCCATAGTTTGGCAAACGTGAATTGTTTGTGTGGTATGATTGCAATTGCGGCTTTGTATACCTCCCTTGTTCGTTCATAATCTCCAACGTCAAGCTCTTCAAACAATGCAAAATTCAACCATAAGAATACATATCTCCTCCAGTGACGCTTTTCTTGGCTAGGAGGCACATTAGCAACTGCCATTTCATACACCGACCGGACACGTTTACGGGCTGCTACAAGATCATCCGCATCTATAGAGGTACTGACGGATGCCAACGTTCGATAAGCATCTTCTTCGAGGCGGGTATAATCGAACCAGGTGTCATAATTGAACTTAGCATCTGCGTTACTGTTCAATTCTTCTTCATACTGTATCCTCCGCTTTCCCAGAACGGTGTCCTCGATTCCGGCACGTGTACCATGTTGTTTTTCGAATCGGGTGTAGCTGGCAAACACACCTGATGATCTTGTCTTGGGTAGTCTGTCTAAAGCATATTTGTAGATCACTCTCGCCCGGTCAAATTCACGCAATCGAGTTTCCATTTTCGCAAAAGCAGTGTAGATCGTTTGTGCAAATTCCATCCTTTCTTGCTCTTCGCCAAAGAATTCCATCGCTTGAGCAAATACCATCCTTGCTTCATCAATCGCACCTCGATCTTCTTCAAACTTTGCCCATCGAATGAACTGCTTCGGTTCCGAATGGACATTGATCTTCCTTTTCCAAAGCTCGCTGGCTTTTTCCAATTCTTTGTATCGTACTTCGAGACCGATGTATGCATCCCATGCTTTCTCTTCCGGCTCCCAGCTCATCCATCTTTCGAACACCTGTCTAGCACCATTGATGTTTCCCAGTAATTCTTCCAGATGAACATATTTGAACCAGAGTGTATCTTGACGGGGAAGAATAGAGACAGCTCGATCGAGTAAATTTCTGGCATGCTGTACATTTCTGGCTTTGAGTTCAGTCTCTATGTATCTCGTCCATAATCCTAAATGATGAGCATCTATATCCAATGCTCTTTCAAACACCGATCTCGCTCTTGGCAATTCACCTTGTGATGCTTCCCAAACCGCATATGCGATCCATTCTTTGATATTTTGTCTAACCCTTCTTATCTTTGTTTCGAATTCTGTTCGTTTTCTGGATCTATACTCATCCAATTCTTCTAAATCTTCAACTTTTTGTCGTACTTGTGCAACAGGTGCAACATCTTGACGTTCTTTTGCTTCTCTTAAAATTTGTTCAGCAGAGATTTGAACTGGTGCCGGAGCACGGTTCTTGATTCTTGGTGCCCTTGCATCCCTACTCATGATGATGCATCAAAGGACCTCCCTTGAAAAAGGGCTTGCAAATATGGATGTCAAGAGGAAGCGTGAGAAGATGATGGTGTTCCTGCTCCACCAATTTAAGCGCGTAATTTTTGGAACACACGTGAAGGCGTGGTGACAAAAAGAGCCATGCGCCATCACATCAATCCACGGTGAAGCTTTGACCAGGATCTGGTATCGATTTATTGGGCTACTGGACGTCATCTCGACCCGTTCCGCACACCTTCCGCCTGGCTATAAAGTACCAAGGAAGGCAAAAGGCCGTCACGGACGGCAAATTCGGCTCGTGAACATCTATGGACCTCTCAAATCGGGACGCAGGAACATATTCGTTGCCGTGAACGACAATGGTACGACCAGCCTTCTATGGTTCCGAGAGGCAGAGTTTGAGCAAAGACATATCTCAGAGACCCAGAAGCAAGGTCGATAGACCTGATGCGCAATCATTGTACCACTACCCAACCATTGTTCTTATTGCCAAGAAAATAAATTGGCATACATTCAGCCTTGTTCACACTTGCTCATGATCGTGTCATAGACACCCAATCCCTTAACTACATCCTCACAACGCACTCATTTCGCCAATCCTTTGATGGGCGACATCATGACTACATCTCATTAGCAAACATTAAGTATCTTTCCTCCACCATCACCATCAACATCATCATTTTCATCATCTTTTTCATCATCGTCATCCTCCTACCGGCCGCGAATTTGTTGTACTGATTGAGTGGCCTACAGCGAAGAGGTTGTAGTGTTGGATCTGGAAGCAAAATGTAAGAGGAGACTTGGTGAGTGTAAGAAAGAATGAGTGAGGGAGGGGGAATTTTCAACTTTCAAAAAAGGCCTCCTTATAAATGTTTGTAGTCAAATGAAAAAGTTTGTTCATAGTTTTGCAATTTCATGGAGATGCACTACTGATGCTATCCTGACATCAACGTAGATGTTGCATATCAGGTCCAACGGACGGTACATCAAATCCAATGGACGGTATATGAGCTTCAACGGACAGTACATCATTCCCAACGGACGGTAAGTCAGGTCCAACGGATGCTACATCAAATCCAACGGAGGGTAATTTAGGTCCACCGGACGGTCAATAAAGTTCAACGGACGGTATTCTGTCTGACAGCTGTACACTTTTCAAGATGACATATATCAATTACGATTTTCAATTGAATGTATGCGAGCTACTATCTATGACTCCTCATCGGGCTGAAGACCCTGAGAGTGATAGCGAAAGCAGGCTATTTCTTGTATTGTACAAATTGCTCTTTGCCCTTCTAATGAGCGTACCATCGTTTTGGGAGAAATGACGAGGTTCGTGATAAGGGAAGGGCAGAATTTAGTGAATGTGCGTGGGTGGAGAATGATGTGTCTCATGCATCAGGAGATTTAGTGAATTTGATATAATACAGTATGCCGTTTAAAAGTACAACTTGATCCGAAAAACCGAATCAGAAACAGCAGTCACAGTCGAATGGACATGCGTTGGTATCTGCAGGATGAAAGAGAATGTGTGAGCATTTAAAACATACAGTTGGCCTTCATCACTTTCCTATACTCACCTCCACCTTGATCCAACTTCAGCTCTTTCTCGGAATAGATCGAAAAGCCATCTTCGGTTTTCCGTCCTGTGTGTTGGTAATTGGATCATTAGCGTCATATACAACCGATCAACCGATTGGACATGTAAAACTCACTAGTGGTCCCTCTTGAATCCCGAAACTCTTCATCTTCAGCAGATATTCCACTAGTAGAACTCTTACCCTTCTTTTGCTTTTTGGCTGAAGTGGAAGCTGCTGTTTCTAGCGCTTTGGATGGGTCGACAACGGTCTCAGGCGCTTTTCGTTTTGACTTTGTGTTGGGTTGTGCATCTGCCACCTTTCCACTTTTCTTTACGCTTTTTTTCCCGCTCTCATCTAGATTCTTTCCGTTGGGCTTTGTCAAATCTGACTTGTCCTTCTTTTCGCTCTTCTTCCCGACCTCTTGCAGCTTCTTTCCGTTGGGTTTAGTCACATCTGACTTTCCCTTACTGCTCGAACCCGCGAATATATCATCAATCTCTGATTTGGCCATGCTGTTATATGCTTCGACATAAGGATCGTCAATGTTGTAGAGGTAACAAGATGACAATGTCGTTCGAATGTATGCAAGCTAAAAATGAAATTAACTTTTTTGGAACGCGTTGGTTAATTTACACGTGCGAAGAAAAAAGTGACAACATTTCTCCACTGCAATATAAGAATTACTTCCCATATATTACCACCATCAACCCAAGAAGTTGTAGAGATGGATGATTCAGTATTTGATCCAGATGCACCGAATGTTGATTTATCAAAAAAGAATGAAGCAGACGGCCATGGAAGCGATTCAGAAGATGAAGCAGCTCCGGATTTCGGTCAATTAGCTGCCCTTGCAAGTCGAGCACAAGCTAAGCAAGGATTGTTGCAAGATGATTCTACAAACCAGAACACTCAATTCATACCAAAACGTGGTGATAAGGACTTTGAACCGACCGGATTTACAGGCCAGAAGAATGCTTTGGAAAACAGCAGAAAGGCAATGTTTGATGTGATATCCTCGCAGAGAATCATAAACTCAAAGTCGATCTCCATCGCTACTTGGCATCCTCAACTAAGTAGAGCAATCGTGCATTTGGTAAGAGGGCAAACGTTTGCATCAATGGGAGTCTCTAGAAGGGTGGCAGTACTGGAAGATGGACAATTTGAGGACTTGGCTCACATCTACCAAAAAGAAGGTAAACCAATAGCTTCCGTTGCAGGTGCCACAAAAGAAGGTATATTCTGGCCAAAGATGCAGAGCAGACTGGAACTGTTACCAGAAGAGGCTCTGTATTTAGTGGAGCGTGGCTCGCTTGAATGTCGAATCTACCACAAATCAAACGGATCGGGAACCGTTGAGGATATGCGGGACTATGATGACATTGTTGAAAATCCAGAATGGGTGCCAATGAGTCTCGAGCAAGCATTCTCTACAATACTCGGTGTTGATGGACTGACAAGACCGCACTATCAGCTGTATGCATACCTTAAACGATTAGGTTATATCGTCCAACGCAAGAGCATATCCGATCAATTACGCAAGATCAATGCAGCCACAAATAAAGCTAGCCGTGAATCTTTTGAGACAGAGGGTATCATCGCTGATCCTCATCATCCGTTGCGTCTTTTGACGATCTTCGATCTTCTTCTGTATCCAATCCGGCGGATCGTCCAAATAGCAAGCCATGGTCTGAACCGTCTGCAAGGCTTCTTTCGTTCCTTGCTTCAACGGCTCAGGAATTGGTTCAGCAAAGTTACAGCTGCTTCAACGAATACATCATTCATGTCTCGACCAGGTTTATTGGGTATCGGCACTTCGTCATTTTCCGGCTATGATGAAGTGTTTGATCGACTCCGAATCGTTCCCACGGGTCATGACGCAAAGCTGATTCGACCTGAACTCAAACAACAACAAGACGTTGCACCAGAAATATTCTACTACGCCTGGAGACCTGCTACACATTTCAAGAAGAGTGATCCTCCGTTGCCGGAATATCAATTAGCCGTGATGGACGTTAGACATACAAGTTTACCGAGCGCATTCGCATTTGCAGATCTATTTGAACATATACCCGTTCCACTTTCAACGCAAGATTGGGAACAAATGGATGAAGAAGAACAAAGGGTTTGGAAGATGGCAGAAGAGCAAAGGAAGAGAAACAATGAGAGTTATGGAAAAGGAGCCGTGAGGAAAGCTCAAGCACTCAAACAGGCAAAAGAGGCACAGGAACAGGGTCATGATGGTGTCATCACCTCACAGATCAGCTCCATCGAGAGGATATGGCATCGATTCGTTAGCCTACTGGGCTTCATCTCGACCCTTTTCGCACACCTTCCGCCTGGCTATCAAGTGCCAAGAAGGACAAAAGGTCGTCATGCACAACGTGGTGGACAGCAAAACCGACTCGTCAACGTCTACGGGCCACTCAAATCGGGACGGCGGAACATAATCGTTGCCGTGAACGATTGTGGCACGACCAGCCTTCTACGATTCGGAGAGGCGGAATTTGAACGATGGCGTATCGCAGGAACCGAACGACAGGGTCGATAGACTAGATGCACAATCATTGTACCATTACTCAACCGTTGTACTTGTAATCATTGTACTTTATGGCATACATTTCGCCTTGATCACACATGCCCATGATCACACTTGCTCATGGCCACCCTCACTCATGGCCTCACTCACTCATGGCCACCCTCACTCATGGCCTCACTCACTCATGGCCTCACTCACTCATGGCCTCACTCACTCAT